ATCTCTGGCGTATTATAAAAAACCCTATATAAGTAAAGGATCTCCTTAACTAAGAAAAAAATTATCTTATTAACTTTAGTAATATCTCTATAAATCAGCTGCTCGGCAGCAGTAACTTTGTTTTTTTTATAAGGACAGTAGCCAGCTAGTTTAATAGTATTTTTTAGCTTTTTAGGGCTTTATATATACTTAAAATTAGTCTTATACTAACCTAGCCTGTATATTATAGGGCTCCTGCTAAAATTTTAAGAAAAAGAAACTTATAAGAGTAAGGGTAAAATCTTTTTTTAAAAAAAAAGCGAAATAGATATATTTTTGTCCTGTTAAGGCTATAATAGTAATAAATAACAGAAAAAATAAGAAAACTAACTAGAAGATTAATCTTTATATAAATTAATATAAAATTTATTGCTAGGGCAGTACAGAACCTTATAGTTAATTTTTTTTAATATAAAAAATAAATATAAGAATTTAAAAAAAAAAGTTTAATTTTATTAAGTCTATTTGTATTATTTATATTTATAAAGGATTATTAAATAACTTTAGGCACTTGTAAAATGCCTAGTTATTTTAATTTTTATATAATAAATTAATCTCCTACTAAATATTAAAATTATAATAATTACAGATAAGCTACAGAAATAATTTTAAATATAAAATAATTTTTAGGGTAAAATAAAATAATTCTACTTTATATAAAAATACTAAGGCGGAAGCACGGGATATTATACTAAATATCTAAGAATACTTACTTTATTAGGAGGGATATATTTATTACTAGTGCTTATTTTAGCGTAGAATACAGAATAACTGGACTGCTGGAGGTCTGTAGGGTTACTAAGATATTTAGGAACTAATTCCTGTAATAATATTATATATGGGAAACCCCTTATTTAAAAAGATCACCTGCTTAATCCCTAAAAGATTAAGTAATTAATTCTATTTATTATATACCTGTCCCTTAACTCCTTATATCTCTTAGCGCGTAGCAGGCGGTCTGCAGGCGTATTATAGGCGTCCCGAACTCCTTGGTACATCTATCTAAGGGAACCAAGTGCCCGGAACAGAACCTTCGTGGCTGCCCCTTACAAAAATCTACTATATTAAGGTCTTTTTTCTTCTGCCCCTTTGTCAATCTCGTGGATAATTATATAAGGAAAACAGAGGATCTTATAAATCTTTTTTTAGCTAGAGAACTAGATTATAAGAGGAAAGAACTAGAGACTGTGCCTTAGAATAAAACCAGAGGAATAATTATATTATAGATTACCATAATATAATTATTATTATTATATTCCGGGGTTTCCATAATTAAATCTATAGAAATAGGATTAATCTCAGGGGCCGAATTAATTGTTTACTAAAAAAGATTAGGTGTAAAAGTTTAAGAGACTATGATTGCTCTGCCCCGAATAAATAATATATCCGGAATTATTTTAGGGTCTATCTGAATAGAAATTCCTAAATATCTGATTATTATATCTCCTTTAGATTTAAGCAGTTTATCAGAATTTATTCAGGATACTGCTGGGGCATTATTATTATAGTCTGAGTTATATAAATTATTCTTACTAAAGATAATATTTTCTAACTTATAGATTTTATTATTTATAGGATACTAAATTATGTAGATATAGCTATAATTATTTTTATATCTAACCAGATAGCTAACCCTGGCTTTAAGTGCTATTTTTTTTAACCGGATGTGATCTTTAGTAGGAATATAAATATATATCTTATAGCTAAAAATCTTTAAATAATTAAAGAAAGGATTTTAATTAAAAATCTTATAAAATTCGTGCTATTTCTAAATAAGACTTTTTAAATTCTTATAAGAAATAAAATAATTAATAATACAGCAAGCTATCTTTACCACAAAAGACTAGAGTTAGGTAAGAAGACTAGAATTAATTATTATTATACGGGCGGTTTAATTAATATAACTATTTATTTATTTATTTTATTTATTTAGTTCAGGGGTCCGGGGAGGTATAATATTAATTTAAATATTTTTATTTTTAGTTTATTTCTGAAATCTATAAAACTCCCTGCCACTATTAATCTACTATTATTAAATATAATAGTAAACCTGAACCTGATAGGCTTTATTAAAAAGAATTATTTTTGTAAATATAGCTACTTTTATATATAGTATACGGACTTCTATATAATTTGTTAAGGTATTAATTATAACCAGATAGTATTTAAAACTATTATATCTAGTTAGTTTAATTATTTAGATATCTGCATGCTAAAGTTCAGATAAGCTTCTTAAATTATTAGATCAGAAAATATAAGAAATAATCTTTTTAGCTTTTATTTTTTTATAAATTTTATATATTCTTTTTAATCCTTTAACAGTAGTCTCTGGGTCTAATATAATAGTTAATTTAAGTTTTAAATCCCTAGTATAACCCAGGCAGTAATAAAATATTATTATATTTATTACTGCACCCGAATAACTAAGGATTTGGTAATATAGAAGGTTAATTATAAAAAAAAAAAAGTTTTTTTTTATATAAAAAAATCTAAGGACTTTATCTGTATTCTAATAGTGAAGTGTCTAATTTTACTGATTTTATTATATTTTTATTAATTTTTTTATATATTTTATTATAAAAAGACTAAAATCAAGGCCAGGGATGTAAAACGCGGGAATCTTATATATAATATAGGTCTTATTATACTGATTAAATTAGATAGTTATTAAACTATATTCCTTAGTTACCATATTCTGCCTCTTAGATATTTAAAATCTATAAAAAGAATTATCTGGATTATATTTTATGTAGGTTATAAAGCTGGATAGATTAGGAGTTATATGATTCGCGGAACTATTATTAATAATCTAATTTTTTTTATTAACCAGGATAGACAAGACTACCTGTCTAGAGAAATTAAATATATCTTTAGTTTGCTAAAAGGTAATTATCTGTGGATTATTAGATTTTAGGGCTTTTTTCGGACAAGTTCTATTTTTTTATTTAGATACTTATATATTTTTTATAAGTAATTATTTGTTAGGGCGAATATAAAATATAAAATAAAAATAATTTATTATTTTATGGCTATAGATCTTATAATAAATATATATTTTATTAATTATTTTCTTATTTTTAGGAAGATTCCGCTATTTCTTAGCAAAAATATAATTATATATACTATTTTTTGGCTTCCTGGGAGGGTAGGTAAATAAAAAAAATACAGTTTTAATAGAAAAAGTATTTATAGGGGAATTTTTTTTCTTTTTATTTTTTACTGCAGGTGCTATAAAGAAAAAATTAAAAATCTAGTTTATTAAAAGGATTGCTTTATCCGCGATCTTCTTAAAATAAGATTATTCTATTATAGTGGCTATATTATCCTTTAGTGAATAGTGGGTCAGGTTATAGAAAATAAGTAATTTATTTTGAATATTATTAAGTAATATAAGGGTCGCTATCTAGGGGATAATCAGATAATAAATAATTAAATAAACTTTAACTGTTTACTGGAAACCTTTGATATAGGTAATAAGTAAATTAAACTTATTTTTATTATAATAAATAATATTAAAAAGAAGTGATTTAAACTTTTTACTGCTAGAACTAATATAGAGATAATATAATTTATTTTATAATTTATTAGTATACTTAGAGGTGCCAGATAATATTTTAATCTGATTAAGTATATTATCTGATAATTATTACTTAATCTAATAAACTGTCTATTTTAAATACTTAAACCAGATTTTAAAATCCTCTGTATTATTAATTAAAGAACAAAAAATTAAATTATTAAGTAGCTAGAAGTAATAGAATAGTTTTAAGATAATTTATACTCTGTTATACTATATATTATAATTCTTATAATCTTTAAGCTTTCGCTCTAATCCTTTAATTATAAGAGGGTTCAAAAGATCAAGTTTAAATATACCCTGCAGTCTATAATAGATTTAATCCTTAGGAGGGACTATTACAGAGATAATAATCTGGTTAAATAAAGAACTTATCTTGAGATGCCTAGGAAGGAACAAGATGATATATAGCTAGGGGTTACTAAAATAATAAGAGATTAAAAAGAATAGAGGTAATTAAACAGTTTTAAAAGAGCAGAGGGCTTAAAATCTATTAGGAATGAACTTTAAAGAGAATGATAATAGAATTTTTTTGTGATCTCTTTACTTACATGAGGTAGACTATGGCTTATATAGCTATGGTCACATGACCTGCATCGCGGAATGAGCCATGCAACTCCCGGAACCTACCGCCAACGTAGTGGGAGGTTCCAACATAAAATGTGCTTTTGATGAATTTAAGAAGAGTTTTAGTCCCATTCAACCCACGCCGCGAAATGATCACCTCGCACTGAGCTGCCAACAGGTCACGCTGTGCTTGCTCTGCCAGACCAAGTGAGGATCTCGTCAGGGAACCGAAGCTCTGATGAAATGTAGTTGATGAGGGATGAATCCAGGATTGAAAAGAAGTTGGATGGAGGGAGGTGGATGAAACAAGGTAGTTGAAGGAGGAAGAAGAGATGAAGAGGGGAGAACCATACATAACTTCTTATAATTGAATGTCAATAGTGAATGAGAGATACCTATTGCGGGAGAGGCCCTGGTCGATGCCAGTGAATTCAATCCGGCAAACAGAGTAAATCCAGATGGCACGCCCCAGTGTGGAATTGCTTTATGTTTGGTAATCACCCAATGCTTGGGTTGTAGTATATCTTCATCATCTTGAGTTTCGAGAGGCTGATTGACAACCACTACCTTCCATGCCAGTGGTCTGTGAAAGTTAAACATCAATCCTTTGCAATCCGGCACCTGGATAGATAGAATATACATATTTGCGATTCAAGAACGAAGACTAAATGTTCATATCCCAGAACATAAGAAGCTGCGTAGGTACTCGGAAGTATTGGCTTATATGCATTCGGATATATTTGCCTAAATCAATCCCATTTAGCCTGATAGCAGCAACATGCATACACTTACATATCGGTCTAGCTGGATCGGTTTAGCTCACTCTACACTGACAGCAAAAGCCCAATTCCCAATTCCCAATTCATGCATCCCCCAAACCTCCATCTTCATGTAGCCCATCTTCCAAAATGGACTCTGTCCCGGAGCCCAACCCCGTCCCTCCTCTCAGCATCTCGGATCGGATCCAAATCGCAACAACCTACATCATCCGCGTGCCATGGACTGTCATCACCACTCTCCTCCGCCGCTGGAATCCCTTGTCCACGTACCAGCCACCCCCGCTTCGAGAGCATCTCTTTCGCCATGTAATGACCTGGTCCGTCCTCCCCCTCTCCTACCCCTACTACCCCTTCCTCTTTCATCCACGATCAATGACAGATTAACGAACCCAGCCTCGGAAACAACCTCCCCATGTCCGAAACCAACCGATCCATCAACCGCGGCGGCACAGACATCTTAACCTCCCCTCGCTACTCCCACCTCCAGAACCAAATTTACCATCCAGTCCGCACCCCATCCTTCTCAGGCTTCTGGATCTGCCGCGGCCTCACCAAGGAACCGCTTGACCCGCGCGACGCAGACGTCTTCCTCTTCCATTGCCATGGCGGCGGATATGTAGCGGGGCATCCGGCCGCTGGAGCCGTGGCGCATCTATATCTCGCTGAGAAGCTGCAGGAGAAAGGACTGAGTTGTGCGGTGTTTAGTTTGGATTATATGCTTGCGCCGAAGGGAAGGTTTCCCGTGCAGGTGGACGAGGCGGTGGCGGCGTATGAGTGGATCCGAAGAACGCTGGGAGTGAAGAGGGAGAGGATCGTGGTGATTGGGGATTCGGCTGGAGGACATTTGGTGTTGGCGCTTTTGACGAGGTTATACTTGAGGAAGGGGCAGTGGGAAGAGCAAGGAGAGGATGTGAGGCCCGGCGCGGCGGTGCTGTTGAGTCCGTGGGTGAATCTGCATTCGTCGCATCCTCGCGTCCTGGCGCTGCATTGGGAGGAGAGGTTGTTTAAGATAGGGCTCGATAAGTACTGCGAGTTGGTGATGAGAGGTGCGTCGAAGGACGTGGATGAGCTGTATGGGAACTTTGCGGTGGCCGGGGAGAGGCGAGGATCTTGGAAGGAGATTCTCCCGCGAAAGACGTGGGTGTCTGCCGGGGAGGAGGAGTTGGTGTTTCGGTATGATATTGAGGACTTGGTGGAGAGGGCGAGAGAGGATGGAGCGGATGTTGGGCTGGAGGTGGAAGACGGAATGAATCATGCGTGGCAGAGCGCGGAGGCGTTTGGGCAGCAGAGTCGGTTTTTGGAGTTGGCAATGGGCGAGGATGGTGGGTTGATGGTTGGATATAGACGTATTGCTGAGGTGATATTGGAGATGAGAGCAATTGAACAGTAGGATTCGTGGATTTTGTCAGGGCGACGAATCAACTGGACGAGTGACAGGATCCGCTGAAGGAATTTTCCGAGCCTCTGCCTCTCTCTCCATGGGCCCCTATTGTGATCAGTTTCCTTGGCTCGCAAATCGACACATTCAACGCAGAAGAACGTACATTCGCAGATACCTCTTCCACCTCCGGAGCCTCATGATCCTCAACCCTTGACATCGTAGCTTGTCGTTCCCTCTTCTGCCTACGCAGACATACGATCGGATAGACCAGCAAAACCACACCCACAAACATACAAGCGGCCGCGAAAACCTGCAACGGCCACCACCGCGCACCCTTTACCAGGGCACCTCCAATCGGGGGCCCGACCAGAATCCCGAACGCCGCGCACCCCCAGAACATACCGGACCGAGTGCCCAAGACATCCAGGGACGGACACAGGAGGGGAACAATAGCGCCTGGAAGAGAGACGATGACGCTTGTCGTGAGACCCCAGAAGGCCGACCACACGATGACCCCGGCTCCTGAGGATACGGCCATCCAGCAGAGCAGCATGCAAATGCAGCTGGCTAGTCCAAAGGTAAATGTCTCCATGGCTCCAGCTTTCATCGCAGCGAATCCTGCGGCGAAGCGGCCGAAGATCGAGGCCGCGTTGAGAATGGGGACAAGGTAAAAGGCGAGTTCAGGGTTGCTAAATCCCGCTGTGCCGGACTGCGCGAAGACAGGCAGATAGATGAGAGGGAGGTAGTACGCGATACCGGCGAAGAAGAAAGAAATAGTCGAAAGCAGGAACGGCGGGTCGGTTAGGGCTGACGGATCGATGACTCGGCGCACGTTGGCGCTGGGGACGGGCTTATAGCGCAGGATGCCCCCGGCGAGAATATAAGTGGCGAGAATCACGAATGCAACGCACCGGATGGCCCATGGGAAGCCGATTCTAAGCTGTATCTGACGCAGCATAATGGGATAGATGACGCCACCAACGCCAGCCCCGGAAGCTATGAGACCCATGAATTTGGCGCGTCGAAACTCTTCCAGACAGCCTGCTGCGGCGGAAACGCTGGGAACGAAGAGCAGGGCGCCGCCGAGACCGATGCAGATGCCCTGGGACAGGAACACCTGGTAGTACTCGGTCGAGAGACTGATCATCATGAGGCCGAAGACCTCGAGCAGCCCACCCAGAACGACCAACGGTCTGAGATAGCCATGGTCGTAGAGCGGACCGGTGATCAAACCGCCGAGAAGGAGGATGAAGGCGCATATGGTTGATACCCATGAGATCTCGGATCTGGACTTTCCGGACAGGCCTATGTGTTCCCAGTGAGCCTGGAAGGTGCCAAATGAAAGGAGTATCCCCCTGGTCAGTTAGCCCTGCTCTGTGTCCTTTTCAATAAGACTCACCAGGTATTCAGAAAAACAACAAAGGCAGACAGGACTTGTGCCCATTGCTGCGTGGTGACTGGCTTTCTCTCCATGGCCCGACGTGATGCCCCCGATTCCTGGGATTAAACCTGCCAAGGCGGGCTAACAGGCGGGGATGGTGTTAGTGAGTAGACTAACAAAGAACAAAGAAATCTGGCTTGCGAACAACAAGAAAAACTGGAGAAAGGAAAAAGAAAAGAGAAAAGGGAGGGGTGGCCCCCCGTAAGCCACGCAAGGGGGAGGCCGAGGTATGTGAGACACGACGCTGAGGCTGCATTCCGTGGATTACCTGCCATTTCATGTCCAACCCCTTCTTTCTTGATTCTCATATATCAATCAGCTTCATAGTCTGCTATTTGCTACACTTTAAGCCATTTTTGCAACACGACTCGCATACACAGCATGGCAGCTTCACCGCCAACGAGTCTGTCCCAAGCCCTGGACTTTCATCCATCCAGCGGCCCTTCGACGACCCTGCAGCCCCCTTCAGACATCGGGATCGGATCTGGTATCTCATAGACATCTTGCCTTACTCTTCACCTTTATGCTACAGGACTGACTGATCGGCTGTTAGTCACTGTTGGGGGCTACATCGCCTGTGCCATGGCCAAATATGCTCTCCATTATGCCCGTCATCATCCCAAGATGAAGCATCAGGTTGATCTCCGCTCAGCCGTCGTACAGTTCTATCGCCCCGTGTTCCCCACCAAGTCGATGACGATGACTCTGCGAGAGGTTAGTGTCGGCAAGGGATGGTCCACTCTGCGTGTCGAATCATTCCAGGGTGACAAGCTTACTACTTCGGGGGATTTGGTGTAAGTCCAACTCCGATCTGTTAAAAGCCAACCAATGAGTAGGAATGACAATAATAAATCGGTTGGGTGGGTCAGGATCACCAATTTCTCAATCGGCGGCATCAATCTTCCCACCGGCTGGCGTCTCACGCCTGAACCCACTCCCGTCGATCTCACGAAGCTTGCGACAGACACCCACCCCGATTGGGCCTCCTATCACTGCGCCTTCTACCCAGACGGGTTCCGACGAGGCCACTCGTACGTCAAGAACTTCATCCCACGGATCCCGCGCCGTGAAATCACCTTCGTCGAGCAATGGGTTGAACCAGGCTGGGACTGTCACCCGCAAGGCTCTCTAGCACTGAACGAATCCGGAACCGACACCAGGGCCCGTTTCACAACCGACATGATTCAATTCGTAATGGACATGGCGCTTCCGATCCAGGAGAACTGGTTCCCGCATGAAGACGGTAAACCACCTACGGGAAGCATCGCGGGCACGTTGCAGTTTGCCGCTCAGCAGCAGAAGGCCCGCGAGGAGGGTCGAGAAGATTGGAGACCGCTGAGCGATGACGGGTCGAAGATGCTGCGCGCGAAGATGGTTAATGTGTCCTTGACAATGTCGACGGAGATTAAGCAGCGGTTGCCCGAGGAGGGCGTGCGTTGGCTTTATCTGCGCACTGAGTGCAAGCGGGTTGTTGATGGACGGATGGATCTGGAGGTTTTGATGTTTGACGAGAGGATGGATTTGATTGCGATTGGTCACCAGACGGCGGTTCTTATTCCTCCGGTGTCGAAGATTCAGAAGTTGTAATGATCCTGGTTTGTATGTGAAAGCCACTAGCTCTGAAATTCTCTTAGACAGCCATGGCTTCTTTGAACTAAGATAGTTAGTTGGCTTAAACGAATAAAAACTTGATCTTGAAATTGAAGCGGAAATATCATATAGGTTCATTGCTTTTGGAGCTATTAACTGTAAGTTCTCGTGGGAGTGTGGCGCACTAAATAAAAGTCACCGACTTTCCTTTTTTTTTTTTTTTTTTTCAATTTTCATGGCGTTCTCAATATCATTTAGCAAATTATAAATCCTATCGTGTTAAGATCTTGGACAGAAAAATTGTAAGTCTTGAAGTACTGGTCGTGCGTAAAGACGGAGATATATTATCAAACAGGAGAGTGCGGAGAGTCGAAAGAGGAATTGACGAACATTCTATTGTCAGGCTACATTTAGTGTACTATTTTGATTTGTAGTTTCAGACTTCATAACCACATTTGTTTCATTCTATGTAAAGATAGTACGCAAGTGGAAGCCCGCGGCTTCAGCTCCTGGTTCGCCCTGTTCCAGAACCCGCGACAATACCCACAGCCCTAATGTCCATCCTTACACAAATTCCTATCCTCACCACCCACTCGACTCTCATTCTTCAACTGCCCTTTCACAATCTGCCTCGAGCGCCACTCAATCCACTCATCCACCGTCCTCGTCTCATCCACCTCCCCCGGCTGCAGTGGCGGAACAATCCCGCCCACAAACCTCGCCAACGACGCATCCTGCCTCGGCCTTAACAAATACGCCACACTCCTCCGCTCTAGCATCGCCTGATCCCCGGGCGGTGTTACCACCCTATGAAGACAGCTCCGCAGCAGACCACCCGTCCACTGCTCCAGGGTATCCGCGACGTTGACGATCGCGCACCCCGGCTGCGGACGCACAAATTGCCAGTTCTGGTGGATGTTGGCCGCGCCGGGGGGGAGCACTTGCAGGCCGCCGAGGACATTAAAGAGCAACGTCATTATGCCCATGTCGGTGTGCCCGCCGAAGGAGATCCGGGTGTAGTCGGGCTGGTGGGGGCTTGGTGGGCTCCAGATTAGACGCATGATGGTGCTGGATGGTTCGGTTAAGGGAGTTAGGGCGGATAAGGTGCCAGGGGCAATGCCTAGGGCAGTGTTGAGGCTGGTGAGGACGTGGGAGAGCACAGCGTGGCTGTGGGTTAGGAAGGCGTAGGTTTGGGCTTTTTTGTGGGTTATTGTGTCTGGGTGAGGGAGTTGGGCTGAGGAGGGAGTGGTCTCCAGGATGTCATCTTGGCTGAGGGAGTAGACGTGGATGTGGTCGAATGTTCCTGGGGCGGTCTTGGTGGTTCCGATTGCTTTGTATCTGTTTGCTGATTAGAAGTCGGTCGATATGTAAAGACAGAACTGGTGGAGGATGGGACAGAGCAGGCTGCAGGAGAGAAGTATATACCTCGTGAAATCGGGCGCTTTGTGGTGATACTTGTTCAGCGTTTCTTCATCCAATGTCGACAGGTCGGCCGTGAGACCAAACATCTCTTCTGCGTCTCGCAGCAGTGCAGTTCCTTGATCCGAGCCATCCATGTCGAGCAGAAAGAAACCCCATTCTTTACATGCCGCAAGTAGTCTCTCCCCTTCTACTGGACACTTTTGCTCCAGTGCCGCGAGGGAGACTCTCTTCAAGTCAAGCACGGGTAAGTCAGAGGGAAAAGGGGGACATTGCTCGAAGCACTTGGACGTTGGCATTGCTGGGAGGCACTAGCGGTTTTTTATTATTTCTCTTTTGGAAATAATGCCTGTCTTAATTGAGATGCGCAGATATATATCCTCAAGTGTAGTACCAGTGAAAATGGGTGATATGATACCACACCCGACGATACGGGAGCTTGACTTGAAGTTACACACGTCTATTTGTAGTCTAAGTAGTAAAATCTCCCCCACGACTGAGGTCGTATTCGGACCTCGTATGAATGACTCCCTGGTTAGACAGAGCCCCGAAGCAAGGCGCAACTCGTAGTGGAGTTCGTAGCACGCTACTGGCAGTGAACGTGGTGCTACCACGCTGGTATGCAACAGCATGTAGTAAGATACACCTCTTTAGGTACTCAACAGAAGTCAAATAAAGAAAACTTGAGGTAATCATCCCTAGAATAGGGGTTGAGCCGACGCTGGTGTTACACGCCCCCAAAGCAACGCAAGGGAGAAGAATACAATTATATCACTTTTCGCCACATGCTCCCACCCTACCAGCAACTTAGCCTATCTACCGCGTCCAGCCTTTACTTCAGCCACTATCCCCAATTTTACACGCTACTCTTCCCGCTTTTGATGACGGGATCGACCGTGACCACACATTCTTCCCCAACCGTGGTGGTTGTGTAAGACGTCCGATCCAACGACTTCCCCTGGGCACTGTACTGGTTCGAAAGCTCGTAATAGTTCTGCCTGTCTGCTAGCAGTCCATTTTGGCTCGCTTCCTTGGCTCTTCCTCTCCTGAAGATCGGAACGCAGGCTGGAATGCACGCGGCGATGATGCCGGCGGATTGCTCCAGAATGCAGAACACCGTGAGCCAGGTCATATTGACTTTAGATTACATGGTTAATGATATACGTTGATAGAAGCTTTTGTTGAAAAGAGGTCGGAATAGAACTTACATGACAAGCCTCTACTACTCTGGTGATATTGCCAATAGGAGCGCAAGGCGTTGGAAAGAGTGGCGATCAGACCCAGGCTCATGAGACCGCAAACGAAGAGCTTCCTCCCCAGCTGGATTCTCACATCCCAGAGGATAATCACGGGAGCGGAGGTCAAGCATAAATCGACGACAATGGTCAATGCGGATTGCACGTAGGCAGCGGTATACATGCCACTAACCGGCACACATGTTGTCGGGATATTGTCGCTCCACAGCGGCGTGCATGACACCGACAAAACGATAACAATGGCGACAGTAATTAGGGTCATCGGGACCATCAGGAAGGCCAGCGCCCAGCGCATACGCCGGTCATCTCGAATGCGGAGGATATAACAGCAGATCGAAAACTTGGTGACCAGGGTGCAGACGATACTCGCCATCTCGAAGAACGTGTTGAATCTGATAGATCGCAGTTTCGCAGGTCCCGATTGGCCGGTAGACATTGGATTCGAGCCAATATTGGCAGCGAGCTGGATCAGGATGAGCCCGACGACAGAGCATAACCAAGCAATCACAATCGTATAGTCGTCCCATCCCCAGTTCCGAGCCGTGATGGCCAGTCGCATCCATAACCGCGCTATCACCAAGACCAGGGCAATAGCCGTGAGCACGTAGTACTCGACCAGGATGCCCGTAGTCATCGAATGCTGCGTCGGCGCCGCCATTCTGGGTGGCTTTCAAGGGAGATCTCGAAGAGGGATGGTTGGATGAATACAGAACCACTTCAAGCTTCAAGGGAGCGAACCACGCGCGTTTTGACAGTCATCCACCTCGGGGATAGACCCCATTGCGTCTTGTCTCCTTGCAGCTCAGGCTCGGGGTCGCACTGTCTGGCCCGATGCAAGGGATAGATATGGTTGTACGTACACATTCTCCCGTTCTTCGCCCGGTGGATGGAGTCGCTCCCGCCTCGCGCATTCTTCGCCCTCCTCAGTCGCGTGGATGAGTCTCAGTGTGTGCCCCCCGCCTACCCCCTTTTTCCCTTCCTGGGGCGGCAGATGTGGTCTCACCGCTGATCGGCCTTTGTATCTCTCGCAAGGGACAGGGAATGGGGAAAGGCTGCCCGGCATGCGGCTTTTACGCACTTGCGGGTCTGTTCGGCGGAATCTGTCGCATTTCAACCGTCGAACTCAGACCTTGCGAGGCTTACAGCCCTATCAGAAGAGGGTGCATTTGACCGTTTAATTAAATTGGCATTTCCGGGGTGTGTCGTTTGGTATTCAAGCACTGCCAAAGATTAGTTGAATGTGCCAAGCTGTCTTGGGAGACGCCTCGCAGACATGAGTGATTCCACGGCAATCGCAGTCGTCGGGCTTTCCTTGGGGTTTCCCCAAGATGTGACGACATCAGATGCTCTGTGGGAATTGATGTGGGAAAAAAGGAGCACGGCAACAAAGGTTCCTCAAGAACGACTGAATATAGACTCCATCTATCATCCGGACCGGCATCGACGTGGACAGGTATTCGCATCACCTCGCCCTCCCAACAAAGCTAATACTTTTGTGATTTCTTCCCCTCTAGGTCCCCGTAAGTCATGGCCATTTCATGCATCGCGATCTCGCGGCCTTCGATGCCTCCTTCTTCGCCACTTCCATGCCAGACGCTGCGAGCATGGATCCGCAACAACGCTTACTGCTAGAACACACCTACACAGCACTAGAAAATGGTTAGTCGCCCTGCAGACAGGATCTTCAATCTGAATACAATCGCTGATTGGCTTAGCTGGACTCCCGATGGAGAAAGTGACCGGGACGAAGACCTCGGTATATACCGGAAGCTTTTCCATCGACTGGATGCAGATGCAGTATAAGGATGCGGAGGAGTGCAAAACTACAACTGCACTTGGCGTGCAGGCGTCATGCAATGCTAACAGAGTCAGCTGGTTTTTCAATTTCAAAGGAAACAGCGCGAACATCGACACGGCTTGTTCCAGCAGCTTGGTGTGTTTGGATCTGGGATGCCGGGATCTGCAATCTGGCAGAGAAGACATAGTAAGTTTTTACATGGACGCATATCCCCAGGAAATTGATTAGAAGTCAGTTTTGGGGCTAATGTGAAGCAAACAACGAAAACAGAGCATCGTAGCCGGATCCAACATCATCGTTTCACCAGACAACCTGCATTCACTGAGCAACTTGAACATGCTTTCCCCGGACGGGCAGTGCTATAGCTTTGATCACCGAGCCAATGGATACAGCAGAGGAGAAGGTGTCGCAGTCCTTGTTCTCAAACGCGTGAGCGACGCCATCAGAGACAACGACACAATCCGCGGCATCATTCGCAACACGGGGTGCAATCAAGACGGACGCACCTCAAGTCTCACGGTCCCGAGCTCCGATATGCAGGCGACTCTAATCCGAGATACTTATACAAATGCGAGACTAAGCATGGAACCAACGCGGTACTTCGAAGCCCATGGCACGGGCACTCCCGTCGGAGATCCAACGGAGGCAAAAGCCTTGGGGAAGGCGTTTGGTCAGGTTCGGACTGTTGATGATCCGTTGTGGGTTGGCTCGGTGAAGAGTAATATCGGACATTTAGAAGGTGCCAGTGGTATCGCGGGTGTCGTTAGGGCGATGCTCGTCCTGGAGAAGGGAATAATTCCACCGAATGCGAATTTCGAGAAGGTCAATCCGGATATTGACACTGAGGCTCTCAAGATCCAGGTATTGAGTAAAACGATCCATATCTTGCGTCCAGATGCTAATCATTTACTTCTAAGTTTCCCCTGGAGCATACGCCGTGGCCAACCAAAGGTCTTCGACGAGCGTCGGTCAATTCGTTCGGAAACTCTGGAACAAATGCCGTATGGAATCCTCGATATCCCCTCTAGACCCGCGATGAACTTGAAGCTGACTATACTGGTAGCATGTTATCCTTGATGATGTCTTTCACTTCCTGGCAGAACACCATCTATTTGCCCACCACCTCACGGTGCAAGATCCGCCGACGACACCCGTTCTCGAGCAAACTTCGATCGATGTCTCATGCTCGCTACTGCAATCATCCCACAACCCGGGTTCCAAGGACAGCAGACCACGACTTCTAGTCCTCTCCGCCAACGACGAATCCGGCATTCGCAGACAGGTCAGCGCTTACGCCGATCACTTCACCAAATTCGCCGACAGGCTCGACTTCACCTACCTAGACCACCTTGCCTATACGCTGGCATCGCGCCGAAGCTCATTAGCGTGGAGGACTACCGCAATAGTGAGCTCTGTACAGGACCTGACGCAACTAGGCCGCACGATATCTCCGGCGACACGATCAAAGCCCTACCCTGGCCTCGTCTTCGTTTTTGCAGGCCAAGGCGCGCAGTGGGCCGGAATGGGACGCGATCTCATGACGCTATTCCCAGACTTTAACCAAAGCCTGGAGCGGTCAGAAGACGCACTCTTCGAGCTCGGGTGTTCGTGGAATCTACGCGACGAGATCTTACGAGAGCACGACTCCAAGATTAACGCGCCCGAACTTGCTCAGCCCTGCTGTACTGCGATTCAGATTGCCTTGGTGGATCTCCTTCGCAGCTTCAAGGTGGATGCGAAGGCGGTCATAGGCCATTCGTCGGGCGAAATTGCAGCGGCGTATTGTTCTGGATTCATATCTGCTGAAGCGGCGTTGAAAATCGCATACCATAGGGGTGCCGTCTGTTCGGCTCTGGCGTCGGGTGCGTTGGGGCTGAAAGGGACGATGATGTCTGTCGGTCTATCGGAGGGATATTTTCCGTCGTACCTCGATGAGTTGAAGACTCAGCTTGGGGAGGTCGATCTGGTCGTGGCTTGCGTTAACAGTCCAAGCAATGTGACTGTTTCCGGGGATGTCCGACATATCGACGCCTTGAAGGCCATCTTGGACCGCAGGGAGGTCTTTGCCCAGAAGCTGTCTGTCGGCGTTGCATATCATTCTGCCCACATGCTGCGCGTGGAAGATCAATACCGGGACGCTATAAGGGGGCTCGAGCCTGGAATCTTACCCCTAGCTGAATCAGAATGCATGATGTTCTCGTCAGTTACAGGGAAGCGAGTGCTACCTAGCGAGCTCCTCGATCCGGAGTACTGGGTAAAAAACATGGTGTCGCAGGTTCGCTTTGTGGATGCAATGGCTACGCTTCTAGCCACATCTCATGGGAAAGTCGAACCGAGCCACTCTACGCAATTCTCCCTTGATATGTTCGTGGAAATAAGCCCTCACCGGAACTTACAACGTCCGGTCCTTGACTTATTACAAGAATCCCGGGGTCCTCAAGTCAAATACACTCCTCTCATGATCAAAGGCAACGACTCAGCGGAATCAACCATGCGTGCACTCGGAGAAATGGTATGCCTTGGATATCCAGTGTGTCTGGAACGTGTCAATCTCCTCGAGCAAGGCCCAAAAGCGCACTACATGGCCTTACCAGACCTGCCCAGCTACGTCTTCGATCATTCCCACAAATACTGGAATGAGTCCCGGCTCAGCGCACGGTCGCGTCTAGGTGATACCGGTAAACTTGATCTTCTAGGAAAGCCGGTTGTAGACTGGAACCCGCTCGAGCCTCGGTGGAAGAACCGTCTTCGCGGGTCCGAGATGCCATGGATCGAAGACCATCTGGTCAATGGGGTGATGATCTATCCTGGGGCAGGCATGCTTGTCATGGCGATCGAGGCGGCGAATCAGATCACAAAAGAGACTGATGATGTGATCGGGTTTGAAATCTCAGATGTCCACTTTAAAAAGCCGCTGCATATCTCGGAGGAGCCGGAAGGTGTTGAGACGCAGTTGGTGATCCATTTGGCCCGAGACTCTGTAAAGCCTCTTTACCAGCCGTCTGAGTTCCGTCTGTTTTGTTACAGGAACGATGTCTGGAACGAGTGCTGCCATGGGTTCATACGAGCAAAATATCGGGTTGATGAGAATCCAGTCACGAATGGAGACGCTAATTACAGTGAATTATCAACGCACCGGGAAGCTGCTGCTTCGATTGAAGGATCTTGTCAAACAGCGATTGACCGGATTAAATTCTACTCCGGTCTGAAGCATATAGGAATGGTTGAGGGCCCTGCCTTTTGGCGAGTCAAGGAGGGATCTTTTGACGAGCAATATCGCGTTAGGGCGAAGATTGAACCATTCCGATGGCCTGAAAACAACTTTCCACAGCCTCACGTTATCCACCCAACGACATTGGACAGCATCTTCCATCTAGCACTTATTGGCTATTGTCGCAGCGGTGAAAGGGTTATTCCCACTATGATTCCTTCGTCTCTTCGCCGACTCTTCATCAGCAAGTCTGGGTTAAGCTATCCCGACGCCGACGAAATCCAGGAATATACCTGGCCAGAAACTACAGATCGTCGTGGAGCTTCCTTCAGTGGATTTGCTTTTGGCCAGGCCAATTATAGTCTGCTGGTGCAGTTTAGCGACCTGAGATTGACTACCATTGCAAGTTCTAAGGATGATTCTACCCGCGATACATCAGACGGTCTGCAGCTAGCATATCAAATACAGTATCGACCCGAGCCCGATCTCTTGGACCCTAAATGTCTTCTACGCAATTGTCAACACATATCCGCCGGGGACGTCTCGGTAGCAGAGCGCTATATTGATATGCTCGCCCATAAAAATGGCGACCTTCGCATCCTGGAGCTTAATGCGGGGGATCGAGCGCTGACGAAGAGCCTATTACATACGCTCTCTGTTCATGACACAGCCGGTGAGCTAATCTATCCGAGATATTCGTCTTATACTTTCGCTGCTCATTCAGACGAGATTCTCGAGGAGCGGAAAGGGGACCTTCAGCACTTTTCGTCCGTGAGGTTTGTTCTCTATGGTCTCCCACAAGATTTGACCAACCAAAAACAACAACTTGAAAGGCCTTACGATATTATTGTCGTGCCTCATCTGGCAGAGCAGAACAAAGCCGCACTACTAAACTTGAAAGACCGCTTTTCTCCCACCGCAAAGTTGCTAGTTTACGGTGTCCCAAATGACGACGCCATGCCGGTCTGTGAATACGATCTGCAATCGAAAGGTTCCATGTCAGAAAATATGTCACAGTCTACTGTGCAGGCTAATCACTCCGGATCCGTCAGTTCGAAAACCCATCGGACGGACAAACAAATATTCTTTATCATGGGTGCGACTTCGGCGGTGCAAACCCTGGCTTCTCGTTCTCTGATCACGCATTGGGCAAATCGAGACATTACTAACGTCCGAACTGGGAGCCTAGAAGAGGCCATAACTGTGGAGGACGTTGTTAACATCATCTTCGTGGTTCTCCTGGAGTTGGACCGACCGTTTCTTTACAGCATTGGCCACGAGGCATATAATACCCTCAACGCGTTTTTCCAGAAAGCGACACATGTGCTCTGGCCGACATTTGCCGGTGGAACAGAGGCTGGAAAGCCCGAGTATTATTTGATTCACGGCTTGACTCGCGCTCTTCGCCACGAGTATCCTGCGCTGAATGTAACCGTTGTTGCGCTCGAGGAGACAAGCGATCAGTGTCTTTCTGAGTGGCAATTGGACTCGCTGACCCAGCTGCTTTTTGACAAGCACGCGTACCCGAAGCCTTCTATCATTGATTCAGAGTTCCTCGAATTAAACGGATCTTTGCAAATCCCTCGCATTGTCCCCTCTGCAACAGTCACGCACGAGCTCACAAAAAGATGGACACCCAGCCACTCCGGCATCAAAATGATCAAAGAATGTCCACCACTAGTGCTCACCCTCAGCTCCGTCGGCATCCTCGACTCCCTCTGCTTCTCGGAAGACGCCAACCCCCATACACCCCTCGCCGCGGACGAGGTCGAAGTCCAAACGCACACGATCGGCATGAACTTCCGCGATCTCCTCGTCGCGATGGGCCAGATCCCCGACGCGCCGATGGGCCAGGAGTGTGCGGGGGTTGTTCTGCGCGCCGGCGCAAATACATCCTACCAGTCAGGCGATCGGGTGATTATCGCAGCCCCTTCGACGTTTAAAACGATCGCCCGCGGAAAGATGGTCGTGGGTATACCAGACGACATGTCCTTCGCCACTGCGGCCGCCATCCCAGCTCAATTCGGCACAGCCTGGGAAGCCATTCATTATCTGGCGCGCCTGGAGGAGGGCGAAACCATCCTCATCCACGCTGCGGCCGGCGGCACCGGACAGGCAGCGGTCCAAATCGCGCAGCTTGTCGGCGCAACAATCCTGGCCACAGTGGGATCTGTCGCCAAGAAAGCCCTCCTGATGGATCGATACGGGATCCCCGAAGACCAGATCTTCTACAGCCGCGACACAAGCTTCGTTTCTGGTGTCAAGCGTGCGACGGCCGGACGCGGCGTCGATGTAGTTCTGAATTCTCTAGCTGGGGACGGCCTCCTCGCTTCTTTGGACTGCATTGCGCCCGGGGGGCGATTCATCGAGATCGGACGGAAGGATATTGACTCGAATTCGAACCTCCCTATGTCTGCGTTGAGCAAGAATGTCTCGTTCATTGTCTTCGACGGGTCTGTTTTCTTGCGTCGGTATCCGGCTCGGTGTCGGAGCAATCTGCAACGCTTGGTTGATATGTTCAGTTGGGGGGAGCTGAGGCCCGTGGAGCCGTTCCATGTGTATGATGTTGGGGATGTCGAGACGGTGTTTCGAAAGGTGCAGATGGGCGAGAGTATGGGCAAGTTTGTTTTTGAAGTGACTCCTGAATCGAGGGTGCAGGTAAGAGGCTACACTCATTCCCCTACTGTTAGTTGAACATGACCGAGAGTAACTTCTGTATCCCAGGTCACGCTCAATACACGACCAAGCTTCTACATGGACCCCAATGCAACATTCGTCCTCGCGGGCGGGCTCGGGGGCATCGGACGGGCGACAGCGCGATGGATGGCTGCACGCGGCGCAAAGAACCTCATCTTACTCTCTCGATCCGGGCCTCGGACCGACGTCGCCCATGAATTGATCAACGAGCTACAAACCGCAGGGGTCCGAGTAGAAGCACCAGCCTGCGACATCACGAACCTCGAAGCCATGAAAGCCGTCTTTGACCGGCTCTCGTCCTCAATGCCTCCTATCAAGGGCGTAATCCAGATGTCCATTATCCCCAAAGTAAGTCGCCTCAACCCTCCCTCTCCCTTCACCCATCCAAACCACTAAATCCATGCCCAGGACCGCCTCTTCTCCGAAATGCCCTACCCCGACTTCAAACCCTCTGTTGACTGCAAATCCCTCGGCTCCTGGAACCTCCACACTCTCCTCCCAGCCGGCATGGACTTCTTCATCCTCCTGTCCTCCGCGTCCGGCCTCGCCGGCATAAAAGGCCAAACGAACTACGACGCTGGTAACACCTACGAAGACGCACTCGCGCGGTACCGCGTCTACCACGGCGAAAAAGCCACCGCGCTCGACCTCGGCGCGATGGTCGACGACGGGATCTTAGCAGAACATCCGAGCTTGCTGCGGAGGGTTCTTGCCTACGGTACGCTTGAGCCAATTACGCGGGCTAAGTTCTATGGGATCTTGGATTATTGTTGTGATCCGGACAGGGGGTTAGGAACGCCCCGAGAGGCGCAGATTGCGTTGGGACTAGGGGCGGGTGGGGGTGATGGGCTCGAGAGTATTGATTATCAGAGGCAGCCGATGTTGCAGCAGCTTAGGATTGCGGGGGATTGGAGGCGTGGGGATGGGGATGGTAAGGGGGGGAAGCAGATTGTTGTGAGTAATAGGGAACGGCTGGCGGTGGCAGAGGGTTTGGAGGATGCGAAGGAGGTTGTTGTTGAGGCGATTGTGAAGAAGTTGGCGAAGTCGTTGATCTCGATGCAGGATGGTTCGTCGGTTGAGAGGGACAGACCGCTGTCGGTACTGGGGGTGGATTCTCTTCTGGCGATTGAGCTGCGGAATTGGATTGTGAAGGAGTTCAGGGTCGATCTGGCCGTTTTTGAGACTCAGGGGTCGTCGACGCTGGAGACGTTGAGTCTGTTGGTGGCGCGGCGCAGTATTGAGGAAGAAGAGAGGTAGCAGACAGTAACTTGAGTCTTAGCAGAGACAATAACTATATGCATTCAAGGAACAAATATATATGGCAATTACTATAGGTTAAGGGACGATCAACAAAGCACTTACTATGCTATTATAACGCCTGCTAGTGCTGGACATGGATATATATTTTCTCTACGAACAGGTAATATCCTATTGCACAATCAAACATTAGCAACAACCTGGTATTCCTGTAACGTGTATATGTTTATTGAGAGTCTACAACCTAGTATCAAGGGCCCACGTCCAACAGTGTATAGCTAATAACCCAACCCATCGCCGCTATAAACAATCACAACTTCGGCTTATAATCCTTAAACGCCTCATAAACACCCGTCACATACTTGACCGTATTCGAATTCCCCAGTGTGCCCATCTCCATCTTATTCATGGTATACGTGATCGTCATCTTCCGATCCAGATCCATAAGCCCAAACGACCCTCCATAGCCACCCCAATAACAAAGCCTCCCCTCCGGAATCCACCTCAGTGACTCCTCCATATCCCCCACCGGCAGCCCAAAGCCCATCCCCAGGCGCAGAAACAACCCAAGCACCAAATCCCTGCCCCTCGTCTGTTCCTCGAAGATCAAATCGACCGTCTCGGGCGCCAGGAACCTCCTCCCCCCCACACTCCCATTCAACGCCACGATCGACAACAGCCGATTCACGGCCCTCGCGTTCGTGAACCCCGTCATCGCCCCGATCCCTAGACGCCTAAACTCCGCCGTATTCGACTGCTCCGCCGGCAGCGGGTTTCCGCGGAAAGCACGCATCGCTACACTGTCGCCTTCCAGAGACATCGGGATCCGCGGAGGCGGCTCCATCGTCGCAATACGCGACCAGTGCTCCTCCGCCACAGGGAGATGGAAGTCCGCGTCTCGAGGACCCGCCAGTTCATGCTCGATGAACTCGCCCAGCGTCTTGCCCGTAACCCGCCGCACCAGCTCCCCGACCAGATACCCCTGACTAACCAGGTGGTAGCCCGAGGCAGTCCCAGGCTCCCACCAGGGGCGCTGAGCGACCAGTTTCTCCAGCGCCGTGGGGACATCGTACAGCTCAGCTAGCTTGAGAGGCGGATCCCATGACGGTAGACCCGCGCTGTGGCTGAGAAGGTGACGCACTTGGATGCCTTCTTTGCCGTGGGCGGCGAACTCGGGCCAGTACTGCGCGACCGGGGCGGAGGGGTCCAGGACCTCGCGGTCGATGAGCACGAGGACGGCCAGCGCCATTACCGTCTTCGTGATGGACCACACGGGCACGATGGTGTCTTCTTTCCAGGGCGTGGTGCGTTCGCGGTCGGTGTGGCCGCCCCAGATGTCGATGGCCGTGTGGCCGCCGATGTTGACGCAGATGGAGGCGCCGATTTCATCGTGGTTGGCGATTTGTTGCGCGAGGAGGTCGCGTACCGCGGTGAATGCTGGGTCGCAGGTTCCGTGTACACTGGCCATGGTGGTTTAGGGGGGAGATGGAGGAGAGGTGGGAGAGATGTAAGAGGCATATCCGAGAAGCCGAGGTGATCTGCGTTGTTAGAGGCGACGTGGCATGAGACATCCTCGACGTCCTCGGGATTCTGGGCTGACATGATACACTACGAGGGAATATTGTTTCTGCCTGGATGGCACTAGGTGTAAGGAACAGCTCTTGTTCATATTCTGCAGGACTGATGAGGTTCAGAGGGCCAGATGTCATGACGTCATGCATCGTGATCGGAGCGTCGATGCCGAACAGTCCATCTTGGATGGCCTGAACAAGCTTTGCCAGACCCAGATTATGCCACCGTTATACGAGCAAGTCCAGGGATAACCCATCCCATCGGAGGGAGACTGTCAGCCCCATCCGACACACTGATGTAACCATGGAACCAGGCTGCATGATGCCATCACTCTCATCCGACGCATCCTATTCATCAATAAAACCTGCCCTCGTTCCTGTCCCCAGGGACTGCCCATTCACGTCGTTTTCAACACGAAATGACCTCCCCGGGCGATTCTGACAGTTCGCTAGCCACCCTGCCGACCGAGGAGCCGCGCAGGGACAGCAACTATGCCGCCATCCGGTCTCCTACGCTCAGTCGGCGGCCGACGAACGTGGAGCTCTCGCGCATGGAGTCGCTAAAGTCGACGCATAAATCGACGGTCGGATCGGCGACGGGGCCGGATCCGCGCGAGAAATGGCTCCCTTTTGGTGGAGGGAAGGATTATCCTCCGACGCTGCCTGATCCGGAGAAATACGTCGTGGAATTCAGCGAGCAGGATGACCCCATGCATCCGCATAATTGGCCGCTACGGACTAAGTAACATCCCCCTCGGGAGCTTCAGAAGAAGAGGGTTGGATGCTAACAGCAACAGAGTCATGCTCTCCTGCATCCTCGCCTACGTCACCTTCGTCTCGTCCTTCGCCAGCGCCATCTTCTCCTCTACGGTCGGATCCACCAGCGTCCAGTTCGGCGTGAGCACCGAAGTCTCGACGCTCGGCGTAACGCTATACGTGCTCGGGTTCGCGACGGGCCCGACCTTCTGGGCCCCTGCGTCAGAGCTCTACGGACGCCGATGGCCCATCACGGCCGGGATCGTCGGGTACAGCATCTTCACGATCGGGACGGCCACGGCGAAGGACCTGCAGACGATTATGCTGACGCGGTTCTTCGCGGGAGTCTTCGCCGCGGCACCGCTGGCTATCGTGCCGGCTGCGTTCGCAGATATCTACAACAATCGGTCGCGCGGCGTGGCGATCGCCATGTTCGCGATGGCCGTGTTCGTGGGCCCGTTCGCGTCGCCGTTCACGGGCGGGTTCATCACGATGAGCTACCTGGGCTGGCGCTGGACGATGTACATCTCGAGTATCATGGGGTTCTTGGGGGTTGTCCTGCTGCTGCTGTTCTTTAGGGAGACATATCCGCCGGTGGTGTTGCAGGAGAAAGCGGCGATATTGCGCCGACAGACGCGCAATTGGGGCATCCATGCAAAGCAGGACGAGGTGGAGATTGACTTCAAGAAGCTGGTGACGGTGAACTTCAGTCGGCCGTTTCGGATGCTGTTTACGGAGCCGATTGTGTTCCTGGTCACTTTGTACATGTGTGTTCTGGCTCTATACTGCGAGGGTTGATAACTGACAGGGCAACCAGGTCGTTTATTTACGGTCTCATGTACGCGCTGCTCGCTGCGTATCCCGTCGTGTTTCAGGGCGTCCACGGCATGAATCTGGGCGTCGGCAGCTTGCCCTTCATTGCGCTGATCATCGGCGAGTTCCTCGGCGGCGCCTTCACGCTGTTGGGGCAGGGGTCGTATAATAAGAAACTGGCGGCCAACAACGATATGCCGGTGTCTGAATGGCGACTTCCGCCGGCCATCGTGGGCGGGATCGCCTTTACCGTGGGCCTCTTTTGGTCGGATTCTCCCTATCTGTGGTCTTGTGAGATGAAACTAACAGCATTCCAGGTTCGGCTGGACCGGCTTCACCAGCGACATTCACTGGATGGCGCCCACCGCGTCGGGCGTAATGGTGGGATTCGGCATCTATGTGATCTTCCTGCAATGTTTCAACTATCTGATCGACTCGTATCTGCAATTGTAAGTGCTCAAACCGACCAAAAAAAACTTAAATGAAACTAACTGATAGGACAGTGCCGCCTCGGTGTTCGCCGCCAACACGATCCTCCGGTCCGCCGTCGGGGCATGTTTCCCGCTCTTCTCGCGACAAATGTTCACGAATTTGGGGGTGCAGTGGGCAGGCACGCTGCTGGGGTGTTTGGCGGCGATTATGATTCCCATCCCACTGGGGTTTATGGTGTGGGGGCCCGCGTTACGGCGGAGGAGCAAGTTCGCGCCGACGGCGGCGGTGTTCGAGGAGAAGTCGGGGTAGATGCAAGGGATGAGAGAACTCTTACGATGTACTCCGTAGCAGATCGAGGCTAGCTAGGATCTGGAATGCAAGTGCACACACAGGGATTCTCCGTAAGAGTGGCAGAGAGTAATCTAGGGTAATCTAGGCCGCGACAACAAGAAATGAAGGATGACCCCGTCGCGTGCCAAGCCAAGCCCTAACTGGAAACGAGGATAGCGTTGCCTTTGGACCAGCCTATCTCGAGATGCACTCCAGTCAGCACCATCAGAGAGATAAATCCCCGAGATATGAGATTCTTTGCAGATAAGCAGAGCAACCGGAGCGATACGCACCGTGTCAGCCAATTTGCAGCTCCGAACCGGCGAGATCCGCTCTCGCCCACGGCCATTCGCATGAATCATCCCCCGTTGTCATCGGTTGCCACAATTGGCGCAACCGTGACGAGAGCTCGGCTTCGACCCACGGGCTGATCGGCAAACGAGACCGTCAATTCCGGAGGATTTTTTCCTTTGGATTCGGTCTGGTTGGTGCAGGGTCTCTGCCAAGATGCCCGTCAGAGGGGCCACTGATAAGGAAGGAAATGGAAATTTTCGCTGCGGTCGCGTGGGCGAAAAAAAAAAAATAAAATAAAAAGCTCGGCTTGGAGGCGTCTCTCTTTCTTGTTTCTCTTTTTCTCTTTTGTGTTGAGTCTTTGTTTGTCTCTCTTCCCTTTCAGGGCTTGATTGCCTCAATCCCATTGTGGTTCCTCTTCCACTGCTCTTCTTAGACTACGTGCTTATCATGGGCTTCTCGGACTGGGTGCATCGCACCAATTACGCGGTGGCAAGGTCCCCCGTGGGACGATGGTTTCGTCTGGAGAATTCGGGTCATGTAAGGGAGCTGCGATGCTTCACATCATTCTGAACTGCAAACCCTCCTGGTGTCGTTCTGCACCAGGAAGGGCATGGCTGACTGAACCACGCAATGCACAGCCCAACGAGCGCAAAGGCAGCTTCTTCTTCACCGAGATCCGCGCCGGCCTGGCCACCTTCTTCGCCATGGCCTACATCATCAGCGTCAACGCCACCATCACCTCCGACACGGGCGGCACCTGCGTCTGTCCCCCCGAGAGTCAAGCCGACAACTGCGACACGAACACCGACTACCTGCTCTGCGTGCAGGAAGTCAACCGCGACATCGTCACCGCCACCGCCGCCATCGCCGCCCTGGGAACGTTCTTTATGGGGTTCCTGGCTAATCTGCCCGTTGCCCTGGCGCCCGGGATGGGTCTGAACGCCTACTTCGCCTACACCGTGGTGGGGCATCATGGATCCGGCATGATCCCCTATCGCGTGGCCGTCACCGCCGTCTTTGTGGAGGGGTTCGTCTTCTTAGCTCTCACACTGCTGGGGATTCGTCAGTGGCTGGCCCGCGCCCTACCGGCGTCCATCAAATTGGCCACCGGCACGGGTATTGGGTTATACCTCACGTTGATCGGATTGAGCTACAGTGCGGGAATCGGGTTGATCACCGGCGCCACCGATTCGCCCGTCGAGTTGGCCGGATGCTCGCAGAGTCTGCTGAACGACGCGGGCATGTGTGAGGCCAGCGATAAAATGCGCAGTCCCACCATGTGGATTGGCATCTTCTGCGGCGGTGTCTTGACGGCCCTGTTGATGATTTATCGCGTCAAGGGTGCCGTCATCATGGGCATTTTGCTCGTCTCGATCATCTCCTGGCCCCGTCCTACCTCCGTCACTTATTTCCCTCACACGGACATCGGAGACAGCAAGTTTGATTTCTTCAAGAAGGTGGTCACCTTCCATCCCATCACGCATACGCTCGTCGCGCAGGAGTGGAATATCGCGGGACACGGGTCGCAGTTTGGATTGGCGTTTATCACGTTCTTGGTGAGTTTCTTCGGATTGAGAATGTAGATGTTGAACTGGGCTAATGTGGTATTAGTATGTCGATATTCTGGACACCACGGGTACGCTGTACTCGATGGCTCGGTTCGCCGGAGCCATTGACGAGCGCACGCAAGATTTCGAGGGCAGTGCCATGGCCTACGTATGTTCTCTCCCTCCCACTTTACCGATCTGTCCTGACAATCCCAGATGGTCGACGCGATCTGCGTCTCGATCGGCTCCCTCTTCGGCACTCCCCCCGTCACGGCCTTCGTCGAGAGCGGCGCCGGCATCTCCGAAGGCGGACGCACGGGTCTCACCTCGTGCGTGACGGGCCTCTGCTTCTTCATCGCCGTCTTCTTCGCGCCCATCTTCGCGTCCATCCCGCCGTGGGCCACCGGTTGCACGCTCGTGCTCGTCGGCGCGCTGATGTGCAAGGCGGCGGCGGACATCAACTGGCGGTACTACGGCGACGCCATCCCGGCGTTCCTGACGATCGCCATCATGCCGTTCACGTACAGTATCGCGTACGGCCTCATTGCCGGCATCCTCAGCTACATCACGCTGAACGTCATCACGTGGCTGATCGAGAAGGGCACGTTCGGGCGCGTCGTGCCGCCCAACAAGGACGAGAAGGACCCCTGGACCTGGAAGGTGCCCGGCGGGTTCTTCCCGCCGTGGCTGCGGCGGGTGTTCCGCGGCAAGAAGGACTTCTGGCGACCGGACGATAACGAGTCGGTGGACCTGGGCGTCGGACCGGACGGGTCGGTGTCGTCGCAGGATCGATACGCCGAGAAGTCGGAGGGGAAGGTTCCTGCGTGATTTGTGGACCGTCAGCAGGGGAGTTGTAGATAGTCGCATAGCTGTAGACGTAGATTAATACATTCTTGATCCTCATCATTCCATCCATTCCATCCATTCCATTCCATTCCTATACAAAAGTATACAAAGTAGGGCTTCGACGGTCACACGCTGGAAGTCAATTCCGTCCGGCCAATCAGACGCGTCACTCTCGAACCCCCGGCGGCGTAACGTACCGTCAGGAGCTGCGCCGCAAGGGCTGAAATGAGCAAACATCACCAAATTCTGCTGTAACAAGCGGTAATACGAATACGGCCGCATGCGGGGAAGTGGCGTGCATTTCCGGCAGCCAATCACATCGCCCGACGAGTCATGGGCAAATCGATGGATCACCGCATTTCGTCCCTTTTTTCCAGTCTTCCTTTCCTTTCCCTTCTTCTCCTCGTCTTCCTTGCTTGTCTCGCTCTCCCCCCTCGCCCTCCTCTCGCTCGTCTCGTCTCTCCTTCGTCCGTCTCGACTCGTCCGGCTTGTCCCCGCCCATCATGGACTGAATCCGTTCGCTCTTCCCATCCTCTCGCGCGGTTCGATTCTCGCCATGTCCGACTCCAAACGCCGCCTGGCCCCTGCTCCGACCGGTGGAAACGCCGGCTCCGACGCCCAGCAGCGCAGGAAGAATGTCGGCACCGCCTGTTTGGCCTGCAAAGCGCGCAAGCTGAAGGTCAGCTCCCTCTGTCTCCGTCTTCCCGTTCCCTCGTCCAGCCCACTTCCATCGTCCCCGATATCTACACTTCAGCCACAATCTAGCTGGAGTGGGGTCACCCACGCTACTACTTCTTCCCTCCTCCTATCACTATCCTGGGCCGTCGTTCTAACAGCATGCTATCCTCCAGTGCACCGGCAATTCCCCCTGCGCCAACTGCGTCAAGCACGGTCTCGTCTGCACACTGAACCAAGCCGCCGACAAACGCCGCCGCGGACACATGAAGCGAAAGATCGACCAGCTCGAAGACAAGGAGGATCTGTTGATCGGGCTGGTCGGGATTCTGCGCGAGAGCGGCAACCGACGCACGATTCCGCTGCTGAACCTGATCCGCAGCAACGCCACCCTGGCTGAGATCCGCCACTACATTGACCACGAGCTGCCGAAGGCCGATCTGGCGCGCACCCCGGAGCTCGTGGAGGTCTGCAATGAGGTCCAGCGTCTGCAGCAGAACGAGTCGCGGTCGGTCCGTCGCATCCTCGACGCCAAGCGCCTCTCGGATATCCCGCGGTTCCGTGTCCCTGCGCTGCCCTGGACGAGTGTCACCGAGGATGAAGACTTCGTGTCGCATCTCGTCTCGCTGTGGTTTACCTGGTGTCATCCGTTCTGTAACTGGGTGGATCGCGCCAGGTTTATTGGCGATATGCAGGCGGGAAGTAAGGCGGGGGCGTCGTACTGTTCGCCGTTTTTGGTCAATATTATCTTGGCGGATGCTTGTGTATGGAGATCTTTCCTTGTGCTCGTCTGGGGCTGTGTGCTGGTGCTGACGCTGATGCTGACGGTTTAGGCTTATTCGGATTATCCCGAGGCGTGTGCGAAAGCGGAGGATCCGACAACGAGAGGGTCGCATTTCTACGAGGAGGCGAAGCGGTTGCTGGACAAGGAAGAGGGCAGGATCTCTCTTCCGACTGCACATGGCCTCGGCGTTCTCTGGACCTGGTGAGTGGTTTTGCGTCGTTGTGCTGGATGATACTGACGCGACAAAGTGCTTCCATGACCGGCCGAGACCGCCAGGGTTGGATCTATCGCAGCCAAGTAGCATACTCCGTCCAAGAGCTCTCTCACAATTACTCCGTCCTGGCGCCCAAGGCCGATGAAGACACTCTGCGCATGGCCCGAGTGATCAGCAACACGCACTGGGGCCTGTTCAATATCGCGACGTAGGGAGACCCCGTTTCCAACTGTCAGACTTCCACCAACGGGCTGGCTTTTTCTGTCTTTCCCCCTTTTTTTTGAACTTCCTGCCATGTCCGTAACGCAGAGGGCCACTGACCAAGGGCCCAGGGTCCACGCCTTGTTCGAGAAGAAAATGCCGCCTATCAAGCCGCCGCAACGAGTGTCTTTGCCGCCCGTCAGTCACGACTCCGACCAGGACGACTGGCAGCCATACCCGACCTTCGCCGAGGGCATCCAGTCGCACACGGACTGCCTGTTCAACGCCCTGTGTCAGCTCAATCTGATCGCCTACGACCTGTGCGCCCTGTTCTTCCGAGGTGACACCGACCGGTCGCCTGTCGAATGCGACCGTCACACCGCGGACGCGCATACCCGTCTGCGCCAGTGGTCGGACCGACTCCCCGACTGTCTGAAGGGCAGCAAGATCGAAGCTCCGCATATTTTATCTTTACAGTTCGTTTCCAGGATTCCTCGATTATAAACCCAACTAACGCTTACAAAGCATGTACTACCACGCCATCATAATGACTCTTTACGGCCTCTCCAATACCCTCCCATCTCCATCCCACCAACACTCTTCCCCCTACAGCAACCACCATCACCACCAAGACTCCCAGCAAAACCCCCTCCAAGCTCGACTCTCTTCCGCCCGCACCATCTCCCAACTCCTCCGCATCCACCGCACCTCCTGGGGCGTCGACCGCATGCCCGTGCACAACATCCACTTCATCAGCACCGCACTCTTCGTCCTCCTCGACCACCTCTCCGACGCGCCCAACCGCGACGCCTTCGTGAACATCTGCGTCACCGCAAAAGCATTCTCTCGCCGCTGGGAATCCAGCAAGACGACACTGCGCTCTCTGCGCGCCACGGCGCGCGAGAAGGGGATTGACTTGCCGACCGAGACGGATCCCTTGTTCGCGGAGCTGGAGAGTCAGAGTCGCGGGTTGGGGTTCACCCTGGGCTTGGGGTTTGGGTTGCAGGGACAGGGGCAGGGGCAGGCCCCGTCGTTAGGTCCAGTGCTTGCGCAGGGCCAGGGGCTTGGGTCTGCGTCTGGGTCTGGGAGCTCGAAGGGGAGAGAGGAGACGGTTGTTTCGACCGAGGGAGGGAGTAGTGATCTGTAGCCTTCTCTGGGTCTTGGTTTTATGGAACCCAGTCGCAGACTGACCCGATCATCGGGGTCATCGGGCGTGTATCTCCTCCATCCACTTGCTCAACTCTCATGACCAGACATGCACAGATGGATACATGTCATACTGGCGAACTGAACAGATTGCTCGCCTGCCCAGTGCCTACCAGAACCCAAGGACCTTTCATCTACCAGCCGAATACGTTGGAATCGGTTCGTTAGAGGACGCTCGCGGCGCCTAGACACGGGAACTTGCATTTCGGAATCAGTGTCGTGCTCGAATTCCAGAATTACAGCATACACTTTGACTATTCACCATTCATCATATACCATATACCATACATGATTTCCGGTCCTTTGCATTTATATTGTTTTTTATACCAGTTGGGCTTCTGTGTTGGTTTAATAACGTGAGGGGTTTATATTAAAATTAATGGATACATTTGAGTCTGGAGTTGGAGTTGTATACTTTTATTTTTTTTTTTCTCCCCTTCTAGACTTCGTCGTAGTAAATAAGTATATTTTCCTCATAAATAAACATCGTCATTACTTGAAATCGAAAATCTCCTTGTCGCTATCGTCTATTCATCAAGGTCGTCAAATATATAGCACCCCCGACCACAAAAGTATATATCCCAACCCATCCCACCCCAAACCGACAATTTATATAGTACCAGCAAACACCCAAGAAAAAAACCATAAAAAACAAACACCAGCGTCAACTAGACACAAAGAACTAAACACCACCCTCCTTCTCCTTCCTCCCCCTCCCCCTCCGTCTCCCCTCCCACCACACCCTCAACAGCGCCCGCCAATGCCACAGCGCCCAAATCACCACCGTCACCAGCGTCAGCGGAATCGTCACCGCCCAGTACATCCAGAACGTGCTGGCCGTCTTCCAATCGCTGTCGTCGCCCGGCGCGAAGTCGAAGAAGTTGGTCCCGAAGAGGCCCTACCATTCCTTATATTAGCGTCTTGTGCTGGGGTTGTGGTGTTTGGGAAGGGAAGGGGGAGGCCGTACCGAAACGAATGTCCCAGGTAGATAGACGAGACTGACGACTCCGACGGTTTTCATCATGGCGGAATCGGATTGCGCGTCGCGGCCGTAGCGTTGGGAGACGATGTTGAATGCCTATGGTTTTCTCGTTAGTCAGTGGGTAGTGGGACGGGGTGTATGGTGGGAGATAATATGGTTCATAGATGGGTCAAGGGGGGACACGAACAAGGTTAATCTCGTTATGCAACCTCTCCGTCAACGATCGGGATCTCGTCTTTAGTGAATGAAGTTGCTTTGAGAGACTGTAGAGCCGCTGCTGCGTGTGCAGATACACACCGCGGCCCTTTTGTCGAGACTCCGGGAACTCATCGCGCCAGCGAGCCTGCTCGTCCACAAGATTCTTAACGGTGTTTTCGGCGATCTCGAGCGTCTCGGTGGAGTGGAAGATGTGTCGGCCGATGTCGTGTAGGTGAGGGAAGTCTGGGGGTGGGTGGTTGGGTTTATCTCTGGCCTGGATTGAGTGCGCTGCTGTTAGTTGCTAGGTGAGCTGAAGGAGAGATTGGGAGGGAGACGGACCTTTTCTATAGCACGGACTAAATCCCGCAAGGACCAGATCGATGCGTCGTATAGAGTAATAAGAGTGCTGGAAAATTCCATATGCCATCTGAAAGGGTTCAAGCGGGCTTTTATCTGCGGTAGTTTGTGCTGGATTTGGAGCTGTTGGGGCTCGGGGAGATTGAGCACGAGAACGGTTTGTCGGTTGTCGGCCATCGTCCAGTCGATTACAAGGGATGCCTGAACCCATCTGTATTCTTTAGGTTTGAGGACCATTTTAACCTTGAAACAGGTCCATGATACTGGTTCTGGTTAGTGCTACCGTCGTATAGATGTGTCGGCGACTTACTATGGCGGACGATTTTATCGTCATCGTCGTCCGATGCGATGTAGTCGCAGAAAAAAGAACCGTTGAGGTCATCGTTGAGTATAGAGCTGAACCCTTCGGGAAAATTGATCGGGATGGGTCCCTCGAGAGGCTCGGAGTCGGTGAATCTGCGACTATTAATACAATACCTCTGCTTTTGTGAGTGGAGACGGACATTAAACGAGTGGAGGACTCGGGTCCTGGTTCCTGTTACTGTTGGTGGCTGCACGTCTAGCCCGATCTCGAGGACGTACCGTTAACGCATGATATAGCTCCGAATCCCGCCTGTTCCAGGGATCATTTCCTAACTAATCAGTACACGCTGCAATACGATCGCTAAATACCTACCCGACTGTTCAAAAACCGCGACTCGATCACGAATAGTTCTCATATCCGGCGCAGTGAAGGTAGTCGGTAAGACTCCGGGAGCAGAGAAACAGACCAAGTGCGCCGAGTCCGCCGACTTATATATGTCGTATTCGTGGGGCCTCGCGCATTAGTATATGCAACACAGCCGCCTAGAGCGCTTTCTACCTATGAGAAGTTAGGGCTCCGGCTGGGCGTTAGCCAGCAGCCCCAATCAAATGCCGCGCCTCGCGCAATGCTGCACGACAGACTCCCGCCCGAGGGCCAGCCTTGAGGGTCATTGCTCCGCGTGTCGAAAAAGCCCAGTTCATTAAGCGTTAGGTTGCCCCACGGGCCTGTCAAGCTTGAAGATCAGGCCGGGAGCGTTCCACCTGAAAATACGGGTGTCTGAGCGGCGGCAAATGATTGGGTGTGAGGGTATGGTTTCTTGCATGCTGAAATGAAATAATGTCCCGCGTCGTACATGTTTCAAAGTGGTCGAGTACCTGTTGGGGGCGTGTGTGCAGCTGAAAGTTGCCACAACATTCGCTGAATCTATTTCCGTCCTGGCGCTGTGGCGGGATTCGTCGGGCACCAATGGCTCGTGATCATATCTCCTTGCGTTAACGGTGAGCTGTATTAGGGGGCGAAGCATTGGAAGATCTGCGACCCTGTTGGACACGAGTTGTTGGGTGTTAATGCACATAGCTAAGGGCATGAACTGGATTCAACATTACCCAGGTACGCCTCGCGAAACATCATGACATTAGCGGTGATTCTTTTTTGCCAGCACTTTCCGCAAGGGAATTTAGGCAACCAGAATAAAATAAAATTAAAATAAAACTCCGGAGAGAGTTGTATTGCTCCGCCAATAAGTGATTTGAGCGAGTGCTATTGAGAGGCTCAATCATAGCATGGGCCTGTAGGATGGAAGGCAACTGTGCAAAAAATCCGAGTTATAAACATGAGACGAACAATCTGCTTACTATGTGTTGATCTATGATTCCAGCTGTGGGCTGGCCTTGTGATAAGTCGAGCCCTATATGTTAATCAGGCATTCCTCGGCGCTTTTCATAAACCATGGATGGCTTCACATATTTTGGACGTAACAAACTTCGTCTTTCTTGGTTGTACTCCATGAATGGCATTTGGCAACGGGCCCTTTGAGTTGGGGTCGTTCAATCCAAAGACCTTTCATTTTTTGGCATGAGTGATTTGAAATCTTGTATCGATATGAATACCTCAACATTTATCTTCAAAAGGGCTTGTTTCAATGCAGCGAACTGCTGTTCTCCCGGGCCTTCGAGTAGGACCTTTAATGCGCAGTTCTTAAAAGGAGCATTTCCCACGATCGCAGTTTGACAGCAGTTTTGCAAGGAATCGGAGAAAGACCATGCTTAGACAAGACTTGTTTTTGGGGAGAACTGATGATAACCTAGCCAAAAATGTGTGAATGAAGGCAATCGTTGCCGTTTGTGGTTCAACTTCCGTCCAGGAAAGGCATATTGACAGCAGCCGGTGGCCCGCGCTTCCATTGCTTGCCCTGTGCTGAATGTATGATGGCATCTGGTCGATACCGAGTCTGAAAGGCCACAAATCTAAACTATCTGGAGTTCCCGATCAAAACCCACTCAAAAAAGTCAGTATTCCTGAAAACACACCAAGTTTAGGCGGCGCCTGTTCATATTTCTTTTTCTTGTACTTCCTCATGAGCTGGCAGCCTCGAGTCAGCCTCGTACTCGACATGGATGGCCTTCTCACGTGGTTAAACCTTTTCTTTTCTTTTTCTTCTTCTTCTTTCATCAGCGCACTAAAATTCGAGATTATCTTTTCTTTCTTCTCTGGAGCTCCACCGAAAAGTTCTAGCGAGGGTATTGTGGCCTCCAAAACCGAAGAGCACCACATTCCCTGATTTCAAGATGTAATTCTAATTTCTGAATGCCTTGTCAGCCTGCAACGCTCACAAATCATAACGGTAACGAGCCGAAGCCTCTTCGCATGAAGGTTCTGGAGAATGGTTTCTGCCCATGCTCCTAAAACCCGGCGAGTCAAAGCACGGGGTTTGAGGACAGAAAATCGCTCAACCATGGGTGGGATCCCAAACATGGAATTCAGAGGCGGGAGGCTTGGACTGCAACGGTGGTGGCGGCGATGCCATAGAGTTCAGGTTGATTGATCAGAGCCTGTTTTGACATCGCTCGTTTCCAGGAAACCAACCGGTTCTCTATTTCCATCTTGTCATCGTGCTTCTGCCACGGAGAAAGCGGCCATCTCTTCGGCCTATGATGTATTCGATAATTCGTGTTTTAAAACAGGGAGTGACGGCCGATATAAATGCACCGTCTCCCAGTCTGTAAGGATGACTTCTTTCAGAGCTCATAAAAATCTCACCAAAATGGCAACATCAACAATTGAAACACCTCAAAAAGGCACTTTTGCCCCCGTCTCCGGCGGATCCCTATACTACGAAACCATCGGGAGAGGGCCGACTCTCGTCATGATGCCCGCCGGGCACGGCACAGGAGTGGTCTTTGAGCCTCTGGCCGCTATCCTGGCACGTCACTTTCGAGTCATCCTCTACGACCGTCGGTACTTCTTTCGCAGTTGCAAGTGCGATCCGACCGACCGGGCGAAAAATCAGAGTATTCTCAAAACTCATGCCGAGGACGCAGTGGCGTTGATCTCGCACGTGTCGCCTGGAATTCCGGTATACCTATTCACAACGTCCAGTGGAGCACCGATTGCAGCAGAACTGCTATATTCGCGACCGGAGCTGATTCAAAGTCTGATAATGCACGAGGCGTCGTTTTTCTCGCTGCTCCCGTTGCCTGTGCATGAGCAATACCGTAAGGATCTGGTGGATGTGTGGTCGAAGGGACACCAGCTGGGGGAGGTGAGCTTTAATTTGCTGATTGTGTACTGGGTTCATCGGAGCGAGGAATTGAAGCGATTAAAGAACACTCCAACCTACCGACGGTTGGCCTCGTTGCCGCGAGAGGCGCAATTCAAATGGCTGGCGAACGAGTTGCCGGAGGTTCTCGAGTATGAATTCGAAATGGACAGAATGCGACCGTTCCGGGATCGCCTTATTTTGATGCGTGGCTCATATAACTCACCCGACGCCGCAGTCGGGCCGGTGACAAGACTATCGGATGCATTGGGGGTTACCTTGGGCGTCGTGCCGGGCGGACATGAAGGATATGTGACGGATTATCGCGAGTTTGCTGAATTTCTGATCAGGGAGTCGAGGGAAGATCGAGCCCGGTTGTGATTATTGAAGCCTCGGTGTATCTAATAGACCGATCTGCTCCGATCCAAGACATTAAGACAATGATGTATTCTCTCTCCACCAGTCTCCAACTACCCAAAGATTGTGTTGATGATTCAAGATCAGCGACTCCACTCCGAGGTCAAGATCGCGGCGACTGACCGAACCCCACCAAGAAACTGATAACGGATTATGACTGAGTGTGCGTTAATTTCTTTTTCCCACTCTTGTTCCTACACTGGATTCTAAGACGATCCAAAACGTCAGGTCTGTTAAGTCAGCACAACCATCCAATAAACCTGTTGCCTTGACAGCCGGGGAAACTGCGGGGAACTCACTAGAACAAGTCGAGTCATCCCAGCCGAAGGACGCTGCTTATCGGGGAGCCAGGAATATGACGCTAAAGGCCATCGATAGCCACTGCGACGATCTTGCAGACCCGCAAGGACTTGCCGGATCGCGTAAAGATGCTTGATTTCGCACCGAGGCAAGGTGCAACGAGTGGCTTTGTCGATCGCAGTGGACCTGGCTGTGGTTTCCTTTCCAAGCGGAGGTGATAAGGTCCGATGATGCAGCAAATATTTAAATAGCGTCTGGTCTCCCGCAGATCGTGAGCCGGCTTGTTGTGCACCGTCGTTTAAAATGTTCTTTCCGTCGGTCTCACTCTGGGCATTGGGTCTCTTGGCTGTTCAGCCGGGAACTGCCCTTGTGTCGCACCCTCCTAGGAGCCAAGAGGGGACATGCAAGAAGACCACGGTCGCTATTTTGTATGTTGATTCGGAAACCAGTTTGGGAACCTGAGCTGACCTAGTCTAGGGGAGGTGGGATGGCTGGAATTTCGGCTGCAGTGAGTTATCGTCTTGATCACCGACAGGTGTCCCGACTAACGACGACAGGAAATTCTATCAAAAGAGTCTGTCGACGACTTTCTCATTCTCGAATATCGCGATCGAATCGGAGGCCGCGCATGGCATGAGAATTTCGGAAAGGACAAAAATGGCAAGCCTTATGTGGTGGAAATGGGAGCCAACTGGGTATGTTAGTCTTGGGATATATCAAGGTAGCTACTGACCAGGCACCAGGTGCAAGGACTGGGTAGCCCCGAAACTCATGAAAATCCCATATGGACCCTAGCGAAAGAGTTTAACCTCTCCACAACATACTCTAACTACAGCAACGTGTCAACGTACAACGAACACGGGTTCAAGGATTATTCTCATCTGCAGGATGAATACGATGCGGCCTATGACATCGCGACTCAAAGAGCGGGAACCATGCTCAAAGACAACCTGCAGGATCAATCGGCGAAGTCGGGACTGGCATTGGCCGGATGGAAGCCCAAGTCGGATGATATGGAGGCGCAGGCTATTGACTGGTGGAGCTGGGGTACGTCGAAAACATATAGGAGACCGCGGAGATGGGCTGACCGTCGCAGATTTCGAGGACGCGTACTCTCCGTTGGAAAGCTCGCTGGTATTTGGATGTGCAGGCGACAACCTGACTTCCAATGGATTCAGTGATCATGACAACTTCGTGACGGATCAGCGTGGACTCAACCACATTGTCAAGGGGATGGCGTCCCGGTTCCTTCGTCCAAATGACACCCGTCTCCATCTCAACACTCAAATCACGAACATCACCTACAGCGACGATGGCGTCATCATTTCGAATCGTGACGGCAGCTGCGTGGAAGCCGCATACGCCATCTGCACCTTTTCCCTCGGTGTTTTGCAAAATGACGCGGTGACCTTCCACCCCGAACTGCCTGACTGGAAGCAGACCGCCATTCAGATGTTCACCATGGGCACATACACGAAGATCTTCCTGCAGTTCAATGAGACCTTCTGGCCCACCGATACTCAGTACTTCCTATACGCCGATCCCAACACCCGCGGCTGGTATCCCATTTTCCAGTCTCTCTCCACGCCGGGATTCCACCCGGAATCGAACATCATTTTCGTCACGGTCACTAACGAGTTCGCCTACCGTGCCGAACGCCAGTCGGACGAAAAGACCAAATCCGAGGTCATGGAGGTGCTGCGGAAGATGTTCCCAGACCGAAACGTGCCGGACCCCACCGCATTCATGTATCCGCGATGGAGCACCGAGCCATGGGCATACGGCAGTTACTCCAACTGGCCAGCTGGCACTACCCTGGAAATGCACCAGAATCTGCGCGCGAATGCCGACCGGTTGTGGTTTGCGGGCGAAGCGACGAGTCCGACGTATTTCGGCTTCTTGCACGGCGCCTGGTTCGAGGGACAACACGCCGGACGACAGATTGCGCGCCTGTTGGATGGATGTAAAGGCAATGGGACGAAGTGTGGGCCAAGGAAACATTACGAGACGCTTCATGGAACGACTCCGCTTGCTGACTACACCGTTGTCAATGGGTGGGATGGAAATAGCTTTGTGGATAACAACGTAGACTAGAGAAAGCCAAACTTAGCATTATAAATAAGAAGCATGCATCCTGTTTTGAGTTTGAGCTTGATTGATGATCTATGATTGAAATAATGATGAAATTGACGATCGAAGCGCTCATCATGGCCATCAATCGATGGAAGAGAATTATCTACAGGAGATGAAGCAGCCGTGGAAATGGAAGGGTGGCGATGTGGTTTGCCGGTGATGCAAACATGCTGCCTGCCTGCCTGATCCTGGTGCCTTGCATGTCAGGCACCCCTCTCGTTTCTTATCCAGATTATTGACTATCCCATCTCGAACAACCTCACCAACCCTGATAGCTTAGTACTTCATTTCTCGTTCCCTTGAACAGCAGCCACAGGGAAAGTACTCGCTGTCGACGAACCCAGCGCACTCTTCAATGCCCTCCAAGCATACCTCATCAAATAGACACCCAACGTAGCAAAATTAAGCCACACCAAGACAACCAAATAAACCAGCGTCTGGGGCGGAATCCACTTGAAGATGGCCGTGGGGTCAAAATCCACTCCCGCGCGGGTCTTGAACTCGTCGATTTCAGCCAACGCCGTCGTTGGGCTATCTTCCTGTTGACTCTGGGTGGTCCTGCCATTATCCGTCACAGTCCAGTCCTTGCCTTCCGGGTCGTTGTAGATGATAGCTGTTACGGCGAACCCGAGCACCACCATGAAGAACGACATAACGGCTTTCATGAGGAGTTCGTAAAGCCAGGTACAGGTGAAGGTGAAGAGAAGGAGGGCGGCCTTCTGGGAACGACGGTGCGCTGTGGTGATGGTGTGGGCGATAGTGTTGGGAGCGTCATCTTTTTGAGTGGTTGTGAGTACGATGAGTCGAGCGAGAAGAAAGGTGAGAAGACTGATCGAGGCGAAGGACTCGATGAAGCTGCTACTCGTGTTCAGGACATTGAGGGCAGTGAACCCGAGCGCCGTCAGGATCCAAGAGGTGAGCAGGAAGACGGCGAATGCCGTGTAGAGGTTGGTGCCGATGGATGAGAGCGTGAAGGCCATGACGAGTGGATCTCTCGGCTTGAGCGATGATTAATTCCAGGATGTTGTTGAGGATGGAAAACCCTTTACGGCATCCTGTCAGATTATATATCGTTTGCTTTGCGAATAGGCTGAAAGCGCTAATTTTCTAGATATGTTTGGTGCCTGGTTTGGCCCCCATCTTATGAGCCTCATTGTCAGACTTTTTTTCTAGGGGATTGTTTTGTTAGCAGCATTTAGCTGGGTTGTCATTAGGCTTGGTACACTAGGTGGTGGGCTTCTTTAGTTCGTTGGTCCCTTGGAGTTGGGTCTAGTCGGTTCGCGCCACGAATTGGTTTTGCGAAGACTTGTGGAGAGAGTGTTGAGAATCAACATCAATTCATATAGTAAATCATGACGATAGATTCACAAACAGGCAATGTAGCTCTTTGTCGGATCAGTTGCCACGATGTATTGAATGGGCAGGCCAAGGAATCAATTTCAAAATCCCCTGAATTCAGCGAGGCTGAAATGGCCATTCGGAGCCTAAAATCCTCGGTGACGCTACCGCCAATGAACCCTCACGCTAAGGGATACGGCGGATCTACCGAGGACTCCGATCGGAACGCCTCTTATCGGTCGGCTCGCGTGCTCCGTAATGCAGGGGGGACTGAAATTTTAATGGGCCAGGAAATGTCGTGCTTCCGAGTGTTCTTACTTACGGTGAGCCCCATTCGGTTGATGCTGAGAAACAACTTCCTTGGACGTTCGTGAGATATATAACTTGTGCCGCAGGTGTCAGTTTTAGGTTTTGCAATATGCATTGCGATGTAGTCGCTGATATCTCAGTAGGAAAAATTGATGGATACAGCTCTGACCCGCCCAACAGGAGGTTGATCATCCGGTCGATCTATCCAAATAGGCCGGCGAGCAGAAGGGAGATCGACCGGGCAGCTCAACGGCTGGGAACGAACTTCCGTACTTGCGAGCGAGGGAATTGGTGGATACACAGCAGCATATGCATGTGCTCATGTGAGCTTGTAGTCACGATGATTTCTCTGAGCCAGACGGTCAAATAACCTGTGGCGCTCTCGAGCATCGGGCGCCTGCTTAACCAGACTCGCTTCATCCTCATGTAAAGGGTTTCTGGGTTTTTTCAGGACTTCCTTAGGCGAGCTATCATGTTCATGTATTCTCGTACTTCTCCAACCCCCAACCAATGCCAAAACGACCGTGTGGGGTTGTCAGTGAAGCACAGTGGGTTGCACTTCATGAAATAGATCAACAAGGCTGCAGTCAGATTTCGAACCTATGTATTGCAGCTTGCATGATGACGATGATGCAGTCCTGAACATGAGATCTACGACGTTAGACTTGACAGAGCCGATGGAAGACGATGATCGACAGCTTATGCGCCAGCTGCAGCAGAAGGGAAGACTAGTGGCGGGGTCAAGACATGGTAAGTGAGTTGACAGGGCGCCACACGACGATCCAGACTCATTGCGGAGGTGCGTAACCGTGGGTCGAGACTTGCGGTAACATCTTCCACGGTACTGCTCGCAACCCCTGGAGACTTGGAAAGACCGGGTTGGATGGTTTCATGAGTTGTGGATGTTGATTTGTGCTCCGGATTCGCTAGCGAGTGAGGAGTCTCGTTCTTTGTTTGTCAACGGTGGCTGCGGCCTGGGGCCGCAACGGGGTATTTATTTACTTTGTCCTTCCTCCCTCAATTAGCCCACTTAGCTGAACCATCTCCATCTTGACCATTTTCAACCAGTTCATCGACTGTTTCCCATCCCCTTTCGAGCAACTGCTAATTTCTAGCCTCCACCATGGCCACTCCCTCGGACACCCCAGACGAGCTTGTAATCCCATCCGGTCCCTTCTGGGACACCCTGGACCCCGTCATCAGCAGCGCGGTCGCCTTATGCTTCACTCCCCAAGAGCTCGAAGACCTAAAGCTCGACCCGTCTGCCTCCAACCCCGCCAAACTGCATACTCTTCAAGAAGCTCTCACCGAGAAGCTGCTGACGCTCGAAGCCGCCTCTCAGCCCTCGACCCTGCACGAGCAGAACTACAACCAATGGCAGGACTTAAAATCAAGCCTATTCCACGTCCACCGAGGCCTCGGCGATAAGGAAGAACAGGAGAAGATCCTGCTCGAGATGATCAACACGCCCAGTGCCGCGGGACGGGACCTAGCAGCCCTGCACAACCTCTCGGCGCTGTGCGAGGAAAAAGGCGAATACGAGAAAGCTGAGCGACTGGCGCTCGAGGTCTTACCGGCGATTCAGGGCCATGCGCTCCTTGGAGCAGCGAGCCCCCAGGCCTTGGGTAGTCTTCGGGTGCTGATCAAGGCGATGTGGGGACAGGGAAAGACCGCCCAGGCTGACGACTATGTGAAACAGGCGAGCGCGAGCATTGATAACCTGGTAGGCACGCCATTTGCAAAATATCAGCAGGAGGAGAGAGATGCTTTGGTGGAAGTGATGGCTGGTATGAAGTCCAAGTGAAAGTGGTAAAATCTTGGAAAGCTTTTTGGTTACTTGTCTTGATGATTTACTACGGAAATAATGTGCATATGATGAATGAGTATCTTTACTGGGATTTGATGTTGAAATGCTTCACCGAAAACCATTCTCCCGTCTCCAGCCCTTAAGATCCTCCCACCTGCGACATGTATGCTCGAGCTCCACTGCTGAAAGGGGCTCTTTCTTTCCTGCAGATTCTCATGGAGTGGTTCGAGTGTGAAGTCCTAGGCCCCGACTTGAGCATTTAGATTCTAACAGAAAAGAAATCTATATTCGGCTCAGTCTATTATAATGCTAAAATTAATCTATGAAAATATCAAAAGTACTCAAAAGTCCCACTGATTCAACCAGTTCATCATCTCATCCCGACTAATCGGTCCAAGCGCCGCCATGGTCTTGCTCGCCTCCTTCGTCCTGGACACGCTGATCTCCGCAGAGAGCATTTCCTTTCCGCCAGCCAATCCATTGTAGAAGTCCAATAGCTTCAACGCAGGCTTCTCACGGACGTCGTCATCTGATGGGCTTTTGATGTTCTCAAGCTCCTCGATCCACTGGTTCATAGGTACAGCTTCGACAGGGTATTTATCCTGGATGGCAGGTATCATAGAAGCCCAGGGTGCTTTGCTCGGGTTGACGAGGTTGAAGAAGGCAGTGAGCGTGTCAACTAGCTGCTTGCGTCGTGTGTGAAGAAGCTCGACAATGATAGTAGCCAAGGTGTCCTGGAGTTTGTTAGCAAGTCCTTAATGTGAGACGGGAACGGAGAGAGATCATACCACAGGGACCCAATCAACCTCATATCCTCCAAGACTGTCTGGCACCTTGCCAAGAGATTTAGATGTCTTCACTAGCGTAGGTACCCATTCATCAACATTCCAAGCCCCTTCCTTGGTGGTCGGGCCGGCGATCTGCCCCACTCGGAAAATGCTAGTCGGAACAGAAGATCGTCTAGAGGCTTCAAGACAGATACGTTCCGACACGTGTTTCGATTCACCATATCCCTGCTCCAGGGCTGCAGCTGGATCTTCGATGGGAAGTTCGGGCACTTCTGGGCCCATTTGCTCGGTCCATCCCCCGATCGTGCTGACCGATGAGACAAAGGACACGTGAGCCCTGTACTTGCTGTCGATGCTGAATTTCACAAACTCATAGAGTCCCTTGATATGAGGGTTCTCGAATGATTCGAGCGGGTGGTTGAAGTTGACCTTCCAGGCGTTGTGGATAATCACGTCCACGGTGTCCAACAACTCTTGATACTTGTCGGATGAAAGGCCGAACTTTGGCTCTCCAAAAGCCACTGTCAGGAATTCAACCTTACTGATGTCATGCAGACGGGCAGCCGGAAGTCCTTTTTCTTGGAAGCTTTTCGTCTGTCGGGAGTGGGCATCCGATCGATTGAAACAGTAGACCTTGGCCACGGACTCGTCCTGCAAAAGCGAGTGCAAAAGGTAGGTACCGAGCGAGCCAGTCGATCCAGTCAGGATAACGGTCGACTTTTCAGGGAGATCGATATTCTCTTGAGCAAGCGCCGGCAGCTCTCTCGTATACTTGGCCACCATATTGTTGACTCTTTCTGTCCGGGATGCAACAGACACGATATCTCCCCGCAGCACAGTCCGCAGGAATTGCGCCAGTTGCGAAACAGTGGAATGGGCATAGATATGCTGAGCCGTGATTGGCTGCCGATCGGCATCTGGCAGCTGGAAGGAAGTGGCCTTGGCGAGGATCTTTGCGAGCTGGATCGTCTGAAGAGAGTCTAGTCCAGCGCCGTATAGATCGTCTTCCGGGGCTATATCTTCACGGCTAAGCAAAGAGCAAACAATGTGGCGAACAAAAGAGACCATGCTTCCCTCATCAAGTGACTCGGGCAGTTTCTCTTGGCCCTCGGCCTCGGCAGCTGTATAAATCGCTTCGATTTCGTCTTTGTAGTCCCTGTTGACTGCATTACGCTGGGTCGTTCCCTTTGGGGTCACCTTGAAGGGCTTGTCACGGGACGCCAATCGGATCTTGTTCTTTGCAATCCGTCCATAATTCGGCACAGTTTCGTTCGCTTGCTGAACTGTAGGCCAAACGTCATCAATGAATTCCTTTTTGTCTATCTGTCCCTCTTCCTCCCACTTGGGCTCAATAATTAACGACGTTTCGAATCGGGACTGGCCAATCAAAAGTGCACGACCAATGCGAGGATGACTTCCTACAATCATCTCCAAAGTCACCGGATTAAGCTTCTCACCGTTGCTGAGCACAATGACATCGTCGCGGCGACCGTGATATTTCCACAAGTTGGGATTCGAAGGATGCTGAACAAAGAGGTCGTTGGTTCGATACTCCTGCTTGTCTGGGAATGTATGGAAAATGCCGTGGATTGAGCGAGAGTTCTCCCGGCGAGGGATCACCAGTTCATACAGCCCTTCGCCGACATGCTGCATGTCCACTCCGTATTCGGGACACCATTCAAAATGGTCCCAGTCCTCCTGTTTCTCGGGGACCAGGGACAGGATAAGTCCCATCTCAGTAGATCCAATCACCGATATGAGTTGCGTGTGTTTAGAGATCTTGTCACCAGTCTCTCTGGACAGAGGAGCACCCGCAAAGTAAACAGAGTCTAGAGTGCCGAGACATTCAAGCGCTTCTTGTGACTGGCTCATATCATCGAGAAGGGAGGGAGGAAGCAAAGCTCCCGCCGGTCGCGTGGCACGAATTGCGTCGATCATCAGTTCAACTGACAAGGGCTTATCCGGGAGGTTGACAAAGGGGATCTGGAAGTAAATGGCGTGCATGTAAGGCAACAGGCCCATAAGATGAAAGGCAGGTGTCGTGGCAAGAATAGGTTGGGACGAGGTGAAGCAGTTTGGCGTCGTGGATGGGCGACCAGCGCGATCGGCGACATGTTTATTGAAGTCAATAGTGGCGAGGTATCCGTGTGTGAGCGGAATAGGCTTGGGCATCCCTAGAAAATTTTCTATTAGTACGTGTTTCATTTTGTGTGATTTTCCAGAGAGTACCAGTTGTGCCAGAGCTGTGGATGATCAGCGCAGCCTGGTCCTCGGCTTCTTCGAACGACTTGGAAAAGGGATGTGGTTGAACTCCCATAGCCTTGACGATGTCACCAACTCCCGGGACCTCCTTGTAAAGCGTGTCTGGTCTCAATTCCTTGATCTCCGAAACCCTTCGTTCGAATTTGGTGCTGAAGAAAAATGTTTTGCACCCTGTGACATTCAGGATATGTTCGTAGGCGTCATTGGACAGTCGTGTAGAAGGAAGCAATAACTAAAATTTCCATCAATCAGTGACAGACCGTAAAAGGATAACAGGAGCACAGTAGCAGGGGGAAATAACAGGCCTACCTTGTGGCTAGTTTTATGGCAAGCGAGGATGAAGAGCAGATACCGTATATCATTGTTCCCCATGTAGGCAACAGTTTCTTCGCCAGTTCCCTTTCCAATCTCTTTTTCAATCCACCACGCTGTCGCGTTGACCGCGTCCGCCAGTTCTTTAGCGGTTAGATGGCGAAAGCCGTCCTTGATATCGGAGCCATTGGGGATGATTCCAAGAGGCTGTGTCGGATTGGAGGAGGCAAGCTCGTCGACAATGTTGACAAACAGGCGTTTTCCTGCTTGTTGGGGTGTATGGAATTGAGGCATCATAAGATTAAGGTCTAGACGAATTGGATGAGTGTTTGTTGCAATTATAGGCTGGTGGATTAAGGAACTTGGTCGATGGTCTCTCCAGCAGAGCAGAGGCAAGGCCGGATATTTATATTGTCTTAGCCTGCTGACAGAGTCCCCTTAATCATAGATAGGATTATAGAATTCCTACATTATTCCTCATGGAAGAGGCACTGGGAAATTATGCAGGCCGATCAACTGTCGAGGACAACCAAGGTGGATCTCACACATTCCGAGAAACCGCCGCTGATCTCAGCTCAGCCCTGACTGCAAGGGTGGCTCATCAGGAGGTAAGAATCAAATAACCCCGGTGCATGCTGCAGCATGACGACTTTTCTTTGTTCTCTGCAAGCAAACATGCACATGAGATGGCGTATAAACAAGCAATTATGATCACCGGATCCATTATTCGGCAAGAATCCTTGGCTACGGGGACTTGGGATGACCCGAATCAACGCAAAGCTTGGCTCATCATGATTGTCGAGGCACCAGCAATAATGCAGGCTAAGCTTAGCATACGGATGGGTTGTGCCGTTGTTAGTGCCCGGATCCCCAACGATCCACAATCTGACGTCAAACCAGCCTGTCCGTGCTTTGTCCGAACAGGGCAATATGTGCCTATCGACTCCATAAGTCTATGTGCAAGTCGGATCTCGGCATACCGACAGGGTGGTCTTCCAGGGCGAATCCACAGGAATGTCCCTCCTTGCATGAGCGAAGGCCAATGATCTGCCGCCATGGATGCCGCGGAGCGTATTACTCTTTTGAGTTGCAAGCGTTGTGTAACCGGCAGAGAAGCCCATGTTGCAGGCATTCCATCGAAATAGTTCTGGCCCGCTCATAAACAGGGATGTCTGTCAAACAACATTTGTAAGTTACGAGCCGAAGTGTCGTGCCCCATATTTCAGACACCGGATGTCAGGATGTCTAGGTGATCGGAACCTCGGGATCGAGCCATGGAACGCGATTGTTCTGCTCGATATGTCTACCGTCGCTCCCTTTATGAGCCAGTCGTTGTCATTGACATGTTGAGTTGTCCATTCATTGTGGCCGATTCCCTGCAGAACGGCACCCGCGGAGAACAGACGGCATCGGAAGGCAACGCTCGTTACGAGGCCCACCTCGGTGTTTTATCGGTTGCTGCCCATCTCTCCCGTCTGTCTCACTTTGATGCTTCAAGATTTGCATTCCAATTTCTTGATTCCACGACATGCTCCATTTGATGGCATTCCGCTCTTCCTTGGGCATCGCGGCATCGGTCCCGGTCTCGCGTCGTCGGATTTCCTCTCGCGCCGAGCAACAATTCCCAGTCTGTCGATGATGAAATCGCCCGATTGGGCGTAGTTTAGTTGCACCAGGTCATTGATGGAGAAACCTGGAGGGATGGTGGATGGTGGATGGTGGATGGATGGAGGGATGGTGGGATCCCGACTGTGCAAAGGAAAGAAAGTGCACTAACCTGATTCGTTGGCTTGCCTCCTTGTTGCCTTATTTGTCTCACCCGTGTGCTACTGCCTTGGTGCCTTGGTGCCTTATCCTCGTTTACTCTTCTCAATATGTTCAACGAAGATGAAAAAGCTCAAATTAATTATGAAAGATTGTTGCCTTGAAAATGACTGCGCAAATGCTTAACGCATAAAACTTATGTACAGTAACCATCGAAGAGGACACTCATCCATCCCCAGTCGCATCACCATCAACCCTTCACCACCTCCTCAAACACCTTGAACTCCACCAATCGCACCTTCTTCTCATCCTGTGGCTGGAACACCAACCGGATCTGATTCGTGGTAACTTCATCCCACGACGCCCGCGTAATGCCATTCGCCAAGGGGTCGCTATACTTGGCGTTCGCCACATCCTTCCACGAACCAGACTCGTTAGTCTGGATACGGTAGCTCTCCGGCGCATCAAATCCCTGCGTACTATTGGCGAAGAACGCAATCTCTGAGCTTGCGGTCTTTGTCCCGCTGCCAAAGTCAATCTGGTACCATACTTCGCTGCCGTTGCCGGCGGGCGAGTCCCATCCGTTCGCGATGCTTGAGTCCGGGAAGAACCAGACGCGGCCGTCGATGGCGCCGTGCACTCTCTCGGCGTCGGCATCAGCGACAGAAACGCTGCCTTTCGGGTAGTCAGAAGAGGTGGCGAGTTGGATGGAGACGGAGACGGGCTTTTCAAAGCTGGGGGGATCCTTGCGTGTGATTTTAGCAGTTACGCGGCTGAGTTTATCCGCCGTGGCGACTTGTTCGCCATCGACTTCCACGATGAGACCCGCTTTGCCGTACTTGTCGCCTGTTGCGTCCCATTGGACGGCGACGTCGTGGCCGTGGTAGAGGATTCGCTCGGCGCGGAAGTACGATACGGTCTCGACGTCTGCGAGCGGGTTTACCTCGAGGACGTCGTCCTCGCGGGGTCGGATGCCGACGAAGCCGGAGATGACCTGGTCGACGTAGCCGGAGTGGAAGTAGTGAGGAGAGCGGTCGAGACCGACGATTGGATTCCCGGTGTCGGTCTCGTAGTCTTCCTCGATGTTTAGACCACCGCGGATGGGGTTGTAGTGCAGTTTCGCGTACTGCGTTAGGATCTTGGTGTAGTCGGCTTTGGATATGACGCCGGCTCCGGCTCCGGTGGGATAGTGGTCCAACAGGTTGGCAAGGGCAGTGAGGGCTTGCGTGGTCTGGTAGGGCCACGCCGGTCCGTTCCATTGGCATTCGCGGTTCTTGCCTTCGTAGCGATATTGGCGCATGTAGTACTCGTAGCTGGGCTCGTTGGTGCGCAGACCATGCTCGCCGGCCAGCTTGTCCGAGTCGATCAGATGTTTCCATGCCTGGGCGTAGTCTTCCGTGTCATCGGGCAGATCATGGGTCCAGGGGACGTAGCCGACCAGCTCACGGCCTCGGATGAAGTCCCAGTAAGTGACATGCTCGTTGTCCTGCTTGTAGCGGTCGATAAAATGCTCGAATGTGCTGTTCCACAGGGAGTCCTGCACCAGTTTCTTAATCGTCTTGGCCTGGTCCTCGTAGTCGTCGGCGACTGCCTTGTTGCCTTGGAGGCTGGCCAGCTTGGAAATGGCCAGTGCGTTCGCGTATTGGTAGCTGTTGATGCTGGGACGGAAGGCAAAGCCACCGGTAAACCCGTCTTCTCCTCCCGAAGCATCGATACTAGAGATGGTATACTCGGTCGCATCAGTCAAGGGCTGGATCCAGTACAGACCCTTCGACGTGTCGTATCCACCAATATCCATGGTCGAGTTCCAGCCCTTGTACACCTTCTGCATGGCGTCGAGATGGGCGGTTGCATCGTCTGCCACGCCATCAACCAGGTAACCCTGCCACACACCGTCGGCCATGCTCTCGGAGAACTGGTAGGGGTTGCCGTTGGGGCCGTACAAGAACGTCGCATATTCATTCTTGAATCGACGATCGCGACACCATCGCCCCTCGCGCAGATGGAAGTTGGCCGCGTTGATCAGAAGCGCGTATGGCTGAACTTGCCAGCTCACGTCGACGATGAACTCGGTGGAGATATACCCGTATGACCCCAGATCACGCTGATGGGCTCGAAAGACATTCCAGCGATAATAATAGACGTCTTGGATCTCGGAGGCGCTGGATTCAAAGAGGGGAATGCGATCCAGGTACCAAGCTGCATCGTTGCCGTAGTATTGCTTGGTGATCTCCTCGGCATCGAGGGCAGCAGTTCCTAGGGCCAAGCTGGCCAAGGCCAGTGACGAAAAAGTCTTCATGTTGGAATGATTTGGTCACTTTGAGAGGAATCTGAAGTCGAAAACGGGGGATTATATAGGCATTGATGGGCGATGGGCCCATCGTGCGTATACTCTTGGCCGTCCGGTGGAGGGTGAGACAAATAGCATCATGCAGATGATATTTATGAAAGCCAAGATTCACGATTGGCTGGGCATGCGGGGATGAACCGGTTCCTGAGCGATCGGAAGGAGAAGTTTCCTGACTGCGTGCAATTCCTGTGGGATGAACCTTGCCAGTGTCGGGCCCCCACATTCTTAACTTCTTCACGTCTCCTGCGGGGGATCGGCGGGACTGCGAGAAATCTCCGTGCTGATTTATTGGATGGAAGATTGGGACAAGGATGAAATTAAAACAAAATATAAAAAAATGAAATAAAATCAACACAATCAAGGTAGAAAATAATAAAGGTATCAAAAAGATTTGAGGTGGACAGACACATGGTTTGCGCTCAATGATGAATGACGGATGAACGGACAATCTAAAAATAGTACGGAGCAGAGATGACGAGTTCCTTAACTCGCACCTCAGCTTAGTTTACTTTCCTCCAACTATATTGGGACTTTTCGGTATCTGGGTTTGGATTACAATTTTTTCATGACTCTATGATCTACTCTGAAAAGGATGCCTGTTAGAGCCGACATAATATTGCCGACGGCTAATGTCCATCTGTGACTGTCACTCTCATTGTCCTCGCAGACATGCAACGCCGCAATTCTTGCCTCAATTAATTGGTAGATCATGCAGTGTGGATATTATTCTTTTACGGGCATCGATGTATTAGAATCAGGCATTTCCCGTTGAATCTAAGTGGTCTATCTATGTGCTAAATATATTTAGACTTTGTAGGTGCTATATCTGTCATACACAATTTGGATTCTTTACTAACTGTTGGATATACTCCCCATGGTACAACATTATAATTTGCGATTTAAGTAGCTTTGAAAGCTCCTACAAAAAGAAGAGTTTATGCGCACCATAACTAGGCTCAATAACAATATAGAAAACCAAATCCGTTGCCAGTTACCTAGTGTCTTCAATGTCTTCAATTAGGATCGAAAAAGTGAGGTGTCCCTGTATTTGCTACTACGGCAGACAGAACGAAGCTCAAACAAAGAATTCTATAGCGTATGTTTCTCAGGCCTTCCTAGACTCACGTAGATCCGCGCACAGATCCATCCGCAGCATAAAGCGGCGAGAGGTGCATCGCCAGCCTTGTCTGAACCCCACTCCAACTTCCATCCTGAACGATAAATCTATCAACTACAAACCAGGAAAGCCATCATGGAGTCCACTTCCAACGCTCAGTCCTCTTCCGAAACCAGCTCCAACATCAATACCCTCGCCCACCTGATCCAAACCGGCCAGGCCAAAAACATCATCGTCATCGCCGGCGCCGGCATCTCCACTGCCGCAGGAATCCCGGACTTCCGATCCCCAACAACCGGCCTCTACCACAAGCTCGCGCCCCTGAAGCTCCCCTATCCCGAGGCAATCTTCCAACTCAGCTACTTCAAACACACCCCAGAACCGTTCTACGCGATCGCGCGCGCCCGGCATCCACGGAACCTGAAGCCAACCATCTCGCACGCCTTCTTGGCCCTCCTCGCCAAGAAGGGCCTCTTGGAGTTCGTCTTCTGTCAGAACATCGACAGTCTCGAGCTCGATGCGGGAGTCCCCAGCGACAAGGCTCTCTCCGTGCACGGGAACTGGAAATCTCAGCGATGCAGTACCTGTCGGAAGCCGTACCCTGGGTATCTGATGAAGCAGGCTATCGAGAAAGGCGAGGTCCCGTATTGTTTGCACTCGGGGTGTGGAGGGGCCGTGAAGCCGGATGTGGTTTTCTTTGGAGAGTCGCTCCCTGCGGCGTTTGATGTCGAGGTTAAACGTCTTCCGAAGGCCGATTTGGTCCTTGTCATGGGGACGAGTTTGAAGGTTCATCCGGTGGCGGGGCTCCCGAGACAGGTTGCTAAGGGCGTTCCTCGCGTCTTGATCAATAATGAGCGGGCGGGGGATATTGGGTATCGGGAGTCGGATATGTGTATCTTGGGATCGTGTGACGAGAGTGTTTTAAAGGTTGCGGATGCTTTGGGATGGAAGGATGAGTTGGAGGGTTTGTGGCAGGACGCGATGGCGAGGAAAGAGCAAGAGGAGCCGTATGATGGACCGGAGCTGGATGAGTTGATTGAGAGGTTGGCGGCAAAGAATAAAGACCGGATGGTCTCCGAGGGACATCAGAGTATGTTGGAGAAGCATTTGGCATCCAAGTTTGCAGGTGTGTTACGTGAAAAGCCGAATATAGGTTGAATATCATCGTAGAACCTGGACTCATGCAATGAGAAATCGGTCTTTTATCTATCGGTCTACAATTTAGGTTAGTGGCAGCAAGTCTTTAAACCAGTAACTGCTGCATTTATTTGACTGGACCCTGGCAACGTATTCCTTTACAATAGAAATTATATAAGATATTCCAAACGCAATCTAATAGAAAGGAATGATAATAGGATTTGACAATTGGAAGTCATTCCTCGTAGCAAAACAATATAACCGTCGACAACACGACCATAAAAATGATTATTCGACGTGTCCACCAGTCCTGGAATAGGGGGTCTACACACCGGCAAACCCAGCTCCCCATCCACCCGATTGCCAACCAGGAAGGTGTTGTGGGGTGGTCGAAGGGTTGTTGATGACATGGTCAACTGGACAAGTCAGGTGAATGTAAAGAGGAGTCCTAGTCCTCTTATCATATCGCTTTGTGCCAACATTGAATCCCAGCTTCGTGCACAATATCGCCATGGCAACTTGTAAGGTCGTTTTCTCACAGCCAAAGACACCTTCAATCACAGCGAAGCTCGATGGGATAGCCTTCAGGAGGTCAAAACAGTCTAGTCAACGCTGGTTCTACGCTTCATCTGGACCATCTCTTTGTATACTGCCGCGACCTCGTCCTCAGGGATTCCGTCCAAGGCGTTAATCACGTTGGCGGTGACTATGGACGGTTCGTTGCATAGCCAACTTAGGTTCACTGACAAATCTCCAAATAAGATGTAGAAATCCTTCCAACAGGGTCTGATTGGTAGCCAGGGCTTTTATATTTGCGATTCGGGTTGTCACATAAGCGCTTTGCCGATATGGACAGGGAAACACTCTTAGTAGAGGCTTCTTTTTATGTTCCTGGAAATGCGGTCAGAAAAGCAGTCGACGCGGCAGTCAGGTATCTATCCTGCACCCAACATCGTTCTTTGAAGTTCACATGAGCCGCCGACGAGCTTGCAAGACTAGGTTATGCATAACATCCAAGTCATGGTAGATGCTATGATAGATTATTTGACTGGTGTTCCGCAGGAGAATACCACTGCTGAATTCATGCCCATCTCCTTCCGATATGCAACGCGAGCAACAATGTTTTTGCATAGCATGGCAATTCAGTGGTTTATCATTTCTCACGGATAGGACTCCGGATTCGAAATTTTGTTCCGGTCGGTAAGGTTGCCTGGTGCTATACCGAAACGATCAATAGATATAGGACAGCAGCGAACTAGCCGAGTGCCACATTGAAGCGAGATTGGTGCTAGAATTATCGCTGATGAATCCAATTTCAGACGGGCTGTCACTCGATGTGATCAATTGTCAATAGCGCTCCACTGGAAGACTGGTTGAAGTTCTCCCTGCATGTCGAGATTTCCACAGGTTAGTTGGATTGTCTGTTTGGCCCCTCATGTCTAGCATGCTCTGCGAAATGAACAGATCTGTAATGGATTGTTGATTCCAAAAGGCGCAGGTAAACTGTGATCATATAATATCGATACACCAGCTGCGAGAATTTGGAAGCTGCTGGTGTATATGGATTCCCACACAGAATGAGGTGTCTGTCTTCGTTGCTCCGCAACGGTCGTCAAAGTCAAGACCAATTCCAATGCCGTCGTTGGTTAGGAAATAGACCACAATATAGCTGTCCTGCATTTCACGTTTTGGCTTTTTCGCCTCTTTGCTAAAACGCTTAGCCGTAGACATGGCAAGATGCCTATCCCATTGAAGACTTCAAGGGAACCAAACCTTGGGGATGACCGGTAAATAGACTTGCTATAAAGTACCGCTATCCCGAACCCCTCTCGGGGTACGATGAGGGAGGAGTCGAATTGGCCACAGTATGGCGCGAGAAGGCTCTTTGCCTCTTTGGCGAAATTGAGCCAGCCCTGGACTTGTTCAGGTCGTAAAAGAAATTGCGACCAATCGGGTCGAAGGAGCCGCAGATGAACATCAGCTATAGCCTTTCAATTGGCGGAGAAAATTCATGCAAGCATCTTTTGTTCGTTTCCCAAAAATGGGTCGTCAAAGTCAAGACAAATTCCGATGACCCCATTTGTTAAGAATGCACAATGATGTAACTGTCATGCATGATGTCTTTCGAATATCTGATATTCTTGCCCAAATTCTTGTTTATTCATACCCACTACCCCATAACCAGTGACGTCCGCATATCACTTCAACATCGTGATAGGAATCCATGCGTCTGTCTCAAGTCAACGGCCGTCTTCATCCGCAATTCTTATCAGCCATCTAGAATTTGCTCGCTGATTGTTCAGCTTTCTGTTGAACTGCTCGGCCAAATATGTGTCAACAATTTGGTTGGCACATGCAAAGTCGATACTGATAGTGTTGTGTCTGGTCATTTTTCGGCCCTGTCAGTCCTGCGAAGAACTCATCATTGGTTGTTTTTCTCGCACGGAGCGCTGGATTGTCTGAGAAAGGAATATTGGTGTTTTAATCTGTGGCTTCAAGCCGTAGCTAAGCACATGTTTGGACCATGACATATTGCAATATTATCTTCAAATAGCCAAAGGATCCTTTCAATGACGGTGAATATCGACTGGATAGCCTTCAAGAGGTCAAAAAGGTCCAGTTAAGGGTGGCTCCACGGTTTCATCTGGGCTGTCTCTTTGTATGCTGCCGCTACCTCCTCTTCAGGTATTCCGGCGAAGGTGCTCGCTCGACCCAATGCATGACTGAAATATCATAGTCTTCTCGGCATTTGAGTTCTGCCTCAGACCTGTGGTTAAATATTTTTATCATATAGGCTATGTATGCCTTTCTATCCATGGCGTGCCACACAAGAGCCTGTGGTTCAACAAAACCCGGTGTCATTTCTGCATCTCTTTAAAGCAAATCAAGCTGATCGGTTTGAGATGTCTTGTCCCCTAACAGGGCTAGACTATAAGATGTTCAAAAACACCCTGCCGTTGAACACTGGCAAAAGCAACTTCCTAGGATTTTCAGCAATCACAGGATCCCCGCGTGGGATGCGGCCCTGCTTTGAATACTCATTCGCGTCGAAGTCGTGTTTCCAAATATCGCCACGCTTTTTAACAGTCACTTTGTTGTTCAAAATGAGAGCAACTATCTAAGCATCAGTCAACCGGAAATTGTCTGGGAGCATGTCTTCATATTGATTGTAGCCACATCAACAGTATACACTGGCCAGACAGTGTCGTCGTCCTTTACTACCAAGAGATACTTTTCTAGGAAGTCCATATATATCTGGACGGCGTTCTTTGTCTCCGCAGGCTGGGTTTTGTCTTCTGACTCGTCCTTTTGAAATCTCCTCTGGTCTGATTATATTGCTGCATATTATAGCCATCAAGACGGGTTCGTAACGTACGAAACTGCGTCTTTAGATCTATACTTTTATAGCTCCCATTAAGGTCACGCTGGGCCAATTCTTTCGGCTTGTACTCCGTGTGCTGTCGCTCGAATTCCATGCAAATTTGGCCAGTTTCTCTGGAAGCAAGAAACAAATTGCTTGGTTGTATTGTCATATACACATTGTATATTGTCGAGCATTGTATGGTGGAGGTAACCCACTCCAACCAGTTGCAAGGTTTGTCTTCGGTCATGCATTTTGATATTGTCTCTAAGATTATGTTAGCACTTTGCCATTTGCTCTGGGGGTAATGGAATGGGAGCACCTGGACGCAAGCTTTATGACCTCGCACATCCAGCCTTTGGAACGCATTCCAAACGATGGTGAGCACTTTGGGTCATTTAAATTTGTCAGGCGATACAGAAGTAGGTGTAGTATCATTGGCGCAACGAAACGAGAGTGGGAATATGGGAGCCTCGTGGAGGTGGAGAGAGTTGTAAGAGGAAAGAAGGAGAATTATTGGGATGGGGAAGAGTGAATTATATAGCCCACCACAGTGAAGATAGCAAACATGAAGCTTTTGTCGGACATCGCCACTTGGGTGATGAACGAGGCAACCAACCACCTTCACTTTTGGCATTGAGGTGAATCCTCATAAGCTTCACGAAAGAACTATTCACCATGTAGTAATGTCATAGCAATAACTTCTAATCCGCCAAGTAAAGTCAGAGGTTCTGGTTGCCATCCACAGAGCCCAGATACATGCCAGCAAACTATCTTGGAATTTTGGTATTCTTTCAGTGTTTGTCTATTTCGTTTTCTCTTAGGAATCACTGAGACTATTTCATCAAGCGACACTACCCCAGTATTAGAAACTCGTTTCTTATAGATTGTTGGTATAATATATAGTTCCTGCTGTCTGCATCTGCCCAGCCGAGGTCTGCAAGGGATCATACAGTAAAAGTTAATACAGAGCATTTCTTATAGTTTAAGTTAGAGGGAGTTACCAGGCCTCTAACTTCGCTTTTTCCAAAGAAATATTAAACAGGAATGTACCTGTAAGACGACATTCCTAGTATTCCGTCATTCCATAGGTGCTTCATAAAGTGAAGGCCCGGATCAAGCTTTCCAACAGGCCTTCATGACCTTCACCTCTCAAAAAAAAAAAAAAAAAAAAAAAAAAGAAAAATTAGGAAACCGGGTAATATGGCTGCGGGATTATATAATGATAAGCAAAATTGCGTGCATTGGACGATGCACAAGGGATGGGCTACCAGAAGATAAACCAGGGAAATTATAAGCCAAGTCCACACTTACCCTAGTGATCCCACGGCTAAAACAATGCTTTAGAAATCACTCCGCTTATGATCCAGGCCTTTGCGTATCGCGGAACCTAGAGAGCCCTCAAAACTTCCAACTCCTCTCCTCTCGTCGGCATCTGCTACTGGCCACCCTCTTTCTGTTTCTCTCTCTCTCTCTCTTTTTTTCCCCCCATTTTTCTTTCCTTCTCGCAGTTGTGGGCAAACTGAGCCCCGGTCAACATAGTGAAGTTTGGTTCACACAGCCTTGCCATTCACTGCCAGTAACTAAACCCTCTCTCCAATTCTAGCATCCTCTCTCTCCTTTTATTCCACCCTTCCCCCTCCACATCTTCCTCTTCTTACTCCTTCATCTACATCCCCCGAACCAGTTCCTATCAGCCTTGGAATACTACCCTCGTCTGTTCTCTCCCTCTCCCTTTCTTGCTAAGCCACTTTTTCTTCCACTGCACTGCTAGAAATCCCTCCTTGGCAATGCAGATCCCTGCGGTGGGCCAAGAAGTCTTGGACCACCGCCGGTTCCAACGAGTACCCTATACAAGCCCACGTTTACCCCTTGCAAAGTTCTTATACTATTACCCCTTTCTTTCCTCAGAGCTTCCGTCCCCTGACAAAAGGCTCACCTTGGCTGGCAGAGCAAGCACTGCTTGAGCTGCTGGGGGTTCCGTGGGGGACGCCCATTTCGCGGCGTGGAGTCAGTGCGCCTAAAATTTTATTTTCATCTATTGCAAATCATGACATTCTACCAAATCTATCTCAAAATCACCGACATCCAATCGCCCCTTTTCCCTCAGAGCTTCCATCCCCCGATAAAAGTCTCACCTTGACCGGCAGAGCAAGCATCGCTTGTGCTGCTGGGGGTTCCGTGGGGGGCGCCCATTTCGTGGCGTGGAGTGAGTGCGCCTCAAATTCTTTTGAAAACTATCCCAACAAAAATTCTTACTTCGCTTGCCTCCCAATCATCTACATTAAGTCCCTTATTTTCTTCGAGTATGAAAGCAGCATGGGCATCGGGACGCTTTGAGTAGCGTGCTCGCTCCATAGCTTGCACCATAAAGCAAACAAAAACAAAAACCATCTCCTTGTGCCATCTTTTCTGTTGTTCCCTCGCCTGATCCTGTTTGTTACTTCCATCTCTCTCTCTCTCGCAAGCTCTTTTTTAAATTTCCTTTTTTTTTTCTTTCTTCTCTCCAATCGTGGCTATCTGTCGGCTTGCATCTGGCTGTCTGGTTCGTTTCCGCCTGTCCTGCATCAGCCATCATTCGCTCCTTGGTCCTATCATAGGAGATATCCGAATGCCTCGCTGTCAAGGTCTGTCCGTCTAGCCCCGGGAAGATCCCTATCACAAATGCTAATATGACATAGCAACCGCTCAATCTCATACACGATTTCTCTGCTGGGGACCGTCATCGGTATATCCGCAAGGCCGCCGAGAAAGTATCAGTTGGAGCCGACGGATTTCTTGAAATCGCAAAGCTGGGCACATGATATTGCCTGGTCACCAGTGTATCTACCATGCCTCCTGCCAATCGCCTATCTTTTGGTGGCCATTCCATGCATGGAACTCCGCGGGAGACCTCTTTGGTCACTTGTGATGATATGGATTACCTTCGACATACTGAACTTCTGCATGACGAGCATATCTTACAGTAGAGGGAGAAAATCATATTGGCTTCTTTTTCGTTGGAAAACCAAATCGAATGTGCTGCTGCCGCATGCTGTACCACCACACAAGGCTTTGGAAGACACGCCCGATATGAATGTTTCTGTCCTCCCAATAATGTCGTCCGGTCTCTCCAAGTGAGTCTTTCCCACCTCTGCCTTTCTCTGTATTTGCACGATATTAATCGCAATGCTACGTTTAGCTAAACAACACGTGCTTCGAACGGTAACATATCTGCGATACTGTCTTCGGAAATGGATCCACAACGGGCGATCAGGTCAAATATTCGATGGTTTTTGTGATACCAATGCTAGAACGCAGCCATCGAAATCACGCTTTGCACTTCCAACGGATACTGATGAAGGCCCACTGAATCATGCAACTTCGGTCAACCTCTGATCTTGTTGTGGCGGTTGTCGATACAATGCTTATGCTTGCGAGACTGCTACGACCAAAATTTCATGATGAACATTGTCGCAGACACGAACTGCTTCGAATTACCCATATCAGTCTTCTTTGTTTTTTACTTCTTCTGTCTCTTTCTTCCTGCAATCGACATTCGGAGGTGCAGACTTTCTCTAGTTAATTGGGTTGGCTCGAATGCAAATGTAGTGGCAAAGTCGTTAATTTTTCCTCGTAACCGGGGCGTTTCTGCCTGAGTCCCTCCGGCCTGAGTGCCTTAGATGGATCCAGGCTACCAGGCCCTCAGGCTACCAGGCATCCACAGTTGGGTGGGGCCGCAGGCAACAGTCACGTGGTGGATCGGTGCCTGGTTGCTGGCCTGGTCGTCAGCCAATCAGCGTGCCCGGGGGCCTGGAGTATAAGGCCGCCGTCAGCACGGGTCCAGGCTCGTATTCTAAGGTTCCCGACCCCAACGCAGTCCAGTGCCTCATCTTCGTCTTTAAAGGATGCTCATCATCCGGCATTGGATTTCGTCTTCATCAGCTTCCTCATCGTCTTTCATCCATTGGACATCCGTCTTCCATTCGACAAACTCAATTCCTCTACATGCGCTACTACTCATGACCCATTAGTGCTTATTACATCTACTTCTTCGTTCAACCTCATTGCGTCAACACAGCCTTGCTCATCGATTGCCTATCAACATATTCTTTCAGCTAGCACAATGCCGTCCGCATCATTCAAGCACTTTGTGATCTCGGTCGCCGGGGCGTTCCCCGGCTATAAGCAAGGTAACCAGATCCTCTCCTCGCAGCAATTAAAGTTTTACCACCAGTGGGCTAATTTCCGAACCAAAGCCGACCTGAAAGCCATTATTGAAAGCCGTGGAGCAACGTGGAGTCCCGGCGTCACTAGTGGTTGCACGCATCTGATTACCACGCAGAGAGAAATAAACAACCACAATACTAAATGTATGCTCATTTCACTATATCCCACCATCGAATGCTTTGATTGCTTCTATGATTGTAATCCCGGCCCTGATTCTTATGCTGACTCTCGCGCAACAGATGTGCAAGCTACCAAAGTCTACAACTGCAACATTGTCTCGGTGAACTGGCTGGTCGACTCGCACGAGGCGAATAAACCTCTTCCTGAAAAGGCCTATCTGTTTGGTACCAAGTCCGATGATGAGGACAGTGGGGACGAAAAGAAGAAGCGCACGTTGGAAGAGGCGCTCGATCTGACCGACGATCGGGCCAATAAAAAGCCTAAAGACGCACAGAAGGCCAACTCCAAAGCCATCAATGTCCCAGTGGACGAGGGCTGCTCGTTGAAAGGTAAGCTGAGCTTACTGAGATGTGATCTTACCGGTGCTAACATGCATGGTGATAGCGGTCCGCTCTGTGCATATTGATGATTCCGGTCTCATCTGGGATGCGACGCTCAACCAAACTGTCTCGGGAAAAAACAGCAACAAATTCTACCGCATCCAGATATTGGTCGACAAGTCTGGTTCCGACTTCAAGACCTGGACCCGCTGGGGCAGAGTTGGTGAACATGGCCAATCTGCTCTTCTCGGTGACGGTTCGCTAGAGACATCCGAAGCCGAGTTCAAGAAGAAATTCAAGGACAAGTCCGGTCTGACATGGGAGAACCGGCTTGATGCTCCCAAGAAGGGCAAATATACTTTCATCGAGCGCAATTACGAAGAGGACTCCGACTCAGATGATGAAGAAGACGAAAAGAAGGCCGTCACGAAGGAGAAAAGGCCCGAACCAGAGAGCTCGCTCTCCGTCCCCGTTCAAGATCTTATTTCGTTCATCTTTAACCCAGCACACTTCCAATCCGTCATGGCATCTATGTCTTACGACGCCCAAAAATTGCCTCTGGGCAAGCTCAGCAAACGAACCCTCCGAATGGGTTTCCAATACCTCAAGGACCTTTCTGAGCTCATCTCTAACCCTCGATCTGCGAACAGAAAGTACGGCACTTCCTTTGTAACAGCAACTGAGGACCTCAGCAACCAGTACTTTACGGTCATTCCACACGTCTTCGGTCGCCATAGACCACCTGTGCTCAACACCGATGCTCAGATCAAGAAAGAGATCGAGCTTCTTGAAGCACTGACCGACATGGAAGTCGCCAACGATATCATGAAAGAATCGAGGGACGAGGATACCATTCACCAGTTGGACCGCCAGTTCCAGAGTCTTGGTTTACAAGAGATGACTGCACGTACGTTTTCCCATCTCATGACTTTCCTCTCCCATTTTACTTCATTCAGCCCCTCTAACCATGCATCTAGTGGATCACAAATCCACCGAATTCTCCGAACTCTCGAGTTACCTTCTTCAGTCCCGCGGATCCACCCACCACTACAGATACAATGTGAGCTGTCCCCAACCCCGCCCACCCCATCCAAAACCCCCTAACACCTTCCCAGATCGTCAACATCTTCCGCATCGAACGCAACGGCGAAGAAGACCGCTTCCAGAACTCCCCCTACTCCACCCGCAACCCCAGCAACCGACGACTCCTCTGGCACGGCTCCCGCAGCACCAACTACGGCGGAATCCTCAGCCAGGGTCTCCGGATCGCGCCCCCCGAAGCCCCCGTCAGCGGGTACATGTTCGGCAAGGGCGTCTACTTCGCCGACATGTCGACCAAGTCCGCCGGATACTGCTGCTCCAGCAGCAGTGCGAACATGGGGCTCTTGCTTCTCTGCGACGTCGAGCTCGGCGACCCCATGCACGAGCTCGACCACAGCAGCTACAATGCCGGCGAGGAGGCGAAGCAGGTGGGGAAGATCGCGACGCTCGGTCGTGGGTCTTCGGTCCCGGCTGATTGGAAGGATGCGGGCTGCGTTCATCCCGATCTGAAGGGCGTGCAGATGCCGAATGTTACGGAGGGGTCGAAGTCCGTGACGGCGAACTGCCTCTACTATAATGAGTATATCGTCTACGATGTGTCGCAGATTCGGCAGAGGTATTTGTTCCAGGTTCATATGGGCTAGTGCATGGTTGATCGGTGGCGTACTGCGCTGTGTGGATGCCATGTCTTTGTTTGTGCCTTCCTGCTTGTTTTCTGCGTTCTTGCTTGATATTTTATTCCCGTTCGGTGTTTTTGCAATGTGGCATTTCATGGCGTTTGATTCAAGGGAGTCTGTAACACCATTTCAAGCGATAGCGGGCATTTTTAGGCATTCCTACTTTCCTGCATTTTTGAAGATTAAATCACGGAAATCTGCTACTGAGTCGATTGGCTTTTCAAAAGAGACAATTAGAAAGGAAATCAAAATAAACATCAAAATAGTTGCAGTCTACTCCATTAATTATTTTCAAGGGATTCAGAAAAAAATCACAAAGAGAAACAAGCTTGAAATAGTTCCTCTGAAGAAAAGTACGCTCCAAAAGCCTAAAGTAGCCGAGTTAAGCACGAGCGCTACAAGGATATCGACGACAAAATGGAGTGGAAGATTGCGAGAATGGAAGTGTAAGAAAAGCCATTGTTATATATAGTATGTATATACCTTTATCCCAATACTTTCGTGTCATGCTAGATTATTTTCGTTTTCTACTCTAAAACACCCAAAACCACACAGAAAGACGACAGAAACGCCACGCGTGAGCAACAAAACCAACCACTCTAAGTGCCTTTTACCAGCACATCTAAACTACAGGCAGCTTCAATTGCTGATGGCTAAGGTCGTGACGGTCCTTGAAGACCTCCGTGATGGGCTCGAGGCAGCCGGCAGCGGCGGCGAAGAAACCGAGGAAGGTCTTGCTGGGAGCCAAGACACGGGACAGGTATTCGGGATGGAACTGGACACCGACGTACCACTTGTGGTCCTTCAGCTCGATGATCTCCATCCGCTCGCCGGCCTCGTCCTTGCCGATGAACGAAAGACCGCCGGCCTCGAGCTTCTCGATGAGCGCGGGGTTGACCTCGTAGCGGTGACGGTGGCGCTCCCAAACCTCCTGCTTCTCGCCGTACAGCTTTCGTAGACGCGACCATTCGGAGCCCTCCTGGAAGATGGTGGCGCGCTTGCCGAGACGCATGGTGCCGCCCATTTTCGACTTGTCGATTTCGGGCATGTACACGATGACGGGCTGTTCGCATTGTTCGTTGAACTCGGCGCTGCCGGCCTTGTCCATGCCGCAGACGTTGCGGGCAAATTCGACGACGGCCAACTGCATACCCAGGCAGATACCCAGGTAAGGGACGTTGTTGGCACGGGCCCACTGGGCACTCTTGATCATTCCTTCCGTGCCTCGCTCACCGAAACCACCCGGTACAAGGATACCGTTGGCGGTTGTGAGGTGGTGCCAGGCGGTGTAGTACTCTCCCGGCTTGTTGATTCGGTGTTCCTCTTCCAGGTTGGTCGATTCGACCCAGATGAGCTGCAGCTTCCGTCGGCAGTGCATGGCAGCCTAAGGCTGTTGTTAGTATACGATCATTTTCAGGACATTTGCGAGTTCACTCACGTGTTCCAGCGCCTTGCTCACACTCATGTAGGAGTCATGCAGACTGGTGTACTTGCCAACCAGGGCGATCGTGACGGTCTCGAACACGTGATCCTGGCTGAGAGCCAGACCCTGCCATTCCTGCCAGATGACCTTGCCGTATTCCAGGAGTTTCGGCTCCTTCGGGATGGCATCGATCTTAAGGAGTTGGCTGATGGTGTAGAGGAATCCCTGCTTCTCAAGGAGAATGGGAACCTGGTAGGTAGTCGACACGTTGTGGACTCCGACAACCTGATCCCGTTCCACCTGGCAAGAGTTGGCAATCTTTTGGATGGTAGCCTCTTCCAAGGGCGTTTCGCAACGGCAGGCAATCAGATCCGGCCGGAGACCAGCACTTCGCACATCGCTGATGGCTCTTTGGGTAGGCTTCGTCTTCTGCTCCGATCCGATCAAAGGAACGTAGCTGACTTGGATCTGCAGGAAGTTGTCCTTTCCTGCGCGTCGCTGAAGCTGGGACATGGCCTCGACGAAAGGCGCACTCTCGATATCACCGACGGTTCCACCCAACTGGAGTAATAAAAATTAGCTTTCGTCCGATCTATAATCAGCATTCCGCACTTACTTCGACTATGGATAGTATGTTAGCCATCGTCCTCGAAAAATGGTCAAGAGTAAAACTTACTGATGCAAACGTCAGGTTCCCGTCCAGACTCGTCCACCGCAATCCGAGCAACTCGCTCAACCCACTGAAAACCAATTAGCTCGGCTCACAGCCTCATTTTCAATGTCTGATTTAACGTACGTTTTGGATCTCGTTGGTAAGGTGCGGCACGATTTGGACTGACGATGTCAGTACCGAAGACGAGGACCCAACAGGTCTGTCAACCAACCTGTCTTTCCAAGGTAATCGCCACGACGCTCTTTCGTGATGACGTGGTGGTAGATCTTTCCCGTCGTGATGTTGTTGTCACCTCCCAGCGTCACACCCAGATAACGTTCATAGTTTCCGAGATCGAGATCGGTTTCGGCACCATCGTCGCAAACGAACACTTCACCGTGTCTTTTGTACAGTCAATTTCAATCCACCGCGGAGACCGAGGAGCAAACAAGGTGGGGAACGCACTCTAGAGGCTATTCCACAAAAATGAGTCAGCCGCTGTACACCACCAGCGTTGGGGATTCGACAAACTCACGTTCATAAGACCCGCATCGATGTTCAAGTAGGGATCGATCTTGATCGTGGACACGGTCAACCCCGCAGTCTTAAAGAGCAGACCACAGCTGGAGGCGATAATGCCCTTTCCCACACCGGAGATCACACCTGCCAGGCAAATTTAGAGGCATTGGCGACAAAAAACGAAGGGAAAAAACACATACCTCCAGAGACCAGAACGTACTTCATGTTGGCAGGGGTGCAACAGCGTGATTGGCAGAAGAATGCTCAAAGATAGCCCTCCTGGTGGAATACCAGGGAGGGGGGGAGAGTGAAAAAGCGGATCTCCTGCTGGATTGAAGATAAAAAAAAAAATTCCTTACATAACGCTCACGTGGGCGGTGGGCAGCGGCAATCGCGGGGTACCGTCATTGGCTCTGCCCGACAAAGCCGCCCTTGCAGTAGGCGGTCGCCGCGGCGGTCGTCTTGCTTTTCCTCTTTCTGTTCTTCCACTTTCCCTCGTGAGCTGAGCTGAGCTTGGGGATCGCAGCGAACCGAGGTTTGATACTCGATGGACCGGAGTATTTTGCTTTCTTATTATAGGATTATCCCCAGTATATTTTACATGCAGCTGTCAACCATCAATTTTCTCCCCTTCCCCGGCACCTCCCTCGCCCTATTCTCCCAGTCCGAAATATATATCACACCCTCACCTCCATCACCGTGACCTTAGCCCAATTTCAACGTCCAATGTAGATATATTTCGTCCCTGAAGTCTCCGTACATGGCACATGAACATTATCCGACGTCTCATCCGCTGCGACCTTCCACAGTTGCGTGCAATTCTTGCAGTTTTTCTCGCATATCCCAAACATATCGGGCGCTCCGAGGATAGGGCCTTCGCGACGGGCTTTCATGGACAAGAAGTAGTGATTCTGAGGGAGTTCAATTTCAAAGCAATTATGCCGGCCTTGCGTTCGGTCGAAAGTCCACTCGAAGTGTAGATGAGGGCCATGGCGCCGAGGACAGCTTGGATCGTTCACGTCAAGGACGCCTTCATACTGGGCGCTGGAAAGTCGAGCGAGGAGCAGCACGATGAGGAAAGAGACGGATCGCATGCTGGAGGGGATGGAAAGGCGAGAGAGGATCGGAAACTCAGGAAGAGACTCGGGGTATCGATCTAGACCCGTGGGCAGACTACGGTGCTATATATCCGCATGTTTGTACCCCCTACTTGGTGAACCCATGTTACACCTCCCCAGGCAACTGAGCTATAAGCGCCATGTCTAATAAATTCCGTGCTCTGTGGCACCCACTTGAGAGCCTGTCACAGGGTCGACGGGCAGATGCTCATTTAACTACTGCTCTAGAAACCGGCCTGGATCTGTGGTGGCTTGAGTTCGGGAAGCTGGCGGAGCATGGGTGTTTTTAGTGATGTACCACTTGGGAGATTTTGGTGTGGTCTGATTTAATCTGCCAAGGCTTCAAGCGGCCCTGCATCTCCGATTCGACAGAGGTTGAGCTGGCGAGAACGTTCGACCGGTTATTGGAAGACAAAGAAGCGAGGGCACGGTGTCACATCCAGCGCCAAATCCTTGCGGATCATCGGAACATCGGGCCAATGGCAGTCCTGAGAGTATCGACGGCATGCAGCGTGGCTGGTGGGTTGTAGATGTATGCTAGTGCCGGTCAACATTGAGCAGCCAGTGCTCATCCCATGGATAGGAATATCTAGAAATAGGCACTTGGAATATTATGAGAATGTCAAGAGTTGTTCGAGGCAAAGCTTATCAATCGATCACGTGCTGAGATAAGCCGTCAACAAACGATTTTCTCATCGATCGAGAGACCATCGCATCCACAACCCTTGTAGATTCGTCTCGAACCCGGCATGAAACGGACCTATGAGGTGAATTTCCTAACCCCAAATCGCTAGCATGATCTAATGCACGCCAGAACGCCCTAAAATTGCTAGAGACGCGAAGGCGCAAAGTCCGACCGAAGACGCCGACCGTCTCCACTCCAAAGAATGTGGCCACCGCGAATGCGAGCCTGGGCCTGAGGGGATTGCCAAGCCTAGTAGGGATGAGGGAGTGGCTGCAGCTTCTGGGACATTCGGTTTGTGTCTCCAATCACGAAGATAGGGCTGCATGGTCATCTGACCGTGTCTAGGACGACGATGTCAACAAACTGAACATAATCCACGTCACCGGAACCAAAGGCAAAGGAAGCACCTGCGCTTTCACGCGCAGCTTTCTGCATACACATCGCTTGAGGACGGGGTTCCCTACCCGAATCGGGCTGTATACGTCTCCGGCCCTGCAGTGTGTTCGGGAGCGAATACAGATCAACAATCATCCTATCCCGAAGGAGTTGTTCACGAGATACTTTTTCGAGGTACATGAGCGGCTTGTATCTCCGGTCCTGGAATACGATGCGCGGAGTAAGCGACAGCCGCGCTATTTGCAATTTTTGGCGTTGATGGCCTTTCATGCTTTTATTAGAGAGAACGTCCAGGCAGCGATCTTCGAGACTCACCACGGCGGAGAATATGATGCTACCAACGTGATAGAAAAGCCCGTGGTGACCGGTATAACATCGTTGGGACTGGATCATATCGATCAACTCGGCCCGACCATCGAAAACATTGCCTGGCATAAATCGGGTATTTTTAAAGCTGGTGCACCGGCATTTTCGGTACCTCAGGAGGCCGGTCCGTCCGAGGTTTTGAAAAGCCGCGCTGCGGAGCGAAACACGATCTTAAGATTCGCCTCTCCTATTGGGTCTCTTCCAACTGACAATAGGGTACTCAGTGTACCCGTACAGCGATTGAACTGCTCACTGGCCCTGGATCTCGCCATGGCATTTTTACAGCTGAAAGCGCCAGGGCATAGTCTGAGCGCAGACGATGTCATCGGTGGAATCAAAAATTTCTCGTGGATGGGGAGATTCGAGGTGATAGATGACGGAGCGTCTCAATGGTTTGTTGACGGGGCGCACAACACCCTGAGTCTGGAGCAGACTGGAGCATGGTATGCGAAGAACGTCAATGCCGAGAGCCCACGAAAGTAAGTAGATTTGAAACTGAAACCCGATGGGGTCCATGGACTAACACCTCCGACGTTGCATCAGACGCCGGGTGTTAATTTTTAGTCACTTCTCGGAGGACCGCGACGGGATTCAGCTTCTGGAGTGCATAGCACGCACGCTGTTTGAAAACGATGCAAAGCCGGATCATGTCATATTCACTACATATCAGGAACGGGAGGATGGGAGTACGCGAATCGGTAGGTATGAATCGCATTCGCAACGGTCACTGGCTGACGATACCTGGTAGATAAAACACTCAAAGCGCCGGAGACGCCTTTCCCGGACCTCTGCGCGATATATTCGTCCCTGTGGAAAGCGTTTGATCCCCAGGCTATGGTGTCAACTGACCCCACGATCGAAGGAGCGATAAAACAGGCCAGGAAGATAGCGGCCCGGGAGGGCGACATGCAGGTCCTTGTCACAGGAAGCCTGCACTTGGTGGGAGGAGCACTTAATCTCCTGCGACCGTAAATCTCAGAGTGTTGGCTGGAAACTCAGATATCACCCGCTCCTATGCCGTTGGGATTCAGATTCAACATAGCGACAGCCGATGGCAAACACAATATAATCCTTAATTCGATATTATACGAAAGCGCCTATCATGTTTCGCTCTTTTTGCTTTGATACTTTCTCATCCTTGTTTGGAAGGATTGCGGAACGGATCAGCAGCGATTTGTTGGAACTATCGCGCCCTCGACCCCGAACGAGGCATCTCCTTAACTCGAGCAGATCTTTCGAGGATGGGAGAAACGTCAAGATCCGGAAATGACCGGAGGTGACCCATTGGATTGACCTTTAGATGGGGAGATTAAAGAAGGCAGGCGAGATTCCCGCGCCAAAGCCTGTATCGAGTCGCTAAAACATCCCCCACAAGGACTTTTCCAGTATTGTTGTTATCCTGCGACAGATGATCAATACGGAGCACATTCTGACCGGGACATCATCATGCCAAAGCCAGCCAACTAAATACGACAGGATTTAGATCGGCTGGGGTCGCATCCATCCATCGAAGGATCCTCAGACAGGGATGTTGGTTGCTTGATCTCATGCGTAATAACCATACACAAACAAGAATTGATATCGGCAGGAACTTTATCCCGGCGGGTCTGAGACTGTGCCTGTGCCCATTGCCCATTCATCAATCTTTTCGTTGTCTGCGTTGTGTGGCAGAACAAAGACGACCGCTCCGCCTGATGCCAAGGAAGTGGTGGACATTAAACGGAGGGTTGATTGATTCCTTTGGCGCCACAACGGGCCAATATCCTCGCCCCCCAAGGCCAACACAGCCCACATGGCTTGTTTCACAATCCCATTTGGCGCTCGGTATTACTAAGAAACCAGCTGAAGCCGGGATTGACTAGCTGCACAGCCGGCTAGTGTCGCTGGGGCCGATCAAGGGTCCCGATGACTGCGCGGGTCCCGGATGGTCGGGCTATACTCCACCATTGGCCTGGCAGTCTCTTGGGTAGGGCCGAAAGGGTCTTGGAAGGCGAACTAGAGAAATGCAGAAAGTTGGATGTAACCATCTGACCTATCGCGGCCCTGGAACTGCAGACTGCTCCTATTCCTGGACAATGGGGGTGGTAAACGCCCAGTGCTTGGGCTTGGGGGTGTTCTTGTCTTCGGGTTTTATTTATGGACTCTCAGGTCCTCCTTGTCCGTTGGTTCTTTCTTTCTTTCCTTCAAAATTTGCGCTGCTCTCCACACTCTTTACATTTTGCCCTAAGGTGGCTGGGACCACTGAAAGAAGTCATTCCTTTAACAATACACTCCTTCAATCGACATCATGCGTGTCAACACTGTGAGCAAAGCGCCTCTGGGCCTCCTGGCCCTGTACGCTACTTCGGCATCTGCCTTTTGGCGTATGATGTGTCCTAGTCGGCTTGTTCAGCAACGTGCCGACCCGATTATGAGCCCCGGCGAGGTGGCTGGCCATGTGCACACCATCTCCGGAGGAAATGGCTTCAAATTCGACATGAACTACGACGACGCTCGCAACTCGGACTGCTCGTCGTGCCCCATCAAACAGGATCTGTCCAACTACTGGACTCCCAAACTCTACTACCATGCCGAGAACGGTAGCTTTATCAGTGTTCCCCAGATTGGCGACCAGTGGGACAACACTGGCGGAATGAACGTGTACTACTTGTATGTGGCCAGGATGCTCTCGTCTTCCTCCCTTTCCTATTTCCACCGTTTGGTCGGATCCACACTGCAGTAACTAACACACACCCCAGCCAACGCGGCGGTCCTAACCAGGACGAAATCAAGGCCTTCCCCAAGGACTTCCGCATGGTCGCCGGAGATCCGTTCAAGCGTAGCTTCGACGACGACAAGCCCTCCCAGGCCGTGAGCTTCGTCTGCCTGGACTACAACGCCGAGCCGAAACCCGAAACCAACGAGTTTCCCAACGAAAACTGCCCAGACGGTCTTCGCGTGCAGGTCTTCTTCCCCAGCTGCTGGGATGGCGAGAACCTGGATTCGGACGACCACAAGTCTCACGTCGCGTACCCCGAACCCTTCAACGACGGCTCCTGCCCTGAGAGCCACCCCGTCCATCTCGTCTCCATCTTCTACGAGGTCCTTTGGAACACCGGCGTCTTCGCGGACGAGTGGTACGGAGACTCGCAGCCCTTCGTCCTGGCCAACGGTGACCCCACCGGATACGGATTCCACGGTGATTTCGTAAGTCTTCCTCCTCGCTTGGCTGCCGCCTGCAGCGTTCCCCTTAACCACTTTCCTCTTCCCGCAATCACAACTAACACGTCAATAGATCAACGGCTGGGACATCGATGTGCTCCAAACCGCCATCGACAAGTGCCTGAACCTCAGCGGCAACCTGGAAGACTGCGTCGACGAGAACGGAACCCCCGTGTTCGAGTTCTTCTCGGACGAGGAGTGCCAGCAATGCTCGCTTCCCAACCTCGTCGATGAAGACATCGACGGCATCTTTGAGAACCTGCCCGGCTGCAACCCACTGACTGGGGGCCCTGACCGCGCGGAACCCGAAGAGTGCGACAAGCCTGCCATCCTGGAGGCGCCTGCTGAGAAGCGCAAGCGTCAGCAGCATGAGCATCTTGCTCGCCACCGTCACGGCGCTCACCATAAGGCGTAGACTTATGAAGTGCTGGATGGGAGAGGGCTCTAGGAGGCGTGGTTCGATGGTCTTAGAGATATGCTATTTTTATATTTATATAACTGGAGGAATCAAACTTATATGCTTGTAATTTTAGTTTTCTAAATAACATTCTGATCGTGAAAGTACGCACTGTATCACCACCTAACCACCAATCCATGTAATCAAAAAACCGCCAACAGTTCTTCCATCCCATTCTCGACACCCCACGCTTCCGAACCAACAGGCGAGTAGATAGATCAGGATATAGATCCGAATCAATAGTGAAGCTGCGCGGTCTTCCCTTCCCCTCCGGAAACTTTAGCTCAAAGCAAATCAAGATCCGCGCGAGAATCATCTTCATCTCATTGACGGCGTGACATGATTGGTTCAATTGCAAAAAGACATACTAGTGTTTAGAAGACCCTCTTTAAGTATAGTGCCTTTACATAGTTTTCCGGGGCTTTGGCCACTTGTATAAAAACCATCAATTTCATATTCTGAAGACCAGCTTTCGACCATAGTGTGCGATATACCCATCCAAGTTGCATGAGTCTGTTCCTTCAGGAATACTTCGGTTGTGATCATGTTCGTTGCCTTTAAGTTGATACCCCCATTTTTGATGACATCAAGGTAACTAAACCCCATCTTATCAGCTGTCGATCGCCCTATCTCGCAAGGCTTCACGATCCCCCACTCTTGTTATCTCCACGGCTGATAACGCATTCTGCATTATGTCCGCTTTATATACCCCACATAGACGCTAGCCACGCCCCTCGAAAACAAATCATAGAACTATTCAAACACACATTCACAATGTGGTGGCCATTCTCCAGAACCAGCACAACGAACAATCCACCTCCCCGAGGTCTCCCAGCATCATGGTACCGCTCCGAAGCAATGTACCAGCTCGAGCGTCGCGCCATCTTCTCCAAGAGCTGGATCCTACTCACTCATTCCAGCCGATTCACGAAACCAGGCGACTTCCTCTCCTTCACTGTCGCCAACTTCGCCTTCTTCGTCATCCGCGATCGAGACGGCTCTCTCAACGCCTTTCACAACATCTGCCGCCACCGCGCATACCCAGTCGTCCAGTCGTCCTGCGGCACAGCCTCCATCCTAGCCTGCAAATACCACGGCTGGTCCTACGGCCTGAAAGGTAATCTATCCAAAGCCCCGCGCTTCGAAACAGTCCCCGACTTCGATAAAACGAAACACTCGCTTTTCCCTGTCCACGTCCACACCGACAAATCTGGCTTCGTGTGGGTGAATCTCCAAGCGGGTGAGACGCCCGATGTGGACTGGGACGAGGAGTTCGATAAGATCGACGAGCAGCCGCGCATGCAAGATTTCGACTTCACGGGGGACTACGCTTTCGATCATTTCTGGGACATGGAGGTGGATGCGAATTGGAAGGGCCTGGTGGAGAATTACAACGAGTGTTATCACTGCGCGACATCGCATCCGCTGATCCGTGGCGTGTCGGATCTGCCGAAGTATCGGGTTGAGCCGAAGGCTGGGTACATGGAGCATCATATTTATAATAAGGAGACGAGTGATGCGCAGTTTAAGCGGGCCATTACTTACTTTTATCCGACGACGTCGGTGACGGTTACGTATGTGTCTTGGAAATGGGGAAGGCGAGGATATAAGTGCTGACTGGGTTCGATAGGGATAAGTTTTTCTACATCCAGCGCATGATCCCGGTGACTGCTACGACAAGCAGGGTTGAGAATGAAGTTTATCGGCACCGGAATGCGACGGACGAGGAGTTTGATAATATCAATGCTTTTTATAGGCAGGTGTTGGAAGAAGATAGGGAGCTGTGTGTTGGCGCGCAGGAGAATCTCAGCGCCGGGGTTTTCACAAATGGCGAGTTGCATCCCAGCAAGGAAATGGTAAATCTCATGCGTGCTCTTGGAACATCCTTTGCGATTTCTAACTAACGAGATTCACCAGGGTCCAATTCATTTCCAGGACAGGGTAAGAGAAGCAGTGATGGAGCATCGCCGCAAGGAGGAACAGAACGGCGGACAAACAATCTGGCCTGCAACGCCATCAGCGCCTTTGATGACGCAGAAATTACAGGAGGAGGAATCATTCTGTTCAAAACTAGAGGCCGACAGTTGTATGGAAAGACCAGAGCTGTCATGGTAATGCTGTTAAAAACGACATGAAAGCAAACTCAAGGATAGGAATCGAATCAAACCCCAAATGAGACTACATCCCCAGTCCTAATAATCTCTCCATGTATACCTCATCCCTGTCAGCCCATCCTCTACAAAACGATAACCTTCGGAGTCACACACGCAGAAGGGATTTTCGTGGTCGGATTATCGCCACACATCCTCGCTCCCCGCGTCCAAAAGATCCGAGAAACAGAAGCCGCGGCGGGACGAGACCCAAGTTCCGTCAAGGTCTTCGCGTCAATAACGCCAGTGATAGGACGAACGCGTGAAGAAGCGCAGGCCAAGTACGACGAGGCGTTACAATACGCCAGCGAAGAAGGCGGACTGGTCTACTGGTGCGGCAACACAAACATCGATCTCAGCACATTCGATCCGGACACGGAAATCACAGAGCAAGACGCCGGAACATCAGATACCCGCGTTCAGTCTCTTGTGTCGAACCTCTCATACAAAGGAGACGATATCCCGAAGTGGACGCCCCGAAATATCGGTAAGGCGGTTGCGCTGGGCGCATCGGGGCCTGTTCCGGTGGGGACGGCGCAGGAGGTGGCGGATGAAATGGAGCGGTGGATTGACATCGCTGATCTGGATGGGTTTAATGTGGGACATATCACTACGCCGGGGACCTGGGAGGATGTGGTCGAATTCCTGGTTCCGGAGTTGAGGAGGAGAGGGAGGTATGCACCGAAAGGGGAATCGGGAACGATGAGAGAGAGGGTGTATGGCAGTGGTCAATCCCGATTGAAGGATGATCATCACGGATCGAAGTTCAAGTTCGCAGTATATAGGAAGTGAGGCATTGGTTTTGTCGAATCATTTGTGTCTATGGTTCATATGCACGGAAGAAATATGAAATCGTTCTAGACGGATATCGGCAAATAAGTGGTTGGCCCTTGCTCGTCCGCACGATTTGACACCTCGTCGATCAACTAGTTCATAATTGATCTAGCAATCTTTGAAGGTTGTGGCTTGCTGAGACTTCGTATTAAGTGCGCTATGTGGCTGGTTGATTGTCCGTAATTGCAGCAGATCGTGTCTCCGAACCCTTGGCTATAAGGGATTGGTCTTCTTCCTTTTTCCCTTTATTGGAGACAAATCGGACGATCAGGCGATGGGGCCAGACTAGAGAACATAGTGAAAGACTATTGCAGGGATTTAGTGGATGTAGAAGTCAATGATCGCAATGGAAATTTCAAGATATTTCCCAGTACGGAGTACATTGCGGACTGGACTATTAACATTGATTGATTTTCTAATATATTTAGTCCTAACTACTATATCTAGCCATGCTCATATATATTCTATTCCTTCAACTAAAGTTCAACTAGAGTTCATAATACCCTGTCCCCTGGACCAAAATAGAACAACTTTTGAGTTTTCGTTATGAAAATCTCTTTAGAATGTGATATAAAAGTGATTAATCCGAATGGCTAAAGACCCACCTCACATTGCATTTTATTGATTCTAATTCCGTTGCTTTCATCTGCATTCGTCAGGAATTAAACTTCCATCCACAATATCATGATCGTCGTGTAATATTGTGATGCCAGACGCCACAAAGACGTCCTGCCGTCAATAGCGTCAGTCTAACCCGAGCTTGACAACTGACAAGACGAACCTCAATACTAATGACGATGCCAAGAATACAACCCTAGATCTACCTGACCGTATTGAACAATAACCTCAATGTAGACTGAAATACAACCATACAGCGGTAACCCCGGAGAGTCGGTGACCTCCCCAGCATGTTGCAGCTCCAACGCCAAGGATCCAAACCAAGGTCTTCTATGCGGTCTCTGCTGCGTCCGCTCCATTCCTCCTGGCTGGGCACTGATCTTGGCGCTCCGGCGAGTCGGTGACTGCTGCCGTACTCCGTGTCTAGGAGTCATGCTAGGTTACGTAGACACTATGTCAGGGGGAACCCTACAGTTCAGCAATTATGTAAGGGGGAGGCGGTGCATCCGACACACTTGATTCTCTTGAATGGAAAGACAACTAGGGCTGGGGCCTTAGCAGTACGTCTGCGGCGTCTACGGGGAAGCGGTTGTCCTACGTCGTGTACTGTGGTCTGGCTGAAACCGGGTTTCTACTGCGCGGCATCCCTTCGTTTGGGGCTGGCTGCCTAGCGGTACGTTGACGTCAACATGCCGGTGAGGATTGAGAACTGGGCGACGACGGGTTGATGCTAGATAGAATTCTTTCATGCTAGATTCAAGGGTTTGTTATAGTCAAGTTCTAGGTATAGGTATCTGGTGTATTCATGTATGAACTTTTCCCCCTTGTCTTGAGAAGAGATGAAGAAAGCAAATTAAGTATCAATTGTCAAAGTAGTTTGTTTGCGGGTGTTGTATACATGCAGTGTCGATCTAGTATTTTACCTTGTGTTACTCAGCTTGTCACCAGGACACTTTTGGATGGTTTAATACATTCTAGTAAACAGGTCAGAACGCTTTGAGAGTAACTAACCTTCAATTCGAATATCATGCTAATGTAGTAATAATTCTAGTATATCTTTCAATCGTTTACAGGCAGATAAAGCAAGAACAATCTAAGCAGGGACCTAATACAGTCCCAGCAGCCCTAGGCTACACATCATCCAACACAATCCCATCCCCCAAACACCAAACAATTTTCATTCCAACTGCAGCGGCCCATCCAGAAACTGCACCCCCTCCGGTCTCGTATACTCCCCGTTCTTAATCATCTCGAGGATGGTCTTCTCCGTCACCATCATAGCCTCAACACCGGCCGGCGTACCACAGTAAACCATGGAATGAATGACGGCCTCTCTGATCTCGAGCTCTGTCACGCCATTGTTGATGGCCCCGCGCGTGTGCAGCGCTAGTTCCAACCACGCCTTCTGCGCAATGATGATGCCAATGGCTACGGATGCGTTAGCCAGCTGTAGCGGCATTTCCAACTTCCGCCCTACTTACTCAACAGACTCCGTTGCTTGCGATCCAGCCCGTCACGCTGCCACACATTGCCCCACGCATATTCGGTGATCAGCTGCTGGCCGGGTCGCGTGAACGGCGACGCCTTGTTCCATGCGGGGTTGACGTATTCGGTGCCCAGGACCTGGCGTCGCACGTCAAGGCCCTCCTCGAGGGGCGTCAGGGGGGCTTGGCCTTTTTGTCGGTATGCAGACATGGTATGGTGGTAGGAAGGGAGAGTGAAACTTGGAGTGACTTTGTCGATACGAGAGCAGAGCGAGGGAAGGTCGGGGATTAAAGAGGGGAAGAAATCGGTACTGGAAGGACTTGTGCGCTCAGGGCATCTGGGTGGAGGAGTGGCAAGCTATTCTTATGGCGTGCTCCGCCCAGTGCATGAAGTCGTACTTTGTATTTGTTTACGATGCTACTCTGCTACTGCTCGCTACGGCATGCTAGTGCAGGGCGTCGAAGGCGTTATGCGGCCGCTGCAGGGACTCATCCTCAGCGGCGCCACAGCTCGGTGCCTCCCCCCTGTCGGTGGTGACCTTAATCTAATTAACTTTGGTCTGAAGGACATTCATGCAGAAGATCGACGATCTGACGCCGGCATCTTGGCAGACGCTTGTCGGTTTCCTCCGTTTTCACATTCAACGGGGCTTGGATATGCCGCCGTTCGCCGATTCCAGGGGCCACAAACCCGATGGCAATCGTCATTTCCGCCCGATTGGAAACAATGCGATTGCGCGGCCTCAGACGCGCGAGGCGAGGAACAAATGTCCGGTTGACTTTATAGTTACTCCGATCCAGCCCCGACTAACCCCTGACCTTTCCCGCAATACCCGGTCCTCTTCCGCCGTTTCCGTTCCGCAGTGGCCGCTTTTCTTCCGCACGCGAACCCCCGTGGCTGGCGGGTCTGCTCGACATCGCCCCTATTCTGGTCTAATTGCAGATCAAAAGGCCTCGGCATCCCGGCTCTGCACCGGATGTGTACTTCCGGCCACTAGGGCCCCTAGTGTTTTGCATGTGATGGGTTGAAGCGATATCACGAAGGACTATTCTCGGAGAGCCCGATCAATGAAGGCCGATGAAGGCAGGATCGTAGAATGAGGTGCGCAATGTGTCAGAGTTACTTGTCAGGAATCGATCGTGCATTGTTGCCAAGGAGATGAGCAAATCGACACCGACGGCACTGAATTGCTTGTTCTCGCCACTGGCTAACCGAGCATCCCTTGGTAACCATAGCATACTAGGACCTTGCCTACGAGGTTGCCAATTCTCGAGAAAGAATGAAGTCGCTTTCAAACTCCCTCCAGCTATAATCCCATAACTTAATCTTCCTTGTTTGTTCCTGACGTACCCGAGAACCTTCCGCAAAACTCTGTAAACTAGCCGATCCCGCCTGTCGGGGTTTTTCTTTGCTCCTCAAGGAGTCCATGCGTACGGCAGGCTAATGGGATGAGTTTGTATCGTGTTCTGTCATGCTACTCTACGTAGAGTATAATCAATTTGTCGTTAGCGATATTAATACTTTTTATCGCTACTACATTCTCTAGGCGATCAATAATGGCATAAAAAAGAGAGCTATATAAGGGTTGGACTTGGCTGCAGGAAGTTTGTATTCCATTGGAATTCCTAGAAATCCACAGGGGTTTTTCAACTCAGGACTGTATATACCTCCTACTATTACGCTGGAGTGATCAATTCAAGACAGCCACAATTGTCAGAAGGAACCTGCAGTGGATCCCAAGCAGAGAATTATATCCCTTGTTAACTCCAAGGGCCCGGAATTACCTTATGTTTCACCCCTATGAAACCATAGGTCGATCCGGTTAGGTTATCATTCTGAAACTTTTTCCCGTTTATTTAGCTATGAATTAGATTACCCTCAGTAACGAATTAATCAAAACATTTTCTGATTCCCGAGAACTATAGGACACTTGCATATCTCGATCAACACAACAATATCAGTAGCAAGCCACTTGGGTATTTCTGATGTTCAGCGTGATAATCAAAATCAGAATCAAAGTCAAAGCAAGGCACTCAACCAAATCAAACGAAATATATCCAAAATCCACAGTAAATAAACATTAAACGCGCTGAATGAACATCCCAACCTCCCTGCATCATACCATCCCCAGCGGCGCCTCCGAGACCGTCACCACCGCCGGCCACTGAGCCTTCGAGTCGGCCAGCCTCTCTGCCAGCCCGATATCAGCCACGGCCACCGACAGCGCCGCTCGTCCCACCGCGTCCGTATCGCACAGCGTCACCGAGTTGACTCCCGGCCGGGCCCCAGCCGCCGTGACCCAGTGCACTCCCTCCGTAGGCACTCCCACCGCGAACCGTCTCGCATGCGCGCGCCCCTGCGCATCCACCACCTGATACGGGCTCTTCGTCACAGCCAAGCCACCCGTCTCATACCCATCCACCGTGTAGGGCCGACACTGTCCGTTCTGCAGCATATGCGCCATCAGCTCGTCGCCGGTGTGGCGCACGTCTGGCTCCGGCAGGCGCGCTTCAATCAGCGTCGTCACCCGCGCCTTCAGCCCCGGCACCTCCGGCGAGTGCACCGTCCAGGCGCCGTCCTGCGCCGTCACCGACGGCCGCGGGCCCAGCACCTCCAGCACCCCGGCCTCTATCAGCGCCACCATCTGCTCGATGCGCTGCCGCGGCGGCCCAATCGACACGTACGCGTTCAGCGGCGTATACCACCGATCGAGATGGTCGCGGTGCGACGTCCCCGACACCCCTGCGTGGTCGACCACGAGACGAAGCTCGTTGCGCAGGTCGCGCATCACGTCCAGCGCCGCCTTCAAGGGCCCGTTGACGTTGCCCAGCGCCGCCTCGCGCGCGTCTTCGCGCAGGTACTCGAGCAGCCAGTCGCGCCAGGCGCCGGCCGTGAACCGTCGCTCGCCGTAGGGTCGCGAGATGCGCTCCCACGACCAGCGGTGCTCTTCGGAGATGCCGAAGTCAGTGAGCACGTCGCCTTCCTCGACGCTCTGGTGCTTCGTGGCGAGGAAGCGAGGCCGGAAGTCCCGCGTCTTCAGCTTGTGTTGCCGCAGGAGCGCTTCGTAGTACACTAGTTCCACCTCCTTGCAGACGAGGGGCCAGATTTCCTTGAGGAAGTCGGGAGGGTGGGACCCCGATTCGGCGCGTTGGCGGAACCCTTCGATCAGCTCGTCTGTGAGCAGGAGAGGCATGTGGCGGCCGTAGGGGCCCTTCTCGTTGTCGCCGCGTGCCTGGTACGGGATGCCGCGGCGGGAGCCGGCGAAGAGGCGAGGCTCCCGGCCCGATGGGTGGTAGCGGGAGCCGCTGGTGGTGCGGACGAAGCGGCCGCCGCGGCCGGTGGTCAGGAGGGACATGTAGTCGAAGAAGTTGAGGCCGAGGCCGCGCAGGAAGACGGGCTCGCCGGGCTGGATGGTCGAGAGGTCGACGTCGGCGGGGTTGACGGGGGTGATGTAGCGCAGGCCGTGCTGCGTGGCGTATGCGCTGAGCTGCAGCAGCTTGGGGTCATGGACGAGGGGGACGTGGCCCTGGGAGAGGATGACGGCGGAGAGGCCGGAGAGGATGCGGCCGTTGGACAGCTTGAGGGTTTGGCGGCCCTCGCTGTCCTCGCGCGCGTCGTCGAGCTGGACGGCGCGCGCGGCGTGCACCTCGATCTCGACCTGGGGGGGAGCGGTGCGCACGACTTCGCTGAACACCCATTGCAGGTAGTGTCCGTATTGCGCGCGCGTCGGGTACTCGTCCGACCCCAGGTCGAGCTTCTCTTGCGCGGCCCATTCGTACAGGCTGGGCCCGTTCTGGATGGGACCGGAGCAGATGATGCTCTCGTCGGTGTAGAGGGTGACTTGCGAGGTGACGGTGTTCATCAGCAGCTCGGAGGATTGCTCGGTGCGCCAGACCCGGCCGGCTCCTGGCGGTGAGGGATCCACGACATGGACTGTCAATCGCATGCCTGGAGACAGGAATTCGGTGGCGGACGCGCAGAGGCGCTCCAATGTGCTGGTGCCTCGGGGGCCCATGCCCACAATGGCGGCGTGGACATGAGTGGCCGAGGGCGTCGAAGGGATAGTATATCTCATGATGAAAGGAAGTGAGAAGATTCTGAGGTCTGAAAAAGAAGGGCGGTTTGAATCAAAGGAGAGGAATGCCCTGGATGTGAGGGTTTTTCTGTGCTGATGAGATCACCATCCTCTCGACATCGACTGTGTATTTATAGGACGAACAGCCTCAAAATCCTCATCTTGGCGAGCTGAACCATGACGATGCCTTCCTGATTGATGTCATCCACTCTCCTCTTGGCGTGAGACTTCAGCTCCTGACTGAGTAAGGGTATTGCCCGACAGCGTTGTCCACTTGGAAACTATGCAGAACCCAGCTGCAGACGCCACTCCGAGTTGCGCGTCCCTGAGTTGCAAGGGGTGAAGTCAAAGCACCGGTGGATGAATGGGTGGAAAAATCTGGAAGTCTCCTCATTTACGTAAAAAGAAGTCCAAATTGCTCCGGGGCCAGCAGTCGAGAACCTCGATGGCCCTCGATGGCCGTCAATCACGACATGTGTCTATATTAAGCCTCGACGAGGGTATAGAGTACTTCTTACTGCTTCGGGCAGGGATAGGGCTGCGGCTGGGCGGGATCACGGAATTGATTCCCAGTCCGTTTGCCTGCTCCACTTGCCGGTCTCGTTTGGGTTGGGTTACATGCGGTGTAGCTGAGTGTCTACATTCTACTCTGGGCTGCATGAACAAAAATTGAGGACCAAGGCGACCAGGGTAGTCCTGCGAAACCCAACGTATCATTCCTCACGATCCGGCCCATGCCCTTGATCTTCGCTTAATCCGAGCGTAAGGACATACTACGCTGCAAGGGTCCTCTCGACGTGCATGCATCGACCCGCACAGGAGGGCCAGGAGGGTCACGAAGGCCCGGATTCCAGATTGAGATCCTCCCTTCCATGCCAAGCGGCGTCGGCATCGGGGCTCATAAAGCCAGGTCATTTCCTGCTGCTGGAATCAGCAGCCAAGATAAGATAGACATCCGGACAGATCAGTAGGCGAACCTGTCTCTTGGATATGCGCCGTGGAATGCACATCCACGTACTCGGCGTTGGACCTCACGAACCCTTGCCGGGAGATATTCGCCGGCGGCCGTCGATCTAGAGCGCCTTGGTCCGGGCCAAGAGCACCGGGGAGTTCGTAAATTAATTTAGATTGACGAGGCATGTCGATCTTTAAAAGGATCGCCCCCGAGGCCTGCGCGGGTATTGCGGAAGACGCTGAGTCAGCCCCAATACGTGATGCAGAGAGTATATGAGCAGAATGATACGTCCCGTACATCCTGCGCCGAGAGAAGCACCTTTCGTGACATGCTTGTATGCTTGCTGGAATCGCACTTGCTGTTGCCACTCACCGTGTAATATCCTTGTAATATGGGCGCCCCCCAGGGACGGTCTAGCGCGCAGCCAGGCGCCGCCGATCATGGCGACCTCGAGGCCCCGGTATGCTTAGCCTACATGCTCCCACCGCCAAGTGCCAGTAGGCTGACGACTTGATCTCCTCCAGTGCGATTCGTCTGAGAAGGACTCCGAAGCACCGTCATCGTGGACCTTGGGGTCCGGCAAGGCCTTCCCTCCGACTCCCGCCGACGAAGAGAACTATATCGTCAGTTTCGATGGCCCAGGTGACCCGACGCACCCGTACAACTGGAGTCTCTGTACAAAGTGAGTCCGCTAGACGAATGCGCGCGCATTGACCGCAGACGGTATTCGCTGATCTCCCCGCTCGCATTTAGGCTATACATCTCTACGATAGTCTGCCTTGGCACCTTTGTAGCTTCGTTTGCTAGCGCCGTGTTTGCCCCCGCCACGGACGGTCTGGCCGGCGAATTTGGAGTAAGCAATGAAGTCGGCATCCTGGGTACAACGCTGTTCGTGCTGGGCTTTGCCTCCGGGCCTATGATCTGGGCACCGGCCTCCGAACTGATCGGCAGACGACTCCCCTTGACTGTGGGCATCTTCGGCGGGGCCATCTTCACCATCGCATCCGCCGTCGCAAAGGACATTCAGACCGTGATCATCTGTCGCTTCTTCGCAGGCCTGTTCGGCGCCAGCCAGCTCTCCGTCGTCCCCGCAGTCCTGTCCGACCTCTTCGACAACCGCGGCCGGGGCCCGGCGATCACCGTATACTCTCTGGCCGTGTTCGTCGGTCCCTTCATCGGCCCCTTCATTGGCGGGTTCATCTCCTCGAGCTACCTCGGCTGGCGCTGGACGCTATACATCCCCTCTTTCATGGGATTCGCCCTGAGCACCGTGTTCGCGCTGACCCTGAAGGAGACATATGCGCAATGTATCCTGATCCCCAAGGCTGAGTCCCTCCGCCTGGAGACCGGGAACTGGGCCATCCACGCGAAGCAGGAAGTCGTGAAGGTTGACTTCCGCCAGCTGGTAGAGAAGTATTTGACCCGGCCAGTGCGCATGCTGTTCACCGAGCCCATCATCCTGGTCGTGTCCATGTATATGTCATTCATCTACGGGCTCGTGTATGCCCTGCTGGTCGCCTACCCCTATGTATTTGAATCGGTGCACGGCATGAACGCCGGGCTCAGCGGTCTGACGTTTTTCGGCCTCGTCATCGGCCAGCTGCTCGGCTGCACTTTGGTCCTGCTGCAGCAGCCCGCATACGTGCGGAAGCTGGTTGCCAATAACGACGTCCCCGTTCCCGAATGGCGTCTGCTGCCGCCCATTATTGGTGGGCCCGTCTTCACCGTTGGCGTTTTCTGGTGAGCGATGCAGCCTTTCCCGCGTCTGTCGGGGAATAAAACGAAAAATAGAAGCAGAACTGACGCACGGAAACAGGTTCAGCTGGACGGCCTTCACACCGTCTATTCACTGGCTTTCGCCCACCGCTGCGGGCGTGCTGATCGGCTTCGGTATTCTGTGCATCTTCCTGCCGTGCTTCAATTATCTGGTGGATTCCTACCTGCCGCTGTGAGTATATCCGGGACGAACTAGTACCTCAGGGAGTTGTGCGTAACTGACCGAACCGACAGGGCTGCGTCCGCCGTGGCGGCTAATATCATCCTGCGATCGACCGTGGCGGCGGGATTCCCGCTGTTCACGAAGCAGATGTTCCAGAATCTGGGGATCCAGTGGGCCGGCACCTTGATTGGGTGTTTAGCCGCGGTCATGATCCCCATCCCGTTGGTGTTTCGGCGCTACGGACCGCGTCTGAGGGCCAAGTCCAGAGTTGTATGATTATCGGTGTACATGGTTGTTGTATATTTGTACACTCTCGTCGCGCAAAGACAGTGCGGTGAAGCAGGACGTAGGCGGTTGTTACATATTGCGGTGTGGATAGAGCGTCGGTACATATTGAGGTGGATATCCTCCGATCCTGAACATTTTCTCGTTCGCTTAGTTGACGTCACAATGGTCGGGAAATAGAGCACATTAGAATAGTTCATTGTTATGCAGAAGTAAAATCACCAGCTTGTTGCAATATTGGTTAGCACTATGCAAGAAATTGACTGCGTAAACTTTGGGTTCAAAGACCGCCGTTTTAAGGATTTAGAACTTCTTACACGTATAGAAGGTTAGTTTGGCATTAGTTAGACAGACTTGAAGATACTTTAGCAATAACAACTCAATTTTAGAGGTTTCTAGAACGAGTAGGGACTCAGAGGACATGGAGTACCTGGATACTCTTTACTCGGAACAAACTTGCCCTCCTACGGTCCTACCCCGATCTTCGGACTTGGATCTTTAACAATTGTCCAAAATGTCAATTGAATCAGATGGATTTTCTTCATATAGTCCATCGTAGCTAAGGCCGCTATGACGGAACATTAGTAATTCCGAATTCGCTTTGACTGAAAGCGAGCAGGGTCTTAGGATGAGCTTCTTTACCACCCTTCTCCATATCTCGCCGCGACAATGACGTTAGCCTTTCTTGAAGAGCAGCTAGAGGGGTACACAGACTCGGAACTGGCTGATCACATTGTATCCTCACCGCGGTGCGAGTCTACCTCGCGGGTATTCCATCTCTCCTCGAATCTCATAGCCAAGCATTATAAGCCTTTAGAGCTCGAAGATGCTTTGAAAGCTACCGAAGTCGCCAGCCAACTTGGGATCCGCGGTCCTTGCGTACGGAGGACAATCAAGGACCAGCACAATACTTACATGATTATGGATCGCATCGAGGGTACTACATTAGACGTTACCTGGAAAGACTTGGGCTGGTTCATGACAGTCAAGCTTGCTCTGCAGCTTCGCCGCTTCGTCAAAACCCTGAGGTCTGTCACCTCACCAACGGCCGGATCACTCGCGACAGGCGAATGCAGGTCTTTTTGGCTCGAGGACCGCTACGGTCTTCCGGCGAATTCTGGCCTAGGCGAAATTGCCCACTTCTTCCGGTTCTGGACGAATTTTACGTCTATGCGGCGAGCGATGCAAGCTTCGAAGCAGCCTTAAGTATCAGACTCGCCAGATTCCACTGTGGGAGTGCCTGTGACCATCGAGCCATTCGTCTTGACTCATCATGATCTCGCGCCACGCAACCTTTTAGTTTCTCCATCCGGTCAGCTCTCGCTTCTTGACTGGGATCTGGCGGGCTTTTATCCTGTTAACTTCGAGTACGCATCTATGTACAATTTCAACATTCCTGAGGACTGGGGGTTGATGGCCCGTTTACGGTGGCATCTCTTTGTGTGGATTGGGGTTGGATATTACGAGACTGGCGCTCGCCTGCTACAAATCATGCGTTACAGATTCACACGATTCTTTAATGGAAGGAGATTCGAATTGTTGGGAAAAGGTGGTCCCTCAAGAATACCTGTAAAATGATTCTGCGAACTCGACACGGTTTGCGTTGGTTCTCCATGTTCTCTATCTTCCTATATTTACTGTCTTTCTAAATCTCTGGCGCTTACTGAAACTTGCCCAATACATGACACCCTCCCAGATCTCTAATACCTAGTAATATTAAGCGCTCAGTGTGTGCTATTTATAAATCATCAAATTGTATATCGTCTCATGCCAACGCCAAGTGTTCCACTAAGCCCCAGGAGCGACATGGAACACTCTACGGACCAGTAATGAGTCGAGTGTTGAAGCACCTTGTCGAGATTGTCTCGTCGAGTGAGCAGCAGAATGAAGCATAAATTGAAGCCCGCGCCACGGTCAATCTACAGTGTTCTGATCATGAACCACAGCTCAAAAGCCCTTCCTTACAGTCAAAACACAACCACTCCTTGGCCCGTTGACATACTCAAGTCCGGTAACTGAGCTATGAGGAGACTTATTAGGCGAAATCTAACGATGTCCCAAGTGAAAATGAACTCAAATTACGATACTGATTATTTCGACTCTACGGACCTACAATCCCGAGTTAAAAACATCTATATCTGCGCCTATATAAACCCGGGAAACGCAGGCGACGAAGACGGCAATCCTCCCACAATCCATTGGGCTGCTTTCCTGGAGGGCTCTTGAGGTGGATCAGTCCGCCTTGATATGGCTCCGGGATATGGCTCTGATGGACAGAGAGGAAAAGTCGAAATCTCGTCCAAGCCATACGTCTCGATGCACAATGCTATAAAAACCCTGACCTTCCATCTCAAAGCTCCGGCTACGGTCGAAACAATTATCGACACTATCAACTCGAAGGGTCGTGATAAGTATAAGTTCACAGCGGAGTGGGAAGAGTGCAGATTTTGGATGTACACCTTCATCTCTGATTTGGAAGCTAGTGGTCTCTATCTTCTGGCAGCGGTAAGGCGACTTGGGACGCTGTTTCTTTCTACTGGCGCAGCCCTAACGGGTACGAGCCAAGGGAGGTCAAACAGGGGACGTTCTACTAGGGATGTTGTGGCTATACGTGGACGGCAGGTACCGGGATATGCTAGGTTGTTCACGGTCTCTTATACAAGGACGATGGTAGGGAAGTTAAAGATAGCTCGACTTGACCCCATTTATACCGTGATGACAGGCGCTGTATGTATTTCTCGATGTACTTATTGTTAGTGGTTCTGTTGATCTTCTGTCCCTTAGTTGAAATTCTATTGGTTGCTGTTATATCATATCCTGTGACGATGTCTCATCACCATTTCAAACTCAAGCTGGTTATAAAATATAGAATTAGGACTTCCGAGGCACGTCGGACTTGCTGTGAACTAACATAGATTATCCAGGCAACAAAGGCGAGTGATTTGGTACGAGATATTCACAATGCCGGCGAGAATCTTGTAGTATAAGTAACCTATATAACTTGCACGCGGTGTTTTGGGAGTACCACATTATATTCCTAAGTATAGTGGGCATTTCCTGCTAAAATAAAATTATCTGCAGTGATTTACTAGAGACCTCCCTGAATTAAATAAGGCCCCTAATAAGATTATAAGATATAAAATAACGTTCTTTGGTGTATTTAGACCTTCCCTTTATTATTATCTTAATCATCAGAAATTGAACGTTTTATTCAAGACGAATATAGTGTCTTACCTCGTAATTCCTACAGACAGCACACCCTGACGACGCGCAGATACTACACAGCTCATACTAAAATACTAAATAAACAAAACATTTCCAGCGAAGGGCTCTACAGGAAGGTCAACAGCATATATAACGAATAAAAAAGAACGGCGAAGTGACTAGCCAAGGAGTGTTGTTGATTTTCCACCCGCAGCTTAGCACGTTCCGCGGATGCGGCAAAAAAAGAATAAAAAAAGAAATGGCCCGAACCCGGGATCGAACCGGGGACCTCGCGCAATCAATGCTTGGGTGAACCCTAAGCGCGAATCATACCACTAGACCATCCGGGCTACTGATTTTAGATCCTTGCATTCGAGGCTATATAAGGGTAGACACTCTCACTATCCAGTGTAGACTGAAACCAAGTCTCATTCAACAGGCTGTGGTCAACCCTGTGGAGTCGAAACCTTCGCCTCTAGTATAATGCGAAAATGACTATTTTTTGTTGAGACTGCATTGAACCGAGGATCCTTGATCTTGTAGGGCAATTCCTGGAGGGAGATTACTGATTCTAACATTGATTCGTGCCCTGAAAGCCAAGCAATTGCGCCCAACAGAAGATCAACCTCCAAAGTGATCGAGCCACTCCCGGGCTTTTGAAACGATCGATGCTAGTTAATGGAATCCAAGATGAGTCACACTGAATCCCACTGAATCGATCCTCCAACTGCGCAGCCAGTGAAACAAACCGTGGACATCCACCGACCAGGGGAGCGATTGTTGGGGACCCAACAGACGGGACTCGTGGGCTGATCCATCTGGCAATAGCGAACCATGGCATCATGTCACTAGCCCAACGCTCTTCATTAAACTGCGTATTATTGGTCGAATTGACCATCTCGGCCTGGCAGTCTTTTCCCCAGCAAATATCGGCACATGTGAATTCCCGGCTGGAGATGGATCTCAGCCTGCTCTATAAATGGAATTGATTGCTGAATGGATGAGTCGCTATTCTTCTCAGGTGTCCTGATTTCCATTGAGATTCAGATATTTGTCGATAATTGAATTACCTGATTCGGACTACTGCCCTCCGTCTCTATTCTTTGTCTCTTGATCAGGCCCGAGTTGTACAGCACAAGACTCAAAGCAAAAGTGGCTAGAGAACACCACAAACCTCTATAAATATGGCTCGATCGCCGGAAATAAAGATGGAAGCCAAAGTGCACATAGCAGATACGCCAATCACTGCAAAAAATTGGCACCAACATGTCAATTGGCTGAATGTGTTCATGATCATAGGGATTCCTCTGTACGGCTGCATCCAAGCCTACTGGGTTCCTCTGCAACTGAAGACAGCCATATGGGCGGTGGCATACTATTTCTTCACCGGCCTGGGCATCACAGCTGGTAAGCAGGCCCTCTTACATTCTCCGAAACAACGCCGTCTCTAACTGCCTCTAACGCAGGATACCATCGCCTCTGGTCCCACGCCTCCTACTCCGCCCGATTACCTCTCCGAATATGGCTCGCAGCCGCCGGTGGTGGCGCGGCTCAAGGCTCCATCCGGTGGTGGTCTCGCCTGCATCGCTCGCACCATCGATACACTGATACCAGCAAGGACCCGTACTCCGTGAACAAGGGATTCATGTACTCCCACCTGGGCTGGATGGTGCTTAAGCAGAACCCCAAGCGAATCGGCCGATCGGATGTGTCGGATCTCAACGAAGACTCGGTTGTGGTCTTCCAGCACCGTCATTACCTGAAGGTCGTGTTTGTCATGGGCATGTTTGTTCCCATGCTTGTTGCCGGCCTCTGGGGGGACTGGTGGGGCGGGTTCATATACGCCGGCATCCTAAGGATTTTCTTCGTTCAGCAGGCTACCTTCTGCATTAATTCCTTGGCCCACTGGCTTGGCGAACAGCCGTTTGATGATCGTAACTCTCCGCGCGATCATGCTATCACTGCGCTGGCGACGCTCGGCGAAGGTTATCATAACTTCCATCATGAGTTCCCGTCTGACTACCGCAACGCGATCGAGTGGTATCAGTATGATCCTACGAAATGGACGATCTGGTTGTGGAAACAAGTCGGGCTGGCGTACGATCTGAAGCAGTTCCGGGCCAACGAGATTGAAAAGGGTCGGCTCCAACAGATGCAGAAGAAGGTGGATCAGAAACGGGCCTTGCTGGATTGGGGGACACCGCTGAGCGAGCTGCCGGTCATGGAATGGGAGGACTTTGTCGAAAAGTCCAAAACAAAAGCCCTGGTTGCTATTGCTGGTGTGGTCCACGATGTGACGAGCTTTATTGACGAGCACCCGGGTGGCAGGGCCATGATCAAGGTGGGGATTGGAAAGGACGCGACGGCTATGTTCAACGGTGGTGTTTATTATCATTCCAATGCGGCTCATAATTTACTCTCCATGATCAGGATTGGAGTCATACGTGGGGGGAGCGAGGTTGAGGTTTTCAAGCAGACGAGGAAGGATCAGTCTGCATAAGGAGGAATTTATTAGCGATCCTGTTGTATATATGTGCTGGACAGAAGGCTTGTTAATATTTCTATTACTATTGCTACAACTGATGATCCAATCACCTCCAACAACCACGTCGTAGCAGAAGATCTCACATCCCTAGGAACTCGTAATCAATGTGACTTGTACAGCGGCAAATCTGGGATCATCAGAACGATTTTCTGACTGACAGTCCTGAAGGGCAGTTGAACTCACGCAGAGACAACAGCGAATATTTCTACCCGCCGAGCTTGAACTAGAAGCCCCAATGAGATCGAAAACAAAATATTGTAAACGACCATTGTGAGGATTCTGGCGGCAGTGTCCTTGACAAAATAAAGAACAATCATACATGACGCTGGCAGAACCGCCGCGACAATAATGCTGGCTCCGTAAGTTAACGACTTGACCTTTCTGTTGCTATAATGCCACGTTCCAAGTTCAACATCATGTCGCTCCTGGCTGTTGTCAGCATTTTATGGATAGAGACCCTGATAGACATATGCTTTACATATAAATGATGTCCACACCGCCCGTGGAACCATGCAGCTGGTCGTTCAAATATCCATCGAGTGAGTTCGTCAACATCCTGTTCCCTGGTAGATACTGTAATCATGGTGTCTTTCTGATCTCGACTATAGACATCCATTTCAGCGCGTGTGCCGAAGTACACATGATTTGTCATACTCTGCTGAGCCAGCCATTGGTGAAGGTTTGAAAGGTCGGTTTTGTTCGGGGGGTTGAAATTCAAAAGATCTCGTTGCTGTAATAATGCATAATCTGGACAGATTGGGATAGTTTAGTATAAGTCACCGAATAGAACTTCGCCCCTCTATAGGATTTGAGAAATGCACATGTCAGTTTTATGTCATAACTCACTGTATTTCTCTAGTAGCTCCCGCGCTTCCTTGAACTTTGACCATTGCCTTATGTCTTCCGGTCTTGTGCTTTTCAGAGGGCTTTTTAAACTCCTCACAGAGAAGGGATAGTCGCGCCTTTCCTCGTTAAAAGATTGTTTGTCGTCGGCAATGATGTGTTCGAGATCGTCTTCGATATTTGCTAGCTCGGCTTGGTAGTACAAGATGTTTTTTATGTTGAGTTTGTCGAAGCGTCGAAAAATTAGAAACGCTGGATCTGAAGCAAATACGGCTGCAATTCTGTCATATCCCCTCGTATTTTTATGGCATTCATTTAACATGGTTGCGGATGGCAAATTTCGTGTCAGGTAGTTGTAGAGGTGAAGAAGTCTGGTGAAGAAATGATTTCCAGGTGATATTATACTTGGATTCAAGTAATCCTTTTATGTGGTCGAGTCTTGGGGAACTTGGATCACCAGAAAAAGGTTCACACAGGGTAACCCCTCAATATGTCTGGTTCTAAGACAGTGTGCAACACCTTGTCCAAACAAGAGCATTGTGAAAGCAATAATAATCCAACACGTCTACCTGGGGTGGGTTGAATTTACTAGTTTGGGTAGAGAATCCCAAGGCAATAATTATCAGTGATTGACAATGATTTAGCGTCCGGTGCTCAGGCCTATTCATACACGAACTACTTTGGCTAGTAAATAACCCAACAAGCTACTACTGCGTGACGTGCGTTGCATTAGGCGACCGAGTCGCAGCCCAAAATCATATCATTGGAAGGCTTGTACTTGGGAAGAGTGGCCTTTTTCTACGTTGAGAATAAAGTACAAAAGCACAGCTGCCTTATGCATGGTTTATTATCTCTTAGACAAAGTTCCGTTGATAAGAAGGTAGAGGTGATTTGACATATGCACTCCAGGGCAAGCAATTCCGGAAACCTAGCCCGAGGAGCGTAGTCTTGTCGCAACTCCAGGATCTGCTCGGTATAGACCAAGCTTTCGGACGGATGTAGTTCCGAGGAGCAGGTCGAATTCAGTGTCGCTTATCACGTAAAACTCGGTGGAGTACACTTTCTCTCGGCCACAGACTCTCCAGCTTGCTTGGACAGTTCCTAGTGGCTTGACGCTAGGTCGATTCCACCATGTTATGCCATTGCCTGTGAATCCTGACATTTTCACATTCAATTTTCGGAAAACAGCCTCGCTCATGATATCGATATCAGTTTCGAAATCAACAACCATGCGTCTGCGGATCAAAGAGTTTTCGCGAGTAAGAAGCATGATATCATATATAAAGTCACACTGAGAAAAGCTATCATATAGGTTCGGATTGTGTGGTGTGTTTTGTGCACCCAAAGCCCGATAGAGAGCGTCCGTCAATTCCTCTCTGTTCGCATATCCCCAGGGCGATGCCTTGGTAGAGGAATAGTCAATTTTCTTGTGTATATGATCCTGGCTGTGGTAAGGTCGAGCATCTCTATTCGGACCCGATAAGGTTTGTGGGAGCGGTCGGAAATCGCCTTTATATCGAGGGGAGCCTGTGCTTTCATCGGAAAAGGAACATAGTATAATCGCGGAAACACTATGCTTCAATGATTTTGTTGGGAACAACATCTTCCTGTCCCAGGTAATCAAAATAGTAAGATAGACAATTGAACAAGATTCACCGAGAAATTGGAGTGTATATCGGTGACCATATCGGGGAGCTGAAATCTCAACTTACTTGAAGCTCGTTTATATGCTTGTTCTCCCAACATTACTTTCAAATCATTTGGGCCCCAGGCTCTTTTTTCTGGGCGCCAATGTGTGCCTAGAAGTTTTGCCTAAACACACTTGGGAGCCATATGATGGTTTCTGGAAGTTTATGACACAGTCTTAACTCTTCATCTTATCAATCCCAGTAGCTGTGATTGCATATGCAAGTGTTTTTAAGTGCGTGTGTTGAGTTGGAGGGCTCCCTATACAGCCCTAAGCCGCATGCTCAAGGTAGTTACTAGTTTGTGTACGTACTTTATGCCATGCGAATGGTTATCAAGCTGCTTTCCCGTAATTGAAACTTAACTTAAGCCTTCGGTGCTTCGCTCGCGAGGCAAAATCAACGCAAATTTCTAGACAAGCTGCAGATCATGCCGCCAACATTGTAATTTTATATTACTAACATGGCGCTCTAAATATGGTCGTTCAAGTAAATGGTCACACATATGGCAGTACGCTTATGTTCTCAACGCGTTGGTTGATTCTGAGCTTTCTCCTGCTCTCGACGTTTCCTGTCCCGTTCCTCTGCAGCTTCGCGTCTTCTCTTTTCGTTTTCCTCCTGCTTTTTCTTCTCCTCTGTAGTAGTCTTAGCATATGCAGCTTTGTTTAACAGTATTGTCGCATACCTTCCGTTGGGGGCTTCACCCTGATGACAGCAACCTGATCCCCATTCGAGTATTCATTTTCCGATGGAAAGCAAAAAGGCGTCAAGATGGCGTGCAGACCGGACTCTAAGTGATCATGATCACTTAAAAGCACATAGAAATCGCGATCGTGAGATCTAATATCTCCATCTCTGAAAATCCGAAGTTTGACTACGTCTCCAACGACGTATGTAGAGCCGCTCTGGTGGTCGAATATTTTCTGGCGCTCTCGAGACTGAACATCAATGTCTCCCAAAGCCTCGAGGTCGGACTTTGTGAGAATGTTGAAGTGAAACTGATCATCCACGGACGCGTTGAGATAAGGCTGAGTCTCGTCAGCTGCGAAGTACCGGATTTGCATGGTGAAACTGGGATTTGTCTATAGCAGACACATTAGGACAATGACGATCAAAAATACTTGTGACTTCGGCAAAAATACCGGACTTTTCCCGCTCAGATGAGGTACATGAAAAGATGAGCGTTGACAAAACAGCCAGACATGCTCGTTTTCATGAGACCGGAAACTCCAATAGGTAAGTAGATATTTATATACTTGGTTCGGATGACAATCTTCGAGCTCAATCGCTTTCACAAGCTCGATAAATTGGAGGCTCAACTTCTGAAACAACCAGACCGGATGTCCTAATTCGACGTGATTCTGTTAAGCGCCGGACTAGTAGGCGGGCTTTCGTGTTCCATCACACTTCTTGGCACTCCGATTGATGGTGTTGTCGTCATGAAACAAATTAACAATCACCCTGCGTTCGAAGCAGTTCTCTTGAAAACTTGTTCCTCCCGAGGATATTGGCGCTTGGCAACGGTCGTGAGTCGCATGTATATGTAGGTTGTCCATGCCCGGAGCTGCTTTCTGTGTACAGTCAGTCTAGTCCGCGCACACGGCAAGTCAATCATTACCTTTACAGATCCAGGTTTGGATTCGGATACGAGGGTTCACTATCGGGGTCCCAGATGTGAATAGAAGAGATAGCCAGTGTGATTGACTCGCATTAATTTCCAATCTTGGCAGAGTAGAGGGTGTCACGACAAGGCGTCGGATTCCTGTACGGCCAGTACCGACGAGATAGCCATTGAAGGGCAAGGGGGGCCCAAAACGCAAACGTAAAGCAAAATAAAAAGAAGCCAGGGAGTGGAAACAGCGAAGCAGACTGCCCAAGGTTGAATAATTAATTAACCGCTTACACTCCTGCCCGAGCATAAGCAGAACCCAAGACAGAGCAACCGGGCCATGACTCAATCTCGGCAGTTGGAATTTCACGCGACCACCAGGGTCAGTGAGTGGCATCTTGAAGTGAGACATTCCTTGCACGTTGGGCTTGGTTGGGCTCTCCTGCAGCCTTCCCGGCCAGATTCGCGCCATGCCCGATAAAGATGTAGGCAATCGGATTTCATGACTGTCAGGCCCGAGGAAAATCGGTCAATGGTTTTCGTAGTGGGCTGAGACGTTAGGCCTTCACAGATTATTAGGTGCCTAGGGAGAGAGCAGCCTTTGCCTTGCGAGCTAGACAATTTTTCTGCTGGACGCAATCGAGGGGGGGGTTTCTTTTTTGCATTTTCTCTCTGGCACCGGTGCGGAGATATCATTACCCCATATCACATGATAACCAATATGCATAGCTGACTTTAACTAGGTATCTTGTCAGTATTACCCGTGAAGCAACAATAGAACGATATTCTTGAATAGTCCATGTTCTATTATCCGTTTTATGTTTCGTAGCTATGCCCTCCGGACCTTGGTTTTTCGACAGAACAATCAATCAACCAGGGCCCAGTTTTAATTAATCTTTCTTGTACAAACCAATTGACAAAAATGATCCATTGCCTGCATTGTAGGTATCAATATTTCACTGCAAGGAAGCACGAGGTTTACTGAACCTTGTTCTCAAGAAAGTATATGAGCAGTGCCGTTGCTTACCTGTGATGCATAACATTATGCCCTAGTAAACCGGCCATTGGAGAATAATAGTGCACGGCACAAAAATATAAGGAAATTCGCAGGTTAAATCCAGGCAGACGGAAGTAGCAGCAATCATATTGAGCTAGCGCCAGCACCAACTGTCAATTATAGCCATACACAATGTCCTTTGCTGAAGTAGCATTTCTGGCTACTGAACGCCGTTTGATGCGATGGTATCCTTCCAGCTACCATGTGATAGCGAAGTGCTGTGGTGTGATATGAAAATTGCAGAGACAAATCCATAACAAAAAACGCCCGGTTGCAAAAACAATGAACAGTGATAAGGCAGTCTGGAACATAGAAAGAAAATCCCGAAACCGTAAGTCATAAGAATTCGTTATCATCCCCCGACCGTGTGGGAGGAACGCCTAAGGTTCGGCAGCGGGAGCAACCTTAATGGTAGCGAGACTCCGAGGGCAAATCATGCTGAGCAGCCCTAAAAAGGAGTAGCGGTGGAAGGCATCTCCATCCGTCATGCTATTGAGGGGTCTGTGTCACTTTGGCCTCAGAGAGGTCTCGAACCACAGCTACGCGCTGAAGCCCACGACCGCGCACAAGCAACTCGTGTTCCTGGATGTCGTCTCGGCCGAGAATTGCGTCGAAGTCCATGTCGACGATCACAAAATCGGAGGTGTAGGTCTCCATGCGACCGGCCACATGCCAGTCCACATCACGAATGATACCCTTGGGCTTTACGTCCCTGGCCGGCGACGGCGAGGTTTGAAAAGAATGAAGGGTGCCGTTGTACACCTCCAACTGGTGGTCCAGCCCTTTCAGCTTTTCCGCGCTGAGGAGATTGACGTGAGACTGGGTATCCAGCGACAGCAACATTCCGTGTTTGGCCCCGTTCCGACCGATCACAAAGAAACTCTCGATGAACCCGTCCTTGGTGTTTGCTGTGTTCCTAGAGGCGGAAAATGTGCGGCTAGAACTGACTCCGATGCAAGGCACTTCGACCTGGCCCTGATCCAATGAAAGCGGCGTGGTCCGCCCGGTGTCGGTGAACCCAGATCCCCTCGAGGGACAGGAAAACGTAAAAACCGGTCTGACAAGAGGCGATGGATATCGAGATGAGGCCTGTGGCGACGACGTTGGTGCAATCTGCTCTGCTTCCCCTTCATTCTTCGTCGGAGCTTCAGCGACGGGAGGGGTTGGAAAGTCCACCTCCAGACTGGGTCTCGGGGCGATAGCCTGGGGAAAACCAGTGTCGGATCCATGAGGACTCAAGCTGTCCTGGGGCTGACATTTGTCGCCTTCCGTTGGACATGGGATCCTCGAAGAACCGCTCGTTTGTGTTTGTTGTCGTTCCCGAGAAGGATATCTTCGCGGGACAACGTGTGTTAGCAACCGTCGCGCAGATGAACGGATGCGCAAGCGAACTTGATCCCCTCGGTTAGAAACCTGTGAGGGGTCTGGGATCGCTTCAATAATATGGTAAGCGCTGGACTCTCATTTCTTTTTCTTATAAGCTGCGGGGTTTTGTGACCTACCGTCCATGCAGGGCATGGCGGTCCCAACCCTTTGAGCTCCCGGCCGATCGACAGTCTGCTTCAAAATGGCCCACGAAAAGAAGTGGATTATGGAACAAGAGATTTTGAAGTCGTGCGTATGCCAACGAAAACTTCAGAGTCAAGTAGAAGTCAAGGGGAAGTGTTTTATGGTAAATCGCCAACGTCCGCTCCACCCATTGACAGCTCACGAACTCTGGTCCTGACACCTTGCCTCAAGCAGTCATGCTACGAAATTCAAAAAAAAGAAAAAAAAACAAAAAATTATTTGGATGTCAGAGGGCTTAGTTCTACGAGACGGTCTCGGTCGCGCTGCTCAGAACTGTCAGTGAAATGTGGGCCTATACAAGCTTTCCTAAACGTGAATATAACCTGAAAAGAACAGACTGCAATGCGTGCTGAACAATTTCTAATGAATAGAAAAATGATTAATCAAGATGTCCGAATATTTGAAAGACTTCCTCTACCCAAACCGGCAGTGGAATTTCTTCTCTTGGGAGCCTTACCTCCATAATCCTTTAATTCTGCCTTGTGCTTTGCTGGCATGAGGTTCAAAAAGTTTAGTCTGTGCCATGATAACTCGCTGAAATAAATTTAACATTCCGAGTGGGCTCTCCGGAAAGTGTACCATTCTTCTGGTTAATAAGAAGCGTTGATAATTCACGGGGCTTCGACTTTTGATACCGCTCAGCCTTGTTTGGGCTCCAGATCAAATATGTGTCGCGGTCACAATATGATTGTGAATGGAGAAAGTCCAGTGGAAAGGGGGATGGATCCACTACGGCGCTTGTATGTGAGTGCATTCTAAGAATCCCCACCCACCCAAAAGAAATCCAGAAGAAAATAAAAGGGGAAAAAGAGAAAAAGGAAAAGGAAAAGGAAAAGAGAAACTCCGGTCAAGACCGGAGGCCGCTTTAGTGATTTCATCATCGGAGTGGGAGTTCTTTTTTCTTCACCTCTTCGTGGATGATAGGCTAGCCCTTCGACGAAACTTTGTATAGCAAGAGACTAATATTTACCCTGTAACAGTGAACAGAAAAGGCTGCATGGATGTCCAATGAGTCTAAGAATAGAAATTAAACGTGTACGTACTGGACTTGGACTTGACGGTTAGTCCATGTTGGAAACAGCGTGATGAGACTTACCAAGGGGCTAAGTAATGCACAGTAAGGATACATATACTGACTATACAGCCATTGCGGGCCGGATTTGGTCACATTTTGACTTATAATTAATGCTTCAAATTTGAAAGAACGGGTTGCTATAATCCGTAGTGTCTTGATTCCAATGAAACCGCGATTCCGCTTATTCACTGAAAGAGAATGTTTCACTTCCAGTCAAATAGACTAACTAGAACTCAATACGCTACAATTCGCTAAAAACCTGAATCTTCCGCAAAGTAACTCGCCTTGATATAGTGTATCTGAAAGCTGTTTCAAGGCTTCCATAAATCCTCCAACAAGTCTCCCTTACGATGCTTGACTCGCCAACCAATGGTAACCCCTCTTCGAATTCCCCCAGCCCTCTCGATCCACATGCTCGATCAATCTGTCAACTCCCCCTCAAGCAGCATCACGAGACTCTGTCCATCGCTAGCAGGAGCCGCACGGCTATCATCCCGATATTTACCCGAATATTGAATTGTGAGGTCTGATACCAGGCGCTGGACTACTGGCCGAGAGTTTTATATGCCCAAGGAAGGCAGGAGTCTGAGTCCTCTTAGTGTTGTATAGTCCAGACGAGTCTCCCGACTGATGAGAGGAAATAATAGCTAAAATATTGGGTGCGCTGTTGCGACGCTTCTAAACAGACTGTTCGATGAGTAAGCGGTTCGATGGACACAATCCACCTCTGATTTAAATGAGACAAGTCACCATGACATTAAAGAAAGTATTTTCTTACATGGATGCACAACACCTTGAATAATGCGATAGGCTGAGCGCTTTATTTCAAAGAGGCGATTATATGAAGTCTATTACGATTTTTCTTTCTCAATATATCGTATGGATCAAGAATCCGGGTCCGTCAGAAAATCGCCTATCCGCTCTCTTAAAATTTGCTGTTGCGCCCGGTAAAAAGTTATCAGCCTTACACCGTGTTGATCTCAGTTGAAAAGTTTCAATATCGACATCTACAATGAACCCACTCGAGAGAATGGGGCGTCTCCTTTCTCAGGTCGTGGATGAACTGGCTGTCAGTGATCCAGAATTTGTATACTGCATTCATCCGGTCTCATCCCTCACGGTTAACGATGGCTGGCGCAAAATCACGTTTAAAGATCTCGCCACAGCGGTTGACCGTGTTGCCTGGTGGCTAGATCGACAGCTCGGTTCCAAGGGAGGGCAGCAAGTTCTAGCGTACATAGGGTCAAATGACCTCCGATACGCGGCATTTGTCCTAGCTTGCATGAAGCATGGACACGCTGTAAGTCTCCCGATTGAAGGCTGTAATGAAGGCTGCAAATCAGCGAGATTGACTTTGTTCCTAGACCTTGTTGCTATCAACTCGAAACTCCCAGAATGCGTCTCAACATCTGCTGAGCAGTACTGGGTGCTCCATACTCGTCGACGGTAGCGAGAAAAGACAGTTGAAGGAAGTCCTAGACGAGATCGAAGCTAACAGCGATGACAAAAGCTTCGAGCGATGGCAAATGCCTGCCCTGTGGGAGGTTTTCTCTCCAATGCCAGCCGAGCCATACAAATTCCCGCATCATTACTCGGATATTGAAGACACGCCGGCTATTATCGTTCATAGCTCTGGCACTACAGGTCTTCCGAAGCCCATATCCCTTAGCCATGGATTTCTGGCAGCTTCAGACCAAATTCAATCGCTCCCAGTTCCGCCCGGTCGCCAGACGGCTCAGTTGTTTATACATTATCGTGGCAAAATGCGGTTTCTCCATGGGCCGTTATTCCACCTTATCGGTCTTGCGTGTGTTATAGAATGTATCTTCTATCATTCACCATTCATTCTGGCCCCTGACTGCCCCCTGACCCCAGAGGTATTGTCACAAATCATGACTAGCGACAGCCCACCAGTCTGGGGAATGATTAGCCCCTATGTGATCGAGGAACTGAGCGCCACAGAGACCGGCAGGAAGTCTTTAGAGCTGTTTGCCTCTATCGGTTTCGGTGGGGCTCCATTGTCGACGTCCGTCGGAGACAGTGTGAGCTCATACTGCCGGTTACAAACTATGATAGGGAGCAGCGAGACAGGCTACACACCTACCCTGATGTGCGAGGACCCGGCTGATTGGGGATACTTGGAATGGAATCCGTCGTTCAAACTCCGTATGGAAAGTATGGGGGATGGTCTATGGGAATTAGTGCTTCTCCGGCCCAGTAACCGTCGATATCATGGCATATTTCACACACATCCAAAGCTGGATGAATATCGTACGGGCGATCTTTTCCGCCCACACCCTTACAAAAAGGGACTTTGGCGCTATGACGGCCGTAGCGACGACATCATTGTTCTCAGTAATGGCGAGAAATTCAACCCAACTGACGCAGAGAAAACGATTGAAACGCACCCACTTGTTGAAAGCGCCGTCATGTTTGGCCAGGACCGCTTTCAGGCAGCGCTACTGATCGAACCACGATGGGCCAAACTTGATACCCACCAGCCACCGCAATTCCTGCTCAACGAGTTCGGCGATGTCATCAAGAAAGCCAACACTTTCCTCCCCGCACACGGCCAGATAATTGACTCCCATGTAGCGCTAGCCGGGTGCGATCGGCCATTTGCTCGATCCGCGAAAGGCACGCTCCGGCGCCGGGAAATTGCGTCCACCTATCAGTCGCTCCTAGACAGGCTATACGATCCACAAAAAGCGTCGGGGCCTGAATCACCTTCTCCTACCCGGACTCCTACCATTACGGACTTCTGGCGACTCTAGCATGGATGCCACCCAGGAATGGCTGCGGGGTTTGGTAGTCAACGGCATCGTGAACACGGCAGTGACCACCCTCATCCAGACATTGACGAGCGTAGTAAAGCTGTCTCACGCACAGAATTACTGACCCGTCACATACGGGATACTGCCGCCGACTTAGGCCATCGGTGCTACTCACCGGGTCGACTGGGGAGCTGGGAAGTTATTTGCTTCATACACTCTTACGTAGTCCAAGTGTTGCTGTGGTGCACTGTCTGAACCGGTCTGGAGATGCAATGCAACGACAGATATCGCAGTTTGAGTCAAAAGGGCTAGTAGCCACATTGCCTTGGCTCTCTGACCCGGAAAGAGTTCAGTTCCATCAAGCTGCTTTACACGAGGAAAACCTCGGTCTTTCAGCTCGGCAGTACGAGAACTTGCGCGAAAAAGTGGATTTAGTGATTCATAACGCATGGGCCGTGAGCTTTAATAAGCCTCTTGCCATGTTTGCTCCCCTCATAACAGGGCTGCGATGTCTCTTGCAATTTGTCGAACATTCCTCACGTCAGGCACATTTACACTTTATTTCCTCGATCGCAACCGTGGCTGGCTGGCATGATTCTCGTGAGACGGTTGTCATTCCGGAATCTCTTCACGACGATTCCGTTGTTATGCACCAGGGTTATGCGGAGTCCAAGTTCGTCGCTGAATCCTTGTGTGGGCTTGCCGCCGAGTATCGTCACATTCCAATTGCCATTCACCGTGTAGGCCAGCTGGCAGTTCCTTCCACTGTTACTGCAGGAATGTGGAATCCACGCGACTGGTTCCCGTCTCTCGTCAAGACATCGCGGACCATTGGCGAGCTCCCTAACAGTCTCGGACCGGTGCGGGTGGATTGGATCCCAATCGTAAGTGTGCACTCTGTGGAAGCTGTGTCCTGCTAACCCTTAAAACCACGATGCTGCGACACAAGCAATAGTCGAAATAGCTCAGTCCCAGTTCAGCAAAAGTCTCCAGGTATATCACATTGTCAACCCTCATCCAATCAAATGGATGGAATTAGCGCCGTTCGTTTCGCGAGAATGCTCAGCGAAGCTGGTGACCCTGGAGCAATGGGTGGGGCAGTTGCAGCAGAAGGTCGGTGTTGGAAGTAATGATCAAGGTGTAAACGAAATGCCCGCTGTGCGTCTGTTGGAGTTTTTCACGAGCCTTGTTCGCGACCAGGAGCGAGTGCAGCCTCCGCTGGCAGTTAGCAACGCCCAAGCAAAGAGCATAACTATGCGAAACCTCGGGCCGGTAGATTGCCGTATGATGGGAATCTGGTTGGAGCAGTGGAAAGACTGAATGTAGCACTGTCCAGTGGTTTGTTGATGAAGTTGTTTGTGTTGAAAGCGGCGGAGGAGAGGGTTTGATCTACTAAACATTATAGAATTGACTTCGGAATGGCTTTATGAGTTAATTAATTTCTATTTAAAAGAAAGAAAGGATTTAATGTAGATTAATCTGGACAGTCGTCGACCGTTGTGCACATCTTTTGCGTTGAGGTCGTTCTTCTGCCCTGGTTGGATGTATCCACTTGGTGGTGTCTGAACAGCGGGGTTTCAAGAGCGATAAACTGCATCTCAAGAAGTGTTGTTCTTAAAACTGTCTATATAATAATCCACTGCATTTATTCTGCCTTCCGTCGAGCGAATCGGCAAGCGTAGGACGACTGGGTATGGCTAAGGCGGCGCCCATCCACAATTAATCAAGCCAGTGCAGCTGTTGAAAGGGCGTATCCAATGGAAAGTAGTTGCTGTTCTTCCAAAGGGTATCGCAGGAGTAATGACAGCACCATGTTATTAAAGTCGACGAACTGAGACTGAGAGCATAGAGCTGCCATTTCGAAGGCCCGGGGATAGAAACCTGCATCTGCCCAGTCCACAAGCCACACCAGGCCATCTCGGTCCAGAATAAGGTTCCGCGGACTGGTGTCCTGGTGGGTGAGAACAAACTCGGTGAACTTGAAGGACGGAAGGTCTGACGGCGCATGTTTGTATGTTTTACAGATGTCCAACTTGTGGTTGAACCAGCCCTCGAATTCGGCCACGTCCTTGAAAGGCCCGGCACTGTAGTGAGTGAAGAAGCGACCGCGACATGGGCCTCCGCCGATCGGACCTGGCTCTAATAACTTGATGGACTGCATTCCAATAATCATCTGGGCCGTCTGCCTCGCGACATCCATCTTTTGTTCGTCACTAAGGTCTCTCCAGCGGCTATCAAGCGGTTCACCGTCGATATAATCCATCACAATATATCCCATGGTACCAAAATATTGCGTCTCGTCTTTGAAATGGAGAGAACGATGGATACGAGGAGCACGGATATTGGACTTTGATGCAAGCATTTGAAGTACCTTTGCCTCACAAGGAAGCACATTGCCGCCGCCTTTCAAAACGAGGTCCTTGGACAATCGCACCACCGTCGTTTGGCCGAGATCATGAAGGATCGGAGCAGACTTGAGGAGGTGGACGAGGGATTCGTCGGAGACGCAGTCGATATCCTTATCATCCGGGGGGAATGCCCTGTCCGAGGCTTTACTAGCCGGCTGTCGAACTTGTTAGCACAAAATTTACCCCCGGGGGAACTAAGTAAGGGAGTCAATACATCAGTAAAAGGGCGTAAAGGTCCTTCCATATCTCCAATCCTTCGAATATTATAGGTAAGGGTCAGTAAGAAAGGGAGAATCTGGGGTGGTATGGAAGTACTATTCCAAGAGGGCAAAAGAAAGGTAGGTAAGCTGAATGTAGGAAGGTTGAACATGAGAAAGAGTATCGATTTGGTCCGGTAAGCTAAGACTACCTACCTATTTATCTAAAGTCTCATAATTTATGAAACAAGGCTTTCTGTTTTATCTTACAGTCCGGCCCGAACCCGAAATCCCCCGCTTCAGTCGTATAAACTTTTATATATATCCTAAAATGAAATCTATCTTAAAGCTGTAGTGGATTATAATAACTATAGATTCTAAATTATAAACCTAGAGCCTACTACGGGCGCCGGGTGGTCCTGAGTTAGCCTCCTACCGCCGGAACCTGGACTGATGCCAACTCTAACCATGAGAATGAGTGATTAAAGAATTGGAAAGGAAGAAATGATCGACATTAAATATTCCCAAACCGGCCGAATACAATCACGTGCCAGGCCAGTGGTGCCTGAGGCCTAAATCATGCATAAGTATTATGTGTAGAGGAAAGTTTATACAAGTAATACATTTTATGAACAGCTGAGTAGTTATAGGCTAAATACAAAGAAGTGTATTTGAATGTTCTGACAAAAGAATGGAATACAGGAGCTGTATGATGCAGAAGTTATACGGTTGAATTGTTAGTGAATTATTTAGGGGTGCGTGACAGTCCTGTGGCGTTTATTCTGACAATGACGATAGAGTAGAACACTAGAAGGACCAGAAGCGCGCAAGTGAGCGCTTGAGTGGCTAAGCAGACGGGGCCGCAGAACCGGAGGGAGGCTCTTGTCCACCGCCGGAGCTGGCATCATTGCTCACACCACCAGAAGGAGTCAGACTGGCAGCATAGGAGGCAGCCGAATCGTGGTTCGCAGTCACGTTGACACCCAGGGTGATCCAGCCAAGCAGACCATCCTCGATGGAGTCACCGAGATAGGCATACTCGAAGAAGGGGTCGGAGTTGCTATCCTCAGTCTCGACCTGGACAACGTGATCATCGGCGTTCTGAGTGATATCGACAGTGTTGGTGTTGTAGGGGTAAGTGGCCTCAACGACAGAGATTAGATCTTGGTCAAAGAACAGCTGACCGATATGAGCAACATGACCGCCGGTGAGAGTGTTGTTCGGCAGAACAGAAGCGCCAACGTGGGCGACAACGTGCACATGAGTAGCCCGCCCATCATAATGGCCGGGGAAGATGGTGTTGAACTGAGCCACGCCCTCTTCGTCGGTCTTCTGGATACCACGCAAAAAGGTCTTGTTCAAGTTGGCGTGATCATTTCCGTTTCCGTTCATGGTGCTGTCGACACCGGAGTACACACCGGTGGAGTTGCAGTTCCACACATCCCAGTACAAGTCCTGGATGGGCTCACAGGTGTTGATATCAATAAACTGTCCGTCCAAGATGATGGGGATACCAGGCTCGCCGTCGCCGATGTCAGAGCGGATGAGTTCGCCCTTGACCCAGAATGGTCCAATTTCTCCCTCGGGGGCGAGCAGACAGACGGGGTTCTTGGCAAAAAGCTCCGACTCGCGGGTGTTGGCAGTGACGTGGAGCGAAGAGTGGTGGGAGGTGTTCACAACCTTGTCAGTGTCACGAGCGTTGAGAGATCGCTTCCTGTACATGTCGACGATGGCAGCGCGACGAGCTTCGGCGCGAGCATTGATACCACGACGCTCCAGCTGATCAGAGCACTTGTCGAGACTCCGGCGAGCATGGTGCAAGAAGTCCCTCTTGCTCAGGTCGGTGTACAAGCTAGGCTCGTGGGCACCAGGGTGGGCAATAGATAACCCAGCCATGGCCACGCCGACAAGCTTTCCGATGTCTGAGAGATGCATGATAAAAAGGAGTCTTGAGAAATGCTTCAGTGAGATAAGGAAGCAGGAGAAACCTAGAAAGAAAGGAAACTGGGTAGAGAATGATTGATGGATAATGATCAAAACCCGGAGGATCGCCAGACTCTTTATATATTCTTTCTCGCCACAAATCTGTCCATGATAGAAGATTCATTTCGATCCACATCGTTTCCAAGGTCTACCTCCGAGGGCACCAAGATTCGCACCCCGGTCACTGGTTACATCGTGAGGATAGCAACTCGTCATGGTAGTCGTCAGCCAGTCGGGAGTTTGTAACGGATGAATCCACCAAACAGACCGCCAAGCTAGGCGTCCAGATAGTGAAGAAGACGGAGGTAAAGCGATATAGTAGGACCGATGCGTAGAGACTCCATCGCGCTGACAATCAGAGCGAGTGTGATTGCAGAGGGAGAAATGGCCGGATGCTTGGCAGCGCCGAGGCGGAGAGGCTTGGCGTGCTTAAAACACGGGATCGGCAGGCGTCTAGTCTACTTTGGGCAAGGCGCCGAACGTCCGGTCGGAGCAAAAGTGCTCCGCTGACTCATCGCGCCATCCTCCACTTTCGCCTTCTTCACGTATTTACCCTTTCCTCCCCTGATTCAACTGCCGTCTCCCAATCACTGGCGACTCTTTCAAAGCATCGGGATTGATCTCGTCCGATTATTCATCGTAAGCGGTCCCGCCAGCCAGTCACAATCGCCCCGGACTATGCATTCCCCACTGTTTCTCCAGTCCAGATAAGCCTAGAGCTCATGTGCCTGCAGAACTTGCTTGGATTCACCGTGTTCGTGTTGGTACCTTGCATGCGTGCAGGTCTTTCTGCAAGAGAACAGACCGCTATCGAATATTCGAATTCGACTGCTCCACCATGAGTGGTCCTTCTGTTCCCACACGGGGCGGCAAGGTCCGTAGTGCCTGCGATTTATGCCGGCACAGAAAGGTATTGTAGAAATATCCATGCCGAAGTCCGGGAGCCACAGGCACTGATTTGCAGGGCGTTAGATCCGCTGTGATGGAGTCAAGCCGGCCTGCGAGACGTGTCATCTTGCGGTTGTGCCTTGCACGTTTACTACGACCCCGTCAGAATCTCGAAAAAGCACCCGAGAGTAAGACTAAGCCTAATTGCGCTACGCCCGAAGGATCTAATCAGAGCCTATGCAGACAGCTCGCCGACGCGAATTCAAAGATCCGGGCGCTCGAATCTTTGATTGCAGCCCGAGATAATCTCCAGAGACTTGGTCATAGCGCCCCCGGGCAAGCTTTGCACCGAACCGGTATATCTCTGTCCCTCGGCGATTCGTATTTGCTGGATACACACCATATCGAGACGGCCCTGGCCACGTTTCGCCAGCACATTGCTTACTGTGGCCCCGGAGTGCCCTATTTCAGCTTACGCGCCTACTTTTACTCTTCCGTCAGCGAACGCACTGGCTCGGATTTGAACGTTGATTTGTTCTTGCAACAATTGGCTGAATCATATACATCACATCACCACGTTGAGGAAATAAGACCCATTCCTCCAAAATGGCCAACGCCAGAGTTGATTCAACAATGCATAAACCAATTCTCCAGAAGTGGCCTGTACTCGGTGTTTCCTATCGTCGATGTCGCCATTCTACAGAAATTGTTGAACGGGGGTATTATGGACAACTCAACAGAACCGAACCACGCAGCTAACCGTGCTTGTCTCGTTGCTTTTACCGCTCTGGTGACTGAACTACATCGCCTTGAACCGGCTTTTGCCAACGCCGACCCCGACGCTTATCTCCAAACTTCTTTGAGTCTCCTCCCTAAGCTGCTGATGGAACCGCCTGATATGAGAACCCTTGAGACTGTCGTAATCATAGTGAGTTGGAAGCCTTGAAGAAGTCGAGTCGTCATCTAATGGATGCTTCAGATGGTCTATATCTTCCCCATTGGGCACGCCCAACCCGCAGGAATGATGCTTGCAATTGCAGCGCGAATTCTCCACAGTCTTGGCGGGCACAGAACGAGACAGCTTGATGAGTCGGAAGACCATCTTCCCCATCGAAAACATTTGCCGGCGCTCTTCTGGCTTTGCTACGGGTTTGACAAGGAGATGTCCATTCGATATTGTATAGCGCCTGTCATGAACGATCCCGACTGTGATTTGGAGCTCCCCGAAAATTATGTGATGAGGTCTTCAGACTACCAATTCCTTCAAAAGACTTTATCCTCCGATGAGCTTCTTTATCCTTCGGATCTCCGACTCGCCATGATAAAGTCCAAAATTTACCGCCTTCTTTATCAAGACGATGGCTACACACAGGATGAAGCGAGGCGACTTCAGCATATTCGGGAGTTAGATCAAGAACTTAGTGATCTGAAATCAAGCTTCCCGGTGGGGTTCCAGCCTGACGCTTTTGCGACCGAAACCGCGCCAAACTACATGTTCCACGATCTCAGTTTGCGAGGAGTTAATCTGCACCTCGAATATTATTTTTGCCTGGGCAAAATCCACGAAGCAAGCAGTGCTTGTGGAGTCCCTTCGCCCAATAGCTGGTTTCCCCTGCCCTCGAGTGTGGAGATTTGGTCCCAGGCTGCCCGATCTACACTGCTGTACGTCAGTCGGGCGCGCGAGTTCTTGAACTGGCATACTTTTTGGTGAGTGCATGCGTGAAGTAATTTATAAAGCTGGTACCTAACTCCCCGAAGGCTTCACGCTCAGTTTATTCTTACAGCTGTTCTGTCGCTTTTCTGCTACATGATTACATACCCGACCGCACCCACTTTTTCGAGGGACATCCAAATTCTACAAGATACGGTGAATTTATTTGCCGACCTCCATCGCAAGTCTCATGAAACTAGATGCTTTCCACCAATGTTCTTTACCGAGGCTTTTATTCAGAGGCTTGTTTTCTTGGCCCAAGAGGCCCTGGTAAAAGCAACGGGGCAGCGATCATAGCTTGCAGAGCCGAGACCTTGGACCGGATAAGGACAGAACAGTGACGAGATGGATATTCCGTATCATTTGACCAGGGCTCATGACCTTCTTATAATTACCGACCGGCCCTGATCCCGAATTGTCGATCAGTTTGGTTGCCTTCTGTTGTCGCATAAGAATTCGCCAACCCGCGCGGATATCACGCAAGCCGACCCCTCCAAATGATGCCATTTTGGCTGAATGCCCATCAGCAGACCGCAGTCGGATCGTGAGACTGGGGAAATACAGTTATTAATTGCCGGTTGCTGGCCGCTCTAGCTTTCGCATCCTTTCAGCATCGGGTTATTAGGATCGATTCTCCCGTTCCGACCAGACAAGGAGGCGTACCATCCCAGAGCCTTCCACCAACCACAGCTACCGAGGCATACAACTGTCAAATTTTGATAATCATATTGACTCGCGACTCCGACACCGGCATCTGAACCGTCTCAATACCTGCATAAGATCCTTGGCAAAGTCTAGACACATTGCCTATCATTCACATCTTCAAACCTGAGTGGCTAGGACATGGTCGCTTAACGAAAAGGACTATATTGCCGATAGATAACAGCTTTCAAGGAGGACGGCCGACTCAGACGTAACGAAGTTGGCATATTGCGTGCCCGCTATCTCCAAACCCCATATCAACGCTCTTGAATAAAGGCCAGACGATCGCCCAGCCATGACAAGTTTGCCAACTCTGGGCTTTTCCAAAGGCTCTTTCCGATATTCCAGGATCATGTCAGACGACAAGAGGATCACTGAACCGTTGGTTGATGAGCCGCCTCGGCCGACTTACACCAATCTTCATGGGGACGTGGATTCTCTACCAAATAAAGACGGCGTACGGACAGAAACCCATTCCCGAGACTCCTCAGCGGATGCGGACAACCCTTTTGCCGATCCAGAGGTTGCTGCGAGATATGCTCTTCTGTACGAGAAGGCACAGTATGAATGTCGGCATGTTTTTGATCCTACGATGACTTGGACGCCGGAGGAGGAGAAAGCGCTGGTTCGTAAGTTGGATTGGCATGTGTGCTTGTGGGCAGTGGGTATCCCCAATTGGTTCCTTGGTTGATATTTTGCTAATGGAGCCTAGTGTGTGATGTTCTTCGGCCTCCAGGTCGATCGAGGAAATTTGGTCCAAGCGGTCTCAGACAATCTGTTGGATGACCTTAACTTGTCTACGAATGGTATTCCATCTGCTCCTGCTTTTCGCATGAAAGAAAGCTTACCACGCTTAGAGTACAACACGGGAAACATTATTTTCTACGTATCGTTTCTTCTGGCCGAGCTGCCTTCACAGTTGGTCTCGAAGCAAATTGGCCCTGATCGCTGGATTCCGATGCAAATTTCATTATGGTCAATTGTCGCCACTACGCAAGCCGGTTTGTCTGGAAGGGCCTCTTTCTACACAACGAGGGCGTTGTTGGGCATTCTCGAGGTTGGTGTCTCTTATTACTTTGGACTAATAAATCTGACCCCATTCAGGGTGGATTTATCCCAGATATTGTACTATGGCTGTCTTACTTTTACACAAGCAGAGAGCTTCCGACTCGCCTAAGGTAAGACTGATCTGACTTCTAAGGGGCAATAGCTAACATAGCATAGTATATTCTGGACTGCCCTATCTGTGACTACTATTGTTACCTCCTTCATGGCCTTCGGACTTCTCCACATGCGAGGTGTTCTTGGCTGGGCAGGGTGGAGGTCAGTCAATATGTGGCCCTAGCAATTTCAGCCTCAGGACTAACTTATTGTAGATGGCTCTTCTTGATCGAGGGACTCATCACCCTCATCATCGGCTTGGTATCGTTCTTCAGAATGCCCGCTTCCGCAGTAGAAACGAAGAAATGGTTCCGACCTAAAGGGTGGTTCACCGATCGCGAAGTCCGGATCGTCGTCAACAGAGTTCTACGAGATGACCCATCGAAAGGTAAGCCATCCCATCCTCATCCTCCCAAAGCAACATCTAATCCATCCAGGCGACATGCACAACCGACAAGCCATCACCCCACGGCGTCTCTGGAACGCTCTGCGCGATTACGACCTGTGGCCCATCTACCTGCTCGGCATGGTCGTATACACGCCTATGGTCCCAGTGACTCAGTATATCACTCTTACTCTGAGAGGACTTGGCTTCAACACAGTACGTCACATGCCCCTCACCCCGAACCATTCAAATGCTAACAATCCAGTTCGTCACCAACCTCCTCACGATCCCTCATAGCGTCGGCCACATTATCCTACTCCTCACCCTGACTCGCGTAAGCGAGTGGCTAAACGAACGAGCCCTCACATCCATGGCCCAAAGTCTCTGGACTCTGCCCTGCGTCGCGGCATTACGATTCTGGCCTCAGATGATGGAAAACGCTTGGGGAACGTACGCCGTGGTAGTAGTCATGCTGTCTTACCCATATTGTCACGCGATCCTGGTAGGTTGGATATCTAAGAACTCGAATAATGTGGGAACGCGGACTGTTTCTGCAGCTATCTACAACAGTATGTCGTCTTCCGTCTTTTCCCCCAAGCCTTGAAGAAATATTCTAAAGCGGGGACAGTGTGCGTGCAACTCGGCAACATCATCGGAAATAATGTTTACCGGGAAGACGACAAGCCGAAATACCGAAGGGGAAATAGCGTCTTGCTAGGCTTGAACGTCTTGGCTATTTGTCTGTTCCTGGGAACAAAGGCGTACTATGTCCTGCGGAATAAGCACCGCGATCGCGTGTGGGCTGCGATGACGGAGGAGGTATGCTTGAATGCTTTTATCATGATGGTTTAGAGACTGACAAGATTACAGCAACAACAAGACTACATACATAATACGAAGGATACAGGAAGCAAGCGGCTGGACTTTCGGTTTGCTCACTGATATGTTTGAGCTTGGAGCAAAGGCATGCTGGAGACAGATTTATCAGGAACTACCATATCCACGTCACAATCAAGATATGGTGACGGTCTGCCGCTTCTCGCCTTTGTATCTAACCCCCTATATGAAAGCCAGGTTGATTCTTGTATTCAATCCAAGGTCTTCGCCCTTTAAGACACCTGCATAATATCAACACCCAGACTTTTGTAAACAATCATCGCTGATCCTAGCGTAAAAATAAAATAAAAGGAATGATCTAAATAACATGCCAAAACTAGATTAAAACAGCCTCAGCCTTCCTCATTCCCCCTCTCCATGAAAAGCACAGTTAATTCTTCCCCATCAATTCAAACTCATCCAACCAATTTCCCTCGTCCCCACCACCTGAGTCCTTCACCTCATCATCTCCATTAACCTCCTCCACATCCACAAAAACATCCTCCCCTAACCGCAACCACCCCATCGCAACCTTCCCCCCCTCCACACCCCTCAACCGCTCCATCAACGACCCTCTACCCTCTCCCCAACCCCCCGGATCCCTCCACACATTCACCCTGAACCGCTCCCCGGGTCGAGAAAAGAAATCCCCCGACAAATCCTCATTCCTATCCGGGAACGGCTGCCGCGATGCCTCGTGAATCTCAGCGAAGGTAACGATTAGGTCGGTAGCGGGAGGGTTCTCGGGGGTGTCTAGATCGAGGTGGACGCTGTGAGCGTTGAGGACGATGTTAGGTGCTCGGACTATGATGTGCGAGATGTTCCATTGGGATTGCGATGGGTTGCCGTAGAGGTAGAAGGGCATTTCGTCGGGGTAGATTGCGTCTTGGTGGCTGCGGGAGAGGGAGTGATGGGCGATGGTACGGGAGAGGGTGAGGGGGCGGGGGAAGGGAGTTGATGGGTTGCTTTAGGTTATATTTTAGTTCTCTCGTGTCTGAAGAAATGTAAAGGAGGGAAATACTTACATCCGATCTTCATAAATCGCGTCCGTGATCGTCACTCGGCCATTCGCTTTGAGGGAAGCAATGGTGTGATCTATGGAAGACTCAAATCGTGCTCTCACAGAGCATGTAGTCAACGGGTTATTTGTCTTTGTGGCTTCATAGACCGTCCTAATCGGTGCTGGTAGGGTGGTTGCGAAAATGACCTGATGTCTATGGTTTGCCTTGCGGAAGCAAGGTCGACTAACCAAGTATACCTCTGTGCCGGTGCCGTGAAGATAGAAATCATGACGGTCAGCGTTTAAGGTGTTGCGGTCGCGACAGATCTATTCGAATGGTCAGCTAGAATCTTTAATTGAATGGCGACGAGGCGAGTGGGTTGGAGTGAACATACTGCGACTTCCTCCTCGACGACCTTTCGAAACTCATTCATTATCGTCTTGAAACACTCGCTGAGTCCCATAAATGGGTTCATGACGGTATTCCTGAGAACGATCAAGCTGTTATCTGACTCCTCCAAGCCGAGTCTCTTCTTGTAAGATGCTAGACATTTTCCATACCTGCCGACCGAGAACTCAGTCGATGTCAGATAAAACGGTACTTTGGCAGGGTCAGCATTCGGCAAATCGATAGATAGTCTCTTGACCACTCTTCTCATTAGATTATTTGCTTCCTCGGCATCTGTGTTCAGTCTTTCGTCCTGATATCGCCAATTCAATGCGACGGCATTTATATTAAGATCCGAGCCCAGGTTCCGCAGAACAGGCATAATTTTCTTCTCATCAGGCCTGATAGCGTCGTATTTCAAGATGTCTGAATAAGATCTGTGAAGAATCATGTTCCAAATCCAACCTATGTCTTTCGGAAGTCTGTTGAATGGGACGCAGATAAAGGAGTCGTTCTCGGAAGCGAGAGTTACCCAGTGAGCGGCCATCTGTATTTGTTAGCTCTGTTCGGTTTGACTTATTGCAAGATCATACTTTGGCACTATTAAATTATACTTCGGCCAGAAGAGCCCCATATCCAGACGCATTCAGTCCGATGCAGTGATTAGAAAGCCAAACTGACATGGTAGCCGCGCCAGGTTTACTATTCACTGTCAGCAGATGTTTCTCTCCCCAGGGTGATGGAGAAAAGCATTTCGTCTGTCATACCTCCCCTGCAAACCATTCACTCCCATACTCCCTGTGGAACCCCGTGCCAGATATGGCCCCGTGCATGACACCAGACCTCCCATTCTCTTATCACGATACACCACGCCTCCCGCCGGATAGGGCACATAACCCGCTTTATGAGGATCGACGGTAATCGAGTCCGCGAACCGAAGGGCAGCCAGCGATGCTTCCGTGTCTGCACTGAGCTTCATTGCATGAGGAACCTGCTCATCTGTCTTTCCTAGTCGAGCAGCTTTGGCAGAAGTTATAGGTAGATTTGTCTGGTCGCGCGGCAGCATCGTGGCGAAGTATCCACCCCAGGCTGCGTCGGCGAGAACAAGGAAAGACAATCCTTGGGCTTGGAATTCACGTCTCAATGTTAGTATACTGGCCAGCTTATCGACTGCGCCTACTTCTGTGGATCCGACTGTTGCGACGACGGCGTAGATGGCTTGTTTGTTGTCCAGGCGCTCCTGAAGATGCGCTTTGAGGAGCTCGAGATCAATTCTGCCTGTTAGGTCGACGTCAACGCCAACGACGTTGTTTGCTCCGATCCCGAGGATTCCTAGTCATCCTTAAATTAGCACCAGTGTCTTTAAGAGTAGAAGCGTAAGGAGGACCATGAAGAAAGCAACATACCGCCGCCTTTTCCCCACGAGTAATGATTCGTCTTCCCCAAGATAAACTGCATCTGCTTATCAATCCCAAATCGCTTATCCAAGACTTCTTTTCCCGCATTCTGCACGCTATACTTTGCCAAGGCTGTATCTAGGAACCGCTGGGAGATGCCGAACGTACGATGCAGCATAGCAGGAAGATCCAAGACAACCTCAGGTCGCAGGTTGAGTAGTTCCCAGGTATCCATATCCCGGAACAACCTCTTCGTCCCGACACATGTCTCAACCAGAAACTGACCTGCGATGAAAGCAAGTTCGCCCTCCGCAATGGCAAGCCACAGCGTCAATGGATAGTGCTTGAGATTTCTCGCTGAGGATACCAGGTTAGGGATCCCTTTCTTTTCAATCCAGAAAACTATCGATTGGAAGAGAGGTAGATAAAAGAGGATACTCACCAACCCACATAGCTTCAATATTAGCCACCGTCCCGTCACAAGTGATGTGACCCCATCCTGTCACCGCTGCATCTTTGCCATGGCCCACGTTATACCCGAACAGCTGGCAGAACTGATTCCCTACTTCCACCTCGACGGCAGTTGTCAAGGGACTTACTTCAGGGGTTATGTTATTTGGATTATACATCATGCCCATGAAGTAGCCGAGCAGTGCTGGGATGCTGAGATCGCTGCACATGTGAGCACCATATCGAGGAGACCAGTAGGGGATGGAGTGCTTGGATAGCAGCTTGGTTGCAGAACGAATGGCTTCGGAGATGCCCGATGAGAAGTACGCGAACTGAGGAGACACTTGTGTCTTGGTTGTGATTGCTCTCTTCAGATTGTTAGGTTGGACAGAGCGTGAAGGGAAAGGGGGTGGGTACTTTGTCATTTGGAGCATAACTCTGTCGAGCGCTCTCCAGCTCATCGAGAATGACTGTGATATGTTTCCTGAAAAAGTACATATTCTCTGCATGGGGGCCTATGAAAAAGGCACTGATAGCCTGATGGATGCCATTGTCTTCCTCCATTTTGGGTTCTGGCAATAGCTGAGGTAGGGAATATGACGAGGATGTCTGAAGATCAAAGTGATCGCAGTGTGGGATCTGCCAGAGGGATGCGCGACGAGGACGTGGTGAATGAGGATATGCCATTGTCGGAGGAATCTGCATCTTGCTGGTAATCTCCGGTACTTCTCGCATGTAGTAGGTACCTGGCACAAGGACGCAGGACAGGCCAGTAGCGCGGATATCCACTCTATATACGTGCATGATCATGCGGCAATGCATCCGGCAGGTGATATACTTTCCCTGAACAATCTTGGACAGGGCTTGCTCAGGCCTGTTTCCCACATGGCCATATCCCGGAAGTCAAATTGCCAGCGCTGTCGCTGACCGCCGCTGGCGTCATAATCATAATCTGGATACATTACAGAGCGACATACATGAGAAACAGTCTAATCTAGTCTATTTTCCAGTCCCAATGTCTAAAGCAGAGCTGCTAGGCCCACCGCTGCCGCCCCCAGCATCATCCCCGTATCGCCCGTCACCCTGGCCATTCCACCACCACTACTTGTGGAGCTGGACCCCGTCTGCGTCGTCGTCCCTGTCCCTGTCGCCGTGGCATGAGAGGTACTCGTCCCCGGCCACGTGGGAGTCGCACTGGTGATCTCGCCGCCCGTTATCGTCACTGGTAATCGCGAAAAGCGCGTTGTCGTCGTGGAGGTGTGAAGAGCGGTGCTCGAGCCGGAGGAGGTGCTAACGGTTGCTCTGCAGACAGCCGTTGAGTCTTTCTGATCGACGGAACATATTATCGCGAAGAATCTGCGTCGCATAGTTAGCAGCTGCAGTCATACGGAACACGGCGAAAGGCTGAACTCACTTGCCGCCACTGGGATCGTCCATCATATACGTCGTCATGGGGTCGTCGGCCAAGAGCGTGACTCCGGCGCCCATGCCGCAATCGGAGTCGTCGGTCCCCGGGCGGCAATTAATATTATAGCTGGTGACGGTGGCATCCTATAGAACATTAACATTGACATCCACATTAGCCGTTAGATCTGATGGTGCTGCCTCAGGCCACCACCGGGCCGGTCGGGACGGAAGCGGGGAAAAACGGAGACGGACATTTCCAACGATGGAGGCCACCAGCGGCTGTTCGTCGGCGCCGTAGATGAACATCGAGCTGACGCTGTCCTTCGCCGTCACCAGTCCAAGCACGGCCAGTCCGGCCAGAAATTTCAATCGCATCGCGCTCGCTCAATTGCTCGACGAACAGGGGAAATCGGTCGGCATAAGGTTAAGGGGGAAGGTTGAATGGGATGGAGGATGGGATGGTGATGAGAGATGGGAACAGGAAACAGGCAATCGTGGCGCAGGGACCGGACTAACCAGGGCCGATTTTGGCGCCCGGATCGACAATTGGGTCTGGATTGGAAGGGACCAACGGTAGCGCAAGGACCGCGTTGCAGTTGACAGCCAAGGACTGCCTTAGATATCTTTGACGTCACGGGTGATTCGTGATTGAGGGTGGATGCCTCAGGGGACACTTTGAGCAGGTGCCCGTTGAAGCCCTAACTTGTCCCTCTGTCGCGATATCTCTCAACGCAGCATGGCTCCATTCACTCGCCCTGCAACCTGAGGAAATTAATTCGAGACTCCTTGCAGGACATCCGACCGGGATCTGCTCTGACTGTGTCCGTGCGCCAATGATTGCTGCCTGTTGGTCGCTTGGCACTGATTCTCTTTCTGTTGGATGGACAGCAAATACCAGGGTCTTTGCTTTGTCTTTGTCCCTGTCCCGAACTACGGTCGGGTCTAAGAATAGTTCGCTCGCTTGCGAGCTGCTAAATGTGGCTGAATTATTCTGCCCTGGTTCGTACACCTTGCAGAGAAACTTATTGATTACTCCCATCTCCCCATCAGGCTTCAATATGAGAGACCTTCAGAGCTGAAAAAGCGACTATTTCTACTCGTAAACTTCATGTCAATGCATAGGAATAGCCGGTGACAGGGCATCCAGCAGCGTATGCAGTGTCGCGCGCTCAGCCACAACAACCGTGGTCGCTTTGCAACTCCGAAGAAAGAACAAGGAAAAAGAAACAAAAAGTCCTAAACCAGGAGATTATTTATCCATACATGAAAATTTCAGCGCCATCCCTTTTGTCATGCGGACCTACCACGAGTTATCTAGCTGTGGGATTGATGGAAACACTGCTTCCTGCTTGGCTGTGCACGATGGATACGCATCTAACTGATATGTATCTGCGAAGGTCAACAGTTGGTCGACAGGAGAGGTAAGCTTATGTCTACTACGTACCTAGTGATCAAACTCTGGTGTATTGATCCATTTCCTAATTGTTAACAACACCCCTCGCTAGGATGTCATTGCAGCATGAAACCGATGTTCCTCTATACAACCAGGAACCCTGGCCCTTCCTCATCATATCCCTGTCTTGGCTTCCAATGATTGGCGTGGCGTTGAATTGAGGCGGGATCAGGATAAATACGCCGTCTGTCGAGCCTTGTCGCCTGCCTTGCTTTACCCCTAAATCTCGGATAAGCTATCTCGATAGCGTTATTGCTAGGACCCCAAATTCCGCCTCTCCCCCCCGGTCGCTATCGAGGCCTTCGGAGTTGTTGCTAATATCGGGGCGGTCTTCCAGCTAGTCGTCCAGGTCACTCAGCTGAGCTACAGCTTTTTCATGTGCCCAAGATACAGACGTGGTATCTGGAAGAGGTATCCGGTTTGATGGACGTTCTCTTTCGCGTCGCGCAGGTTATCGTAGAAACGGAATCCACTGGATTGCTGCCGACGCGCCCGGCTACTCTAGACGATGAGGCGTTGGTCGAGTGCTACAAGTAACCTCATCTTTGCTAAAGGGTCCAGACGGATTGGACTCGAATCATACGCCAATCTTTTTGTCACTTGTCAGAAGCCAGTGTAAACTCGTTCATATATTTTCAAACCTTGGGGCCACTTTGCCTGCTGACCTAGGCCTGGCTCATTTTATTCATCAAGCTACTGAAGCTCTTGAACTCGATGTAATAGCTTTGCTGTGCGCAAAAGACGGTCGTCCGGCTCCGAACTTGGTGCTTGTACTCGTCATATCCCATATCCACGTCTGACAACATTCAAAGTTTGAGAAATCCATTTTTCACAACAAATTCACGAGAGGCCTTGCTTGAGTATTCTCTGCAGGAGCCGATATAAACTTTTCTGACATCGTCCAAGAACTAAATCCGTGGGCCAATGTGAGGAAAGACACAACAACACCTCTGATCCTAGCTGGGGCACTGCAAGGATCGCGCGATATACTCCATGCTCTTCTCAGCCACGGTGCCGATTTGTATCATTCATCAGAGAAGACATTCGATCCGATTTTGACTGCAGCGCTATTTGGAGGATAGCAGGAGCTATCACTTCTCATGGCACATGCCACGACTCATCCCAGTGCCTCTCACTGGGTCAACTTTCTGAAAGAAGCTTCGGATGGAAGAAATCAGGTTGGATGTGTAAGTTTCTGTTTGAGAAGGGCAGGCCATCGGGATTAGGCCAATATTGAGGGCCAAACGCTTTTATATATTGCGATCCAAAGAGGCAACGTCGCGAATCAGCGCGAGAGGATGTCAGAGGTAGGAAGTTTGTTTCCACTCTTGAGCCAGCACTGACTGAGCCCATGCTCTGTAATGACTCATTAATAGCTGTCTTAGAGGGAGTAAATGGGGATTGCTGTGCAAAATCATGATATATTTATGGCTTCAGACCTTCTCACGAGAGGATGTCACCCCAATCATACCATCAAGGAACACAACATCCCAGCAATATCATATGCAGCAACGCATGGCCATTGCGAACTAGCTTCTTTCTTGCTCAGTCATGGTGCAAAAACCGAAGTAACGGATATCCACGGCTGGCGACCGCTGCATGTTGCATGCTTTAAGAGGCACATCGATATTGTAAGAGACTTGATTTCACAAAGTGTAGATGTGCACGCTTCCACGGTGACATGAACTCCGACCGAGAGACACCTTGGGGTCCTTTTGAGGGGAATCCTTGGACTGGATCTTCTCTCCATCTAGCCACAATGGGGGGATATGCAGATATAATCAAGATCCTGCTTGGGCGCAATGTTAATGTGCACACTAGTACGGGTGTAACATCGACCCACCTTGCGTATCCTGCCAGTGGCCCAACTGCATTGCACATTGCATTAAGCATCAGGCCAATGTCCATTGACAATATCATCCGTAGATTACCAAATCCAGAGATGCTCCAGATTGCGCAGTGACTCGACGCTGGTGTTGTGGCGCAGGGAGTGATTCGACTCGAAAGATATTCTCCGCTTCGAAGATTTCTCTGAGCTTTGGGACGCCTTAGTAGCTGGTGATGCATGACCGATGCTCCATGTCCTTAGTCCAGCAGAGAGCCCTCTGAAGATATCAAAATTGTAGGCTGCTTATTCCGACCGTCATTGGTATTGTCCTGGTCCTGTTGATTGAAGATTACATGAATCCTTTTGTCAGTCGATGGTCAGTCACGGGGAGCCCTAGCCCTATCTTATCTTCATGCCACCTCATTTCCCTGCCACCAAACAGTCGACCTTCAGAGAGGGGTAGATGGGCTTTGAAATGCAAGTAAGATCTAATTAACGGTTATCCGAGAATATGCGCTCCTAACGGTCAGCCACCAGTCGCTGTTCGCTCGCTATCTGCACCCCGCTTGTACAGCGCAGATGCGTGGAACCGACAGAAAAGGTACGATCGATAGACATGCGAAGTCACTCATTATTTAAGACGGTCGGCAGACATTCTTCCCCTGAAAGCACACGTGGAAGACACCTCTCCCCAGCTGAGAAACTGCATCCCAGCATTCCCATGTCGGAGGACACTCACAAATGGCAACGATCACCCTCCCACCGCCAACTCTAGCAATCATGCAAGGAGGGGAAACCAGCATTCTGCAGGAACAAGCGATCTGCGCCGATTGGACGCCTCTTGATTTAGCCTGGTCTATCCGAAACTGGCACATCCGAACCCCTCACGAGTTCATATTAGCACTATCGACTCATCACCAGGCGGCGGCGACGCCATCCCGACCACAACCCGCGCGGAAGCTCTGCCCAAGAAAACCGAGATGAGGCAAAGTCTTGGCCGGTGCAACCCTGAGCAGCATCGCCGTCGGGGGCCCGTCGAATTGGCTCGCCGCCATACGCACCTCTTATCTCTGCCAAGCGGCGCGATGCTCTTGGCCCGGCAGTCACCCCGGCGCCAAGGGAGGTCCAGCCCGACCGGAGGCGGGAAATGCCTGCGTCTGCCGTGCGATGGCGCTGATATGGTCTGCGATGGCGATGCGGGGGGAGCATTCCTGCCTTTCCGTGGGAAGTTGGGAGTGATCATGCGGTGATAGTGATAGCCTGACGGGTGGGAGACGTGAGGGCAGGGCAGGGGAGGCAGGCGCGACTATAAATACCGCCCTCCCAGCATGACCTGAGTACCTTGAGGATCTGTCACGGCAGGTTGGTTTGTCGATTGGCTCGTTTTGGTTTATTTTTATCCGTCTGTCGTTATGAAGTCTGTTCTGTTGGCCTCGTTGGTCACCTTGGCTGTGGCTAAGGGTCATCATGGCAAGCCGCCTGTGTCTCCGGTTGGTTTTTCAATCCCCATCCCCCTGTCTTTGTCTTACCTCAAGGTCCTCAATTGACTGTTTGTGCTCGGTAGAAAACCTTCCCCGATGATATTAAGCTGAAGGATCTGCTGCGAGGGTCCCAGGTGCTGGAGGACTTTGCCTATTCCTACCCCGAGCGCAACCGTGTGTTTGGCGGCGCCGCGCACCAGGACACCGTGAACTGGCTGTACAAGGAGCTGAAGAAGACGGGCTACTACGATGTCTGGAAGCAGCCGCAGGTGCACCTGTGGACCAAGGCCGACCAGAGCCTAACGGTCGACGGCGAGTCCATCGATGCGCAGACCATGACCTACAGCCCTAGTGTCGACGTCAGCGCCGAGTTGGCCGTCGTCGCCAACCTGGGCTGCTCGGCCTCCGACTACAGCGACGTAGCCGGTAAGATCGCCCTCGTGCAGCGTGGAGAGTGCAGCTTCGCCGAGAAGTCCGTCAACGCTGCTGCCGCTGACGCCGCCGCCACGATCGTCTATAACAACGTCGAGGGCACCGTCGCCGGTACTCTGGGCGGCGCCACCAGCGAGCTGGGCCCCTACTCGGCCATTGTCGGCATCACCAAGGCTGATGGCCTGACCCTGGTTGACTTGGCTGAGGCTGGCGCCGTGAAGGTCGACCTGGTGGTGGACAGCCAGCAGGAGAACCGCACGACGTACAATGTCATTGCGCAGACCAAGGGCGGCGATCCTAACAATGTCATCTCTCTGGGTGGCCACACCGACTCGGTCGAAGCTGGCCCTGGCATCAACGACGACGGCTCCGGCATCATCAGCAACCTGGTGGTGGCTAAGGCGCTGACCAAGTACAAGACCAAGCACGCCGTGCGCTTCTTCTTCTGGACCGCGGAGGAGTTCGGCCTGCTGGGCAGCGAGTTCTACGTCAACAGCCTCAACGCCACCGAGCTGGCCAAGCTGCGTCTCTACCTGAACTTCGACATGATCGCCTCGCCCAACTACGCCCTGCTGATCTACGACGGCGACGGTTCCGCCTACAACCAGTCCGGTCCGGCTGGATCCGCCCAGATCGAATACCTCTTCGAGGACTACTACAAGTCCAAGGGCCTCGCCCACTTCCCCACGCAGTTCGACGGCCGCTCCGACTACGAGGCCTTCATCCTCAGCGGCATCCCTGCGGGTGGTGTCTTCACCGGCGCGGAGGGCATCAAGACCGAGGAGCAGGCCGCCCTGTACGGTGGACAGGCCGGCATCTCTTACGACGAGAACTACCACGCTCCCGGCGACAACTTCACCAACCTCAACCACGAGGCCTTCCTGCTGAACTCCAAGGCAACGGCCTTTGCGGTCGCCACCTACGCCAACGACCTCTCCTCCATCCCGAAGCCTAACACCACCTTCTCTGTCTTCCAGCGCTCTACCGAGCGCAAGCGTCGCAATGCCATCCGTCGCCAGACTCCTCGTGCTCTGTCGCACGCGCATGCCCACGGCACAGGGTGCTTCCACTCTCTGGTGGAGGCGTAAATAGATTGGTATGGTATATCTTTACAGCTCGGTAGAAGTGTCGCCGAGGAAAAGAAACGATAAAACGAACCCATGTTGCACGTCTATGTATATAGACCATTCTTAGCATTCAAAACGAGCAATGAACATTCAGATGAATCTGTTACTCCCTTCTGCTTAAGACACCATTCTGCTAAAAACAATGTAGTTGAATCCCCAGCCCCCATACAAACTCAAACTCCTCAGTCTAGCTCCCTCAAGCCCTTAACTCCAACCTCACCTAACCCATCCCTCACCCACCTAACACCCTAAATCTAAGACTCTCGGACTAAGAAACCACACACATCCCCGACAAAGATAGTCACTGCGCCTTGGGCGGATACATCTTTCCATCCCGCTCGACCTGCGGCGCACAGCTGCACCGCTCGCTCTCGGGGATCGAGTCCATCACGGACGGAATGTGGCTGCCGCAGCCGAACCAGCTGGTTTTTTCTGCGTTCGTGAGTCAACATTTCATCGGTTTATTGGGTTTTCCTTGGTGGTTGGTGGTTGGTGGTTGGTTTGTGTAAGTGGGGGTGTGAGGGGTGCAGTGGGGAGCGTACGGCAGGTTGAGCAGACTGCTTTCATGCACATTTTGGATCGAGGGTTTAGGTTTGGGGATTGTTTGGGTTTGGGTGGTTATTCTGAGAGGTCTTAAGGGAGAGAAGATGTAGAGTAGAGTAGAGTAGAAGAAGAGAGAAGTAGAAGACGTGAAGAAAAGAAGAAGGAAAGTGGAGCTCGGGGTCTGTCTTAGTCAGCGCGCTGGACGTCGCCGAAGTCGCGGGGATTTTTTGACTCTTTTAGTCCCCGATTTACTCAACTCTTTCACTACTAGCATATTGGACACGGCTGGCATTCTGATAAACGTTGATTCATTCTGATTCCGATTTATCCTCCCGGCATAATCCATCTATATCATAATCGTCAAAAATCCTCCATCCCATAACACCATCTACAGCTTCACCGTCCGATCAGATACCGGAGCACAGCATGCCGGCGCCGACTCCGGGTGCAGCGTCGACTGGTTGAATGCCTGGTTCGACGGGGGGACGTCCAGTGCTGGGTTCTTCGTGAAGAAGCCGTCGGGTCGCAGCATGACGCTGACGCGCTCCATCGGCATGACGGGGAAGTCTTCGATGCGGGGGTTGTGCGTGAGACCGAAAGCTGTTTTATATTAGATTCAACAGTTCGAAATTGAAGGGACGTAGGATCTGGGAACAATATCCTGTATGTAAAGGAAGAAGGGGGGAAGACTTACTATGCCAAAGCACCACGTCCTCATTCTCCACCGAATCCTTTCGCGCCACCCACTTCTCAACACCCTGGCTTTCCTTGCTCTGGTTCGTGAACTCGCCCGCCGCGTAGAGCTCCCCGTCCTGGTACTTCGTCACCCAGATGGGCTTGGTCGCGAAACCTGCGCGCTTGACACCGTACGAGCGCGGACTGGCCAGGAGCATTTGCGCCGGCGAGGTCTGCAGCTTATACGCGATGGGCTTGTAGGTGATGGGGTTGATGTGGGAGTCGTTGCGGATCTTGAACACGCGGTGACGGTCTACGCTCGTGTTGGCCGTTCCGCTCGTCTTGAGCACCGTTTGCTCCGTCGTGTAGCCCACGTTGTACGGGTTATTCTCGTCCTCGGGCATCGGCACGCTGTCTTCGTAGTAGACGGTGTTCTGGAAGCCATCGAGCGCAGGGTCCATGCGGAACGAGAACATGTGCTGATGGTACGGGGCCATGACGCCGGGGCCGACGTTCGTGCCCCAGGGCACGGTGGTGCCGAAGGTGTGGTTGTCGAAGGGCACGGTGGAGAGGATGCCGGTGGCGCGGACCTCCAGCTCGATGTTGGCCGCTTGGTCGAAGATGAACGCGAAGATGTATTCGTAGTTGGCGACGGTGCAGATCATTTGCACGACGAGCTGGCGGTTGCGCACGACGGTTGCGGCGCCGCTGCGGTAGTTCGTGTGTTTGTGCTGGAGGCCGTTGTCTTGCTCGTGGAGGCAGATGACGTTCTTGAGGTGGACGGGGTTCCCCTTGGCGTCGGCGCGGTAGCCGTCGAAGTACTTGATGTGGCCGAGACAGTCGCAGCCGAGGGATAGTTGGTTGGCTGTGATGCCGAAGCCGACGTCGCCGACGTCGAAGGCTTGTTTGCGGTGGTAGGGAGCGCGGGGGTCTATATTTGTTAGAAGTGCTGGAAGAAGGGAAGGGGTTAGAGAACATACCTCCGTATGGAACAGTCATCTCAGACACCGAAAGTCGGTAGAACACGTTGCGCTGGTCGTAGGTGAGGTTGTGAATTACTAGACCCTCCCGGCTGTTGAAGCCTACTCGGAACTTCCATTTCTGCCACGAGACCAGGTTATCTTCAACGGTGAACGAGGCGCCTTGTGGCTGCTGCACGACGTATGGCTTCAGGTCTGTGCGCAGCGGCTCCTGCAGTAAATCATGAGCGTACTGGATAGTCTCTACCGGTTTCCACGGCTGAGTTTCCGTGGTCTGAACGTCCGGTCCACCCGGGAGGTAGTCCATGCGCACGAGCTCCCGAGTGATGCCATCGAAAACGGGAGAGAATTTGCATGGCAGAGAGTAGTGGTTGTTCTGGGGGTGGTCCGTAGCCACAATGTACATGTAACATTGAAACAAGCGACGATTCTCCTTCGGATCATCGGTTCCATAGATCCAAGGATCATTACAGACGGTCACTCCAGCGGGCAGCTGCAATTTAGCCACTTCAGCCTTGACGGCCGGGTGCTGGAGACACATGGCCTCGATTTCGACGAGCTCGTCGGCATCGACGGGGCCCTGGACAGTCAGCAATTGGTCTTCGAGGAGTGTAGTACTTGAGCGTACCTGAATCTCTTTAGGCAGTTCTTTGGCATAGAGAATCGATCGCGTTCCAGCATTCAACAGCGCCTTGTAAAACGCACCGGAATCCAAGCGGTGGAAAAGGACCTGCAACAATCGAGCCGGTCGAGGGGGAAGTGGCTTGCCCAGTCTCTCGGCTTCGATAAAGGGGACCACCTCCTTCTTCGTTGGCTCCTGGATATCGATCTTCTTGTACCGCAAATTGACCCCGGGGAAGGCGGCCTCCAGGATCTTGGTGGCCAATTGGATCTCCCCAGGGGTGATGCCATCGAAGGGATGTGGTAGTGCGCCCGTCATTGTAAATGTATTCCGGGTTAAATTCAGAATGAAAATTCAGAATCTTGTAGGAAAAGACAGCCGCGGGGGATGTCCGGGGATTATATAGATGACGGAAGAGGTGGAAGAGAGTTGCACCCCTCGTGGATCCATTCCTGATAGACACCCGCTTCCCCAGGCTGCCGTCCCCTGCGCGCTGATTGGCCCGCAACCGGTCCGGCGTATCTGTTTCCGCATCTGGACTAGTGTCAACGGCCCGGCATTTGGTCCGGGTCACGGGATCCCTGGTTTGCTCTGTTTGCAGCGGTGTAATGGGCTGTGATTGGGTCTGTTCTCCGACCTCCGCATGATTGGCGACGCCCTCCGCCGATCTATCGTTACCACCGATGTTGTGCACCCCATGCCTATGACTTTTGTGCAGTGCCTTGTTGAGCTGGCCTAGACATACTTTTGAATGTGAATTTCATTTGTCAAAAGTGAGGAGACTCAAATCAGGACACTACACTGCTTTGTAAGTACGTAGTTCTAGATTAACCCAGTATCAGTCTTAGCAAAAGATATATTTTCGGCTAGGTAGTATAACAGCATCTCCCGCACTACACATTTTTTATAGTACATATTTGATACTAGCGTCTATAGAATGGGGTATACGATTACTTAGACTAAGCAAGAGCATTTCTTTTTCAGCATGGCCTTGCAGTCAGATACTGTAAATATATCGCTCTTCGGCTACCACCCCTCCGCCAAAATGAAAAGCCATTAATCGGTAGCACTGGCTATGAAAGCAGCTGTTCAACTTAACTCAGACATTTGTATCATCCAATTCTTCTTATTCATTAGGTATGGGTTTGTTTATATTTTTGTACCCTCTTCGCCTCCTTGAAATGCCAGCCACATCAACCCCCATCAGAAGGGGCGCCAGCTCCTGGGCAATGCAAGCATAGACGGGCTTTAAAATTGAGAATTCCCCAGGCTTGCAATATAACGAGCGGATTGTTTCAAAAGTGTTGGTATGAGAATGATTCACAGCCTTCGAAATAGTCTTGAACCAGACCAAAAGAGGTGAGAGTAGACACCTAAGGCATAAAGGCACCAAGGCAGCACTCTTATCTTATCTCATGCGGGGTTGCTGACTCACCGCCATTGCCGCCTCAGGCCCAACCACCAACGAGATCGTCTTCTTCGCAATGCCAATCTCAAATGCCGATGACATGTACAATACTATGGACCGTTCGCAACGCTTGAAGCGGACGTCAAATGCGTATATCCCTCTCTTCTCCTATATCCCAGGCAAATGACCTCATTGCTAACCGATACAGCTGTCAACGATGTCGATCTCGAAAGGTCAAATGCTCCGGCACACACCCCTGCGACAAATGTCGTTCGCGTCGCCAGGAATGTGTCTTTGAAGAGGACCGGAAGATCATGGTTTCTGAGGAGTACTAAACCCAACTTGGTCTCTGCTGTGTGGTTCTTGATTGACCCATTCAGGTTGTTTTTGTCCTTGCAACGCCGAGTAGAAGAGCTTGAAGGCACTTCGTCACCACGGCCTCGGAAACGAGCTCGGACGATACGAAATAGCTCGCCTCCGGAGCAGGATTACAGTAAGTTCCACATTCGTTCATGCCGTTCTTGATCTAATCCTTATTCCAGGACATTCGTCTGAGGCACCGAAAGAGGCGACGCCTGAACCTCCGGAAGGAAATCGATATGATGACCGATTTGCTTCTAATCCTCTAGTCTCTCCGTCGACCTTTGTGAAGCAGTCCGGTCGAAGACAGCGCGTATGGTGTACGTACGCACAGTCTTCTGCTCAGTGTCCAGGCTAACCGTCGTAGTATTCCTCGGTCCTACATCAACCTGGTCTTTCAGTCGCCGTGTTCTCAGCGTCATTCAGACTCGACTGAATCCCAATCATTTTGCACCAATTCCCACTCCGGTGGACGGCGATGCCTATGAGATCCGCTGGCGCAAGGCCAGCTCGGAAGAAGCACCCGATATTAGTGGCCTTCCCTCACTGGAACACGCACTTTACATTCTCAACACCGTCCAGTTCCACTTCGGCCATCTGTACCGGATGTTCGACGAGAGTGAGTTCTTGCGTCACCTGTACGGGTTCTACGAAGATGCCGCGGCCAAGGTGCAGGAAAGTCGTCTTTGGTATATCCAGTTTCTCATCATCTTGGCATTTGGCGATGCCTTCTTGGCCCCGGTCCGAAAGGCAAATAACACGAGTTGGACCAAATTCTTCTCGCGTGCCATGTCATTGTTACCGGATACCACGGAGATGTGGCAGGAGCCTACTTTGGCCACTGAAGTTCTGGCTCTGGTTGCGCTTTATCTGCACTCGGTTGATATGAGAGATAATTCGTACTGTTATGTAAGTCATGTCGTTCATTTCAGGAGGGATGTCGTGCTGATAGTCAAAGATTGGTCAAGCAATGCGAGTTGCGCTGGTGGAAGGGTTTCACCGCGCCCTACCAGTCGATCAATTGGGCCAGAAATTGGTCGACAGATGCAGTAATATCTGGTGGACGGTATATATTCTAGACCGCAAATTCTCGTCTCTACAGGGATCGCCGAACTCTGTAAATGATGAGGATATTACCACGAATCTTTGGGACGCCCGATCGGGCTCCGACAAAGAAGCTGCACTGAGTCTTCATGTCAAGATCTCTCAGGTCATCACTCGTGTGCTCAACAGTAGGTCTCAGTGTCCCTTTCTGTTGATATTAAATGCTAACATTAGTAGCGGTGTATAGCGCCGACGGCAGGCTCGGTGGCAGATTCCTGCGAAAAGTACGGTCTGTTCTACATGAGATGACCGAGCTCTCTCGGGAACTGGAAGAGGTTTTTGCCCATCGCTTTTCTAATTCCGTCGATGCACTATCCGGTGTCACAACACGATTGACTCTATCTTGTCACCTGGTATGTGTCCCCGTCATGCCTTAACCTTCATCTAACATGATCAGTGCATCATCGTCACCACCAGACCCCTGGTACTCAGCCTTCTTTGGGAACGACTCAGTTGTTTCGAAGAAGGCGACGTATTCCGAACACTATCATCCCCTGTCCGAACTCTCCTCGAGGCATGCACAGATTCTGCCACCAAGTCACTCAGGATTCTATGTGCGCTGCGGGATCAGAACATACTCGGTGTGTACCATTCCTCCCATCCAGCAGATTGGACTCTAACCGACACGAGAAACCTTCCTCCCCTTCGACCTTGAAAACCTGTTTTCTTCCTTCTTCGTCCTCTCCCTCATATCCGCCATTCTCCCGGATACCCTCCCCGACCCCAACTATCGCGAAATGGGCTTCAGTCTCCTCGACGAGATGATCTCCCGCGGCAACCGTGTCGCGCAAATCCGCAAATCCGAAATTGAGCTGCTGGAAGAACTGGTCCAGCCCATGATGCAATCGCATATCCGGCCCACCCAGCCCGGGACGCATGCCCTTGCGCATGTCATGGCCCCGTTGGCCCCGAATCATCTTGCCGAGCCGGTCAATACCCCTATCACGGCTTTGGACACAACAGTCACCACGCCAGCATTGCAGGCTGGGCAAGAGGATGATCTGTCGTTTGACTGGCGTGATCTTGGATTATCGATGGATCATATGCTCTCGGTGACTGACCAGTTGGATGCGAATAACTTGATTCTTGATGCGGAGCGGGAGGGGCTGCAGGCTGATCTGTGGCTGTGGAGTGATAATCCATGAATCTTATGATATAAACCATTGGCCTTCAATGGGGGGCGGCGTATATAACGGCCAATTATTTATCATTTCATTCATATCTTGCATATATCCGTTCTACGTTTAGCAAACAAATCAAGCGTTATTAATCCAGCTGCGAGTTGTATTAGAGCTAATCCGGTTAATGAGCCAGGCCTCTTACGTGTCTTCCAGTAAGACCTAGCGATCGGTACACAAACACCCAATCCTCTACGTCAGTACTTCCACATACGAAATCATTCTCAATTCATTCTATCGTGAAGAACGTCCCTTAGGAACTATTATAGCTAGAAACGAACGGGCCAAAGAAAACCAGGGACAGCCTCTGCATTCGCACAACAAGCCTAGGGAAAACCTTCTCGACCAAAGCTGGCGAAAACCTAGACCAAGGCCTCATCGCCAACCTCCAAAGCGCAGCAGACACCCATCCTCACTACCAAGAATCAGCTCTCATCCCACCCCTCAGAAGAAAGGGGATACTCACAGGGCCAACCTCATCACAGAAGTCGCTCTCGCTAGTCTCATAGCATTGCTTCTGGCAGGGCATCGCATAGCCAACTCCCCTGTCCGCGTCATCACGGCAGTAGAACAGGGTGTGTTGGATCTGGAATTCCGTGGGCGACGTGATCCCGGCGCCCAGCAGGGCCGCTACGATCTCGGGCATGTAGTTTCCTGGCAGTCTTAGCTCTATGAATGGGCGTTGCGCACGCAGAAGACCTACCTTTGTCCAGGAGGTTCCAGCCGCAGTAGTATTCGTTGTCAGTGCAATAAGCGGCAGAGGCAGAGGTGGCGAAGAGACCGAGGAGGCCGAAGCTAATGGTGGCGAGCTTCATGATGGGTGGATTGGAAGGGGTTTTGGTTGATGGGCAAGGGAGTTCAGTGATCAGGAAGTGTGTTGATGAGGATTCAGAGCAGTGTTTTGACGCACTTATATACCTCCAATTGAGAGGCCCGTGAATCAATTCAGCTCACCTGTCCATGCGCCACCACTATGAAAGCTGAAAGATCAAGCGGGGAGATACTTCAGATCGCCCTTCGGATATGCAAGATGATGTGGAGAAATCGGCCACCGATGCAACCTCACAGCTGATCTTCGACTCTTGTCGAGGCGAAGATCGACAGGCTATGGCATAGTGATTCTCGACAAGTCGACTCTAACGGGAGCTCATATCTGGAATCAAACTGTAGCAAATCGGCCGCCGATATAACAGTGGTGCATATTCTGACTGTGTTGTCCCCTGCCCGGTCCGCTTGGGGTTGAGGAGTTCGTGTTTGAAACTGAACTGCAGGTTTTTCGATGCTATTCGAAATCAGATGACACATGGGTTTCAGCTGTGCATATAGATGACGTCGGGAGGTCTATACCCCGGCCATGTCTCCATGGCCTCGCTCAGCTAACAAAAGTACAGTCAGTATATCTCCACGGTTGCATTCCGTAGTGATTCATGCGATATATGCAGAAACTGGTCGATCCCTAGAGGACCGAGCCAGACGGATAGATCCGTCAGCAAACTACAGGAAGACGGGTCCAGTCAATCTGTAGAGGCCCCTTCCAAGCCCAGTGCTTCTCCTCTTTTGTGGTGATGGCTAGCTCCTCGTTTTAATAAAAGTTGGTAACAGAATAGCAATCGCCTCTGGTTCATTCTATTCATGCCGCTGTGTAGAATTCATAGAACCCCCTGGTAACTGAGTCTCAGTTTTCTATACCCCTAAAGAAGGGACTACGAAAGCTCTCTGAGCCGTATCTAAATTCCCAAGTATTAGCATTGGGTATGTGTTTTGTCTACATTCGCATATGTATGTCCTGGCATTTCGATGACTCGTAGCAGCTGGTATCACTGAGCCTATTTAGTGTAATACGTAGTCATTGAATTTGTCTGATCCTAGTGTCTGGAGTGGATTGGCCTCTCGATCGCGCTTTTCTGAAATGGGGAAAGTATATTTTCAGGCACACGGGGACCCAACACGCCAAAGCTAAGTACCAGTCCCAAATTGTTCTCGTGGTCATGAAAGGAACCTCACCATAAGCTAATATGATCTAATAAGTATTTCCTAAAGTTCTAATCACGACCCAAGAAATAATGAAAGGAAAGGGGGGAGGAATCCCCAGTGAGTCAACTGTTTGTTTGCTCTGTTTGCCACATTCCAACCCCGCTGCCTAATCCCTGAGGCATACATAGACCCTGCCCTCTGCATATCATCAGAACCAGGGCCACGCCAGCCACAAAATAATCCAACCAGCCTATAAGAGCAGATCCCACCTGCAGACTCCCTCCCAGCTGTGATGTCTTTCAAGAGAGGGGTCATGGACTATCCTCCGCACGACACCCCGCCTTGGCGTCTACATTCTTCCACCAGTAAGATCAAATAGGGGCAGGTATACCGAGCCCAGAGGTTAGGAAGTAGCAGATATATATCCAGCGTAACCCCGCGCCTGATAATTTCTTTTTCTCCAGAACCAGGAAACGGGGTATCTTGTTTTCACGCAGCAATAATGGCTCTCGCTTCGTACGCCCAAGAGCTCTCCGCCTCGCTGGCAAAGGCCGGCCTCGTGCCGGGCTCAGCGCCACTCATCCCGGATAATTTCACGCCTACCGTGCAATTGAAAGTCAACTTCGGGGAAAAGGCTGTTGAATTGGGGAACTTGTTTCGAGCGAGCGAGTGTAAGGTGGCGCCGAGCGTGGAGTTTACGCCCGAGGTGAGATATCCTACCTTATCACTGGTTTACTCCTAGGTGGTACGCTATGGAAGAATTAAAAAGTACTGATTGAATTGGGTCATGCTCATAGGAGAATGTCGACCCTTCAACACGATACATGCTCTTCCTGATCGACCCTGATGCACCGACGCCCGACGACCCGAAGTTCGCATACTGGAGACACTGGGTTGTTTCGGGACTGGCACCTGGACAGGGAATAGATTCCGGAATGAACCTGACAGAGTACTTGGGACCCGGACCAAAGGATGAGTAAGTAAAATCCTGCATGTTATTTTTCAGATACTGGCTTGAGGGCAGGGCTGATTGGCTATGATGCTAGTTCTAAACCTCATCGGTATCTATACCTCCTATTCCGAGAGCCTGCCGGCTTGAGTCTTGATAAGGAAGACGTTGGGGGGGAGGAATTTGTTGAGCGGCGTTCGTTCAAAGCGGCTGAGTTCGTGGATAAGTTTAAGTTGGTGCTGGTGGGCATCAATTGGATGCTAGGGGCTGGGGATGGTTGGACTGCTTAGATATGGCTTAGATTTTACTCTTTGAGTTACGTTGTATAAAGTGATTTTATTCAGAATACTTCCCAATACAGATAGTTGCTTACGGAAACTAAAGCAATTCAGTGGAGTTGGTGCGAGGTGTAACATGTACAATGGGACAAAGACAAAGAAAGACTTGGTTGAACCAACATTGTGGCCACGCTTGGCTATTTTTAAACGGGTACCACGGTTGTCTAAGCCGATTCAGCTGACTGTCATTCTCTTTGTTTCGACTATGTCACTATGTCCTACTGCTGAATTTCCAGCAGAATGGCAGGTATGAACTTTGGCCTCAGGTTCGGCTACACTTGCTTGCATCCAAAATGATAAGATATAAGATACTTTTAAATCTACCCTTATGATCGATTTGTTGATCTGGAAGGGCTGATTTTCCGGATTGGGATATATACGGTCTTGTTTCATTATAACGATTATGTTACACTTATTCAAGTCATATTCTTCATAAAAGGTGTATTACTCTCTCCACTAACAGGGATATACATCGACTGCCCTCCCACAAGCGAGTTTCAGCATGGATATACAAAGGAAATCACCCGATTGCACTGTTATACAAGATTTATTCAATAGCATCAATAGGCCTTCTCAATAGACTAGGGTTCTCTTTCTATGGTCTTACGGATCTTCAGTCATTTTCAACATGTAGGTGCATTATAAAAGACCCTTCACGTCCAATGTACCCAACCTCATGCACAACCTACGTGTTCGTTCCTTCATTTAGTCATTCGATTAATTCCTCAAACGCAAATATGAAGTGCCTTCTCCTGATCTTCCTCGGCTTCTTAACCGGCTCACACGCCGCCGCCATCGGGGAATTTGAAAACTCGACAAAAACCTTTGACCCAGAACATCCTGAAGAAATCGTGGCCGGCGACTACGTATTTTCCAAGAAAGGCACTCCTGTATGTTCTCCTTCCTCCCTCTACATCATGTGAGATGAATGATTTCTAACCGCCTCCGAAATGCCCAGACCATACAAGCTAGATTTGTACGTATTTCTCAGGAATATCCTCTGCTAGATAACCCTCCCTATACAAAGCGACCGGTCTAACAGACTACCCAGGGGATGTATGAATGTGACGCGAATAGGAGATGGGGCGACAGTTGCCAGCCGTTCCATTGCCAGTGCCAGGAGGGCCTTGGCTGTTGGTCCTGCAACGGTGGTGCTTATCGTTGTCAGTCGGGTCCTAGCAAGTCTCCTGTGGCATGCATTTGATGTGGTTTAACAGTGGAGGCTTGCGTGGAATATAAGGCAGACCTGGGTGGCTGTTGTTGTGCTTCATCCGTGGGAGAGATTTGGTTGCGTCGTTGGATGCTGTGGTTATGGCTTTTGGACTATGTCTGTTATGAGGATCTGAGAGCTCCGGAATAGGTCGAGCAGCTTATTCAGGCTTTTAGTTTGCTTGCTAAATATGAAGATTACTGTTATCAACTGGTCTTGTTACTTGATGTAAATTTAAAATATTCGGTGGTCTACAAGCAATTTCATAGCCAGACCTTCACGCTACAATGTTAATAAGCAGACGTTAGTTATCATTCTGGTATCCTAACGCTTTGCCACAAACAACACTAATGAACTATAGAATTATAATTACAAGCTGTTGCCCTAGTTCCTTCATTAGATATCCTCCTTCTCCGGTCGTCGCCGGACAGCAAGCGTCGCATACGGATCTGCAACCAACGTAGATCCAAAGGCCCGCACCCGTGGCTTCTCCCCTACGACTTTGATGTCATATTTCATCAGAATATGACATAACAGGACTTTGACTTCATTCGCGGCAAAGAAGCGCCCGGGACAGGAGTGCTTGCCGTAACCCCAGGATAGATTATCGGGGGAGGTTCCTGCCAGTTGAGCAGATGTCTTATACCCTGGAGTTTCGCGGAGTTTTATAAACCGATAAGGGTCGAAAATCTCGGGGTTAGGATGATAGGCCTCGTCCCATTGTCTTTCGGAAGCTACTATCAGTCTGGTTCCTTCGGGGATCACGGTGCCGTCGGATAGAAGAAGCGGTTTTTTGGTGACGCGGCGCATTGATACTACGTATTCAAGGGTTGGTTAATGGGGTTTTAAGTGGTCGAGAGCGGAGGATATGGCGAAGGAAGGCATACCAAAAGCAACAGGCTTCAGCCGCTGACTTTCCTTCAAAACGCTATCCATTAACTTCAGCTGGTTCACCGTCGCCTTTGTCCATCCCTGCGGAAGAATAGTCTTGATTTCCTCTCTTAGAGCGCATATCAATTCTTCACGATCCACCAGGTCGTACAGCGCCTGCGTCAGCATATCAGACGTTGTATGGATCGCAACGAAAGTAAGCGTCAGTTGCGTGTGCACCGGATTATAATTCTCTCCGTGCGCCATCTCCTCGAAACATTCAATCGCGTCAACATATTGCTTCGGCTTCTTACCCTCTCTGAAAGCTTTCTGCTTCGCCATCTGTCGATCATCCACGATCGACTGCACGATCTTTTTAGCGTCGCGCAAATGCGCGCGCAGGCGCCGACAAGAAGGCAAGAATTTTGCTACCAGCTTCCGCAACCCCGCGGGGGCTAAGCGCAGCTCTGTTGCTGCTTGGGCCACGTCTCTGGCGTAGTTCACTGCGATCCGTACCCAGTCGGGGTCTCGACATATTGGGTCTCCGAGGAAAACTCGGGAGCTAACTTGCGCGGCGACCGTGGGGATGTCGTCTCTTGGGGAGATATTGTGCCATTCTAGGGGCGGTTAGGACTGATTGTCTCTCATGATAACTAGAGCTATAAATGGTGCGGTCGAGATGAGTTACCGGGGTCATCTGTCCATTCCGCCTGCAACGCAATCGTTGTTTCGTCGGACAAGGCTGTGCTTACGTGCCCTTGAACGCATTGTCATTACTCAATCGACTAAAGGAGGGGGTAACACTTACATAACATCTTCAATAGCTTTGTGCGTACAGCATGCTGGAACAAGCCATCTTCCCTGGTGAATTCTGCGGACGCTTCGAAACCAGGTATGCCCTTGTGCATCAAGTCCTCGAACACTTTTCGAGGGTTCAGAGTCGGATTATCGCGTATCTCTTCGGCGAACTTGGGGTGCAGGACAACGTAGTATCCATTTTCTGTGACGATTCCGAAGACGTTGGCCTAGAAGATACCAAATTTCAGTTCATGGAGAGTCTTTCGGCAAGCAGTGATTAATTTGCATAGACATACCTTGGCCAGGCCTGTCTTTATAAGCTCTCTTCCATTATAAAAGAATCGCTTTCGGGCGAGGATGTCGGTTAATTTATAGAGCCTAGTCCCGTTTACGAGAGGCAGGGTTTTCGGTGGGCCTGGCGAACTCAAGACGTGAAAGATGACTATGAAGACTAAAATAAAGAAGGCGACTATAGGTGCTGGACGAATAGAGAATATCCTCTCAGCTTTAGCGATCGGATTGAGGGTCATGACTGACTTCACGGGTCATGGATCTCAATGAATATTGCTCTGAAGGTAGTGGCGTGGGGAGATTTCAACATTGACAAATGCATCTACCTGCCTCAATTGCACCCTGGAATAAATTTATAGGATGATCAGAAATCTGGTTTGGTTGATCTCCTAGTCAAATCAAGTGACACCACTCCGAGAAGCACATTCCAACGGATTGTCCGATTCACACCGTGGAAAGACCAAGCCTGGTCTATTCTGATCTGGGCTAGTACCTATGGCTTGCAGGACTAAAATGAACAACCCACATGGACACTATTGTTATCATCAAGGACATGGTCATTCGATCACGCGGCGGCCATTTCAAATCACTGCATCATAAGATCGGAAGTTTGGAGCCTGCAAATCGCACATCTTCCGATACCAGTCGTGACGCACTCCGCAGAATTAACGAACCATGATTTCCGTAGAGAATAAAAAGTTTCCTGCATGGAAGCTGTCTAGACAGGTCTTTTGAATGGGGTTTGGGGCTATTGGAGAGGTTCGATCCTTTCTAGGCAGGAGATGACGTTTAACTGCGTGACATGTGACATGCAGTCACATAAAGAATTAGATCGAGATTCAAACGATTAAATCGATTCAATCAATCAAGGAGCTCATGACCTCCCATCCGGCTATTCTAACTAATATCACTTTCATAGCGCCGCTGTCTGCGCCCCGTTCGGGCTGAGTGCTACTGGGCCATCTCCCAGAACATATATCAATGGAATCCGCGGATCCCTTTTCACGGTGATCTTTTTTAGAGGGTTGATGGCGATTATAAAAGAGCAGTTAATTGCAAACGTGATGAATATCTAGTTTAAACAATCTTTTTTTTTTTTTTATAAAAAATAAGTGGATTAACTCAAGGTTTATGTTCCACCCAGTTCTTTACCAGCCCCCGTGAATCTAATACATTCACCCACTTGCGTCGCCGGTCCCCCAATTTTCTGAGTCTCAACCTCCACTTGCTAGGGAAGAGGAATAGGTGATGACGGACGATTCGGGTCTTTAACGTATCGGAAGTCGCTCATCAGAGAGAACACACCACCCAAGTTAACATTACTCTCCCAAGAGTCTAGATCCTTGGGAAACTGTACTTGCTCAAGATCAACAATCATCACATTGCTATTATCACAGAATAAAAAATTGTCCACCTTCTGGTCCCAATACTCTGCTCCATGCTCATGTAAGGCTTTGAGGTCTTTTCAAGTTGACTTTGCAAGAGGCATTGTTGGACCTTGATGTCATGAAGAGTAGTGCCGGCAATATCGGAAAGAATAAGGGCCGGGAGTCCGTTAAACGAGCCTTGGCCAAAAAGGACGGGAATCATCGTCCCTTGAAGTTCGTGCAGTCTGTCATAGGCTTCTCTTTCAAGCCGAAACTCCTCCTCCCACCCATCCTTTTGTTGCTTGACAATGACGGTTGTTGTCGTTGGTGGAATGATATGCCTAGATGAACATGGTTCAATTTCGAGGCGGTGTACTGTCTTGCGGCGTGGGTGCAGTTGCTCGACCTTCTTTGCAGCGATGGGTTGGCCGTCTAAATAGAGCATCTAAGTTACGATAAGCCTGGGCTGTTATCCGCTTAATGCGTAGGAAAGATGTCTTACTGGTGAATGTTGCATTCTGAAGCATCAAACACCGAGTAGGATGGGCCCTAGGAACGGAGAAGAGAGAGGTCGAGGGAAGGGGCCGGATTGATTGGTAATAGGTGTCCATGTGACATGTGCAGTATCATATCAGATCATGCATTAGTGTTTCAAGGATTTTCTCCCGGGATTTCCATCAAAAGATGGTCTGGTGAAATAGCGGTTAAGCGTTCAGCAGAACATAAATTCTTAGCTAGCCAAAGAAAATGAAGATTTCATGGCAAGAGATGATTTACCCAAGGCAGTGATGAAAATTGTAAAGAACATTTTCATGGCTTCCGCCTGCTTTCTTTTAACTCGTTTTCTTTTTATTTTGTTCAAATTTTCGTACCCAGCAAACGATCTATTTATATGAGAAGAGGGCAGACATCTTTATTGCAGCAAGTAGTCACAAAGAGATAAATACCAGCTAGGCAAGTATTTTAGATTGAGTAAATGCCCTACTCTAAAAAAGAAAACCCAACCAAAGAAAGGACGAGAATTGGTAACGCACCAAGTCAATTCCTCCATTGTCTATAGTACAGATATACGCATAGGAACTCGCAAGAAAAGTGGCTAGACGATAGTGTGATCCGAGCATACGTAGACAGACCCACCCGTTTGGCACTAAACGTGGCCTGCGGATGCCCGGTTGAAATCTTTTCTTCAGATCAATTCGCAAGTGTCTATGGATAGATCGAGTGCATAATCCTAGATTTGTCAATAAACAAGGGCGTTGAATAAATGTAGAGTATGATGATATCTCAGTTATCGCCACTCTAGTGAAGATCGAGACCAAGTCAACAGGAGCACAAATCGGGCGAAGTATTCTGTACATGCCATGTTGAATAATGCATCTGCCTAAAAGTGCGCTAGACTGACTGATAAGCTCTAGACTATTCTAGCCATCGGTCACTAACTAACCTAGTGAGCAGCCTCGATTCCACAGGCCGCGTCTATCTGGCGTTGTATTCCGAAATGCCACAGCACCATGTTCTCTGCAAGCGATGCTACGATAATGTGGCAATTTCTTTACCGCACAGTGATCCGATTAAGCCATGCCACAGTTAATTTGAATCCCTTGTTGGATTGGGTCAAGAATGTGTTGTTGCTTGGGGTACCGGGCACCTAGGGATGTTTGGTATGCATGCCGAACAGAGACCATAAACAATGCCGGACCAAGCCACAGTATAACATAAGTGGATGGGTCGGCCTCATGCAGACTAACCTGTCATTCTGTGTTTCAGGTACTGCTACTGCGTCGTCGGACTGGGGCCCTCTGTCGCCAAACCGGTAGCTTTCGCAGGCAAGCAGCCCACAACGTCGCTTATACTCCTCTAGAGCTTGGTCAATATGGAGTGTCGGCGTGAACGCTGACGATTCATCGCTCTTTATCTCCACTTGGTGGAAATCGCGTCGTCGATTCCGCGGCCTGGCTGTTGATATAATACGCCTGCTGCATCACGCTCATTTGAATCCATCAGTCGCTCTTTCTGACATTTTCTCCTCCTTATCCACACTCATTCATTCGATGCTGTCCTGAGAGCAGCAAACAGTCATCATGCAGTGGAAATCACTCCTTTTCGCCCTCTCCGCTGCCCAGTCAGCCCTGGCCAGGTCCCATATCCATCACCGTCGACACAACACCCACCCTCATTTCGACCTTCATGAACCCAAAGCAAACCCCGAGCTTGAAGCACGGCAGGTAGTCAACGTCAACGCAGCAATCAACGTCAAAACAATCCTCGACCTCGAAATCGTCACCATAACCACCTCCGTCCCCGGCCACGGCCCAACCACCATCCCAACCACATCCACCGTCACCAACGTCGTCGCCGAAACCGCAGCCCCAGACGCCAACCAAGACACCACAAATCCCCTTCTCAGCGCCAACATCGGCGTCAGCATCGACCCCAACAACCTCCTCCCTCACCAAGCATCCACAACCAGCACGCAGTCCGCGTCCACCGCAGCAGCCACAGAAACAGCCACAACCTCCGACTCATGGACGACACACCCTTCCAACAACCAATTCAGCACGAGCGGCTTCGGCGCCCGCACCAACTCCAGCGGCACGGGGGTCAAATACGCCGGCAACGTCGGCAACCCGTGGGGCAGCAACATGCTCGAAGTGTCGGCCTCGTCCGCACACTTGTACAAATACGTCGTGCAGTTCAGCCACGCCAGCGCCGCCGACTGGACCGTCGTCGTCTGGAACAAGATCGGCCCGGACGGCGAAATGACCGGCTGGTATGGCAACTCGGCCGTCAACTTTACGCTCTCCGCGGGGGAGAAGCGCTACGTCGCCTTCGACGAGAATAGTCAGGGGGCGTGGGGCGCTGCGGAAGGGAGTAGTCTTCCCACGGACGAATATGGAGGGTACTCGTGTACCTGGGGAGAGTTTGACTTCGGCAGCCAGACGAATGATAACTGGTCTGGGTGGGATGTTTCGGCGATCCAGGCGCAGAATGCGAATCAGACGGTGCAGGGGATGCGGATCTGCGAGTTTGGAGGGTCGAGGTGTTCGTCTATTACGAATGGGGCGGGGACGGTGGTGAATGCGTATGAAAGTGCGCAAGCGTCGATTGATGGGATTGGAGGGTCGGTTGGGGAAGGAGCGGTGAGGTTGGTGGCGGAGTTGGATTATAGTGGTTGAGATTGTGTGTCTTTCTGTATACGAGAGATGCAAGTGTGTATATAGATTCAAGTTCGGTGTTATATATACAATTCAGATACACGATTTGATTATAGGGTTTGTTTGTACAGAATGGAGCAGATGCTAGCACCTTAACCGGACATGGCGGGAACGTTGATGGTCTTGATGGCCCACACCTTTCCACCCTCGCTGGAGCTGAGGCCCTCGTAAGTGGCTCCGCCGGCGCTGGCGATGGTGTCGCCGAAGGTGGTGTCGGCAGAGGCGAGGGTGAGCTCGGTGTTGAGGTACTGCTGGGGGTTGATGGTGCCGGTGCATCCGTCGTTGCACTCGGTGCCGGTGCCGTATCTACTAATTGTTAGCAATAAACCCCTTCTCAATAGATCAATCGGAGAAGCTCACCCGGTCATGTAGGGACCAGACTTGTAGGAGAAAGAGGACAAAGCTTCACCGGTCTGCGCGTTGGTAACGGTCCTGGACAGCGTCTTATTAGCACACATTCTCTACCTCAATCAAACCGAGCGAAAAAACATACTGGACCCAAGTGTCCTGATCATCCTGCAACTCATACTCAATGCGAACCTGGTCGTCGCCCTTTACGACACCAGCATCGCCATCCAACTGACCAAAGCTGCCGAACAGACTGGCGCGTACGCACCACTCACCGCGGCTAGCACCGCACCAGTCGTTGCTCTCCCAGTCCTCAAGGGTGGTCTGGACCAGATCGCCAGTTCCGTTGCTCATTCCAGGCCACAGGAACAGGACGCCATTCTGGGTGGCCGGGGCAGCGCCAGGGATCAGGGTCGTGACGGCCTTTGTGATGGTCGACTTGGTCGGGCCGAGGGAGACGCTTCCGCCCCAAGTATCTTCACGCTTGACCTGGGTGGCGGCGAGGGCGAGGGTAGGGATGAGAGCGGCGGCGGCGAGCTTCATTTTGGCTGGTTTCTGACGAGTGGTTCGTTGGATTCCCAAGGAGAGAAAGGATAGACAGCCGATCCGGGGAGCTTTATATATACCACGGGACGGAGCAATGGCGTCGACTCCGTAACTTGTCGGCCAAGGACCGGCAACTCCAGTGCATGTTTCACCGTCAAACCATGCCTTGAATAATGCATGGCAAACGACAGCCCAGGTCTCCAGTCATTCAGCCCTATTAGCGTGTTAGTGGCTCCTGCAATTACCGGGACGCCCCGCTCGCCCCCATAGCCAGACCCAGTTTATCCGAGACGGACGGCGAATTATGCACGCATCGGGGGGAAGTGCCGTGACTAGTGCGGATGGAGGTGTTTGGGAATGAGACTGGCTCGCAACGGGTGTTTGGTCTGGAATTAGAGGGCTTGGGTTTGCTTGGTGGTTTGGATGGAAAAATCTTCCGTTGGGGTTCTGTTTCTTTCTGGTGAGCTTGAAGTCTTGAGGTTTCTACGCAATGTAGGTTCAAAATCATATTTCTGCAATGTTTTCGCGTGTTGTCAAATTAACCTAGATGTTTCAAGTCCGTTGGGATGTTCACTTGCCGTTTTGCGGAATTTTCACCCTGAGGTTCCATTATGCTTAGGTTCCTAGGGGTGCTCATTCAACGATATCAATGCACCGCTCTATGCTCCTTCGGTTCGAATAAGCTCCTTTCATAAACCCTCGATCCGGAAGGTCGGATACGATATTTTGCTCCGTAAATAGACATTAGACGTCTCGGTCCCACCTGCCAATAGTCTAATCTGGCGGCTCGAGGACCTTGTTTGAGTTAATATTTCTCAAACACCCGGCCCACGTCCATGTCAAATCAGCCCATTCCCATGACACGGAGGATCCTCCGTTGCATACTGCAAGGTCTCGACTGAGGAGTCACCTGGATAGGAGATATGATTGATGGAAAGAGTACATTAATACTCCTGTCGAGTCGAATAGGCTATATGGGTAACTTGAGGTGTTGCACTATTGGATAGCCGTTTCTATGCTGTGTCAGGGGTCGCTTTAGTAGGTCTCTCAAGATAAAAGAGGAATCCCTCATACAATTGCAACGGCGCATATTGGTATATTATTTCTCGCGGCAATGATATCCTCAAGCCCAATCAAACGTGTACCCCAACGACCGCATTACGACCTCCCATTCGAAACACTCATCTTTATCGGCTTCGTCATCATTCCCAGCAGATGCGCAGAAACAACCGCCCTTAGCACAGACACCAATCCTACCCCTGTCACCCCTAAGATCCCTCTGCTTCCACACCCCCTCGATCACCTCCCTTATGAACGGTAGTGCATTATTATACACTGTCGCTGCGATCCGCTCGAACTGCTGCAAATTCCTCAAACCCACAGCTCGATCCTCATCGCTCTGTGCATGACATGCAGCGATGAAATATGGCCACAGGAACACCGACCGACCAGATTTTCCGGGCGGGGGAATAGGCACGCCGGCGTTCATGAGGCTAAGGATAATACTGACACTCTCTTTGACAGTTGGGTTATTTTCAAGAGAGTAACTTGTGTCGAGATACTGAAGAAGGATTAGTGCAGCGTGGCGGAACGCTTCGGCCGTGCGATTGACAGTCGGTATTGGAGGGGGATAAGTGGTGATCGGATTAGAGAGAGTAGTGATTGAGACAGGCGATGAAGTTTGAATCGACGCGTGGAATTGAACAAGGTGAACCAAGCGAGTCTGCGTTTCCTGTTTCCAGGCGCGCGAGGATGCGCATTCCCCGGCATCATTGTGGTTTCTGCGTTGACGGATGCGGTGACAGGTTTCTAGGATTATGCCCAGCAACTCGGTCGAGCAATTCGTGTAATTGTCGATTTCCTGGGGCGGTCGCGCGATCTTCTTCAGCCAGTACGTTCCCCCTCGAAACAGGACTTCTGCATCGTCGGGGTTGAGGAGAGTGGTGTACGCCAGTACACTATGTGAGGCCAGGAATCCAGCTAAGAATGTTACCACTCCTCCAAGTTCGGCACTTGGTCCCGCGACAGGCAGTTCGAGGATGCGTCGCGCACCGTCTAGATGAGCGCGCCATGCAGGAGCAAATCGTGGACGATATGCGATATCGTTGGAGAACTCGGAATGGCATAACATCAGCACAATTGCTAGCATCTCGGTTTTCGACAACGAGGTGTGTGTTAAGCTAGAAGACTTTCTGCCCTGCTCCTTGCTACTGGCAGAAGCGATCGTTCGATACAGCGATTGCAAAGTGGCGCTTTGGTAATGCAGCGCGGTGACTTCGAATCTGTTGTCGTAGTGCTTCAACTGGTTTGCTGAGAGAGCGAGCACCGATCGCAGCACGAGTGGCGATACTAAGGAAATAGGGATTATCACTTGTCGGTAGCGGTTCTTGTCACCGTCTACGAGTCGGCATTCAGGACACATTTGGTTTGCATCTACGATGTTAGCTTAGTTTAATCGAAGATGACTGGGGTCCTACAGAAGTCAAATATTGGCATCTCCGTGGCAGAGAGATCGAGTCGGGGATAATTGATCGACGCTGGGATGCGACATGCTCCACTCCAGTCGGGCTCTGTTCGTAAGAGAAGGCTGTCGCTGCAGGATGCTACTTTCTTGCTGGCTCTAGACACTCCTGGGCCTTGACAGAGCTCGAAATCAGACCATGTCGTATTGAGAAACAAGGTCTCTGCTTGAGATGCTGCATATCTGCCACTGAACGTGCCATCAGATTCAGGGTGCTCAGCTTTCACAGGTGTCTTCTGATCGGGCCATGTCAGCTTCAGTCCGTAGAAACATGGTCGTTGTGCATCACGACAGCGTTTGCAGCTGGGTCTAGACTCTATCCACTGGTTTAGTTAGTGTTGACACCAAGTCAACGGCGTTACGCACCGTCGCATTTGACCTTCCGTTGTCGGCAGCAGAGACAACCGGAGCGAGTCCGAGTTGACTTCAACCGGCCATAAAAGGGCTTGCAGCGTTGGGGGGAATCACGATTATGGATTGCTGAGACAGACATCTTGATATCTGATAAATAACGACAGAGAGAAAGACCGCTCGGTCGCGAGGCAAAGCAGGAAGTGTTGACGTTGACTCGATCGGCGTCTCCGCACGTCTTTCCCGTTGCAGTTAGTCGGCCCTACTTTCTCCGGTTGGGCCGATAATAGCTTCATTATCTCGAAATCAATATCTCAGTATTTCAATTTATTCCTTTCATATTACTAACACAGTATCCCCTAGAGTCTAGCCACAGGCGACTCATACTCGTCCACCAACCGGGCAACCTCCTTGGCAACCCCGAAGCTGAAAACATAACCACCTCCTGCAACCCCATACGCGTGAACAACCTTCTGTCCATTGACAATCTCCTTCTCCACTCGGACACCTCCCTCACGCTGAGGCCGAATGCCAACAATGTCTCGCACGATGGTGTAGTCTTTGGGATCTGGGGAAGGGAAATCCTCGGGCAGACTTTCGTGGACTCGTCGAATGATCTGCGTGCATTAGTTTCCAGAAATACCTTATCAGGGAAAGTAAGGAGAACCTACATCAGCTCTTATATCCGAATCCACCTGCGTTTCCGTGCTTCCAAACTGCTTGATTCCTCCAAGGACAGTGGTTCCATCCCCTCGCGCAAACGCATAAGTATAATTATCCCCATTGCGCACGAACAGTTTATCAAACTTCGACTTCACCAGCACTGTCTGCCCTCGCACCTCCTGAACCCTGGTATCCTTAACATCTTCTAACCTCAGCGGTCCAATCCCCGCCGCATTGATCAGAATATCATGACCCATTCCTCTCAGATCGTCCAGCGAACGGACCGTCACACGCTGGAACTTCACCCCCGTCGCCTCCAGTTTCGCCCGCAGCCACGGAAGAAAGACCATTGGCGTGAGCACCACTGTCCGATACTTGAATCCGACCGTAGTGCCCGGAAGTCGCTCGTTCTCCGGAATGACTCGAAACTCTGGCACCTTGTCGCGAATCCAGATCTGGTCCAGGGTCTTTGAGTCGCGGTACTCGGTCATCTCGATGCGTCGGACGCCGGACTCGGGGTCGGAGAGGGCGAGTTTCCACCACACGCCTAACGCGTTCAGCTGGAATTGCTGCTCGCGCGGAGTTGACCCGTCCATGCCGGCCCAGATGGCGCCGGCCCAGGGACTGGCCCATTCTTGGGAGTGTGGCTCGTCTCCGGGGAGGTTGCGGGCGACGATGGTGATGTCGTGGTGGCGAGGGAGTTGGCTGGCGATGGCCATTCCGGTGATGCTGGTTAACAGTGTTAGCTTGGTGGATAGGGCTTGGGTATGAAGGTGTTTGATGGGTCAAGAGACTCACCCGGCGCCTAGGATCGTGATCTTGGTCATGTTGACTGTTAGGCTTTGGGTAACCGTGATGAAAGATCAGATATCTCCCTTATTCTAGGCAGCTTATATAGTTGGTCTTTAATTGTCTTCCGTAATCATACCACTCGCAATACAACACCAAATCTATCTATTCAGGTCCATTCCTCTCCACCGGCAACTGCAAGCGACCGGTATCGGTGATCCTCTCTATCCAGACTCCCCACACAGCGAACGAACCAGCTACAGGTGTCCCGTCCTCATTCGCTAAACAAATCAAAAACAATCCCTACATTCCACAGGGTCCAACCCCTCCTTTTCCTGACAGAGAATCTTATCAGTGCTTATCTCGCTTCCGACATCCCTCGACGGCCGTTGGTCTTCTTTAGCGTCTACGATGGATCCCTCGCCGAGGCTGTCCCCCAATTACGGGCTTGATTCGGTTCAGAACCCGGCTTAGCCCAGAGATACTGCGTGCGGGGTGCATGTTAAGTCCGCTGATCCTTTGGATTTCTGATTTCCTGTTGACATTGCGGCGACAAAGGGACCGGGCCGGTGGTTATGATTGTGAGCGGTCCGGTCGAGATCCTGGGTATGTGGAAGCGAGATACACGATGTCATTTTGTGTTGGTTTGGTTTGTGGCTGCGACAAGGTTTGAGATAGAATCGCGAAGGAACGCATCTAGGACGCGACAATTAACTGGACATTGGGTTTATCTGCGGTTTCGCCGACTGGGCCAGCGGCGATATAACTTCGAAACCTCGCCGTTGGAACCGAATTTGGCGTGAGAAGACTTCACAGTACAATCCATCAGTTGAGCTTGTTTTCTATTCATATTTGGACTCTTATCGTGAAATTGATCATCTGTGACCGTTGACATCAATATGGGAGTACCTATTGAGTCTGACGACAAGAAACCTACGCAAAATCCTCAAGCACTCGACGGAGCCGATGATACGATCTCTACCGGTGTGGTCGTTTCGCCAGAATATGACGAGTATCTACGTTTGAGTGAAACCTTCAAGGGCGAGCGGCTGCAGAAACTTGTGCGAAAGCTCGAGTAAGGATCTCATGGTATTTCTGTGATGGATAGAAGCTGACAAGAACCAGTCTGCGCATTTTACCTCAGTTGATTTTCATATACTTACTTTCCTATGTGGATCGGAGCAATGTACGTCCTCGCCAGCCCTGATCAATCGGCAAAACTGACAACTCAGGTCGGAAATGCCAAACTATTCGGCGCTGAGGAAGATATGAAGCTGAGCAGCCAGCAGTGGAACACCGGGTTGAGTGTGTTTTTCGTGACCTATGCACTAGGTGGAACGTAAGTAATACACGCCGACAAGGTGATCACCGCTAACTATTCGACATCTAGACCCTCCAACATCATTCTCAAACGAGTCGGGCCCAAGATCTGGCTCCCGGTCATACTAACTCTCGTCGGACTGATACTGGTCTGCTCCGGCCTTCAAAGCAACTACGCAGGGTGGATATCCTTCCGCATCATCCTCGGCCTTGTCGAAGCCGGCATGTTTCCCGGCTGCAGCTACGCCCTGACAGCATGGTACTCTCCACAAGAAATTCACTCGCGCATGTCCATCTTCTACTCCGGCGCCTCTCTCGCCGGTGCGTTCTCCTCCCTGCTCGCCTACGGCATCGGCCAGCTAGACTACACGTGGGGGTATCGCGGCTGGCGCTTCATCTACGTAATCGAAGGCACATTCACATTCTGCATCGGGCTCGCATCCTTCTTCTTCATCTACCCGTCGCCCGCACACGTCGGGGGGTGGCTCAGCCCTGAAGAGCGCCAATTCCTGCTCCTCCGACACCGCTACTCCGCGGGTGGCGAGACCGGCGTGGCCGAGAAAGAAGGCTTCTCGATGCGCTACGCCACGCAGTCGTTCCGCTCGTTCCACGTCTACGCCATCACCGCCATGGAACTGACGCTGTGCGTCGTCGTCTACGGCATCTCCTTCATCCTGCCCACTATCATTGCGAACTTGGGGTACTCGGCCGCGCGCGCCCAGGCGTTGACCGCGCCCCCGTATGTCTTTGCCTGCGTGGTGACTGTGATGTTCGGGTACGCGTCCGACCGGTTCCAGCAGCGAATGATCTTCGTCGTGTTGCCGAATTTAATGGCCGCGGTGGGGTGTGCGATTATCATGGCGAGTGTAAGGTATCCGCATGTCGAGGGCGTTACGATGTTCGGGTGCTTTCTCATGGCCGGGGGACTGTATCCGATTCCGCCGGCCGTGACGGCTTGGATTTCGATCAATACGGCAGGGTCGATGAAGAGGTCGGTTAGTATGGCGTTGATGATTTCGATAGGGCAGTTGGGTGGGGTAAGTTCTTTGTCTCTTTTTTGTGGTCTGTGGGTGTTTGCTGATGAGAGTAGATTATGGGGTCGAATATCTTCATCGCCAATGAGGCACCGCGGTATCCAGTTGGGTTTGGGATCTGTCTTGCACTTTTGGTGGTGTTTGGGATTTTGTGGCCGGTTGTCTACTACTTTATTCTGAAGGGGATTAATGCTCGACGCGCTGCGATTCCGATCGAGGAGATTCAGGCCAAGTATACGGAGGAACAACTGGCGGAGATGGGCGACGAAAGTCCGATGTTCAGGTATGCGACTTAGCCTGTTTTATTTTGGGGCAGAAATAGTCAGTCATGTAGGAGTAGCTCATATGGTAGCACAAGAGTTAAAGGTATGTCTTATAGACTGAAATATGGTATAAAAATGAGTCGACTTGGTAGTCTCGAATAGGCAGTATCGGCGGTATGAAGCTCTCACGGGCCTATTCCATGGATTTTCCAGGATAAGATCCATTTTCGAATGTGAAGAATTCAATTGAATGTGAGTTTAATCCATCCCACCATGATGTAGCCGAGTTCCTCTGCCTTCCTTATAGTCAAGGTCTACCTCGGTCGGGGAGAAATACCGCGTCGGCCGATTTCGGGCAGTTCAACCCGAGCAACGCGGGGTCTGATTTCTACTTTTATCGGGCAACCATCGCCGATTCTCACCCTCGATCTCATCCAGACCCTTTGCATCACGAGAGTTGAATTGGCCTGCTGCTTTTACATCTGGGAAACATGCCAAGGTTGAACTTCGAGCCCTGGTAAGCATTAGCTGCAATACATCGGACTTGCGGTTGGTTCTTCGCTCACGATTTACATCTACATAATAGCCAGAATTGCCGGAGTACGTCACTTTCACCAGTCTAGGAATATGCATACTTACATTGAATTGAGGGCAACATCTAAAGTGTAGGCACCAATATTTCCAAGTTACTCCCAATTAATCGGCCAGCTCACAGCCATCTGTAGGCGATGGGTCCAAACCTATTTGTTCACGATGTAAAGAACGAGGCGAAACATGCAGGCCGAACCAGGTCGTCCAGTACCGTTCGTATCGTTTGAAGTTTGCCCATGATCAGCCGTGGCCGAGCATTTTGGCATCTCGTTAGTTTCCTACGGTGGTGGATTCATTCGGTTGTTGACCTCAAGCAGGATTGCGTTTTATTGACGAGACACCGGACCTGGCATACTATTATGACCATGAGCCGGAATCCATCTATACTGGCTCATCTCCTGGACAAGAAAATACAGATTCATGGGATCAAGCTCAATTTAAGCCGATCGACGATCATACAGATGGCAATGAGCAGGCTAGCGATGAACCCCCCCAAACCCAGCAAACTGAGCCAGTCATGCTAGATTCTGCATCTAATGGGAAACCTTCCAGTCCACAGTCTTCGAGTTCTCATGCATCATCTCCAATCTCACAAACCAAATCGAACCAACCAGTAGATTTACCTCAATCTTTCTGGTCCGACAAAGAAGCTCAAGATGCCTGCTTAATGCGGTATTTTGTGGAGGAGCTCGCGCCATGGGTATTTCCATACTTCCATACCACCTCACCAAATCCCTGAAATAAAGCTCATCATTGACAGTTCGATACTTGCGACGCTGCCAAAAACTTTGCCCTAATAGCCCCCCAAAGAGCCAAGTCGTGCCCGCCACTCCTCTACGCCATTTTCTCCGCGTCCGCCCGACATCTCAGCCGACGACAGATTATCAACGGGAACGAGATTCTCTTCGCGGGAAAAAAGCTCCCATCACTAGGTGAAGAACGAGCCCTCGAATATCAAAGCCTGTGTATCTCACACCTCATGTCCCTCTCTGGCGACACGACAGAAGTGCAAGATGAAAATCTCCTCGCTGCCGCTGTAATTCTCCGCTTCTACGAGGAATATGACGGTATGTTTGCCGTGTTCAACATCTTATCGTATTCGATCACAATTGCTAATCTAGTTTGCAGCCCCCCTTGTCGGCATCGACGACGAGACCTACCTGCGCGGCACACAAGTCTTTCTAGACGCCCAATCCACAGCGGCCATGCAAAGTGGTGGTCTTCGGCGCGCCGCATTCTGGGTCGCTTTTCGGCAGGAATGGCACAGGGCGTTCATCAAGCAGCGCGGGTTTCGATTCAACTCTCACTGCTGTGCTTCGTCGGCGTACAGATCGCTCGAACCCGTCGATGATAATACGTGGACCAATCGTATGGTCCTGCATTGTACGGATGTAGTTGACTACTGCTACGGAGAAGACTCTAGCCTCGCGCGATACGACGAGCTCTGGGACTATATTCTGCGATGGCAGTCGCTGGTTCCCTCGACGTTTAATCCGCTCTATTCGAGAGAACCGGATCCGGGTGGGACGGAGGTCTTTCCGGAGATATGGTATTTGGATGATTGCATTGGTGTGTGTTTTATTCTCATGTTTTTTAAAGACCGAGTGGATGAAGGTATTGATTCATCAGTCACTGCGACCCAGCATCTCCTCTTAGCTCGCATATGTCTCGTCGCCTATGATCCGCGCACTCCTCGTATGGGTCCAGGTCGAAAGGACGCCGTCGCCAAGGGAGAGGTACGATAATTGATTGACTGCTCCTTGCGGGTCCTGCTAACTGTCTAGGCGGAAATTAAACGGAATCTATTTGAACTTTGCGGCATCGCTCGGTCGAATAAGACAGCTCCCGCGTTGGTCATGGCCTGTATGGGTGTGACGATGTGTTAGTCCAACTTACACCCAGATTAAAATGAAGATGGCTAATGATCGAGATAGGTGGCGATATCGTAACCAGTCGTGTGGAGCAGGAGGCGCTATTCGATATATTAGTCAAGTTAGAAGAGGTCCATGCCTTATCTTCGAGCAGGGCACAGATGCAATTGAAAGAGGCTTGGGGTTGGGATGGAGTCATGCCTACTTAAGTAGCTCTTCAACTGAGGCTATTCTATATATAATGATGAACATTGACCGAACAATAGCCTATGAAATCTGTTAAACCGCTCTGGCTCGCCAGATCGCTAGAAAGGGCTAGTACATACTAGATGAGGATGCTAGCACCGGATAAGGTGAATACTCGTTCCACATTCACTTTGAACAGATACGAATTTTAACACAAATAAATGCTTTCGCTATCGACAACAATGATGAGTTGGTTGGTACAAAAATAAAGACTTTGCTCATGATGTCAAAAGTTGAGCCCTTTCGATATGAACAGTCAGTGTGGCCGAGTGGTTAAGGCGATAGACTAGAATGGATCTCATCTATCTCATCTATTGGGTTCGCCCGCACAGGTTCGAGTCCTGTCGCTGACGATTCTTTTTTGTTTTTTCTTTTTGCCCCTTCAATCACATCTATGATCTATCCATCCCCAACGCTCTAATTTCTAATATCTACAACCTCGAAGACGACTCCTGCTTCTCGCGCCGAGCATCCTCTTCCTCGTAAGCCCTCTTCCAGACCTCTTTCACCTACACCTCGACATTAGCTCACACATTCTCAATACACCCCGCTCTAATCCAGAGGAAAGTCACTCACATCATAATGATACAGCCACCCATACTGATCCGCCCACTTGCTTTCAACACTGATAGTCACTGCGTCGTCGAACGTGGCGGCGCTGCGAATCGCCGCGTTCGACTGCGCGAATTTGTTCAAGATGATATACTGCGTATGTCAGTTTCTCACCGGATTGGGTTGAGTGTTAAAGTGCCATACCATCGCTTCGTAATGTGGCGATCTCACGCGATCGTATATCTCGAGGGCATCGCGTATCGGGTACCCTCTTTCGTAGGCCCATTTGACGGCTTGGGTGAGGACGTAGACGTCTTCGAGGGCGAAGCCAGCTCCGGCGCCTGGGTTTGTTAGATTTTCTGTTTTGTAGAAAGGAAAGAAGGGGGTGGTTACCGAAGGCTCCTGATAAAGCTATATTGCCGAATTAATTGTTGTGGCTCATATTATGGGCAAAGGGGTAAACTCACGGTGCGATGCATCCCCAACCAAGGCAATGCCATTGCCAGATACAACCTTCGCCAAGCGAGGACCGGCAAAGAGAGCGAATTTCTTGACCTTTTTTACCTTGCCCAGTACCTCCTTCAGGACCGGTGAAAATTCCTAGCTCATCGTCATTAAAACCAGAACTGTAGACGTGACAATAAGTAGACTCACCTCATATCGATCCCGAATATCATCAATATTGGCATCCTGGCCCCAGCTCACGGTGTTCTCGTCTTCCGGTAGATCGGTCCTTGCTGTGACTTCGTAGATATTGTTGTTCAGATTACACGTGTACACCCATCTCGTCGGACCATGCCAGAAGGTCACGGCGTCATGGAAGCCCTTGATGCTGAGGATCTCCTGGGTGTTCACGAGTCCTCGGTACGCTGTTGTTCCGGTGTAGCTGATGCGATGGTCTGGGAAGGCATGTTTCCGGACGACCTTTTAATTCTCAGCTGGTATATTACTTGGCAGAAAGGGGTTTGAATCAACTTTGGGATATACGAACAGATCGAACGCCATCAGCGCCGACAACGAGATCTACCTCGTCGGCATGTCCGTCCTCAAAGGATAGCGACAGTCTTCCGGACGGTAATTCAGTCACCTTGGCGAGTCGACTTGCCAGGCGTAATCTCGATTGATCAACCGCTTTCAGCAGAGCCTGCTGCAGGATGGATCGTAAAGCCCGAGCGTGTTTATACCGCGGAGGTGTGCCTATTCTCGTTAACGACCGACATTACGCACGGAATGGGGATCTCAACCTTCCTGTTCGTTTGATATTAGAAGCTCCCCTGTCCGGCCATTTCTAGGAATTTCAATCAGCTTTTGCACTCCCGATCCAAGGGGCTCGAGAACGCATACCGATGCTGCACAGAATGCCCATCCGGCGACCGGTAGATATTATTCGGGTCGATGTTATCATACACGCCGAGCGCCTCCAGCATGCGCCATGTATTTCGCTGGATACTGATTCCCGCGCCAACCTCCCGCAATTCTTTCGCTTGCTCGTAGACCTGAAGATCGACAAAGGGCAATTTTTGGAATTCAATGGCAGCGCCTAGACCGGCTGGTCCGGCGCCGATCACGGCGACTCGCAATTTGGAGGGTTGATCACTTGGCATGATTCAGAATGTCACAATGAAATATGAATGTTTTCTTTATTGGGATAATGTTATGGGCGCCGGGCTTAAATCTCTCTTAGGTGCTGTCAGCGAGTGTTGACAAGCTGCCACTATGAATGGCGTGATTCGCGCGTCTTACAGCTCATCCCTTGCATGTCGGAATCTATTCCGTCTCAGCTGCAGGAGTAGGCGCTGCTCCAATCATGATTTGACGATAGTGCAAGCTTTGCTTTTTTGGTCAATTTGCTTCATATTAATGGTCGTTCTTTGGTGATAGTGCTGGGTTCACTGTTAATAAGCCATACATCACGGCATTGTGCTTGCGATGTCAACATAGTGGGGTGAGGGGATTGAACATTAAACAGCAAGACTAGATATTAATTGCGTTTTTATTTGATTTGGTCTTTTCCGCTTCTTGTTCTGTGCTGTTCGTTCATCGCCTAAGGATCATAGGTCTCATATTGTATGACCGTTTATTGGCTATGCAGACATGTTGCCTCACATTATTCCTCCAAGACAACAACTTCTCCTAACATCAATGCAACAGCTTACAATCCATATTCCCAATCTACATTGAACATTAATTCATTACTTCGGAGGCCAAGCGAAATCCTTCCACGGCCTCCCACCCGTTTCCTTTGCCAAATCGCCCAACGACTTCCACTCCCACAGCTTCTCTCCCGGATTGACCAACTCATTCGCATTCCCCAGTCCCTTAGAAGTATGATTGATGCGACCCTCCCCCATCAAAAACCGCAAATACGCCGCAGGATCCCACGACGCCTCCGCAGTCGTCTCGTCCTTATACCTCTGCAGCTCAACCTCCGTAACCTCCACGCTCCCCGCTCCTCCATCTTTCATAATCTCTGCAATCTCCGCAACAGACCGCGTATCACCCGCCAGATGAACCACCTCGGGCACCCTCTCCGTCGGCAACGCGCACAACGCCGCCACCGCCCTGCCTACATCACCCAGCGAAGTGAACGACACCAGCTCCCCCGATGACCCCACACTCTCATACTTCCCATTTTGCGTATCAAACCCAAACCACGGCCCGATACTATCCTCCAGAAACAGCCCACAAAAGACCCGACACACCTTCACGCGCGGAACCAACTCCCTCGCCAGCGCCAGATGCCTCTTCTTCTGATCCCACTCCAGATGCGCAAAGTCATGCACGTAGTGGTCGACGCCGAACTCGGAGGGGAAGTAAACCTGGACGTCGGTGTGTGGGAGCGCGTGGAGCAGCTTCTCTTTGAAGGAGTGGCCTGACGGTCCGACGGCGTTTACGAGGATGTGCACGCCCTGCAGGGCGGAAGCGAGGTCGTTGACATTCTCGTTGTATTTGCGGATGGCGAAGTGGGTGGTGGGATTGGAGTCGAGGAATTGGGCGGGCATGGCGCCCTGGCGAGAGAGGAGGATTACTTCGGAGAAGTTGGAGCGGAGGGGCGTGGATAGGAAGGCCGATGCGATGTGTTGGCCCAGGTGGCCGGTGGCGCCGGCGATGGCGATTACCGGGCGCTGGGATAGGATTGGTGTCATGTTTATGGGGGTTAGGATATGTTCGTTTTGATTTTTAGAGGGATTACTGCTCTACACGAGGATTATCCTGGTTTAATAGTTGATGGTTAATGGACTATGCTGTATCGATGATGTCACCAGACAGGGGAAACAAACAGTGCAAACTCAGGGGATGGTGAAATGTGCGGTTTTATTGGTTCTCATCCAGTTTGCATCAGCTTGCAAACAGGGGAAACGCTGCAAACTGTCAGCGGGGCTGTTTGCATCCCTCTCTACGGCTGCTGATTGGCTGGTTCCTGGGCTTATCGTGGTGATGCTCAACTATGAAACATCGTGGCTTTTGACAGACCACATTTCCTTCGCTTGCATTTGATCCTATTTTTTTTTCTTCTATTTTGTTTTGTTTAAATACATTCAGCTTCCTGCTCATCTCATCTCTGAGAGTTTGAGTGAGCTTCTCTCTTAGCAAGTCGTGTTGCCTACTACAATATTTTTGCAAGCATTTGAGCAACACCTTTGGCAAGTCCACTCTCTTCTCAGACTCAATAAGAACCATGAGACTAGAAAACGAAGACATATCATGGAAGCTCTCCAGAGTCCTTTTACATCTCATACAAGAAAACAACACCCATCCCCATCCCTCAGGCCATCGTTGCGCGCACCACAACAACCCAGAATGGGCCTTGGAAATGGAAACATGGTCTCAACTAGAAACCATGCGCCAGCTTCTATGTCAGCGTCCTCCAGACCCTGTCCTCCCCGATGAGATCCTCGCCGACATCGACGCCGTCATAAAGAACTACAACGGCCACAACCTCCTGACTTCTTCGACATCAATCGCCCCCAACGCGATCATCAAACCGACCTCCAAAGACAGTCACAAATCCATCAACCTCTCAGTCTGGAAAGGCGACATCACAGCCCTCACAGACGTCACGGCGATCGTCAACGCAGCTAATTCCCAGCTTCTAGGCTGTTTTCTTCCGGACCACCGCTGCATCGATAATATCATCCACGCAGCAGCGGGTCCACGTCTCCGGGATGCCTGTCACGCCATCATGCTCAATCAGGACCACCTGGAGCCCGTAGGCTCCGTCAAGGTAACGCCGGGGTTTGATCTGCCAGCATCCTATGTTCTTCACACGGTTGGTCCGCAGCTGAAGGGACGGCAGAAGCCCACCGCTCTGCACGAGAAACAGCTCGCGAACTGCTACACTTCATGCTTAGACGGCGCAGAAGCTCTCCCGCCACTTCCCGACGGCCGCAAAGTCGTGGTCTTCTGCTGCATCTCGACGGGGCTGTTCGCGTTTCCTTCTGATGTAGCGGCTAGAATTGCCCTGCAGACCGTGGTAGAGTGGTGCTTCGCCCATCCAACCACCACGGTAACGGATATTATCTTCGACACGTTCCTCGAGAAGGACTGGGTGCTGTATAGAGAGAACATGCGCTCCCTACACCAGACTTCGGGTATCACTGTCTCGGAGATGAACCCGCCAACCAAATTGCTCGATCCAGTCCTCACCCCGGCGGTCATGCAGGCCCGCGAATGGCTTCGCAACGCAGACTACCTGATCATCACAGCAGGCGCGGGTCTCTCGGCCGCTATTGGATTGGATTACACCTCTCGGGATCTATTCGAGCGCCACTTCCCTGCGTTCCAAGCCCTAGGACTAAACCGGCTCTACGACGTGTTCGGGTTCCAGGGGTGGAAAGACGAGCGGCAGAAATGGGGATACTACTTCCTCCACCTGAACATGGTCCGAAACTGGCCTTCCTCCGCACTGTACACACGACTTCTCAAACTCGCCGAGCGCTTCGGGTCGCAGTCCTTCGTGCGCACGTCCAACGCAGACGGGCTCTTCGTAGCAAACGGGTTCTCCGCGGACCGAGTCTCCACGCCGCAAGGACAGTATCGATTCCTGCAGTGTCTGGCGAAATGTCGACCCGATGCGGTGTTTCTGTCGGAGCCGTTCGTGGACGCAGCGTTACCGTTCATCGATCCTATCACTCAATGCTTAACGGAAGAGTCGAAGATCCCGCGATGCATGCACTGCAGTGGAGAACTGACCCTGTGCGTACGGGGAGGGAAATACTTCAACGCGCGACCGTTCCGGGAGCAAGAAAAGAAATACGAAGAGTTTGTCTCCGACGCATCTGACGCCCTCGACTTCCACTATGGCACTAGCACGCAGGAGCAGGCGCAAAAAGAAAAACAAAAAAGGAATGATTCCGATGCGGGGAATCGAACCCCGAGCTGCCGTGTGAGAGACGGCGATGTTAACCATTACACCACATCGGATGTGATTGTTGAAAGGGAGCCGCTGGGAGTGGTTCTTGAACTGGGCGTTGGGCTGAACACGCCGGGAGTCTTGCGCTGGCCGAATGAAGAGCTGCTGGAGAAGTCGACGAGTCGGAGTTTTCGCCTGATTCGTGCCGGGATTGGGGCTTCTGCTTGTGCGCCGTGGGATTTGGAGGAGCAGGGCTTGGCAGTTGGCTTGGCGGGCGATTTGAATGCGGTGGTTCATGCTTTATTAGGGTGATATATTTTTTATTTATTTTCGATGTATATTTCTACTTGTACCCGCTGACTATGTATGTTCTTGTTCTCTAAACTTTGTCATACCAACACTTTTATTTTATTTTATTATTCTTCTTGATTTCTAAATAAACGTAAGCACTGACTTTCATCAAAACTACGCAAGGCGCCAAAGCATGTCTTTCTGCCTAGCGGTGTGCGAATATAACTGCGCCTAGCTGACCCATACCGCCATTATGCTTCGAATGACATTCCCATCATGAGCCACAGTGACTGTGATCCTCTACGCCCTGACAAACTCTCTTCATCTCAAGTCTCCATACACTCTCTGTCGACATGGCGCGCGTTGCTCTCTTCTGCTCAGTCTTCAACCCACTTGCCGCACTGCTGCGGCAATATCAAATCTCTCCTCAGCCAGACCCCGTCAATCCCGGAATCTGCTCAAGTGATCGAGGAGCTTGGGAACGGTTCGCTGTTTATCCAGGGTTATTCCACCTGGTCTGTCTCGGCGATAAACGAACAGCCAAACCCGCATTGTGAGTTACCTCCGATCAAGCAGACGTTGCCGCGGAAGATTTATATCGGAGAGTCTTGCCCGGGTACTTGCGATTTGTCCAATAGCTATTTCCCCGAATGGCCAGGTCTTCAGCCTCTATCAAACACGACTGGCAACTACATGGCCGTATTCCTGCTTGGCTGGTCATACGTTCTCTCTGCACGGTTGATAGAAGTTCGCCGAAGGACTGCAAAAGACAAGGTTGTCTATACCGATAATATGGCACCGTCAAGCCACGATGTTATTGGTGGGGAGTATTTCGACTTGGACATTGGATGTGATTGCATATCTGCAGTGAGATGGTGGGCTGCAATTCTGGCAGGTGGACGGGGCTGGCAGGCTGCTTTCGAGAGAGAACATGGAACGTACTTCTCACCATGGGAGTTTCATCTAACCGACAGTTCTTTCAGGATACGTCATGATACAAACATGTCATCCTCCTCTTCCAACCTCGAACCTCCGTCTTCAGCAGAAGCGCAAGAGTATCTTTTCAAAATGGCCCGACGGCATAATGCTTTCGATCAATTGATTTGCGCCGTAGCTGGTGCTATGACATTGCCAACACACAATAGATTCGGCGCCTCCGTTACTCTGCCGAAGCCTATCATCGGGTCTGGCTCGCGCCAGGACACAGAAGTGCTCTATTCCGACCAAATTCCGACACCCGCGGAAATCCCCCATTACATGGCCTTCTCGGGTACATCAGGTCTACTCGCCTCCTGCTTATTTGGAAGCTTCTGGGAGCCCGGTATACCCTGCAACTTAACAAGTGAATGGCTCAACCCTGCGATGAAAGAACTCACTTCGACTCTTTTCCAATCGAAACAGGCCGTTCCTATCATCTGGGCCATGTCTAAACGACGACCGAACGTGGCTTCCCTGTGGCTAGGTGCCACAATCACTGGTCTTCTGCCCCGAATATTAAAGGTCTCTCAGACCTTCTTACCAACAAGTCACCTAGAAGCAGTAGCGTGGACAGGATCCCCTCAATCCTTCATGGACCCTTCCAACCATCGCTCTATTAAAACCCGAAGAAAAGGCAGTGCAGTCATGATATCGCGGGGGGACGAATTTCGTCTCTTATACCTAACGGATACCCTATCGGACGTGCATGGAAACCCGCCGATTTGCCCTTATCCTCCATTCGGGGAAGTAGATCTCCAACAAACTTCACTCCAAGTCAGACTGCATTTCTCTTGCAACCATAGGCTGGTCTATCGTTCTTGGGAATGGCAGTGCCGAAATGGACAATCGCTAAGCGATTTTGGAATGCCGATCGATTCACGGCCCCCCAGAACAGCGTCCAAGCTCAGCTTGTTGCCATCGATCTGGACACTTAGGACCATCGTGACTAAGATATTATTGTCCGTTTGCGCCTGGATGCAAATCGCCCTTTCAATCGCTGCTTCCATGCCATGGTCAAGCTTCCGACCGTCAAAACAAGAGAATTTCAATGACCGGCTTTCTGCGCTGGCTACGCGGAACTTGTTCTCATGGACTTTTTTCACACAAGGGATACGGACGGAGGAAAGATCACTCTTCAAACACGAATGGCTGGAGATGCTGGTCACTAGGGATACTGGTGCGGATTGTAGTCAATTCAGCTCGTCTGGGGTTGAAGATGAAGCGAAACACCTAGACTTCGAGGATATTAGAAGGTGGCAGGAGAATGTCTCTGCAGAAACAGTATCGGGCTGAGAGGATCAATTCGGTCAATGAGAAATGTCCGATCTAGCTGCACTGAACTCTCAGTTATTCATGTGTTGTTAAGTTGATTTATTTTCGCTTCAGGGGTAGAATTTCACCTATGGAATAATAATAAGTTGTCTTCTCTACCTACAAACACCTTGTATCAGTTTTTCTTAACTACATCTTCTGCGCCAGGAAAAGAAATGAGAAAAGAAAGAAAATCTACGCAAACATCTTTTTTCTATTCGGAACACCCCTCCCCCTGGGCTTTCTGATCATGCACGTAAACCGCATTTTATCTTCCTCGAACCCTTGTCGCCCCGTGAACTCATCCACGGTGTATTCGATCACATTTTGATTCGGATCTTTCGACATATCCTTGAACCCCTTCCTTTGGTATACCGGATACCCAGGATCCGAGGACTCCAGATAACAATCCAAACCGAGCTGATCGGCCTGATCGCATCCCCACTGCGTAATGAGCGAGCCCGCACCCTGGCGCTCATGCCGCGGATGCGTGAGAAGCAATTCAAACACTATCCATCATCAACCACCCACCCACCAGGACACCAGAACAAAAGACCAGGAACTTACAACAGTGCTCCCTCCCCCCCTCACCGAAGAAAAACTTCCTCTTATCAAACAACTTCCCCATAATGCAGCGATACCCAGCCCCGTTCAGCCCGAACGGGATCTGCATCGACTTATCGGTTCGGATGGACGACCGCCACGCCTGCAGCCCCTGGTCGCCGCGGTAGATGTGCCACTTGCCCAGCGCAACCATGTTGCCGGACCGGCTGTCCACGGCCTGCAGGTAGTGCAGGGTCGGGTCGGTGTTGAGTTCCTCGGCGATGCGCCGCGCCATGTTCACGCTGTATGGCGACGAGATGAAGTCTTCGAAGGTGATGTCGCGGTTCGGTACTTCGCCTGTGGTGCGCCCGAATCCCGTCGGCGCCATCACGGAGAACATGATGTTCATGACGCGCGGGATGTCGGCTTTCGTGATGTGTTTTACGAGGAGGGACATCTTGAAGGAGGTCTAGTCTAGTCGGGGTGAAGGGAATGCTGGGTTGGGGGATTGTGTATAGGGGGTTGGTGGTGTTGGGATGGGGTGTCTATTTATCGATCGTCGATCGTCGATATTGCTAACTGCTTGTGGGAAATGCTTGGGGTATCGATTCTAGATTGTACATGTATTTGAGTTGCAGTATCTGTTAAACTTGATTTAGTTGTCGCGCAATTCTGGAAAATTAGCCAATGGCGCCCGGGGGTGGCTGCGATGGACCACAGGTTGCTTCACGCGAATTGATGAGGGGATCGAGGAAATATGACAATGGAAGTTCAAAATTCTTGGTCGGAAGTCTGATCCAAGACTTCTCTATGGACCGCGAAACTTTCCCTTGACGATGTGGCAAAGTCAGATGCAAATGGGGGCGTTTGCTGTATCGTGCGTGTCAGGAAGCAGTAACAAGGCTAGATACGTCCACGGTACGCACTGAAAAATAGCTGGGAATGGGAAGAGATGTTTTGAATATCTGATATTTAATTAGGGACTGTGGTAGGTGTACCTTTTTGTTGAGTCCTCAACGGCCATTTTCCTGCTGGGATGTGCTCTGCTTGAACCCTTTGGGCCAGAGCCAAAGTTAAAAGCAAGGTGAAGTTTGTCACCTATCATATGCAAGACAATTGTCGGTTGACAGGTGGAGAATTGCTCTCCTGGAAACTTCTAAATGGTGGTCAGCCATAAACCTATTAGAAGTGGCGACGGGAACAAAGAAAAGGAAAAGTTAACAATGCCAATTGACGTTCAATTCCAAGAACTATGTTTCGGTTTAACAAATGCTAAAATCTACCACTGACAGAAGTCGAAGAGAGACGCTCATAACATCCATCCGCCCCCAACCTGTTAGATGATCAGCTATCATACCCCGGACTGACGCCAGAATCCGCCATGACAAGGCCGAAACAAGCAACACCTCAGCAGAACTCACAAGCCTCTTGCAAGGATCTTCGCGCATCCTTGCACTAGAATTCAATTCCTGGTTCTCGCATTCAATTCCTGGGCTCTTGAATCCGTTGATCCACTTTCTCGTGTTGGCCCACAGCATGAAGTCACGCTGCTTGGCTGACATCACCAGTCGTGCACGTGACGGTGCCAGCGATGCGACAAAATTTGTGCCTGAGATAATCCCAACAGAAGACACTACCTGATCCTCTGGGAGCAATTGCGACGTCATGGCCGGTGGCTTTTTACCCTACCACGAGCCGGGAAGTACGTATCGCCCTTTGCGTCCCCTGCCCGGGCGCTACTACTAACACGCGCTGTACTCAGTTGTGGAGATTCTGGTCATTGTGTCCTTTTTCTTCTTCCTCTCGCTGGCGGAATGGGTGTCAGCTAAGGTCATTCGAGCGGGTATTATTGGCCAGATCGCGGTAGGTATTATATATGGCGTTCCGTTGGCGAATATCCTGCAGGAAAAGTGGCAGGAGACTTTCCTGGCGTTGGGATATGTGGGGTTGATCTTGATTATTTTTGAAGGTAGCATCCTTTCTCCTTGTAATATAACTGGCTTGGACTTTGTGCTGATGAGGTATAGGCGGTCTTGGTGCGCGACTCGATCTGCTGAAGAAGAATTTCGTGCTGAGCATGTTGGGCGCTGCGACGGGCGTATGCTTCCCTATTGGATTGTCATATCTCCTGCTATACCTGGGATATGGATATGGTATGGATGCCCAAAGCTGAATCCACTCGGACTGATTGCTGAATGAGAATAGGAGCCGTTGAGACGTTCATTATCGGCGCTGCTCTGTCGGCCACATCCCTCGGTACGCACACCATCCATACCACGAATCCTCACACCCACCGGCTAACTCAACCAGGAACAACATTCGCCGTGATCTCCTCCGCCTCCAAAACTGTCGATCTATCACAAACACGCGTCGGATCCATCCTCGTCAGCGCGGCCGTCATCGACGACGTCGTCGGCCTCGTCCTCTCCAGGTTCACCACCCAATCCCCTCAAATCCAACCAATCTAACACAAACCAGCATCATCGGCGACCTCAGCGACCTCTCCTCCCCCAACCCTCCCAACCTCGGCTGGCTCATCGGCCGCCCCATCGTCGCCTCCTTCGGCATGGCCGTCGTCACCCCCCTCGTCACCAAATACCTCTTCGCCCCCCTCTTCCGCAAACACATCGAATACCACTTCGCGCAATTCGACCACATCTCCAACATCATCCTCATGACCCTCGTTCTGTCCGCCTTCATAGCCATCGCCGCATACACCGGCACGTCTATTCTCTTCGGCGCCTTCCTCGCCGGTACCTTCCTCACCTACATCCCGAGCAAACGGCCCGAGGGGCCATTTGTCGTGATGAGTCGCGAGGAGGGGGAGAGGGAAGCGGATAAGAGTCCGACGTTTGTGCATACCTTCGAGGCTTATCTGCTCGGCGTGCAGGAGTATCTCATGGCGCCGTTGTTTTTCGCAAGTGTCGGGTTTGCGATTCCGTTTGTGGAGTTGTGGACGGGGAAGAGGATCTGGAGGGGGGTTTGTTTTACGTTGCTGATGGTTTTTGCGAAGGTAGGTCTAATTCTTTCGTTCTTCTCTTCTTTTCCTTTTTTTGGGGGGGAGGGGGGTTGGAAGGGAGTGGGAATGGGAGGTATCATGGCTAACGGAGTATGCAATATAGTTCGTCGTGGGCATCTGGATCCCACTATGGAAATCCCTAACCCACCTCTTCTCTCGCTCTCGGAAAAAAGACCCGAAAGCAACCAAAGAAACTCAATCTCGTCGCCCTGAACAAAGCACCCCGTCTAAGTCAGCAGCAACAACTTATCTCTCCGCCGCCCTGCTGGGCTCAGCGATGGTTGCGCGCGGCGAAATTGGCCTTCTGATAATCGAGATCGGGTACAACGAGACGGCGTATGTGTCGCAAGAGGGCTTTATCACGGGGGTGTGGGCGATTCTGCTAAACACGATTATCGGGCCCGTGGCGGTGGGACTGCTGGTGAAGTTCTACGGGAAAAGGATTGGGGAGGGGGAGTGGGGGCTGCAGGAACAGGGGGATGTAAGTCAGGCCGAGAGGACAAGGGGCATGGGGGATGTATGACAGGTGGATCAAAAGGAATATCCTAGTAGAGTCAGATACATGTGAATGTGATACATGAACAAATGCCTGCAACCGAGGCAGGGATGTTGTGTTTGCAACGCCAGCTTCAGTCCAGCCATGACATCAGAGCCGTACGTCTTAAAAATAGCAGAAATCACGGAGTCTGACCACCCCGGCCAGGTATAAAGATGATCATCTCTGAGGAGGCCCGGGGGTGTCTCGTTATGGCCGGATTTGGAGGCATAAGCACTAATAAGGCTTAGCATGGATGGGTTACATTCCGATACATTCCGATACAAGAAACACACAGCAAAATCAAATGGCTTTGCAGTGTATTCCACCCCGATACAAAGCGATACACCACGTGTCGTACAGTTTCATCAACACAGCCCTGCGCCCATGCATGGCCGATGCATGAGCTTCTGCACATTAGAGGATATTGCTTGACAGATGACAAATTGAGAATGTAAGCGCAGGTGCCGAAATATCCGTTCGGATTAATATATAAGACGCGCCAGTCTGTATTCTGAGAGAGCAGTCACATACGACGCTCGAGTCATCGACATACCCACATCAAGGGATACACACCAGTCAACAGAACCATGTCCGACTCGATCAAAACCGACGTCTTCATTGTGGGAGGAGGCCCTGTCGGCCTTCTGGTCGCTTACAGTCTGGCTCGACAAGGCGTTGACTCGCTTCTCGTTGGTATGTCTACGTTTCCTTCCATATCCCACTATACCCCCTTCCCATCTTCACCCCCACCCTGAGACGAATCCTAACAAACCCAGAACAACACAACAAACAACAACAAGCCATGTACGGCCGCGCCACGACCCTCTACCCGCGCACTCTGGAGATGCTCGACCAGCTGGACCTCCTCGAAGAACTCAACCAGATCGGCTTCATCGGCCGAAACAGCGTCACCTACAAGGACGGGAAGCGCGTGACGTCCCGTGGATGGCACGCCATCTTTGAGCAGATGAACGGGACCTTCCGCGACTATGTGTTGAATATTCGTCAGAAGTACTCCGAGAGCGTGGTGCAGGGGGCGTATGAGAGGGTTGGTGGCGTGCCATATATTGGCTGGAAGTTAGAGGGGTATACCGTTGATGAGGACGGGGACGGGGATGAGTATAAGGTGAAGGCGCAGATTAGGGAGGTGGAGACGGGGAGGGTGGTGAATGTGAAGAGGTAAGGATTCATTTACTCCAGTTTGCGCTGCATGGAGTTGGCTGATGTGCATAGTAAATACATCGTTGGCGCAGACGGTGGTCAGTCGCTGGTGAGGCGGCTGGCGAATATCCCGTTTGAAGGCGACCGGTCGGATTTCAAGTGGGTGCGGATCGATGGGTATTTCGAGACGGATATGCCCGATGCGGATATCGGGTTCGCGTCGATCGAGTCACAGAGTCATGGCAATGTCCTCTGGGTGCAGCTGGACCATGGAGTGAAGCGCATCGGGTTCGCCATGACGGAGGAGATCCTCGCGAAATACGGCGGGACGCTCACGGAGGAACAGGCGAGGGGAGAGGCCGTCGAGGCCATGAAGCCGTTCAAGTTGGAAATCAAGTCGGTCGAGTGGTGGACTCTGTACAGGTAGGTTGGTCGGTTTAGTGGTGGGCAACGGTGCTGACACTTGAGTAGTATCAGCCAGCGCGTGGCCGACGTTTTCTTCAACAATGACCGTGTCTTGCTGGCGGGTGATGCTTGCCATACGCACTCTTCAGGAGCCGCCCAGGGTATGAACACTGGGGTCCACGACGCCGTCAACCTCTCGTGGAAGCTCGGCGGAGTCGTCAAAGGCTGGTATACCACCGACGTGCTGCAGACGTATAACAGCGAGCGTCGACCAGCCGTGCAAACGCTCATCGAGCTCGACAAGGCGTTCTCGGCGGTGATTTCCGGAGAGGTCCCAGACAGCCATAAGGGGGCGTACAGCGACGCCAACGAGCTTTTCACAAAGCTCTTTAACGATACAATCCAATTCAACATCGGCCTGGGCATCTCCTACCAGGAGAGCATCATCAGCAAAGCCCCGTCTACGGGAATGGTATCAGCAGGCCGCAGAGGCCCCGACGCGTTGGTATACGCGCCGGGCTCTCGTCTTCCGACTCGGCTGTTTGATAGAACTAAGAACTGCGGCCAATGGTCTGTCATTATTTTTGCCGGACAGCCGGCCGTGACGCAGAAGATGCTGGCACCTGCCGTGGCGCGTTTGCAGGAAATCGCAAAGACCCTCCCCGCTGGCATGGCTCGTTTCCTCACGTTGGTGGCTCAGAGCGCAGCGGAGGGCGACATGATGTTCAATCTTCCCAGGATGGGCGATGTGTATTATGACCAGGATCGATCCGCCCACTCGGCGTATAGTATCTCGACTATGAACGGAGCGGTTGCCGTTCTGAGACCGGATGGAATGTTGGGACATGCTGCGTCTTTGGGTGATTTGGAGAGCGTGTCTTCGTTCTTTGAAGGTTTCACACAGGTTGATGCATAGGATAGTTGTTTAGATTGATTCAATGAAATAGAAAGCGTTGATTTTGGAAGTTAGGAACAGAGCATGCTAGTGCTCAAGATCCATGTTGAACCAAAACGGATCGAAAAGCGTCTGGTCGTCAAACTCTAGATCGCGGAACAGGTCTTCGGAGAACGGCATCTGGTCTAAATTGTCGGGTAAAAGATTAAGTTGCTCTCCTGATTGGTCCCTAGATTCATGATGTTTCCCGCTTTGTTCTGTCAAATGTTAAACAAGATCGCGAATCCATGAATCGGGATCTTACTCACCAGATGCGGCCATAGAGCATTTATAACGAATAGTACGCAGACTATTCGCACAACGCTCTGCCAACGAGCTGTATGATTTCAAATAGTCGAGAGATGCTAGACTTTTCTCCCAGGAGACATTCAAGTCTTCAGGGGTTAGTGGAGAGGAGACATAGGGATGCAAGTCGGCGAGAATAATGATCGATGCTGCAGTGAACACGTCTGAGCCTCCAGTCAGCTTTACACCGGTCAAAAGAGGAACAGTCTACTCACAGAAGACGTTGTAAAACCACACGCTAGCCAACTCCGTGCTGCAGGTCTCATGCACCAAGGATATCAGACTGATCGCAGCCTGCACATAAAAGGTTGAGCAGTCCTTGGTGAAATTCGCATATATGCCTGTTCCGGGTTTCCCGGGCCGATGGCTCCCATCCTCCGACAGATATGTCTCGCGCAGAGACTGAGATAGCACAGGGCGACAGACGAGAATTTTCAAATACAAAAACCTGCAGTGAAATTAGAGACTCAACACCCAGAACTTCTTTTACATACCTAGCTTGAAGTAGATACTTCTCTCTAAGGAACGGATCCTGAGAAGCATCAGCCAGAGGCGCATCCCAACAAAGCTGAGCCGGGATCTGATGGCGAAAGTCTTCCAGCTCTGCATCAAGCTGGGTTACACTCTGGATTTGGAACAAGATTTCGGCCCGTCGTCGATCAACAGGCTCTGCTGCAACTCGGCCTCCGTAATTATCATACAGAGAGTTCAGCACCCGGCGCAGAATATCGTACAGCTTTAGCGTCGCAATGAACCATTCGACCCGAGAGAAAACACCCGGCGGCTGCTCGCAGATCGCGGATTCCACCCGCAAATAACAATCATCAATAGGCGCTGGTAATGACGTAGACGGGGCTTGCGAAATCATAACCGGCCGACCAAGTATGATACTTACCGCCCTGGAAACTGTCAGTAAGATCCCCAACCAAGGAGAAGAAACGCACAAATCCAACATCACACACGCATGCCACACTCTTCTCCGGATCTGAACTTCAGCAAACGACCGATTATCATTCCCCACGTCCGAGTGTAACCCGATCCCCTGGGCCAGCCTGACCGTCATCCCGACCGCATGCCAGGAGCGATTTGGCGTCTGAGAACTCTGCACGTAGTGAGTCAGTAACAACAGGGTCTGCGTCAACGCTAGATCCCCGGCTTCGAGATAATCCACGTCCAGGGCGGGCTTGGATCGCTGGAAAAATGCTTCCGACGCGGTCTGTCGCTCGTGCCGAACGATGTCTGAAAACTGGCATCCCGTAGCAAAGATGGCGTTCAGTGCGTAGTAGAATGTCGTCCGTGACACGTTTTCGTCGCCTAACCCGAGACCGCGAGCGGATCGGGGAGTAGATGGGGGTTGATCTGGCTCCCACAGCGCTTCATAAGCAGTGTAGAAGGCCTCTCTGTGCACAAATGGGTATAAAACGTGGATCTTGGAGAAATAGCAGTCGACGAGATGGTCTGATAATGGCCGCGGCGGGAGTAACTCAACATGGCTCGACTGAGGACCCCCGGAGTGAGTACGAGGGCTTCCAAGATCCCCAGACGTACGAGACTGATATAAATCCCCCAGCGGACCAGACGTCCTTGAACGGAATGTATCCTGCAACTCCTTGAGGAAGGCGATGGTGGACGAGTCCCCGAAGAACCCTCTCGTCGGCCGATCACTGTTCAGAGGTCGCGAGACGAGTCCCATTCCCGTCACGTCCGATTCCTCATGAGGCACCACGTTTTCCGCAGTGGGTAGGAGAGCCGGGTTTTGGTTCTCAGTCACGCTGGCGGGTCTTTGCCGGGTTAGACAGACGACTACGCGTTCTATGGATAGATCAAATCCTACCTCGCAGGCCGTGGAATCGCATCGTCATAGGTACAGACCTCTCTCCTCCGAAGACACGTCCCACAGTGCGGTCGGACGCCATCGCAGCGAATCTTATGCGCGCGACACGTCGCACAGGCAACGCCGACTCGTTTCCTCTTGACCGACCGGGAAGGAAAGGCACTACTCAGCATTTCCTAGGATTCCACAACACCAAGGAGGTGCCAAGAACGATGATTCAGAGAGCGGGCACAACCCGTGGAAGAGGACGACAGCAATCGACCTCAATTGGAGGAAAAAAGTGCCAGGGAGGAAAAGAAGGGTTTGGCTGGTCATGGGACGCGAATGATGATGCGGGCGGTGAAGGCCTGACGAAGGCTGTGTCTGCATAGGGGAACATCCAGGATCCGACCCAGATATCCAGGCAGACACATGGCATCGCGCATATGGCGAGGATACCGACGCGGTGGCTATAGGTCGATCTGCCCGTCGTCGCGTCTCGGTCGTTCCTTGTTGATGTTGGGACCCAGAAACTGGGAATAGCATCATCCCGGATTGCGAACCACCCGATCGGCGCAGACGGTACTGGAAACGCTCAGTCGCTGGGTCAACCCTTGCAAATAGACTCGAATTCGCGGTCGCGATGACAGCTGTCGCAGAGCTAAACATGGGTGACAGCAGGGCTGTCATGCATTCGGAAGCACCCACTTCCAAAGCTTACTCGATCTGAACCCATTTCCAGGGGAGGTGATTGGCAGACCCTGGCGTCCATAGTTGTCTTGCTCCATTCAGTAGAATCTTTCTGAGTCTATTGGATTAGACTCAGAACGGTGGGAGCGATCGTTGAATCGGAGCGCAGCTCACATGCCGGGCCTGACATCATGGGCATTCGACGCTCAGATCGCCGGTACAGCTTCGATCGAACCAGTCTCTATAAAATTCACCTGAATCGCTTCAGCGAACTATGGAAGAGAAAGTCCCTCCCCACCGGCTTATTTTATATCCTTATATCCTTCACCATGAAATACACTCAGATCTTCTCTAGTTACATGAGTTCCACCATGCCCTCTCCCCTACCCCTGATACCATCCTCCAAGATGCAAGTGGCTGTGAACTCGCTCGTCTTGAAACAAGCACAGGCCATTAAGGCCCTCCCAAGCACATTTGTGGATCCGCAAAGGGCAAGCCCCGATATCGCAGACCTGGTCAGGGATCCAGAGGAGTTCCTAAAGCACCATTCGATCGACTCCGGCATGATGTTCTCCAGTGCCTCAACGAACGCTTCTCTGCCGGGGTTCGCCAAGTTGGTCGCTATGCCTGACGATAAAAACGCGCTGAAAAATTACATGCTCATGTCCCATGATCCACATGGTGTGAATGCCGAACAGTCCAGCGCGAATGCCATCCCGGCGGCCTTCCTGTGTCTCAACCCCCGCCGCATCAACCCCCGGGTGCCGGCGTACATTGACATCTCCATCTCAAACCCCAAGGAGAAGTTCATCTTCACGTCCGAGCTAAACGGCTCGTCTATCATCGTCACCAAGAAAGACGAATCCACCTATCGCGTCTTCCACGACAGCCGGATCTGCAGCTCCGTTCTATACGACAACGTCGTGCTGGCCATCGACTACTGCGAGTACGGCGACGAGTACGACAAGGAAGCTCGACACCGGCGAGACTTCGCCACGGTGTGTTTCCACTACGAGAGTTCCGAGTCGCCCGACGATAAAGGCCAATGGGTCGTCTACTGCCAGTATCAGCAAGAGACGACGGGCTTCCAGCGCGCCCTGCGACTCAACGACTGCGAATCCCCCGTGCAGAAAGTCAAGGCCTACCAGGCTCCGCAAGTGTCGCGGATCCGCAACGAATTCAACCGCTTCGTGCGCGCCGAGGGAGAGACGTTTTTTCAAGAGCCGTTGCCGTTCATCATGGACGGGACGTTCGAAGTCATCACCGACACGGACGCCATGTTGACGAATCCGGCTGTGGCCTCGACGGAGCGACTACGACGGTATATGATGCCCTACGGGAACGGTCTACGGACGGCGATCACCGAAGCCAAGATCGAAAAGTCGAAAGAGACCACCAGCGATGATATGAAAATAAGTAAGTTGCGTCGTCTTTTGGCACTCGTCATCAGTCACTAACCCGCTCTGTCCAGCGCTCGAAGCCCAAATCGATGAACTTGAGAAAAACCTCCGCCATCACGACTACCTCATCAACACTAGTGAACGTCTCGACTACACCTACTTGTGGCTGAGGCAGAAGCAGATTGTCAATCCCCTGGAAGCACCCCGCGTGTCTCTTGCAATGGTGAAAATCTGAGCGTTACGACGCTCGTCACGAAGTTGATGCCTGATGTCTTGTTGATTGGCGATTGTTTGGATACTGTACTTATTACGGGTGTCTGTTACCCTCTCGTGTATACTTAACCACGGCTCTGTAGCCAAATGTCTAATATACCCACGCTAGACGCGTTTTCTTCACACACAGGTGGTAGACCAACTACCCAGTCAATGGTGATATCATAGCATTTGAAATGCAGAAGAGGTGCGGGGCTAACCATGTGGACAGAGGTTCGTCAAGGTTCTAGCACGGGCGAATCTCGCATTCCACGGATGGGAATAGCAGAGTCTGGACGGTGGCTGATGTTGAGACCGGGTCTGACGTAGCCAGAGAGGTCTTCCACGGAGACCAGACCACCGAGGAACGCCGACTATTTTTGAAAATAGAAACAGCTACCAGGGATTTGAAGCGCATGTCAGCTGCCAGGGCCACTTGCTCATAGGTAGGCCTGAAAGGTACGATTTCAGAACAGCCCAAAGTCCGCGGATCCCGTATCAGGGAACTAGGAGATGGTGTGCGGTTGGATGGTTTAGCCTTTCCGGGACATCATTGATACGTATCACTGACACTGGGGAGATAAACTTTCTCTTGACCGATAGATGCGTGGGATAGAGTGTCATCCGCATTCTATGGTCAAGATGAGTTGGTTACACTTCCGCGACAAGACGGAAGAGCCATGCCCATCGATGTTAAGAGCGAGCCAGACATCCAACGACCGATCTCAGGTTGATTCTGCCAAAGACGCAAGGTGTTTCATTGCGTATCCGTTGACAACTAACACAGATATGCTTTATGCAAAGCTCGCCGAGGACACAGGTTGGATACTATTATCTAACCCTTGCGCGTTCAATGACGAAACTAGAATCTCTTCAGTCTAGCGATCTCTCTACTTTCATAGATATTGACCGCCAGTGACGCAGCAAGGAGGATTAAGCCATTCCATGTGTTGAGGCCCTATCGAAGTCTATTAGTCAGAACACTGCACCTGGATAACTATAGCCTCAGGGACCACGATCAAACTATTCCTCTTTATCCAATCAACCCACTATCACAGCGGCAGAGCGTCTGATCTTGACAGAAAGAAGGCTGCAAACCCCAGTCGACGCTATTCTTTTTGCGATCGTTGCAGATCCGGCCTTCCGCCCGAATGCCTCGGGTTGAAAAATCTTCCACCACATCACCAGTGGCCACTGAGACAAAGAACGACCCCAAAAACCTATATTTGTACAAGGTAACACTTAACTGACCTCGGTACTACATCTCCAGGGTCCAACCCTGCAAGAAGTCCAGTCGAGGCCCTTCCAGCCACTACGGCGTTATGTCGGCCCAACCGTGCAACGAGCACTGCCTGAAGCGCCTCCGAAAAAAAAACAAACGGATTCCGAGGCAGTGCTGATCCAGACGGCTTGGTACATCCCTGGGGCGATATGAGTGGGTGAATCGCCTGCGCTAAGTCTTAGCTTTTGATTTAGCGTGGCCACTCATCGGGGCGTGTTGTGCGGTGTGATGGAGAAGGCATGAGCTTGGTACCCCTTCGTTTTTGTGTCCCCGCATCGGGCCTATGGGGTGAAGTGATTTGCCAACGCCATCTGTGTGCGATGGAGATGTTGACGATATTTTCCCCGAGTCTAGATTAAATGGTTAAGGATCTGGCCTGAGGGGTTGTATCACGTTGGCGTTGGCTGGGATTGTGACATTCCCGGACCAACTGACGATGGTATTAGTCATGCGATCGAAGGGGGGGAATTGAGTTTCCAAGACGCAGGCGAAGGCGTTCTAATTTCTGTCAAGAGGGTTGATTGGCGAGGTTCGACCGAGTGATGGTCTTAGGGATAAGCCCCGAGGAAAAAAGGTGAAGGAACGAGGGTACCATCGAACAAGTGAAACATCAAAGGCAGACACTTTTTTCTTCCCGACGCTAAAGACGCATCTCGCTGACACTTTGACAGACACCACGAAGATTGCCACACTCCAACGCTAAGCTCTCCTACCCGTTCGATCCAGAAGGGCCTAGCCGACAGTCCGTCTTTCGATTATGCATGGGATGAACACGCTATGTGGTCATCCTCGCTGCTTATCGCCATGTCCAAGGAAGCCCCAATATGATATCATCTGCGATCTGCACGCCGGGCGCTCAAACAAGAAACCAAGCTCGAGCAGTCACCCAATGGAACAGCCACCGCGGTGGAGATGGCGCCTTTTCCAGGCACCGAGTTTACCTGTTGGGGTGGGGATTTTTCGATTTTTTGCTGGAGCTATGACAATCTATTGATTCCCTGCCTCGCCGCCAGAGGGGATAAATAATGTCATGTCGCCAATCGCCAGGCACGGAGGCGTTTCGCTGAAAATTTGACACTCGCACGTTCTGACGCCCTGTGACTCGCGAAATGCGGCGTTGGACTCCCCTGAAATGCTGTCTTTTGCAGCTGGCGCTGTGGGCGTTGATTACGCTGTCCACGTGTGCGCCGTCGAATATCACCGCCGTGGCTGATTCCGCTCCGGATACTGGTGATTCTGGTGATGCTGGTGCTGGTGCTGATGTCGATGGCCTGCAGAGTCGTGATGTCAAACCTTTTATCCTCCGTATTATGCCTCTCGGAGCTTCCATCACGGTAGGATACAAGTCCAGCGACGGCAATGGCTATCGCAAATGGCTGCGACAGCAGCTGCGCTATTCCGGATGGCAGGTCGATATGGTCGGCAGCTTGTCCAACGGGTCGATGCATGATAATGTACGTGAACTCCCTTCGTGACATTTAAGCCGTTTCAATTAGCTGACTCGGTCCAGAACAACGAAGGCCACTACGGCTACGAAATCAACCATGTCGCCAAAGAAGCCGAAAAGACCATCCCGCAACAACCAAACCTCATCCTCATCAAGTCAGTTCTCCCTCCTCTTCCGCGTTTCTGTAACTAACAGACAAAATCAGCGCCGGAACCAACGACGGCATCTTGAAATACCAAACCGCCTCTGCCGGGAAACGCATGGATAAACTCATCACCCGCTTGTTCGACGCCATCCCAGGAACCACCATCATCCTATCCACTCTCCTGCCCAACACGAGGCAGTCCAAACGCATCGAGCAGATCAACACGCAATTCCGGAAGATCGTCGCCACCCGCCGCGCAAATGACGAGCGGATCGTCCTGGCTGAAATGAGCGATTTCATTCGCAAGGATGAGCTGGTGGACGGTACGCACCCGACAGACTACGGGTACAAGAAGATGGCCTCGGTCTGGTGGGCCGCCATCCAAGAGGCCGAGGCGGACGAGTTATTGCAGCAGCCGAAGGCTACGGCGAGAGGGCATAATAAGGCTCTGGAGAAGGAGGTGGATGATGGCGGCGGCGATCCGCATTTGCCGGAGTACGATGCCCCCGATCAGCCTGGGTCTGAGGCAGTCGTGGTGCAGCCGGCTCTGCTGAAGATCGGAGTGCAGGTGGTTTTGGGTATGTTTCCTGTTTGATCTGGGTGTGTCGGAAACTAACACTTTGCAGTGACTGCTACTCTGGCTCTGATAACATGATTATACTCGAAAGGAGGGCCGTTTGTGCCTCTATCTAATCCCCTTCAACGGCGGTGCAGCAATTCACCCACGCTGCGAATTTCCGAAGCGTTCGAGATCCGGAAAGTTGATTCGAAGCGACAGCAACGTCCGTGAAATGCTAGCTGTCACCGTCTGCGACAATGCAGTCGACTGAAGCCGCATAACCGTCTCAGTCATAGCATAGGCACGAGACCATGCGACCACATTATGCTCGATCGGGGCATAGGCCCGAACCAGGCTTGCCATTTCGCAATGCCTCAGAAGAGTCCATTCGAAATGTGCACTGGTTCAATGAAGGACAGTCTCAGACCGAAAGGATCGCTTGAGCAGCACTACCTAGCTAAGGCTAGCTGCACAAAGTCTCAATTTAATACAACAATGCAGATAGGGAACAAAAATGTCAACATGCCACGTGCGATACTTGATCGATTCTTCTGAACCATTGATAGTCTAGATCCTCGACCACCAGCCAAGAGCAGCGTATTCGGTCGTAAATCCGATGAACACGGACTAGCCGGTAGCGCTCCCGCGCGTGAGGCTTAGAATCCCTCGACCGGATAACGCCGTTGGGGGCGATTTCATTCAGGATCATTTAGTCTCGGGATTGCGCCATGTAACCGTTGTGAGTCACGTTGTTGTCGCGACTATGTATCCTTAGATGTAGCCTTGGATCTGCAATCAACAACCTTCACTTCTTCCATATCTTCCTCTTTCTCTCTATATCACAACTCCTCCATCCACCCAATTCCTCTATACAACACCAACACCCTAAACAAAATGTCCATCCACCACAACCCCATCACGCAAGAACCATACCTGCGCCTCCCCGCCCCCCACTCCTCCATCATCATCACGCCCTTCCGCGCCGTCAATCCCGCCGACCAATCCGCCATGGTGCGCAACATGAACGACCCCCTCGTGGCAACCTGGCTCATCGGCCCCCCATACCCGTATCAGCCCGAGAACGCGCAGTTCTGGATCAACATGTCGCGTCCGCAGTGCGCCGCCATCCTCGAAGAAGCCAAGTCGCAGCAGTATGTGTCCGGGAGTCCGTTCCGGTGTGTGCGCGAGGTCGTGGAGGAGGATGAGGAGGGGATTAAGAGGGATAAATTGATCGGGGGGATCGACGTTACTGAGTATCCGTTTTTGGAGTTTGCGGAGGGGAGTAGGGAGAGGGAGGAGGGCGTTAAGAGGAATAGTGAGTTGGAGGTGGGCAGTGGGGAGAGGGTTTGGGGGGTTGGTGGTATGTTCTCGCTCTTTTTCTCATACCTTGTCTGGTGAACATGTTAACTTATTTCTCCCAGATTGGCTGGATCCGGCGTACCACGGCCGAGGGATCATGACGGCTGTTGTCAAGACCGTCATCCACGAGTGGGCCATTCCTCGCATGAACGCGCGCCACTTCAAGGTCTCTGCGTTTGTCGGGAACCAAGGGAGCGTGAGGGTGTTTGAGAAGTTGGGATTCCAGCACCATAAGAAGCTGGACGACTGGGTGCATCTACCGGCTAGCCGGGGAGGAGGAAGGCGGTCACTTCATATTCTCTCTCTCGATGTATAAAGAGACATGTCTAGCATGAGCAGTGACGGGTTGTCATTTATCATTCAAGTCGGCAATTCAACCGCCACAGCCATTTCCATACTGATTGGATGAACCAAAGTATCGGATCTGGGGCAATACCTATAGTCAACTAATGAGAAGTCAGATTCATAATCCCATTCAATTGTGATCTGCCAGACAGATACAGTTTGTCAGTCGCTGGAACGCCAATGAGCGTTTCCACGGGCCAAAAAAACAAAGAAAAAATGGACCCGATTTGTCGACGTTTCTATTTCTGATTTCCTGCAAAATGGACGATCGGCAATGACGTGGCTGTGGCTCGCTTCTAGAAACTCCCTCGTGGAGTGAGTCCATCGTGGTCGCGTTGGCCAATTTCCGATGTCCCAAGCGGAGGGAATCCGACTAGAAAGCCCTTACGGAGGACCCCTAGACCCTAGGCAGTGGATACGAGCACTAAGAAACGTTCACGATCGCAGACTCGATCGGTGCCTGCCAGGGGGAAGCGATCGTCGGGGTGGGGCGTTTCGTCCCATTGTTGGGTGTTTACGAGCCCTACTCCGTAGAAACAGGTGAAACAGACGATCAGCCTGCGACGCCCTGAAGGACGGTGAAACGGTTCGTGTAGGATCACATGGAGGCAGATTTTTCGGCTGTATATATAGAACGGAACCGATTCTGTGGTTGTAAAGAAATAAGTCGTTCGGTTTCTGTCGGTGGTGGTATACCTACACTCGTTTACTTCAATTGCTTCAAATCCCGTCATTCGTTATAACTTGTATGCCAAAATGCGCTCCATGCAAATCATGCTCGCTCTTCTCCTCGCCGTCTGCCTCGCAGTCGCCAACCCCCTCGACAAACGCGCCTCCCTCGTGCACTGCACCACCGAGCAAAAGTCCATGGTCCAAAACGCCCTGATCCAGTCCTCGCGCATGGCGCAGGCCGGCGCCTCAGCCATCCGCTCCGGCTCGTCCTACGGCAACAACCTGTTCCAGACCTTCTTCAAAACCACCGACGAGTCCTCCAAGTCGCACGTCGCCAACATCCTCGACCAGATTGCCGAGGAAGCGCAGGCCCGCGGCAGCGGCAGAGTGACCTACTCGTGCACCCCCGACGGCATTCCCTGCTCTGACTCCGAGTCGTTCACAGTGACGGCATATGGAGAGACGGATGGCTACAATGGGGATATTCGCACCTGTCCGGCGTACTTCAGCATCCCGAGTTTCTCGAATAATTGCGATGCGTTGGACCAGGCCACGTCGACGACGCATGAGATGGCCCATACGAAGGGTATCTATGGGATCGAGACGTATGGGTATTATGCGGTGCAGGGACTGGATTCGCAGTCGGCGTTGATTAATGCCGAGAGTTATGCGTTTTTCTCGAAGGGTGAGTTTTCCTTGTTTGATTGCTTGGGTGATGGCGATGCTAATTTTACTATAGCGGCGTTGTTGCATTGTCAGGTTTAAAATCGGCATTAAGTGCATACAGAGAGATGTTGGAGTCTAAAAACTCAAGGAGCATATAGCATGGAAAGTAGATATACATTCGCATTCGCATCAGCAATACCACTCATTTCTCTACTCACCTACCCCCTACAACCCTAAATCCAAGTAAAAAATTAAACAACTAAACCATATTCAACCCCCCACTAACACAAACCGTTTGCCTAGTAACCCAACCAGCCTCCCCTCCGGCCAAAAAAACCACCACCTTCGCCACCTCCTCCGCCCTTCCCACCCTCTTCTCCAGAGGCGTACTCATCGTCATAAAATCCACCAACTCCCTAGGTACCTCCTCCCTCAGCATCCTCGATTCCGTCGCCCCGGGCGCCACTACATTCACCGTATGTCCGTCCGTCCCCACCGATATCGAACGCCAACGCCCGCGTAAACCCTTCCACCGCGGCCTTCGATGCCGCGTAGATGCTTCCGCCGCTGGATCCGCGTCGCGCAGCTATTGAGCTCATGTTGATGATGCGGCCTGGGGCGCGCAGGTGTGGGATGACGGCGCGCGTCATGAGGATCGTGCCGTGGACGTTGAGGTTGAAGATGGTGGATATTTGGGCGGGGGGTGGTGGTGGGGAGCGGGGCGCAGTGGAAGGCGCCGGCGTTGTTGATGAGGATGTCGATTTGGGGGGTTTGGAATGCTGAGAGGGTTGAGGTGATTATATGCTCCGGGGCAGAAGGGTCGGTGAGGTCTGCGAGGACGATGTGGGTGCGCGCATTGGTGTTGAGGGCGGAGATGGCGGAGACGACGGATTGGATGTCGGGATAGCTGGAGGGGGAGGGTTATCTGGGGGTGTTAGTGGTGTTTATATGGTTGGATCGAGGTGTTGGTGAGGAGGGAGAGTACAGATGCGCCTTGTTTGGCGAGTTCGAGGGCGATGCTGGCGCCGATACCGCGGGAGGCTCCGGTCACGATGGCGATCTTTCCTGCGAGGGACATTGAGATTGATTCTGGATGTGAAGTGGATAGTGGATTTTGTGCTCTTGTCGAGGAGCTGATTCTATCACCTCCTAAGGGGTCCCTTTTGTGGTTTATATATGGGTTGTTCCTCGTATAGCATGGCATCTTGCCCGGCATGGCATTATGCAGCATAACGTTATGGTATTTCGCATTCACCCAAATCTCTCGACTGGCGAATCCTTTTTTGAATAGTAAGATAGGTCTTCATGCAAGAAAACTACGGGTTTCTCATTTTAAGCTCTGCGATGCCCTGATCTGTTATCTTGCAGGTGCTATCTTTACATGCCTCTCATCATCGAAGCCCTTCGGCGAGGATGAGTGTCGGCTTTACTTTAATTTTCTACAACTGGAACTACTTGCTACTGCTGCACATTAAGTAATGAATTTAAAATATTCGTAAATTCTCTAATTAGCTTCCCTTGAATCAGAATGGAGATTTTGTTCCTAAACGCCATGGTAACCTGACATCGTATGTACATATACTCCAGCCCAGTGAAGGCAAAGTTCATCAACGTAAATGCACAGACATCACAAAAGTGGTAATTGCATCAGACCAGCTGGAGCTTGTTCGCCTGCAAAAATTCATCAAATCGATCCGGAAGGCCTGATAGCTCTACCACAGCAACATAGGTGTCCGGTCGAAGAAGGTAAGCTGCATCCTGTGTCAACCCAACGCTCTGATACTTCGCGTCCCATGAAAACACAGTCAGTTGCACTTTCTTCTCTCGACACCAATCCAACAGCTTCTCATTAGCTTCGCCATACACATGGACCTGCCATGCAATAGCCTTCAGACCGTCGAAGTTATCAACATCCCCCACCGGCGCCCAAGGCAAACGATCGCCGCCTTGCACATCCCCAACACCCCCAGCAGACAAATCACTATGCCGATAGTTGATCAACGTCTGCGAAATGCCGCGGAAGACTCTATGTCGGAACCTCTCGAACCGCGTCATAAACGGCGCCGTGTACGGGATAATCCACGTCCGGAAGAAACTGACCAGATACCCATTCCCGACGATTGAGTTGAACGCCCAGTCCGTCGTTTGCACAAGGGTACTTGCAAAAGCACGACGTTCAACCTCATACGTCTCCAGCAGCGAATCATCCGCTTTCCCCTGGATCACAGACGTCAACTTCCAGGCCAGATTGATCGCGTCGCCGATCCCCGTGTTCATGCCCTGCCCGCCCACAGGGCTATGAATGTGACCTGCGTCGCCGACCAGGAAGGCTCTTCCTTTGCGAAACGATCGCGCCAACCGATGATGTACTTTGTACGTCGTGAACCAGTTGACTCTGCTCACGTCCAGCTTCATGTTCTTGCGGATCGACGGCGCCACGTCGTCGAATGTTACGTCCGCCGGGTCCTTGGTGATATTGCTCTCGTCGATTGCGCCGGTGACTCGCGCCGACTTGCCCTCGTTGAATGCGAATAGGAGGAAGAAGTCGGACTGGTTGAACGATACATGCGCTTCGCCGTTCATCGTCGGCCCGCCGGCTTCGATGTCCGCGACGAAAAAGAGCTGCGTGTATGTATCCCCGTCGAACTCGATTTCGCTGAGATGTCGCACCGCGGAGTGAGCCCCGTCGCAGCCGACTATGTATGTTGTGTCAATCGTCTCCGTCCCCTTCCCTGTGGTCGTATCCTTGAAGGAAGCGGAGACGTGCGTTTCATGGTCCGCGAACTCGACCAATTCGCGATTCCGATCCACGAACACGCCCATCGCATTCAGGTGCCGTTCAAGCACTTGCTCATGCACGTCCTGCGACAGAATAAACACGAACGGGTACGGCGTTAGTCCCGAACCGGCGTCGACGATGGGAATCCGCGCTCTGTACGAGCCTTCGGACCAGATATTTGTCGCTTTGACCTTGTGTCCGAGCGAGACGATCTCGTCTGCTAGGTCGAGTTGGCGATAGAGTTCTAGCGTGCGGGCGTGGATGGCGAGCGCTCGCGAAGTCGAGGCCTTTGCTTCGGCTTTGTCGACGATGTGCACGTTTATGCCTTGGCGGGTTAGCCAGAGGGCGAGGACGAGGCCTGTTGGGCCGGCGCCGATGATGAGGACGTCTGTTTGTGGCATGGTGTTGTCATGCACTTTTTTAATATAAAAAATAATGTTTATCTTGGATAGTATTGAAGTGACTTGACTGATGATGCTGAATATGACATGTAACTGCAATGCTCTTCCTCCCTATTTATACCACCCAGTCTTGAATCTAAACCCCCGCCCCGAGCGGACTCTACACTCGCCCTTGGGCCAGTCCGCCCCGTGATCCGATCACTTGGCCTGCGATGACTCCTTCGTATTGTCTCTTGGCCGTCCATCATCCCTGATCGGGCATCGTCCGCCCCCGAAAGTTCCCGACGTGCGGACATTTACGGCTTCCCGGCGCTCCGACGGTCGGGAGTCCGTACGCCGACGCCGAGCTGACTCATTTCTTTGGTTTCATAACCATTTGCTATGTGGTGTAAAATTCAGATGTGAAAAGCAGTGATATTAAGATTAAACTAACTAGACTTCAAATAAGACTACGAGTCTGGTCGTGTCACAACATGACCGATTCCATGATCCCCTTATCTCATTAAGAAGTCGGCGCCGCCGCAGCAGCCGCCGGCTGGTCGGGACTGGCTTCGCCGTGAACGCAGTACGCGTACCCAGTCAACAGGTTGGTGCAGCTGCGATTAAGCTCGGGGTTCCAGAGCTGCAGCTGCGCCATGGTGATGGCGAATTGAGATTCCAGTTTGGCGCAGTAGTCGCCTTGTTGGACAACGTACCACTATGGAAGAGTCAGGCTGCCAAATGAAGAATACGAGTTTCCGGATTGGGAATGGGCCATGCATACCTCGTAACAGTTCGGAGTGGTCCCAGTCGCCGTGGGAGCAGGAGCAGACACATAGACCGAGGTCGTGGTTGTCAGGGTGGTGGACGGTTTGTTCCAGTCGGCAGTGGGAAGAGTGCAGTAGTATAGACCGGTGATGAGGTTGGTGCAGTCGGCGTTGAGGTCCGGGTTGATAGCCCGGAAGAGCTCCATGCTGATGCCGGCGTTGGAGACGATTCGCTGGCAGTAGTCGCCGGATTGGACGAGGTAGTACCTAGAGGCATCTCAGCATTGGAATCGACTTAGCTATGGTAACGATGGACAGATCTCACCTTCCACATTTAGTCGTTGTGCCTCGAGCCACGGGCCCCGGGGGAGCTACAGTGGCCGTCGCATATGGGGTCGACACTGTTGGAGAGGTTTGCGTGGGGGTCGTGACGGTCTGGTTTCCAGACGAGGTGGGCTCGGTCACGCACAGCAGATCGCCGATATTCAGGTTGGTGCAGTCGGCGTTGATGAAGCTGTTCCATGCGCGCAGTTGCGCGAAAGTCACCCGGTAATTGTTTGCGATCTTCCAGCATGTATCGCCGGGCTGGATCGTGTGCTGCTGACAGGTGGCTGCGGACACGGACCAGTCCCTCTTGGTGCCGTCGCGGACAATATCGCGTTTCGAATTGCGCTGCACGATAAGGGGATCTGGAGAGTCGGTGTTTTGCGATGCGTCTGCGGGTGATGTGGGATAGGCCGGGTCGAACGGGTCAAGGATGACATAGGAGTTGGTGGCTGGTTCGTCCAAGGGCTCATCGTCGTCCTCGATGCCTGTGTCTGTCAGGATTGGTATGGAATTTGTGCTTGGAGAATACGCACGCTTGAAGAATTCCGGCACAGGGCCTTTAGCGCAGGTGTAATTGTAGTTGAGCCAGATGATATTCCCGTGAGCAGTAGCAGATACACCTGGCCAGGGATCCGCGTCCTGCCGACAGGCCCAGAGCACTGAGTCATGATAATGAGCCAACGACTGTTCACAGGCTTCGGTGCAGAAACTGTCTAGTTGACTATAGGGAACAGCATCCTTGAACACTTGATCCCGGAAATAAGAATTACAGGCAACGGGGGCTTTCATGGCAGCCATGCACTCCTCGGAGACCCATCCCTCCAGCGCAGCGATGCTAGTACTATCAATAAAGTCGGGAGTAAAAGCAAAGAGCTGAGAAGGGGCCGAGTGCCCGAGGGCAGAGAAATGGAGCCAAGCGAGGAAAGTAGTCAGCAAGGAAGCCATGTTCAAAGACATCTGCGGATATTTCTTGTTCACAAAGAAAACAGCCACAAAAGGCCCTTCTATGGGGCCTTTAAATGTCATTCGGTAGATAGCTAGTCTAGCTCACGCCCCTAACCCTCCCGTCTATTCGATTGGAGAAGTTTGAAGCTGCTTCTCGCTAATGTATGGATGGGCTTGTAAGACATCTGTTCCGCCTATTCCGCGGCATCTTCCCGACGGTACGACCTGCTTTGCGACCAGGATGGGCTCGTTTATTACTGTCTACTCCGCAAAGTGGCAGGATTTGGATTTCATCCGAATGGACGGTGCGGGGCGAAGCATTGGATAGGTCTAGGATTCATGCAGCTTCTCCCGCCCTTTCCAGGGTCTGAGGAGACGGGAAAGGTGCTTGCAGACTGCAACACAGAATTAATGGCTGTCTCACCTGACCAGCTTGTCGTTTTCACATGGTGCTGCAGGATAGGGTTGTACTGTGAGGTAATTCGATGTCATAGTTTGCGTCTCGGCTGCCGATCTTCAGCCGGGCTAGAGATGCGCTTCTTGGCCCGTTGGACCGTTTTATTCTGTCCAGAGCATGGGGTATCCTATATCGATTATTCAAGAAATCAGTATCGATGGACTATACACCAGGTTTCAACAATGATAAAAAGAAAAATGGCAGCCTAGTCTTGAATCCCTAGAACAACGGCTCCCCACGTTGCATCGCGAAAATGCAACCTCCACTTGAGTCACTGCCAGAGTTGCACAATACATCATCAAAGGGACTTTGCAGATGCAGCCCCTCAATTCATGCCACACCTGGCCATCCTTGCATACACTCTTCTCGCACGGATCCAATGTCTGACAGGTTCATTCAGGAGGCAAGGGATACGTAAAACCCCGGTCTGAAAGCGGGGATGAGCCTGCTGAGCAAGCCGGGGTAGCCCGGATTAAGATACTCCTCACTTTGGGAGTCATTGCAGATGTGCTTAGCTCTTGAGATTCATTATCTGATCGTTGGGGTCATTACCTCAATACTGGTAGCACTATCGTCACCATTTTCTTTTGAAGCGATTCGACAGAAAAGGACGAATCTTGTCTGTGATTTAACTGTCAAAACTTATCCGAGCATGATCGCGCTTGTGTTCCAAAGCCTGTCTCGACACAGAACAATGAGTTTACGCTTAGTGCTTGATGATCTACCCACTCAGTTAGTAGAGTTCCAGCTCAGAAAGTAACAAATATACTTTTTCGAAGTAATAAGTCAGAGGTTGACCTTCTCCGGTGCTCAACCCAGCACCCCACGGCATCAAAGCCTAGTCGAAAAAGAATGAGCCAAACGTCATCAAGAGTCCTGTTTTAAATTGAACGTTTTGAGTAGCTCTGTATTCTAAATGAGTGATCCTCGTGAGTGCAGGGGAATTTCCAACAGGCTTTCTTCTAGACCAACTGTGAACTTCTCTCATTCATGCATCCTAGGTTGATAACGCTCAAGCAGATGACTAGGACCCATTTTTGTCAATATGCCAGAGCTATCTGTGCTCTACTCAAGCCTTCGGTGTCGGCCACTCAATTTTCAATTGATTCTGCGAAAGCGAAATTCACTTTGCAAGGAAAATGTAGGATGTCTTAGGTTAGTGAGGCATCTAAACACTCGGTTGTGACCTTCCGTCTCGTACAGTACTTCAACTTATCGCCACGCCACTTCAGTGTAATTCAGCTCACAGTTGCCTTCGCTTCCTGGAATCATTTTTTTAGCAGTTGAAATGGTGCCATCATGAATTGGGTGTTCCCCACATTCCAACTATCATCTGATTTTATCAGGAATGAAGGGTGCTCGATCCCTTGCCTGCTCAAGAGTCAACCCTACTCCGATCTGGTAGTTATGTCTTCGTCAACTTTGCTTTATCGTTATCTTGAAGACCATTGTATTATTAACAAAAATACTTTCAGTATATTCTAAAAATATTCTCACCGGTGTGTATATTACTCATCCGCCTGGCTTTATTTTCGGCTTTGGAGGTAGAGAAGCGAGCGGAATCTCCGTGCACCTGAGCATTCCATGATTATTATTGAATATGCGAGCGACTGAAACAACAATACTTCTTGTGCAAATAATGCTCTGTTCTTAACAGCGACATGGATTTCTAGCAGTAATTGAAGTTGATCTACTTTCGAGATGTCCGTTTTCGGAAGGTCAGGATGTCCGGCTTTATCCGGAACCTTGTAACTCTATCATCATTTCGATTTTCCAGGAATTCACAATGTTCACATTTATTGCAAGCTATTTATCGAAAGCTTCCTTTCTTCACACTCAAAAAATCTAACAGCAGCTTTCAGGTCATCTTAATTCTTTTGCATTACTTCCATCCCCAATCCCCCGCGGTCAGCGCGATCCGTGGACAAAGAAACCCATCCCAATGAATTTCTCCAAAAGCATCCATGTGGTCGGCGCTCACTGCGAAGGGGAGATAGGCGAGGTGATTGTTGGAGGTGTTCCAGATGTCCCGGGCAAGACCATGCACGAGAAAATGATGCATTTCTGGCAAAAGCAAGACGACCTCCGACTTTTCATGCTCAATGAACCTCGCGGCAAGCCATCCAAGAACGTCAATATCATTATGCCACCTTGCGACCCAGCAGCTGATGCCGGGCTACTCATTATGGAAAGCGAAGAATGGTGCGCGATGTCCGGCTCCAACACTATCTGCACTACCACCGTGCTGTTGGAAACGGGGATCCTGCCGATGACGGAGCCTGTGACGACGGTTAAACTTGATACGCCTGCTGGTCTGGTGGAGGTAATTGCAGAGTGCAAGGAAGGGAAATGTGAAAGCGTATCTTTCGACAATGTTCCATCGTTTGTTTTTCATCTGGATTATGACATCGATGTCCCTGGAATTGGACCTCTCAAGGCGGATATAGCATGGGGAGGGACGATTGCTGCCATCGTCGATCTGTCTCAAATGAACGCCACGATTGAGAACACGAATGGTGCCAAACTAGTCGAATTAGGAGAGCGCATCAAACATGCTGCGCGGGAGCAAGTTCGTCCTGTGCCAACTCATCCGGAAAACCCTCTTATATCGGGCATCTCGCATGTCATATTCTCCGGGGAATTGAGGACGGAGCCTGTCGGGAAAAGCTCCAAAGCTGCCACAATTGTCTCACCGGGTCGATTGGACCGCAGCCCTTGTGGTACTGGGACGAGTGCTCGTCTTGCCGTTCTTCAAGCGAGAGGCCTGTTAGATGTCAAAGAGCAGTTTCGCCATATTAGCCCTCTGGGGACAGAGTTCGCGAGCTATATTCGTGGCACGACTACTGTGGGAGATTATCAAGCCGTTCTTCCAACTATAAAAGGGAGAGCATGGATTACGAGCTTTAAACAGGTGGTACTTGATCCGAGTGATCCGTTTCCAACTGGCTTTAGGTCTTCGGACTTGTGGAATGTTGAATCACAGAATAGTGGTATTTATAAAAATTGATTGCTGTTTTCATAGGAGACCCAGCTAAATATATACATGTTAGAAATATTTTGAGAGAAGTAACTGCGGAGATCATCTTTTTCAAAAGGGCTTAATCTGAATGTTTTGCTACTCAGCTTAGGATCGAGATGTTTGTAGCTTCTCGAAGCCATGCGCCTTAACAGACTTCAAAGGCCTGCGGGCTGGTTGGTCTTATATTTACCGTGTGGTTGCAGCCTCAGGCATAAAGGCAAGAAGGCAGGAGCGTGGCGCCTTACCCTATCGGGCAGGTGGTTAGGATCAAATCACGTGCCATACCTGACTCATCGGTCGGAGGAGTGGAAACCCTCCGGACCAATAAGAGGCCCCGATCCCGGTCCTGCCAATTGTTTGCCGGAGGTCGTTCCCTCCCACTTTCAACATCGCCAAGTCGACAAGTCTCACAGCCAAGATGGCTTCTACCCGCAATAACGCCTCCATGTCATCGTCGGAAAAGAAGCGCATTAGAGACCGACGAGCGCAACACAATATGCGCCAGAAAAAGGAGAAATTGATCAAGTCTCTCGAGGAAAAAGTGATGTTTTGCGAGCAAAATCATCCCCGTGAGTCAATTGGTCCACTCATGGAGACGATCGAGAGCCTCCGCAGGGAAAATGAGAGGCTTCGCGACCATATCAAAATATTGCGAGAAGACCCCAATGCTGTAATGGATGTGTCCCAATGTTCAACATCAACGGCACCGGCTGAATCCGTGCAACTACCCGAGGATCAAGATAATCTGGCCAAGGAACTTCCTGCAGACGAATGGTCGTCGTCAGAAGACTATGGAGCGAGTCTAGAACTCATTCAAACGGGTGGGGAAAACAAATCCAGACTTTTAGGAGATGTACTGAATGATCTCACCAATTCCTTTTTCGCGGCGGATTCGCCTTTTCCGTCTGCTTCGCCCATTTCCGACAATGCATTGCATTTCCCTACGATTTCCCTTTTCAATCCTTCTCAAACAATCCCATTTTCGGCTCCCACATGGTGTCTGGTTCCAATGGATTGCTACGATGATAACGCATTCCTTCTACCCGGGCATTGCCCCTGGCTGTCATATCCAGAACTCATTGCCGACTGCTCGCCACTACCCTCTCCGCTCGATCTCCTCCACGGAACCAAACGCAACTTCCTAGCGGATCAGATCAATCAACGTATGAGGCTCCGCCGAGTTAGAGATCCAGAGTGTCTAGGATTTGGCTTCCTTTGTTATTTGTTCAGTAAATGGCGAGCCTCTCCGAACCCAACGACATTCGCGCGCCTTCCGCCATTCATGCACCCGATCGTGGCACAATTCCAGCGGGGACACCCTAATGCCCTGGACTTCCCCGTGTGGCCGCAACTGCGCATGAACCTGATCAAAAAATGGCATCTATACGACTATTTTGAGCTAGTCGGATACTTGGCCTGTTGTGCCAGGGTAAGGTGGCCATTTGGTGAACCAATTCTTGAGCGCGACGCGAACGACAATTTGCAAATACGACAAAAGTTCTTGAACACCGTCACTCAAGAGAGTGGATGGGGACTTACGTCCGAATTCATCGACAAATACCCCGAGTTATTGGAGGGAATGGATGTCGAAGCAGTCAGGTTCCGGGTCGACCTACCTTGATATCGCTAAACAGACTGATCATCCTGCTCGATTGGAGACTTATTAAGCCAGTTAACATTTGGTAAATTATCTTTATAAGGAGCCAGCCCCTGATTACCTACGTTCTTTAAAATCTGGCAAACGCTCCGAGGCGGAGATTATTACAGCATCTCTATCGCCCAATACTGGAGTAGTGAGCAGAACTCCGAATGTGAATTGCCGACCATCTTCCCGGCTTCAGTTATGGCATGCGACTTGATATTTCGCAAGATGCATCAACTAAGGTGAGGCTCGACCCCCTAGAGAATACGAGCTGCCAGCCATCGCTTGGCGGCAACGTGACCAGGGTGCTGACACTAGACCTCTTCGATCCAGCGTCACGATTTAGCCTCGCGACTCATCAGCGCCCCCTCCGACTCCGGGCGCTTAGTCTCAACGATTGCCTTTTGCCTTCGGATCTCTCATCCAAGATATCCAGATCTCCATGAAACAGACTCCTGAGCACACATGGCAAGCGCCAGCGACCATATTTTTGACAAAACGCTTTCACATGATGCCTACACGGTGGGCTGGATTTGCGCGCTGCCGGTGGAGTTGACAGCCGCCAAGGGAATGCTGGAAAAAAGGTATGCCCTGCATTCAGTGTCTGGACCTGGCAGAACGGTCATTATTGAATGATTACTTGCTGACGACAGCTTTGATCAACAGACACGAGTCCCTGCCTCAGCCCGCGAATGACTCCAACAATTACGTTCTTGGTGAAGTAGCCGGCCACAATGTGGTCATCGCATGCCTCCCCACGGGTGAATATGGAACGACTTCTGCCGCCACGGTGGCGACTCAGATGCTCTCAACCTTTCATCAAATTCGCTTCGGTCTGATGGTCGGAATCGGTGGAGGAGTACCAGTCACTGCAGACATTAGATTGGGGGATGTTGTGGTCAGCAATCCGACAAATGGGTTTGGAGGTGTTATCCAGTATGACTATGGAAAGACAATCAGCCAGAGAACCTTCGTGAGAACTGGGAGTTTGAACAAGCCGCCACAAATCCTTCTCACTGCTGTCGTAAACCTGCGATCGGAACATGATTTGAGACCAAACCGAATTGGCCAATTCGTGACGGACATGAGCAAACGCTATCCCCAAATGGCAGAGACTTTGAATCTTAACCGAAGCGCAGATGACTTGTTCTCCACAGAGGTTAATCATGTAGCTGGTGAGGACACATGCGCAAAATGCGACCGAACGCGATTAGTGTCAAGAAAGGTTAGATCTTCCCCAAATCCCGAAATTCACTACGGGCTTCTGGCCTCGGGAAACCAGGTCATCAAGGATGCGAAGACTAGAGACCGATATGCAAGGGAACTGGGAATCATGTGCTTCGAAATGGAAGCAGCTGGTCTCATGAATCATTTTCCTTGTTTGGTTATTCGAGGAATCTGTGATTATTCCGACTCTCATAAAAACAAGAAGTGGCAGGCATACGCCGCAGCTACTGCAGCAGCCTATGCCAAAGAATTGCTATCAGTCACGTCGGTTCCAGTTACTTGTAATGCTATCACTGCCAGAAGGTCCATAGGCCCAGGTGAGAAGTATGCAAAGCTGTGGCGTCATTGAGCCGTTTCTTATTCGAAGAAATAGAAACCTTCACAGTGGACGATCCTGCACGGTTCCTAGCCCTCGCGCAACGACCAGAATGGGCGCTTGTTCACCAAGGTAAGTCTAATGATATTATCGTATCCCGTCGGAAATCTCTAATCGTCAATAGTGGAACAAACGAAGAATATGTTCGAGCGACTTTCAGATTACGACCCCGATCGCGCTCATCGAAATCATCTCTGGAACAGGTGCCCGAATACTACTGAGTGGATTCTAGAGCATCAAGCGTACAAAGCATGGTTTCATGGCACTGGGCCTCCGCTTCTGTGGTTAACTGGCAAAAGTAAGCCATGGTAATTAGAGATGAATTCATACGTCCTGACAAACGCTAATAGACGTCTAGTCGGTTGTGGGAAAACACTCGTTACGTATGAGGTTCAGGAACCCTCAAGCGTCTATAGTTTTGCTAACACTGACGAATTAGGAGCACTGTGATTCAGCATCTAAAATCTTGTACCCAGGATTCAGGCCATATTGTCGCTCACTTTTTCTACACCCATTCGAACCGATCGAGATTGGAGGCAAAGCATGTATTCGAAAGCTATATCAAACAAATAATCGGACATTTTGATATGTTTCGAATCCCGTGTCCTCCACAGGCACGGTCCTTGATCAAAAGATTTTATGGGAATGACCAACAAATCCCGACCTTCAGAGAGATCATACATGAAATACTTGTCCCTCTATGTCAATCACAGTCGGGTATCATACTCGTCATGGATGGACTTGATGAATGCGACCGATCACAAACTCTCATGGTGCTCGGGGCATTACGAGAAACTGCCGAACAGAGCCCTGTGAGGATTTTTGTCTCCGGTCGTGAGGGACTTGACCTGCCAGGCGCCATCCCCAACTGCAATACAATCAACATGGCTGATGAGGGCAGCAAAGCCGATCTTCGAGCGTTCGTCGAATGGAAGATACACATGAAAGTGAAGGAAAGACAGCTCACAGAAAACGAATCTATCCTTGAAGAGATCGCCGAAACATTAATTGGAAAAGCTGGTCATATGTAAGAAAGGGAGAAACACCATTATGCCTAGAACTAGAGACTGATATAAACATCCAGGATGCTTTGGGTCAGCTTACAGCTAGATATGCTATGGGACGAGTGTTACACGGACGCCGACATCCGAAAAACACTCAACAATCTTCCCAAGGACCTCAGCACAACCTATGATCGTTGTCTTTCTAAAATCAGCGGAAAAAGCCAAATGTTTGCGAGGCAAGTTTTGCCGTGGGTATCCATCGCTACAAGTCCATTTACGGGTCGTCAGCTTCAAGAAGCGGTTGCAATGGATCCACAGACGGGTGATATTGTTCTTGATAATTTCGTACCCGTCAAAGAACTTGTCAAGTCTTGCTCCCATCTCATCACCTGGGACGTCAATGACAAGATTCATCTTACCCACTACTCAGTTCTTCAGTTCTTGGAAAATAAAGGTGGGGAACACTATTCCTGGTTTGGTGAAATTGTTCTTGGAGATGAAAGAGCCGCACTTGGTGCGCTTTGCATGAGGCATCTTCTTTCACCAGCGTATTCCCGGGCGCTGGTGTCCACTGAGAAACCCAAACAGGCCGCAGTAAATGCTGGGACTATGATGCAGAATTTGTGGAACCATATCCCATACGCTAGTCGACTAGGCTTCAAAAAGGCTAACAGAGTCGCAATTCGACTACCTTTAAACCCATCGAATAAGCAACGCCAGCAAGAGCCACCAGCTTTCTTCGAGTTTGCCAAAAAGCAATGGCTTCCACTCACCAAGCACCTTACCCAGTCGTCTACAAACTGGGATCGATTCGAGAGACTTGCTCTGGAGCGGAACTTCGCATGGAACATCCACCCTTGGGAGCCCTTGGGCTTGTCCATGGACTCCCATTTTGCCGGGATGTTGGGCTATGCCATCGTGGAACACCACAACCCACTAATCTCCGTCTTAATGCGCTCGAGAGGCCTTCAGCCGCGGACTGATGTTTTCCGATTACCACTACATCCGTACAACAATTTGCAACCGCTTCATCTTGCTGCTAGAGCGGGAAACAGTGATTGCTTAGTACAAATAATGGGTCATAGTACCTTCAATATGTTGGACGAGAATGGTCAAACTGCTTTGCACCACGCCGTTGTCATGGGCCATCTGGGTGTTACTGACGTTTTACTTGATAGAGAAATGTTACGGATTGATCAAAAGGATAAAGACGGCTCCACGGCACTTCACTTGGAAGCAATTCATGGGCATGAACAAGTAATTAATCGCCTAATTACACGCCACGCGGCCACTGATGAACGAGACGGTTTAGGTAGGACAGCACTTCATCTGGCTGTCATGAATAAGAAACGAGACGCCGTGCGGGCATTTCTTGCAGAGAGTGCAGACATTTCAATGACCGATGGAGCTCAACAAAGTCTCGTATCGATCGCTGCGCTCAATTCCGACAAGGAGATGGTCCACTTGTTACTCAGAGGCGGTCACCATCCGGCAACCTTGTATCCAAGCCATCCGTTCATCCGCGTTGCAACAACACTGCTAAAGGCCCTTGGAAACTCAATCGCGCAGTATCCAGATTTAATGTCGCTTTCACATAACTTTCGGGACAACTTTCCCCCTCCCATCGACCTTCTTCTGGTTGCCATAGCATACTCAATTCACCCCAGATATATCGTACTGGCACAATGTGAATTATACATAAATGTAATCCTCGAATCAGGGATTATCGGGCAAGACCCACTAGTGTACAAGCTCTCGTTAGCTGCGGTAGGATGTGGGAACGACCAAATTATCCGCCAGATCCTCAAAGCTGGGGCTTCTGTCAACAGTTCAAACTTCGATACCTCTGCTCAGCTCGATTCGGCCGAGTTTGTCAGGTCGACATTGAAGATTTTCATTCGGCCCGACCTCCCGGTTGTGTTGCAGAATGACCTATTGCATCTGGCGTTAGCACTGGGCCGTATTGACAGCATCGAAATTCTCTACGACTACTGCCCACATCATGTACTGGAAGATAAGGAACTATGTGAGAAGCTCATTATCTTGGCCGCTCAGCATGGGAAGCAGCAGTTGCTGGAAAAGATTTTCGAAAAGGAGTTTCCAATCCATCCAACTGCCCTGATCGTTGCTTCAGAGGGTGAATACGTTGAAGTCATACGTCTGCTAGTCTTCAAAGGAGCCCCTATTACCTGTGAAGCAATCCTTTTGGCCTTAAAAAGCCGAAACGATGCAATCTTGAGCATCCTACTCCAAGGCAGGGCCGAGTGGCAAGGCGTTGAGCCGACTAGTAACGAGCTTTTGTTTATTCGGAACTTGGGGTCAGAGGCTAGAGGCTTAGGTCGCGACGATATATTGAGATGGCTGTTGGACAACGGTGTTCCGGAAAGCTTCTTGGCAGATAATCTAGATATGTCTGATTAGGTTGGTCATTGTCCGTTGCTTCAAGGTCATTTAATGGTTTTTGATATCCCAGAGAGGCTTTCGAAATTAGTAGTCATTATTAAAGCCCTTCGCCAGCCTGCATATGCCATAGGCTGCATTGTTTGACACCTTGTGAGATTCGAATACCGCATGCAAAAATGCCTGGTGCATTTTGAGCCACTTTGCCCTCTAGTATGAGAGAAAGAGACGTATTTGTGAAAGGGAGCCATGTGCGAACAACTGACAGGTATGGAGGACATTTCCGTGTTGGGCCATAGATATAACTAAAGCTGACTAGAATCTGCTCACATTACGAGTCTGAAAAAGAAACGGAGTTTTCGCGACTCGTCAATCGAGTTCAAGTTCTACCTGGCTGAAAGGGGTTCTTAAAGTCTGCTCTACAAACTATTTTCATTCAAAGTCAGATTTCAGATTTCACTGAAAAGTGTATGATATTATTGAAAAGTCAGTTATAACTGACCCAAACGAGCGGATTATTTATTACAGTAACGAGTGACAGGTAGGTAAGTATAATGATCAAAACAGGAAAGAAACAGTGAGCGTTGACAAGGCTAGCCCAGGTGAGCTGAAGCGACAAATCGGATGAAAGGCGAGAAATACCCCGAGAGAGATAAATTAGCAGGTATCATGACACTGAAAGGCCGAGGTCGCAGTGGTGTTTTCGATAAAAGAGTGCGTTTACTCTTCTTCGCACTCGCATTCCTCATCAGGGGAGTCGGAGGAAGAGCTGCTGCTGGAAGACGAGGAGGAAGACGAGGCCGAGCTCGAAGAGGAGCTCGACGAAGAAGAGGACGAGCTGCTGCTGGAGCTTCCGCTGCCGGATCCCTTGGCGGATCCGCTGGCATCCGCGCCGGCGTCACCGCCCGCGCTGGCTCCGGCATTTCCGCTGACATCTCCGCCCGCACTTCCGCCGATGTGTCCGCTGACTCCTCCGCTGGCTCCTCCGCCGGTGGTTCCGCTGACGTCGGCGCCGGCGTTTCCTTCGGTGTCACCACCAGCGCTGCCGGAGATGTCGGCACCATCGCTTCCCTCAGTGTCACCACCAGCGCTGCCACCGGCGTTTCCGGAAACATCACCACCGGCACTTCCTCCAGCACTTCCAGAGACGTCACCACCGGCGCTACCGCCAACATCGCCGCTGGCACCGCCGGAGACATCTCCGCCAGCGCTGCCAGAAACATCACCGCCGGCGCTTCCTCCGGCACTGCCACCAGTGGTTGGGCTGACATCGGCACCGGAGCTTCCTTCGGAGTCACCTTCTGCGCTGCCGCTGCCGCTTCCGCTAACATCGCCGCCAGCGCTTCCACCGGCACTTCCGCCGGCACTGCCTCCGACGTCTCCGCTGGCGCCGCCGGACACATCTCCGCCGGCACTACCACCGACATCACCCCCCGCGCTTCCGGAAGCACCGCCCTCTGCATTTCCGCCGGCACTGCCAGAGACATCGCCGCCGACACTGCCACCGACATCTCCACTGGCGCTGCCAGAAACATCACCACCAGCACTGCCGCCGGCGCTTCCACTTCCACCAACATCACCGGAGACATCGCCACCAGCGCTGCCACCAGCACTTCCACTAGCACTGCCAGAAGCACCGCCGCCAACATCTCCGCCGGCGCTGCCTCCTGCACTTCCACCGGCACTGCCAGAAACATCTCCTCCAGCACTGCCAGAAGCGCCGCCACCAATATCAGCACCAGCGCTTCCGCTTCCACCAATACTGCCGGAAACATCACCGCCAGCGCTACCGCCAGCACTTCCTCCGGCGCTGCCAGAGGCACCACCGCTCAGATCATCATCACAATCTTCGTCAGCGCTTCCAGAAGCGCTACCTCCGGCGCCAGCACCAGCACTGCCGCTAACATCGGCTCCAGCGCTTCCGCTACCGCTGAGACCACCAGAAAGGCCGCCTCCGAGACCGGCGCTGCCGCTGCCGCTGACGTCGGCACTGCCGCTACCGCTGCCACCCAGCAGACCGTGCTTGTGGGCCAGCCAGGCCAGGAGACCGAAGGTACGGGCCTCGAGATGGTTGGGCTCGGGGGAGTTGACGGCCTCGGCGACGGGGGCGAGGATTCGGGTGGGAACGCCAGCGTTCAGGGTGCGGTTGTACGGCGCCGCGAGGGTAGAGGCGGCCGAGAAGGCGAGGGTGTAAAGAGCAATATGCATTTTGAGGGAGGGAAATTAGAAGATTGGAGTAAAGTATTGACTTAAGGAAATCGTAAAGAGGGTATTGGGGATTATTATGATTAAGAAGATTAGGAAAGAAAGAGAGAAGTGAAGTTGATGAGGATGAGAATGGATGGATGGACTGGGGATTTGGAGGTCTTTATATAAATTTCTTGGGATGCTGTGGTCAGTATTCTAGAGGTAGTGTTTGTATGTCTTTGCACCTTGGAGGTTGAATGATTGCCATACCTCGAGTGGAGAGTCATGTTGAAACGAGGCTATTCAGGATATGGATAGGATCGATAGTAGATCCAGGTTTCAGACAGGAACAGCGACTCCGGGGTGAGCTATTCGTGAAACGCACTTGGCTAAATATGGATTCCATTTGGGTCTTGCGATGTCAAGGCGAGGCTTGTCTACTTGAGTGTATTAGCCATCGTCCATCTGACTGTTGAAGACCACCTTTGATTCTTTTATTTGGGGGTACGCGATCAACCACGACACATAGTTGGTATCTATATTCCTCTACAGAATCTCATGAAAAGCTTTTCACCCCGAGGAAGCAACCAGCCGACGACATCCGAATATGTCCCTTAACAGCCCACCAAAAACACTAAAACGAAAGGGAATTGTTAAAGATCGTACTAAACCCTAGCGATATCGCCAAGCGCAGCTCTAGCACCGGTCGTTTCTAGTCCAACCACACCCTTGACCCTAACCCCGACGAAAGAGGATCTTCTCCCCGAACTCGCTCTCCAATCCAGTCTGTAGCCTCTCAGTCCAAGCCAAAATTAGCAACTAATGCTCCAACGACCCACTGTCGAGCCGATTAGAGTTCTGGATGTGGATCCTCGTATGTCTTCGGGAACAACTCACGAACTACGCTGTACCTGAAACTGCCCAACGGGATCCACATAGTGCAACTCAAGCACGGAGTTCGTCCTTCCAGGCTTGCCCCAGCGACAATCGGGGATTTTCTGGCCGTCATCGCGCTAGGGAATCCTGCTATAAATAACGGAGATCAAACAGACGATGGTTTGAGTATATCTTTAGGCTACGGACGTAACCTTGATCCCTGCTCCGCGGGATAGGTTCGGTGACAAGGAAGGTCTTGAAACCGTGCCTGTAGTAGGATGAATGGTAGCTGTGGTGTCAATTGTGAGTGACATCTGCTCTGTCTCCTGAATTCTAATTCTTCACATAAGTATTTGACTAACAACAAGTAGTATCCCAGATCTTGAGTTCAAATGGGGTATATAAAAAATCTTCTCACCAGCCACGGGAAGAACGGATGCCGGAATCACCACAGTCCGTACGAGTGGCTTGAAGTGATCAAGCTAACTGACAGTGGATAAAAGCGGACCTAAACTCAAGACTAATCAATAATTCCCCGACTATGTCAGCTAAATTCTTAGCCGAAGGGGATAGAAAAGGGGGGCTAGTGTAGCCCGAAACATAGTTAAACACTGGTCTAAACTTAAAAGTTGGAACCTTGAACTGATGGTCCAGCCGTTTTTTATAGATCATGAAGAACAGATTTTGACTCGAGGACTTCTTGTAGTCAAACTAGAGGTATTCTATGGCATATGCACAAGAATTCAGGTTGTCTATGAAGTATTTGACCGCGAATGTTCTCCTGTGAATTATAATACGAACGAAAAGGACTATCTATCCCCATGCACCTCCATGTCTCTTTGCCTTTGTCTTCCGCACATAGCGGGTGATCACGGGCCTAGATCTGCAGGTGGAATCGTAGAAATCATTCTATAGGGCAGGTCTCACGGCTGTAACCATGGCTTGTTGTCTGCAGTCGGACCATGGGGAGAAGGCTCCGGGGACGGGAAGGTTTCCACGGGATGTTGTTTCAACTGGATCGTTTGGGGATAGTTCAGCCGGTGGGAGTGTATATACTCTGGTATGACTCGCTGTGTTCATTAATAGCAGCGGGCTGCGCGTGTAGTCCTGCCGTGTTTGTATAGAGACGGAGGTGGGTTTGCGCGAAATTCTTATTTGGGTCCGGACACACGGAAGTTGGTCAGGAAATTTGTCATTGCTTCTCAAAGACGATCGAGATCACTGGAGATAGGGAGGACGATGCCCGACTATTAGCCGTCTTGTACGTGCTAAAGAAGTATTCGTAGTCTGTATTAGAATAATGAACATTGGATAATTCTAGAATTAACATGCATAAGCTCGCGGTTGCTTAGACTATTACAAGTTTTTGTTCAAACATGATGGTTTTTGCAAAGACGCTGACTATCTTGTGTCTCTGCCAATTCAAAGTCCACTGTGATATCGTACGCACCGCATAACAAAGAACAATCGATGATGGGAAAGCCTCATGGGAAGAGCAACAAAGACACACGGAAATTTGAAGTACCTGCCAGAGATATCCGCCAAACAAACAATGACATTATCGCAAGACCAAAGAAATCCCACCCAAGCACCTCACGATATGAGGGTAGCTCCAGTAAACTACACAAACTCTGTTATTGAACACTGCGTTCAGCTCATTATGAATTCGGACATTTCAATTTACGCCACTCCCTGCTCAAAAGCGAGCATTATTATCATCACTTAAAGACTGGGATATGAGATATCTCTCTTTGTCTACAAAATGAAAGCAGCGTTTTCAAAGGACTTGATCGTAATATAAATAGAGCAATTCTGCCATAAGAAGATGCATCATCAACACATACATCAATATCGCCAACTATCCCCTTCACTCATCTCTGCAGGCCGACCATTCAGTATATATCTCTACCGAAGCCCACTCACCAACAGATAATCCCCCAACCCCGTAACCATGCCTCTCGCATCCTCCCAGCGGCAGTGCTTCGTGTGCTCCGGTGCTCCGAAGCCCAGCTGCTATCGCAACAACCATGTCAAACTGTGCGAAAAGTGCAGGAGCATGTTCGCCGGTAACCGCGACGAGTGTCCTTACTGCGTCCTTCCAACCGACAGATACCGCCCCACTCCCACCATGAGGATTAGGAAGTCTCAGAGCCCTAGGCGCGAGACCAAGCGTCTTAGTGTGACCGCGAAGATGGTGTTCGCGGATGGCCCAGACCGAACAATGACGATGGCAGAGGTCGGGTCTCAGGCGGCTGAGTCTTCCTCTTCTGTTGAGGAGAGTTCTGAGGAGAGCGGTGTTGAGGAGCAGGATGGTCACTTGATCGATGAAGAGCCGGCCCAGGACGATTCTAATGGCCTGGTAGATGAACAGGTCGTTTCTTCTGTGGAAGTGGTTCCTGTTGATGATGAATCTGCGGATGATGATTCTGCGGATGAGGGTTCTGTGGAGGAAGAGCCTGCTAACGAAGAGCCTGTTGAGGAGGAGTCTCTTGATGAGGAGCCTGTTGATGACGAGCCTGTTGAGGAGGAATCTGTTGAGGAGGAGCCTATTAATGATGCTCCTATTGAGGAAGAGTCTGTCGAGAAAGCTCCTGCTGATGAGGAGCCTGCTGATGAAGATCCTGTCGAGGAGGAGCCTGTTCAGGAGCCTGTCGAGGAAGCCCCTGCCGAGGAAGCCCCTGCTGAAGAATCCTCTATCGAGGAGGCTCCCGTTGAGATGGTTCCTGCGGAAGTGGCTCCTGCCCAGAGCAGCCTCCGTGCGAAGCTGGCCGGATTGACTCTGGAGATTCCGGATCGCGAGATTAGCCTCCAGCAGGATTCCAATGACAATGAGGTTGAAGTGTTCCCCGACACTCCAGAGGATGCAGTTCCCGAGTTCGAGAAGCAGCTCGAGGAGCTGAGCAAGCCACGAGAGGAGCGCGAAAAGGCTGCAAGCAAGCCCGTCAAGACACCAACCTTTCCAATCAAGAAGGGAGGCGCCCAGGGACGGATTGTCAGAAAAGGAGTGACTTCTCGCAGCCAGACTCCCGAGGCCCCTTCGTGCCGCCGATGCTCGCTCCATGGCAAGCACGATAAGTGCCCTGAGCAGAAGCCAAAGGTTCCACGTGGTCCATTGGTCAGGGGTAAGAGTGTTCGTGAGGAGCGCCCTATCAAGCAGCAGGCTCAGGAGGAGCCGAATGAGACTCTTGGTGAGTGCTTCTAGACAGCATGTCGGTTATCGGGGTCATTTACCGATTTTCTGGCGTTTTGTCTGAGATTGAAGTGTGTGTTGGTCAGATTGTTTTGTTACTTATTTGTTTTGTTCGGGAATAGCTAGAGGATTCGTGAATATTTTTCATTGCTTGATTTTATACCTCCAGTGTAGTCATTTTGTTTTTAGTCCATTGTAATTTGTAGATCTCAGGAAGCTCAGATAAGGCGTGCACAGCCCCATTTGAAGAGGCATATCGGACAAAAAGGTTACCCTAGAAAAGGTTTGTTCGGAGCTGGGGTGTTTGTATAATGAACGTGATGGCACGACAGGACGGCTGTGGACCAAGTATCAGGCTCTCGGTTGCACGTCTTATTGCTCTTGGCGGGAAATGAAAGTTGTCTCTGGTCTAGTTAGTCTTCACATAGCTGGCTTTTTGTCTCGTTGGAGATATACGAGAATGAACTCAGGTTTAAACCACCATACCGTGTAAGTTGCCTTCTCTCTGTGTTCTTGGGGTTTGCTGTGATATCGCACGTCTTCCCAGACTTGACGGCAAATGTCAATTATGGAGCAGATTCGCCGAAACAGATCATGTCATAGTAGATGCTAATGAATAATTTGCGGCATCATGCTGTCAGGGGGTTGCGTCTTATGACGGGTTGGACAAACGTCGAGTTCATGGATTCCATGCAAACGGCCCATCATCAAATTGAAAAAGGTTTCCTTGGAAATCGTTGAATTCGTCCAGTAAAGCGGAAGATTGTCCTAGAAGATCAGGCAGTTGAGCATGAGGCGTGAGCCCGGTTGCATCACCAGAAGGAAACAGGGCCTGGCTGGACTGAAGCTGCAGGTACACGATCAGAAAAAATCATAAATACGAATCATCCTAGGCGATGCTTACCAACTGTGCAAGGTCAGCAATGTTCCCTGCTACAGACTCATCTGTAACAGACGAAAATAGGTGCTGTCGACAAGCCGAGAAGGCCTTCTTTGCCCCTTCTTGCATCCAATGATCTTTCACTTGGGAGGAGCTGCGAGCTCGCACCGATTGGAGAACGATTGCAAGAAGAATAATATCTTTGACATTGCTTCCGGGATGGGCGACCCTGCGAGTCAATGCATCGAGAGTGGCCTCGACAATGCGTGTTAGGCTGGCCTTGCTATGCATCGGGGTCTGTTTTGCCAGGCCAACGCTGGAGTTACTGGCTGGGGTGTGTGGATTTTTACCAGACGTTTTCATGTATCCACAAACACTCAAAGCGGCCCGTAGGAGGTCGTTCTTGCAAATGGATTGGAATAGGTCCGAGTAAACGCTCGAGGTGAACAGGTCCAGATCGGCCACACTGGGATCGAAGAGGTCTTGGTAAGATAGGATCGCGAGTGAAGACTCCAGGCAGGATTGCTGTAGTGTATGATAATCGGCTTCTTGGCTCTCCTTCATAGCTACCGGTCTGTAGAGGCAGAGCAGCGATCTGCGGATGTGAATGTCCAGTAGAACGCGGTTTAGCAAAGATGCTGGCGTATCATCATCTGGAGGGTTGCGATCTAGCTTCAGTAAGTCAGGGATTTGTTGTAGTTGTTCTTCCAAAACTCGGCCATGTTCCAGTGTTGCGCTCAGATTATGCGTCGGGCCAGTATTTTTGACAAAGACCATGGCCTTGATGCGTTGCGATAAAGAGATTGCCAGAGTGACTTGTGCGAGCGAGTCTGTTCTTTCATGCAAAGGCTTGGGTGGCGGTAGTTCAGCTGTTGATTCATCGAAGTCGGCATCGTCGAGATTAGCTGGAGAGAGCGCTCTATAGTCCAGGTCGGGCGTCATAACCGGCATCCCCGACTCAACGGATGCCTGGAGATCCATTTCCGCGATTGTAATCCATAGCCGACGTCGAGTTTCGGCTTGAAACGCAGACAGCTTACTGTATCCAGAAAGGTCTACATGCAGCCCCATCACCATTGCCGAGCGAACTAGGGTGCCTGTTGCCCTCCATATCTCTTCGTCTGACTCTAACCGCAAGCGGCGATTCAATGTAACCAGCACGCCGACCTGCAGCGTAGCGAGTTCTGTATGCTGCTTTCTGCCAAGTTTACGCTGCCATGTTCGAATCAGGTTGACAGCCGTGTTTTCGAGATAATTCCATGCGGATGGGTCTCCCAGTTGAGCAGTCGGATCGACTAGCGTAGTAGACACGGTCAGAACAGCTGTGAGGAGAGGAAGAAATGCACACGATCGGTCGGTTTCATCGTCGGGATCGACCCAGAACCGCGTGTATTGGCTCGTAAACGATGGTACATGGAGAATCCGCAATACCTTCTCGAAATTTTGCGTGTATATGTCCAACAGCTGGTCACACACTGCTTTTGGAGGCAGAGACGCTCGAAGCTGTATAAGCTCTGGCGAGAAGTCCGAATCGGAGACACTCCCCGGAGAATTCAACGGTGCCTGCGATTTGCTCTGAAGGAATTGTACTTCCTTGGCCAATCCTACCATGACCGGGTCTTCTGTGAATCGACCAATATATTGTTTGGCCTCCGGAAACTGTCCAACATGTCAATTCGGACTATATACAATTTAAGAAAGGATAAGTGCTACCTGTTTCAAAAGCGTGGTTCTGTTATTCTGCCCGTGGTACCGCGTCCTATTCCCCTTCACCACAAGAGTACCAGAGAATGCAGTCGACGCTTCTGCATCCTCATTTGCATTGCTTTAAACATTACATGATTAGTCAACTAACGCCATGAACCGAAGGTATGATTTCCATACCTAGCATCCGGAATGCAAGTTTCAGGAACATCATCACAATTAGCCGGTCTAGACCGAGCAGAGAGAAGCTCCTCCAACTTAGCGACCCGCTGCTGCAGGTCTTCAATAATCCCTGTGCCCCCAGCCCTTGCTGGATCGTTGCCTCGCTGGTCCGGATGCTGGTCGACGGTCTCCGTACTAGTCGCTGCTCGCCTAGCTTTGGTGGGTCGATCGGAAGCGCCTGGATCTTGACTATACCTGCAATCTGCAGGACACGCAGCCTTATTGCAGTTCACACATGGCGACACTCGGTCGCACTTCAATTTCTTCTCTCTGCATCGCAGACAGGAGACTACAGGCCGAGGCCGTTTGCGAACTGTTTGAGGTTCATCCATGGCTGCAATGCCCGCGATTGTCTCGGAAGATCGATATCAGCAGCGGCTCTTGTAGTCAACCGCGCAGCAATCTAGTCAATACTTGCTGGTCTCATTTTGTACATTGTTATTGATGTTGCGATGGACAAACATCTCGCACCGCGACGACACGCGGCTGAAACCACGCTGGACTCCGGCAGTCCAGATCGGCCAGAGTGGCAGTCCCCGTTTGGCCCGTTTGGCCCGTTTGGCCTGTTTGACCTGTTTGATGAATTTGACGGGTTTGGCGGGTTTGGCAGGTTTGCACCTTCCGCTTTTGGTCGACGCGTCGCCAGAACTGCAGACTGTGCATGGATGCTGCAATGTCGAAGAAAACTGAAGTGAGTGATGGAATACTTGGGATCTAGGCTTAGTAGTCAGAAGGAATCGGATAGCAACCACCCAATTTGGGAATCACCTCATAACTCACCAATATATATATGTGGCCCGCAAGGGCTAAGCTTGGCGCTCCACTCTGGACCTACAGGACGACATCAGTATTATCTGGTGCACAGAAGCAGGCCGAGCCGTGACCGTTTATCCTGATAAAACAATAAAAAACAAAATAAAAATAAAGATAAAAGAAGATAAACAAATAGAGAAAATAAGTGGTAACCCTGGGTGTAGACTTCCGGCAGAGGCCGCTACCGAGTCTACTATACTAGTGCGCCCTGCGAAATGAATTTTTAAAGATGCAGCCGGAATGTTCACATTCCAGTGGGGCTTGGCAGATCAAGGTTGACTAGCCATACGGGAAGAATCGGCAATCAATGAATGAATGCTGGGGCTCTATGTTCGGAGTGGAGGTTCTGCGGCTTACGGCTTACCCCGGCCGGATGAGGCCTCTCTTGTTGTCTCGCGGGGAAAAGAATTAAAATTGATAATCCAGGACACGCGCCCCATATTATTATCTAAATTGAGTAGCGGTATCTAGCATGACTAGTCCAACGTCCTGGAATGCCCAAGTAACGACCCACGTTCATTCGATGCAGCGGAACTTGGCTGACTCGCACCAGCTGTCCACAATCTCCAACCGATCGAGCTTTTCGTTCACGGCCAGAAACCGGTTACTGTAGGGCCCCCCGGGCGCTGTTGGTACAAGGCCATACTGTTACGGTGTGGTCAACGCTGGCTGGGATGCAAGGGGGGAGCTCCTAGTCGAGAGATGCACATACCTCATACGCTCCCTCGCTGAACCCGCGGGGTTCCACCCAAACGTGATATTCCTGGCCATCGAGGTGAAGAATAACCTAGCGAGAAGAACATGGTTTAGTAGGCGCAACCAGACTGATCGAAAGTAAGCCCGCTTTCCCCTACTTTTGACGGATTCCCAAATTTTCCAATTTTCTGTCAGATGCCTTAGTCGCCATCGCAGGACATGAAAAGAAGGGCTGGAAATACTTACCCCGTCATCTTCACAAAGCCAGAACTCGGCGTCGGCTCGCAGTTTGGCCGCCGGGCTCACGGGTTCATTCTGCGCAAGCAGCTTCAGCTCGCCCTTGTCAATGGCGGCCAAAGTGCGGCCGGTGAGCGTGGCGTAAAAGCCAGAGAGTGTGGGCATGGTTGGAAATCCGTAGGAAGCGTGGTGGGAAGTCTAGGTCATTCAATCAGTATGGAAGGGGAAGGGGAAGGACAATATAAAAGTTGAAGACGGCCAGGTCGCTTACAGTAGTCCGTACAGTAAATGCGAAAACGGAGAGGTACATGAATGTTACACACCGCGGATACTATGGCAACTGCAAAGTCGTAAGGGGAGATGTGAAGGAAACCTTGAATGGGATAATGAAGCCTAGTGAAATTAGACTTTTAGCTTGTTGAGCTACCCGAAGATGTTGGGGAGGCTTGCCTTGCATTCAGCCAGCGGACAATGGCGATCCCCCTTGCAGTAGAGATTCCAGGCACAGGTAGGTGCCTTACTTTGTGATATTGCGTTTCTTGTTGTATTTTCGTTCCCGACGGATTACATGTGTGGTCCGCAAAAAGGGATGGATGAAGTGATGTAGAGTCCTGCTGGTATAAAATGCATGGCCGGGGAGGATTCTCATGATGCGAGAGCAACTTTGACTCACCACGATTTAACGAACTAGATTGTAAGTGAGCTCATCCATAAACTAGTTAATCAAGTTACTGTAAAGCAGAAATCGGGTGAGATAATGGGGTCCATTAATATGTCGGAGATGGTGCCAACCGGCGTACAATCACTCCATCTGGCTTCCAGGATGCAGGAGGAGATGATTCTGTCGACGGCAGCCGACCCTCTGCACCGCTCTTATATTGAAACCTACCACTTTCACACGCACCAGCGGGTGGATGCGGTTCGCCTTAACGATGCCGTTCATCGAATAGCCGACAACCACGCCATATTGCGGTCGATCTTCACCAGTAGCGGTACCAGCGAGTCTGCCAAGGTGCAAATCGCAGTGCTCAAGCCAGAGTACGTTCGACAACGGGCCCAACTGTTGGCTATTGTGCCTTCGACAAACTCAAAGCATCTGCCAGTCATTGAGTTCGAATTCGCTGACCTGGCCGCACTGGACGGAACTGAGTGGAAAGGGTCGATGCCATGGAAACTGTCACTGGCGGAGCTTCCGGACCGCGGCGAGTGGCGTATCACCCTCAGCTACCACCACTCGCTGATGGATGGATCGTCGGCGCGGTCTGTTATGGCATGGATCCGTCAAGAGACGTCATTCCCGGGGTCGGTAACTGAAACTTCTGACTTCTTCGAGATGGACCGAGAGCTGGCGCCCTTGCGGTGCCAGTCGATCCGGGCCGCTCTCGAGGGAAGCCTGCGCAACGTGAATCCTCCGGCGCCGTTGGGCCAAAACAAGCAAAGCCCGTCAATTCAAACGCACGAGATCGTTCGCACCGTCTCGACTCAGTTCTCCGCTCGGTTAGACCAGGCGGCGGTTCCGGCGTGGGTGGCCCGTCTAGCCCTCAGTATCACTCTGTGCACCTTTCAAAATGCCAACGAAGCGGTGTTTTTGGAGATGACGTCGGGCCGAAAGAACCTCAGCTCCAATGTCAGGCACACCGTTGGGCCTACTCTTATCCCGCAGATTCGGACTGTCAGCCTCGGGGAGGACGATTCACTGGGTTCAAAAGCCCAGTCCCTGCGCTCTTCGCGCGACATCTCCCACGCATTCAGTGTGGGCGAGCTCAAATCGCTCGCCCCCACGTTGAGCCGGGAGATTCAGGTCTGCCTCGTCTGTCAGACGAACGAGTCTTACCCATCCAACGGTATCGGAGACTGGGAATGGAGAGGAGTCGACACCGAGAACGACCTGCCATTCTTAGTCGAGCTAATGCCCGGTCAGGGTACATCCTTCCATGTCAAGATTCGGTACCATCAGCCAACATTTGAGCTGGGATATGCCCAGGAATTCTTACGGTACTTCTGTCGAGCCCTACAGTGGCTTGAAGAAGTGAATCGGGAAATTGGCAACTGGACTTTGACCGCGGCCATCACCAAACTCACTTCTCTGGGAAACTACGCGAAACATTACACGGAGTTATCGAAGAAGCCGTATGTGCAGAATGATTCGTGTGCCCATCATCTTATCGACGAGACCGCGGCAAAGTGGCCGAAGAAAATCGCCCTGCAATTCGAAAACGACGGCTTCGTGACTTACGCCGAGCTAGCTCGTCGCAGCACAGAGTTGGCCGACATTCTCAGGGCTCAACTGCCCTCGGAAATATCACAGCCCCTCGTGCCCATCTGTTTCGATAAAAGTCTCGAGATGGTGGTGACCATCCTAGCGGTCCTCAAGGCCGGGGCCGCATACGTACCGTTGGACCCGTCCCACCCCGAGGAGCGGTTGGAAGCCATCCTCCGCTCTTGCAAGGCATCATTGGTGCTCTGGGGATCATTGCAGTGTCCAACCACCCTGAGCGCAGCCTGCAGCTCATTAGGCGTCCAGTTGAAAACGATCGACCAGCTCATATGCCTGGATGCAGGGGCTCTAAAGGCAGACCGGCAACCTCAGCAGTCGGCGTCGTCTCTTGCGTACGTGCTTTTCACGTCCGGATCCACCGGAACCCCGAAGGGCGTCATGGTCGAGCATCGGAATTTAGTGGCCTTCATGGTCGCCGGCGAGGGTAATGCGGATGGATCGTGGACGTCGACCCGGTTGCAGCTAGCGGCCTACAGCTTCGATGTGTCGATTGGGGACCTGTTTGCCAACCTCTGGCAGGGCGGCCGGCTGGCTCTAGTGCCACGAGACAAGATGCTTTCTGACTTGAATTATTGGCTCGAGGAGACTTGCTCTAGCCACATTGCCCTAACACCCACCGTTGGCGATTTAATCTTGCCAAGCATGCCGGCTCGCCTTAAAACCTTCATGTTTGGCGGCGAGACCTTTCATCGCAGCTTTTTGGCCCAGGCGCCGACTGAGGCGAAGGTCTGGAACACCTGCGGGCCAACGGAGACGGTGGTCGATGTCGCCTGTTGCGTGCTCGATCCAGCAAACCCCACGACCACCCCCATTGGGCGTCCCTTCGGCGCCTGTAGCCTTTACATTGTTCGACCAGGCACCAACGCAGTCCTCCCACCCCAAGCGGTCGGCGAAATCTGCGTCGCTGGCCCCCAGGTCTCGCGCGGATATCTGGGACGAGAGGATCTGACAGCGCGAGTATTCATTCCGGATCCTTTCAGTCACTCGAGAAAGGGGAGGATGTACCGCACGGGTGACTTTGGAAAGCTCGATGCTGACGGGGCAGTGGAACATTTGGGACGCATTGATAGTCAGGTTAAGTTGCGTGGACTGCGAGTAGAGACAGGGGAGGTCGAGGCCGTCATCAAGCAGTCCAGCGCTGCTCTGGCCCATGTATGCGTAGATGTCCACCAGTCCGTCTCAGGAGAAGACACTCTGGTCGCCTGGCTAGTCGCGTCAGGCGGACAGGATGATGAAGATGCTCGCCAGGTTTGGAAACGGGACGTGCTGGTGGGTTGTCAACGGCGCCTGCCTGGATATATGATTCCGGCGGTCTGGATTCTGGTCTCAGAGCTTCCGTTGACCACAAGCGCGAAGCTCCACCGACGAACACTCCATGCATGGTTTCAACAGACGGAGAAGGGGGTCTCTCTCGACGGCATTGTCCCCTTATCGGCACCAGAGCAACAGACAAGGACCCCGGTGAAGATAGTGGCCACCGAGCGCGAGAGAACATTAGCCGCCAAATGCGCAGCTATTCTGTCCATTGACTCCGCTGAAATTTCCATGAATTCGAATTTCATCTCATTAGGGGGCAGCTCTCTCCAAGCAATGCGCCTGATCACTTCATTGCGCCAAGAAGGGATCGACTGCTCGTTGGCACGGGTACTCGGGCCTACGACTCTCGGTGAGCTTGCTGCGGAACCCTCAAGCGAGAAGAACGAGCCACAAGATCTGGTGGAGGCTCGCAACTGGTCGTCAAATATCCAAGGCTGGGAAACCGCGGTCGGAAGCGTCGGGATTGCTCCTGGCGCCGTCGAGGCTCTTTACCCGTGTACGCCCTTGCAGGAAGGGCTGATCTCCACCAGCCTCCAAACGAACTCCTCGGCCTACGTGGCCAACATGACCATCGGCCTGGGAGATGTACTAGACCAGCAGAGATTCGAGAAAGCATGGCAGGCAATCGTTTCCCGTCACTCGATTCTTCGCACAGCGTTCCTTTCGTCAAGTGGCGTTGAGGACTATCGCGCGAGCGAGCACAATTTCTTTCAGGTGGTTCTGCGCGCATCGTCTGAACAAGTCATTCGCCTGTCTGATTTGAAAACCAATGTCCTGAGTTTCCAGTTAGGCACCATCCCTCTCTCCGGCAGGGTTGTCCGCGCAGCCGAAGGAGACTGGACTTTGCAATTGGACATGCACCATGTCCTCTATGACGAGGCGTATCTTTCCAGACTGGTGACAGAGCTCTCTCTCGAGTATGAGCAACAGACGTTGGGGAGCACTCTTGATCAGCTATCCCCAAGCTCTTCGTTCGCCAACTTTGCCAGTGCATTACATGCGCGTGACTCGGACAATACAAGACAATTTTGGAAATCATATCTAGACGGCATGGTTCCGGCGACATGGCCAATTGCCGGTGGACTCCACACCACGGACGCAGGAAAGGGTGCTGTCGAACGGCGTTCACAAGAATGGAAGGGTGATGTTCGCCGTCTCGCGCGCAGCCTGCAAGTGACGCCGGCCGCAGTTATTCGTGCAGCATTAGCAATTACGATCGCCGAACACTCCGATGTAGAGGATGTTGTCATTGGCGAGGTCTCGAGTGGGAGGATGGACCATGAGTCGTTTGTCCTGGGACCTTGCGCCGCGACACATCCGGTGCGTATCCATGTCGACCGGAGTTCCCCGTCGTTACAAGACGTGGCATCTAGAGCGTTGGAAAGCTATCTGAAAGTTTTGCCCCATCAACATTATGGACTAGCCAGCATTCGCAAAGAGACAAGCAACCCAGATATGATGCCGTTCCAGACCCTCTTCGTGCACCAAGAGGCTTATGACAAGAGCTTTCAGAGTGACAAGACTTTCAAGCTCGAGTCCATTGAGCTGGGTAACCTCGGTTTCCCACTAGTGGTCGAATCCAGAAGCTCGCATGAGACTGGAATTATCACCATAGAATGCTCGTTTAATCACACCAAGATTTCTTCAACAAACGTGGAATGGGTCCTGCGGCATTTATCCAGGGCTCTGGATCTCCTGTTAATTGCCAAGGAGACAGAGAGCTCAAACGACCTCCCAATGGGCATTTTGGATAAGAATGAGGAAAAGATTCTTGTCGAATGGTCAATTAAGCCCGATGATCCCTTGATCATGAGCCAGGCGGCGGCCGAGAAGCTGTGTATCCATGAGCTGGCAGACAAACAGGCGCACGAAACTCCAGAGAAAGTCGCGGTGCAAGTTGATCAAGAAGAGTTCATCACATTCCGCCAACTCAAGGAGCAGTCGGATAAGGTCGCGCATGCTTTGACAGGCCGACTAGAAGATACATATTCGGACCTTTCCGTTGATCGTCAGCCCATCGTGCCCATCTGCTTCGACAAAAGTGCCGCCATGATCATTGCCATGTTAGCCGTGCTCAAATCTGGGTCTGCCTGGGTTCCGATTGATCCTAGGCATCCTCGAGACCGGATCGAAAGCATTATTCACCAGACAGATGCTAGGCTCATCGTCTGCGGGCCGACTGCCGTCCGCGTGAATTTGCAGGAGGCCGCAGACTCCAGGGGTGCGGTGGCTATTGACCTCAACGACCTTATACGATCCCGTGGGATAGCTCGAGCACCATTCCGACGGCCAACGCCGTCGTCTCTGGCTTACATTTTGTTCACATCTGGATCCACCGGGACGCCAAAGGGGGTCATGCTGGAGCATCGCAACGCAGTTGCATTCGTATTGGCACAGGAGCAGGACCTGATGGGGACATGGACATCGGTGCGCTTTCAGCTAGCAGTCTATACGTTCGATGCAGCCGTATGGGAGATATTCATGCCGCTGTCCATCGGAGGACGTGTTGCCCTGGCCACGGCGCCAGACTTCTTATTGACGCTGCCGGAATGGTTTGAACGGACGAGCACGACGCATATTTTTATCACGCCTCGCGCCGCTGACCTACTGGCTGACAGGGTCCCGCCATACCTGCGCACTTTAGCTATTGGCGGCGAGGCCTTCAATCTTTCTATTCTGCCACGGTTGCCCCAAGAATGTCGGATCCTCAATGTCTTTGGCCCAACTGAGACAACAATTTTAGTCGCAACATTCCTCGTGCCGCGCGAGGACATGGAACGACAAAACATGCCTATTGGTAGACCCCTTGGTGCGTCTCAAATTTACATTCTCCGACCTGGAACCACGAACCGGGTGGTCATTGGTGCGGTAGGAGAAATCTGCGTTGGAGGTCCGCAGGTCGCCCGAGGATACCTCGGTCGTCCCACAACGACCAAAGAAGTCTTTGTTGAGAACCCTTATCGACCTGGAGAGCGGCTCTATCGAACTGGCGATCTTGGGCGCTTTTCTGACCGGGGAGTGGTAGAGCACCTCGGCCGAATAGACGGCCAAATCAAGCTCCGAGGGCTGCGCATTGAAACCGCAGAGATAGAGTCGGTGTGCCTTCGTCATCCTCAAGTGAACGCTTGCGTGGTAATTGTGCTGAGCCGAGCAGAAGGGGATGTCCTGGTTGGTTTCGCGCAGATCGGCGACTCTCAAGGCGCGGTCAACTCGCCGAAGTGGGCCGCGATTGAAAAAGAGTTGAATAACTTGCTCGGCGACAACGTTCCAGGATATATGATTCCATCGAGGATAATCGGAAGCGACCAGATTCCGATAACGTCCCATGGCAAAGTCGATCGGCGCGCCTTGCAGGCCCAGGCGAAGGCGCTCGATCAACAAGGACACCTACTGCGAGCAGATCTCGGCGCTAATACTACGCTGGTCAAGGGGAGCTTAGAGGATCGAGTAGCGGAGGTGTGGTCTCGAGCTCTTGGAATCGAAAAAGCACTCATAAGTCCAGATGTGGGCTTCGCTCGCCTGGGCGGTGATTCTATTCGTGCCATCCGTCTCCTTTCAATGCTGCGAGCTGCGGGTTTCGACCTGAACATCGTCGACGTGAGCAACCAGTCAACTGTCAGTACTCAAGCACAAAAGGCATCGGTCAATCAAAGACGGCCATCCAGTCAGCCCGCAGTCATTCCGGACGACCCGGCCGAGATGGGCTGGGTGGAACTAGGTCCCATCGCTTCAATGTATGGCGACCTTCAGCAGCGGGCCGGCAATTCACATGACAATGATATCAATCATTTCAATCAATCCATGCTTCTTGATGTCACCGGTGTTCCGATAAAGAGCCTGCAGTCTGCATTACACGGCATCCAAAGGCACCATGATATGCTTCGCGTCGTGGTGGACTGGGGCTTTGACTCCCCCGTCAGCTCGTGGAGAATGAAAGTCTTACCGTGGAGCCAGGCAACGCCAGTCATTCTATTACCGACGAGGCTGGTGACAAGAGATATTCTGCGATTACAGCTTTCAGCCCGTGTTCGTGGTCTGGATATCCGTCAGGGGAAGGTGATGGACGCGGCCCTCTACCAGGAGCATGGATCTGAGAGGACATTGCTTTTCTGGACAATCCACCACTTTGTGGTAGACATTGTCTCATGGCAGCTGTTGCTTCAGGATCTGAACACAATTCTCAGAGCTACCGATAAGCAAGCGTCTCTCCAACCTACACTGACCAGCTTTCCGAAATGGACGTTGGCTGGCAAGGCAGATTCTTTGGACGACGCAAATCCCGCACAAAGTGGCCACAGGAGAATTCTTAGCAAACGAGACCAGGTTATGATGGAGGATTCGCCTCTGTGGTTGCGAAACCCATCCTGCGCAAAGGCTGACTCCTACATCCAAATCAAATCCTCTGCCAGGATCGATGGAATGCTCACCCAGTTCTTGCTAGGTTCTGCCAACGATATATTTGGGACAGAACCACTAGACCTTCTACTCACGGCAATGGGAATGACGGTCGGCCGATTGTTGAAAGATGAGATAGGCCAGCTGGAAGTAGGATTGGAGACGCATGGTAGACATGTCCGGCACGATACTATGGACGTCTCCCGGACAGTCGGTTGGTTCACGGCTATCCTTCCTCTGCTGCTGGACTGCACCAGCAACTCGTCCTCCATCGAGAAACTGGTGCGTCATACAAAAGACCGCCGTGCCCAGATCATGCATCAGAATATGGGGTTTCGGCAATTTGTTGATGGTCGATGGAAAAACCAAAACCCAACAGAAGGCCCCTTTTCACTCGTGTTGAACTATCAGGGTATCCGAGAGGAGCAAGCATGTACCAGTGATGAAACAGTGAGACCAGCGACGGTACCGGGAGTAGAATGGCAAGAAACGTCCGAGAATGCCGTTCCCCTGTCCTTCGCTTGGATAGAGGTATACGTCCAGGGAAAAGAGACCCACGTCGAGTGCAGCTGGCCCGGAGAGCCAGGGTTCGAGATTGATGATGTCGCCGCTGTCTTTGCTGGTCAGGTAGAAAAAGTCTGTCAAGCTCTGAATTCACATCCCCAGGGACTCTCCCCCCTGATTGCCTGCTCGTCATCCTCTGCCTTTGGTTTGATATCCGAAGATTTTGTCGATCGAATCTACGAGTTATTTGAGAAAGACGGGATTCCCACTCACACAGAGCTGGAAGACATCGTGCCCTGTACTCCAATGCAGAGGGCGCTGATATTTGAAGGCCTTGCAAATTCAGCAGCGTGTTCTTATATTACATCCCGTGTCTGGAAGCTTGCTTCTGGGGAAGCTTCCATTACCCGAGCCAGGAAGGCTGTGACATCCCTGGTCCGTCGCCATGAGGTTCTGCGCACACGTTCCTTCGTTGATACCCTTGAGGGTCCGATCAATCTCGTATTCAAGCCCAATGAGAGAACCATGTCTCGGACAATTGAAACAGTTGAAGTTCGTGATTCGACACAGGTAGCAGCCGAGGTCGACAGAATCACGAACGACTCACAGGCAGGCCACCCCCTCATTAAACCTTTCTGTGCTCGTATCGTGTACTCGGCAGACCTCCAGAACGTGCAGCTATCATGGCGGCTTCATCATAGCTTGGTGGACGCGTGGAGCCAGGACATCATCTTCAACGAACTAGTCCTGCTATTGGTGGAGGCCGAACCTGAGGCGAGTATGACACCCAGGCCCTCATACGGTTCATTTGCGCGCTTCATCTCCACAGCAGACTTTTCCGAGGACTCGAAATTCTGGGCACAGAGCTTCGCCAATTATGATCCGGCTCCTATCCCCGCTTCAATCCTGGCTCCGAACCCCGAGACGGCGGATGCAATTGTGATAGAGCAAGTCTGTGGCTTTCAAAGCCTCCTAAACTGGGGCGTGTCGCCCGGAGCACTGCTCTCGCTAGCGTGGAGTGTTGTCCTTTCTGAGGTTCTAGACTCTGACGATGTGACCCATGGAATGCTGTTCTCTGGGAGAAACGTCCCAGTTCTCGGTGTCGAGGATATCGTTGGCCCTTGTATAACAACCGTTCCTATTCGCACACACATCCAGAGACATCAATCAGTCACCACAGCACTTCGTCAGACCGAGAGATTCCTACAAGACGCTAGCAAACACAGCAAGATTGGGGTGGCGGGCGCAGCCAAAGCATCAGGTACTGAGGCTTCAAGTCTTGTGACGACATTGTTGAACTTTTTTGGTACTCGGACAGATGCTTTGGAAGATAGCCGCCTTCGATCTGTGCTGGAGGCACGTCTAGTTGAGGACGGAGTTCCACCCTCTGTGACCCTCTCCTGTTGGAGGCGTGAGTCCGACGAGAACGTGATTGTAATGCGCTTGGAGCAGCGACACCTCCTGGAACCATGCCTTGCACAGCGATTGATGAACCGGTTAGCGGCGTACTGTCATAATTTTAGCAGTGTTCCTGACGCCACGTTGCAGCAGGCGATAGCTTCGGCCACTGATGAGCAATCATTCCTCAATACATGGAGTCTCTCGTCCGCCCCGGCGCCTTCGAAGAAGACCTACGCCTGTCTTCATGATCTCGTTGCAAACCAAGCACGTGAATTTCCCCAGAAAGTTGCATTGCAATTTGAAGAATCGGAATTCGTAACATATGAAGATCTGGACCAGCGAACGACTAGTTTGGCCAGATCAATTCGACAAACACACGGACTCCCATCGCCATCACAGCAGCCAGTCATTCCCATCTGCTTCGACAGAAGCATGGACATGGTCATTGCCATCCTGGCGGTTCTTAAGGCTGGTGCTGCGTTTGTACCTATAAATGCTTCCGACCCAGCAGGGCGTCTCAAGTCAATTATCCGGACAAGTAACGCCCCTTTCATTATTGGGAGTCATGTTCAAGGTCAAGAAACACTGCAAGACGTGGCCCGTGAGACAGCCACAAACATATATACCATCAAGCAATTACTCACCATGCCATCCACCGTGGAATTACCGGCGCAAGACAGCGGCTCGCTGGCATATGTTCTCTTCACCTCGGGCTCGACAGGGGAGCCGAAAGGGGTGATGATCGAACATCGCAACGTCACCTCGTTCATTGCCTCCAACCACGAAGAAATAATCGGCCGTTGGTCAGCTTGCCGGATGCCCGTCGCGGCGTACACGTTTGATGTTTCCATGGGAGACCTGTTAACCGGATTGGCTGTTGGGGCCCGAGTCGCCCTGGTCCAGAGCCAAAAGTTATTAGCCTCGATGGCGGAATGGGGCAACAAAGTCCTCGCGACAACCCTCTCAATGACTCCAAGTTTGGCCTCCTTGTTGAGGACGGCTGTTCCAGCATACTTGCAAACTCTGCTCCTTGCTGGAGAAACCTTTGATCCGGCCATCATGCAAGTGATGAAAGACGAGTGTCGTGTCTGGAACGGCTATGGACCGACGGAAACTTTCTATGCCACTTTCTACCGCGTCGAAGAAAGTGAGAATCGGGGATTCATTCCCATCGGGAGACCCTTCCACGGAAATCGCATCTATCTTCTGTATCCTGAAACCTTGGAGCGTGTGCCTATTGGCGCCGTCGGTGAAATCTGCGTATGTGGTACTCAAGTAGCGCGTGGCTACCTCGCGCGACCTGAATTGACCGCAGAGCGATTCACTAGTGATCCGTTTGACAGCCATGGGATCATGTATCGAACTGGAGACCTAGGCCGCTTCCACGCCGATGGGTCAATCGAATTCCTGGGTCGACTGGATGGCCAGGTAAAAATCCGTGGTCAGCGAGCAGAAACGGCAGAGATTGAGTCTGTAATCAGCAGTTCTTCTGAACGAATAACTCGCACAGCTGTCGATATTATGCGGCCCCAGAAAAACAGCTTAAAAGTTCATCTGACTGCCTGCATCGTTCTATCTCCAAAATTAGAAGAATTGGAGGCAGCCGAGCTTGTGAAATCTGTTGTCAAGCCGGTATGCCATCACCGGCTCCAATCCTACATGGTGCCGTTGACATGGATCTGTTTGGATGAACTCCCCCTCACAGCGAGTGGTAAAACAGACAAGCGGAAATTAGCCTCGTGGATTGAAAATATTCAAAATGGGGAAGAAGTACAAGGGGGATGGATCATATCATCCAAGCCTCTCAAGCCTGTACATGAGGGGCGAAATAACATTCAACCTCCGGCGAATGAACTTGAAATGATGATACAAGAGGCATGCGCGAGTCTCCTCGGTCAGGACGTGGCCAAAGTCTCAATGGGATCTTCCTTTGCCGCACTCGGTGGAGACTCCCTGTTAGCGTTGCAACTGAATGCCCGGCTTAGGGAAGAAGGACTTGATTCAGCGCCCCGAGCCATCCTCCAAGCACAATCTTTAGCCTCTCTAGCCAGCATTTGTCAACCAGCGAGTGACACCGAAAGCCGGAGGCTTAATGAAACTATGGATCTGGACAGTGTTGGCACCTGGGGCGATTCGCAGACGACTCAATGGCAGGCAGCTGCCCAGGATGCGGGATACAGCGTGGAACAAATCCAACACGCCATGCCCTGCACCCCACTCCAGGAGGGTGTGCTCTCCAGTGGACTTACTGGAGGCAGCATTGACGGATACCTAGCTGTTTTCAAGGTTCGGCTAGGGAAACAGATTAACATGGACGGAATCCGAAAGGCTTGGAGCTCTCTGGTGTGTGAGGAGGAGATGCTTCGGACCGCCTTTATTCTCAACCAAGAGACCGTATCCAATGAGGCATCCCAGTTGAGTCCATTCTTGCAAATTGTCCTCCATCCAAGCTGTCCTGAGGTCAAGCGGGTAATGACTCTGAGCGTGGCGCCGACATCTAAGGCACAATTGGAGAGGCCGGAAGCCCATCCGTCGCTGGATGTCGACCTTCATCTGGGTAATATTCCTTTGTCAGCTCTTCTCACTGTGACCAAAGACGAGCCCGAGGAGGAATTTACACTAGAAGTGGCCCTTCATCACGCATCTTATGATGAGGCCTACCTCAGCGCGCTACTAGGCCGTCTCTCATCGCTATACCGAGATGCAGCCAAGATTCCCACTGATGGGCTGACAGATTCGAGGTCGACTATGGACAATCGGGTTTCCTTTTCCACGTTTGTCCGGTTTCTTTATAGCAACAATTCCGCAGCGACGGCCCAATTTTGGAAAGGTCATCTCAAAGGAGCGCAGCCGGCATCGTGGCCAGTAAAAAACGGATTGCAGCGCTCCATGGATACTATGCAAGAGCCTATGTTTAAGTCAGTGCAGTGGAAAGGCGGACTGAGATCAATCGCCACGCGACTTCATGTTACTCCGGCGGCCGTTGCACGGGCTGCAATCGCTCTGACCGTGGCTGAGCATGCCGATAACTCTGACGTGGTCCTCGGGGAGGTCTCTAATGGGCAGCCGGATATTCAAAGTCGAGGAAGGATGATAGAAGGCGTCATTTCCGGTCCCTGCGCTACCACCCACCCAGTGCGTCTTCGATTGAACGATGACACAGAAGGCAGTCGGTGCTCCGTGCGAGAGCTGGTGCAACAATCTTTCAACACGTATTTGGCATGTCTACCACATCAATATTGCGGGTTGACTGGAATTCGACAGCAGTGCGACCGGCCTGAGCTCTTGCCTTTCCAGGTTCTCTTTGCGTACCAGGAGGCATTTCGAAAGAGCAACCTTTTAGCCCAAGATGCCCCGTTTGAGATACGTAATGGAAAGCTGGGCCACATGGGGTTCCCTTTAATGGTCGCATGCACTCGTCAAGAAGACGATTCGGCGACTTCATTTCACTGCAGCTATGCTCCAGAGGTATTGGATAGCACCTCGGTGGAGTGGTTCCTCCATCATATCACCCAAGCCTTAAATCTCATTGCTCAAGTTGCCCACACGGAATCGGCTACCGCGGAGCCTGCCCGTCCAATGCCAGCACAGATTACCCCTAGCACCCAAGAAATCAGCCAGCTAGACCGTTGGAGCCGAGCAGACCCCAACACACGGGAAGCTGGGGATAGTGCGGAGTGGACCGTCGACCAAATGTTCGAGCACAATGCGAGAACGATGCCAAACAAGATCGCGCTGCAGTTCGAGGACTCAGAGTGGATTACCTACGGCGATCTGGACTACCGCAGTAGCCAGGCTTCCATGGCACTGAGAAATCGATTAGCCACGACAGGAAATGACATCGGCTCCGTGATGGTGCCGATATGCTACGAACGAAGCGTGGACATGATGATCGCCGTACTGGCAGTTCTCAAATCAGGTGCCGCCTATGCGCCTCTCGACCCCAGCCAGCCAGGAGACCGACTTGCTATGATTGTTCGAAAGACAAAAGCCAGAGTGATTCTGTGTGGCACCGCCCAAAAGAATGCCAACTTGCTGGAAGCCTCTGGGGCCGTGGGCGCCGACTTGACCACGCTGGAAGAGCTATATGACGAGCGTTTCATAGCCACAGCACCTGAGCCACGCCACGACCCGTCTTCGACTGCTGTCGTGCTATTCACTTCGGGTTCCACGGGACAACCGAAGGGGGTGATGATCGCGCATCGCAATCTAATGTCTTTCGTTGAACACATCCAGGAGAACGCAGCTGGAACTTGGCGTATTTGTCGTGTACCCATTGCATCTTACACCTTCGACGGTTCAATGGCGGAGATGTTAGTGCCTTTGTGCATTGGTGGACGAGTTGGCCTTGTCCCCGAACAAAAGCTGTTGCCATCCCTTCCACATTGGTTAGAGATGTTGAAAGCGACGCATCTCGTCATGTCTACCACGATTGCGCGACTCTTTTGTGGTGCCTTCCGTGACCCGACAGCGATGTCACATCTCCGCTGTCTTTTCCTAGGTGGCGAATCTTTCGATATGTCGCTGCTTAAACATGTCCCAGACGAATGTCACGTTTACAATGCGTATGGACCCACGGAGACAGTGGTTTACGTGACGCTGCAGCGGGTCCACAGAGATGCCACACTAAGCGACAGTGGCGTCCCCATCGGTGGCCCCGTTGGGAAGAACGCAGTGTATCTGCTTCGACCCGAGTCGGATAGCCGTGTACCTCTTGGGGTAGTTGGTGAGATTTGTGTAGCTGGGGATCAAGTGACCCAAGGGTACTTGGACCAGCCAGATGTCACTCAGCGCCACTTCCACCCCAATCTGGTCAATCCGTCGCATGGACGGAAGATCTATCGCACGGGAGACCTAGGACGCTATAACTCAAGCGGCCGCATTGAATACCGTGGGCGTAAGGATGCCCAGGTCAAGGTTCGCGGACAGAGAGTTGAGCTAAGTGAGATCGAAACAATCCTTCACGAACATGAACTGGTTAAGGACTCCGCCGTAGTCGTCACCGACACACCCACCGGCGCCGTTTTAGTGAGCTTTTGTCTCGTGGACACATGTCAGTTGCCGGGTGAAGAATGGGAAGCAATTGCATCCAGAATTAAAGCGCATGCCACCTCGCGTCTCCCATCGCATATGGTGCCGTCCTATGTGATAAATCTGGAGGGCGATGTTCCCCGGGTTTCCACAGGGAAGATCGATCGAAAGGCGCTCGAAGAGAGAGCTCGCGCCGTGATGGCTGAGGATGGGTCCAAACATGAGCGGGAGTACGTCGCCCCTGTAACAGAGACGGAAACTATCTTGTGCGAAGTATTCGGAGAGATTTTATCTCGCCGGGTTGGGATCACAGATAGGTTTATCGACATTGGCATACATTCAGTCTTGGCCATCAGGGCAGTATCGAAGATAAACCAGCGTCTTCAGTCCCGAATATCGTTGATCGATGTTTTCGACTTCCCAACGCCATGCGCTCTTGCAAAGCGAGTGGACGATACTACAGCTCAAGAACAATATTCAATCATTCCACGCGCTCCCCGAGACCAAGATGCAGAACAGTCCTTTGCACAGAACCGCCTTTGGTTTTTGGATCAACTACATCCTGGCTCCGCGTCCTATCTCATGCCGCTCGGCCTCCGTATCCATGGTAAGCTCCAACTCGAAGCCTTCGAGCGGGCAGTGCAGGCCATTGAGCGCAGACATGAAACACTTCGGACAACCTTCGAATCTCGAGATGGCTGCCACGTTCAAGTTGTCCACCCATTCCGACCCCAGAGCTTAAGGATGATTCACACTTCGCCGGAAGATGGCGAAGAAGCGTCCCTAGCAGCGCTGAAGGAAGAACAGACGAAGCCCTTTGATATCCAGGTCGAGCCAGGATGGCGAGTGGCGGTAATCCGATCCGGTCCGACAGAGCACATTCTCTCTATTGTCATCCATCACATTATCTCCGATGGGTGGTCCATCGGCATATTGCTCAAGGAGTTGGATATCCTCTACTCGGCTGCGGCGAGGGGCGAGTCGCTAGATCACTGCCTCGAACCTCTGCCCATACAATATCGAGACTTTTCTGTCTGGCAGAAACAAGATGAACAGGCTGTCGAGCTTCAACGACAGCTTGACTATTGGGTTGAAAAGCTGACTGGTAGCCAGCCAGCCCAGCTGCTGCTTGACAAGCCAAGGCCACAGGCCCTGTCTGGAAATGCCCTCTTCAAGGAGGTGATAGTGGAGGGTGATCTATACCACGCACTGTCAGACTTTTGCAAACAGTACCAAACAACCGCCTTTATTGTCTTGCTAGCTACATTCAGGGCAGCACATTATCGACTTACAGGCGCTTCCGACGCAACAATCGGAACACCCATTGCCAATCGAGGCCGGACTGAGTTGGAAGGCCTGATCGGCCTCTTCGTCAATGTGCAGTGCATCCGCACCCAACTGGATGACGCTGATACCTTTGAGGCGCTAGTCAAGCAGGTCCAGTCAACTGTCCACGAGGCCTTCGCTCACCAGGACGTACCTTTCGAGCACATTGTTTCTACTCTCCAACCCACACGAGATGCATCCCGCAATCCTCTCGTCCAAACCGCTTTCGCGGTTCACCCAAAAACGCCAGGACAAGGGAAATTGGATGACCTGGAGACCCAGAATATCTTGCTCGCACGAACATCCCGGATGGACTTGGAGGTGCACCTGTTTCATGAAGACAACGTTATCCAGGGACAAGTGACATTCGCCCGAGACCTTTTTGTTCCAGAGACGATCCGAGCGTTGATATCGACCTTCTACGCCATTTTGGCCTGCGGTTTAAAGGATCCCAGTTCGCTTCTGGGATCAATTCCTCTGATGAAGGGTACAGCCGCATTGCGTGAACTGGGATTGCTCGATATCAAAAGAACCAATTACCCGAGAGATTGCAGTGTGGTCGATGTATTCCGCGAGCAGGCAGCCATAAATCCTGGAAGGACTGCAGTGTGCGACAACACCGGGCGTGTCACCTATCGACAATTGGATAACGAGTCCGACAAAGTCGCTGGCTGGTTGTTGGGCCAGTCGTTCGCGCCGGAGACACTGATAGCCGTCCTTGCGCCCCGATCCGTGGAGACCATTGTCGCCATCTTGGGCATTCTCAAGGCCAACCTGGCGTACCTTCCGCTAGATTCCAGAACTAGTGAAGGTCGTCTGAGAAGTATCTTCTCTTGTGTTGAGCACCGCTTGATGGTCTTGGTAGGGTCGCATATCAAAAAGCCCGTGGTGCCAGAACTAGAGCATGTACAGTTCAAGCAGATCAGTGACCTTCTGGCAACGCAAGATAGCGGTCTCTGCGGAGCTCGTGACTCACTGCGAGTCAGTCCGTCTGCAACTTCTCTCGCATACATCATGTACACTTCGGGGTCTACCGGCAAGCCCAAGGGCGTCATGATTGAGCACCGGGGTATTGTCCGGCTTGTCAAGAACTGCAACAAAGTCAGTCCTGAGCATCTTGGAAAACCGGTCGCCCACATGGCAAATATTTCTTTCGACGTATCCACCTGGGAAATATATTATCCGCTTCTTAACGGCGGAACCGTGGTCTGTGTGGATGCAATGACATCGCTGGATTCTGCCGCCCTTGATAGGCGCTTTCTACACGAAGAAGTGCGTGTCGCCATGTTTACTCCCGCCTTGTTCAAAACCCATTTGCAGCAATCGCCTGCGACAATCCAGAGGCTCGATGCCCTGATTTTAGGGGGAGATAGGCTCGACGTTCAGGACGTAGCTGCTGCCCGGAAACTGGTTCGGGGAGAGATTGTGAATGGTTATGGGCCCACAGAGAATACAGGGGCCAGCGCCAGCTACCGCATCCCTCCGCAGGAGCACTGTCTCAATGGTGTACCCATTGGGGAAGCCATCAGCAATTCAGGGATCTATGTCATGGACCAATGCTTACAACTTGTCCCACCGGGTGTCATTGGAGAGCTGGTCGTCACCGGAGACGGGTTAGCCAGGGGTTACACCGATGAGCGACGAGACGAGGATTGCTTCCTGACCATTGATTTGGACGGCGAGAGCGCTCGCGCGTATCGAACTGGAGACTACGGACGATGGAGACCGGCGGATGGTCAACTGGAATACTTCGGCCGCCGCGACAACCAAGTCAAGATTCGCGGACACCGTGTCGAGTTGGGCGAGATCGAACAGACCATCATGGCCCATGGTTCGGTCAAGGACGCCGTGACCGTTGTCCAGGAGCTCGAGGGTGAACAATCGCAACTAGCAGTGTTCGTAACACATAGCGGAGGAACCGACGACACCGTGGAAGATGAGCAGGTCGAGGCTTGGAGAGATATATTCGACGGGGAAACCTACGACGGCATAGCCAATATGACACCCGACAGGCTGGGCCGGGATTTCACCGGGTGGTTGTCGATGTATGACGGCAGCGCCATTGACACTCTTGCGATGGAGGAATGGCTTGATGATACTGTTCAAACCCTACTGAATGGTGGTCGCACGCGTCGCATCCTCGAGGTCGGAACTGGATCCGGGATGGTCCTATTTAACATCGCATCTGGGCTGGAGCAATATGTCGGTGTGGAGCCGGTCGAGAGGCTCGCCGCAGCAATTCAAGAGAGAGCCAACCACCATGATGAGCTCAGTGGCAAGGTCAAGGTGCACGCCGGAACTGCTGACCAGATCCTAACGCTGTGCCCAGACTTCTCCCCAAGCCTGGTTGTGGTCAATTCGGTGGCCCAGTACTTCCCCAGCGCAGACTATCTATTCCAACTCGTGCAAGATCTTCTGCAGCTTCAGGGTGTGGAGACCTTGTTCTTCGGTGACATGCGGTCTTATCCTCTTTACAACCAGTTCCTCATATCCAAGGCCTTGCACAGGGCCGGGGCACGGGCAAGTCTAATGCAAATCCAGCAGATCATGGCGGAAACTAAGGAGGCGGAAACCGAGTTGCTCGTGGACCCGGCGTTTTTCACGTCCTTGGTTTCCCGGATGCCCGACAAGGTCGACCACGTGGAGATCCTACCAAAGAGGATGACTGCAACAAATGAGCTCAGCTGCTACCGATACGCTGCAGTTGTTCATGTCAAAAGTGCTCGAGCTGAATGTCGACGGGTCCACCGCGTTAAGAATGAGGAGTGGCTCGATTTCACGGCGCAAAATCTGAGCCCGCTGGCCATCACGCGTCGCCTGAAAGCCAGTCCTCTATCGCCGGTAGCCATTGCCAACATTCCCCATCGCAAGACAATTCTAGAAAGGCACCTTGCAGACGCTTTAGCCGGTGACTCCCTGATGGATGAAAGTCAGGATAATTGGCAACTTCGACATCGCAATCAAGCCGCGGCAAACCCCGGGCTAACGGCGACTGATCTCGAGAGGATTGGCCAGCGCACAGGCTTTCAAGTCGAAATCAGTTGGGCTCGACAACACTCGCAAGGCGGTGGTCTGGACGCCATTTTTCATCGGTTGCAACCCAGCCACGGCGAGGAACGAGTTCTGTTTGACTTTCCAACGGATCATCGAGATCGCCTCCTTGTCTCGTTCAGTAATCACCCGGTGCGTACACAGCTGCATCGCAAGCTCCAATCACACCTTAGACATAGCCTGGAATCGAGGATGCCATCGTACATGGTGCCCAACACAATTACTGTCTTGGATCAGATGCCGCTCACGGATCGAAGCAAGGTGGACCGCGCATTACTCTCGAGACTAGTCCAGCGGCCACAGAAAAGGTCGGTGGAAGCTACTTCGTCCGATTCCCCAAGACCTGACGCGGTAGACAACACAATTGAGCGTGTTGTGTGCGAGGTCTTCGGGGACATCCTTGGAGTGAAGGTGACGCCGGCCGACAGCCTCTTCGCTCTCGGCGGACACTCGCTCCTTGTCCCACGCGCCGCATCGCTACTGTCCAAACGACTCGATCGCTCGGTGACCGTGCGCGATGTCTTCGACTGTCCGACGCCGAATGCCCTCGCCGGGCGATTCAGGCCAACCGATTCCGACCAACTCTCCGGCACTGACGAGACAACCTCCCTGACCGGACCGGCTCTGTCTCCTATCACGAAACCTTTAGAGTGGCAAAGGTCGGTGGAAGCGTGGGGACTTCGTGCCGAGGAGGTGGTTGAGGCGAACCCTTGCACCCCGTTTCAAGCCGGCGTACTTTCCAATGGCATGGCCGCGGAGCACTCAACGAATTCCTCATACTTGAACATCATGCGGTTGGGACTATCGGGTGAGCAAATCGACCCTGATATCTTGCAACTTGCCTGGCATGCGACTCTGCGCCAAGAGGATATGCTGCGCACAGCATTTGTCCCCTATGCCGCGGGCCCAGGTACCTCGGTCGGGACTGCCAGCGACGCCTTCTTGCAAGCAGTTCTCCAGCTGGAATCCGGCGAGGTTCGCCGAATTCTGAAAATATCTCTTCCAACCGGTCAGTCACCGTCCCCGGTGAATGTCGACTTTGGAAAGATCCCCGTCTCGCTGGGCTTGGTCTGGACGGGCGATGGAAGTGGCATGCAGGCCGAGCTCGCCATCCACCACGCACTCTACGACGAAGCCTACATTTCCTGGGTTCTGACACAACTCTCGCGCAATTACCATCGAGCCAGAATGACGGGCAGATCCGATCCCGCCCCGACGGGTAGATCTCTCGACCCTCCCCGTGTGCCATTCTCGGCGTTTGTCTCCCATTTACAGTCACAGGACTATGCTGGCACGAGTTCCTTCTGGAAGGACTACTTGCACGGCGCTCCCGTGGCATCATTGCCGATTCCCGGGGGTCTTGAGATGAGTCGCTCGGCCTCCCGAGGCGTCCGGGACTGTCGTTCCGCCGACTGGACCGGGGACCTTCGCGCGCTAGCCGGGCAGCAAGGAGTGACTGCCGCCGCGATTGCCCGGGCCGCTGTGGCCCTCGTCGTTGCCGAACATAGCGGTGAGGACGAAGCAGTTCTTGGGGAGGTGTCAAGCGGACGATCCCTCATGGATGCCTCCGGATTCGTGGCCGGGCCCTGCATCGCAACTCACCCCGTTCGCATTCAGTTGCAGAGCCGGAGGTCGTCGGGCATCGGAAAACGCGCGTCCTTGGAAGAGCTCGCTAAGCATGCCCTGGACTCCTATCTCGAAACCCTGCCAAACCAGCATCTCGGTCTGTCATCCATTCGCCGACAGACACGTACTCCGGATCTCCTCCCGTTCCAGGTCCTCTTTGTGTATCAGCAGCCGCTAGGTCTCGCGACTACACAGGAGCAAGATGGCAACTACTTCACCGTCGAAGACGGCAAGCCGGGTCAGTCGGAATTCCCTCTGGCGATCGAAGCCTGCTGCATGCCGAACGGCGGACACCTGCGCCTGCGCTGCACGTTTGATCCCGTTGTCATGCCCGCCAAAGATGTTGTCCAACTGCTCGATCACGTCACACGGGTGCTTGGCGCCATGAACCACCAGGCGACCTCCCCGGCACGGTTGGCCGTGAACCCCGACGAGATGGCTCTGCTACATCAGTTGGCGATCTGCCCTGACCCGCCACAGCCGCAGCATGAGGACGACGTGTGCGCACACGACTTGATCCACCGCCAGGCTCTCCAAACCCCCAACAAGGTCGCCATTCAATTTGAGATGACTCGGTTCATGACATACGGCGAGCTTGACCAGCAGAGCTCCGCGCTTGCCAACTCGATTCGATACTTTTTGGGACCTCAGCTAGGCTCGGAGCAGCCGTTGATTCCGATCTTCTTCGAAAAAAGTTTCGACATGGTGGTGGCGATAATGGGCGTGCTCAAAGCCGGCGCCGCCTATGTGCCTCTCAATGCCAGCCATCCAGAAGCCAGACTTCTATCCGTCTGTCAATCCACCAACGCTAAGCTGATGCTCTGGGATGGCCTTTCAGGGACTAAGACCCTCCGCACCGTGGCCCGGACCGTGCAAGCATCGCTCTACACAATGAACGACCTGCCTCGTGCCCCGAGCGAGGCCCGTTTGCCGCCCATGAAGCAGTCTTCCTCCTCCATAGCATACGTGATCTACACCTCGGGATCCACAGGCACCCCGAAAGGGGTTATGGTGACGCATGGCAATCTTTATGTTGTCATGACGTCAAGGCGCGGGGTTGGCTTTGTCGCCTGGACTGACAATCGACTCCAGTTGTCGGCGTACACCTTCGATGCCGCCGCCTGTGACCTCTTTGGTCCTCTAGCCATCGGGGGTCGAATTTCAATGGTACGACAGGAAAAGACCTGGGCGGGACTTGTGGAATGGGCGGACCTTCTCGCCGTGAATGCTTTGTTGACGACACCGTCGGTAGCCGATCTGCTAACACCCGGGTTGGAGCGCGGCCAATTGGCGTGGCTGCGCACGCTGATGCTTTGCGGCGAGCCCGTCGATCGCATGATTCTCCAGAAATGCCCACGAGAGCTGACGGTGTGGAATCGGTACGGGCCGACGGAAACTACTATGGACGTGATCTCTTGCATACTCCACGGCCCCCGCACAATCGAGGATGTCTGTCACCGCCCGTTTGTTCCCATAGGGCGTCCAGCACGCGATAATCGTGTCTACCTCTTGCGACCCCAGACAGCGGACCTCGTGCCAATCGGAGTCCCAGGGGAGATTTGCATCGCGGGGCCACAGGTGAGCGAGGGATACCGGGGACAAGACGACCTAACAGTGGCTCGGTTCCCGGCGGACCCGTTTGTTGAGGGAGCGAAGATGTATCGTACCGGCGATTGGGGCCGGATGCATGCCGACGGAATGATCGAGTTTCTCGGACGTATCGATCACCAGGTCAAGCTCCACGGCCTGCGTATGGAGCTGGGGGAGATTGAATTTGCCGCGAGGACATGTCCCGGGGTGAAGGCCTGCGTTGTGGTGAAGGTGGAATGTCAGGGAAGCCAGGCATTGGTAGCGTGTGTGGAGGCAGTGGTCGTGGGGAAGAGGGAAATGGTGACGCAAGAAGTTGATGGAGAACATCAGGGAGAAGGGACACAAGGGGGAGAGGAAGTAGTAGACGAGGAGACCGTCCGCAATCACATCGCCGAGCGCGTGCCGGACTACATGGTGCCCGCCCATATTCACATCCAGACGACGCCCTTCCCTCGCACCGCCAGCGACAAGCTCGACCGGCGCCAGATCGGGGACCAAGCAACACAGATTGCGACCCACCGTGCCCCTACGGTCCCATCCTCACGATGTCGCCCACAGCCGGGTTCGCTCGAGGAGCGAATTGCCTCGTGCTGGTCCCGAAACCTGGCCCTGGGCAAGGATGAAGTTGATATTACGGCGTCGTTTGCACGCCTTGGCGGCGACTCCATCCGTGCCATCAGTCTGCTGGCGCTCCTCCGCCGCGAAGGGCTCCAGCTCAACATGGCGGACTTTCGGCCCTCGGCGACCATCAAGGCGCAGGCGGCCCGGATGCGCCAGGAATCCCGCCACGGGGACGCCCCCAGGTACATGCAAGTCGTCGCTCGCCCGGACAGCCAGGCCACCATGGTTTGGATTCATCCGGGATTCGGTCAATCGAGCGTATTCGAGGGCATGGTGCCGGCTCTGGACCCCCGATTCAACGTGGTCTTGGTCTCCGATCCTTTCTTCGGCACGCCCGAATGTCCGCAAACTCTCCGCGACTGGGCAGCGCACTATTTGCAGGACCTCGAGCCCCAACTGACCCGCGGTCAGCCGCTGGTTCTGGCCGGGTACTCATTCGGGGGTCTCCTGGCGATTGAGATGGCAACTCTCTGGCAAGAAAGATATGGTGCCCCTCCGTCGTCCATCATCATTGCCGACACTCGACCGTACCGGCCTGACACGCTCTTTTTCCGCAATTCACAGGAGCGCCAGGAGTCCGAAGAGGCCGCGTTGAACCGATTCGGAAGCGGTGAAACGCACATGATCCAGGAGCATTTCGGCAAACAGGAACGTGTATGGACTCAATCCCGCTGCCCTCCCGTGTATGGCGGCCGCAGTCTGTTCCTCGCCTCGACGGAGTCTCACGAGGAAGGCGTGGTCACTTGGTGGCAAAGCCAGTGTCCGCGCATCGACGTGCGCGACCTGGACTGTTCGCACGGGGCGATTTTCGAACCAGAGATGACCAGTCGCGTGAGTGCAGTTATCAATGAGCATTGCGATCTCCGGCGAATGTCAGCCCCTGGGACCAGCGACGGGTCCGCCTCTGACTCGGACACATGGGGTAGTAGCGAATTGCATACTCCCGACGGTGATGGTGATTCGGCATGATCAGATGATTGGGGTGTGCTTTCATTTCAGATAGATAGAGATGTGATGGTGGTGGTGATGGTGATGTTTGTGATGAGGAGAGATGAAATGTAGGGTAGAAGTAGAAGAGAGGAGCAATGAGAAGAACTTTATTAAAGACGGGAGTCTGTTGATGCCTAAAGTGGTTTTAGTCCGGCTGCCTCGCTGCCTGACGCGACGCGATTATCACGTGCCATTGCCGATTGCCTCAGGCATGGTGCTCTCGGGTCTTGGCATTCCACGGCTCTGGCTCCATAAAATAAACACCATGATATCTATGGATCTCTTTGGGATTGAATAAGAGCACATGTGTAGAGTTCGTCTGTGAGTTTAAACTCTTCTCATATAGCGTATAATCTTCTACCTTAGTGTCATTAATTCCAGTGGTCCTATAACACTTTTTACCTATTCTGTGGTCATTGTCAATGTATTTCACGATTATATACTGTTGTTGTATGGCTAAAGCAATGTGTTCTCCCCCGTCGGATATTTTTTTTAAACAATATGATAAGACTATAAATCGTGGCGTATAAGCATGAGCAAAGAAACCAAAATGTTCTAGACTATATGTATATTAAAAAATAATCAATATATAACTCCCGTCACCGGCGCTATGAGGACTGCGATGGCGGTCAGGCGGGTGAGATCCTCCCAGTTGTGTATGGCACTATATATGGCGGGTTGGGTATTGGAACTCCGTAGGAGTTCCATGTTGGTCTTTTTGGCCGTGTGGGAGAACGTCGAGTACCCGGGCGCCTTTTACAACTCCACAACACCACCTCCATCACCCGAGTCCTTGACATTGCATCCGCTCAATTAGTGATCACCGGAGCCATACAATCCCATTTATCAGTCTCCATTGCATCGACCAGCCACCGCGCAACGCTCACCCGACTAGTACTCGCCATCATGGAGACACCCTTTCCATGATTCGGCCACACCGTTACCTTCTCCTCGTCGGTCTCCACCAGCCGAGAAGGACGAACAAAGACGTAAGTCAATCCACTGGCCCGAATAAGGCGGTCGGTCTCATTGTGGTCGTTGTATTGGTAGATCATATTGGATTTGCTCATAAGCAGGCGCAGGAGGCACGGCATGTTCGACCACGACTCAGCCACGCCAAATGCCTGCAGAATAACAACCTTGCGCACGCCGTACTCTTTCATCGCCGTGGCCACGTTCTCGTTGCAGATTGTCATGAGGCGAGGGTCTGAGACGGGAGCTGCGAAGGGGCTGTCTGTTGCTCTGGGGGCGTTTAGTGTGACGATGACGGCGTCCGGGATGGCGTGGTTGAAGGCAGATCGAACGTCTGCGAGCTCTGTGGGTGTGCCTGTAATCGAATAAGTATAGGTTTAAGGTGAGATAGAAGATTGAGTCTAGGGTACCTTTGATGACGTTCAAACCCGAAAGGTTGTCCATTGCGGACGGGTTTCTAGCGAGGGTGGTGGTTTGGTGTCCTGCTGGTTGTTAGTTTATTTGGGATATTATACAGTATAAGCCTACCTCTATTAATGAGCTCAGTAATGGTCAGCTTTCCAGTGCGTCCACTGCCGCCGATAACGAGAACACGCATGTCGAGGATGATACTTGAAGTCAAAAGAAGCGCAGGAGGAAAATTGTGAAAGGATTGATTGAATGTTTGATATAATAGTATGGAATGTGATTGAAGCTGATGAGTGAAATCCTTATGCTGGGAATCGCCGCGATTTATATTCGAATCTATATAGTCCAGCTCGGGTTGATGGCTGCGCAATAGTCCGGAGCCGAACCCCGGATCCGAGTGCTATTCGGATCCGAACAGGGAGATCACCCTCCGGATTTGGGGCTGTCAGCATTTGACATGGATCTATGTAATTCTCAGGCTCATGTCTATTCCCAAAATGTCATTCGCAATGTTTATAAAAGCGCTAAGTAATTCCTCAAAACCCATCCAACTTCAATCACACTGCCAATCCCGAACTCCCGCAAACCAAAAGCCCACCCACCGATTCTCCTCCGAACTTTCTACTATAACCATGTCTTCTATTCACAACGTCGCCATCATCGGAGCAGGCCTCTCAGGTCTCACGCTCGCCCTTGCACTGCACAAGCAGTCCATTCCCTGCACCATATACGAGGCACGATCCGCTCCCCTCGACATCGGCGGAGCCATCATGCTTTCTCCAAACGCCCTTCGCATCCTCGACACGCTGGGCATCTACGACCGGATCCGCGCTGACGGATACGATTTCGACGAGCTGCATTTCCGCTCTGTCAGCAACGAACCTGTCGACGTGTATGAATTCGGCGGCACAGAAAAATACGGATACCGCGGCATGCGCATCTACCGGCACATCCTCATCTCGCAGCTCTCAGCCCTAGTCCAAGAATTCAACATCCCTATTCAATACAACAGAAAATTACAGGAGATTGTCTCGGAGACACCCACCTCCGTTACTTGGTCATTCGCCGACGGAACCACCGAGACCGTAACCTGTCTCGTCGGAGCGGACGGTATCCACTCGCGCGTTCGCAAGTACCTCTATCCCGACCTGGAGCCGCTATTCACCAGCATGATGGGCGTGACTGCTGCCGTATCGACGGCCAATCTACAAGTCCCTGACGGGTACCAGCTACCGGTGACGATCATGAACCCTCAGCACGGGGCCTTCGTCATCGCGCCCCAGAAGAAAGACGGCTCGGAGGTGCTGATTGGGCGACAGAAGCGTGCGCCGGAGCTAGATCGGGCTGGCTGGAACGCACTGATGAACGATACAGACTGGTGCGTGGACTTCCTCCGTGAAGCTGCGGATGAGTTCCCGGAAATCGTGCAGAATGCCGTCTCGGATATTTCGCCCTCCAAGATCAATCTATGGCCGTTCTACGTGGTGCCGAAGCTGGAAAGGTGGAATTCTGAACATTCGCGGGTGGTTATACTGGGTGATGCGGCGCATGCTATCCCGCCGACTTCTGGGCAGGGTGTTAATCAGGCTTTTGAAGATGTGTATACGTATTCGTTGATCTTGGCTAAGTTAGACGAGTCGTCACTTGATAAGACGCTGAAGGCCTGGCAGCGAGGTCGGCAGGAGAGAGTCGACAAGATACTGGAACTCAATGGGCAGATTGACAAGCGAAGAATGCCGACGCAGGGAGTCCTGGATAAAGTGGAAACTGGCGGGAAGTTCGATTTGGGCTGGTTGTATAAAGCTGACTTTGAGGCGATGGTTAAGGAATGGCTCCATAAGGATACTTGCTAAGCATTTTGGAAAATGACACTAGCATATAGCGCGAGATTCAGTACACTTCCAGTACAATCATCACAGCCAATGAGACTCTAATACCCCTTCCATCATCATCTCCTCATCTGAAATCAATCAGTTACCTCTATTCCCCCCTCAGAACCCCCCAGTCCCCCTCAGCCCACGTCGAATTCATATTGAACGCCTTGATCTTCCACAAACCATTCTCATCCCCAGAATCCTTCACAAGATCAACATAATACAAAGACCCCACTAACAATCTCTTCTGATCCGGCTGCATCCCCTTTCCACCACCATAATGCTGCGACAGCGCCGACGCAGTCAATGAGGCTTCAGTGGCGCTATCCGCAATATTGATCCGGATGTTAGTGACGAAGTGCGTTGTATCCAGCTTCGAAATCGCTTCAAAGCAGTCGGTATGGAGGGCCGGTAGGCCTTCGATGAGTCGGCCGTTGATTTCGAATGTAGATTCCGGCATGAAGACGGAGTCGAAGAGAGCTAGGTCGCTAGTGTCTAGGGCTTGGACGAAGCGGAACACTGCATCGGAGATGGCTTCGCGGCCGGTTAGGGCGGGCGAGAGGGAGGGTGGGAGGTTGGGAATGGTGGTCATTGTGATGGTTTGATTGTCACTGGAGAGATATTTGTTCTCTACTGGAATAATAGATGCTTGGAATGTAGATATTTATACTTGTCTCTAATGATGTATACTTCGCCTCGTCTGGTGTTAACGCCGCTTATCTCCGTCACGGAGATAGTACTATACCGAGATATTGACGCAATCGTTAGTCTGTGGATTCCTCAAGAGTCCTACAGTTTCTGAGCTGATTAATAATTGAGATACTCAAGGTAACAAATTCTTTGATTGTTCGAAGCCTTCCAGCCTCCTTCCACTGCACGATACGATTTGTAATGAGAGTTCCAAGACACTCATATTGCTCTGTGAAATAGCATTATATCTCCCCAGAAAACCCCTCTACTAGATCTTTCAACAAGACTATCGTCTCATCAATTCTATTCAGAAACGGCCCGCAATGACTACTCGCCATCTCCTTGACAATCCATTCCTGCTGACTAGCAGCCATCATGCCATACTGCGCCTCCTTCGGCACGGCTCGATCTTCCGCAGTCACAATGAACGCTAACCGATGCTTAAAATCCGCATCAGCCCATGCAGGATGCGGCTGTGGAGAATTGAAAGCAAGACTTGAGTGCGGCAGGGTACTGGCCTCGAGGTCCTTCACTAAATCCGGGTCGACATCGCCTGCGAAATTGCCGATCGGGTCATCGGGGATGTTTAAATCACGCGACGGCTGCTTGTGATTAATCCAACTGCGATTTATCATGCAGTAGAAAAAGATAGATGTGGACCTACCTTGTCGAGTAAAATCCACGGAGGGAGATTTCCACCCTGCAGTCCCGCACAGCTCAATCCCTCCGGCACAACAAAGGCGCCTATGAAGATCAACCCGATAACGCCGCCAGATTTGCCCTGTTGCGACCGCCGAGACTTCGCCAGTCCTGTGGCTGCAGCGGCTCCGGGCATTCCGGCGTAGGAATGCATCAGGACCACTACGTCTTTGCCTTGGTCTTCGACTAAGATGCGTAAGGTTTTGGTGATGACCTGTGCATCGGCGTCGCAGTCGGCAGTGGATGCATTGGCGGGGTTCAGAGACGGATAGCTAGCCTGATGAACGAGAAATCCAGCGGAGGCGAGGGCATCGGAAAATGGTTGGTAGAAGTACGGAGAGATCCAGGCTCCGGGTAATAGGGCGATTGTCGTCATGATGCTGGTTGTGTGTGAATTGCGATGTTATATTGTGGGCTCAGTGATCCGTGATAAGCTTTTTAATTTATACTGTCGGCGAATTGAGCGAACCAACACTTGCCAAGAATGATTGGCTTGCAGCGATCTAAATCGTAAGGCTACTGTGTTCATTCAAGCACAGCCCCCTCCCGGCACTAAGGTTAATTAATTGATTCAGACCTGTTCTCGCTGTTTTCTTCTCCGTCGTCCCTCTGTAGATATCGTCGAGAAATCTCCTCGAATAACCATCGAACATTCTGCCCCGTCATAGCACTCGTCTCGATAAACACATATCCTTTGTTCTTTGCAACTTCCTCGCCCTTGGAACCGGCCATTTCACATCCGTCTTTGAGATCCCCTTTATTCCCCACTAGGAAAATTGTCGACTTTACTGTAGCCTGGTAGGCCTGGTCCTCAATCATCCGCAAAGTTCTAGTCAATGAACTTTCGCTTGTGATGTCGTAAACTACCACAATAACCACTGCGTCTCGGGCAAAGGCAGGGACCATCATCCAGTATCGTTCTTTACCCGAGCAGTCCATTATCGCATGTCGGACTGCTTGTTCCCCTGATGATACGGTCTGCATAGGTGCTTTAGTGGAGTGACAAAAGCAGGATTGATGAGGCAGTTTACCAGGAGATTCAAATCAGCCGCGACTGTCTCCGGGACTGAGACGTCGAACTTGTTTTCTTTGAACCGTAAGAGCAAGGAAGTTTTCCCCGCTATCAATCAATCAGTACGAGAGAAGTAAAAGTAGTAGAAAGAGCCTCATGTGGCTCTGTGGCGTTGATTTGGTACATTTTTCAGCGCCAAAAATAGGAACCCTTGTGGCTCGTTAGTGAGTGGAAGATCGGCGAGGAATGAAGGCTCTGACTTAATCAACGGAGGTCTTTTAGGGCTAGGGGGTCTTTCTTGAGAGACTGACGAGCCCATGGTTTATTCGGATCATTCGGAGAAAGTGTTCGCATGAAATTGTCTTCAGGAGCAAGGCTCCCGGCTGAATACGAAGATCGTCGGGATAAGCCCCACTGCCAAGATACCACGGCAATATATGGAGGATTGCGGTTCATGATTGTTTGGGGTTCTGTGGATCTTGATTGGCGGAATTGAAGGAATTATGGTCGGTCTAGGTATAGTTCCTGAAGATACAGATGTTGTGATGAAAATATGGTCCGTGCAGACCCAGAATACTCCAACGTTGCTCGTATGATATCATCTGCGGACTGGCCCTGGACCCAAGATGCAATTCAGTCGGTTGGGGGAAACGAGGATAGGCTGTAGGCACCGGTATTGGTATATGACGTCACAGTGACTCTGGTCACTCTCATTGGCTCAATCCAGGACTGCCTGCAAAGCTTGGCCTGGATCGCTCGAGCTTCCAATTAATATACTTCACCCCAATCCCAGCATGAACCTCTTCAGCCTTACAACTCTCTAGTGCTGAGCTGAAATCATACCCGGTCGCCTCCATGTCACCCTCACGGTCAGTGTCCCACTGATCTCCCTCTTGGCATCTGCTAATACCCACCCAGGAACCATCACGGCTGGTCCTACCAACAAGTCGCAGCAGCCTCATTCCTTAAGGCATTCCTACGCACCTTCACAACCCTGCGCATCAAATGGCCTTTATCACTAAAACCACATCATGAATCAACCCGTTTCGTGGTCATTGATCCCGCCACACCGGACCTCTACTCCGGCGTCGCAACCGACAAGCATATCAAACCGGACCGAATCGGCGGCACGTGGTATCCCGAGCCCTATACGCCGCAGACCTCGCTCAGGGAGAACCAACACGTCGTCCTGCACTTCCACGGGGGCTCGTATATTCTCGGCGACGGCCGGACCTCGTCATGCGGGTTTCTCGCCAAGTCCTTCCTCGAGTATACACCCACCCGATTCATTCTTTGCCCGCAGTACCGCCTTGCCACGCACCATCATAGCCGCTTCCCCGCACAACTCCAAGACGCTATCACATCGTATTTCTATCTTCTACATACACTGCGCATCCCTGCATCGCAAATAATCCTAAGCGGCGACAGTTCAGGTGCACACCTCGCCCTAGCATTACTGCGCTACATCAACGAATTCAACAACACAGACTTCCTCCCCGTCCCGAAATGCGCCTGGCTCTGGTCTCCCTGGTGCGATGTCCCCGCGGCCGTGAACGCCAGTGCATGGACGCGCAGCGAGAATTACAAAACGGAGTACATTCCCGGTTCGTTCCCTGCGTGGGGGGCACGGTCGTTTCTCGGCGATTTGGAGATCACGGAGCCCGTGGAGCGATATTTGGCGCCGTTGTGGCATCCGTTCCGTGTGCCTTGTCCGGTGCTGGTGGGGACCGGGAATCGGGAGGTTTTGTTCCATGAGCATGAGAGGTTGGTGGAGGTGTTGGGGGAGTATGTAGATAGGGAGTTTGAGCCGGGAGTGGAACTCGTGGTGGCGGATAAGGTGCCGCATGATGTTTTTATGATAGGTTGGATTATGGACTTTAAGGAGGAGGCGAGGGATTGTGCGGTGAGGGCGGGAAAGTTTGTAGATAGAATAGAGTGTAGTTATGGGTAGAGAAGGTTGTTTTTCTCGTCTGTTCTCAATTGTCGCCATGTACATAGTCGTAAGTCTATCACTAGATCTATACCATAGCCTCACCTCAATTCTGTTACATAAGAGAGTTCTCTAACTGCTCCCAGATCAAGGCTCTGTCTCCAATTCATTAGCTCCATTCGCATTGGTCTCCTCCTGCCTCTCCAAACCCTGCGGCCTAGGCCCCGGCTCAATCTTGCGCAGAATCCTCGCTGGATTCCCCGCGACAACATGAAACGGCGGAACATCCTAGTCCCACAAGTGAGCTATCTGTCTCAATCCAACATAAAATCAGAATACCCACCTTCGTAACCACACTTCCCGCCCCCACGGTACACCCCTCCCCAATCGTCACCCCCGGCAAAATAACCACATGCCCGGCAATCCAACAATCATCGCCGATGCTAATCGGCCGCCCCGACTCCGGCCCACTCGTGCCATTCCTCACGTACGGATCCACCGGATGCGTACCGCTATAAAACGACACATTCGGGCCCACCAGTACCCTCGACCCGATCGTCACCAGGCACGTGTCCAGAAACGTGCAGTTGAAGTTAATAAACACGTTGCTGCCGACTTTGATGTTGGTGCCGTAGTCGATGGCGATGGGGCGCTCGATCCACGGGTAGGCGTGCAGGGTGGCGTCTTCGGCTTCGTCGGACGGGTTGGGTGAGAAGGGCGAGGGCAGCGGTGCTGGGTCGTTGGTGATCTGGCGCCAGAATTCGGCCATTTCGCGACGGGTCGGGTCCGAGGCGTTGTTGAGCTTGTTGACGATGCGGGCGCAGCGTTTGCGTGCGGCGACGAGGTCTGGCGAGAAGGCGTAGTAGAGCTCGCCGCGTTGCATGCGCGCGAGGTTGTCGGATTCGTTGACGTTGGAGATCATGGTGTTGGGTTGGGTTATGGAGGTGGTTCTATGGTTGAGAAGGAGATGTGTCAGGGTGCAGGGGGATTAAATAGAATGGGGAAGGATACGGTATTGGCCAGGGTGGCCTATTTATAAAAAGGGAATAAATGATCATCTATATATGGCGGCGATTTCTAGGACACTATTGGATTATCTGGAGAACCGGCTGCTCTTCAGTGGGATGAAGATGGCTAACCAGAAAGAGCGGGATAACAGCCGCGGGGTACAAGCAGTGTTGAAGGAGCAGGCCAATGACAATAGAATGTGTTTATGATGTGGGACTAAAGAGTTCACTCCCAGGTCTAGACTGATTATAGTTAGTTGGTGGTTATAGTGGATCTCGCGTGTTGATGCCAAGCCCACATCCAGACCCACCGCAAAAACAGAACACATCCACGCCAACAAGATATAAAGAGACAGACAGCCACATTCCTACAAGAATGTGAATGAATGATGAGCAAAAAAGGAAGAAAGGATGGAGAGGCGGGGAATCGAACCCCGGACCTTTCGCATGCTAAGCGAACGTTATACCACTAAACCACATCCCCTTCTTCTGACCGACGCAGGGGTCGAACCTGCAATCTCTTGATTCGTAGTCAAGCGCCTTGCCATTGGGCCAGCCGGCCTGTTGATATATTCTGCAGTCAGTTCTTGACCTTATAGCCTAAAACTGTTTGATATGCTCTTGAGATTCACTCTGATTCAATGTGATCAGTGTTGGTGTTGCTTCACGTTGTGTTTTATTCGCATGGTTATTTATGTTCTAGAAGAAAATGAACTATCTCGGCATACATTTATATATATTACGCCACAGAGAACATCAATTCATAAGTTGAACAAAATATGTGCATTCGTCCCGTTCCTACACTCAATATATATATCGACAGTCATCCCCCAAGACGAACAATTAAGTCCCATTCGCAGGCTGCTTATACACCTTCCCATCAATCATCGTCGTCAACGTGCCGTTCGCCTCGAAATCATTCACCATCGCATCAATCGTCAAATGAAACCCACCTGGCCCTGTCTTCTTGCTCCCTGTCACCGCCCCAGTCTGCGTGAGATCCGAGTACCAGTCCAATTTATTCAACCAGGGGTTACTCGCCGAGGGAATCGTCTGCGTCACTGACTCCTTCCCATGAATGAAATGCTCCCCGTCGTCCGAGTAATTACTATACTTGACCGAAACCGTCTGCACGATGCCTGACGCCCCAGCGACCAGCGACACCTTGGCGAATCCGCTGGAGCTGCCTTCCAGGGTATAGTTTCCCGCCGGGACCGCGTACATCTGCGGGACTTCGCTGCCGGGAGGGAATGGCGTGGCCCAGGGGATCTGGTCGGGGACGTCGAAGACAGGGGCTGGGTCGGTGGGCGAGGCATCGGTTCGCGTGGCGAGCATGAGTCGATACCGGCGACCTCCTTGCGCAGTGGACTTGGGGCAGGCGAGTGGATTGTCGCCGCCGCAGGAGGGAGAAGTCACTAGGGCTTGCCAGAAGACGATTTTGGTTCCGTCGGGCGAGAAGGCCGGGTCTGCGCGGCCGTTCCAGTTGGGGTCGTTAACGCTGCCGTCGCTGCCGTCTCCGTCGGCGTTGATCTGCTGGCCGAAATAATCGTCTCGATCGCCGTAGCGATCGATGAGGATGGGCTGGAAGAAGCGACGGGGGCCGTTGTTGCGCGTGGACGAGGCCGCGGTGACGGCGACGATGTCAATGAGCGGTGGGATGTGGCGCAGGCCGGACATCCACATCTGGCGATCGGTGCCGCGGGTGTCCATGGCGACGAACCAGTCGTTGTCGTGTGAGAAAGCCAGCGGGTCGGTGTATTCGGGGTGGCTGGTGAGACGGCGGATGGCGCCGGTGGTGATGTGGATGGCGAAAACGTCGATGTTGTTGGCCTCGCGGGGAGAGCCGATGTAGAGGATCTCGTCGCCGCTGCCGCTGAAGCCGCGCAGCTCGCCTGGGAGAATGGCGTCGTCGTGGATGATGAGCTTGTCGCCGTCGGCCATGATGGGAGCGGTTCCGTTGGGTGGGAAGAGAATGTTGACGTCGACGAGATCATACCGGGGAACTGAAGGCTTGCCAGACGTGGGCTTCGAGTTGAATTCGAGACGTCCAAAGTACGTGAACTGGCCACCGGATGTGAACGAGCTCCAGCCCAAATGCTTGTCGTCTGGATGCATGCGAAGCTCTCGCGGACTTCCTCCCGAACCGGACCCGTCGGCAGAGGTGAGCCAGTAGATGGGATAGATATGAGTGTTGTTGGGAGTGCAGCTGTCGCTTGTAAGAGACGCCGTTCCACAGTCGAGGATGTTGTGGCCCCAGAGAGCCTGCTTGCCATTGCGAGCAGCATGGGGATAGTCTCGCTGGGGATCAAGAGACTGTGCATTCTTTTCAGGAACGCCGCAGCTGAGACACTTCCATGCGTCTCCATTGGCGAACCTCTTCCCATCAGCCTTGACCAGGATCAACTGCTCGCCGGAATAGATACTGGCAGGATCCGGAGCTGCCGGAGCGCCAATGAAGTCGACATTGACGAGGACGTGCTTCCCGTCGGGCGTGAAGTCCCCGGATTGGAACTCGTCGGAGGTTTGGCCGATGCAGCCCGTTCCGCGGGGGTTGATCTTCTTAGTGCATGCTCCTTCTTCGCTGCTGGAAGTGACAGGAGGCAAGGGTAGTTCGACAATGTCAAAGGATTCTGGGGACGGAGGAGAAGGAATTGCTCCGGCCGCGGTGGCCGCTAGCAAAAGCGAACATGTCCAGCGCATTTCGACGGGACAACGTTGTGCAGATTCCCTGAAGCATAGAAAGGCACAGATTCTTCATGACGAGCTGCTCTTTAATAAGTTTTCTTTTGCATATGGTTCGGACATTCAGGTACCGTTCGTGTCTCTCCGTATTTCATCGCAAACCATTCCCTTTCCGGCATGGAATACGATCTGCAGTCCCATGGGGAACTTGATCGATCGAGATATCCCGAGTTCCCGATCCAAAGGTCGCAGTAAATTTAGAAAACGGGGTAATGATATGCAGGGCGATGGGGTCTGGGGACATAGGCGGAGATTGAGATGTTCTTAATGTTGAAGAGTCCTGATTTGGTATCCTGCAGTATTACCTGGATGCAGCGGGATATTGATCACCGAACCAACTCGTCGGCGATTGACTGAACCTGTCGGCAATTGTTTGTATAGTAACTCGAGATTGATCTTCAGATCCCGTCGGTTACTTCGACGACATTGCCGCTTCCTGCTGACTTCTAAAGCATTGATCAATATGAATAAACGGCCGGCTAAATAAGCCGCCAAAGGGCCAAGGAACCGAACTGAGACCGTGAATTACGTCCGGTCTAAGGACTATATGATACAGATTTGTCAGGATGGCTCTGTCGCACATTTTGCAGCCCTGTAATGTTGTCGCATCCAACGATAGGGTTTGACCCATTGCATACCCACTTCTGCACGTATAGCAACTGGTGGGCCAACGATGACACCGAGGATATTTACCCTGCGGAAGAATATGCCCTGACAGTCCGATCCATCACTTAGGCCGTTGGCTTATATGACAAGACAATATGGGCCATGAGTTGACCATGTGGCACGCGATGAAGCAACTGCGAGCGATGACGTCATGCTACACACCTGAATTATGCCCACTGCATAACATATTTATGGACTGCATAAATTCACAATGTTCCTCTTCATAATTATTGATGCACAATGCAATGTTTATCCTTCTTTCCTCCTTTCACACATTTTTTTTTCTTTAAGAAAATACAAGCACTTTCAAAAAATGATAAAGAATCTGAATTATTTTCAGCCTCTCTACCCATCACCCAAGAATATTGGTATGTGGTATGCCCACTTTCTTCGCTTCTTGACCCGTGAGATGCCTCGACACTCAACTCCTCAACAAACTGCCATCCAAACCTTAACCTATGTGATCTGTCAAATTGCAGAGAACATCGCTTCCACTCCAATTGGATAACATTTCCACCCGATTTGACAAGAAAACCCCCCGCAGCGAAACGATCGGTGAAGAGATCGGCACAATAATCTGCCCCAACTCGGCAGACGAGAAGTAACGACCCAGTCATGGCCATCAGAGACCGGCTGTGCTTCATGAAAAGTGGATAAGACCCACCGTGTCAACAAAGCGTGCCGTGCTCGGTTTCAACGGTGTGAAATTTCCGCATGGAGAGGCACGGTTGTCGAGTGTTTCCTGTCGTCTGTGGGCGAGAAGTTTCAGCTTGGTTCAGAAAAAGAAAAGAAAGGAAAAGGAAGCTAAAGGGGAGTATAATTGTCCATTGACGCTGACATGCCACACGGAAACCACGCTTTGCCTGTTGGATCGCGCGTCCTGGTCACCGGCGCGAATGGATACATAGCGACGCAGGTGGTCGAGCAGTTGCTGCTACTGGGATATGTTGTGCGGGGGACAGTGCGGGCCTCAAAGCCGTGGCTGGATGAGTACTTCCACGCGAAATATGGCGCGGATGCGTTTGAACCGGTCATTGTGTCGTCCTTTTCGAATCGAGATGAAATCGACCGTGCGCTGGATGGGGTGGATGGGATTGTGCACGCGGTTAGTTTCCACCGGGATAAATAGCAAAACAGAACTAATGCATCAAAGGCCTCTGATGTCTCGCTGAACACTGACCCTGCGCAAGTCATCCCGTGGGTCGTGCGAGCTACGTTGGACGTATTGGAGCTCGCTGCCCAGAGACCAGCTATTAAACGGGTGGTGCTCGTATCATCGTCCACTGCATTGTATAGCATGTACCAGGGCGTCGAGCAGGACACTGTAGATGGAAGTATGTCAATCCTCCCTCCCCGCTCCCTGACAGGGACTCGAAGACATCCGCTCACGTATGCCAAAGACACATGGAACGACCGATCTGTGCGATTGGCATGGGACCCTGAATCTTCGGGCGACACAAAGAACGCCGAGATCTATTCAGCCTCTAAGACGGAGGGTGAGCGACAGTCATATAAATGGATGGAGGAACATAAGCCCCAGTTCGTTCTGAACAGTGTGCTTCCTGCTTATACTGTGAGACTCTTGCACCCATGACCGCCCCGATGGATAAACTAACCTTGGCCGTAAAGTTCGGCAAAGTCCTCTCCCCGGAGATGTTCGGGTCCACGATGGGCTATACACGCGGGGCCTTGAAGGGTGACAGTCGTTTTATATCAGCTTTTCCTCAACGTACGTTCCTAATCCACTGAAAGCCAGTGGGATAGGCCACCGTCCTGCTAACAATATACGCGCAGATTGGTTTGTCGATGTGGAAGATATTGCGCGTTTGTGCGTCGTGGGGCTGCTTGATCCCAGCGTTCAAGCGGAGCGAATTTTTGGATTTGCAGAGAATCTGAGCGGACGTGATATCATTTCCATTCTGCAGAAACTGCGCCCGAATAATCCTCATATCACTCTCCCCGCTGAGAATGTGATACGAGACCGAACCGAGGTTCTGCCTCGGAAGCGGGCTGAAGACTTGCTGCGGAGATTTTACGGTCAGACGGGCTGGACGTCTATCCGGGATAGCTTGGAGAAAGGCATTGAGGGGTGGGAGTAGGTTTGGCGTTGTGCTACTGGAAGGTTTCAATTGAACCCAGCGGTTTGGAATCAGGCCACGTTGTTTTTTCTTTCTTGCGGTATTAGCTTATAGCATCGTGTTGAGTTGCTTGTTCTCCAAGTGCCTAGAACTTGTGATTCAATCATGTCCCGACACATCCATTGAACACGGCATTCCGTGGTACAAGCCAAGAGGATACCTAATAAGATTGGTAGCCTGTACGTGCTCTGCCAATTATCTGGACTCCAGCAGCTTCCATTCCGAGCATGTTTCACGGAATGCGAGCACCTCGTATGAGCAGCGGCCTGGTTAAAAATACCAAGCACATCTAACGTCTGTCACCAAAGACTTGAATTGATCAAAGTTTGTATCGCCTCTGAGCCACACCAGTCATTTCGAATGCTGGAAAATGGTGGAGACTTGGTTGCCTGTCACCGGTCTCCGCTGGACATCCACTGAGTTCATTCAGGACGCTACCAGGAACTCCCCAGGCAATCCATACGAGCGGTACACAAAGCTGGAATGCGGTACGAGCTAGTAGGGTCAAATGATCGCCTGCACTGACGTGCATTGACTAGAATGTAGCTTCCATGGCCTGACATCATGGGTGAGACATGACTATAAAGTGGGCATTCATGTCCTTCGAAGCCATTGTTCTTTCCAACCCCTTCTCTCCTAAAGTAATACCTTCCAAGCCAAACAACCATGAAGTTACTTCCCATCATTGCCCTCTTCGCCATCGGCTCTTCCGCCGCCGAGATGAGAGCTTGCTCTCGGCCCAATATGGGCGGGCAGTGTGAAGTTAGGGTCTGTACCATCTCCCTCATTACCTCCTAATTCTGCATCAAAACTAATGAACAGGATAAAGACATCTCTGTAAGATTCAATCTACCTTTGACCCAGAAGGCCCATGAACTCATCCTTCACAGTGGCAAAGTCACCGGCAACTGGCGCTCATACAACTGGCGCTCCAGCACCAATCGATGCGTCAAGATCTGCAGTACCTGTGACGTGTGTTGTCTCCATATCTCTTCTCTGCATGGGACGTCTTGCTCACAAATGTAATTGAATAGGAGCTGGGCTGGCGCTGCCAGAGCTATAGCAATAACGACATCGCCTTCAACAAATTTATTATCTTTGATTGGGCGAATGGATCGGGACCGGGAGCTACGAGTTGTTGTTAAGGGTACAGGGAGGGGCTTAGTGTATAGCAGGGGTGGTTTCGATGTGAATTTGTTTTTAGTGTCGTGGTAGTAAATTGATCTAGTCTGAATGGAACGCTGTGTTAATTGAGACCCGAGTGCTCGTGTGCTTGGCCGGTCATACTAAACTCCTATAGCATGCCTCGAAGATCCGCTAAACAATCACCTAAAGACAAGGAAGCGTGTAAGAATCAACCGTCATGTCAAAACTCCAATCCGCGGAAAACAAACCTGCAATTTTCCATCTACTGGACTGACTCTGTAGAGTCCTCCAAATAATGGACATCTGAGTCTGAAATGCATCGGATTTCGTTTGGGATGTCCGTTGAAGTCTTATCAGTTCGACCATCGCCTGATACACCATGTGAATGAAATACGGAAACGGTTCCCTATACAGAGCCGCATTCTCCTCGGGCGTCGCATCTTGAAAACGGTGATGAGCGAGATCGGACAGAACCGTGAGGACCGTTTCGATGGCACTGGATGAGTCGAATCGATCTTGCTGGCTGAAGAAAGGGCTGGGAGATGTGAGACGCCATTTGTGGAGATGAACGAATGCGCTGCACGTTGGATTCTCGTTAGTGATGCTTGAGCGGAATAGGGGATGATCTCACCTCAGGCTGATCGCAATAGCCTCGCAACAATACCCCAAGCCAAGCCGGAATAACGACTGCAAGAAAACGAGGAGGTTCCGATCAACTAGCTGAAAGTGAAGTCGACCTTCCGGGCTCATTGTGCTAGGGCTTTGTACGATTTCAAGAACCATGTCTAACCAGATCGCTGCTCGGGTCTGGAGAAAGAAGTAGTCGTGAAGTGGGTTGGAGATAATGCTGGCTACGGTGTTTTGTACCTCACTGTCGAGATGCTTGTTGCTGATTATATCCGGGTTTCCGAGTTGCAGGGGCTTTATAGGAAAGCCGCATTTCAAGCTGATCATTCTTTGGGACCATAGTATTAGAGATTAAACGGTGCGTAGATTGGATGTTTATTTCAACGAACCGTTCATGAATGACAATCGCCCACCATGTGCGTAATCCTTCCTCGGAAGAGTTCCATGATCCGGAACCTGGAAACGGGGGCGGGCTTTGCATCGGGCATAGTCCAACGACCTGCGCCATGCTTAGACAAACAGATATCGTCATGTACGAGGCACTGAGAAACCCCTGGCCATACTCGTGCACGGAAAGAAGTAGACCAGCCTGAATAAGGGGAAGAGTTGGCGAGGCCATAGTCTCTGGGTCCCAGAATAACCGTCTGGTGGCAGCATACATTGGTTCGCGCAGCTTGTCCACGAATGGCCGTGTCACTAGACCCATAGCCAAGAGCAATGCACTAGAATCCCTAGAAGCGTCCGGACGGGCTGGGTGATAGCGACTGGCAAATGTGGGTCGGTGCACAACAGGACACAATCTCTGACAAGAGGACAGGAACTCCTCCGCCATGAGTTCGATCTGCCGTCTATGCTTACTGACTAGACCGGCGATATGAGAAAGACTAGACATGCTCCAATCAGGAACGCGATTCAACTCCTGGGCTAATTCATATTCAGAGGTCGTCAAGGATTGCGAAAGCAAGTCTTCGTCAGGTGGGGTCCAAGGGCCCCGAGGTGCATTTGGAGCTGCATAGCAACAGTTTTTCAGAAGCCTTCGCGTTCATTAGCTCTTATGGAACCGGAGCTGCGAAAGGTGGCTTACCGCGCGCAGCGAGAACATGTTGGAAATCGCTTATCACATTTCTGCTTGCGCTCCCTGCATGAGTCGCACACGACGGATGCTAGCCTAATAGGAGAGGTGCCCCGTTGCATCATATCCGAGTCGTGTGAAGGTTGACGATGGTGAGATGTCGAAGGAGTTCAACGTGTCCATGCTGTCGGGTTTTCTAGCTGACCGACCCTTGACCCGTTAGCGCCCCCGATCCCTGTCGTTTTAGTTTATCAGTTAGTTGGCTGCAGCTGCTATTGTGACTGGTTGAATTCGAGGAGAAGTGACGCTAAAAAACCGAAGGATCGCTTAGCGTGTCAGCCCTTCATATTATCGGGGCCATTGCGATTCTATACTTCATGACCCAGAATAGATCGCAGGTTCTCGAACTCGATCGCAGCTTGGCTGAACAATCCAATCCGTAACTGTGGTTCTTTTCTCGTGTTCAAATGGTATAAATTGAGTGACACGCCATGTCCAGAGACTTCTTGTTTATTGTCTCAAAAGCGGCGTTTAGCCAAGAACGCGTTTTCTCTTTGTCTCATCAACCCCCCACCCAAAGACTTCATTCCTCAAGTCAGACCTTTTGAGCAGCTATGCGACAGCCTAAAATCCCCCCGACTCCGAGCGGAACGAGTGTGGCGGGAAAAACGGTGCTCATCACGGGCGCGAACACCGGTATAGGGTTTGAATCCGCACGTCAATTTCTTCTTCTCCAGGCGTCGCGAGTGATCATCACTGCTCGTGATGCATCCAAGGGCAAAGCTGCCGTTGAATCGCTGCGTCAGGACCCAGAGGTCATTCGGACCAACCCATCGGCGATGATTGAAACTTTGCTGTTGGATCTAGATGACTATCAATCCGGGGTGAGCTTCACTCGGACGGTGAGGGAGAGAGTCTCTGAGCTGGACATCCTGCTATTCAACGGAGGAATGAACATAATGGAGTACCAAACCAGCAAGACTGGACACGAGCGGGTCATGCAAGGTAGGAGATCCATATCAACATGGATTATCACCACTTGTCTCACGGCTCACCCGCACAGTGAACTGCTATACCCACTTCCTCATCGCCCTGGAACTTCTCCCCCTGCTCCAAGCCACAGCCACAAAACGAGGCACCCCATCGCGACTGACGTTTGTCGGCTCCAGCACTCAATTCTACCACTCACTGGCCAAAGCCCCCATCGGATCCTCCGATTCTGCGTTGGAATACTGGGATGACGGCAGCAGGTTCCACAGCATGCATCGATACATGGACAGCAAACTCGTCGTCAACGCATTCGTCCGCCACCTGGCAACTGTGGTTCCCAGCTCCGAAGTCGTCATCAATAACTTCTGCCCGGGGATGGTGGTTACAGACCTTAATAAGCACTTGCCGTCATGGCTCAAACCGCTGCATTCGGCTGTGCAATGGTTTCTGGCGAGAAGCCTTCAGGACGCTGGGCGCACGGCAATCCATGCCACTGCAGTGACCGGGGAAGAGACGCATGGCGAGTTCTTGGACAGTAATAGGATCAAGGCGTGAGTATTGGCCCTTCATGGCTTTTTTGTCTACCTTCGCTAAATATGTGTGCAGTGGACCACCATTTCTGGCAGAGAAGAAAGGCGAAGAGCTTATAGCAAAGTTGTGGAGTGAGATGCTTGAGGAGGTGAAGCGAGAGGATCCGGATTTTAAGGCTGTTTTCTGATATTTTGTACTTTTGAACTTGACTGTCTGCGATGGATATTATAATATGGACTTATAATCAAGGTTAATGGGAAATATTTATCAAATGATCGGAATTACTTCACTGTTCAGGAGTGATCAGGTGGGTGGCCTGATAACTTAGGCCGTCAACATGTGCCTCAGGCCGTAAGCATCCAATCGCCCAGCCCTGCATTGGAAACACAGTGAATATCGCCAGTCAAAGTCTGGTTCATCGCGTCAACACGAATAGTCTCAGTACGCTCAGGCCTGCAAGGTCCATGGTTGAGCTGTTTCATTATCCTATTGTCGGAGTGAACAAGACTGTTTATCTATGGAGTGGTACTTGAATAGAAGCGGCCCTAAATGCTCCTGGAGTAAAGAACAGAGCCAGAGTTATATACTCTCACTTCCTTCATTCAGCCCGGATGGGATTCAAAAAAATGATTTATTCAGGCATTCCACGTTATACGAAGTAGCCAACTATGTGTTTAACATCGTCTCTGTAGAATACGAAGGCCCCGTCGAATGCCCCAGTGATGCCTTATGGTTGGCCGTGGCGGCCTTAGCGTCCCCACGAAGCGTGCTTGCTGCAGCTTATCGCCTTTTCTTGCTTTTCTTCACCACAGCCCACATTCTCAGACTGGAGACGAGAGAGCCTTGCGTTATCGACGCTAGCACAGCCCGGTCGGATTGAACCCCTCCACACGAGGCTGAAATCCCGAGTCTGCCTATATTTCAACCGCCACGATGATTCCTCCCCATCTGACATCTCTCGCCCACCACTCTCGACACCAGGGGCGATGGAGGGAGCCAGCGCTGCAATCACCTTCATCCAACTCGGCCTGAGCCTAGCGACGACCCTGAACACCTACATCGCCGATGTGCGCCATGGTCGCGATGACGTCGCCAACCTGGCCAACGAGATCGAAGCGACCGTCTCGCATGCGCAGGAACTCGACAAACTCATCCAGGAGAACAAACTGACCGAGCGATGGAGCGACCACGGTGCTTTCCTCGCGCAGAAGTGCCTAACGGATTGTCACGATGTCATCAAGAGGCTGGCGACTCTGCTGCGTCGATCGGGTGGCACCGCGCCGGGGATGCCGGTGCTCAACGGCGCCGACGAGGTCGAGTCGAGTGATACCAAATCGCTGATTTCAAGGACGGATATCGACATGTCGAATTTCAATCGTCTGTATTGGCCGATGCTGAAGCCCCAGCTGCAGTATCTGAAGCAGGAGTTGCAGAAGATAAAGATCGAGATCTTGCTGGCGGTGAATACGTACCAGGTGAACGCGACGTGAGTGCCGTCTGGTTCTGGTTCTGGCTCTACATGACTTATGTGAATTTTTCTGATAAACTCGCAGCCCCAAGGCCGATGAACGAAAAGCCATCGCCGAACGAATCGTCGCGCTCTGGCGATCGCGTACCGTCGCCCGTCGCCAGCTGGTTGTTTACGGACGTGAGCTGGAGACACCCTACGAAGATTATTATCGCCCATACACTCGTGGACCAAGGCGGTACGATGACAGAGAGAGGGAGAGAGGGATCACAGAGCCAGACCCCGGTCCAAATGACGGACCGCGCGATCAGGACAGAGGGTATCCTCCAGCTTCACCTCCCCGTTCACCCCCGCGGTATTCTCGTCGTCAACGATCGCCGGTTATTATTCGTGAACAGACACCCCGGCGCGACTCAGACGACTATGATTTCAGATATTTCCCTCGTCCAGAAAGAAACGGGCTCCCATTTGCGCCCGATTTAGATGACGCACCCGAGAAGTCCCGAGGACGGCAGATCATCGACTACATGTTAGGATTTGTCCTGGCGCCTGGCGAAGATGCAGTGGGGACGAGGCAGAAATTGAATCATGTGTGGGACTCGTATAAGCACAATCCAGCGGCGTTGAGGAGGTAGGTCACCTTGATCTGGACAATCCCTGCTACCTATGTGGAAGCTCCAAGCTCAAGATTACCAGTGTCCTAAGTAAAATCGTCACGTCTGCAGTCACGGCAGTTCCCCCGAAGCCAGCGAATGCGAATGCCCTTCCTCTCGCTCTCAGAGACCCCGAATCGCCAACCGGCGCGGCATTTACCTGGTCTCTGCTCATCTCGAACAGATCCCCCGAGCTCACCGTGGAACCCTTCAACTATCCGCTCGAGCTCCTATCTAAACGTCTGTTCAAGGAGGAGCGAAAAGCCAGAAAGTCTGGCCCGCCAGGTCTTCAAGCCTATAACACCATCTCGACCCTGCCCAAACGCTACCAAACCATGATTACCAGATGGCTTCAGCCGATGGGCCTGGCTCCCTTCCACTGGGAACTGCTGATACTGGACCCGACGTATGGACCAGCGTCAGGGGGACAATGCCGACGCAAGCGCCTTGCTCGGAAACTTCGCCGGTCAGCAACAGAGCCAGCAGACACGATCGAGCCAACGAGTGTCCTTGCAGTGTTCAAACGATGCATGAGACCGGACTATGCGGAATCGTTCCGTTCCCGCTCGCGCTCCCGGTCCTCTTCCCCTGACCGCGACGCTCGGAGGAAGCGCAAGATCCAGAGCATGCTGGTGGCGATCGCCGGTGCGCTGGCAGCATCTTCCAGACAAAACGACAATGATAAGAAGGATCCGTCCTCTCCGCGCTCACCGCGAGGTCGCCAGCGCCGGAGGAGTTTCACCCGCTCTGTGAGTCGAGAGAGGAGATGGAATGACAGCCGGTGGAGACCCGCGCGAGAGGCCCAAGAACCGAAGACTGGAAGGGTGTATGAGATGTACGAGACAGAGGAAGGAGACGACGGTCCGGATGAGGATCTGGCTGATAAGATTGTCACGGAATACACGGGCCATGCTGCGAGGAATAGGACTCGACCGAATGGGGTGACGAGTGAGAATATAAGCGATACGCCGACGGCGAATGACGATACGATTTTTTGATGTCAACTATGTGAATACTGAATAACGACGTTAATGCGAGATGATCCATGAATTACACTAGCGATGCTCTCGGACAACGCCTTCTCCGGATCGGATCCGAACTGCCTACCGGATCCGAGACATACGGAGATCGACAACTTCGGCTTCAAAAGTAGAGACTGAACTGAAGACCGAACTTCCAAGCAAGTCAGTGTGGCCGAGTGGTTAAGGCGATAGACTAGAATGGATCTCATCTATCTCATCTATTGGGTTCGCCCGCACAGGTTCGAGTCCTGTCGCTGACGATTCTTTTTTTTATTGCCTAATATAGGATATCAAAGCTATTAGTACTGCTGATCTTGCATAATCAGATTATTTGATTTTACATATCTTATTATTATAATCATAAAAACCAAAGAGATTCTTCTCTGGGATTGACCCCTAATATACTAGATTAGGATTATATCTAGACACGCGTGGCAACCTTTACATAGTTCTTTATAAATATAAGTATATTAATTTTCGCTGTAAAGACCGAACTTCCCCCAACACATATAGATGGATATAGCCAATCTCTACAATCAACACCATAATCATCAATCCTAAACTCTCACCTATATCGCACCCACCTATCCAAGCCAAACATAACTACCATGCCCCGGCCCGGCTGTCTCATCCTCACCCTGAGCATCGCATTCGGCGCCTTTATCATCGACTGGAACCATAGTATTTCAAGCTACTTACAGTTTTTAAAGGTCGGGAAATATTGATTTACAGTTACATCTAGCTTTTCAATCTAAAAAAACACGACAAAAGAAATATCCCAACTTCAAACCCATTCTATCTATAGCTACCACCCCCCTGACGCCCTCCCCTCCACATCCTTATGCCCTCTCCCATTCCTCGTCTCATACTCGACAACCACATTATCCGTCCTCCTGATAGCCCCCATCGGATGCGCATCTCCGCCCCCACTGTTAAACTCGTCTCCGCGCAATATACTCTCCTGACTCTCCACATTCGTGATTGCGAGATCAGATTTCCGAGCTGGTCTCGACGGCTTGCTATGTACGTATGATGAGTCTTTCAAGTTACTGCTGTCTTTGTACCGGTTGCGGCTGTTGTTGTAGGAGCTTGTGGTGCGGCGGCCGAGGAGGAGTTCGAGGACGGGTTGGAGGGTGGGGATGCACGAGGCGATTATGACGACGTTGGATTCGACGCTGTATTTTGTGAGAAGGGAGGTTAGTGATTGTTTGTTTGTGTTTAGACTAGAGAGGGAGATGTACTTGGTCCACATGACGAGATCGGCGGTCCCCCATGTATAGTCGTCTTTGTTGGCGAGGCCTTTGAGTTGGGTGCATTTGATGATGGCCATGGCGGAGGCGCTGGATAGTGGGATGTGTTAGAGCAAATGGTCATGTAGAGAGTAGGACAGGATGACGAGCGTACATGGATCCGAGGCTGAGAGCTGCACACAGGGCGAGACGCTTGCGCAGAGACATGTGTAGTTTCATAAGCACGGTGGTTGGGTAGATAGCGAGGTAGAGATCGACGAAGGCGGATATCGCTGGTCATGATGATTGAGTATTCTATCTCAGGCGGGAGCGCGAATGGATCTCACCTCCTGTGAATATCGCATAGTTGATTAGAATCCACGTATCCCTGCACGTAGCCTTTCCTTCCATCACGAGATGCATCTTCCACAGCCCCTCCGGGGGATCACACATTGTGAAGAGCACGACAATGCATATACAAGACACCACGGCTGCTGTGCCCGTCAGTGTCCAGAGCCAGGTCTTCTGAAGGAGGCTTGGGTTGAGGATGCGGTTGAGCATTGCGGTCACGGCAAGCTTGGGTAGAGTAAATGAGAGAATCCCGAACAAGAAGCTGAGCGAGTTAAGCAGACTGGCCATCTCGACAGTTTCCTGCTCCAGGACATAGGCGTGTTTACCGTAGCCGATGGCGACATTGGCAGTCGTAATGCCGCAGTATACCAGGCCCAGAAACTGCAAGGGTTAGGTGTTTTCGGCGCTGAATAGGAACAGATCTTTACCAGAGACACAGAAATCAGGTAGTCGTCTGACCCGACATTCCGAAGCAAGACGAACCGAATGTACATGCGAGCAATAACGACAATTGTAGTCAGACCGGTCAAAGACCAGAGAACACTCAGAATCTTCGGCCCTTTGTTGTCGCTCGGGTGCCCAGCCTGAACGGCCATTGTCGACAGCTCGAAGTAAATGTGCGGATAGATTAAATCCCCGATGGCAGCCCCGACTGAAATCCTTGCGGGGTGTGGGATTTAAGGGTATTAAGACCAAGCAATGGATTTGGGTAAGGGGGATTGCCCACTCCCTAACCTGCAAGACATAGATCAAACAATGACAGAGCACAAAACCACTGACTCAGGATTCGGACAGGTCAACTCCCCTGGCAGCGACAAGACCTCCCCCTGTCGATACATGATCGATTCCGTCCCAAGCACATGGGACTCATGAGTTCTCGCCCCGAACTGATTCGTGAACCTCGCGATCACCGGGAGTGAGTAGCATTGAACACGGCATACTGCATCCACTGTGGACCCAACGTCCATGTCGGTAGGAACATGAATCCTGTCGACGCCGTTCGAGTAATGCGCTCGACGATCGTGGCAACGGTGTGGCTCCGCCGTTAGATACCCCTGCTAGGGCCATGCGAGGCGCTGAGACGGCGCGACTTGGCGACGGGGATCGGCGATTTATGGCCGGGCCTCCGGTGCAACAGTGGTCGATTGCGCGAAATGACAGCGGATTGTGGGGCCGCAGGATGATTTGAACCCACTGGGCATGTCCAGGACCGGGAATGTTCGCAAACTTGCCTTGGAAGACTCCACGACTGCTGGGGCCATTCTGGACGGTGGGACTCGGTACGTTCGTGACCCAGAAAAACTCCGGGGAACGTGCATTGCCAGGAGGTCGCGTTGTCGAACAGGCGTTTAAAGGGTCCAAGCAGTAGCAATCAGAGACAACGCGGGGCTTAATTTCCCAAACAAAGAAGCAATCTGGTGGCACGATCGCAGGATCCAATGGGGTGACTCGATAACATCGCCGGTATAGCCTCCCTGACCGGGATTCATCGGCCCATGTCGACAACATTGCTGCCTGTGGAATAGTCGGTCTACCTGCTCCGTAGTGGCGTAGACTTAGGACACCGATCCACGTTGACAGGAGAGTGATCAGCGTCGCGAGCGTTGTCATATCGAAGGATCTGAAATCTTCCGAATCCAGACATCCGAAGCCCTAAGTTCCAGCAACCTTAAGGCGAAGTCCCGCTGTCACGGTTCTCGCGGTGGAGATGCCAGTCGTAGACTCATTTCCCTCCTTTTCTTAGTCTTATCCCCATACATCCACCTGCAGCTCACTAGCTCAGTCTCCACCAATATGAACGGCTGCAGCTGCCTTGCGCCAGGCGGGATTTGGTCCCAACGCCATTGACACCTTGTCGGCTCATGTATCCTCCAATAGTCGGGGATTCCGATTTCCATAATTAATTCCTCCCCACCGTACAACATTGGACGCTCTTTGTTCTGAGTGGAGTAACCAATGGTGTCCATCGTGGGACGCCGTATCTCACCTGGAGGGGTAATTGGAAGAGGTCTCAGGGGAAGGTCAAGGAGCTGCCGTGGTGGGTGGTATAACTGCAGCGGTCTGCCGCGAAGGATCTCTTCTGTTCCAATAGCAGTTTCCTCATCCATTCCAAAACTCAATGATCTCTAATCACAGGACTGGATTTGAATAACCATGGGGTACACCAACGAAATAACAAATGGCGCAACCACTAATGGCCACACGGCTGATGGGCTGCCCAAGGAGGCGTTTGTTGACGGTGACGTCGCTATCTCTCCCAATGCTCCAGCCGAAATTCCTTCGCTGCTGAAGCGGATTGCAGCAAGCGGAAATGGGTATGCCGCTCTGAAAGACGAGAAAGTACGGACAGACCTCTTGGATACTGCCCGGTCTCTGGTATACGCGCTGGAGACGCCGCGTGAAGCTATAATAAGACATTGCTGGTCGCAGGTACTGCTTTCTGCTTTATTCATTCCAAATAATTGCTAATGTGAGAGCTACTTCCATTGTAAAGAGTACAGCATACGCAGCAATTGAAACCGGTGTCGACTTGGGATTATTCACAGTATTGTCTCGCGATGATACCCCCAAGACAGCCACCTCCCTTGCGCAGGCCACCAACGCCGACCCTGTGATGCTATGTAAGACAACTGCCACCCCCGAGAATCGCAAATTAATTATTTCCAGCTCGAATCTTGAAGCATCTTGCCGCGATCGGGGTAATCACCGAAACTGGCCCCGACGAGTACCGTCGCACTGGATTCTCGACCTCCATGAGCTCGCCTCGCTACAGCGACGCCTATCCTTGCATGTAAGCAAGCCCTATCCTCCCCTCTGCTCACTACTAACCCAATCCATCTAATAGGACCGGATGCATCACCTCCGGCGTCCTCGCTCTCCCCGCGCACCTGAAGCAAAACAACTACCGCAACCCCGGCGACGGCACCGACGCAGCCTTCCAGCACGGCTTCAAAACAGACCTCCACTTCTTCGACTTCCTCAAAGAAAACCCCCAGCACGCCGTGCAGTTCAACAACCACATGTCCGCCTACCACCAAGGCCGACCCAGCTGGATGGACGTCGGGTTCTACCCCGTGCCGACGCTGACGGAGGGAACGGATATAACCAGCGACGATGTGCTGCTGGTCGACATGGGCGGCAGCATGGGCCATGATCTGTCGGAGTTCCGGCGCAAATGGCCCCAGATCCCTGGTCGGGCTGTGTTGCAGGATCTACCGGAGGTGATCCAGCAGGCTAGGTCGATGAATTTGCCGTCGTCGATCGAGACCATGAGTCATGACTTTTTCACGGAGCAGCCTGTCAAAGGTACGTCGATTCGCTTTTGGAGGGATGTGCATATCATGCTAATGGGAAGATAGGAGCTCGCGCATACTACATGCACTCGGTGCTTCATGACTGGAACGACGACAACTGCAAGAAGATCCTGGAGAATATCGTCCCGGCCATGAAGCGCGGGTATAGTAAAGTTCTCATCAATGAGAATGTTATCCCCAGTGTGAATGCGTACTGGGAAACGACTAGTCTGGATATCATTATGATGGCGGATTTTGCGTCGACTGAGCGCACTGAGAAGCACTGGCATGCGCTGGTTGAGTCTGCTGGTTTGAAGATTAGCAAGATCTGGACTGCTCGAAGAGGTGTGGAGAGCCTGATTGAATGCGAACTAGCGTAATTATTTGATTTTGGGATGGAATGTCTAGGTGGCTAAATTGTATGGATATTGAGTGGTGGGATCCCTTGCTTCTGTACTGCGACTTTTTTCTGGAACACATCTGCTTACGAGTCAGAATCGAATCTTGGATCTCACATCATCTCAGGGGCCGGATGAAAGCACAATATATTAAATGAGTAATATCAAAGAGTGACACTCAAATGTGCTAATTAACTAAACATATCAAACTACAAACAAACCCAGAACACTCCTCCAACCTTGAATAACCTATACACCGGAATCATCCTCCTCCGCCGCATAAACATCCTGATAGTCCTCCCATGCATCACAATTCTCCTTCAGCGACTGATAATCAATCAATTTCCTGGCCTCATCATACCTCTCGATGAACTGGATCGCAAACCCCTCCTCCGTATGCCACCCAATATGACAATGCATCAGCCACGCCCCCGGATTATCCGTCTGGAACCCAATGACCAGATGGCCCGTCGCAGGCAACATCGCCGTATCACGTCTCGGCGGGTTCGTCGTCGTCACAGACCCATTATACGTGCCGCTGCCCTGCGCCAACACCGCAAAGTCGTGCCCATGCAGATGGATCGGGTGAGGCACCGACAGCGTCGTCTCGATCACCACATAGACCCACTCATCCTTGCGAGGCAGCTGCACCACCCCGCTGGTGTTCGCGAATGTGTGATGGCCCCGGTGGATTTCGAGCAGCGTCGGGTCGGCCCAGTCCACGTGCATGGATGTGCTGTTGAGTTTCCAGCGGTACAGGCTTTGCGAGTTCTTGCCGAGCGAGACGGGTTCGGATTTGTTGTAGAATGGGTCGGGGGATACGGTGTAGGGGTTCACGATGGGGATGAGTGAGGACATAGATTCGTCGTCGCAGCTGTCCGAGTACGAGTAGCCCGTTGTGCTGGGCGTGGAGGGTGAGTCGCCGTAGTATACGACTCCTTTGATGTTTTTGGGGTTTAAGTTCTCGGAGCAGGCTTCTTGGGGGATGGCGCGCAGCCAGAAGTTCTTCGCGAGGGAGGATTTGTCGGCGTGGACGATTACGTCGTAGCGTTGACCTGGATGGTGTTATTTTGTAGACTTAGGGGTGGAATGAGAGATGAGAGGGGGTATAGGACGTACCCATTGCTATGTTGAGCACGGATGTGTTGTACGGTTTGATAGGGACCAGGTCGTTGGAGATGACTGTCAACGTGTGGTTGTCGATCATGAACTTGAAGTGCGTGTCACAGGCAGCGTTGATCAGTCTCAGACGGTAGGAGGTTCCCTCCGTGAAGGAAGTATTGAATCGATGCCCCGTCTGGTTGACATTGCCATCGTACCCGAAGACATTCGTGCCGTTAATCAACGCCGTGTCCAGAGTCGGCGGGCCGTCTGTCTGCGCGGAGATATAAAGCTCATCAACGGTGTTAATGTCCCAATCATTGAGCACCAGAACACCCTTATCCTCATCATAGTTCGAGCTAGCAGGACCATTAATGATGATCCCACCGAACAAGCCCTCCCATGCCTGCAGCCCAATATGTGAATGGTACCAGGTGGTACCGTACTGCATGGCCCTCCAACGATAGGTAATCGTGCTGTTGGGGGCAGTGGGACATTGCGTGATGGACACAACCCCGTCGTTCTGGTTGGTGTAGTATTGTCTGATGCCGTGAAAATGGATGCTGGTGCCGTTTTTGACCGTGTCTGGGAGACTGTTTGTGACGTGCACGACCACCGTGTCGCCCCAGTCGGCGATTATGGTTGGTCCGGGAATGGAGCCGTTGATGGCGAGGGCAAATCGAGAGCGTCCGTCAGGGGCCACGGTGACATGCTGCAGGTCGAACCAGTATTCTCTGGTGACGCCGGTATCTGGAACGGTGGTAGTGTAGTCGGTGTTGATGTCGTAGTCGCACCATTCCTGACGATTGGTCGCGGTGTTGCCGGCACAGGCGCCCGATGAGCTTGCGGCAGAGGCAGAGGAAGAGGCAGTGGGAAACAGGGACGCAGATGGGGCATTAGGAGGGGACAATGAAAGCGAGTGTGTGGGCACATCCGCTACGGCCCTTGCCCCTAGGGCTAATATCAAAGAGAGCAATGAAAGTTTCATGCTGCGGTTGGTTTTTCAAGGACAGTCTAGCATGAATAAGGAATGAAAAACAACAAGTTAGGAATTAAGCGAAAGCTGGTTGAATAGAATACAGTCTACATCCTGACATCTCCATCTCTTAAACCTCTCTTTTCTCGGCCCCTTGGCATGTCTATCTGCTGTGCCATGAAACCCAACTCCAGATACAAGACATCAGCCCTCAACCACGATCACCACTGCCGATCATCCCATACCCCTCCGACGTAATTGGTCCAAATCCACTGGGCTGAGGGATTTATCTCTGCAGGTCTGACGACGCCGACCAGGCGCAGGACGCGTTGAGGGCCGATGAAGAGATTTCGGCGGATCAATCAGATCCGCGGATTAGGGCTCGATAGCCTCGATAGTCTATTTAAAGAATGACCGGCGGCGGGCTGTCCGGTGCCGCTGTTCTCCAGGCTCCAGTCTACACAACTTGGTAGGTACTAGGAAGTAGTTCGGAGCAGTCTAGGAGCTGATGACGCGCTACAACTCTTAATAGTGGGGGACTTGGTCTAAGTATCGCGCTATTCATTTAGCGCATTTCTAATTCGAGGCTATCGGGGAGTGCAGACCTAATCAATCAATCTGACAGCCACACTGACACACTCCATACTGCGCCGAAGGATCCGTGCTTGTCTAGTTTGAGACTTCTACGTTTGACATAAATGATTCAGCTGCAGAGATGGTGCGAGATAAGCACGGCCGTGAAAGACGCGCAAGGCCAAGCAACATTCCGGCCGGCGGTTGGGCTCCACAAGATCCACCGGGTTCCTGGCTAAACAATAAACATCGCGATCGGCGCTCGGGCATACGTACGCCTCGTGGAGACGGTCCGTAAGGCAGAGAGTTGAAGAGTGACTGATTGATAGGATGGGTCTGTGCGTGGAGAGTGCCTTGTTTATGCTTGAGAGTGGTAGTGGCATTGATGTATTGATAATACTAAACCTTTACTATTTTTGAGTTGGTCTGCAAGGATTCCTGGACCGGTTATATATTTTGAGCCAGGTAGTTGAAGTTGTGGTCATTTCATTGCACAAAGTCTTTGCCAGAGAAAGTCGATACTGTATCCTTCTTTTCCCGGAACAATGTTGCACTCGACAATTGGCATCCTTTCTCTCTGCCTGACGAATTCCGTCCTGGCGGCGTCCGCCTCATTCGGACTGTACGCCTACGGGGACAATATCGGCGGACTTCAAATGTACTATGCCGACGGTGAGTCAAGGCCCAGAAATATCAGGTCTTTGTCCCTACTGACTCGACTTTTCAGGAAACGCCGTCGTGAGCAAGCAGGCACCCACTAGTGCGAACTCATCTGCGCCCGTTATCTGTAAGTTCCCCGAAACAACCTGCCGAAGCCCAACGCCAACTAATCACGTACAGTTACTCACGACAAAGACGGACTGATCGGCAATCCAAATTCCACTGACAGTGCCAATAAGCCCGATTTCTCGAATGCCTCACTCTTTGTTCCCGGATCGTCCGCCGAAGACCACCAGGTCGGGTTCACCGACGACCCGGGCACAAACCAGGTCACCAATAAGTTCGTTTGGTACGGGAATTTCTTAATGGTCGAGGATGACTCCGGCGAGTATACGTCGCTGTTTACCGTGAAGAAATCGTCCTCGTCGACGAATGACGGTGAATATTCCCTGCAGTGGAACGTCACCGATGATGAAGAGGTGATTGCCATTTCGATGAGGTCCATTGCGCCGTCGAATGAGTAGACTGCGAGGAGATGAGTGTATATGGACTGTGAGTCTTTTATGAATTTGTTGGGTTGTGGTGTGGCGCATAGTATGGAAGTGGTTATAGTGTTAGGATGTAAAGGGGTATGGAGGTCGTGGTGGAAAGGGTTATTTGTTGATACAGCAGAAGTTATTTGAAAATATTCAATCCAGGAGTAAGTTGCTGTGAAACGTTTGTTTGATGGAAGCGTCCAGGCCTTGAAGTTTTTTTCAAAAGTAGCCGCAACCATGACCGAGGCGCCTGAGGTAACATTGTAGCCTCGAGTAGTTCAATTGAAACGCATGTTTTATTCTTTGAACTGAGGGAGACGAAAATGCTGGTACAATTTGTAGAGTAATGAGGTGGGTGAGAACGGATTGTCAATGTGTTGCTTTTCGAGACATTGCCTGGAACGAGGAAATGGCGAACGGTCTGTGCTCGCAGTGAATGACCTTCGAAAGAGTGATCGTGACGAAAGCAAATTAGCGTGTATTTCTGTAAGGGTGTCCGAAACGTCGATTCTGCTGCCATATCTTGAAACTGATATAGCTGATTAGACAAAATATCCCCCGGTCGCCGAATCCTCCCGATGAAGCATTAAGAAAAAGTGGCATGTAGTTCTAGCGAAGATCTCCTAAGCAGGGACCCGGAATCTGTGTTGCAAAGGAAGACAAGCCATCTATTGTCCTCCCCATGTTTCGGTATGTCGTTACACCGCAGTCCAACTCTGAGCAGCCTTATTTGAAGAATGATGTTGATTGGGTGACTGGGAAAATAGTAACGTTCTATTGACTTTAGAAGAAGCCATCAAAGGATGGTTGTACCCGCATATTCCCTGGGTGTCTGGTGTGGAAATGTACCGCATAAGTCACAGTCGTCCAGGGCAAGTCACTAAAAGATATGGAGGGAGAACGATGAGACGCCTAGCTTAAATATATAGCAGATAGTAGGGACGAGTGAGAGTGACCCGTGCCGCGATTCGACTGGTTTCTTTCTACCTCCTTGTTCGACTTCTGGCGCAATTCTGGGACCTTTGCCTGACAGTGTCTATCGCTAATTAGAGATTCTTCCGATTCCATGAGAAACATGGAACAAGCCTTTGTCAATGTAACCTTCCCCGAGGTCGAGACCTTGCAGACGATTCCATCCAGCTCCGACGAGGCGGGAAAAGATGAGTTGACAGCGCAGCGCGGTGTGGATAATCACCATGACAACAACAAAACCGACCCGGTTCCCTTCCCCATTGCCATAGTAGGCATGGGAATGAGGCTTCCTGGCGGCGTGAGATGTGCAGAGCAATTCTGGGACTTGATTGTCAATAAACGCGACGGTCTTTGCCAGGTGCCCGGCTCAAGGTATAACGTTGAGGCGTTTTACGACGAGTCACGCCCAGGGGCCATCCGGACGAAGCATGGCCACTTCCTCCACGAGGACATCACCCAGCTGGACAATGTGTTCTTCGGCATCGGCAAGCCCGAAGCCGAGAAGCTCGATCCACAGCAACGACTACTGCTGGAAGTTGTCTGGGAGTGCATGGAAAATGGCGGACAGACCGACTGGCAAGGAAGCAATATCGGCTGCTACGTGGGTGTGTTCGGAGAGGATTGGTTAGACCTCCTCAGCAAAGACACCCTGCAACACGACAGATATCGCGTGATGAGTGCCGGGGACTTTGCTCTTTCCAACCGCGTCTCTTACGTGTACGATCTCCGCGGACCAAGCGTCACTCTCCGGACAGGGTGCTCCTCATCTATGGTCGGATTGCATGATGCCTGTCAAGCCTTATACGCTGGTGACTGCTCCTCCGCCCTGGTCGCAGGTACGAACTTGATCATGGGCCCGACGATGACGACCACGATGTCTGAAAACCTGGTGGTGTCCACCAGCGGAATATGCAAAACGTTTGACGCGGCAGCCGATGGATATGGACGAGGAGAAGCCATCAATGTGATATACATCAAACCACTTCATGACGCGCTTCGACAAGGCGATCCCATCCGCGCGATTATCCGGTCAACCGCGGTGAACTGCGATGGCAGGACACCCAGTATCACGACCCCCGGAGCCGAAGCCCAAGAACAGCTGATCCGGCATGCATATAAGAAAGCGCAGATCGTGGGGGACGAAGTGTCCCGAACGGCGTTCTTCGAGTGTCATGGCACCGGCACGATCGTCGGCGACACGGCGGAAGCGTCGGTCGTCGCCAACATTTTCGGGCGCGACGGCATTTACATCGGGGCGGTGAGCAAATGCGGTCTGGCGTGGAATTCTGCCCGCTAATCCCGTTTAGGTTAAGCCGAACGTCGGTCACTCGGAGGGGGCCTCAGGCATCACCAGCATCATCAAAGGCGTTTTGGCGCTGGAGAACAACCTCATCCCGCCCAACGTCCACTTCCGCTCGCCGAATCCCAAGAGTACCGTTCTCCATCTATTCTCCATCTCACATGGCGTCTGTGTGCTTCTCTGATGTCTTCTAGTTCCCTTCGATAGCGCCAAGCTCCGAGTCCCGGTGGAGCCCACACAATGGCCTGCTGACCGACGGAAGCGCGTCAGCGTGAACTCGTTTGGTATCGGAGGAACGAATGCTCATGTGGGTACTCCAGATATTCTTCAATTGGCTCCCTAGCATTCCACGGTAGATGCTCTTGCTAATCAGTCGCGGACTGGAAGACCATTCTCGATTGCGCCTCCCTCCCCTCTCCCTTCGAAACCATCAAATTGGGACTGCATGCTCGATCTAATAGCGAGACTCATTTGCTGGTTGTCTCGGCTAAAAGCAAGAGCTCATTAGACAGGCGTGTTGACGCAGTTGCACGATATGTTCAAGACAAGACTCCATCCTTGCCGGATCTTGCCTACACGCTTGCGCGAAGACGCGTCCATTTACCGAATCGTGCGTTTGCGTTAGCCAATAAAGATGGTCTCGTTTCGACATTCGAAAAGTCGACATCGACTGGACCACGGGTGGTGTTTGCGTTCACGGGTCAGGGCGCGCAATGGCCCACGATGGGGAGAGACCTGATGGCTCAATTTCCAACATTTCGGGAAGATATCCGAAACTTGGACCATGTGTTGCAGACGTTGGAAGTAGCGCCTGCGTGGAAAATTGAAGGTATTTTTTTTTCCAGTTTTTTTTTTTTTTTAAAGACTGCACTTTTGTAGCGATTGGTCTAACTTGGATTGCAGAGGAACTGTCGAAGAGGGATGACACCAGTCGGGTTGGAGATGCTGAATTCGCACAGCCTCTCACTACAGCCATCCAAATAGCCTTGGTAAACTTACTGCGAGAATGGGGTGTCTTGCCTACGTTAGTAGTGGGACACTCAAGTGGGGAGATTGCGGCTGCCTATGCCTCTGGAGCAATCTCAGCGAGTCTTGCCATAGTACTCTCCTATTTCCGCGGCCAATCAATCAAGGCTGTACCCCCGAGGGATGGCGCAATGGCTGCTGTGGGCATGTCGCCTGAGCTGGCCAAGACATACTTACGACAAGGAATCACTATCGCATGTGAGAATAGTCCCCAGAGTGTGACTCTGTCTGGGGATAAGAACGCCTTGGATGCTGTGCTCGCACAGATTCATACCGACAACAAAGATACATTCATCAGGCGCTTGGCTGTCAATGTTGCGTACCACTCTCACCACATGACCGAACCGGCCCAGGTGTACGAGACATGCATATTGCCATTTATGTCACACAATGAATATATGGTACCTCTATACTCAACGGTGACTACCAAGGTGATTTGTGACCCCTCGGAGTTGGATGCCGGGTACTGGTGCCAGAATTTGCAATCAACGGTCTTATTTGGCCCCGCGCTTCAGCGGATTTTAAGAGACGATTCTAGTGGCCTTCTGTTCTTGGAGGTTGGTCCCCATTCTGCACTTGTAGGACCGATACGACAGATGGTCCAATCGGAACAGATAACCGAGAGAACACCACCATATGTCGCTACACTACGCCGGGGCCACGGGCGATGGGAAAGCTTGCTAGAAACAGCGGGGCGTCTATTTTGCCACGGAGCGCCAATTAATCTTTCTGCTGTGGTGGCAGATGGCAAGGTGCTCACCGACCTGCCACTTTATCCATGGCAGCATGAGGGTCGGCTATGGAGTGAATCCCGGTTGTCCCATGATTGGAGGTTCCGGGAAGCCCCTTACCACGAGCTCTTGGGTTGTCGGTGCCTGGAATCAACCAGTGTGGAGCCGTCCTGGAGGAATCTTTTACAACTCGACCAAGTACCGTGGCTTACGGATCATCGAGTTTGCAAGGAAGTGGTTTTCCCCTGCGCTGGATACGTTGCAATGGTTGGTGAGGCAGTGCATCAAATAACTGGCGCAACCGACTTCACGGTGAAAAACCTATTCATGAAAACAACCTTGACAATTACACCCAGTGAAACCACAGAGGTCGTCACTACTCTGCGAATCGGAAAACTGGCCGACAACATTGATTCGAGCTGGTATGACTTCACCATATCTGCATTCCAGAAGGACACCTGGAAGAAATACTGTGTGGGACACGTCAGACCAGGCCCGACTAAAGAGCACCCAGTCCTTGAGATCCCAAGCTACTGCCGATCTGTTCCATCTGACAGGTGGTATAGCGCTCTGGAAGCACGCGGTCTTGACTACGGCCCTCACTTCCGAGGCCTTGAGTCTATCCTGGCAAGTCCAACCGATCCAAGCGCAACTGCTACAATACCTGACCGGGGCATGTTCCATGCGAACCATTATGCACTCCATCCTATCATCATTGACCAAAGTCTTCAGCTCCTCAGTGTCGCTGCAACCAACGGCATACCTCGTAAGCTAACGAGACTATGTATCCCTATGGCCATTGAGGAACTGTATATCGGCACAGGAAAAGGTTCGATGTCGCTCGAAATGTCATGCCAGGAAGCCGGAGGAACCCTATGTGGCAATGGGGCTGTTTTAGCTGAGAATAAAGTGGTTCTCTCTCTGCGAGCGGGGCATTTCTTCAACATTCAAGATCCCGATATTGGTCGACCAGTGTTGCCAGTGGCCTCTAGCCCTAGCTGGAAGCCTCATATCGATTTTGTTCCTTCCGAGAATCAGTTCCCACCGCTCTTTGTCAATCTTACCCTTGCCGAGGGAGCTTCTCGATTGACGCTGTTGGCTATTCTGGAGACATATCACCAGTCGCGGGCTCTGGTGGCGGATGCCCCGCATCTTAAGAAATGGCACTCATGGTTAAAGTCGGAATATGATGCTATATGCCATGGTGGTGGTCAGGCCTGGCTTACGGAGGTCAAAGATGCTCTAGCTCTTAGCAATCACGAGCGTTCTGAGGCGCTGAAAAACTACAAGTGCATCTCGAACAATGAGATCGAAATGTGGATATGCGAGCTGTGCAAGAGCATTATCGGAAATGTCCATGACATGCTGAAAGGCAGAGTTGAGCCACTTGACATCCTCATGGAAGACGGAAAATTGAAGTCCTTTTATCAATTTGCGTCTGCAATGACCCCGTGGAATAAATATCTCGAATTGCTTGGGCATTCGAATCCTTTGCTTCGTGTGCTCGAAGTCGGTGGTGGCACTGGAGGTGACACTCTAATGGCGCTGGAAGGATTGTCGTTGGGAAACGGCAACAGGCTTTATGCCAAGTACACATTCACCGATATCTCTCCAGCATTCCTGCCGCATGCGAAAGAGCGATTTAAATCCTACGCGGACATTGAATATGCTACTTTGGACATAAGCCAAGATCCCACTGAACAGGGCTTTCAACCGGCAAGCTACGACTTGATCATCGCTTCGAATGTCCTTCATGCCACTCCTAGTATTTCGACTTCGCTGACCCATGTCAGAAAGCTTCTCGCACCCGGTGGTCGGTTGATGCTGATTGAGCTGACTCCCGAGACACCGCTCATGGATTACATCATGGGAATCCTGCCCGGCTGGTGGCTTGGTGAGGGCGATGGACGTGTCGGAAAACCATACATCACTCGTGAACAATGGCATCAAAAGTTGCTCGATGCTAACTTCAGTGGTGTTGACGCAGCCCTGATTGACAACCAGGCCCCGTACCAATTGAAGTCACATATCATCTCACAGACCGTGCCTATCCAATGCGCCCCGAAAGTCGATGCTTACATCTATTACCGTGGATCAATTACCGAATGGACTCGAGATCTTGAAAGTCAACTAACAAGCGCAGGCCACACGGTGCGCTGCAACAACTTGCAAAATCCGCCTCCGCTGGGATCCAATGTCATAGTGCTCGTTGACGTAGAGGGGCCCTTCCTGCATGACATGACAGAAGAGGATTTCCGAAGTTTCCAAATGTTCATTTCTAACATGAATAGTGGGCGTATCCTATGGGTCACACGCTCGGTACAAATGCACTGTGACGACCCTCGGTTCGCCTTGACGCTCGGGGTGGTCCGAACAAGTCGGCATGAGGTGACCCGTGATTTTGCTACACTGGAACTTGACAAGGTCGATGGAGATGCGGTGCGACCGGTTGTCAGAGTGTTCGAGAAGGTGATCCTACAGACAGACAAACCCACGATTCAACGGGACTTCGAGTTCGCTCTCCAGGACGGGCTGGTTCATGTTAACAGATTCCAGTGGAGCTCCCTTGACGACCAGCTTAGCGAGACGTCTCAAGTGGACGGCCCGAGAAAGCTGGACATTGCTTCATATGCCATTCTAGATTCCCTAGCGTGGTCTTGCACTGGCTTCACATCAACCTCCTTGGGGCCGAAAGATGTTGAGATAGACATCAAGTATTTCGCGCTCAATTTCAGGGTGAGTAGACTGCGTGTCATGGTATTTTAAGTGAAAGCCCATGCTAATAACGTAACAGGACATGATGACGGCGATGGGCTTTATTGGAAATAAAGACAACATCGGACTAGAAGCAAGCGGAATTGTTCGTCGTGTCGGATCTAGTGTCACAGCTGTTTCTGTCGGCGACAGGGTGATGGTAATAGACAGGGGGCTTGCTTGTACGCGGAAAACCATTCGCGAGGATCAATGCTTGCCCATTCCAGACGATATCTCGCTAGAGGATGCTGCGGCAGTCACCTGTGTTTATGCTACCGTGATATATTCACTTATCTACATGGGAAATCTGGAAGAGGGCCAGTCGGTATTGATTCACTCTGCCTGTGGTGGCGTCGGCTTAGCCGCTATCCAACTATGCCAGATGATCGGGGCCGAAATTTATGCAACGGTCGGAAGCGAGGAGAAGGTCAGGTATCTCACTGAGACAATGGGAATCCCTTCAGACCACATATTCAACTCTCGAAACTCTTCCTTCCTCTCTGGCCTGATGACCAAAACTAACGGCAGGGGTGTCGACCTGGTACTGAATTCTCTTTCAGGCGAATTGCTTCATGCGTCCTGGCAATGTGTTGCCCGGTCGGGGAAGATGTTGGAGCTCGGAAAGCGTGACTTCATGGGCCATGGCAAGCTAGACATGGATCTGTTCTCGGAAAATCGCTCATTCATCGGTGTTGATCTTCTCCAAGTTCTCGACGACAGCCCATCATTGCTGCACCAAATGGCGGAAGAAATGATGGCGTACCTGGTCTCCGGCAGGATCCAGCCCATAAGACCAATACATACATATGACGCTGAGAGCGTGATAAAAGGTTTCAGATACATGCAAAGCGGGCAGAACATGGGCAAGATTGTTATACGCATGCCCGACGACCCATCAACGCTTCCAGTTACGCAGTTGCATGAAATGACACCGTACTTTACAGATGCTTCCTCCTATCTACTGGTTGGCGGGCTCGGAGGCCTTGGCCGGGCAGTGGCATTGTGGATGGTTGAGAAGGGAGCTCGACACCTTATTTTCCTATCTCGGTCTGACACAAGCTCTCCAAAGAGACAGGCCTTCGTGCAGGATCTCATATCTCAAGGCTGCTCGGTAACAGCAGTCACAGGAAATGTGGCAAATATGGGAGATGTTCAACGTGCTATTGCTGCAGCGCGTAAGCCAATCGCCGGCGTTGTCCAGATGTCCATGGTGCTGAAGGTTAGTTCATTCAAATGTCCTATCAACATCTCCTGTTGTCTTCGGCTTACATTCTGCGGGTATAGGACCAAAGTCTGCGCAAGATGTCGTATGAAGAGTGGAAAGCTGCATTGAGTCCCAAGGTCCAAGGGACATGGAATCTCCACCACGCGTTGAAACACATACCGCTGGATTTCTTTGTCCTCATGGGCTCCGTCGCCGGAATTTGCGGTTGGAGCGGGCAAGCTAATTACGGAGCAGCCAACACCTTCCTTGACGCCTTTGTTCAATACCGCCGTTCTCAAGGCCTGGTCGCTAGTGTTATCGATTTGGGTCTGATGGAGGATATCGGTTATGTTAATGAATTCTCGCTTACTGATACACTTGCCAGGGCACGTTCGAGCTCTATTCTAATGCTAGAAGAGAGTCATCTGCTCAAAGCAATGGAGAAGGCAATGCTCTCCCAAAGATTCGATTCACCAAGTCAGCTGGTAATCGGCCTCGGCGTTACAAACGCCGTTTCAGACGATGATCTCGCCGTGATGTATACGCAAGAAGCTCGCTGCAGTGGTTGGAACAATATCTTGTCCAACGTAAATCAAACTTCGGTTATATCCAAAGCTGATGAGCTGAGGGAGTACATGAAGGCGATCCAGAAGGCCCCTGAACTGTTGGATAAACCGGCAACCGAGCAAAGACTGACAGAGGAATTGGGAAAGCTGATAGCTTCGTACACTTCACGACCAGACGACATGACGAGAGATGAGCTAGCCAACATCGCCATCGACTCATTAATGACTTTTGAAATACGAACTTGGTTTCGTCGGCATGCAGCGATTGAATTAACCTTGCTCGACGTTTCAAACGCTGGCACCGCTGGTGAACTCAGTAAAATTGCGTTACGAAAGTTGCGTGATCTATTGAACCAAGGGAAATCGGAAGAAGCGAGGAGCGCACCGAGCACCGAAACCCCGAACGACAATTACGAAAAGGACATCGAGATCGGGGCTGAAATTCGTCCACTTCCCGGCCAAGCGCCGGATTGGACGTCCGAATCAGAAGGTCGTGTCTTTTTGACTGGGGCCACTGGGTTCCTCGGTGCGTTTCTGTTGGAACAGTTTGTCGGTCTACCCCAGGTGAAGTCTATTGCCTGTTTGGTCCGAGCTAGCAACCCAGAAGCTGGCATGGAGCGCCTGAGCGACGCCTGCAGAAAATTCGGCATCTCCACGAACTTCCGCGCGAAGGTATTTGTGGTCCCAGGTGACATAACGAAAGATCGCCTGGGACTCACACGACAGAGGTTTGACCAGCTGGCCAAGTGGGCAAGTGTCGTGTTCCATTTTGGAGCCTACGCCAATTACACCCTGCCATATTCGGTCCATCGGAACTCAAATGTGCTAGGTACTCTAGAAGTACTGCGGTTTGCCAACAGTGGTCGCTTGAAAACGGTGCATCATTGTTCCAGCATCTCCGCCTGCGGTATCCCCGAAGCTCTTAGTGGCGAGACGCCCGAGGACCAGAGACCTCTTCTCGAGTCCCAAAAGATCTCCCAGACACTCGGCTACTCACAAAGCAAGTTTGTCTCGGAAAACATCGTCTGGAACGCAATGGATAAAGGCTTCCCGATCGTCATATATCGCCCCGGTATCGTGACCGGCCACAGCATCACGGGCGTATGCAAGAAAGAAGACGTGTTCAATCGTCTTTTGTCCCACTGTATCCGGCTGGGCTGTTATCCGCGCCCACCCGACCAGCTGGCTCAATTTGTCCCCGTGGATTTTGTCTGCTCCGCAATCGCTCATATATCGCTCCGCAGCGATAGCATCGGTCATGCGTTCAACGTCGTGCTACCTGGCGAGGGACAGAAGATTACCTTGAAGACTATCTTTGACCTACTCAGTCAAATATGCCCCACCCCCTTGCGAAGCATGTCGTTCCCCGAATGGGCAGATCTGTACTTGAAAGGAGGCGATGCCAATATCAAGGTGGTTGGGCCTGTTCTCAGTGACCGACTCGCTGGGTATAGGCTCTGGTGGGATGAAATGGACCATATCTCACCCTTCAGTATGCAGAATGTGCATCGCGCCTTGTCCGACCACCCTGAGATTCTCCGGGTGAAGTCTATGCGAGAGCTGCTCAAGACGTACTATGACTATTGGATGCACGAAGAAAAGGATGAGTCATGAGGCCCATGGGCCGGAAAACAGAGACTTCAGTCGAGGTTGAGGCTCCAACACCTTACTACTAGTGCCTATTGCACAATGGGCAACTTTATATGAATCACAGTTTTGATTATGTCCAAAAACCTGTAGTCAATGCCCGGTCGCAAGGGCGTACGCCCTTCTGTTGACCGCGGTCCACTTAGTCGCAGCTGTCCAACTGTAAAGCCATCGTGGCTATGACTCAACGTGTTGGCTGCATGGGCATTCACATTGGCTTGTCGCGCAACACTAAAACACCAGCCCCCTCAATGCAACGACGCAGAGAGACAATCATCCGATCCGAACCAAGTGGAACATTCCAGTTCCATGGAGATCTATTGAGGCTCAAAATCCGTGGAGATCTATAAAGCCAGCCCATACAATCCTCCCAAGGAATCCAAATCAACCACCACAATGGCCCCAATTACCTCCGCTCTCTCGGAGACTCTCCAGTCTCTGACCCAGAGCAAAATCCGCGAACTGGAAAAGCGACAGGGAGCCTACGAAACTCAAAAAGCCTCCATCCTCCAAGCAGCCGATGAATTCACCGACATTCGCGACAAAATCGCTCATATACTGGCCGGTGTTAAAGAACTCCTCCCGCAAACAGACCGAGACCCTGTTACCGCCGACATCGAGCGCTGGTTGAATCAAGCGCGCTATGACTCCTCAATTCCAGTTGAAAAGCTGGTCTCGATCCACGATGAGTTAGTCTCGCAGCTCGATGCGAATAGTCGCCGATTGGGCCTTGCGGATCTCTACTCCCGCCTGTTGATGGAGTGGGTTAACGCCGATGCCAACTCGAACAAATCGCCCGGTGACACGTCCAGCGACGACGAGGACTATCTTGTCGTGGAAGAGAGACAGAAGCAGCGGCTACAGGCTCTTTGCGATCAGTTTGAGCAGGTGGTTTTCGAGCCGTTGGAGACAAGTCCCGAGGATATCCATGCTTTCCTCGATGGCCTTTTCCCCGATGAAGACAGCAAAAAGGGGTTGGAAGATTTTCGAGACGAAATGAAAAAGGACTGCGACAATTTGTGGGACGAGAGCTCGTTCGGGGATGAAGTTTTCGACACTGATTCTTTGACTCTGTGCATCAAGGGCCTGTTGAAGGAGGACATTCTCAGCGACGCGAAGAAAGAAATGCTGAAGTATTTCCTCGACAATAAGGTTGCATTGATTGAAATTGCGGACGTTTTGAACATGCGATACGACGACCTGAAGAATTGGGAATGGCATGCAGGAGAAGATGGTATCCCTGTTCTCCCTACGCAGCAATTGAATGGCAAGTATCGGATCTGGATGGACGAGGACGTGCTTCAGACAATCTTTGTCCAGCACATCGGAGTTCGATTGTGTAACATTCTGAAGGGAAACCTCGAAATGATGATCAAGAACGAGTCGGTGTGGAATTGGTCTCCTGGCCCACGCATGACCGAGGCGGATAACCTTCGACGCCAGTATTACCTGGAGGAATCGGGAGACAAGGTCAAAAGTGTCCAGAATATCCGCAAAAGGGAGTACATGAACACGTACTTTGTATCGCAGCTCCCGGGGTCTCAATCGACGCTTGCTCAACAAGGCGGCTCGTATGACAATGACGATGACGATGACGATGACGATGACGAGGAGGACGAGTCACAAGCGAAACACGAAGACAAGAATGTCAAGCAACATCTCCTGCGTAAGGTGGCTACCGAGACTCTCTTACATCGTGGTCTGCATGGTGAAGCAGCTGCCATTCAGTCCGATCTCAAATGGTACGGCACGTCGCTGTCCCACAGCACAATCTTTGCCGTTATGGCTTTCGCAGGATTTCCGCAGCGGTGGATTGACTTCTTCCGCAAATACCTCGAATCCCCGTTGAACATGGACCAGTCGTCGTCTGGGCGCGAGCCTCGTGGACCTCGAATCCGGAAGCGTGGTCTGCCCATGGCGCATGCGTCGGAGAAGCTGCTGGGAGAGTTGGTGCTTTTCTTCATGGATCTCGCTGTCAACCGCAAGACAGGAATGTTGCTGTACCGACTGCACGATGACCTTTGGCTGTGCGGTGAGCCGCAAAAGTGCGTACAGGCATGGGAAGTGATGAATAACTTTGCCAAGGTGGCAGGCCTCGAATTCAACATCTTCAAGACTGGTTCGGTCTATCTGTCCGATTCGAAGAATCCCAGTATCGAGGCTCGACTGCCCAAGGGACCAGTCACGATCGGCTTTCTGACTCTAGACTCCGAATCTGGCGTTTGGAAAATCGACCAGACGCAAGTCGACGAACATCTGAGCCAGTTGCAGAACCAGCTCCAGCGCTGCGACAGCGTTATCTCGTGGATCCGCACTTGGAACAGCTGCATCGGCCGGTTTTTCAAGAGCAACTTCGGTCAGCCAGCGTACTGCTTTGGACGGCCACATGTGGACGAAATCCTGAAGACCTATGAAAAGATGAATCGCGTCTTATTCGAGTCTCAGGGTCCCGAAAACGGGTCCACATTAACCGAGCATCTTCGTCAGATGATCAAGTCTCGCTTTGGCGTGTCCGATGTGCCGGATGCCTTTTTCTTCCTGCCAGAAAAGCTCGGGGGCCTGGGCCTGCGCAACCCGTTCGTTCCTGTATTGTTGGTTCGCGATAATATGGGCGATTCCACCTCGCCTGTTGAGCGTCTGCAATTCCTCCACCAGAAGAAAAGGGATATGTACGCGAATCATAGGAAAGAGTTCGCCGACCTCACGGATCGCGCCCGTCGTGAACGCCTAGATGATCTGTGGACTGACCGAGATCAACAAGTAGAGGACTTTATCGATCTCAGCACATTCATGTCATTTGATGAGTACATGCGGTATCCTGATACCAGAGATTCCGAGGTCGCGACCTTCTACGAGGCCTCCACCCAGGTAGCGGTCCCTGCGTATATTCAGCCCACGCCGGAGTATAGCCACGGACTGGACAAAGTCCAACAGACTATTGATATCGGCGATCCTTCACCAGAGGACAAGTGGGTTTTGCATCTGTATGCGTCTGAATTGATGTCGCGATTTGGGGGTTTGAACCTGGTGGAAAAGCGGTTTTTGCCCGTCGGCGTGTTGACTTTGATTAAGGAGAAGAAGATCAGATGGCAGATGGTTTTGTGATTTACCTTTTATTTTGATTCTCATGATATTTCAAATGTTGTATAATTTCTTTCGCTTCCGTCCTCACATTTTGATTTTAACTCGATCCAATCGAATCTTTCTCCCAAACCATTCACAACCTCACCAATATATCCCTCTAAAGCTTCGGCACCTCTGGCTCAGCAGGTCCAACCTTTGGTGAACTCGCCAAACTACTGTCTCCCTCTCCTTCTTGATCAGTCTCTCGTTTTTGCAAAGCCCTGGTCACTCGTTAGTTAACCCATCCAATCCAAAACACCCATCAACCAAGGCCTCCCGCTCACTTACTTTTGCGCATCCTCCCTATGATGCAACGTCCTCGTCGTCAACGCCGTCGCGATCATAATTGCCGATATAATCGTCACAGCAATGAAACCTTTCTGGTACCTCGGCGCATCGACCTGCTGCCACACGACCTGCGGTAACCAGGCCTGGAACACGTACGCCATTTCATTCATGCTGCCGACTACCAAGGCTCGTTCTTCGTTGTCGTCGGAACAGATTTCATGTGCCCATCTAGAGAGTAGAAATCGGTTAGCTTGTGTTCTGTACGTTTCAGAGGAGAGTGTGAAGCAGATGAGGAGAAACGCACGCCATGCATAATCCGCTTAGACCGAAGCCCGCGCCGCACATGATGAAGCACGCCCATTTCCAGCCCTCGGGAATGTCCCATATCGCGAGAGAGATGTAGCATGTTATGTTTACGGCCTGGTGGGATATATTAGTTAGATAGACTTTTCTTTTAGGGAAATGCGATGGAATTGGGGAGGAACGTACACCGCCGAAGAGGATGGGGGGCCAGCGTCTACCGCCTAGGATTGAGTCGGATGTCCCTGTCGCTGGGATTAGCGTGGTATCCTAGAGGAGTATGAGAGTTGAAAGCGCATACAGGCATATATTAGTGTAGTAACAACTTGAACGGCACTGGTCGTCGTCGGATAGGCGTTGATCTGCGTGACAGAGTACTTTGGGTCTTTGGAGGCCTTGAGATATCTATGGCATCGTTAGTCATGGATCAAATTCCCGCAGAGGTTAATGAGAAAGGTATTAACTCACTGTTGAAAAACCGGCTGACCACCTGTACCACCATTGTTAAATGCCCTATCGTTCATCCTGATCAGCCAATACCCAAGAAATCAACCCAACCAGTCAAACTCACATATACAACAACGTCAACACGTAAATATGCCACGACGTAAATATCTTCTTCAGCTTGGCTTTTGTATACGGCTGTCGAGACTGTCTTCCCTCCAACTGCATTCGTTTCTGCGACAGCGCCACCTCGTCCTTACTCAAGTACCAAGGATTACTGATCTCCGGAACATCAGGGAGGACAAAAAACCCGCTCAATGCGACAGGGAGGGAAATAATGCCGTCGACGATAAACAGCCTATCATCACCGAGTTCGATTAGCGATTTCCGACTGCCATTTTGCGTTGATAAGAGGAACTGTTTACCATTGCCATCCACGAAACCCGCCCCTTCCTTCAAGATTGTACACCGCTGCCATCAGATACCCCGAGAACATACTTGCGATGCCGCTGCTCGTGTGGAAGATACACGATCGCTTCGCGAGCTCGTCTTTGCGGTACCAGGATCCGATTATGTATTGCATGCCGGGATAGAAGGTGCTTTCGGCCAGTCCTGCGCAGGGTTAATTTCCGCAATGGCTTGGCTTGAGTAAAGATGGTCCATACCAACGAAGAACCGAAGAACGTAGAATTGAGTCGCAGTGTTGCATCTTGACATGGCGAAAGTCAAGACCGTCCAGAGGAGCTGTTAATGTGGTTAGTTGACTGCTTGTAATGCGAGGAAGCAGGCGGAGAATACCTCCATGGCCGGGATCCAGTATCGCGGTCGAATTCGCGTGAGGATGATATTGCTGGGTATCTCGCCGATCACGTAGCCAACTGTCCAGCATGTTTGCATGTAATTGAGCTCGTTGCCGTAGAGGCTTAGATCCTCTTTCCTGTTATCTGTTAGATTGTCCTGAACTTGAGCATTGCGTTGGCGAATGGTAAAAGGTACATACATCCCCGAAACGAAAGCATTGTTGATATTAATCTGATCCAGATATTTGATGAAATAGCCTGTTGCGATAGCATTAGCTATTACGGTCAGTTGGAAGGTATATCTTGAAATAAGCCATACCAAGCGACGCAAATGTCAAAATCGCCGTATCCAACTTAAACAACAACCTTCGTTCCTCGGGCGATTTATCAAACGTATCCCAGATATAACTGACCCATCTCCGCTTGGGCGCTTTCTGAATGACGTCGCTGGATGCGTCGACGGCACGTTCCTCCGTCGCGGCTGCTGGGGGGGCCATTGCCTGGCGTTTGGAGTCTCTTGCTCTTATCGGCGAAGAGAAGAAAAGACACAGCAGTCAAAACAGGGATAAGACGCAGTAGCACACACACAAACACTCCAGGAGCCCGTCTTACTATATACCTCCTCAGCCAATTCCAGGACCGAGATCTATCCTGTCACTAACAGGCAAAAAGTCCCCTATCATGTTTGTCACGCAGATAGATAACACAAAATCAAATCTAGCGTGGGACAGAGCGGGGATCCCCATTCATCATAATAGCGGTGTTCACGCAATCCCGCATCTTCACGATCCAGACAGATTGCAGGACTGCGGGGAGTGGCTAGACGGAGGTAAAGGGAGGTGGATCCGAGACTGCAGATCCATAATTTGATTCATGGGCGAGATCGGTCTCACCGAATTGTCTTGAGCGATGTAAGAAGCAAGGGTTAAGCTCTAGCCGAGTCTTGGAGATTGTGTTTCTGGATTGGTCATCTGGCGACAAGACTCTAGCTACAGAGGGGAAGGGACTTGGTACCCAGTACTCCGAGTACTGAATACACTGTAAACGAGGAGAGACGGACAAAGTGAGAGTGTCGCAACGGTGGCGACGGAGCTCGTCATCCTCAAGTTGAATGATGTGCCCGTGGATTGACGAGACCCCAGCGGATGCTGATAGCTTAAATCGCGAGTTAGTGCCTCGCCAAGCGCTGGAACAAGCGATATGCATTGCTATTGATTTCGTGCTCAGGCAATTTACGGCAGTTCGCGCAAGGCTGTACACAGACAGCTGTTGGCTATTATGGAGACTAGCTTAATCTGACGCATGACGTCCGGTATCTTCTCTATGGTGTCATCCACACTAAAATCAACCACTCTGTCTAGCTCAGCTAACTACAGACCTCCAGCACCGGAAGCTCTCCGATACCGCTATCACGCCTCTCCGCCGTCGCTTGGAAAAGGTTTCGGACCCGTTCTCGCTGTGCGGCTTTGGCCTCGTGCCAGATCGGCGTGTGGCCTTCGATCGCGGACAGTCCCTGACTTTCCCGATAACGGTTGACCCAGTCCAGAAGGTCTGCGACGTAGAGTTCCTCGATGTCTTTTAGAGAGTGGAACTTTCTTCCGGCCCCGATGCGGTCCACGCGCTCGTTGTATTCGGTTCTCATTTCAGCTTCTGTTGGGAGTTGCGCGATCCCTGACAGAATTGCCGTCGCGACAATCGCTTGGAATTCGAACAACGTGAATGTTGCCGTATAATATGGGATTCCGATAAAGATGAGCGTTGGGTCGGGGATGTAAAAGATGTCTTTGTGCAAGTTATGCACCTGTGTCCCATCTGTGACTAGAATTCGGTCGTCGGCATTCGCTGGCGAGATTTCGTCGTTGTGATATCCAGGCAGGAAGGGGAGCGTGATGTGATAGCCAGTACAGATGATGACTCCATCGAGACCGCAAAGCCTCTGTCCTGATTTGAGATGCGCTACGATGGGTAGGGGCTCGCCGTCTGCCAGATCCCGACCCTCATCTTGTATTTCAAAGTGCGACACCTCGCTAATGCGAACTCCATTCTCAGGAAGCATATTCGGGGATAGATCGAACTCGCCGTTTCGGGTGCTCTGGTAGACATTCTTTGAGACTGGACCGATTTCTCGTGATATGTCGAGCGAGGACACGCCTCCGCCGATGAGTAGAATATTCTATGTTATAATTAGTCCCATCGTCTCGATCTCCTTCACAAATAAAACCGACCTTGTCTTTGAACTCATGCGGCTTCCGATAACCCTTCGAATGGATGATCCGCGACGGCCATTTCGACTTGGCCTCCGACAAACCAGCGATATCAGGAACTCGAGCAGCATGATAATGGCCGGACGCGACAATCACCGAATCAAATGTCTAGACACAATATCAGCGTCTGCTCTCTTCCATCTCAGAATGACAACATACCGAAATCTGCTCCACCTCCTCAACTACCCCCGTCTCTTCGTTTTCACGTAATCTCGACCACGTCACAAGCCACGTCTCTCCCTCCTTCGAGACATTCTTCACTCTTGCCCCGTAAATCGTCGCATCATGCACGCCCGATTTCTCCGCCGTATCTTGAATATACGCCTGCATTACCGTATGGCTGACGAAATCCGGAGTTCCCTCCGGCCACGCATTAAGTTTGACTCGCATCAACGGCGTCGACACATTATTCTTCAAACCATCATAACAAGGCCTAGAACCGTCAGCTTCACTTCATCCAGCAGATCAATGAAAATCCCTACCCCGGAGGAGCATGCTCCAACGCCAACTTCGCCTCATCTTCCGTCCCCCGTTTCCCTGTCTTATCCGCCTCCGACGGCTTAATGGATGGATAATTCGGCTCAAGGGGCCGTCGTTCATCATGAAGCCTAGACAAAATGTAAGCCAACGCAGAGCAGCCGTAAAGCAAAAAACATACCAAACACCACCCGGAGCCTGATTCCTCTCAAAAACAGTGACGTCCAAACCCGCAGCCAGAAGATGACCAGCGGAGACGACGCCACTGATTCCGGCGCCGATCACAGCGACTCGGCGTTGATTATGCGTCCCGGCCATGATGCAAATGATGTCCTATTTTGTTTCTTATTCCGATGACAGACGGGATGACCGACATAAGCCATTTATCAGAAATGTACATTAAGACACTGGCCCCATGTTTGGGCTCGGTGGACGTATCCACGCACGCTATGTCAGACAGAAGTGGTGTAATCCAACCGGTCCATAAAACCGCCAGCGGTCCATCGCGTCAGGCAATGCGATATCCACAGTCCCTCGGGGTATGGAGGGATGATCAAACCGAAAGGACGAAAGAGCCAATGTCATTCAAGGCGTGAAGGCGTTTCATCGATTATAAATCAGTTGTCTGGAGACGCCATCGCATCCTGGCATGGTGATATACTCCACGAGTCCCTCCCCGCCTCTGAGGAACCAAGATCCGACCCACGAGTGGCCGCAGATAAGAGCGAGGAGGGGGATGAGGGGGTGTTTGGAATACGAGTAGCAGAGGAGAGGTTGTGCGAGGGAACGAGTGGGAGCGAGAAGGCGCAATGGGGGGTCGTGATGATGTGATTGAATCCTCCATCGAGAGTCGACAATCGCGAAAGATGAGGAGATGCGTTCACCACCATTAACAAGCATTAACAATCATAATCCTGGCATTGGATGGGAGGCAGGAGGGGGTATAAAATGGGGGACTGCTGGGTGAAGCTTAGCCCGTACTGATTGAGTCTAGCTAGACCCATTCTTTGAGAGTCTTAGTTATTCGAGATAGTCCCCTATCCAAAATGGCCCCAGCTCCTATTGACCCGCGTATTGTGGACGTCGCGCCGCCTCGGAAGGATACACTGGCCCTGCCGTCTGCAGCTCGAGAACGTCTTGAGAAATCGGGGGTGGATCTCTCTGCCGGTTATCCCTATCGGCCTTCTCGTCCGCTCTACCTGGACGATGTCTACAGTATCCGCAACGAGCACCGCGAGCATGTCGACCCTGGCTCTCGGGCTGATCCCGAAAAGAAGGCCCTACTCTCAGCAGCCAAGGAGGTGATCCATCTGACAAGACACATTGGAACGGAGATTGTCGGTCTCCAACTCAAGGACCTTACCGACCAGCAAAAGGACGAGCTGGGCCTCTTGATTGCTGAGCGAAGCGTCGTCTTTTTCCGAGACCAAGACCTCTCCCCACAGCAGCAGAAAGAGCTAGGCCAATGGTTCGGCGAGGTCGAAGTCCACGTAAGTCCCCAGCTCTCTGCGCCTTTCTTCAGGTGTTGAACAATCTACAGCCCCAAGTCCCGCAAGTCCCCGGGGTCCCGGGCGTCAGCGTCCTCTGGCCAGCTCTCATGGCCAGCGAGAGCGTCGCGCCCGGGTTTCGTCGCCCAGGAGGTGCTTCTCGCTGGCACACCGATCTCGTCCACGAGCGCCAGCCTGCCGGGGTCACCCATTTGCACAATGACACCGTCCCCACCGTGGGCGGCGACACTCTCTGGGCCAGCGGATACGCCGCGTACGAGAAGCTGTCTCCAGCCTTCCGCAAGATCATCGACGGAAGAACCGCCATCTATCGCTCTGCTCATCCATACCTGGATCGCAGCAATCCCGAGGCAGGTCCTAAATACGTCGAGCGGGAGCATCCGCTTGTTCGCGTCCATCCTGCGACCGGGTGGAAGGCTCTCTGGGTCAACCGATCCATGACCGATCGCATTGTCGGCTTGGATAAGGCCGAGAGTGACCTCATCCTGGGGTATCTGTACGATGTGTACGAGAAGAACGTTGACATCCAGGTGCGCTTCAGGTGGAGTCCAAGGACCAGTGCGCTTTGGGATAACAGGTTAGTTATTCATCCATCTGCCTCCCGTTGAGACCATATGAACGATGTTGACGAGTCCAGAATCACGATCCACAATGCCAGCTGGGATTACGAGGGCTCGGAGCCCAGACACGGAACTAGAGTGACTTCTCTGGCTGAGAAGCCATTTTTTGACGCGAAGGCGCCCACTCGTCGCGAGGGATTAGGTCTGCTGGGCAAGGATGAGATCGAAGAATTGGGCAAGCAGTGATTGCTCACGAAGTCTATGTTTTTACGCGAATATGAAATTGTTCCATGTTTTCTGACTTTGACATGGTCGGTTGTCCTTTGAGCAACCATCGTAGCCAGAATTTACTCTCAGCTTCGAGGCCTGAGCAGCATAGTCAGGCCTTAGAAAGAATCACTTAATCTTACGCTTGAGGACTCCAGGAATGGGGAATGGCGAATACCTAGAACATCCAGATACGTGTATCGCAGTTCATTATCGCAAATTCTGCAACCCGAATTCGTGAGGAACGGGGATTTCGATCGATTTCTGAAAAGTCTCTCGGTCGTACTCCGTAATCCCGATGCTAACGGTTGGTATCCGGATCAACCCTGGACCTAGAAACGTTAAGCCGTTACCGTAACCAAATCAAAGAACTCTACCGACGTCGCAAAATGTATATCCAGTGAAACACTTCCGGAGTGAACGCAAACGCCGAGGTCTCGCCCTGCGGCGCCTTCACCGGCGTACGCGACACCTGCTCCCAATACTCAGTCAAAAGGCCTAAATTGTCGAACCGCATCGCCGAATAAGACAAGGTAGCCCACGTAGCACCCGGCCTTGTCAACGCAGCCAGGTGTAATCCCAGCAGCTCGACGGGAGACATTGTCGTCACGCCATTATGTTCAAGAATTCGTCGCACGGTCGGACAGATATCGGCCGGCGCTGTCTCCGGCGAGAAACAAGGCGAAGGGCCAGTCGCGATCGCATCACTAGTGCTTTTCTCCAGGATGACATCGAACGGCCCGAGCGATGAAAGAGCCGACATGTCGTCCCACGACCGCAGGTCTGCGCGTAGCCAGTGCATCGCATGCGAGGCATCCTCTTTGCTTTCAGCTTCTCGGCCCAGGCGGACGGCTTCGGCGGAAAAGTCGACGTTCTGTACGACAAGCAAGGCAAGGTGTTAGTGAGGCTGGACGGCAGATTTGCAAAGCAGACGGAGGGGGGAGGAATTGCACGCACCACAATGCCATTACCCGGCCACTGACGCTTTGTGAATGCATCGCGAAGTTTCAGCCCGAGTTTAGATATCCCCGGGCCTAGATGTAACACGCGAGGCGTCGCGTCGACGGCAAACGACGATCGGGTCTCCAAGTCGGACACGACGGCGTCGACGAGCGACTCGCCGGGATTGAGCCATTCGCCGACATCTCGGCCGGTCGCAAACTTCGTATCCCAGTACTGCGGGTCGTCATAGTCGGGGGTGCCCGTGAGTTTGGTGTGAGTTCTCCCACTTGACGGGGTGGCCATCCTTCGCGCGACGCTGCTGCAAAAAGATTTCGCGATGCTTGACGTCAGCTGACGGCGAAGGCTTAGTCAGGGGCACGTGCCCAGAGCAAAACAAACAAACATCTCAAATGGCAGTCAGTCGATATTTCTAATTACAACAAAAAGTCAGGATTAAATATTGCCTCGTGCCGATAGTCTGGTTGTAATTGTTGTCAATTTGCTGTTGGTAAAGGTGTGTCACTGTTGTTCTTCCCAATGGTGTGATCAGGTATATATATTGCCGCTGTTCCGTAATCGGATGCTAGGAATAAAGTACACAAAACTGACGAGAAATGTATAAGGATAGAAGGTAAAGTCAAAATATGGAGCTGATAGTCAGTTGATGGATTTTACAACAAACATTTAGCAGGTATATGGTGAATAACAAGATCCATTTGGGTGTAAATGTTCTAGTTTGATATAAAGACATTGGACTGATGATGTTGACATTAGAACATGACTTCGCTGAATATTTTCATAAGGCCAAGACTTTGATCTATTTCAGCAACTAATTGTATAAGTGCTAGAAAACCGAATACATATCCTTTGCCACTTCGTTGTCTTTGGCCTCCAGATAAGCATGATAACCGAATAGGGAAAGTGAGCCCTAACCACCAAATGATCATGCAACATAAAACCAAAAGATGACAAGTCTTTGCCCCTATCCCCACCCCTGAGAGTAGATTAAAGCCATGTACTAGCACGATCAGCAAGTGTCATTTGGTTACTTCGAAGGAAACAGGGATACGGCGGTATATAAGGTGTATCTCGAACCTACGCCCAACCCAGATACCCAGTCCTAATATTTCCAGTGGCAACATCCATAAACCTCCTACGTAATAGACCCTAGACAAAGTAACGGTCGCAAGATAAGACAACCAAGAAAGTCGAGGCAGATCATGTCAGGGCGCGGCATCATCGAGCTGTCGAGCGACCGGGCGACGCTCGCGATCACCATGCAACGAGCCAACCAGCAGCGCCATGTCGATGCAGAAGAAGACAGAGACAAGAAGACAACGCCATCCGGCGACGATCAGAATCGGCCTGACCATCTCACGCATCAGGCTCCTGGATTTGACGAAACGAGGAACTCTATTGGTAGAGGGCCATCCAATCGCTACCGCCGCTCCCCAGCTCCAGACCGATTCTGCAGCAGAACCTGACAACCACAACACGCCACCTCCAATCATTACCTCGTCCAGTCGAGTCGAGCCGACGACCCCGTCTGGAGCTGAACAGATCGTTTCATTCATTCATTCGATACCTCGCACTGCCGTGTCTCGTGACTACCCCGCATCCGGATGGTATATAAACCCCGGCCTGCTGGTGTCACCTTGGAGGTTTGATTCATCCATCAGGATACTTTGGCTGCTGTCATCATATTAATAATCTTGCTGAAACTTTCTGAGTATCTACCTTCTTGAAATCTACAACCACAACCATGTCTGCACCACAAGCCCTACAGAGCCTCTCCACCCTGGGATCCTCTGTAGGACAATACGGGAGACAGCAAGTGTCGCGGTTGCAAAACCGCCTCTTCAAGACAGGTAGGACTCCTGGCTGCGAATCTAACCACCGTCTGGTCTGTCTCTAACGGAGAGCCCAAAGACAAGTCTCGACGCAGGGCACAGATCGTTCAAGGCTCGTTCATGGCGCACCGTCCCGTCTGGCTCACTGCAGGAGGGGCCGCCTATACCACCGCGGGCGCAGTATACCTCACACTACAGTACATGCGTCGACTAAGATGATCGATAAGGAGGGGGAGGGGATCTTCATCTTGAGATAGGGTGGGGATGATACGATACATACAGCGAAGGGACACATCCTAGACGGAGACCTCGTATTTTCCTTTGTTACTGCATTGGGGACTTTAACCGGGACGGGGTTTTGATTTGATTTGATTTGATTTCGGACGGATTATTCATTCATACTCAGAGTCATATTCAGATCCAGATTCGAGCCACAGGATGGCCGGGAGAAACGGAGTTTTTATCAGGTTTATCGTGTTTTTTTATGACTGTCTATTTTTACCACCGATGATAACTGGCAAATCGCATGATGGTTTATCCACACACCAGGCAGAAGTAAGCAGGGGAGCGAGAGAAAGGAGGGGAGGGGCACGGAAGTCAGGGGGCGAAGGACAGGCGCGCTTTGGGCTTTGTGAAACTCGTGACCTCATCATGGACGTAAACGCAATACAAAGAAACAGGGATGTCTTGAAGCCCAATCAACGTCAAACCCATCTGCGTCCATCAGGCCACACCTCCTGCGTCCGTGGCATCACCCGCGGCGTTAAACGCCGATGATAAGGACAGGGGATGGCTGGGTATCCAAGACCATCCTCTCTTTTCCCTCGATGATATCCAGCGATATTCATACCATCTAAGCTCTCTACACCCTTCCACTTCTGCCGGCCCACTGTGAAGCTTCTCCCACACTAGACCACGGCAGTACCTTACCCCAGATCCACCGCATCCCCGTCCAGAGTGGTACGTATCCATCGGCCTTGGTGGAGGGGGACGATTGGCTGCGCAGCGCCGGCGGATCCAGCGGGCTTGCAGATTGAGTTGCAACCCCGCTCGACAACCGCCAATGGGGGGTGAAAGAATGTCACAGTGCAGGATACCCCGGATGCTTGGCAACCCCGCACAATGTGTGGATGGGGCGGGAGACTCGCGATAGGATCAAGGGCTGACAGGAGGGGGGCCGAGACTAACGGGATGGAGGATGATAAGAGGGTGTACTTTTGATAGGGGGTGGCTACTACTCCTACGTGGTCGGGAGATTTGTTTTGGCGGCAACGTGATAGGATTATGCCCACAGGATGGATCCCGCTAGTACCGTGGAAACACGGAATGGTCTCCTTAGTTACATCTGCGCAGGATGCTGCAGGGATAACCGGGGCTTAGCCCTACATATCACCCATCACATATATGCATGGCCCTCGTCATCCGGTCGATCACAACTTCAATAGGAGGATCAAGCAGCGGAGTTTCTTGTTCGGTCCCATCTGCTTTTCGACCGTGTCGAGAGTGGCGAGCATGGAGTCGAACAGCTGGTTGAGAACATCAAGCGTGTGCTCAAGACTTCCTGTTCTTTTCATCTCGTCGAGGATGTCCAGCTTGGTCGCTTCGGAGACCTCGTCTCGTTGCCCGTCCGCGCCGAAAATGGGTAATTGGCGAAGAACATCTGCGTTCGGGCTCTGCTGCAGCAGGTGGATGAGAGGGAAGGAGAATTTCCCCTCCGACAGATCATCGCAGAATCCTTTCTTGGCGGTATACTGATCGGCTTTAGTATTGATTGTTGATGACGATGGATAAGTGGTGATATCATACCTCTTCCGATGCGAGATTCTGATAGTCGTCGCGGATTTGATAGTATCTTCCCATCAGTGTGATCAAATGCATGAGGTTATCATTTGGCTGGACGTCCGCATCCACCTGCATCAGTTGCAATGCCAGACGGAAAAATCCACCAGTTTTGTGATCTATCATGATGAGGTACTCGCTGACCGTTGGACACTTCTTGAGAAACGTCCAGTTCAGATCCATTCCCTGGCCTAAGGTGAGAATCTCAAGCTCGTCTATGATCATTAACGTGGTTTCATTTCACCAAAGAAAATGAGGACCTACTCATAGTAACAGCGGGACATTCCGGCCGCAGATGTCTACCTGCCAACGCCACCGCCTTTCCAAATAGATACGTCGCGGAGTTGACAGTCTGACTTAGGCCGAACTTGACGTGAGCAGCCGGCAGTCCGCGTCGCAAATGGGAGCCGTCCTCGATATCATCCAGCCTGGTTGACCGTTAGTGTTTGATACGATACATGATTCGGGACAAGCGTACATCAGGGAGGACGTGAAAAGCATGTTCATAATCTCGGTTATGACCAAAAGAGAGTTATCGGATACTGGAAACCATGGCTTCAGACTATGGAGAAACTTTCCGATAGTATTCTTCCCGGGAAGAGATTTCGTATACGTGTAGGGGTCGGTGCAATTCTGGTGGGATCAGCAGGGAATCAATAGGGAAAGCAGCGGCCAACAGACCTTTTCCGTGACGGTCTTTTGAAACGGAGCGAGAATGTCATAGGTAGAGGTCGAGTTAGGACTTTCAATCTCCTTCCGCTCATCAGGATGTTGATTTTGCGCGTTTTGCGATGCCGAACACATGCATGGTTTCTCGTCCACGGATGAATGCTCGTTGATTCCAACCGTAGCTGGCGGTGCATAACCTTCTAACCGCAGCATATTTCCATCAGTCTTTCCAATAAGCTGCGCCCGGACTCCCATGGAATGCTCTACTTCGTCCACGTGGTCACACAGTGAATACGACTGCCAGTAATTACAGCCACCGATTGCGAGAATAAAGAATCCCATATACGCGCGCAGGTTGTCCGATTTGGGCTCAGAAGATGCTTCCCACTCCTGATACCCGTCCAGAAGTTTCCTTTCGGCGTCGAGAATTTCGCTTTTCAGGATTGCCTTTGCCTCGTCTTCATTGTAGCCATACCGAATCATCAGAATCGCAACCGAATTGTGGAATCGATCGACTGTGTCAGCTGCAGCATGCCTGTGATATTCCTTCTCGAACCCGTAAAAGTCACTGGAGAGCGCCGCACTCAGGTAGCCGTGTTGTCGCAGTTGTGAGACGGATGCTTGCTCTTCCTCAGATATAGGATAGCCTTGGAAAAGCATGGCTAGGTCGAATCCGGTCCTGTAGTGGAACCCAGAACAGACTTGATTAATTTTCTATGCCATTGTCCGGAATATAAAAACACTTACTTTGCCTCAGCCTGCTTTATTTGAACCTTCTTGAATTCTTCAAATGTCATTCCATGATCAGGCTGCACCGACCGAGCACTGACTGCAACTAGAAGTGCTTTGAAGAAACGCTCCTTGAGATCCGGCCGACCGTTGATAATGGGGCCCAAGAGGAGCTCGATTAGCTTGTCCCTTCTCCCCTGATTAAGTTTGGGAGTCGCGCCCAGCTTCCAGAAGGTAAGAATAGAAAGTAGTAAGTCGTCATAAATGGCCTCTTGCTGCACGATTGATTAGCCTGTACCGATGCCGAATGGTTGCTGAAACGTACGCCCTTATCGTCCAGGGTATCGATGACATCTGAGCTAATTAATACTGGTTCAAGAGAGGCAGGAATCGACAAACGAACCATGCAAGCTCAACACGAGATCTAGCAAAGGCGCGAGAAGGCGTACATTCTTTGGAGAAAGCTCCGGCATGCCCCATTTAAGAATATGGTCGCGTTTGGGCCTGAGTGCTGCAGTTCCGCTCTTGTTCATGAGCCATACCAGCCCGCCGAGGCCAGAATCTCCTGCCTGGTAATGCTCATCACTAAGGTTAGACTGGCGATGGGGCAGAATGTTGAAGTAGCGAGGTGGTTGATCAGCCGGATCGGGAAGGCTGGAATACTGAAACTGAAAACCCTGTAGAACTGACATTGTGTACACTCAGACGAATGTTGAAGGTTCTACCGTAGGGTCGACAGCTGGAGGCAAAGGGGGGTTATAAGTCTTGAGGTTGTTTGATAATTGGAAAACTCGACTAAATTTAGTCCTGCATAAGTCTGCCAAGACTAAGCAGCTATCTTTCTAGGGGCAATATGATTGGTCAAACTCAGCTTTCAGCTGGTCGATTGGGAAACCGTACACATTTGGTTGCTGTTTGAGCAGTCAGAGTTCCAAGTCACATATGATGCATCATATTGCCGCGTGGCATGTTTTACAGAATCCTATCAAACAAGGGGGATATTCACCCGACCCCAAAACTATCAAACCATTTGCTCCGATTCTCCGACGAACGCATCCTCCAACAACTCCCTGAGCCCTCGGAACTTCACTCCCGAAAAGAATCGCTCCCTATGCTCCAGCACCCTATCCATCGGCACCGCACTAGCACCAATCACATTCCACTCATCCATGTACGCAACAGCCCGCTCCACCGGCTCCAAGGTGCTCTCATTCTGCAATGCCAGAAGAATACTCTCCGTCATCTTCTCCGTCACATCGAACTTTCTCCCATAGAACTCCTCCGCAATCCCAATCGCCTCATTCCACGTCCCAATCTGCCCAGCAACATACGTATGCTTTTCCCAGCTGCCAGAAGGCGCATCAAGAAGCTTCACCAGCGCACGAGCAACGTCGCGAGCAGACGTCCATCCGATCGGCTCCTCGCCTGTCCCAAGCTTCGTCGCAGTGAATGTGTCGAGATCAAGTGGCCAGATACCCGGAAGTGGCTTCATATACGATCGGACTTTGGATGTATCGAGCTCTGTATTCAGCATAGCGGGTTTTGCACTCTTCGCGGGTCCGCGAGTAGACGGTTTGTACGGGACGATGGTCGGATCGACCTTATTTCCCTGGACGATATAGTCCATAAACCAGCCACCGTTGACAAACGTCCACTCAACCTCTGTCTCGTTGGAAATAGTCTCCCTGAACACGCGATGCGTAGAGTCGTAGAATCTAGGGAGACTTGGGAAACGATCGATATCGCCGCCGTAGTCCGAGGGGACGAAGCGTTTGCAGAGATCGCTGTTTCGGCATGCTGTTAACATGGCCTCGTGTGCGGTGTTGTAGAAAGACGGGTCATTTGAGTGTAGGAGTGAGAAGAGAGCGGTGGCTTTGGTTTGGTTCAGAATTGACTGAATGGAGGGCGCTGAGTACTCGGTGACGTGGAGAGAGATGTGAGGGTTAGACGTAAACCAGGGCCGGTTGGAGAGCGAACGAGTCAAGACTCCGATTTGTGGTGGATTGGACGGGTTTGAGGCGATCAGCTCCTCAATGAGGTATTTGGCGACGTCGCTGGCACCGGCTATGACGATGCTTTGTTTCGATGAGGTGGTCATTGTAGGTGTTCACGCTGTGGTCTGGGCGATTTCGAAACTGAATAGGCCCAAAGAACTGATTGATATGAGGATAACCGTCATCGAACATTGTTTATATATCTGACAAGTATATGTCACGATGCCAAGGCGGAGAGTTGCTTAACAAATCAGGAGATGCATTCCTCCGCTCGGAGACTTTGACTTCTATCTCCATCCCTATCTCCGCTTAGGGCTCCATGATCGTCTGAAACACGAAGAAACGCTTCGGAGTTATGATTCCTTCGCCCCACACTTGAATAATAATCCATCTAGCTACGAGAGCTTTCCGTGCCCTAGAAGCTTCGCAGATAATGAGTTCCCATGCTTAGATATCGCGACACGTACAGCTTCATCAGGAAGATCTACTTTCATTTGCAAAAGACATCAGATCCAGGTATTGGGAATAAAACCATATGCCACTATCGACAGAGCCCTTTTAAAAGACTTATCCTGTGAATGCTACATCTTGAACTCAGATCATAATGTGTCAGATTAGGCTTAAAACCAGAAAATGTCTATCAGGAGAAACATAGAACGGAAATGTTATCGACTATGGTATAAGAAAAAAATGATCTCTGCGTCCCCAGTGCGAAGATCAAAATTCGACCACTAGACAAGTGTAGGTCAATCAAGTGGCATTCATTTGTTCTTTTGATGGCAGAAATCACATAAGTCATAACCAAACAAGTACTCCAGCGCTGTAACCATATCCCAAATCCTATATTAACACCCGAAGGTCCGATAAGCCTCCTCAATCTCCCTTCTATACAAGCTCTTCGAAACACCGCGCTGCGGATACCCCTTCACCCCCCTCGGCAGCGGCCTCTGACGATTGACAAAGATAACACTACTCCTCCAAATATACCCCTTCACCGGGGAAATATTATTCGCCTGCTCCACCCACTGCCATATCCTCTCCAACAACACCTCCCTCTCATCCGCAAAAGCATTCTCATCCACCTCCACGAAAACCGGCATCCCCCCACCCCTCTCCTCACACACAACAGCCCCTTTAACACCCTCACACGACTCAATCACAACCTCCATATCCCTCGGCAAGAACCTCCCCACACTCTCAGACTCCGTCAAGTCCTCGACCCGCCCACAGTACCGCCACAGCCCCACCTTCTGCGGATCCGGATGCCTCCGAAAGAGATCTTTCATCGGATACTCGTCCATATCAGGGAACATGTAAAACGCACTCTGTCCCCTATCACTCTCGCTGCGATGGATAACCAGCTCATGATACTCGCGCCATACAGGGCGGAATTCATACGGAACCACAGGGTCGAGCTTTAGATACGCCCAGTCCCCTGGGTCGTTTGTTAGATGGATCGGGAAGACGTTGGCCTCCGAGGAGCCGTAGATATAGGTGATGGGGACGTAGCGACGGAGGATCGGGCCGATATCAAGTGGGCACGGGGCGCCGACGACAACGAGGTGCGAGAGGGTTCGGAGACGGTTGAGATAGGATTGATTGGCGCATGTGTCGCGGAGATATTTGGGGCTGACGATCACGGACGTCACGTTGCCGTGCGCGATGATTCCGTCGGTCACGGATGCCGTGACGGGGCCGGGGCCGAAGACGGGTAACACTATGGTGAGGTTGTAGATCATGTTTAGGCCGAACAGGGTGTAGAAGCCTGCGGCGATGGTCATGGGGGCTAGGAAGGCGACGCGCTGGTCGCGCCAGTGGGCGAAGTTAACGCGCCCTGTGTCTTCGGCGTCGAGATACATCGGGGCTTGCTGGTTAAGGGTGGCGTGGGTCATGATGATGGGTTTGGCAGCGCCGGTGGTGGCGGAGGTGTGGATTGCTGCGAAGGGGGTGGTGAGGACTTCGCTGAGGGTTTTGGGGTAGGGATAGACTTGTGGAGTGTTTGGTTCTGAGAGCCAGAAGTCGAGAGTCGGTGTCATGATGGCTTTCAGATGTGGCTTAGCAGAGAGAATGGTTTTGGCCTTGGGGAATCCAGGCGCTGGGTGCAGGAGGTATTGACAGTTTGTTTTCTCGATGAGAGAGATGTGGGTGTCTAGGCCTGCGGCTGGATGGCATGTTAAAGTCTAGATACTCTGATTAGCCCGGATTCTTCTCTTGTTCGGACAGAGAGAACGAACAATATATCCAGTCTTCACAACTGCCAGCGCAAAAACCATATACGATAGATCCTGCGGCGCAACATAATGCAACGCCGCGAAGGACGAGCTCGCCGAGCCTAGCGTCTCAACAATCCACCAGGCAGCGCAGTTGACGGCGCGCGCGAACTCCCCGTAGGTAACGTCGCGATAGCCAGCACTCACATCATGATTGTCGCACGGGATCGACACTATAGGCTGGTCAGGATGCAGATCAGCGAGCTCATCGATGAGCGTTGGGACAGGAGTCGTATGGCAGGCGTGTCGGAAGTGTTCTGCGACTGAAGGCTTCATGTTGAGTTGGTATGATAGATTAGTGTGTGGAGGAACGAGTGGTGTATAGAGAGACAAGAATATTTGAATGAGAGCCGGAGAATCGGCATTGATGTCGAGGTCCACCTTCTTGCATGCCTTCTATCCATGTCCAGGCGAGTAGCTCCGTTAGCAGGCGTATGTATGCATACGGTATTACTCCGATACGTCTGGCGGTACCCCGATAATTCTCAGGTATTACCAAGTATTACCAAATATTACTGCGAAAAAAAACAGTCCGGAGGGGCTCCTGTCGGGGCGGCCGGTCACAAGATCGAGTAACCCTAAGAAGTCTCCAAAGTACGAGGCGCTTAAGGAATAAAAAGTAATACCATGGACGCGATTGCCCGCAAAAAGTCTAGATTACTATCATTAGAATACATCTGACATCTAGTCATACAGCCCGGTCGCCCCCAAAGACTCCTTACATGGCGCCATATCGTGCTATCCAACCCTATTGGGGATCGGTCGTGGATCGCCCCACAGGCTGACTCCCCACTTGAACATCGTTCTTCACCCAAATCTTTCCCAACGGGATATCGTTTGGATCCGAGTCGACGGTCTCGCATGACACGCCCGTTTCAAGACTTGGCACATACCGGTGGCTGCCTGAGGGGAGCGTTTCAAAGCCTCGCTTGGGTCCGTAAGCCCGATAGGATTCCGAAACGGCAGAGGCATTGGTGGCGCTGACGGAGAGGTTGGGCTTGTGGAGGGCCCATCGGAGAAGAGGACGCATGGTCGGGAGACAGGCCGATATAACGCCGAGGGAGACCTCGAGGGAGGTCCAGATGACGGTGCCGTTCATTTCCCCTGGGAGAGATGTTAGTGGGGCGGGTCTAGACTTGATCTGTGGGGAAGCATACAGGTGAAGTCCGGTTCGTCGACTTTGAATTGTTCGTAGAGCCGAACGCAGCTACAGATCACGACGCTAGAGAGGGTGTCAGCGCTGTCAGCGGTTAGACGTGCGGAATGATTCGTACAATGACCCCAGCAAGAAGATGAACGACAGCGACACTTTCTGAGGCCTGGTCGTCTGCAAAGTCCAGACCATTCGGATGGGCATGGCAAGAATGAGGACATCGGTCACGATGTTGGGAACCGCATTCCCGATATAGAACGTCTTGGTATTAACGCAGCGGGGATTGATCGCCTTGTCCCAGAAGCCGTGGATGGGTTTGCAGGAGAAAATCGAGATGAACACCACCGCGATCCACCACGCGAGCACTAAGGCCCCGAGAGCGTAAACGGCGATTCGGAACTGTCGGACGGAGAATATCCGCTTATAGTAGGCGAGAATCGATGTCTTGATAAACAGGATGGACGTGGCATAGACTAATTGGTAGGAGTAGAGGCACTTTGTTGGTAACCATCAGCATGTTTGTTGGATACTGAGAGTGATTGGATCGCACCTGGAGGTACTTTGGAACATTTTCGAGGGGTACGGCGTCAAAATGAAGTCCAGAGCCCAGCTGGACCACTGAACAGGACAGAGCTGTTAGCGGCGCAGTCGCAGGAAGGTAGTCACTATCACATACTGGTCATGGACAGAGCAAAGCACCCAAGCGTAAAGACCTATCATTTGACGCGGTCAATCACATATCTCCTCTACCGCACGAGTCAGATCTTACCAAGCCGATCACGCATAGGTAATCATCTAGCCCAAATAGCAGCTTCATCAAGCCCCTGGACCAGAACCGCAAGGCTACTGCCATAACAGCCAAGGCCGCAAAGGGGATAAGGATACCCCGCGTCTCACCCTGCTGGCTCTCATTGAGGTCGACGCCGGCAGCGGATGTGGAAGCCATAGTTCCCTGGCTCACGTCCAGCGACGGGAGACAAAATCCAGTTTCTATAAGGCCAGGCGTGCCTGAACGGAAGAACGGCAACACAGTTGTTTTTATTTACCGCTCAGGGGCCCCAGCTGAAAGAAATTATTGGAAACCCAGCTATGGTTGGCGGATCTCTCCTGCATAACGGCCGATAAAGTCAAGGTTTCGCAGGGAATAACATCGTGCCCCAAATCACCGTAGTGTCCAATCACCCTCATTTGCGGGAGTCGGAGGGCAAGTAACGGCCGTGTCCACCGGGAGAACTGGGAGAGAATTTGAGGAGGCAAGAGACTCGTGGCCCATGAGAGGCAAAATGCACTCCTTCGTCTAGCTTGCGAGATTCTCCAATCATGGGGAGTAGCAAGTCAGCCAGGGTTGCACGACAGGTGGACTAACGAGTCTTGGTCGGCGGCCTTATACGCAATTCATAACCAGGTCCGAGAAGGTTTCTCCTTGCGTGGATCGTGAGACCGAAAGACAGGAAGCCTATGCAGCTACGCCGCACGTTCAGTGTACCTAAGCCCAAGAAGGCAACGCAATCAGCTGGCTGCATACCAGCACCGGGGTCGGTATGAAAGAACCCCTCGCCGTCCGCAGTGACGGGATTTGAAAGGGGAAATGACCCAGACCAAGGTGTGTATTGGAAATAACGGAGAGGAGGGCAGCTAAGAGTCGTGACTGCTGAACTCTGCAGGTTCCATCGACTAATCCACGGATTGCCTTATAAAGTCGCTCAGGTGCATGCCACCGCAGACTTAGTGGCTCCTAAAGCCCTTGACATGTCTCTGGCCGAGAACTAAAGTCTGACGTTGCAGCACACTAGCACTCTTAGCGCGTTTCTAAGGAGTGTGCTTCTACGGCCTCCCACATGTTATCGCTTCTTACTTGCCCAATCGGTAAAGGAACACGAGCGGCGCTCATTACCGCAATTCCTTTGATCAGAGCCGCCTCGTATTACGAGAATAGATCCGTTTTCTTGCGATCTATCGATCTAAGAAAGCAAATCGCTTGCCGTCATAGACAATGGACTCCCGTACTATATGGAGTGGCGTCAACACAGATTAAGTCGATCTTTGTTATGAGGATCAATAAACATACGCAGTACGGAGCTCCTAGAAGTTTAGGACTGTTGGGAGACAGGATAACCGACACCAACGCTATTTTAGACTAGAAGTTTGGTCCCAACGCCAGAGCTGTCCAGACTCATGAACCCTGCTGTTTTGGCGCGTCCTGTCACGACTAGCGTATTTCGGACATTTACGCATAGGCAAAGAAATGGAGTATTTCGATTACAGGACGTTTTTTTACACCTTGAACTTCCAATGCCTCTATCATTTGAACACCCCATTCCTTTGGGCCAACAAAATTAAGTCATAGCCGCCTCCTATTGGGTGAGACGTAATCTATCACCGTGTCTCCACGGTAGGAACAGAAGAGAGCCGGGGGATTAATCGTTCACAGCTGATATCCGGACACAGTCAGAATTTAGATTTGATTTCAGTCATCGAATGAACTCTGGACAGCTAGACAGTTCATTCCATAAGGCATTGAAAAGGAAAAGCTGTACCTAACATAAAATCCTAGCCAGGACAGGCGCTTAATGCTGGCCCAGAGAATACGGTTGTGGATCAAAAGAACGTGCGTCGGCGAAGCTTTCCGACCAATATTGATGTCGCTAATACTAGTGCTGAGAGTATAATAAGCTCAAACGTAGCAGTATTTCATACCAATTCTCAAAGCTCTAACGAGAAAGCAAAGTTGGTTTGATTTTGAACTACACACCTTTCAGCTAAATCCCAAACACGCATCATGTCGACGCCTCCCCCAGAAGATGGATACACTTTACGACGAAACTACATGTCCTCAATGCGGTAGGGCTCGTTGCTCTCAATTTATTTCCAAATTCCTCTGAGACACGCTAACAGTGCACCTAGACTAAATGCACAACACTATCTCTGGAAAGACGCTGTCGGGTCGAACCTGCATCCAGCAATCTCCGTGCCCAACGAGGGCAAAGATTTGCGCATTGCAGATATAGGCACGGGGACCGGGTACAGATTAATCCAAACCCCAGCATCCCGGCTCGACCGTGCATTAATACTAACGGCTCAGAGTATGGATGACAGATGTGAATCGGGAATATCCCGCTGCACAGATCGACGGCTTCGACGTCTCCTTCGATCAGTGTCCGCAGCCGCAATGGCTGCCGAAGAACACATCGCTCCGATACCTTGATCTGTATCAGTCTTTGCCTGAGGACCTTCATGGTGCCTATGATATTATTCACCTGCGATTATTTCTGGTGGTAATTCGAGACAACGACCCTGTGCCTGTCTTGAGAAATTTGGTTAAGATGCTAAGTTCGTAGGCTCATTCCCGCGCATGATTCCGTGCTACCCACTAACTTCTGCGATAAGAACCTGGCGGCTGGGTTCAATGGGCAGACCACAATCTTGAGTCATGGACCGTCGAGACCGTCTCGCCGGACGTCCCCAGCCCAGCGATGGAAAAAATGCGCGACATGATGGTGAACACAGGGCTTGGCCGGTATATTCACCGTCTTCTCATTTCCCCTATTAATCCTAGTATATCACGTAGAGCTAATAAACTATAGCTGGGTTCCTCGCCTTCATGAAATATTCAGCCAGCAGGGTCTAATCGACGTCCGAAAAGACCTCTACCAGATATCGCCGCACAGCCGGCTCTACTGGACCCAGCTGCAGTTCAACTCCAACGAAGAGTACAGCTATCTGGGCATGGATAACAGCACGTCGGACGCCGCCGGGCCTCAATATCGCAATTTGATTGCGCAAGCAGGCGAGGAGGGACGTAACGGAGCGGCGTTTAATTTCACGCTGGAGGTCACAATCGGGAGGAAACCCGATTAGTTGGTAATTACCAGTATTGTTCGGTATTATGTACCGGTATTGGATACGGTATTTAATTAGTGGAACCAAGAATCGCATGGAATACTAGGAGTATCGTAGTAGATCAGGCAGTTGACGATCTAGTTGTGTTTGAGATACCGGTCCCACATAATGAAGTGTGTGGAATGTCAGCACGGATCAGTTTATTGGATCCCCAGCGATCATACCCCGGCTTCATTCTCGTGGGGGGAAGTAAGGAGTCAGAAATAAGGCCTGAAGGCCTGACGCTTAGGACTGGGGGCCAGAGAGTTAAGAATAGTTCGTTCCCTTTGTGCATCAAGTCAGCTCATGCTATACGGTCATAATAGCAACATTTTGAAAACATGGGTGAATCCTCCCTCGTGTCCAAAACAGCCACGCAGGATGAAATCCTAGATTTGGTCCTGCGCATGGAACAGGCCCCAGAGGCTTTGAAGGCTCATTCAATCGATGGTCTCACCCATGGCCGTCTACTTGCTGCGGCTCGTCAGCTTGTTGCGGCGTTAGAGACGCCGGAGACTGAACTCATGAATATTGCAAAAGCGGTACCCGAGGCCTTATCGATCGATATCATGGCTCGGTTCACAAGACTGATGAGAGATTCTAGCCTGTGGCAAACGCTGTTTTGCGAACAGCATTCAAAATAAATCTCTTGGAGAAATTCGATGACAGCGAGGTGACGGCGAGCGAGCTCGCAAGTAGAACGAATGTCGATCCCCTACTACTTGGTATGCGCAAATCGTTGCTCTAATATTACCCGAACTCTAACCCAATAGTCCGGATAATGCGAACTCTGGTATCGTTGGGAATATTCATCGAGCCAAGACCAGAGGTATACACGCACAGCGTTCGCTCTAAGACGCTAACAAACGTAAAGATCCGGGCTGTCGTCCGAGGAATGTCTGTAGTCCCGATCCCTCAGCCTTGGGTTCCAGAGCCAATGCTAAAAATAAACCAGGGCCGAAACGGCAACCACCATGTCGTCACTCCCCGAGTATCTCTCGTCTATCAATTACGAGAGCCCTGCTGATCATCAGCCGTCTCTGTTCGGATACGCAAGGGACACCGAAAAGACGATGTTTGAGTGGCTAGAGACCCAGCCAGAGCAGCGAAGGATCTTCGCGGACTTTCAATCTGCCACGTCTGAGAACTCACACCATCGCTTGAAGCCTTTCTTGCAGGAGGTGCTGTCACAGACTCATATGGGTTCGGAAGTAGCGTTTGTTGATGTCGGTGGGGGACGAGGGGCTACGTTGCGTGAGGTCTGTAGGACATTATCACCTCCTCCTACGGGTCGAGTTGTCCTGCAGGATTTGCCCAAGGTTGTTGAAGGGCTTGGGACAGAGGATGGAGTGGAGGCTATGCCGTATAGCTTTTTGGATCCGCAGCCGGTAAAGGGTAAGCTCTCGAATGAACCATGTCAAATTGCGATAGTGCAAAACCTAATAATTTCACAGGGGCGACAATCTACTTCTTCCGCCATATATTGCATAATTGGCCTGATACTGTATGCCACCAGATTCTCAAGAATACGATCTCTGCCATGAGTCCCAACTCGCGGATCATTATGATCGATATGGTCATCCCAAACAGACATCCATCACAATACATGTCCTTCATTGACATCAGTATGATGGCGTTTGGGGGCATGGAACGCACTGAGACTCAATGGCGAACGCTACTTGAGCAGGCTGGACTGCAAGTGCACAAAGTCGAGTCTATGGATTCGTCTTCGACAACATCGGACTGCGTGATCGAGGCGTGTTTGCCTTAGTTTCAAAGTGTTTGAATTGGGCGATGATCAATTGTATCCCAATTTAGTAACAACCCAAATCTGGTAATTCCATTCCACTACAAGCTTTCCCCAGCCTGCCTCCTCAAATACTCGACGACAGCATCAGGGACGACCAACCAAGGCGTATGCGCAGTCTTGATCTTCTCGGTCTCAATCTGCGCACCCTTGTTCCGCGCACTCTCCACCATCAATTCCTGCACAAAGAGCGGAATCGCGCGATCATCTTCACAGAGCAGATAAGAGGCCGGGATCTGAAGATACGCAGCGCTCGTAGCGGGCGCATTCTTCGTAGCCCAAGCATGCGGTCGCAGAGTGCCCGCCCATTCCTGACCATCCGGAACATCGTGGAAGAAGAGCGTAAACGGGTCACTGGCCGTAACAGTGCGGTTTTCCTCCTATCAAATCCCCCGGAATTAATTAGCAAATGGATCCTTCTCATTGCCCATGATCCACCCCGTCGGGCCCAAAAATGGATACTCACGTCCCGAATATACCAATCCGGCGGGGTTCCTCCAAAAGCCCCGATAAGGCTCTGTCCGACATCCGGAATGAACGCAGAAATGAACACCAATTTCACAACACCGCCGGACTTGCCCTCCTTCTCGCGGTCTGCCTTGCTGAGACCATCGAGGGCGCTGTTCACCGGCAAGCCGGACCAGCTGTGCGAGACGACGACCACGTCCTTGCCGGCATTGGCCTCGGCTTCGACGAGCGATCGCACCGTCTCAATGTCGGGCTGGAGGTCTTCCACTGCGGGGGTCTGCTGGATGGAGGGGAAAGCGACTGTGTGGCTGTTGTAGCCGTGGGTGTTCAGCTTCTCGATGATGGGGTTGAAGGCCGTGGGAGGGTACCAGGCCCCCGGGGCGAAGATGAGAGTGGGTTTGGCGGCCATTGTCGATTGTAATTGGGATCGTGTAGAGACAAAGAAAAGAGCATCGAGGGGTAATGATGCGCCGAGGGGTTTAGTTTAAATGTGATTCCTTTGTTTCTTTGCTGGCGCAGTAGGGTAACATGGCCTCATTTTAGCGGTAAATTCATGGGAATCGGCTTACCGCTAGCCCACTAGTCGTATGGACGGCATTTTGGTTCGAAAGGCGTGGAGAAAAGAAGATCCCATGGGTTGATTGACGCAAGGCTTACTTTATTCCTGCGCTGGGATAGTGGCAGGAATCGGTACTGGGTTGAAACACGCCGTAACTTGAAAGATCATTCAATATTTGATCGTGTTGGTCGCTTAACCAAGATGGAAGAGAAATTGTACTGGAAATATATATATCCTGTTATACCGACAACAATGCATTAAGTTTGGCCAAAAATAAGGATATCCTCTAATATCTGAGTCCAAACTATAGACCTGCTATATTTCGAGTCTTGACACAACGTTACCTGGGTTGCCTATGCCACACTCTCCAAGGTATTGGACTTCAGCTGCTCAACCGCATCCGAAGGCTTCTCACTTTTCGAGACCGTAGTTCGGGCTAGTTCCTGCAGTACCTCGGCTAATCGATCAGGGATACTCAAAAATGGCGAATGGGAGCTCTTCAGGCGGTACATGAATTGAGTCGCCAACTTCCCAGCCATAATCTCTTGATATTGAGCCGGCAGCGCATGGTCTTCCTCTGTGATAATATACGCTGACGGGATTTGATGCCATGGCTCGTAGGTTGCAGCTCCCGAGAACAGTTCGCGCGAGGTATGCAGAAGCGCAGCGGACCACTTCTGTTGCTCCTCTGGTGTTAAATCATGGAATGCCGCTTCTGCGCCGGCGCTGCAGCGGACATAGTTGCCCTATAGATGTGTACAGGTTAACAAATCTCTGTTTTGATGAATCGAGATCAGACGGTCACCTCACCTGCACATCCATCCACGGCAAGTACTTCCCGCCCAGCATATCCAGAAGACTCTGTCCCTTATCCAGAACAAAAGCAGCCATGAAGACAATCATCACGACTCCGCCCTTCTTCCCAGCGGCTTCACGATCGGTCTTCAGTAGACCCTCAACCGCCCCCGAGGCAGATATACCGCCAGACGAGTGTCCTACAACAATGACATCTTTACTCTCCTCGACTAACCGTGTCAAGACTGATTTTAAAGACGAAATGTCGTCCGTGAGGGTCTTGGTAGGTGGTTCAGCGCCCACAGACGGGTGGGCAGGCGCTTCGGTGGGAATCAATCTTTCCAAAAGCTTTGCGCGAAGAGTGTCAAAGCTTGCTGGCGTGAGCCAGGAGCCGATTGAAAAGACAATGGTTGGTTTAGGTGCGATGGTCATAGTGAGTGACTTTATTTGAGTTGCGACTTATTGTGGCATGGGAGCAGGCCAGTCCCTCCTTTCCCAGGTATTAAAAGGGGTCTTCCTTCCAGGGGGATGCTACGTACCCCTCTTTGATATCTTTGAAATTAATCCGACTCAATATTACTCGTCCTAGTGTCTTAATAGTTCGCGCACTACCATTGCCAGACTAAGTACAAACAAGGGAACTCCTGCGAAGTGGATTGCGCGTTGCACGGTACAAGAATCAACGGTGCGCAGGGCCGAGATACCAAGTGGGTACGAATTGGGAATAGCATCATGTAGAAGACCGGGGTTGACAGCGCTAACCGAACAGCCGGGGGAACGGCCGGAAATGACAGATGGGTCCGCTAGCAGATGATAGCATGTCATTGGCTTGTTCGTTCGCTCTTTCACCTTTTTGTCGCCCTTTGATGTTGAATTCCAGAGCACTTCCCGTGTCTCAGAGCGTGTGGCACGACGCGGAAAGTTGCACTGCCTGACATCCTGACTCGGTAGTGCTTCCATGAACTGCTCTGGACTCGAACAGCTATGATCCGGCTTGAAGCTTAACAAAACTCGCAATAATTTATAGTAATCAGCGTTTGCCTATAGTTACCCCATACCTTTGATTCCACGGGTTCTTGCATTTGAAGGCAGGATTTTATCTCCCCTGTGCCTGCTTTTCTATCCCTGTAACGGCCTCATGCCATCGAGCAATGAGAACGAAAGCACTGCTTCTAAGCAGCGTGTGACGACACTTGTACTCCTTGCACTGGCAATATTGTTCCTTTTCCTGCGCATCATCTCGCGCAGGATCAAGCGTGTTCCTCTAGGACTAGATGACTGGACGTTGATATTAGGACTCGTAGGTCAATTGCCGATGACCCTGACTGACTCCGTGCATTGTTGATTGCATTCAAGCTCTTCGTTCTAGCCTGTGCTGGTCTCAACTATGCCTGTGAGTTACTTATCTTATCTACGTAAACTTAGGTAAACACAAACTAACCAATGCAGCCACATACTTTGGCATGGGACGCCATATGACTTATATTCTCCAAAAGGAATTCGATATTACTATCCTCTTCAAGGTATCCCCACATCACTTGCTCAAACTGGCATCCAAAGCACAACCTAAAAATACCATCGCCAGCTCCTCTATATTTTCGAACCAACATACATAACCGCCGTCGCAATAATTAAATTATCTGTCCTACTTATGTACAACCGGATCTTCCCGGTCCGCTCAATCCGCATCGGGAGTTACATTCTCGGCGGCATAACCCTTGCATGGCTGATCTCTGTCGACCTCGTCGCAATCTTCCAGTGCATACCAGTGAAAAAGGCCTGGAACCAGCAACTCCCAGGGACATGTATAGACCTGAAAGGAGCATTGATCGGGAATGGTGTGCCAAATTTCGTCACAGATATTTTTATTCTGGCGTTGCCGGGACGGGCGATTTGGAAGCTGCAGACGGGAAGTAGGCAGAGGATTTCTATTATTGCTGTGCTTTTGAGTGGGAGTTTGTGAGTCTTTATCGCCTTATACTTCCAAATTCTGTACCATGATATGTAGACTAACTTGGGGTGGGTAGTGTGGTCTTCGCAAGTATCTACCGCTTCAGTCTCATCTTCATCCTTGATATGGATGACATCCCATGTATGCCTCTCGTTTCTCCGACCGATTCAGGCTAAGTTAGAGGCATACTAACACATCAATATTAAAGGGACCCTTGCAGACGCGCAAACCTGGTGTGTCGTTGAAATCTCCGCGGGCATAATCTCCGCCTGTCTCCCCACACTTGTCCCGCTAGTGCGACTCCTCGTGAGGGATGTAATCTCTAGAACGGCCTTGATTTCGAAGTCAGGTAGAGGCACAGATACCTACTCGCAATCTCACTCAAAGTCCAGGTCTCGGTCGGGGAATACGAGAGATGCCTACCGCTCTGAGTCGAGAAGCAACCTCGCTGACTCGGGAACCCAGCGGTTGGACTCGACAGGTGAGAGTATTGTTCCGTTGAAAGAGATAAACCATCGTCTTCGCGGGAGTATAAGCGTTAGTCCTAGTAATGGCCATGAGATGAAGAAGGCCCAGGGCTGGTGGGTTATTGAGACTGCTGAGGATAGCGATTGATCCATTTTATTATTCATGCTGTGGACATCATTTCCTGCTACGTGAATATATCTTCAGGGAACGTATAAATGTTTCTTGCACTAGCACTTCGGGTCCGGCGAGCACGATCGTCCATCTTTCTCTAACTGAACATGTTGCCCAAGCTTAACCATTAACTCCTTCAGCGCCGTAATATCCTGGTCGCTGGGTTTGAGAATATCGCCACCGTCTTCATGCCTCGTATCATTGCCCTCAAAAGGATCGTTATAGTGCCCCATGTTTTCGTCCATCTCAAAAAGTTCATGGATTGCCAGGTAGCTCCTCTCAAAGCCAATTCTGATGGTACTTTCGAGCTCGAACGGGCTGGATGGTGACCACCATTCGGAATGCCCAAGTCGAAAATGTTGCAACTTTGGAAGCCCCTCTTTGAAAGCCCGAAGGTAATCATGCCAGCACGTTGCAAGTGATATTTCTCGTATTTCATCTGGGAACTGTGGATCGGGTATGGAGGCAGTTGGATGCTGGAGTACTCTGTCCTTTTGAGTAACTAAGATGTGGTATAGGATGGGGCAATCGTCTAGGTAGAGTTCCTGCAGAGTATCTCTATGCGACAAGATCCAATCGAGTTGAGAATCATGTGAGAACACATACCTATCCAGGGACATACTTTTAAGACAGGGGAAATGGATCTTCTGCAAGTCACATTTGGGATAGAAGCCAAAATACAGGGTCGAGTAGAGCGTGAGGTGCTCAAGCTTTGGTGCCATTAGCTTCAACCAAAAGGAAGGAAGTGCAGGAAAGAAATTTTGCACTGCGCTTTTCTGCAGAGTCGTTAGTACTGGAATTGACATATCAAAATTAACATACCTGATGATCGTATCCATCCAGGTCCAGTTCGTTAGCGACATTGAGACGGAATGAGCGAATTTCTCCTAGAACCTTCTTGAGATTCGCCACAGTTTCTGGTTTAATCGGGTCGATGTTTTGCAGGTCTTGGATTGCGAGCTCCTAGATTGGCCGTGGCAGGGAGGCAAGCATAGTCATGGCTTGATCTATCACTTGCAAGCGCAACCCGGAGGGTTGCAATGCACGCGACGGGCCATCCTCTTCGCCGTCGCATTTATGGTGGAAGCACAGGACGACGCTTCTCAGGCGAGGGAGGTCCTGGAGACGCTTGACAACTGTCCATTAGCGCTGTAGGAGGTCTTGGTCGTACAATTCCAGCTCGCGTATGTGTCTCTGCTCTTCCTGATTCGTAGCGAATATTTGCTCGGGATAGAGGCAATCCTTTTCTTCATCAATACTTCGCTCTCCCTATCTACACGGAATCGGTAACGCAGCTTTTCCGGATCAAGGGTATCCAGATAAACCTTGACAACGCACTTCGCCAGAGCTGGGTGGTCCAGTATATTCTGGAAATTGGCCCATCTTTTCTTACCCACGGAGATTCGTAGGGCTCGGAAATCCGACCGATTTCTGCGAACAAACCATTAACAAGACGCAATTTTTCCAGCGATCGCTTGTCAAAATATGAAAAAACACGATGGAGAATCTCCAATGGAAGTGCCAATAGGCCTGTCATGTTGACGGTGTAGCCGAACGACAGCTCTATAGACTCGATCAAAATGACATCGAATTTTGCTGATTGGAGTGAGGCGGTAGCGGTCTCTGGGGCAACGACTGGACTAACTGATCATGGTTATTATGTTTGGCGCTTTCCTCTGCCAAGATCAAATGTAGATCACTGTTGCTCGGGGTTAATGATGAACTTTTAAGCAAAAGATTCGCGGCGTGATAGCCTCACTATGTGACTTTAAGTACTTGAGCCAATACTTTTACAGTCGGGCCCTAGTTCTGCTACGAGCTTCTTGGCCTTCCACGAAAAAATCAAAAGCGTTGCGTCGTATTATCAAATTTCAAGAGCAACCTATAGATATACCGTGTTATTTAGCATTAAGAGGCACTATCACGGGAATTAGTGATCCCCAAGCACCCAAATCAAAAGTCCGTCGGCCTAGTCGTACTCAGAAGCTCGGGGTAAAGGACATAAATCGGGTCGAGTTGCTGCACTTGTCCAGCAGCCGGTTGACTGATGGAATAGCCGATGAACTCCTGCGTCGCTCGATCATACTTTCTCACGACGTCTTGTGGAACAGCCAGGAACTGATTTTCTTCCTGCCTCAGGTAGCCCCGAGTCGCGAAGCAGGAGTATACCAGGCGCTTCTGGTCAGTAGTGGTGTTGTTCCCTCCGCCATGATAAGTAGAGGCCATCATAAGAAAAGCATCCCCTTTCTCCATCTCGGCGAAAGCGCAATCCTCGAGTTTAGGGGGCGTTTGACGATTCGAGTCCCTTTACAGCAGAAAGTATTAGTACGAACCCTCATTCCTGTTGTGTGGTATTTACCATAGATGGCTGCCCGGAATAAATTGGGTAGCCCCGTTCTCCTTGATGACTTTGCAACCCGCAACCATCATTCCAATCGCCGTCTCTCGGTTTACATCACGTTCGTCGTCCCATGCATCCACTTCGGACAGGATGTTATGGTTAACAAAAGAGTCGCGATGTAAGGGCTGCGCCTTTCCCCCGGGCCCAATCTCCAAAGCAGTGCAAGACATAGCGTAGGGCTTGGACACGGACTCTTTCCGTTTCTCTCCCCACCAGAACCAGCTACGTGTGGTGAGAAAATGAGCACAGACGGCTTGAAAAATAGGATTCATGAGCTGGGTGCGCGTGTAGGTCGGGCTCAGGGCGACCATAGATGGAGCTCGTCGAGTTTCCTCTATTTCATGGTTGATAGGATCAGTGCACCGCCATCGCTCTGAGGGGGGAGGATACATACTTGGAAAGAATTCACCATCCCAAGGCAGGTCCTGTTCAAGTCTCTCCCTGATCTCCTCGGTAGTCTTATCGATGTCTTCTACCGGGATCAGATCCTTGACTACGACACCTCCATCACGCTTGAGCAAATAAAAGATGTCGTCTAAAGGCGTGTCATTCGGAACATTCTGGACTCCGGGCGGGTATTTCTTTGAAGGCTGTGACATGATCACGTTGAAAGGGGTGAATGCGAAACGATACTGAGATCAAAAACTGTGGATTGCAGCTACTGGCATGGACCACCTTAATGATTGTTTTATGTCTCAAAAAAGGGCAGCATACCATGATATGATGACGTGTCTCACTTTCAGCCGACGGATAATTACAGGGGTTGCCCGGTTCGCAATGGCATGCTGTGCTTTTAGTTCTGACCGTTTATCTCTCGATTAGTATGCTGCACACTAATGCCAAACGTAGTGCGAGTCAAGGAGGCAATTTGTATTCGAGCTAGGTAGATTGTGAATCCAGGTAGCAATTCCAATTATCTCGCGATGCGAAATCACAGAACATTCATTTTATTATCAATATGAACGCCATCCATCGCTTGTCCAGAATTGCTGACTGTGCAATATATTGCCAAGTGAAAGGCTTACCCTCCCCACAGATTGTAATGATAACCGTCGCTTATTCACGAACAAAGACTCTGACAGAGATAATACTATATCTCCCATTGGTCATCAAGACATCTAGCTAAATCTGATCTTTGACATCGTACAGAATACCTCACCACTGGAGAGGTTTAAAGGCTAAGTTCCCTTGCGCAAAGTCGAAGAGGCCAACACAGATTTCAAATCTCGGATTGGACACCTTTATCCTAAAATCGCCTGAAAGATGCTGAACAGCGACGAGTATGCGATCCCCATCGGCTCCGAGATTCTGGTAACCGGTGCCAATGGCTATATCGCCTCCCATGTTATCGACATCTTATTGAAGATGGGATACATGGTGAGAGGCACGGTGAGAGCCGAAAAGCCGTGGTTGGACCAGTACTTCAGCGAGAAGTATGGGGACAGTGTGTACAAGTCTGTCATCATCCCTGCGTTCGATGACGTCGATGCTTTGAGAGAGGCATTGAAGGACGTTTCGGGTGTTATTCATATTGTAAGTGAATATTCTTCGGAAACCATGTCACAATACAAGCGTTACTGACCTCCTGAAACGCAGGCGATGGACGTAACTTTTACTTCCGATGATCCCGCTGCTGTTATTCCGTGGGTCAAACGAGCCATTGGATCTTTACTCGAATTATCCGCAGAAGCAAAGACCGTAAAGCGGTTCGTTCTGACATCCTCCAACTCTGCTGCTCATATGCCCACCCCCGATGTCTATGTTAGAATTGATGAAAGTAAGTTCCTGGTTGAAGAAAGCCCTTTGACCAAGTCTTTCGCAGTCACGTCTGACAGCTACTCAAGATACCTGGAACGAAACGTCTGCCAAGGCAATGTTGGATGAATCGACGCCCCCGGAAAAGAAAGGATACCATGTATACGCCACCGCCAAAACGGAGGCAGAGAGGAGTGCCTGGGAGTGGGTAAAGAACAACCGCCCGGAGTTCGAATTCAACAGTGTTCTGCCAGATGGAAATGTGAGTATTACTAGATGACCTTGCGAATTGTGTTAACTCTATTAGTATGGACGTATCCTGCACCCCGAGATATTCGGATCCACGATGGGCTGGTTGCGAAACGTCCTCAAAGGTGATGATGGGATCATGCGTAGATTTCCACCTCGTGAGTTCCTCCAGTCTTACTCCGTATCTACCACAGAGAACTGACACATTACGGCCAAACAGAGTGGTATATCAACGTTGAAGATACTGCACGGCTGCACGTCGCAGCTCTGCTCAGCCCAGAGTTCAAAAATGAACGAATCTTTGCATTCGCGGCTCCGTTTACTTGGACAGAGATAATCGGCATTCTGAGAAAATTGCGACCGGATAATACGCTCATACCCGATGCTCCTGAAAACGAAGGCCGGGACATCAGTGAGGTTGTGTTGGCCCCGAGAGCAGAGCAGTTGCTGAAGGACTTCTTTGGCCGACCTGGCTGGGTTAGTCTGGAGCAGAGTATTTTGGAGGGGCTTGAGGGTATGGAATAGTAGTTTTGATTATTGCTACGTTTTCTGAGTGTTTTCTATGACTTCAACGACAAGCTTCATTTACAAGGTCGCTCGTCAAGAACTTGGGAAAATGCCTTCATTGGTTTATTGAATCGAAATGGATGGTGTTCAGACTGCCAATCAACAGCTGCGACATCGACCGCAGATTTAACCAAGAATTTAGTTGAAAAAAAGCTGCAATTCTGGATCCAATTCAAGTTTATTTTGATTATTCGCTTCCATACACATTTGTTGACAAAATGTAACTCAAAAAATGACGTCATAGATCCACAGACTCACGGTTGCCTTGATGCCTTATAGGAGACAGTGACTTTTCTTTTTGTTTTTATTTTTGTTTTCATGAGGCAATGAAAAAGAGGAGAATCGCTTCCAACACATATTTTCGATGTTTAATGCCTCCGCAAAGAATTCCGCACCCGGAAACTACGCCATCGACATCACGCCCCGCAAGCTTCATAGTACGATTTACAATGTCGTTCCAGCTGTCGGAATATTAGACGCCAAAAGCCGATGGAAAGCTGAACTAGGATGATAATCATCTGCCCATATGCATTTCTGACCGATGCATCTGTTGTCAGTGAATCCGTATTTCTCGGGGTAATCAAGGACCGTAGTCATCAATGACCATGCATCGTAAAGCATCATCGAAGTCTATGTCACCCCATGCATTAGCGCTGCAACAGATAGGTGTTTGGAGAGCAAGCCTTACGTCAGAGTGACTATTCTGCCAGTTTCTCACTCCTTCCTGCAGCTGACTGTTGTACTCACGGATGGCTCGATCGTGTTTCTGCCTTATCAAGGGATCCAAGTCGAGCATCTCTGGAGCCCGAGTGGTAGGTGGCACATTGATTAGCATAAAGTGACGTGCTCCACAGTCATACAGAGTAAGCAACATGGAGAAATAGCTCTCCAGGATAGACGGGAACTTGGAATAGGGATCATTGTCGAGGTAGCTAAAGTCAATACTACGAATAAATAATATTAGCCATCGGGGCAAGAATCACCGCATCTTGGCAATTGACTTACTCATTGATCCCGATCCAAATTGCAAACATGGAGGTATCTGGGGACCAGAATGTGCTTGAACAGTAATGCGTGTCAAATTCGAGCATTTGATGCACCAGATCCTCTCGCACGTTGGACACAATAGAGTTGTTTACCGTTGCGCCATACATGGCCAAGTTGTAGCTCAGAATTATTGTTTTATTGTATGTGGTTACCAGGTATCCTACCCAGTTGGTCCCATTTGCTGTTGTGCCTTCTCCTGTTACTCGTTAGTGTATTAGTCTCGGTCCATGTAATGCGCAAGTCAGCTTAGTGGGACTTACCAAGTCTGGGGTTGCCCATCGGGTTGCTAATGGAAGGCTGAGTTGCAGATGCATTGAAGCTGGTAGTCGTATAAGAATCGCCACTGTATGTCGATAATGCCAAGGTTAGCTGAGGATGAAGCCCGATGGGAGATCGTAACTCACAAGGAAAACAAGGAATAAGCAGAATGATCTGGCCTCATCGAGGGGGTAAGAGTAATTCCATAGGTCAAAAAGTTCTGAAGCTTCATTCTGTACCTGTGGACCGACAGTTGTTGGATGATTCCCTCTATGTTCTTTTTGATTCCCTTTACTATAATACGTTCCCATTCGATGACAGCACTAATCGGAAGTTCAGTACATTGGATAAGTACCCAAACTAATCATGCTCTATAGAAGATCTGACATTCTTATGAAAAAGGTCTCCATCTAAATGCATTTATAATCCAAAATATACCTCTAACTTTGAGTTTCACTTGAAGGCCATTGCAGCTCAACATTGGTTACAATACTTTCACACATGGCCGGTCGCATTGAATACGGTGATAGTTTTAGACTGAATAACACTTAGAGGATCATCTAAAATAACTACAGAGTTACCGAAACAGTATTTATTTAGCAATAATTGAATAAATCACAAAGATTTCAAGAAAGTTCACAGGTGAAAGTTGCAAATGCAATACATGCAGCTGAATAAATATGCAGTGCCGTCAACTTGATAAAATGATAGCTTCAGTTACGCATCTCTTTCCTTTGCCGCTCTCACAATTGCTTCGGCCTTACTCTGGAAATCGCAAAATATCTGGATTGCCTGATTAATGACGTTAGCAAGAATATTCTTCATGCGTGGGTGCGGTTAAGGAACGTATTGTACCTGGGCCAGTTTCAGTTGTGCCATTCCCTCGTCCACGCAGGCAAAGTCACATCGGTATTTCTCTTCTTCGTCTATGTAAGAAGGATATTCGATTTTCGATCCTTCTTGCGACTGCTCAGCGAATAGGGACACATTGACAGATTCTTCATCTGTCTTCCGGGTCGACGCTAACAGTCTAAGATCATCAGGGACGACAGTAAACGCCGCAACCCCTGCCAATTGGAGAATCTCATCCAGTCCAATATTTGCGCACGCTTTGACTCTGGTCGGAAGGGAGTTCTGCTCATACCATTTTTGGGCTTTGACGCATAATTCAAGAAGTGGGTTCTCGTCGTGATAGCTATCCAGAGAAAGGGATCAGCCATTCAAAGCTCCCCTCAAATGAGAACGACAGTAGAAAATCGAACCTTTGATCAAACAGTGCCTTGAGCTCATGAAGGAAGGGCGATATGGACACACATCCCACCTCACCTGCTAAGACTACTTGTTCCATGGTGAATAGAGTGGTGGCCAGTGTCTTGATCTCATGATCACGAAGCTCACGACACGCCTGGAGCCCTTCCCAGGTCGCTGGGACTTTCATCACGACTCGAGACCTATCGAAGGTCTCATCGATAATTGTGAACAACTCATGGTATCCTGCGTCGATAAATTCTCTGATTAGATATCCTCTACTAGTAAAGGTATACGACTCACGCTTTCCAGTCGCAATGATCTTTTCTTTAGAATAGGCGAACCGCGGATTGGCCATGACATGGATGTCTCCTTGAACGAATGGTCGGATCTCAACAGCCATATAAACGGCCTGGTACAATGTCAGATAAAGTCAAAATCGTTGACCGAAACTTACTGCAGCCTCAACTGCAAGCTCCTCCATTCTAATTGATGAGAAGTTGTCATGCCATTTGGCGGCTAGCTCGAGTGCCTTCTGCAAAATGTCTTTTCTGTTGTCTTTTGAAAGCTCTGTGTAGTATTCATACTGTAGTTCTGTTAGTCAATATGTGATTGACTCTAACGAATCATTGTACCTGATTGGAAGTACAGTCAATGCAGCCTCGAAGTTCGCGGGCAGCTTCAACTCAATGTCAGCTCTGAGAAACAGCTTTGGCGTTGTTGGAGTTGAACTCCGTACCCTCGATATCAAAAGTGTCGAGGTCAACTTGAGTTTTTGAGCGAAGATACTCCAACAAGTTCATTCCAGATCGATCCATTGTCTTGACAATATGGTTAGATGGTGAACTCAATAAGAAAATGACCTGACGCAAGAAAAGTGTCCGTACACAAACTTGAGTGGGAGTTTCAACCAAGCGTTCTTTTCAAGTGGTTGCTTCATTCGCTTCACCTATATAGAATCAGTCACTTTCAGTGTGTAATTAAAGCACAGTCATAATCTAGAGGCCCTTTTCTGTCGCTTCTGACAATGCACCCATAGTAATTCTGAAATTCAAGTCTCTCATTTCATAGGTTTCTTTTCACAGTTGCTTCGTATAGTATCTGACGCCGCAAATGCATGGTGAGCTGAGGTCTTGTGTGACCATGTTATCTGATTCGTCATACAGTGCATGGGGCCGCAGATAGAGGCATATTTGTTTGGTTTGAAATGAAACATTTCCAGCATCTGCATCTTTGAGCCGTACATCCGGGAATGGACCTTGAATACAATTCTTTGTCCTACAATACTTTTATGATGACACGCTTTACATAAACATTGTGGGACTTCCCCGCCTCCTCGTATTTGCTCACCACAATCCTCATTCCATGAAGATTGCAAATGGCCTTTAATCGGGTTGATGCTTGATTGCGCATGTCAGGTGGCTCCGAGATGCATAAGATGAACAAGAAGCATGGGCCACCATACATGACAGCATGCAGGGAAAGGTCAGAGATGTCATCAAATACCTAGCCAATCTGCTCAAATATTACCTTGGCCTTTATCGGAGGAGGCAAAAAGCTGACACATTTTGGCAAGTTCGGGACGCCAGGTGGTCATCATGGCTTCTCGTTGATTTGGTGGCGGCCTATGCTTACGTAGAATCTAGTCCAGGCTGATCTTCCAGCAGCTTGCATTAAGTGTTGTCTTTCCTTCAATTTGCATTGAGCCATTTTAGTCAATTTCCTTCTTTGATTACTACTAATTTTAAGGTTTGACATTGCGTGTTTGCTTGTCATTTCTTGTGTAACATCCCATGTAGCGCGGTAATGCAATGGAACCCGAATCGATTAGCAAGTTTAAAGAATTCTGTGGGGTTAGAACTGTGTCCACTACCTCAATTCTTTCTGTAGAATTTATATGTGTTAGTTGATGTACAGTCCTATTGAAGCCATCTCAGGCGACGTATCAAGAACTAGCCAAAATGACCCAAACCGAGGTGCAGTCAGACAAGAGCTATGGACACGACTGGAGATCATCAAAGCTCTTCATCATCACTGTAACATCGTTTGGCCTTTTTACTGGTGAAACTGCCGTTACCTGCAGATGGCCACAGAAATACTGACTCATTAAAATAGACATGTTTCTCTTCAGTTTCATTATACCGATCTTGCCAACCATACTTGAAGATCGACTCCATCAGGCCCATTCGCAAACACAATTCCTGACATCTTTGGCTCTGTCAATGAATGCACTGGTTTCAATTGTCATAGCACCAATTACGGCCCGGGTCGCAGACAATTCGCCTAGGAAAAATCTTTTCATGGTCTTTTCCTGGGTTCTCAATGCCATCGGAACGGTTATCACAGCTTGGGTTAACACGCGTAAGCATAAGAAATCTATAGAACTTCAAGTCAATTAACAAAGAATTCAGTTGCTGGTTTATTTATCGGCAGAATCATCCAGACACTTGCCGGATCCTTGATATGGAACGTGGGCATGGCCATCATCGCTGACACGGTCGGGCCTACCAATATCGCAAAGGCGCTCGGTTTTTCGATTTTATTTACCACAGGGGGTATGCTATGCGGACCAGCAGTGTCAGGGACGTTATATCAATATGCTTCTTACTCGGTAACATGGGCCAGCACATTCATCATTCTACTCCTCGGCATCATCCTCCAGTTACTTGTGGTAAAACCTTGTCATTTTGAACCATACACAGAAGGTTATGGTTCAGATATGGAGCAACCCAACACCTCTGGACTCAGCAGTCCCTATTCGGGACAATTCTACGATAGAAATCCACTTCTTCCTCCGACGTCCCCAAGACAAATCCCTTCTTATCAATCGTTCCCCGAACAGCAAGGCCCGGAAGCTGAAACCAACAATCCCACAAAGCATCAGCCACCAAGCCATAACGTTTACTGGCTAATGCTTTGTAAAAAGCGGGTCACTATGGCATTAGTGGCTGATGCATTATTTGCGATCCTCATTGCGAGCTTCGAGACCACCATTCCAATCCACATCAAGGCCATCTTTCACTGGGAAACGGTTCAAGCCGGTCTATTGTTTTTACTTCTTCAAGTTCCGTCCTTCATTCTCGTTCTACCTGCAGGATGGCTGAAGGACAAAATTGGGATGCGGTACCCCGTCAGTGCCGGTTACTTACTGCTCGCACCCTTTATGTGGCTTCTCGGAGTTCCAGGACAGGATGGATATGCATGGGCCGGAAGTGGTAAAGCCGGTCGAATCATCTACATTACTGCGCTGGTAGGGATTGGGATTTTCAGAGTCTTGCCACTCGGATTCGGAGCGGTGGAGGTGTTGAGTAAGTAGACCAACTTTATCATCTACCAGATTACTCACAAGTGCCTCTCTAAGATGGGGCGAATGAGCTTAACTCGGAATATCCTGGTATCTTCGGTCCACACGGAGGATACTCGCGCTCTTTCTCCTTGTCCAACGTTACTTGGAAGCTGGCGATGTTTGTCGGGCCGTTGGCTTCAGCAGCCTTGAGTGATGCCCTTGGATACTATTACCTGAATGTATTCCTCGGTATGTGTTAAAATCTAACAGCCCCTTGAAATACTGTCGCAGACGTCCTGACAATTCTATCTGCCATAGCGTCCTTGTGCTTTTTGATGGCTATTTGCACGTTTATAATCCTTCGTCCCTGATCAAACCTGCGTCCACGACTACTTTACACATCTTCAGCTGAGTACCTTCGCATTGGGGAATGTTGTGCTACATAATTCATTTTAAAAGTTTGGTCTACTGCCTTCCGAGAAGAAAATATATATAGGAGCGATCGACCTATATGGACATATTCTTTTGAGCGTAGTGATTGAAAGCGATGTCAGTAATGCTTACATTATCCACATGAAAGATCTATCTTCCCAAAAGCAAAAGATAATGAAGAAAGAATCAAATGCCAACTGTAGGGGAACTTTTCAATGCCTGAGGCTGGGCGGAGAGTGCTGCCCGAGGCAGCATAAACAAAGCCGATCACGCGAGCGGACAATAAACTGCTAGTGGAGGTGTCAAAACATCTCTGCAACCGTTCAACCTTCCATCTGGAAAGAATTTATCCTTTAGACACGTGTACGGACCCCTTTCAACCAGTGATCATCAGTCAAATTCAAGATGGACGACATGCCTGAAGTCTTTCTTCTTAGCCTCGCCCGTGACACCAATGGAATCAACTCGGACCTGATATACGATCTCGCCGACCGATGCCATCTGAAAGGCACAAAAGCAGGCCATGCTGCCATCAGACAGCTTGAGAACAAGCCACCCAAAGTAATCATCGCAACCGATGAGGGCTTAACTCAACCCGAACATCGAGACGTGTTAGAGAAAGTTCGTCAATACGTTGAACGCGGAGGAATACTTATCTTTGCGATCCATTTTTCAAGTGTCACCCCTGAGGATGTCTTTAATTCTTTCTTTGAACAAACGTTCGGGGTGCCTTGGCGAAAAGGCATTTATCGTTCGTATAAACACGCGTTCAAATCGAGCTGTGTCCTTCCCGGGGGGCAGTAAGGGATGCGTTCCCAGCCGCATACCGCAATATCGAAGCTCAACATGTTATTAACACCCAACCGCACGAAATAATCATGGGGCCTGTCCCTGATGAGGAATTATCGAGGTCACATCCCTTTCAACCTGCACCAGAACCGGTCGACAAGTCACAAGCTGCAGTCGTGGGGACCAAGGTCGGTGATGGGTACTTGGCGCACATTGGGTATCCCAACCATGAGAATCGTGCTACCAAGGTCATTATGGAATTGTGTGGGCTGAAAAAACCGATTGATGTAAGACTGGAAGTTATGATCTGCGAAATCTCAATCAGTTATTAACTTGCTCCTACGCAGCCATGGTACTTCTAGGCTAGCCAGCCAAGAGTCATGGCCACTGTTCATTCGGAATCATCGCTGAGACTATGGTCTTCTTGCAAACAAAATTGACGGCTTTATTTCTCACCTGTTCATGACAGTTGATTGATGCAACTTTGTGAGTTGTCGATGAGAGATAGAAACAACTCAAAAAAGCGAGGAAAAAAGAAAAGCAAAAAAAGCCAAGGCAAGAAAGGAGGGAAAGTCTCGCGGGAAAAGTGAACTAAAATTCGCATTCGATTACAACACATCTTACGAAAATCGCGCATGAGACGAAGAATCTCACAGCATTGAAGGATCTGAGAGATCACAAGTAACCCTCCCAGTAGGTTTCCATTCCGCCTCTTCTACTGCCCCGTACGGTCGAGAACGTCCAGAAACCCCCATGAAAGCATGAATTCCTTCGATGGCTTGAGCTAACACTGTAGACCGTCTAGCATAAATTGAAGCACAGACGCACTGCTATTCTTAATAGGCTTGTTCATGCTAAGAGGCTGTAGCGGCTACTTAAAACAGGCTTAAATGATGAAACACACTAACCACCCGTCCCGCCCCAGCCCTAGAAAGCTGACGTGCCATCTCCATCGCTTGGAGTTGGGGCCTGTTGATAGGCCACTCCATCCCACTAAATTAGCGCCTTCAGTGCAAGCTGCGGTGCTTTGTCGTCCGTCAGCTTGGCAACCTGTCTTCCTCCCTTTTTCTCCTGTGTATATTTGCTTTTGGCGATGACGCTTCTGGCTGATTTGGCCCAATCCAGGAGCCCTGGATGTTTGATAGATATTGAGCGCGCCACAGACGGGATAATATCGGGTGACCTAGAACACCAACATACGGAATTCCACAGCATGATTCAGCCAGGAGCCACTGTTCCCAAGCCCTACGATGGCTGAGCGGTTGGCAGACCAAACAAGTAATGATTTTGGTGATCGCCAGAATTATCTGAGACATGCGACTCAGATCTTCCCACGCCAGCGTTCTCTAAACAAACCTTATTTTTATTCTTCTGATTTCGCGGGCAAAATGTTTCCCGCGCAAGAAAGAAGGTTGAGCTGCTACATGAAGCAAGGTGACAGAACCATAAGTAGACTTCAGGGTGAGCCCCATCATTTGTTCCTGTCGACCTGTTCATTATGATTTGGGACAGTGACTTCCTGTGGTACTCGGTAGTCATAGATGACATACCGGCCTTCCTCACCAATGCTTTCTTCCATCCCTATATAAATGAAGCAAATCGCCGACCGTTGGATACCTCATTTTCACTCGGCACGAGTCCTCATTGGTGGCAATTGAGGTGCCTCCAATGTGGTCATCGAGTGGGCATCGATCCTTGCTGCACCCGGAAAAGCCGACGGGTATCGTCAAACTTTACAGGCATCGCACCACTGCTTCAGCCCGTCCACCCGTCTCCGAAAGCCCTAACTGCTCCCCTGAAAAAGGAGCTTGGTGGCTTCTATGGGGAATCTCTTTACAGTACCGGTGCCCAATGATGGTGGCCTATCAGATAGTCTAGTTACTCGCCGCCCCTTTCAACTACCGTCTGTCTGGGTGCCGTGCTCAATTTGCGCCAGAGGAGACACGGAATAATAGCCGCCGGTGGGAGACTCCGCAGTCTGGACGCTGGAGCAGCATGTCTGCTGAGTCACTGGACATGATTGGATACAGATTATCAATTAGACTATCAGACCCACCCCATCGGCGGAACTGAGAGCACAGCTGGATGCAGCGCAATAGACGAGTACCCAGAGCAGAAGCTCCGACATACGATGAGCAAGCTCATCCACGATGACACGATCGCTGTCATAGCATTGCCAGCATGAATCCTGAGCACTGGCCTAGACGTCATAACAAGCATCAAAACACAAGGTCAAGCACGCGTCTGCTCGTCTCATCTTGCTGTGGATACAGTCGTTGACGCCAGCCCCGTGGGTCCTCGCCCAATGGCAATTCTGCACGGCCCACATGCCACACGCAAAGCAAAACAGCTTGTGTTTAGGGATCGGCCCCCTTGCCTGGATGCTGGTTCTGGGCAGTGGACACCCCTGTCGAACACTTAACGTGAATCGCCGTGCCTGACTAACGCAGTTCCAGGCATGTCCACGACCTGGAGCTCTTGATTCTCATTTGGCTGTGGCGCACGGCACGTCGGCTTTTTCTTTTTTTGCCTACGCGACGTGGGCCTCGTGATCTCCTAGATGATTGCCTCATCCAGGACGCAGATGTCTCCGGGGGTCATAGCGAGTGCGGGCCCGAGCTCATTCATCGCGAAGGACGGTATTCTTTTTCCGTCAGGAGGCAGCCATTTGCGCCTGCAGAGATGGATATAAATTGGGCCATGTCTCCCCCGGATGTCCCAAAAACCATCACTACGATCATTCACTTCTTAACACTCTCTTTCCTTTCAAGACAAACTCTTCTATTCTGTCCTTACGTTCTGTTTCATCATGAAGTTCACTGCTGTCGCTTTCACCGGGCTGGTCGGCTGCGCCGCCGCTCTTCCTCACTTCGGTTTCTTCCCTGAGCCTTCTGGCCCTGCTCCTACTGGCCCTGTCCCTACTGGCACTCCGACTGGTTCGCTGCCTCCTCCTCCCACCGGCACTGGCAGCCTTCCTCCCCCTCCTCCCAGCGGTACCCCCGATGCCGCTCCTCAGGAGCCGGAGCAGGGCTCTGACTTCCAGAAGCGTCAATTCGACGGCGCCGAACCCACCGGCACCTTCTTGACTGCTCCCTCCGGTGCCCCTACTGGCGGACCTCCCGGTCACCACGGCCACCACGGCCACGGCGGTTTCCCCTCGGGATTCCCTGACCCATCCGGCTTCCCCTTCCCGTCTGGCTCTGGCTTCCCCGAGCCTTCTGGTTTCCCCGAACCTTCCGGATTCCCTGAGCCCTCTGGCCCTCCTCCTCAGGATGGCCCCGAGCCCTCTGGACAGCCCGGCCCTGAGCCTTCCGGACAGCCTGGTCCTGAGCCTTCTGGCCAGCCCCAGCCCTCCGGTTTCCCCGGTGCCGGCGAAGATGCTCCCACCGCTACCGGCCAGGTGAAGCGTCAGTTCGGCGGCGACGCCACCGGATTCCCTGAGGCCTCTGGCTTCCCCCAGCCTTCCGGTTTCCCCGAGCCCTCCGGTTTCCCCATTCCTTCTGGCGGTCCCCAGCCCGGCGGCCCCGAGCCCTCCGGTCAGCCCCAGCCTTCTGGTCAGCCCCAGCCCTCCGGCTTCCCCGGCTCCGAGCACGGCGAGGCTCCCGCTCCCACCGGCACCTTCGAGAAGCGTCAGTTCGGTGACTTCAACGGTGCCCCCGAGGCTTCCGGCTTCCCTGAGCCCTCCGCCGGTCCTGAGCAGGGCGGCCCCGAACCCTCCGGCCAGCCTCAGCCCTCCGGATTCCCCGAGCCCTCTGGCTTCCCTGCTCCTTCCGGCTTCCCTCAGCCCTCCGGCGGCGCTGAGCCCTCTGGCTTCCCTGGCGCTGGCTTCCCCGGTGCCGGCTCCGGCGAGGAGGCTCCCTCTCCTTCCCAGACTGCCGCTCCTTTCAACTAGAGCTGCCTCGAATGGGCATGTCTAGTTTCGATCCTGGGACTCGGAGATCACTCATTTCATGCGCGAGGACAGAGTGTTGCAACCAGCTGGTCGGGTTGTGATTGATTCTGTGTTTGTGAATGGCTCTTGTTTTGCATGGGCTGGTGGAATGGTGTCTTTCATAATGGGATTCTGTATTAATCCTTTTCCTTGTATAGTGTCACTCGTTGGTTGTGGAATAGGTCATTTCTTTTTGGGTAATGTATCTAGTTCGCAGCCGATTAGAAAGAAAACCAGAAAATCTGAAACATTAAATTTCAGCATACTTTCACTGTAATCTTTTGTCAGTTCGAATTGTAGAAGAAATCCCTTCTCTGTATATAATACACCTTTCCTTTTACTTTCTCCGGGGTATATTTGCTCTTGAGATCGGGAATCAAAACTGCATAGCCAAACTCTTTCAATAGATACTTATAGCTTTGTTTACAGGGCCTCATTATGCAGTTAGAATCCAATCGCGCGTCTCATAAGCTTTACGATCTAGTCATGCTTATACATTCTTTGTCCTATACTGAGAGTATTGAAAAGAATATCCACAATCTCTAACCTCACCGTCTAAAGCTAAAAGGGAACCTCAAATCAAAGATAAAAAAGTCAAAACCAAAGACCAACCCCATCCAGGTCAAACCCCAACGACCCCCTCCGCCTCCCTACTTATCGTCAGCAACTGAAACGCACTATCCAGCCCCCCGGCGTCTACAACCCCTTCCCCAAAATCCTCCAGCCTCGCCTCAGCCCAATCTTCACTTGCGTCCTCGCACTCGTAATCCGACATCATGCTCTGTACGACAAACACCGCCGACTTCGCATCCCAGAGACCCTCTCGCTCGGGAACCGCCGAGTCCTGCAACAGCGAGAGGGCCAGCTGTCGCGTCTGTCGTTTCTGCGCTTTCATGCAGATATAGTACAGCGTGGCTATTAGCTGGGTGGAGAGCATGAACCCAGATCCGGAGAGTGGGCTTGAGGTTTCCTTTTTTGCCAGGTCGAGGAGTGTCGATATGTGTGTGGCTGCGGCGTCGAGGCGGTTCTCGGCTGCGCTGCCTGTTTCTCGGGTCGTGGGAGAGAGGGAGTTGTCTTCGACGAGGATGCTGTGAAACATTTCGGCTTGGATCTGGAGGAGGAGGATGTGTTGGTGGGAGGTTTGGGTTTTGGAATTGTCGGGGTTAGGAGAGCCGTGGTGTTGGTGTTGATGTTGGTCTATTCGACCGAGTAACTCTGTCGTTGCGAGTTCGAACTTCTCGAACCATGCCACGATGGCGAGTCTTTCTGTTCTGACATAAATTGGGAGTTGGTCCCATGAGTAGCGTTTATATTCGAGGTAGAAGGTTATGTGATGCATCGTGATGTTTTGAAGGCGTGTCAGGACGTCTTCCGCGTGTGATAAATCGACAAAGGAGTCCGGAACAATTGAATCCAGACTCGACGCCACGCTCCCCTGCGGCAGTAGCCTAAGCCCAGGCAGACGGTCGCTGTCGAATATACTAGCCTGGACGTCTAGCCGGGTGAAGATGGAAATCAGATGATCGGATATTCCGTCCGACGAAGCGAAGAAATTCGGATTCTCGATGAACGTGCGTTGCAGCAGCCTCAAGCTCTGGTCAAGATGCCAAGTTGCCTGCCTCGCATCACCGACAAGACATTCGAACGTGTAGAATATAAGGCCACAGATGAGCGCCACCTCGGTAGAAGCGCCGGGGGACCGAAGATGCGACGCCAACTGACGATGGCACTTCGAAATAATCTCCATACTCGATGGTCGCGATTGGAAGGATACAGGAGCGGAGTTTGACGCACTGCACATGTGGTCCCGATACAGGGAGCTTAGCGCAACCAAGGCACTACGGATAACAGGCTGATGATGACACCGCTGCAGGATCAACTGCGTCCACAACGTGGGGTCCGAGAACCCAGCCAGTCGGGAGGCTGCTTCCGAGCAATAGAAGTGCAGCAGCTGCCGATCCACCTGGCTACCGGGCACTTTGAACGGGATGCTGTACGCTTTGATAGTGCCGGCCGGGCTTGTCCGCGCCGTGGCTTGGACCGTGTATCCCCCACAGCTGCGGCCGGAGCGCACGCATCGCAGGCATTCCGGGGTGGCCTCGTCGCATTTGATACGCCGGGCCCTGTACGGTCAGAAGGGCTCATTGCATGGTGAGTAGAGAGCGGGGGCCTCACTTGCAGGTGCTACAGCCCGATCGGACCTTCGGGGTACTGCGACGGGGCCTTTTGATCGCTAACATGCTGGGCTTGAATATACGAAACAGGAACTGGCGAATGCAGGGTAGAGTAGTCCGTATGTGTGGGATGTTGGCAGAATTGAGATGGTGTTGACGTAGGCAACGCTCTTTCGTTGGTCCTGGGGGCCAAAATATACGACCTTGGCGTCTTTTCCTGTTGCGTGATGGTGGCGATCCTTCGATGATGCTAGCGGATGGTTAATAATAACAAATCATCATGAGTCGTGCATGCCGATCATTTCTATCCTCTGCGTTGGGGCTCTGTTTTTCTTTGCCTCTGCGGCCTTCCCAGGCGTCTGTCGGCTTACCAGCAGGCATCAGCTATCAAATTAAACGCCAAATACTAGTTAGTGATGTTCAAGTTTGCGGGGGGGAAAAGAAAAAGAAAAATAAAAGAAAAAAAAGAAAAACAGCATAATCAGATGAGTTGAAATATTCGTAAAGAAATTAACGTAAATGAGGAAGCAAAAATCTATAGAAACATCCTCCGCAGTCTAATTCCCTTCACCCATCATTCTCCAAATACAAACCCCGATCCACCCTCTTCATTTCCATCTTCCTCTCCTTTTTCTGTCGCTTAAGCTCCTTCTTCTCGGCCCTCGTAAGTCTCGGAAAATCCGACCTCGGTCCTCTCAGAACATGCCCCGGATGAAAAACATTCAGCGCCAACAGCGCTAAAAACATAGGTGCAGCATCCAAAACATACTCATACGACTCGGTCGTCAGAACCGGATTCGTAGCATCATATCCCTGCGCATATTGACACAGCCTAAACATGATTCTCACGGTGATCATAGCCAGGGCAAAATAAATCCCGTAAAACAACCGCGACGGATGAAACAGGCCTTGTCGGGCCGGGAACTTCCCGTCTTCGTCACCAGCTACATATCCCTCCCTAGATACCTTTCGCTGCAACTTGATTGCCAAACCCAAGAAGCAGAGGATGAAGAGCTCTTGGAGTCCAATGCCGCCCATGTACAGATGGAGTCCGAGCATGACGAACTTGTGCCCCATGCTGTCGTTGGTGGACATTGAAGCGCCGGCTACTTGGACGAGGAACGCTAGGATGTCTAGTGAAACGAATAGGGCTCCGTACCGACGTGCCGAGATCCCCGCGAGCTTTTGGTCTGGGAGGAAATAGTAGATCATGCGGCCGAGCGTCATGTAGATGAATGCGTTGATCCCTGGGCGGGGTGTTAGAGACCCCGTTGCGGGTTTTGATTGTTCGATAAGGGTCGGCGTCTTCACTTACAGATCGGAGCTAGGAGAAAGAATAACTCGTATAGTGTACCCCATATGTCTTTATTCTGCTGGCGTGTCTGCATGACTCGGAAGACGAATGCGAGGAGTTCCCAGGTGGCGCCCATAATGACTACCCACGCGTAACGCTGAGAAAGAGTTAGCTAAACCCGAGTTTTGTATAATTGTGTAAATGACCTTTTTATACACGAATGCTTGGACAGTATGCAGAGCTGTCGTAAGACCGAAGAGTACTGCGAACAGAATCGCCGCCGCGAAAGATGGCTCATAGAAGAGAAGCGCGTCGCATGCTTCTGGGGGTAGATAGCCGTTCTTGCCGGGTGCCACGTCAATGCAGGTGGCAGAGGCTGCGGCAGTGGATGAAGTCGTGGGAGTCGGTGTCATATTGCTGTGAATCTGGCCTGCAATCTTGTATCTTGTTCTGATATTGTGCATCGCGACTGCATGGCTGGTGATTCTACCAAATATATACTATGTCTACTGATCTACCAAGCTCGTTTATTTTTTTCGTTCTATTTTTGGGGCCATGATTAATTAGGCACACTTGGATTCGAAATCCAATGGAAACAATGTGGAATTGTCAACAAAGTTGATTAACCCTAAAGATGAAGCGGTGTTTTGAATTGAGGCAGGGTCCGAATGGCAAGGATGAGCTAAAATTTACGAGGCCGTGCAGCTGCCCAGACCCACCAGCAGGAATGCGCTAAAAGATACGACCGAATGACTCGGGCGCAATGAATCTGCCTGACGCTACTCAGTGTTTGAGCCACGTTGCGTTAAACTTTAGGAATCTTTAGGTTTTGAGGCTCAACGAAAAAATGTAGGATTTAAAAAGTGCAATGAAATATCGAAAACAAGACATAGTTGCGAAAGTAAAGAACATCTATTTGACTCCGAAAACTTATCCTATTCTTAAACAACAACACAACCATGCACAAAAAGACCGCCAACAACAACTTGGGCTGCGATCTCCATGAAAAGCCCTAGCTGCTCAACGTAGAAGTCGAGGTCCCCGAGCTCTTCCTCCCCGTTGGCATGGAGGCAGTGTTCCCAATGTGAGTGTCATTCTCTACGAGCAGCTTCGCAAACCTCATCTCATGCTTTTCGAAACCAAACAACGCTACAACAATCTTCAAAACCACTCTTCGATTGGATTATGTGCAAGTGATAAAACAAAATCAAGCACCTGTGTACGTATGTACATACTTGCAGACTTTCAACTACACCGTCGCGAGGGGTTTTTGTAATCGAAGAACAAAGATGCCCTCGCGAACTGCTGACAAATTGTGATTCGTTTGAGGGGATTTCTATTGTTTTTAACAAATACAAAGTTAATGGAGGCAGTTCGCGACTCTAAAACGTACGAGCAATGCTAACGATTGAGCGAGCCAATTGTGTTCGCACAGGCCGATCCACACGGTAAACAAATGCCGATAACGTTCGCACCTAAATCTTGGAATTAAGGTTGGAAACACGTTATTCTGGAATATGAACGGGATGCACAGCCTTCTGTACACTCATTCGTTGTGTCCACTAGGCAAATGCTTGTCTATACTCTAGTGCCCGATTTCACACGCAGCTTAAAGGGACCAAAAATGTATTCTATCCACAGACCCGGGGAAATTATCGAGTCATAACTAGAAGAGACAATCGTAGTCTTTCTTTCCGTCCTTTTTAACTTACCAAAAGATTTCTATGTGCAAGACTAGGGTGCTTTGCTTGGTTTCTAATAGATTATAATTAATGGAGCTTAATAGTCGCTCGTAAATTAATGCGATATACAGATTAAAATAAACAGTGGGAAATGCATGGAAAAGGAGCGAAAGATTATGACTTTATCACCGCAGATGGCCCGAAGACTTCCTCGAACCGTCATGGCACATGACCAACTAAACCCTAGTTCGGAGTTGAGTAGCAGGATCAGATATGAACGTGATGAACATACTTTAATCTTCATATGCAAAGTATCGAGGTTCTTGATTTCTATTGGTTCTTTAGAACACTATCACGCCTACAGAAAGGGGCTTGAAGCCTCTGTCATTTCCTTGGAAGTTGGTATGTACTCATCTCCGGCCAAGGGTTTCGGATGATATGGGAACACATATTTGCTCATGTGGAATAAATAGCCGTATTGGGAATAATAGGCTGTCTGATAGATTGCTCGGGACATGAATCTGAGTGGACCTACACATCCGGATAAAAATCCCGAAGTAGGCTAGGTTATATCTTGGTTGATCTGAAGCGATGAGCCATGTCATTATGATAACTCCTTGACATGGACAGACAATACCTTAGTCTTCAACCTCTCGGTGAATTATGCCCCACAAAACCGTTTATAAAGAAAGGTGGCCGACCCCCTTGCTAGATTTCTATAAGATTCGGACGGACTCAAAGAGGTTATTGGCATGAGTTATTGACTAGCATGAAGACAACTATCTAGCAAATACAATGATTGTAGTTGTTCAAGCTATGCAACTATGCAGAATATAGTACATTCAACCACCCGGTATTCGGTCTAGTCAGATTTACGAAGACTGTCCGAAGGTGAACTCGGGGATCTTGATGGTGGTGACAGTCCAGGTCTTGCCGTTGTCGCTGGTCGACATCTCGCCGGTGACACCGTCGCCCTTGCCAACGGTGTTGATGTAGTCGGGGTCGGCGGAGTCGAGGATGATCTTAGTGTCGGTCCACGCTGTAGAGCACAATTAATTAGCCCATCGATTCACAAATGATACAAAGCTTGTTTCTGGTAAGTCTTACAGTGAGCACCAACAGTGCCGCAGTTGTCCTCAGCACACTCGACGGAGCTACCCCAGCCCTGAGCCTTCGCGTCGCTGGTGGAGAGAGTCGAGACGGTCTTGCCGTTGACCTGGACGGTCTGGGTGTAGTTGCCGCTGTTGTCGTCGAACTTGTCTGTTTTAGGACTTAGCTGCATAATTCATTGCTGAACAAGGCGTGCTTTCTTACAGTGCATGGTAACCTTGTCACCCTCGCCGGCGGTGGCGGACTCTCCCTGGACGGGCATCTGGGTGTTGGCTATACATATTGTCAGCTTATGTCGCTTTCGCCGGGTGAAAATGTAGACTTTAACTAACCGCCAGTGCTCAGGAGAGTGTAGGCGTAAACACTCCAGTTGTCGGATTGCCAGTTGTCGGCAATGGACTGGACCAGGTCACCGTTGGAGGTACCCATGCCAACCCAGAGGGAAGCATCGCCAGAGTTTCCGCTGGGGGCCTTGGGGAGGACCAGGGTGGAAGTGGCCTCACGGATGAAGGTGCTGTCGGAGACGGGACCGGTGCTGAAGGCAGGGCCCATGGCAGCGTTGGCGGAGTTCAACGCCACGGCGGCGAGAACGGGGAGAGTCTGAGCGAGGGAAGGCATTGTGATGGCAACTGTGATTGTGGAGTGGCTGTCACAACCGTCAAGCCTGCGCCGGAAAAGGACCTTATATGTGCTTTCTGTCGAAACATCGTGCCTGTCACCCTTGATTCTAGTGGAGGAGAATTCACTCCGTAATCCCTAATCAAAACATGCAGTGGTACGATTCATCTAAGAATTCTCCACCCGTAAAGACATGATCCAGTCAGAGACGGTCGCAGTAGCAGCTTAAAACTGCCGATCCATTTATCTCCAACACTCGCGCCCCACAGTTACCTACAAGCAACGGCGAGATCGACACTCCGGCGGAGATGGTTTGAGGGACCATGTCGGATTCGGTTATCGAATTGCCGATCTGAATCCTTCCTGTGGGTCTGGTTTTCAACATCCGGGACATGCCGGTATTTTTTGTGCTCGAAACCGTCGGGACATCGAGTCGTCGCTGAGACCGCGCAGTTTTCTGACTCGAGACCTTCAGTCGTACTCGTATTTTGCTTTCTTTTCGGAATAATTCCCGATATTAATCATTAACTGTTCTCAGAATTCAATCCGTATATTTCAATAAATTCATTATAGTCACCTCAAATATTTGGCAAAGTGCTAACGATGATAGAAGTCTCATGTATTAAGCATTCCGGTGAATGGGTACACCAATGCTTACTTCTACTGCGATCCACCTCGCCCCACGGGGAATAGGGCAATTGGATTCAAGACTCAAGTTGAAGGTTCTAGATGACCGGAAAGTTAACAAGTTACTTGACCGACAGTGTGGGTTAATCTATTTTATGCATAAGAAGATTCGGAAAAGACGTTTATCCAGGCCATGAGTTATTATTCATGATGACCAAATCACCACAAATAGGGGCTAGAAAATGTTGTGCCTAGATTATCGCGTCGTGCGTAGCACATAGATTGTCTGAGCGTTTTGTCAAAAGTTCATTAGTAAAGGGAAAATAACTGGCGATGGCACTTGGTAATATACAGAAAGTTCAAGACGATGTACGGACCTGCACGATGGTTATCGTTGGACGGGAATTCAAAGCATTAAATCAGATTTACCGAGGCTGGTCAAAATCCGAGTCGAAACTTTTACGGAACATTGCTCGAGTAGTTAAGTCTCTCGGATCTCGGAGTGTCAACCTCGAATCCTCAGATAGGCTATGAGGAGCTGTATGTTCACTGCGAACTTTCCCCCTTATTCTACAAGAAGGCCGTATAGAGTGCGGAGCACAATGGATACCTGCCCCGACCTGGTGATATGATTTTGAGACACCAGTGGGTAATTTCGGAGAAACCCTTTGGCAGTGTGGGGGAGTGTAATATTTACCACTTGTTAGCGTAGTTTGATAATCTAGTAGAGATTTGTGTTCCCAGGTCATCCGATGTCTTCACTATGTATACTATCATTTATGCCATTTCGATCGAGTCTTGCCCCGGATGACAATATTATAACAAATAAACTGGCCTTCATAGGGCCGTACACAAGATTATGGTAAGCTAGGCGACAAAAGATAGAAGAGTAGAGACGAAGACAAAAGCCGCGGCGACTCAACTATCTTAAATGTCGAGCTAGTAATCAGTATGATTTACATATAAAAGCAAGTAGAATGATAAAGAGCAGAAAAGGCTACATGAACGCAAACTACCACTTGTCTAGCGTCAAACTTTCTTCTCAGTCGGTATGACTCCGACTGTTCTCGATGACAGCTTAGTCCACATGGCTACAGTTATTGACGAGAGAGTGTTTGAAATAAAGCGCAGAGGCCTCTGTCACATTCCCGCCTCAGAAATGAAAAGCTTCTGGTTTTTGAGAAGTTGTTTTTCCTAGGTACACAGCAGTTCCTATGACTTGTATATCTAAAAATGTAGGCGACTAGACCGAAAGCCTTAGCTAAGGCAATTGTCTGTCCTTTTATGTTAACAACATAGCTGATGCTTCCGGATTCAGACAGATTCTCAGTGATGAGGGGTGATTTTCTTCCCAATGAGATTCCTCAGCAGCATCCCGAGTGTTAGATCTAGCCGCTTTGGCCTTGGATACTTACTGTCTCCCAGTATGTATAGTTAAGGTAGTGTGCACCTATCAATGGCGGTGGGAGTAGAAATAAGTGAAGCAGCACACATCATTAGTCTGTTATATATAATTCAAGGTTCCGCCCCCCCAACAACTATATTTTCACGGAACTTTCTCTTCGAGCCCAAATCTTCGTTGCTAGAAGTCCTGGCACGTGCGGATTGAGCGTGAATCAATCACCTACATAGGTGGCAGCCCCGGTGCGATAGATGACATTCATTTCTCCACATCCCTTTTCAGATAAACGAGCGAAAATAAGCATAGCTTTCCTTATAGACTTCCGTTCTATCATAATCATTGGTGATTCGAGATGCCGTAAGAGGCAAACCACTGTGTTCAAAAAACCTCGCGAGCTTCAGAATATCCTTAAGACGTGTATTCTAGCTTGGAATAGGCCAGCTCAGACAGCGTCATAAAGTGAATAATTAAGTGGACAGAATTGACTGAACCAGACAATTAAGTTCGAAGAAATCAGAACCTGTATCTTGGCGGGCTTTTGCGTCACTCGTCACCAGACCATCGTTTTTGAGGAGTAGACGCCTCTGGGATTGTCTTCAGAAATTGAACACTCGCCTCTTATTGCACCATTTGGCTGCATGATGCCATTTTCTCTGCAATGCGAGGGGCTTACGCCCAGCCTGCTGTCCATTGGCTGTTCCGGCCGGCTGCAACTGCCGGGACGCTAATGCACGGTGCTTATGCGCTAACCAATGTAGGCCTAGTGCACTCCGCCCTGGCGATCACTCCGGATTGCCTCAATCAGAACTATCCTCAAGGTTTCCAGAATCCACCATCCGTCACTTTGAGATTGCTCGGTCAGCGAACAAGGCCCAGACGTCAGCATTCGCTTGGCGTTAAGGCAGCACCATAGCTGAGCCCACTCTGATTACACGTGGGGATGCTCTTCTTTCAATATCATTGGCACCTCGATGCCAAGTGGACTTATAGATCAAACTTGGCAGGATATCGTTCGCAGGATCAGCACAAATCTCTTATCTCCGGTACTAACCCAAATTATCACACATATGATGACAATGCCCTCTTTTCTACGTCGAGATTCGACAGCTATAAGACCAGCGATCTTCCCTGCGTCAAGTAGAAAGAAACCAAACTCGAACACTACTTTCTTCTTCTTCTAAATACGTGACTACCATCCTACATCAGAAACATGAAGATTGCACACAGCAACGCTGCCATGGGCATGCTGATAATCGCCAATGCAATGTCGGCAACGGCCCAGAACATGTCATATGGAGCCGACAACTTCTACCGCAGCAGAAACGTGACTGGCCACCCGATTACCTTCAAGGACCAATATCAGATGGATATCGCCGGAAACATCTTCGTCAGCGACAGAATCAACCGCACCGTCGGTCTCAATCGCACCGCCAGCCTCCCGGCTATCGTTGTCGGCCATCCCATGGGTGCCGTGAAGGAGCAGAGCTCCAACCTGTACGCTCAGAAACTGGCCGAGCAGGGTTTCGTCACGGTTTCACTTGATCTCCCATTCTGGGGAAGCAGCGAGGGCGAGCCGCGCAATGCTGTATCGCCAGACCTCTACGCAGAGGCATTCAGCGCGGCGGTTGACTACCTCGGCACGCAGGAGTTCGTCGATCGCGAGCGCATCGGCGGTCTAGGCATTTGTGGCAGCGGATCCTTCCTGATCAGCGCGGCGAAGATCGACCCACGCGTCAAGGCCATCGCCACATCCAGCATGTACAACATGGGCGCTGTTGCGCGCCACGGGCTGCAGAGGTCTCAAAGCGTGGAGGAGCGCAAGGAGGTCATCGAACAAGCAGTCCAACAGCGCTGGACTGAAGTGGATGGTGGCGAAACTGAGTACACCCCCGGCACTGTCACTGAGCTGACGGCCAACTCGACGGCCATCGAACGTGAGTTTTACGATTTCTACCGCACCAGGCGTGGCGAATTCACGCCTCCCGGCATTTCATCCAACATCACCACTATGCCGACAGTCTCGAGTAATACGAAGTTCATGAATTTTTACCCGTTCAACGATATCGATACTATCTCGCCGCGTCCTATGCTGTTTATCTCGGGTGACCAGGCGCATTCGCGTGAGTTCAGCGAGGACGCTTATGCGCGTGCGGCTGAGCCAAAGGAGTTGGTTTGGGTTCCTGGTGCTGGCCACGTCGACCTGTATGATCGCGTGGAACTCATCCCATTCGACAAGCTCACTCAGTTCTTCCAGTCCAACCTCTCCTAGATGGTGTCCAGCTTCGCTAGAATATCTTCCGAAGCATAGTATTGTAATTCAAGGCTAAAGGAGCACGAGAGGCATGGGTTTATCGAACAGAAAAGCAAACTTATCGGTCCAATGTGGGAAAGACCGGGCTACTTGTCAGTGTAATTAGTCACATACTGCAAGGCTACACAATTGAGGCCCATCAATTTAAGAATTCGATAGAATAGATGGATAAATTACTAGAGACACTAGAGACACTCCTGTGACTATTACAAACGCATCAGTGAAACAGAGAAAGCAAAAGGCAAGTCAGGGTTGAAGCTCTCGGCGCATCAAGCCACAAAGATTTGAGACCACCTGCTTCCTTCCATATGTAGAGTCCAAATCAAACCAAGGGGTGGAATCCAAATACAAGAAAGAGGTAGGCGAGAGAGATTCCAAATCGTTAAGATAGTCGCTCGTGATCTCAAAGTGAAGGGGGCACATGTAGTGCTGGGTAACGTTGATCACTATCACTCTGTCATAATATCAGTATTCATACAACTGTGGTAACAGAAAGATAAGTAGTACCCAGGTGGCTGTATTCCATAAAGAGTGTTATCGATACCGGCTACAAGAGCTTCGCAAGTCATCTGGGCCAGGCATTTATCCGAAACGATCGGCCGACCGTTTTCAAAACTTTGGAATTGTCTTTTCCCTTCTAGTATCGCCAGGTGATTTTTCGAGAGTACAAAGCCACCGTTTGACTCCTTTCGTAAGCATAGTCCTCCGTCGTCGATGGCTACTATCTTCCGTTTCGATATAGGGGCCTCCGCGACGAGTCTCACTTTAGCATCCCGAAATTCGACAACAGTCGGTAATTCCGTACGGTCCTGAGGGGCACCGAAGTACAGGATGTGTCGAATAACGCACGAGGCAAGCCGTAAAGTTTCATCCTCCGGCGAGGCTAGGGATCTGTGTGATTCGGGTCGACGTAACCGACAGAGGATGCCTCCTGGGAGCTTTCCGTCTCTGGACTGCTGGAACCGACTCGAATATTGCGAGAATCCACAAAGTCCTTTTGGGGAGTGTTTTGTCTTGGACGCTTTGCTCTTTTTTCCCCTTCATCCGATCCATCATCGTTGTCGGGGGGTGACTTTTTCTCGCGACGCTCCCGGCTACCTTTGAACATTGCCAAAGCCGCCCAAATCTGCCCCAGAGAGATACCACAACCAGAGCGTCGTACGAGTTGGTGCTCGCTTTGAGCCATGTACCTCGGACCCGGTGGACCGTTCACAAAGCTGATTATCTCAGTTGAAGATTTCAAGTCCGAAGGTCGTGTGTACGGCGCTAAGATCGGAAGGACGAGGCGCTGCGGCGCTCGACGGATTAAACGGCAAGCAAACAAATGATCGCGCCCCCATTCACTCGCGGCGACGAGGTTGAGGTCCAAGAAGTCCTTTTGGCGGCCATCTCGACAATGTGTATTGAAAGCCGGTTTGCTGGTGATCGTGTCAAAGTATGAAGACTCCATACTTTTGTATAGCTACCCATGGGGATGATGAGGAGTGGTAAGACTTCTAAGAGTCGTGGAGTGGGCGGAGGAGATCTCTGACTGCCAGGGCCCCAGCGCTATATCCCCTCTCGTGAAGCCAGTGGGCAGCATGAATGAATGGATGATCAAATCAATGGTGAATATAGCCATGGCCACATGACAGGCGTAGCGAAACAAGCCATGAAACAACCGGAACCCACCGCCAGCATGGCGGGAGGTTCCAACATCCCCCATTTCATTGGAAGAATCGGGGCTTCCGGGGAAATGAAGTGACGAATCAGGCCACCTGATGAGGCAGCTGGCACCAGTGAATGTAAACAGGTACTACTGGACGTGAATGTAGGCAGGTACTACTAGTACTGGACATGAATGATTTTGCCACAATACCAGTCTCTCGCCTTCCTTGTGTGCCTTGGACGGATGGTATGCCCCCACCTCTGCATCCAGGCACTCGATTCATCTGGACTTGTCGAGGTAAGACCAGATTGGGTGGAGATCCATCATCGGTCATCGTTGGTGGTGAGCGGATCGGCCATCCCAAGGCGGTCGGGAGGGCGGTGAGGTTGTTTCTGTCGCCCTTTCTCCATCGCTCTCCACTGCTGCCGCCTCTCCAAATCTCCAACTCTGCATCCATCATGAGCTGACTTCGCTAGCATGTCCACCAACGACGCTGGCATGGCGTCTTTCGCCGAAATCATGCGTCATCATGGCGAGCTTATGGTGAACCCGCTTCTGTGGACCTCTCGCCATCTGGAAATAATGGGGGCTCGGTTTCAGCACCTGGAGAATGCCTCCCAGGTGGAGCAACCGCGGGATGACGAACGGCCCTCGGAGGGTCTGGCCGACAGAGAGTACTTCGCCCGGGTGGTTGCCTGGAGCCTCGTGATTCCAGGAAAGCTGAACGCTCTTGCAAACATTCTCTTGTCTAGCGATAGCGTCTTGGACAAGCGCAGGTGAGCTGCACCCCAGGACCGGCGGGAGAAATACTTTCCACACGTTGCTAACATCGTCCGCGAGCATAGCAAAGGGCCCGAGTTTATGTTCGCGGGTCGGCCTGTTCATCGACCAGTTTACACCGTCTTTCGTCGCAGAGATCAGCCCGACCGACCTGTCTCTCAAGAGTCACTAGCCCTGATTGGCTATGTGAATTACACAAACGTCAGTGGTCCTCGCTGGCATAAATGTTACCCTCGCCCGCGGAAAGATGGACGCGATAACTCCCCGGTTCAGTGACTTGCCAGAAAAAAGCTGGATCGTGTTACTCCAGAAGAAAGGACAGAGGATCCCTACTTTATCTGCATTTTACTATCACTCACCCAGTTGCAAGAGAGGCTTTTGGAGTCCCAAAAGCGAGAAAATCATCTGGTATGTGTTCTTGGCCAGTCCATACTGGCATATAGTTCCCCTGTGTTACTCTGGCTCACCATGCCAAGTCCCGCCTTCTTGTGGCATTCCCTTTCGATCCAGAGTATATCCATATTTATGAGGCTCGAATCACGTCCGACTTCTTACGGGCACTTGAAACCCCCACGACAGCCATGAAAGAAGCGAAATTCCCTACCATCGAACACAGGAAGATCCCATTCAGGCCCTACAAGACCTTCCAGGAACGAATCTTGGTGGAATTGTCGATCAACAATTTTTCTCTCGCTTCGGATGTTCCAAACGGTACTTTGTCGAACGTAACCAATCCACATCTCAAACGACCATACGAGCAAGCAGATGATGAAAGATGCAAGCGGGGTCGAGTTTCATGACGGCTGGTTTGTGCTTACAACCCTACTCAACATCTTTCCTTTTTCATTGTTTATCGGCGACAGTGCAAGGGACAGCAGGCTGTCAACTCGCCGCTGCCGGTCTCCGGAATATGGTAAATCTTAGGATTAATTGAATGAAAGCTTTTGCTATCTACTACTGATTTCGTCAAGTTTCCTTTGCAAACAATCCATTATGGTACACCCTCGTCTAGGAATTGATAACAGCAAGAGCATAGGGGAACAGATAATCTATTATCACACGCTAATATCTCTCGCCGCCTAGTCCCAGCCGAATAATCTAGGGACACTCGTCATCCGTTCTCCACTGCTTCAAGCACGACCCATCAACGCCCGCTCCCACATGACAGTGAAGAATTCCATCTTTATTGGAGATGATATCATCTAACACCATTAGCTTCTCATTCCATTCAATCTCGCATCTAGGCATACTCAGATCAATCGTGGTTTTAACCGTCTTATCGTCACTGTCCAGGCACTGACACAACATCTCCCCGTCGTAGGTGACACTGCAGAGCTGGCAGCGACCGGTATATTTACCACTGTTAGGTGAGTGGATGATCAGTATTTGCAAATTCGCGTGTAAAGGCAGAAGGGAAATACTTACTTCTCCATGGGTACGAGGTTTCCGTCCGCGTTAACACCATAGCATTTATCCAGGTCGAGGATGCTGCGCAGACTGCCGTTGGGGCCGCCACATTTGGCATTCAGGACGTGGTTCTCCTGGATATCTTGGATGTTGCAGGTCGCGTAAAAGTCACCAGCTGCGACGATCGTCGACAGTGAAAGAATAGATAGAATTTGCTGGAGCTTCATATTGTTTGGTTGGCGTGAATGGGTTTGAACTTGTTACACTTGTGATTTGCTGGTTGAGGCTTGATTGTGGGATTGCTGTTCGGGTGCTCATGGCCGTATTTATACTCGTCGAGAAGACCTGCATTGCCTCATTATCCCCCTATTGTCAGATTATGCCAAGTCTGTCTCAGACGTCGCAGCGAATACTTTCGTGGTTGACTGTTGGAACGGACAGAGCCTCTGCATCCTATTGCTTTCCTATGCTGGGCTGGTTTAGCTCCTGGCCCCATGACAGGGATTCTTCTATGTTGAGCTATCCCTAGAATGTAGTCAGAGGATAACTTCCAATAGTCTAACTTGTCCTAGTACTGACACCTGCCGATCAGCAATGAAAAGTCCGATGCAGCCAGCTGTACCTATCAACTGTGATATAATCATACACCTCTGATGCTCGGAAAATTCGGAGAAGAGGCAGGCCACCGCATTCTTCTTGCTGGCTAATATTCTTAGTCGATTGGTCTAATACAGCCCATGTGGATCTGAGGTGTCATTGATCGCGTTAAACAGTCGCCCCCACAGCGCACCGGATGGGTCGATACCGTGGGGGCCAAAAAAGGAAAATATACGAGAAGTCTTGGGAATGAGGTTTCTATATCTAGATTCCAGAATATTCTTATCCAAGAAGGGGGGAATTGCCACAGCCCTATACTGGGAAGATCGGGGGCCATGCTCCTTTAATTATTTCCAGAAGTTTGAGATGTACAATCATGGAATATGTAAAACACAAGAAAAGACTTGAATATGAGTCATTATTAGTGTGGATTCTGCTACGGAGATATAGCGAAGAAGCTCGTGGTCAGAGAAAAATAGGGACACCGTGAAGATAGAGCTGGTATCGGTAGCTATAGAATTTTTCAACAGTTTGACGCTATTACTAATTTTAATTGAGACCCCTACGAGTCGTTCGCCGAATGTAAAATGAAGGAACAGAATGATACAACATCTGATAGTTGTCAAAAATACAAAGTCGCAAAATTTGCGATCGGTGACCACGGACACAGTCCCAGTAATCAGTACATAATGTAGCAATCCATTTGGCGATTCTGATTCCGTCAGCATGTTTCTGTAAAAGGCTTTCTGACTCCAGCCATAAAAGGAGGCTGAACCTACAGGAAGCTTCCCAGCCCCCAAGACAAGATCCGCAATCGGAATCACGTTGCCCAAAAAGTCCGCCAGCTGGTCCGCAGCACTGCCAAAGTCCCAGTCCCCAACAGAACAATACGGAGGTTCCTGTCCTTTTTCGTCTTCTGAATCATCAACGGAGTTGAACTTGAACCCATTAACGTAGAATACGAGATCGGAGTGGTCAACCGGGTAGGGTCGAGGAGGTACAACAATGCGCTTGTCTAGACTGCGCCGACGTTCTCCCTCATCCAAGAACTCGACCGACGCAATAGGCTCAATGTTAATCGGGTAGGACTCAAGGTTTGTAACAGGAATGGTGACATTCGTGCCGAGGTTCACCTCGACCGCCTCCCTCTGGTCAGCCACCATGACCTGGTCTGTATCGTTCATCACAGCAGCGATGATAACTTTCGGTGATGCGGCGTTGGTCTCCCACGCCTCCCAGACATGGAGCGTTGCAGTGCCGAACTGCGGGTGGAGGGTTGATATGGGAACCGGATCGTCGCATGTTGTATGTTGATAAGGATCTCTCACTTCAGTGGCGGTGTCACAGGACTTGACAATACTCTCGACTGAGTCCGTCCAAGTGTAGCCGGTGAACGTAGGAGCTTCGGAAATTGTTTCGACGATGGTGCTGGTGGGATTCGTGGTGTAGCCGCAGACGTTGCTTGTTCTGTCAAAGGGTGGTGCGGTGAAGTATTTGGTTTCCGACTCTGTGCACTCACAAACGAGCGACGGCTTCCCCCTGTGAGTAATTGTTAGCTTTTTCGTTGTTCTTGTCGCATGCAAAGTAAGTACTAGAGGAGAAGAAGCGTACTTGGGATGGCAAGTGATAGAGGGTTCTTCTGTTGGCGTTGGCGTTGGCGTTGGTGTTATGGACGACGATGCTGGCCTATTCGGGGAAACGCTGGTTCTTAATGGTTTGACCGGCGAAGATGTCCTAGAAGCTTGAGAAACAGCACCAGAGCTTTGGGTAGTTGAGGGGTTGGGAGATGATGATGATAGTTTTGGTGTCGAAACTGGCGTTGAAGATGGAGGCAAGACAGTAAATACTTCGTAAGTTAAAGGCCGGGATGAAGCTGGTGATGCAGATGGCGATGAGACTGGTGATGAAAAGGGAGGAGTTACAGTGAACACTTCGTAAGTCAAGGGCGGTGGGGAAGCTGGCGATGAAACTGGCGATGAAGCTGGTGTTGAAGATGGAGGAAGGACAGTAAACACTTCGTAGGTCAAAGGAGGTGGTGATGTTCGTGATGAAGCTGGAGACGAAGATAGCGATGAGACTGGGGATGAAGACGGGGGTGAGACAGTGAACAGTTCGTAAGTCAACGGCGGTGGGGAAGCTAGTGATGAAGCTGATGATGAAGCTGATGGCAAAACAGATGATAGAGCTGTCGTGGAAGATGGAGGCAGGACAGTATACACTTCCATGGTGAGTGGTGCGTCGGCGTTCAACTCGGGGGTGACTGTTGCAGTCCTTGTCTCCTCTGTTGCCGTGACATCGCAACCCACGGTTGTGCTTGTCATGGTAGAGGTGGAACATGTAGTCGTTGTTGTCTTAGAGCCCTTGATACTGGTCGGTATAGCAGAGCAGAAGGCAGATTCAGGGAAGACTGTCTGTGTAGTGGCAGAAGTACAGGACTCTGCTGTGCTGGTAGTACTACCGGTGGTAGTGCTCTTGTTATCATCGTTATCGTCATTGTCATCGTCATCATCTGGATCATTGCTTGTGTCTGAGGCTCCTGGCGATCCTCCACCCGCAGGTGAAGGCGACTGATTACTGGTGCAGCCAATTATGCACGGAATATTGACACCGCCAGATATACCAGGCAGGTTGAAGTAGGTTCCTATAGCACCTATGCCATATAGAGCTTGTCCTAGGAAGATAGGAAGGTTCGTTTGTTGGCCGTCGGTCATAGTGGTGATTATAGTATTCTCCGAACCGAGGGACGCGATGCTGCTGGCTGAGAAGCCCTCGGGGGGCTTGGGGAAGATTGGCAATGGCGAGCTCGTTGAGCGTGAAACTTCAGCTGTTATACTTCCCTGGGACTCGGATATGGAAGAAGTTTCCGAACTCGATGCAGCACCTGTGCCTGTGGTAGATGTCTCAGATGGCACGGGCGGTGCAGTAGAACCAGGCTTTAAGGATTCAAATATTCCAGAAGGGCTTCTAACTGAAAGGCCTGATTGGCCCGAAGGAGTAGGTCTAGTTTCCTCCACGAAGCTCGAGCTCGCGGATGAGGGTGAACCACTCGGCACCCAAGGAGCATTGCTCTCGGAAGGCGCAGGCGAGGGGGTCGGAGATGGCTCAGGTGTGGTGGATGCAAAGGATAGTAGATTTGAATTGGCTCCAGGGAATTCAAACTTGGTCAAGAGGATATTCGGTGTTCTAGTTTCCTGTAAAACGACCGAAGAAAGCACAACTCGAGAGCTGCCTGGCAGACACGCAGTCTGCTGTACTATAAATAGCAACAGTGACACAGTCACAGAGAGAATTTTGATAGTCATGATTTATTCCAGTGTTGAGATACAAAAACAAAAGGAAAGAATAAATGGACGGTTTAAATATGAAAACAACACCCTCAGATACCTTTTACTCCAAATGCAGAGCAAGCTTAGAATAAATACCTAACATTGGCCACACAATTATCTACAAACTACCAATCTCTCCTGAGAGCACCATCGGGTAGGAAGGAAAGCCATGAAATTACGCACGTACATACCTGAGAGCTTTCTGTCTGCCCCCACGACCTAGCGTGTCTCAGCACATAGCCATCAAGAGCCGGGTCGTGCATTTGCAAGGTTTATGAGCCTTGTTCATATGGGGCTATGTCTTGTCAATAGTTTGGAAGGGACACTACCTAGTTAGACTTCATACTATATCGATCCTTGTCTATATTGACTTCTGATTGCGCCCCAAACCTCCGACGCGAATTTGATATCCTTGTCGAACTATAAACGAGTGACCGCTGATCCCGTCTGGTGCGATCATCATCTGCCTTAGCTTTGTAAGGGAAGCCGAATGTCTATCAAAAATTTACTCATTGGCTGCTAAGCTTAGGTGCTGCTATGCTAAATAATCAATTTATGCAAGCAAGAGCGATACGCTGCCCCGCACAATGTCATCGTAAGTATCCACTATATTAGCGCATACAGATGCAGGTTGGGAAAAGAACAGAGAGGAACAATTCGACCGACAGTTAGAGCAAAGGTTGCGGTCTGGACCTTCATGCGGAGTATATTTTGGTCAGCCGTGCCGCCTCGGAACACCAGAACCTACCTTCGTGAGGGAATTACAAGGGTATGAGGTCTCCTTACCTGGGACTCCGTTGCCAATTTTGGGATTTTGATATGCAGGGTCGCAGCTGCGCCGGTGTCAGAAACCCTTGTAGGGAGTCAGAGCGTTATTCTTGGCACCTGAAGCGGCGGAGGTCCTGCGCCGCAGCGCTAAATCCTGACACCAGGACGGCTGTGTGCCCACTTCAGATAAGTTTCTAAACCATCACGTTGCATATATCATGCATGGGCGGTGGATACACACCCAGTAATTGCCAATCAGAGGAAATAGTGCTGTTGGGACGATTGGTAAACGAGTTGATCGGCACGGGTCTGGCTCTGTATAATTAGTATATTGATCCTTACCCTTGCCCTATTGAGCGTCGATCGTAATTCCTGGAGCACCGGGCGAATACCCTGTCGTAAGAATGGTAACACCATGACTCTATCCATTGATTGAGACATTTGATCCCGAATTAAATTAGGAGGGACTACTGTTAGGGGGCGAAGTTTGACCTCAGGCCAGCCAGCCCGTGATGGCAGGACCATATAAAGCAGAGAAGCATTCGAAATAGAGCTCTACAGACACACCACAAGGACTAGTCCTCATCTTATTCCTGCCGTTCTTCATTTTTCATTCAGTGCCGCACCCTGAAGCAAATAGTCTTTCACCATGCATATTACCACCAAGAGAAACAAGGCGCTGGCTCTGCTCTTCTTCCTTCTCTCCTTCCTGACTCTCTGTCTGTCTGTGCCGACGGACTCTGTCAAAGTCCACAGGTTGACCTTTTTGAATCAGGCTAATGAGAAGGAGTTTCCGAGCTGTTTCCCATCACAAGCATCTCTCCCTACATAAAGATGTTCTCGTGAAGCGCGGTATTGACCCCAGGTATAAAGTTCTCAAAGATAAACTCGAACGGAGCCCTCGAGTCTACCAGAATGAGGAGAAATTCGTGGCTTTTGGCTCGGAATCAGTCACTTTAGGCAGTGATAACTTCATAGGGTGCATGGGCTTGGTCATTGCAAGCAGCCAGGGCGCCATCATCGGGCACTACACCAACGCCGATCCCAGCATCTCTCAAGCCAAGACCAACATTCCCGACCTGATCAATGACCACAAGGACTCCCTGGCAGGCGCCGAAGCGTGGATCTACGGGCACGTCAGGCTGAATAAACCACACAAATATCAGGCAGAGGAGCGCATCCAGGAACTGGAGTCAATAATCAAGAACGAGCTTGGCATTACGGCCCAGAGAGTGAAGTATATAGAACCGGAGGATCTGATGGCGGATGAGAATGAAGAATTGATAGTAGACGAGCTGCCCGATGAACTAATGTATGGTTTTGTCCTCGTGGAGCATCCGGGTGGACATTCACAGGAATCCGTCATCACCTTCGTTAGTCTCGATTGGCAGAAAGCCGGGACGACCTTGGATTAGGTTCTCTTGTGTCATGGATATGGATCAGACTGCAGATCAACGTGTTACACCTGGCATTATATATATATCTTGACCTTTTCCGTAGAATCTGTTCGGTTGCAGTGTTCAGATTGGTTGTGGGGCTCTTACTGCCCTCGGGTTCTGCTGGTTTATCCTAATACTTTTCCTTGTTTCTTTTCTTGCTTCTTTCTATTTTTTACTATACGCGTGGGCTTACTGCTTAACATGTGTGTGGGCTCGCTGCTTACTATAATTAAGTATAGGCTTATTAGCTATTATATATATAGGTTTATTACTTACTATATGCGTGGGCTTGCTGCTTACTGTGATCAAGCATGGGCTTGCTAGCTATTATCAAAAAGGCCTTATTTATAAACCTTTAGATTGAATCAACTGGCTGACGCGCGGCCTTTGTAGCTAGTCAGCCAGCACTCGCTAGTTAGCTAACTAAGATCTTGCCAATTACTTTCCCCAAGTATTGAGAATTGCAATGATCTCTTCTCTCCCTCCCCCGTCGGCCCAGTCTCGGGCGGTCTCGCCATACGGGTCTCTCAGATTTATATCGCTGCCTCGTTCCAGCAGAAACCGCACACGTTCCGGGGAGTTGGAAAGAACCGCGAAGTGCAACGCCGCTCCTAACCTATTCCCCTGCCAATCGCGAAACATATCTGGATCCCACTCAAACTCGCGCTGATTGATAGGGAAGCCTGCTTCGTCTAGTAGCCATTCCATGACTTCCATCCGGCCTTTGAGTCTATATTCAGCAGCCCGTTGAAGGGCATTGCTACAAGCGAAGTTGGCACCATAGGCAGCAAGCAACCTGAGCGTCTCCACCGAGGCAAAACGACCAGCTTGACTCGGCACATCATGGGACTTGTTCCTGTTTCTCGCATTTGGATCGGCTCCATGCTCAAGGCACCAGCGCACCCGCGTCTCATTATGCGTCACAAACCTGTCCTGTTATCAGCATTGACGCTTTTTCGCCCATTAATCCAGGGTGCAAACCCACCCTAGTATCGGAACATGGAAATCCTGGGCAGGGTCGTTGATATTCCACCCATGTTCTAGAAACACCTCGAGCACATCAAAGGCGTTGGCAGTCATAGCCTTCCTCGCGATTGCGGGCGTGATAATAGGCACTCCTCGCTTATCGATCATATATTTGACTGTATCCACTTGGTTTCCCTCCGCAGCCTTAACTAGTAGCCGCGTGAGAAACTCGTAAACAGGCTCACTTTTGTCGGTGTGGCTCCTCAGTTTCACCCAGTCTCGTACCTCAGCAATCGTGGGATCAATCCAGAGATGGTCTTTTGGTGTAACATTTTCATCGGCAACCTCGGCCTCCCACCTGGCCAGTTGGGTCTGCAGTTTGGGGAGGTCTCCCGCTTGGGCGGACAGTTCCATTTCCTCGGCGAGGGTACGGGGATGTTGTCCTGGGCTATACATGATAAGGTAGCGTGACTGTTGTATTTGAGAAGTAATGAATGAGAAGAAGAAAGAAAAAAAGAAAAGCGAAGAGGTTGATGGTTGGGGGTGGAGGAATAGGGAGACAAAGGAAGAGAAGGCTGAGATGCCCGGCTTTTAGCACTAATGGAGGGGTAGATGCTAGGTTCCCAAGTAATATTAATAAGGAAGGCTTGTTCTAAAGAAACCAAGCTGGAATTCAAACAAATACATACAGTTACAGATGAGCTAGGGTCGTGTTTTGGGCGCGATGATCTTACCTTTCCTTCCGTGACAGCCGACTCCGCTCGATCGCTTGGCTGGTCTAACCACACCAAGGATAAAAAGCGTACCTTAGAATGACAAGAAAAACTAACTCCAAGTTTACTAGTGTGCCATGCCGGGTGGAGTTTCTATGTTCCGACCAGACGGCCTTCAAGATTCTCTCTTGGCAACGGACGTACCCACTCAATCCCCATGATTTCATCCGATATGTATCCATGAAGCCACCCCTTGTCTATAAGGATGGAACCAACAGATATTGCCACACCTTCCCAGCGAACTCGTGTCGCCTGCAAGGCATGCAATGCAAGACGTGTGAAATGCGATGCGAACGAAGGGCAGCCGTGCTGGCATTGTCGCATGCGGCGGATTCCCTGCGAGTTGATTGAATCTAAAAGGGGCAAGTATGTGGTTGCGGTCCCTTACCATTGTTTCCGCCAAATTAAGAAGACCTTCTTATGACAGGTATGCTCGGAGGCGACGCACAGGTGGGAATCAACGAGCCTCGAGACATGTTCGGAGAGTCAGTGATACATGTCTCGTCCAGCAAGATCTAGTTGACCCAATTATAAGACAAGACAATGAGATTGAGAGACCTGGAGAACCCGCAGCCGTAACAATGCCGAATACCCCTGCACAGGGATCCTCTACTTGTCAAAACATGGGCGAAGGACCTGAAGATATCTCTCCCACGGTATATTATGTGATAGAGTTGAGCTACAAACCTAATGGCGGCTCCACTGAACCGCTCACGGTCCATCATCCAATACCTTCTTCTATTGCAGACAATGACACTGCATATCAGCCACAAGGACCGATTTCGTTGCAAGAAGCCCTGTCGTTGCCGAGTCCTGAAGTGCTGGACCAATTGGTATACACCTTCTTTCACAAAATCCATCCCGCTTACCCTGTTTTCGACCGAGAACGGTTTTTACATTCCTATTGCGCAGGCCAGGCATCTCCCTTGGTTTTACAGGCGATCGCCCTTCTAGGTTTTACCATCGGAAGCGATGATTTGGTTCGTGAGGCTGGGTTCAACGATCGAGCAACGGCAAGAAAAACACACTACCTCCGTGCCAAGGCATTGTATGATGCAGACTACGAGCCTGATCGCATGAACCTCGTGGCCGTTCTCCTACTTCTGGGATTCTGGTGGGCCCGTCATGATGATCAAAAAGATACATGCTATTGGGTTGGCTGTGCATCATCTTTAGCGCAATCTTTGGGCATGCATCGTTCGTATGCTATTACGAAGTGAAATGACCGAGTATCTTGCTGATGGGAAGCTTACAGCGTACAACAGTCCACCATGAGTCAACGGATGAAGTGCTTGAGAAAACGAATCTGGTGGGCAATATATGTAAGACCCATCGGCTCACCTGCTATGTTGTTGAGTTCTGATCTCTTTTAGACCCGCGATAGACATGTATCCGCTGCTTTCGGTCGGCCTTTTCGAATCCGAGATGAGGACTGTGACGTTGAATTTCTTGCCGAGGAGGATTTCACTTTCGATACAGCCTATATGCCTGGGCTCATTCCGGCCCAGGAAGACCATCATGTCTCATATGTTCTTGAAATGTCAAAACTGGCAGCAATAAGTAAGTCTCTCTTTCAATCGCCACGCTCTTACCTTGGCCATCTGCAAGTCTCGATTGCGATATAAGGTGGCTTATTATATGTTGCAGTTGGGGATATCATCACGGCAGAGTATAGCCCTCGCCGCACTCTACTTGGACATCTTCAAATAGATACATTAAAGCAGAGACTCACGGATTGGGAAGTTGCGTTGCCCGATCAACTTAGAATCAGACCATCTGACAGTTATCGGGGGGCCTCATTCTGGGCCTCTATGGCCCAATTTTCTTATCAGTAAGCTTTGAGTCTTTGATCTGTTGCGACATCTCTGCTAAGCAAGCCTAGGAACACTATCATCCTTCTATATAGACCCAAGGCCGTCAGAATCTCTTCTCTAGCAGACACAGAACGTGATTTGCGGGCACGAGCTGCTGCAGACTCTATCACTCGTCTTGCCGAGGATCTCTTATCATCCGGGATGATAACCTCCGGCTTAATCCATCTGTAAGACCGATTCCATTCCGTGCCTTACGCTCATTAACTTGATTAAGTGTACCGGCATTGTTTTCCGCACTCTCGGTTCACACAGTCGTCATCTGTCGAGGAGAGCCAATTCATAAACAGCTAGCAGAGAACAAGTCACAGCAGTGCATGTTGGCTTTAAGCGTGATTGCAAAGTCTTGGCCTGTCAGGATTTGGATTTCAAGAGCTTTCGTCAATCTAATAAAAAGATTAACAGGGCAAGGCCAAACTTTTGACTCAGCCTTCAATGGGGCTATAGTGAATGTCTCGTCGAGCATCAAGTCTAACTTTCAGCATAAGGCGCCATCTGCTGGCCGGTCTTCTGGAGTAACAAGGGTTCATATTGCACCAAATTCTGACCCTTGTTGCACGTCTAACGCCGCCCCACAGCCTGGAGGTGATGATTGTTTTAGCTCTTCGTGGAAACCGTCAGGCGATTTCGTGCATGATTCTCTGTGGGCCGATTATCTTGATAATGCGCTTGATGTGGATTTGTTACTGCATAGTTGTGCCGACCCTACGCAACGTGTCCTTTTTGAAGGAATAAACTGGGATCTAGCTGAATGAACTCTTCATACACATAATCGAGGTGACTAAAGTTGACCTGTTTGTAGCCCTCGCCAAAAACGAATGCTTTATCGGTCGAATGTGGGATAGAAAGAGCGAAATTAGTTTCTTGGCTTCCATTTTCCATGGAACACGGAATGGGCTTGGTGTGAATATATACCATGTGTAGCATTTGGTTGTCACTGGGATAACGACTAGATCCCCTATATCCAGGCCGGTAGTGTGTTTTGCCTAGGTTTTGAGGGCAAATCTACTCTTTTGCCTTAGAAATTGTCCATATTTGAAGAACAGCAAGGGCAGTGGCATCATCAAGACTGTGAGAAATGCCAGGAGAGTGGTTGCCCAATGACGACCTAGTCGTTCGTACATTTGAATACCAAAAAGCGGAAACACAGCTGCACTTGAACGATTAACAGTGCTACATAATGGTCATCGTGAAGATGGTTTCAAGTCGCTCACTCACCGGCAAAGGAGCACCTTGCGAGTCCATTACTCGCCAGTGCAGATGCAGCGTACTTGGGATAGGCATCAACCTGTAAATCTAATTGTTAGCGCAAGTTCTGAGATCATTCAATTCAAAATGGCTTACCAGAAAGGTGAATATGCCAGTAAATGCAAGAAGGGTACTTTGAACAGATTAGTTCAAGCCTTGCGGAGTCCACAGGATGCATTGCAATGTCATTGTTCAAGGTATTTCAAACTCACCCACATCCGAATATGGCCGACCCTATAATGGGAACTATCCAATGCACGTCTGGATATAAACTCCAGCCAAACCATAGCAGACCAACTGGTATCATAACGCCCCCTGGTATAGCCGGTATGAGACGATATTCAGGTGGCTTTTCACAACGATTATCTGTCTGTCTACCTGAGAGTTGATCCGCGATCCTATTCCAAAGTGGAGTGCTAGTAGCTGCTAGGATCATTCCAGATATGATGCCGAGGAATGTGAGACCCACTTTCCAAACGTTGAAATCGTACGTGCTTTCAAAAACAAAGGGAAAGGCTTGGAAAAATAGATAGAGAAGCCCTAACAGCATGGCGGAGTAGAGGTCCAGCAAAAGGCACATTGGCTCGAGCGTGAGAAGCTGAACAGGGCGTAGAAGTGAGAAGGCCAAGGCTCGGGCTCTTGTTGTCTGTGGCTTTTCGACAGACACCGTAAGATTTTCGTTACCCGTCTCTTTGCGAAGCAGTTTTGCCTTAGTTTTCAGTTTGATGGGGTGATATGTTTCAGGAACCAGGAAAAGAATCGACAATAGAATTATTGCAGACCAGATGAGAATGGAGTAGTGACACCACCTCCAATGGGCATGGGAGACGATGAAGCCGCCCACCAGGGGACCCAAGCAGGGTCCTATGAACGGGGAGGCTGAGACGAACGTCATGGGCTTTTGAATTTCATCGCACCGGAAGACATCGCCCGCAGTTCCTCCAGATACGGACAAGAAGGTGCCGCCAGCAAAGCCAGTGAAGAACCGAGAGATGATTATTGTCTGGATATTTCTTGCAACTGCAGTAGCAGCGGTCCAGATCATGAACAGCAACCATGAAACGACATAGATTGGTCGTCGTCCATACCACTCGCTGAGAGGACTTGTCAGAATGGGCCCAAAGGCGATTCCAAGGACGAAGAAAGATAAGCCCAGTGTGCTAATTATGGATGAGATCATGAGCTCAGCATTCATTTGGGTATAAGTTGTCGTGTAGATCGAACTCGCGCATGTCCTTTTTGCGCCAAGTGTTAGCGATACCGGACTCCTTGGGACATAGGTGATCTTCTCTTCATTCCAACGGGAGCACAGTCTGAAGGTGGAATATAACTCACACACACATTGTCCCTGTACAGATAGTGATAATAATGGCCCATTTCCGCATTGGCGAAATATTGTATGGACACATAGGGTCATTATCACCGTCAAACGAAACACAAATTTCGCGATCAGTGACCGAGTTATAACCGGGACCACTTAACTCTAGGCGATCATTCTCGCCCTGAAGAGTCCCATCTGTACACAACTCATTTCGATTGCTAGCCACGGGGAGGACTTTGTCTTCCGTACATGCTCTTTGAGATTTCTTGCCATTTCCTTTGTTATCGGTGCGCTTTGAAAGGGACATTTTCCAAAGTCGTGGCGTTGATTTTACCGATCGGCCGCCCACCAGCCATTGGGTATTTAAATATGCTTTGTCCTTTTTGCTGTTGATCCCTCATAGAATCCAGAACTCCTTTCCGAACCCGGTTAGCGTAAGTCCTGGGAAGACGCCGAGGTTTCTTAGAGATCGAATGAATCACCATCGGGTATTGGCACCGGAGTGGGGACATGCTCGCCCGAAGCCATATGTGAGCCAGTCATTTTAGTGGAGAACATATCGACCATTATCGACTTCCAATAATATCAACAGGATTGCTTGCCTCATGACAGCGTACTTGGCGAGAGAAAATACCCCCGGCTTCTTGCTGCCTCTGCTGCGCCTGATGAACCAAGAGCCCGCGGCATTTTCCTTTCTACCCAGACGGAGAGCCATAGCTGAAACATCCTATTATATCTCATCGCACTTTCTGACAGCCCTTCCCAGTCCCTAATCAGCTAACTGTTCGCTGAAAGGGTGCATCTCAAAATAGGAGGCATTTCCCAGGAACCCAAAATCCCATGTCACCTCCAGAGGTCAAGATCTCTGTTGTGTCAAACATTTGTACAGTACAAGCAGCATGCATTCCAACGCAGACTTAGCGGACCAGGAACGGGTTCTTCATTCGACGGCAATTGAACATCACATATCAAGACGAGGAGCTGTCAACTTTGCCCATCGGGATGTTTGGGGTCCACGAGAAAAGGCAATGGGAGATCCATGGTCGCCGAACAATCCAAATGGAACGTGAGTACCGTTGCCCATCTTTCTGTTTCGATCCCTTGATAGTTGACAGGGCTAATCTGGGTCAGCGTTATTCTCCGTTTGGCGGAGAATAGCCTGATGCATGAGGAGGTGGGAGACTATATATGTGCACAGGTTGTACTCCATCTCAAACTTCAGGCGGAATCACTCATTCCTTCAATCCAGACAAAAGTTCTTCCAGTAGACCATCTGACCTACAGCACGGGTCCACGGGGATCCCGGCGCCTTAGACGAGCAGCGGCTGCGCTTCTGACCGAGCAGTTCCATGCGCGTTCCCTTATCACGTACGATAATATCCTCGTCACGCCCGGTGTGGCCAGTGCTATCGACGGAATAGCCTTCGCCATCTGTGATGAAGGGGATGGGGTCTTGGTTCTTCAACCTCTATACAACGGTTTCAAATTTGACATGCAGAACAGGGCTAATGTCCAGATAGTCGGGGTCAAGTTTGAAGGGGTCGAGGGGTTTGGGGGTCTTGACGACCTCTTCCGACCAGAAGTGAACAGAAAAGCCCTCGAAATTGCTCTTCAACAGGCGAGAAAGGCTGGGATCAATATCCGTGCACTTTTGATCTCGAAGTGAGTTTCTCCGTTTGTTGGATCGATCCTAACGGGAGTATATTAACGAATGAAACCTTTAGTCCACACAATCCTTTGGGGAGATGCTATGTGCGTTCTTTTTTCCCTTGGAGCATCTTTCAACGTTGATTTATGTCTTTAGCCCCCTGAAACTCTCAAAGAGTTTGCTTCGTTCTGCGGCCAGCACAACATGCATCTCATCTCGGATGAGATTTATGCATTTTCCGTTTTTGCGAACCCCGAAATTCCATCAGCACCTAATTTCACCTCTATATTAACACTGGACCTGGATAAGATTATTGATCCATCACACAAGCATGTCCTCTACGGCGCAAGCAAAGACTTCTGTGCTAATGGATTGCGATTGGGATTTATTTTCACAAAGAACGAAGGGATCATTGGCGCTATGTCCAGTATAGGGTGAGTTGCATCATTACTACTTTCGCCAGTAATTTGCTCACGGTCGTGTACCAAGTATCTTCTCCTGGTTGCCGCATCTTCTGCAGGATGCTTGGGCTGCAATGCTGGAGGACAAGCAGTGGATGGAGAGATTTATGGAGCAGAAAAGACAACTGATGCTGGACCGATACGAGATGACAACAGCATTTCTTTCCAAACATGACATTCCCTACTATGAGATGTATGTGTCGTTTTTCTATCTCGCTCGAAGTATGCGCTAACTGGCCCCAGGAACGCAGGGTTGTTTATTTGGGTTGATCTTCGCCATTTGTTGGTTGCACGGTCGCAAGAGCCTGATCGTGGCGCGTTGGTAAGGTCATCTCCTGATGCTCAGCTCAGCCTGCAACTTGAGTTGAGGTTTACGGAGATCTGCATGGAAAATGGAGTCATGATCGCGCCTGGCCATGTATATATGTCTGAAAGTTATGGTTGGTTCCGTATCACTTTCACTGTCGGAAAGAAAGCCTTAGAAGAAGGATTGAGGCGCTTTTTGGCTTCCATCAAGAAAATGAAAGCTGAATGTCAACTTTCAAAATCAACATGATGGCCGTCGGCCCAGCCAGGAAAGACTTTCTCAATAGGTACATGTGAACGCAACTTCGAAAATCACTTTGCATATATACGCCGGTCTTCCTGGGTAGTATGGCCTGGGACTTGACTAAAGTCAGAAGGGCATTTCCAATCAGGATTACATAAAAACTGTGGCGACAAGAGGGAAGGAGCATATTTCTAGAATAATGCGAAGACCGAGACCAAATATATCGAAACATGGAGCTACAACTAACTGTAGTCAGGCAGAGAGAACTTTAAAGTTAGTAGGCAAAGATAAGAGATCTTTCAGGGTATCTCCATACTTTTTCTGAAATTACTCCAAGTCCCACATGGAATTATCACTTTGTGCTCTAAGGTTTAACAAAGATCTATTATAATAAGGGAACATGGGCATTATACCAAGCGGAAATAAGCGTTACGGACAATGAATCTCCAACTGTTGGTCGAAAAGTTTTCTTTGTACATCAGAATCAATCAATTTTAGCTTTTTGGTACATAAATACAAATAGCCCGTCGAGTCTGTTGGTACGTTATCTTTCTATCTCACACACATACCCTGGATCAAGCAAGATACAGAGAACCGGCAAGTTCCCAAGGATATATAAATATTCTCAAAACTTATATCAAACTATCCTGACAGAATGTTCTCACTCAATCTGCTCCTATCCTCGGGAAAGTGCGGTTTTTGCAAGTCTTTTGGCGGGGTGATATGTGCTGATTGCAAAATAATATCCTACTGCAACTTTGACCATAAGAGGCGTCACAAGCGTAGACATAAAGCTCAATGCCAGGGCTTTTGCGAACTGCTCGCTGAATATGAGTCCGAGTTTGAACGCTGCTCCGAGTCACACAAAGAGGTGCTCAATGCCCTCAGGGAAAAATTCATGTACTATGTTTTGCCAAATGTTTCCCCTGGTGTGGTCGACTACACTCTCGCCCGGTTTGCCGTGCGGTATATATTTGGCACGAGGAAATCTTTGAATGTTATCAAAGATGAATTCGAATATCTAGAATCTCTGCTGGAAGTGTTCGTGGAGAACAACTATTATGCTGGGTGGAGAATCTCCGTCATCTTGCTTAAGGATGGCAGGGATAGAGAATTCTATGACTTTGTGAAGGAGACGCTGCTGGACGTTAAGGAAGAATTCGCGCCTGAACCGGGGAAAGACTATGCGCTACAGTATATCGATGATAGAGGAGTCGACCCTTTTGAGGACTACAACTTCTTTTCCGCGGACATTGACTACCGCGCCCCTTCTTTACTCATTCAGAGTGTTGGTCTGATTCTTATGAAGATCAAGATGCTCAAGGATTTGGAGGACTTGGACGCGAGTAATAATATAATTGGCAGGTTTGTTCCACGGGAAATCCTGAACAGGATCCAATATGCGATTGCCTCTAATAGTATTTTAGCCGATAATTGGCGTCTCCTTGAAGCAGAAGATCATACCAAGCCAATTGAAATACTCAAGAAGCAAGTTGAAGCCTTGTTCTATGGAATTGATGCGATAAATCCCTTTCTATGGCCTTTTCTGGTGTACGATGTAAAGCCAGGAACTGGACAGGCTGTGGATTTCCCTAATCCCGAGGCGGCTTCCGAGCATGCGCACAGAGTGGTGAGAGAGTTGAGTGGGGTTCGGTTAAAAGCCCCAGGTGCACTAAATTTGATTGCAGATAGATACATTCCTATTTTGGGATACTCCTATCGCAATCTGAAAATCAGAGATAAACCTCTCATGGGAGACGGGCGATATTTTGACAACATAATTGGACACGATGCTCAGTTATAAGTTGTTTATCAGATTTTTCCAATGTATCATCAAGCATTTTTTAATTTTTAATTTTCATATTTCGGGGAGCCTTAACATCGTAATACATAAAACTAGCTCTGCCCTCTGTTACTGTGCGTAACCATTCTATAAATATCTAACCACAGTAAAAGTTAGCCCACAAGAAATGTTCACTGTCACCATAAAATTCAACGTAATCATCAATTGAAGTTGAGACCAAATAAAGGATCTATTTTAACTTAAATCTGTCAGGAGGAAACAACTGGACAAATCTAGAAGAGTGATATCTAGCAAACTGTTAATCTCGTTGATCTAACAAGCATCCATAATTAATCTAGGTAGCGTTATAATCTATCTCCCACTTTTCTCGTGTAGTGCTCCAACCATGCCAACAGCAGGTGTGTATGTTCCGAGCTCGATCGGGATGTCTGCAATAAATCGCACTTTTCGCTGGTGACTAGCTCGCGTACCTAGGCCCCTTTGCCATAGACACCGTGCAATTAAGAATGCGCGAGGCGGAATAGCTGAAGACTGACCAACTGTTTTCTGAAAATCGCTCTAAATACCTCGACAATAACAGCTCAACCCCGCGTTTTGCTATGCAGATGGCGTCATTAAGAAAAGCTCCCAGAATTACCCCAGATTCAGGCTTAGAAAGGATTAAGTTAATGATCAGACAGATTCCTGGTTGGTCTATCCAATATAGACTGCGTGCTACACTTGATACTTCTCCCTATTCATGACAAAACTTGATTCAATCAACTGAAACTAGCTCTAAATCGTGCTTAGGATCAAGCTATGGCTTAGACTGTCCAACTCAAACCCATTGCCCGTGATATCAGCTCCGTAGATCATCTTCCCAGATAGTAAGGAGTAGCGAGCGCATTGTTCTCAAAGGCCAAAGCCACGAGCTTGCGCCCTGGTGACCTAATAAGAATACCGCCCAGCTAGTCTAGTTAAGTTTTTACTTTAATCTAATGCGCCCGACATACTCCGTACTAAGGTGGGACTTTGCACATGGCTAGAGTAAAGGAGGACATGGTGCTGCCGATCATTTATGGCTCAGTGAACCAAATAGCCAGTCATGTTAGGCGTGATTTACGGGGTAGTCTGCAGAGTTGTGCGGAGATGCGTGGCCTGAGAGCATGCCGGCCGTCTAAGGGTTGGATGACATGCATGGGAAGGTAGACGTTGACCCGGGTGATCAACTTCCGTTTCCGTATACTACTGATGCGCTTGTTATAGAAGTTAGAATGAATATTTTATGGATCAATAGAACGAAACCCAGATTATAAAGCAAACATAATAAAGGAATCTGTCAGCTATTTAACAACCTAGCGCTAGGATCGGTGGTTTTCAACATACACTTTTACCTAGAAATATATATATAGTCTCCAGGCGGTTGCAACTATGAAGCCAAAACAACTACAATGATATTCTGCACATATTATCTAGTGCCTAAAGCGCTAAAGAATCCTCTAATATGATTGTAGATCAGAGCCATTGCTAGTATTACCGGTTTGGGCAACTGAGCCCTCGGCCGTCGTATCAAAGGTACCCATGGAGGGAGTAATCTGTGAGCTACCATATTACCAAATGACGTGAGATAGAAGCGTTCACCGGGGTCTACGCTACAGCAATTGCACTGCCTACTGCGTACTGTGAACATCCCACGGGGTGTATCCAGCTGTGCGGGATTTAATAATGTACGGAGCAGGGACCGTGTTTCATAGGATAACCCGAATCATTTTATTACTCGACTGCGGCATACTTTCCAAAAATAAAATAAAATAAAATAATCAAATAATCAAATAAAATGGTCGATCTCGTTCGGGTTAAGACGGATAGTTGCGGCCTGGGGAAAGTGGCAGAAAAGCGGAGAAACTATTAGTCCGAGTTATCAGGAAGCATTCCAAAGAATACGTGTCACTACCGAATGAAGGTACAATCTGAATGCTACTCTGCAGTACTCTATGGTAGAAGAAGAATATTTTCTACAGTCAATGGCGCGGTTGCCGCCTAAGGAACGATCTCCCGGTGAATCCAGATTCAAGCAACCGCTGGGATGATCAAGAAGAGTGATAATCGATTGGCGTCATTTTAGGGCGGTCGGATCATCGCCAGAGGCCAATCACCGAGCTGACGAAAAAAGACCGGGCTCTTGTGCCCTAGCCCTGAAGAGTCTCTACGGAGGTGACTGGCCCGAAGCCAGGATCAAATCACCGTGTCTCAGCCTGCACAGCAAGTGGATCGCAGCCCACTGCGATCCACAATAATCCTCGGTTACGCTGCAATAGGCAAGCCGCTAGGCATGGGAATGGGAAAGGGGGTGCCAACTACGTCAGTCGCAATGGCATCGGTGTCGTCAGTCTGTCTCGCCGACTCGAAATGGGCATGTTTTCCCAGGCAGCCGGACGCAGAAGACTGGAGCCAATCCAGCGAATGCCTTGAGGATATCCGAAAACAGCAAACGGCCAAGATCCGTCCGAGCCTCTTAGCCCAAACGCCGAATGCTTAGACTAATCTGCGGCCAACGGTGAGGCCCTCGTGCGAGATTAACTGCTGACTCTGACGTCATTATCCCTTTGGCCCCTTTTTTTTCACTTTTTTTTCGCGCGCCTTTCCGTCTTTTTTTCTGACTTGACGGAGCACACCGGAGCGCGCCGGAGCAGAGGGAGCGGTGGTGATGGCCTGACTGCAATGCATCTGCAGCTCGAGGGAGGCCGTTTGGACTGTTGTTCAGAGCGAAAGTGAACCGTTCAGAACTCCAGATAGCGTTGCTGTACATCTCCGAGGCTGGCGAACTGCCTCGGTTACGCAGAGTGGCTTAACTTAATTTAAACCTCCGTCGAATAGCCTTTGACGCCTCGTCTAAAATGCACAATCCCACGTAACTCAATTGCCAGAGATCGGAAATTGGCTCGAAATTGTAGATGCCGCTGCAGCCTACGTCCTGTACGGCGCAGTGTATCCAAAAGCCACTCTCGTAACTCGGCAGATGGAATATACTAATTCACGATATCTACTCCGTCACGGCAACCATGTGCGATGATGGTATCGCGCGTCCAAGATGTAACCTAGATGTCATCTAGACCACTCAGAGTGACAACTGTACGGAGCACGCTGGTCCCTTGGTTCCATCGTCCGGGACTACTGCTTCGGGCAACCGATCATCGGTCCATTCCCAGCCTTTGACCTCCGGCGTAGTATAAGTTCATGGCGAGGTCCACTGTGCCCCTCATTACTTCTGCCCCTCATCTGTCTTTCCCTCGTGAACCCAGTTCTCGAGTTTCTACTGTGCTTATATACCCCGTCTCTCTCCCCGTTGCTTGGTGTCTGAGTGTCCCAAGTCTGCAACAACCTCCCCGAACTCCTCCCATCTCAACCCCTTCGCCATGTCTCAAGACAGTGCGAACCACACTGTCGTGCCTCCCTACGCGGAGACTCAGAAGCGCGACAGACAGTCCCGTCCCTCCATTCCCCGGGATGCCAACAAGGTCGTCGAGGTCCCCTCGACCCGGGATGCCATCAGCGATGCTTCTGCTTTCATGCACAACCTGAGCTTCTCGCCGTCCATGAAGGACCGTCGGGGCTCGCGGAATTCCTTCAGCACCTCTCTGCCCATTCCCCGGTCCCCGCGTGTCTCGCGGTTGTCCACCGCTTCCAGGCCCAGTGCCGTCCGCCGAGACATCCTTGCTGGTCAATTGCAGGATCTCTCCAAGGAGAAGGTGGCCGCTGTGAAGAACATGGCCTTTGCCTTCGACATCGATGGTGTCCTGGTGCACGGCAACAACCCCATTGAGGAAGGCAAGCAGGTTCTTAAGATCCTCAACGGTGACAACGAGCTGGGTATGTTCCCTCATCTACTTGACTTGACCTGTACAATTCTCTAACATCACCCCAGGCATCCAATTCCCCTACATCCTCTTGACAAACGGCGGTGGTAAGACCGAGGAGGCTCGCTGCCAACAACTCTCCGAGATCTTGGAGCAGCCCGTTTCGACGGACCAGTTCGTGCAGTCGCACACTCCCATGCAGGCTCTTGCCGAATACTACGACACCGTCCTCGTATGCGGTGGAGAGGGATACAAGATCCGCGAAGTGGCCGAGCAGTACGGCTTCAAGAACGTGATCCACCCCAAGGACATTCTCGCCTGGGACCCCACCATCTCGCCTTGCCGGCGGTTCACGGACGAGGAGCGCAAGGACGCCCGTCCCAGAGACTTCGCCAACCTGCAGTTCGACGCCATTCTCTGCTTTGCGGAGTCCTTCGACGCCATGACCGATCTCCAGATCATCAACGACCTCCTCATGTCCGACAACGGCAAGCTCCTCACCCGCGGCAAGAAGGGCGCCGAGCACATCCCCATCTACTTCTCGCAGGGCGATCTGCTCTGCCCCACCGAGCACAAGGGTCCCCCACGTCTGCATCTCGGTGCCTTCCGACTGGCCGTCGAGGCCCAGTACAAGGCCACCAGCGGCCAGGACCTGGAGCGTGTCCTGTACGGTAAGCCCGAGCGGGCGACCTACATCTACGCCGACGAGGTCATGAAGTCGTGGATGGAGCAGATCCACCAGCAGAAGACCCTACCGAAGAACATCTACATGGTCGGTGACAACCCCGCGTCCGATATCATCGGAGGCAACCTGTACGGATGGAACACCTGCCTGGTCCGAACTGGTGTCTTCCAGGGCGGCGACAACGATGAGCAGAACCCGGCCAACTTCGGTGTCTTCCCGAACGTCCTGGAGGCTGTCAAGACGGCGATCCGCAAGGAGCTGGGCCAGGACTTCGGCTTCAAGTGGGAGCCTAAGATCAACCCGGTTACCCATGCTGACTCCTCGTCGTCCGCTATTGACTAGATGCGACGCCGTGGTTTGGTTGGAAAGAAGTTGGAGAACGCAGAATTTACTTCTATATTACCCCCCTGTTATAGCAGGACTCTTATTTTTTCATTTTCATTTAGACGATAGACACGAAACCTTCAAGAGAAAAAGAGTATGTCAGGTACAGCGCGTTTGGAAGTTACATCACCTATAGAATTGCATTTTGGTTATTTCATTCAATCAATGAGTCAATGACTTTTCAAATTAAACTTTAACATGATCCCTGCTTTTGAATTGCTTAGATTGGTAGGCTTCGCTATTGGACAGCGTTAGCAAATCAGATTCGTGAGCAAAGAACTGCAATTTGCCTAGAGGCAAGTGCGTTCCAATTGGATGCAAGCGAAAAAAAAAATCTTCACTCTTTCATGGTAGCCTAAATCATGACATACACAAGACCAGCTGCTAAGAAGGTGACTAAAAGCCAGACTGTCAACATCAGCGGAAGCCCTCGGCGAGTATTGACGTCATTGGGGCCATATATGAGCTGCGACTGTTGATCTTGCAAGGTGTAATGCACAGAGCAATATCAATCGTACATAAGGGTAATAGGAAACACAGTAGAAAAATAAGTCATGTTCTTATGTTCATGATTTTTATCCACTAGTAGCTTGCAATGCTGATTTTCAATTCAACCGCGATCTCTTAGTCAAACAAAAAACAACGTGGTTCTAGAAATAGCCTTCAGAGCCTTATAAATAGGAATAGAAAAACAAAAAAAAAAAAAAAATAAAAAAATAAAAAAAAATCCAATCGAGTAAAATAAAATAACAAATCAAAAGAATAACCTCCTTAGATGATATACCCTGGTTGCCAGGATTTCATTTGTCAAATAGATTTTTTGCATGCGCATGTCAGTGTCTTTATGTGGCAAACATTTCCTATTTGGAACCTCTAGTATGATATACTATGATCACGAATCTTAGTACAATCATTCCCCTAAAGTAGTCATCCAAATGCATTTATGTGAATTTGCATCATTTTCCTCCATGGGTAGCGAAGCAGCAAACAAGACTGCTAAAAATGAATCAACCAAGGAATCATCGTTCGTATGAGGGCTTGACAACAATCCTAGCAAACATAGACCTCCATTCAGTCACAGACGGTGTATGTCTCTTCTGAGGCTATGAAGGAACCAACAGATTGTTTGTCACTGGCCTTATAGAAAGAATTGCGCATGTGGATGCATCTTCTTCAAACGGTAATCCGTGGACGATGGCTGCATTGTCTGTTTGCTGTCTATCTGATAGGATGGGGCCCTCGTAGCTACCTATACAGAAAGCTATATAAAGGCCTCATCTCCTCTTCTTGTCCACTTCCACTTCCTCTCCATTTCCAACTTCTCCCTTTCCTACCTCTCATCCTCATACTTGGTTTCACCACTTTTGTCCTCCATCCACAAAATCCTGTTCCTCAGTCGGCCACCAGGCCCAACCACCACAAAACCACTTATTCTCGCATTATCCCTCTCAGCGATCCAACATGACACGCTGGGGACCTCGTAAGTCCAAGCCCACTCCATTCTCCATCCCCACAGCCCAATCTCCCTAACCTCCATCCAGGCCTATTCGAATGCGACAACGACATCGAAATTGCCAGAAACCTAATACCGTCTCTGGGCTTCAACATCACAAAATGGCCCCACACTCTCGACCAGCTAGTCACCCAGCGCGAACCCTCCGAGTATCTAGAAAACACCGTCATCCCATCCCTCCGCACCAAGCTAAACGCCTGTGACTTCGGCGCTCGGCTCTTCGACGCGTGCCGGGCGCGCGAGACGACGCCGAAAACCAAATACCGGACTATCATCCTCGGCGCGTTGCTCATGCGCGCGGGCGCAAGGATCAAGCCTGGGGATCTCGAATATCTTCGCATCATCTCTAACTTTGTGGTTTGTCATTCGCGAGATATTGAGCCGGGTGGTGAGGAGGGTTTTGTTGCGCCGGGTCGGGCGCAGTTCCTGGCTGCGGTGGATAAGTATCGGGATGGGGTACCGCGTGGGTATCGCGAGCAGAGGTATGTTGAGCAGTTCTGTGAGCTTGTTTCACGCTGACCATGGTTGTCGTTGAAGCTGTTATCAGTGCGGGTTGACGGCGAATGATGTTGGTCGTCAACTGATTGGCTGTGCTAAGTGTGGACAAGATTGGTACTGCAGTGAGGTATGTTCTTGTGTACTTGGTTAATTGTCTCTTCTGGTTGGTTTGATGCTGATTCCTTGCAGGACTGCCAGAACCTTCATCGGCAGGACCATCAGCTTGTTTGCGCGTGGGCCCTTTCTGGTCTCCCATTCTCGGAGAATGTTGCTTGACTCGTCGGGGTTGGATGACCGGTGAGGTTGGTGGCTTCAGGAATGGGCGCACAAATATGATGCTATTGATTGGTAACACGTGCGGTGGTGTCAAAAACTGATGTATCTGTTTCTTGGAGCCTGATGTGGCAGAGTACATAATATGAGATACCAATCCACACAATCAAGCAAGATAAAAATAGACGAATCGAGAAGCAAAAGCCTAGATCCCCAACGCCATGCATAATAGGCTCAATGTGTCTGGCCCAGTCCGTGTAGTCCTAACAGCGTCTATCGAATCTGCTCTGGTCTCGCCGCGTAACATTAACAAGAGACCTACCTATCTTTATTCCAAATCAAACATGTCCAACTAAAAGTTGCAGAACGACAAGAAATTTCCGTCCTTTCCGATCTATGCCGCGGGGCATTGATTCCCTCCTTATTTTGCCAGTCATCAGTTGCCCTATATACCATCATCCAGGAAAGGCCTCGGAATGATGGACAGTCGAGTGTCCAAGAGCAGCCAGAAATTTTCCAGTGGGAGTCGAAACCTGCCTGCCGCAGCTTGCAACAACAGTCCGGGTATCCTAACGACCAATGTTTGTGTAGAGGTTGACGTCACAGTTGTTGGTGTAGCAAATTATGCGGATCCGCTGTGAGATATCGGTGGGTTGAGACTTGGGACTTGGGAGTTTCAGGAGTTTCAAGTCGCTGTTAGCTTAAAGCTTGTTAGTTGTTACAGCATCTAGCATATAGATGGGATGCAGTGGGGAAAAAAAAAGAAAAAAAGAAATGGCCCGAACCCGGGATCGAACCGGGGACCTCGCGCAATCAATGCTTGGGTGAACCCTAAGCGCGAATCATACCACTAGACCATCCGGGCTATTGATGTTTGATATGTGAACGTTTTATTTATTTCAGGCCTAGAGTATGTGTTCTATTGTACAAGCAAAAAGAAGGGAAGAAAGGATCGACCTCACGATTAACAGTAGTACGCGCCAACCCGATTGGCCACCGAGACGGTCTTGTTGAAGAGGTCTTTCCCTAGTGCCATATAATCATGCTTAATTAAGCTCTAAGTACCTTGCCCTCATACCAAAGAGCACTCTCCCTCTTCTTCGATATTACCACATTCTCGGACTCTACGGTGCTCAACTAGAGCTCCAGATCGTCCAGGTGCATTCAGGAACTCTTTAGATCCTTCAATTCTGCCAGTTGCCTTTTATGGTCGGTATTAGCATTATCGTGTCGAGTACGGTCAATATGTCTCGTTTATACTCGGGATATATATGTTGATGCTGGACCTCCTTGCGAGATTAATGGAGAATTTTAATTGACTGAGTAGCAACTTTCCCGCGAAAGGATACAGATGTACACGGAGCAAATCTCTGTGACACGATCTATTGGAATTTCTGTCCTCTACTGAACCACTTTTCTCCGAAGGGCTGCTTCGAAGATCTCTTTTTCTAAGGGCTAATTGCCTTCCCAATGAAGTATAGTGGCATGATCAACTGCGCACTAACCGGTTTAGAATTCCTGCCTTAGGCATCAGTATAAGATGCGCAAATTGTGGCTGCACAATTCTGGCATTACTGCATTACACCCGGGCATAGTATTGATGCACAGATGCATAGTTCATATATGGAAGGGAATAACTGGGCATTCCACGTTAGCTAAAATGGATGACACCAGGGCTCTCTTGATTTTCTTCAACACACTAGTGTAATGAGCCAAAAGTCTGACAGGGAACTCCATAGAAATTTCATCACATACAACACTAGGCATAGTCGATAGAAACTGGACTAGAGCTTGCTGGGTCAATTGTGAGTGACGAATCCTAAGAAACATCGAATCAAGTAGAATCCACAGCGGACCTCCTTCCAAGAGTCCTTTAGGCATTCTTGACGAGGACATGATTATTGGGTTTTGAGAATAGACTGACGGATAACGGATAATGCGATCATCGTTCTGTGCTGGAGCCTTCGATCGTCCGGACCATCTTCTTCCTTGATCCGCGCCGCGGAATCCGGGATGGACGGCTGCCGACTGGCATTAATCAGCGGTGGGATGAGCTGCTTCATTTGGAACCTCACCCAAACATTGTTCCCAAGGGCTTCACGGCTTAGGAATTGTCAGGTGTAGAGTATATATAGCAGACATTGGACCCGGTGGAATCATACCTACCACGGTGTTGGAATCGAAGACTTACACAGGTTACATTACTTTTTATTTTGATAATCACCGTTATCTACCACTGAAGCCCTGGACATTGGCTTTCAAATCAGTTACCATGCCAAAGAAAATCATCTCGATCCTCGGCGCCACCGGCATTCAGGGTGGCTCCGTAGTCGACGCCCTCCTCGACAATAAAGCGTACCAGATCCGCGCCATAACCCGGAACCGTGCCAGCGAGGCCGCGCAGAAGCTCGTCAAGCGCGGCGTGGAGGTCGTCCAGGCCGACGCAGGGGACGTCTCGTCGCTGATCACCGCGTTCGCAGGCTCCGCCGCGATCTTCGCCATGACCAATTTCGCCGAGGGATATTTCGCCACGGGCAGCGTGGACCGCGCGATCCAACTCGAGGCCGAACAGGGGATTAACCTGGCCAAAGCGGCGGCGGCGACTAGCTCCCTCGAGCACTACATCTGGTCGACGCTGCCGAACAGCGGGGCCGTAACCGGGGGCAAGATCACCGTCCCGCAGTTCGAGGGCAAGAATCAGGTCGATGGGTTCATTCGCGCCGACCCGGCCTTGCTTGCCAAGACGACGTTCTTCATCCTCGGCTTCTACCAGGAGAACTTCGCGTATCCGATGCTTGCGCCCGTCGAGGTCCCGGGCGCAGGGCAGTCTGTCCAGCTGCTGTGTACGCCGGGGAATACGCGGATTCTCTCACTGGGGCGCGCGCGCAAGAACATCGGGCTGTTTGCGGCGGCGATTCTGGCGCAGCCGGAGAAGACACTCCCGGCGCGATGTGTGTCTGGGTTCGTGGAGGAGATCCGGATGGAGGAGATGTTGAGGCGCTGGGTAGAGGTGCACGGGAAGAAGGCGCACTACGTGAATGTCGATAGAAAGGTCTTCACGGAGTTGTGGACTCATGCGGGCATCGATATGCTGGCCTCGATGCTGGACTTTCACCGGTCAATGGACGTGAACCCATTCAGTGGGGGTGGGGAGGTCTTGAATAAGGATGATTTGGGTGTGGTTGGGCTGGAAGGGGTCAAGGAGTCGTTTGAAAATTTGAGGGTTGAATCGGCTTAATTGGGTCAGGCACGACCCCAGTCGGTCTCTTTTATGGGAATTTATATGATGATAGTCTTGTATGGACGTGGTTCCTTCTATGTCTTTCGAGTGGCGCGGTTGGGGACATAATCCGAAAGCTTCATTGATATGCTCTGAATCGACCATTGTGAAACCAACAAGATACTACTCGGCTCTGTAGCTTTGCAGATATATGAAAATTGTCCATGCGAGTATAACACTGCACAAAATCTTCACCAGAAAGAGGATTCTGGTCTGACACGAAGGATCCACTCTGCTGCTTGATTTGCCTGTTTGGGACTAACAATGACCCACCTCGCAGTTCAGCGACGCTTCAATTCATGAGAAGAAGCCTGACTGCTGGACCATATTTCCATTGCGCATTCCGCTCATCGCGTTCGTTGACCATCGCTCGTCCCCACCAGGCCATACGGTTGCGACCAACTCTATCTCACACCATGGGTTTGCCACTCGGCTTCACGCTGTCCCCTATCCCAACCAGCCAAGATGCAGGAATATCCATGCAGTCCATCGAGAACTTCGCAATCCAAACAGGCCCCGATGACTCCCTCTCAAGGCTTCTTTGGCCAGGTCGCACAATGAAAAAAGACGATCAAGAAGACGCCGACGAGCCATTCCACACCGTCGAGATGCTGTCCGAACCCACAAACTTCTACCTTTGGATAATCGACGACAAAGCCAATCATCCTGTTGCTTACGCATGGGGTCAGTACACCACCGGTCGGACAGAAGTAGAATGGGCACAAGCATACGCTAAACGCTACCGACCCGAGGGAATCAATAAGCCCTTGATGGATGCCACGAGCGGAGCGAGATTTCTGAAGCGGGCGTCGATCTTGGGCTCCAGTGACTGTTTCAGTAAGGCGGAACCGGCGGAAACGTGGGTTGAAGCTGACAGTTGCCGGTTGTAGTTATCAAAGAGCTGTACGTTCTGCCGGAGTACCAGCGGCGTGGACTTGGGGGTGTTCTGATGGAACGTATGGTGCCCAAGGCCGATGAACTCGGGCTGCCAGGTTACTTGGAGTCTTCGACCGTGGGGTATGGCCTGTATATCAAGCATGGATTCGAGGAAGTCGGGCGGATTACGGTGGATCTGGAACAATGGGGAGGAGAGAAGGGCGAGGAAAATACGTACGTACTCATGTTGAGGTCGGCTGAGAGACTAAATGTTTAATTCAAATCTGCATGGGTCTCCAATTTAGGACGGTAAGCAAAACACTAGTAGAAAATCCCCTCGTACCCAGCATTGTAATCGTTTATATACCCTGAACCCGTAGTCTCACTGCTGGAATTGGCACTTCTTTGACGGATAGGAGGATTATTTCAAAGAGACTCGTGTCGCGCTGTTGTCAGCTCACCAGATAGCCATCCATCCAGATAAATGAAAGTACCTTTTTCACAATTCCATTAGCTAGGACAGCAATAAGGGTTCTTCATTATCTGAGACACCTCAAGCGGGTAACTGTATTTCTCAGATTCCAGAATCAAGCGATATTTGTACTGACGTCGGTGTTAGAGATCCACGTAAAGACAACACAGCTATTCAGAGAATAGGGATAGGCCACCGCAAGATTTGTGAACAGGAACCTGTCAAGTGGTTGCAGGTGATGAACTACAGAGTGCGAAATTCCCTATCGTTAAACAGGGTTGACCCTTTTTTTTCGTCTTTTCTTTTGTTTTGTCTTTTTTTCCTTTTTGGCTCAGTTGTAAAATTGCATCAGTCACAGCTGAGTTATGGATTCAAGCAATCCAAGCAATTCCTTTCGTTCTTCCCCAGTAGCCACGTCAGAAAGTACCTGGACCTCAGTCAAGATCGCTTACATGATGGATTTTGAAATGATTTATTGGATGGCTAAGACGAGTCTGGGTGTACTGCCCAGTCAGAATCCACTCTGGTGTTGATCCGAGATCCCCATCGGAACTCCGCAACGTCGCTATACTACAAAAGGGCACCCGCAACAATAACCTGGAAGCTCCAAGACTTCTATCAAGGTGACTGAAAAGCTGTACCGGCAACATTGAAGTAACTCCGCACAACATGGAAGGCAAACCCACTCTAGAATACTTTGGTATCTCATCTCTAGCCTTCAATTCCCACAAAGGCTGATCGGTTCTGATCTTTCCAGGTGCCACGACCTTTCGCCTTCGCGCTTCAGGGTTGACAATCTTCCACGACACCTGGTTGGACCGACCAGCGTTGATGCCCGAATATCTCAACATCAACACAGTGACAGATGCAGACTACATAGTGATATCCCATGCGCACTTTGACCAGTACGTGGAACTTGATAATCCTAACAACCAACTGCCTCGCAGGACGTATCTTAGATTCCTGACACTTAGCCCGAGCAGTCTCCCAGGCGCCGACCGAATCGCCCGCCAGACCGGCGCAATCATCATCGCGAACTGCGAGGCCATCAATCGTCTCCGCGACGCCGGCGTCCCCGAGACGCAACTCCTCCCTGTCTCCGGCGGAGAAAGAATCCCCCTGTTCACGAAGGACGTCTTGAATGCAGCCAAGACCGGAGAGGTGCCTCTTCGCCAGGGCCCTCCAGGCGCACCCCCGGAGCCGCATCACTCGTTCGCAGCGGCGCAGATCCACGTCTGGCCGAGCCTGCACTGCCTTCTCCCGGGAAGCCATGACACTCTGCCGGACGTGTTTGACTCGGGCACCGTGTACACGGGCAGTTCGACTCCGTTCGAGGGGACCGTGGATGTGACGCGGGGCATGAAGTATGGTCTATTCCGGCTGAAGGAGCTGATTCCCACGGACGCGATGGACGAGAAAACCTCCAGCTTCGTGAATTGGATGGAGGATAAGAAGGCGAACGTCATGTCGGCGTGTGATGGCGGACAGCTGCTATTTCATGTGATTCTGGGCGGGGGTGATGGAGGAGAGCCGCGCAGCATTGTCTTCAATGCACATCTCGGCGCGTATGAGGGGATCGTGAAGAGAATCGAGCCGAAGCCGGACATTGCAGTCTTGGGCATTGCGGGGCGAGCGAATCTAGATGGGAGGCCGTTCGACGGCTCCGGGGCGGAGTTCGCCACGGAGCTGGTGAAATGGATGGGAGAGCCAGGCGAGGTCATTTGGTGTCTGCATGACGAGTGGTAGGTGTCGCTTATTTTTCTCTGCAGTGTACGATCGCTGATCAGAGACAGTTTGATCAAACCCTACCGGGTTGATACGACGGCTGCGACGGCCGCGGTGGAGAAAGAGACGCGGTCGAGGATTGTGGAACTGCGACCGTCTCGGCCATATGTCATGTTTTCGGGGGAGTCGGCCAAATGAGGACCAAAATGCAGCCATGGGGGTGGAGAACATGAGGGGATTTAGCTGGAATCTCGTAGATGAGACAGACGGGATGAGTGTGGGGAGCCGGTGGCGGAGAGCCGATGCCACTCCACCATCTCCACGAGCAGGACGGACGATGGAATACGATGGTGGATATTTAGTCTTTTTTCCTCTCGGAACGCTATCATCCCTAGCCATAGAAGAACAAAAGTCATGCAGGTTCTTGCTATCTCCGTCGTGGCCCTTGTTGCCGGTTTTCTAGTTCACGCGGTAGTTCAGGTACTTCACGACCCCCTTTGGTCCATACGAGGTCCTTTCTTTGCTCGATGGACTCGACTGTGGGAGCTGATTGAGGTGCGCCGAGAGAGATTTGAAAAGACGAATATCAAATTGCACCAACGCTACGGTAGCCTGGCGTCCCCGTCTTCTCGTGGCCAGCCATTAACCATCTCCATGGCTCCATCGTGCGCATCGCTCCATGCACCTACAGTATTGCTGACCCCAGTGTGATTCGCCCTGTATATGGGGCGGGCTCATCCTTCACGAAGGCTCCGTTCTACTATGCCTTTGGGAACCCAGACCCACCGGTCTCTGATCTGTTGGCCGACCTAGACAATAAACGGCACGCCATCAAGCGGAGGAAGGTCGCCTCCTTGTATTCAATATCCGCGTTGGTGAATTATGAGACCGCTATTGACACAGTCACAGAGCAGCTGTGCCAGAGATTGAACCAATTTGCAACCTCCGGTCACGCCTTTGATTTTGTCAGTTGGATGCAATTCTACGCATTCGATGTCATCGGAGAGATCACGGTAATCATGCGGCTATGGACTACACCCCATCGTTGCTTTTTCGCTGATATGCCCACCAGGTTGGCGAGACATTCGGATTCATCCAGGCTGGTTCCGACTTCAACGGCATTCTCCGCGCCATCCACGACAGCATGGTATACGGCAGTCGCATCGGCATCATTCCGGAGCTTCATCCGATCCTCGCGAAAATCACCCAGGAACTTCGAATCCCGATCCCCTTCGACCTAGTAGGCAAATACCTCAGGAAGCATATTGACACCCGTAAAACAGCCGGCGATACATCCCCCAGCCCTTCTGCGACGGATTTCCTCTCCCTCCTCCTCGCCCAGCAAGCCCAAGGCAAGCTCAACAACACCGACGTCCTCAACTCGCTAGGCGCCAATATCGCCGCAGGCTCCGATACCACAGCCATCTCATTGAGCTCCTTCTTGGACTACACCCTTCGCAGCCCCGAGACCTTCCGCCGACTCCGCGATGAAGTGGATGCCGCCATGGCCGGCAAAGCACCCGGCGAGCCGATCAGCTACACCGAGGCCCAGGAGATGGTGTTCATGCAGGCTTGCATCAAGGAAGCTCTCCGCCTTCACCCGGTGACGGGGTATCCGCTCTTGCGGGTCGTTCCAGAGGGAGGAGCCGTGTTGGCCGGGCAGTATTTCCCGGGGGGTGTACGGGACGCAATAACCCACTAGGGATCAATGGCTAACAACAATCGCAGACGCAAGTGGGCATCAACCCATGGGTTTTGCATCGAAATGAGGACATCTTTGGTTCGGATCCGGCTTCCTTTCGACCGGAGCGATGGCTAGGAGCCAAGGGTCAGGTGACGGTCATGTCGAATCATTTGCTTACTGTGAGCGCTCTAAGCTTGTATCTCGAGATTGATGGAATACTGACGAGGGCAGTTTGGGTCTGGTGCTCGGACATGCATAGGGAAGAATATCAGCCTGCTGGAGATGTCCAAGCTCATTCCTCAGATCATCAGACGGTTTGATGTGCAGTTGGAGCATCCGGAGACGGAATGGAGGACGAGTACATCCTGGTTCGTCAAGCAGGAGTTCGCATGTTCGGTGAGGCAGAGGGAGAGTCTATCCCGGGATGGATACTGAGCTGGAACGGTGAGATGTCGCTGATCTTGGATTTTGCATGGTTGGATCAGTTGTGCACGGAAACGAGAAAACAGACGACAAAATCTCAACGGACTATTAAACAGGGATATCCATCAGTATTTTCCTCACCTATCTCCAGACACCATTTAGTGGCGACGGTACATCTTCGAAGGAAATACAACGATCAAGAATAGCAGTGAAATTTCCTGTGTGACAGGAATTTGCCGTTCTATCATTATGGATTCAAAGCACCTGTTCTGTCAACTTAATGATGTAGTTTTATTTCTCTATCATGAATGCACCAGTTGTTGCGTAGCGGTTATGGGAGCGAGGTCATTGAGGAGCTCACCAACGCAAGCCACCAAGCCCCTACGCAGGACCGACCACGCCGTGCGCGAGCTAATGATTCGCAAAAACTCCTGTAACAGGCGTCTTGTTCCCCCGGGGCTAGACAGCAATCCCACACCAGTGATATGAAGCACGACACTCGAATCGCCCTCCACCCATCGTTTCTTCGTTCTCTCCTCACAGTACTGGTCGACTTTGAGCATCGTGACTCGTCCACTAGTCTCTGGTGGTTGTGGGAGCTCGACGCACGACGCTGATCGCAGTCTCTCAAACATCCACAGATACAGCACAGCTATCAGCAGACAAAACGGGTCATAGCACGATGATACAGCGCTTGACCGGACTTTTCCAAGTAGGGCGCCGGCGTGGACTACACATTCCCTCGCGAGCATTGGATTCTCCCGCAGCCAGGTCGTAAGATAGCTGCGTGCCGCGGAAATATCCGGCTCAGATGCATACCATCCAGAATATGTATATAGTCTTCCTAGCGGGATGTGTCGGAGGATGAAAAGTAGATTAAAGAATGTATCCCTCGTATCCGAAATACACGGAGTCAATTTAACCGTCGAAACTGCTGGTCTGAGCGATTCGTACCTCTGGTTCAATGCGGCATATGACAGCGGTTTCACAATTGGACTGGGGATTTGGTCGTCGTCAGTGAAGTCTCGGAGGATGGATGATTGGCTTGCGGCTATGACGCGCTTTTCTTCCACAAACAACATGAGTAACTGCGAGAGCTTCCCGATTTCTGACATTTTATTAGAACTATCTCTTGGGGTTGGAGGCATCGAGAAAAGCTCTTTCAGATTCTGTGATTGTAGCCCGTCTTCAGATACCTGTAGTCAGCTCTAGTCTTTTAAAGTCAGGCACACTGCAGAAACTGACCGGTGCACGAGATCGAAAGGTCCCTCCATTGAGATCCGTTCCGTGCGTTCCAAAGTACATCCGGAAAGGGAAGCATCTGTCGGTATTCTCTTAATGTGAAGGTGATCGGCATCCCCATAAAAATTGAGCACATACAGTCGATTACTGGCAAATGCACGTGTAAGTTTGGTGTGACGTGCGATAATCAGAGATATAAATCCGCCCGACTCCTGTACTGACCTAAAAAGCAATATGCAAGTCTCCTCTCTGTCTCCGAGCGAATCCAAGAGCTCCATTCGTCACGGTGTGTGCAGCTGCCGACGTCCTGACAAAGCAAAGAGCCCCTAACTTTGGACGAGATCATGAATGGCCGTACCAAGGTAGCAAGCCACGCTCGTTGGATTTGCAGGTTGATGATATTATCTTTGAAGCCGGTGAACATGAGGTTGACAACAGCCAACAAAGAGCATTGTGCCAGTACTATAATATCGTAGCTTTTGGCTTTCATGGCCTACCAAAATCTTCAGCAGTCTATATATTAGCGACGTTAAATGGCTTTGAATCATCATACATCCATCGGTAACGACACGCGAAGAAGCTCCATGAGCATGGTAGCATATTGTTCTTTCCTAGCCAGTTTCGTGTACTGACACCCAACAGACGCCACAGCTAGGACTAGAATCCACGGAACATCCGGCTGCTCAAGGGCCGATGGGTGAATAAAGCACAACTGGCGGTCAAAATATTCGTAGTACAGCTGTATAAACGAATTGAAGGCTGTCCTATTGGGAAATGGAGTGTCCTTGAACCGGCCATCCAAATGAGTTTCATAACCCGCTAGAATGGCTTCAAATTGATCGCCGAGCTGTGCTCTCACGTGGCAAAAGGTCTCGGCTGCGGTGATATCCTCGTCTGTTGCTTCCATGATTGATGGTTGAATGGTATTCGAGCCGCGGCATTGGCGCTTCTCTCCAATCGACCCCCCGCGGGCTCGCCCTCGGGTTGGATGTGGTGAGTGTCTCAGATCCAGATGTTCATCCTGGGCATTGGCTGTGTTGGGGGTCGACGGCAGAGGCGAGCATGGGTACTGGACCCCAAGGTCAAGGAGTAGCTGGTGGTCGCAGAGGCTGGGGTTATGGAGAGCGTCGGCGTATTCCAGTGTCCAGGGAAAACCAAAGTCAACATCCGGGAACAGAGGCACACTCCCCACCGTCGGACAATTGATGAGATCATCCTGGTGACTCGGCGCGCAGTTCGCGCTGTATTCCAAGTCCGTCGATTCGGGCGGTATTTCGGTCATCGCGGGGGATGTGGCAACGGCCTGGTGGTCGCCGTTAACGCTTTCGCACACCGGAGGAAAATTCCTGTCCGAGCTCCAGGTACATCGAGCACTGATTGACTGATCAGACTGCGACGATCTCATTCCACTGTTGCGTTCGCGAGCCCGATAAGTACAATTCCGGCCTTTGCTCTGACAGCGGCCACAAGGAGCCTCGCCACTGCATTTGACCTTGTCGCGCGAGCACGGTAGGCAGGCATTGGCGCCTCTGGTACGTCCAAGTATCCCCTCGGCGCCAGTGCCGTGGGTGGCGACATGCCGAGCAAGGGTATCTCTACGTAACGAGTGAGACAGGCCTCTGCAGGGGGGAAGATCGGGAGCTACCTGCGGGAGAAAGAGCGAGAACACAATGGGCACGAGAAAGGACGGATCCCCGAATGACGACGGAGGTGCCGATCGAGATGCTCTCGACGAGCGAATGTCTGAGAGCAAACCTGGCACTCAAGGTGCATTCTGGAGAACGTCGAACTTTTGCGGGGAGAACGAAGGAGTTGGCAGATTGCGGGGAGGCCGAGATTAAATGGCGGGAGATGCTTTAGTCATCGGCAGCCGCAGGATCACGGAGATCTACTTCTACTTAACATGTTCACGCATTCAGGATTCTGTTTCCTGAACAGAATGTCGATACTGCCAATCTTAGTCGCCATGATGGGTATTATTGAAAGAGGAATGTGTAATGGATGTAAAAGTCAACTTCCACTCAGAACTACGGAACCTCGTGCGGACCAAACTTGAATTAGATCCCGTCCCAGGCATCGGCTTCCAGACATGCACTCTATGAACACAGCACTCCGCGAATCCCAATTTCGGTTACTCGGGACACTGGTTGGGAGTACTCCATTCCAAAATACAACGTACTCCTCCACCCTCGCGCGAGGATGGATGATATCACACTTCGTCTCTGCGGGGAGCCGACGGCCAGTTGCCACTGCAGGCAACCGAAGTAGCCTGCTTCAGATCCATTCCTGAAGTGCATTCGCAGTAGAAATGACTCAAGTTACCGATGAAGACAAAAACAAATCACTTTCAATACAGCCATGTCAAAGCCAGCCTCGACCCCCAATGCAATCCAACGCTATCATCACCAAGAACCCTCCTTCTTCGACAGTCCCAGAAAAGGTCGCAGGAGGACTGAAAGAACAGGCATAACGAGCCAGTCGATAAGCATGACCAACTTTCCCAAAATCCCGTCAAAGTCGATAGTCTATAGTTGATTAGAAACCGCAACAGTCAGATTCGTGGCGTGGACTTTATGGCTTCACTTACGGGAATCGAGGTCCCTCCGCTTTTCCGCACCCAACTGAACGCTCGCCTTATCATCTGGGACTCATATTTCGCGCACCGAGTTGAAATCTCCTCGGTCGTTGGCAGCCGACCTCCAGCAGCAATGTCGTTCAGTTCGACCAGATGCGGCAAAATCTCGGCGCAGTCGTGCATGGCCTGGTTACCACCCATGCCTCTGTGCCGTTGGTTTCAGTGATGATCTATAGCATTTATTTCTACTGGTTTCATATCTGACGTACCGATTTGGCTGCATTGCATGGATTGCGTCCCCGAGAAACCAAACCCGGGGGTGTCCTGGATGACGTGTATCCTTTGATTCTTTCTGAGCCCGTTCTCGCCAGTCTGTTGCGGGCTTAAAGCTCGCACGTAACGGGATCACATGAATGTCGGACGACTCGTCCTCCTGGCCCATAGCAATCAAGGATTTACTGTTCACGGGAAAGCAAGTTTCAACCTCGTCAGCGGGTTTTCTTTGTCGTTGAAATCAACAGAACAAGTGGGTCTTCCTACTCACAATTCAGGCGCCCAGTCTCGGATAACCGACTGGCAAAACTGCAACCTGTCCGGAATATCCGCGAAATGAGCGTATCCTTTGACCTGAGCCTTTGGAACGTTTAAGCCCCAATAGAACGACGCCTCAGCATCATCATAATCCATCTCCCCATCGCCAGACCTCCGGGCACTGCTCTTGGTTGGCAAATACACTGCGTTCGACATTGCGTGAGTACTGGCAGACCAATATCAGGAAAACGGCATACACACAAGCATAGAAAAACGAGACACCTTTCGAGAAGACCAGAATCGGACCTTTCCGCAGCTGAGCAGGAAGCTGATGTAGTCCATCACTTGGAATCTTCCCCTTGAACACAAACGCCCAGTGAGAATCAAGCTCGACCAGATTCCTCAACCCAGTTGCCCGGTTGACGCGCGAGCTGCTCCCATCGGCAGCGATCAGGACATCGCATTCGTCCGTTCCGCCATCCGCGAAGGAGATATTCACCTTCTCGGACCCGGCGCCCCGCACAATCTCAAACGACGAGAACGACTTTCCATATCTGACGTTGCCGGCCTGCGCCACCGTATCGAGCAGCATATCGCGCAGCACCACGCGGTTGATCGCGAACGACCGCGAATAAGTCGGTAGCCGAGTCAAGTCCAACACGGGGTTGAATTGCGTGTTGTATAGACAGGGGGCCGTAGCGCCCAGGGTAGTGGACTGTCCAAAACGCCCGAGGATGGCGTTGAGGTGCTCATCGCGTAGACATGCTTTGAAGCCTGCTATAGCTGGGTCTCCCAGTCGGATTTGGTAGCCTTCTCGTTTAGCATCGGCCGCGTCGCGCTCGTAGACTGTGAAAGGGACATTGTGGTTAAGGAGTCCGTTGGCGAGAAGGGAGCCTGCGATGCCGCCGCCTATGATTCCAACTTTGAAATGGGGTTCTGACATCGTTGGGTGAGCGCGCTTGGGTGTATGCGTGGGCTTGTAACGATAACATTCAGAACGCACCGCTTAGAATTGTCTTTTTTTAAGGTGGCAGCGATCCGCCTGTCGCCGTTGGCGTTGCCTACCGGGCGTTTTATTATCAACATCAGGAGCGTAGGTTTAAGCCATTGGGTTTATGTTAGAGAAGATGGGATTGCGGAGACCCGAATGTCCGCCCCACAACGATGGCGGGCACCCGATGACCTCCGCATTGACCCCGTCGAGGGTAGACACTCCTTGCTTCCTATCATATATCCAAGACTCGATTCACCAAATATCGGATGTCGGGGATATGACGCTATAGCCTGGGTGGGGATTCCAGGGACTTTCCGGCCCCCAGAGGTATAACATGGTTCAATCTTTTGTCTTGATTATATATAATGTAGTCGGTTCCCGGTCGATTGGTCCTATAGACATCATGAATATTGTATGGCTTGTAGGTACAGCCAACTACACTGTAGTAACATCTGAGAGTTACTTCTGGCGTTTCTTCGGGTTATTTTAGGCGCCTTGTAGATTGAGTATTGAGAGATACTTATTGAGCAACCCCCTGAGCGCTCTTATTGAAGACTCCTCATCTAAACAGGGAAAGCTCTACTAGTGCTGGGAAATAAGTCCACATAGGGGCATATGAAGCTCAAATATTTATAAATCCTTTACGGATAGATTGGGACTCTGGGAAAGAATCCAGGAATTTTCCGGGTATACCATTAAAATAAACATGGCTATTGATATGTCTTGAACAAAAGTCCAGATTCCCACATTTGAATTACAATCTAAAAGCATTCGACAAATAACACAAGCTAATTACATCCACAGAAAAGTCTAATCATGCTCTAAGCCCTCGTTAACCGAGCTAGTTCCTGTCACCCCTACAGACGGGCAAGTACACGGTCAGCCTGAAGCACAGAGATATGGCTTCGTCGAATATCGTCGATCGTACGACACCTGGGAATGATTAGCAAATAACAATCCGACAAGGTCGTAATGTCACATACCCAGCCAAAGCCATTGTCGTCTTCAGCTCGCGATGGAGGAGTTTCATGGCCAGCTCGACACCATTCTGGCCGTCATACTAAGAAAGCACGTGGTCAGCACAAGCCCTATTTCGATCGCATGTCAAATGTCCCGTGTCTTACAGCAAGACCCCAGATGGGAACACGGCCCACGAAGCAATGCTGAGCCCCGAGCGCTAAAGCCTTGAAAATGTCGGACCCTCGTCGGATGCCGCCCTCTAGGGCAATCTGGATCTTTCCGCGCGCGATGGGCTCGCATTCGCGCAGCGCATCGATGGCCGCGGGCGCGCCGTCTAGTTGCCGCCCGCCGTGGTTGGAGATCACGACTCCGTCGGCGCCGTACTCGATGGCAAGCTCGACGTCTTCTTTAGTGGTGACTGGTTAAGGGCAGTTAGGTTTGGTCTTCTGTAAATTGGTATTGTTGGGGGGGGGGCGAGTGTGAACTTACTGCCCTTGAGCCAGATTGGCAGAGTTGTGTTGGCTCGAAGCCACGGGATGAATTCCCGCCATTCCATGCTTGAGTCTGTATTGCATTAGCAATGGTATGGGGAATGGAAAGTGCTATGATACGGAACATACCGTACGACGTGCCACCGCCGCCGCCGAAGAAGCTGTCGCCACCGAAGTTGAGGTTCGGCCAGGACATGTGCTCTGGAAGCACGAACTCATTTCGGGATTCATTCAGTCGTTGGCCGATGAGGGGGAAGTCGACGGAAAGGAAAAACGCTTTGAATCCGGCCTCTACGAGGAAGTTAGTGTTGATCATGACAACTAGGAGCCAAGTTAAATGCTGTAGACTCACCCTCAGCACGCTTCAATAACTTGAGTGCGAATGATCGATCTCTCAGAATACACATCTGAATAGCGTAAGGGTTCTCTTGACCTTGCGCGATGACATCCTCCATGGCGACCGTTGAGTATGAGGATAGCACCATGCCCAGGTTGGTGTTGGCTGCCGCTCGGGATGTGGCGAGCTCGCCGTCTGGGTGAGCGAGCTTCTGCATTCCAGTCGGGCTGAAGCCAAGCGGAAATGATACCTGAAGAAATGATCCGCGATTAGATAAAGGATGCATTCATTTCGTGCAATACAAGGGCTGCGTACCTTGCTTCCGAATAGAGTGGTTGAAGTGTCAATGTCGTCGACATTCACCATCACTCGTGGCCGAATCTTGTAATGGTCGAATGCTGTTTCATTCTCTTTCAATCTATGCAAGGTCTGATTAGTGTCGCCCAATACAAGGCAAATAATCCCGTACGTGAGCATATCCATTGATCCATCGTCGTGAAAGTCTGAGTTGTCTGTCAGTCTTTATTCCTTGTTCAAACCACTGGATGCCAACCAACCTCTATACGCCTTCGGAAGCTTCTTATTGCCAGCCTCTCTCAAGTCTTTGATACAGAAGACGTGCTTGTCAAGGGCAGGAGGACGGTTGGCCATGTTGAATTGAATATATAGAGGAAGGATAATTTGACGAAGAGTATAGGGAGGCGAGTTATCTTTATTTTTTGACGTAAAACACTGTCACCTGGAGCGTTATTAGAGGCTTAAATACACACAGCTAGAGATAGCCTCAACGACCCGGAGGTCGGCACAGCAGAACGAACGTTCGAATTGCATGATATTTCCTTGATTTGCAGAACACCGTCGATTTCGGCAAGTAACTCCAATATGGAAACGAAACTGAGCACGATAGAATGGCGTAATGTCACACAGCCTATCATTGAGGCCCCCCAGATTGACCCCAGGCGATCCTGCGTTCCAGAACATCTGAGTCAGATTATACGTAGGCAGAAAAATATGGTCTGAGATCTTGCGCAGGTCCCATCAACGAATCCGCTAGCTCAGCCACGTTTTGATTTCGTAGATAGCCTAAGTCCCTCAAGATAATCCTTGATGTGGATCAACGCTCATTCAGCTGCCAAAGTTAGGCTGAAGGATTCAAGCTTGGCTTACATTTCTGTTATGTGTCCGGAGGGCCAATGGCTTGGGAATGGGAATACGAGGCAGAAAGGACCCACTTGCTCTGATGCCTCAACGAATTCTAATCCTTGTTCTAACAGCTATGGAGGTGTGTAACGGAGCGCGACGTTAGTCCAAAATGACGAGAGATTTCCGTGAATGCCGCCAACATTCGGTTCAAGGGGCTGTGCTGATCTTGAATGATTTACGCGAATATTGACTTTTGGTTGATGAGCCCAGCCAGACAGGTTGCCGTCAATTAAATAGCCTATGCAGCAGGATCCGACTCAAGGGATCAATTTTGTGATTTTACTCTGTTTAACGCCTCTGTTTGAGCACTTTCACACGGCCATACCTCTCAACATGGGCTCAAACATTCCCGACGCCCGACCGACAAAAAGGTCCGACAAGATTGTTATTATCGGCGCCGGGCTATTCGGGTTAACGACTGCCCTAGAGCTGCGCAAAAGAGGATATGAGCACATCACTGTTTTGGACCGGACGATCCCGCCGGCGCCGGATGCATCGAGCTTTGACTCATCCCGTCTCATTCGGCCAGACTACGCGGATCCCTTCTACTCGAGGATCGCCTACGAAGCAATGGAAAAATGGGAGTCCGAATGGTCTCAGTATTTCAACAGGAGCGGCTTAGCCATTGTCGCCCGCTCAGAGTCTCATCCTTACATCGACGGATGTAAGAACACACTGGCTCAGCTCGGAAAGACCTTCCACGCATTCAACAACCCCGACGACGTACGGAGACACTTCCCCGACTTCCCCGCCAGCTCTGTTTGTGGGTACGAGAACAGAGACGCAGGTTGGGTCGACGCTGTAGCCGTGATGAAGGACCTGGCGTATCAGTGCATTTCCGCCGGGGTTTCCTTCATCGCGGGCCCCAAGGGAACCGTGTCCTCGCTAGTGGTGACCAATGGCCAGATTACCAGCGTGCGAGATATTACCGGACGCTACCTGGCCTGTGACAGGGCTATCCTGGCAACGGGGTCTTGGACGAATTATCTTCTCGATTTGCAAGGATCCGCGGTTTCCGCGTGTCAGCCTGTCGGTTATATTCAGCTTTCTCCGGAAGAGGCGAAAGAGGTGGCGTCCTTGCCTGTGGTTTTAGATTTTACTTCTGGCTTCTTGGTCTTTCCGCCTACATCCGACCATGTTCTCAAGGTTATGCGCCATGGTTACGGCTATGAGACATCCTATGCTATCTCCACCAATAGTAAGGACGGTGGTAGTATTTCGAGACCGAAGCTCATCCCGCGCCGCAGTAAGGGGCAGTACATTCCTGCTGAAGCGGACGAAGCTCTACGCGCAGGTTTGGAGCGGTATTTGCCTCAGTTCAAAGACCGGCCGTGGGTGAAGAAGGCTCTTTGCTGGTATACGGACACCGTTGACGGGAACTTTATCATTGGGTATCATCCGAAGATTTCGAACTTGTTTCTGGCAACAGGCGGAAGTGGACAGTGAGTAATGACATGTTCCCATTACATGTATGTGTTTTTCTAACGATAGAAACTCAGTGCGTTTAAGTTTCTACCTGTTCTTGGGAAATACGTCGTGGATGGACTTGAGGATGTTCTGCCTGACGCTCAGCGACAACGCTGGGCTTTCAAGCCTTCGGACAAGTCCATGTCCAAAGGAGACGGGAGTAGGGCTGGACCGCCTAGACGTGTTTTGACTGCTAGCGAGCAGGCAAGGCTCTAAAGGCCATGGGAGAGTCTTGGATCAACGCTACTATGATAGTTATCGGTGATATGAACTTAATAATTAGAAATCAAGACTAAAAAATGAAAATCGGTTCTATATTTCATTGATTTGAGCCTATATTAGGCTCGACCTGACTGCTATAGACTTTTAGTGATATGCCACGCCTGACTGGCTGAGGTAAATTCCTCGCTAGCTTATTTAATACGCAAAATGGGCTTCATACATAGTTAGAGCTTATAGCAAGCAAACAAATTCATGTGCTTATCGTGACACTGTGTAATAGACTGAACAAAATGCGACAACTAGGCGGGTAACACTGTGGGTTGAATCTGACTCAGTACATGCATACAAACTGCGACTAATAAACATGCTCCTATTCAATCCACCCAGCTGATTCTCATTGCGTAATGACTCGTGTCTTTGACAGGAATCGCCCCAGTGAAGACCCGTTGTAAAAGCACGGGGGTCCTTACCATTCCTACGCTATAAGATGGAAGCGACGGGACGGCATGTCCTCCGCCTCCTGGCCGATAGTAATCACACAATAAGAATCTCTCGATATGGACCAAAGTCAGAATCCCAGCCAGATCCAGCCGGGTCCGGGATCAAGTGATCCTGCCATCCCCTTGATTTTATTCCACGACGCCGGCGGCACGGTCTTTCCGTACTTCTGCCTCGGCGATATCAAACGTCCGCTCTTCGGCATTAAGAACCCTCGTTTCGAGCGAGGGGGTCATTGGGAACATGGACTGCGTCAAATGGGCGTCGTCTATACACACCTTGTCAGATCTGCCGTCGCCTCGGGCAAGGTCATCCTCGGAGGTAAGCTTCCAGCCTCAGAAAATGACAGCGAGCTGAATTCACCCGACAGGATGGTCTCTGGGCGGATGCATCGCAGTTGAAGTCGCATCGCGACTCATGAAATTGCCCCAGTACACAGTCCAGGGCGTCGTACTGGTTGACAGCGTCTATCCCACCCCTGTCGTGACGACACATTACCCACGCACTCTGCCCGAAGTGGTCGCTAGCTTCCAGCTCCCTGCGCAAATGTCAGACACACGGCGCGACCTGGCGCAGCAATGTATTCTGGCCGCACACGAGATGCAGCGTGATTGGCGTCCACCGGCGTTTCCTGAGAACCCTCCTCCCGCGGTTCTGATCAAGGCGGCTGACCCGGTTCATGAGAATGATGAGCATGCGCTGCATTACTTTGATCGCGTCAGGGACTGGAAGTATCTGGGCTGGGAGGACTACGATACTAGCTTTATCGTGGCTACGATGGATACCCCGGGTAACCATTTTACGATTTTTGACGGCCCAAATGTATGCCTTTTCGTTCTTTCGCATGGGTTAGAGAGTCTTGCTAATGACTTTAATAGGCTGAACATACAACGAACAAAATTAAGGAAGCGTGCTCTTTATTGACGGAGCCGCACCCTTAGTAGTCTGGTTTGTTTGTATTGGATGGGAAGGATGGGATCGGATATATCGGAGGGGGACACTATGTATAGTCTGCGTTGATTCCAATTCATGGTTAATTTGCTGCATTTGATAAGATTTCCTTTTTTTTTTTACGGTAAATTGTCTGCGACCGCAAATAAAATCAACTTAACCTTCTCATAAACAAGCTTTGGGATATATTGACACACGCGGAAAACCTCGACAAGGAACCCCTGGTCAATGGTGCATATGCCACTTTGCGAGTCATCCACCATATTACGAGAGTCATACAAGCCGAACGGTTTGGCGGAGTACGGAATAACGCTCTTGGCTCAATATCAGCCCGTGAATTTTGTTTCAGAATGAACTCAAAGCTGTAACGGGGCGACCCAATCGTGTATTGTCATTTCCAATGAGCCTAAAAAGGACCCCACTGCTCTAATAGAAACATGTTTGTCTATGCGGAATGTGAGAGATATGTCAAACCCGAATCGTATAACCCCTCGGAATGACCCCTCCAAAGATATTCTATAATGCTGTTTATATTATGTGTGTTGATGTCTCGATTCTGGATGAGATCGGTCGCTAGCGGGTTGAGGGTATTCAAAAGCTCGACGACGTCCTGACAATTGCCTGCAATGTGTTCACTGATCTGCTCGAGGAACTGGACCGTAACAACGGTGTTTTTGCTGTGTTGCTTGTCAGCGGAGGTCTGGGAAAATACAAACAGGCAGGGATCAAGATACATACACCATTTTCTCCAGCTTACGCGAGCAGATGAACAAGACTGCAGGGCCAAGGTGTCGAGTGAGCACCGCCCAGCGCTTCCCAAAACGCTTGCGGTTATGGAATCTCGCGCGTAAATTCGATCGGCGCTGCTCGTCGCACGTCGACCATTCGGGGTGGATCTCGTCCAGGAGTCGATCGACTATTAACGAGGCATGACCCCTGCCTCGTCGCGTGGGCCCGTTGTCGCATTCTTCGGTCTGGTTGATGTTTTCGTATTCGGTGTGGAGTTGAATTAGGGCTGCCCGATTCCGGATTGGGTCATCGCCCATGCGTGGTTCGAGTTGGCAGATGCACGAGTATGCGTCGGCCAGCCGGTCGTATTTCGTATGCCGTTGGTTCGGTAATACGACGGTTTCTTGGTGCCATATCCCGTTGGACTGCCACCGGGGCAAGTTGGATATTAGGTATTCGGTATAGTCGGATCTGATATAGGCGTTCTGTACGGTCGATCCGGCCAGTATTTCCGGTAAATGTGGCGTTTGGCATTGGGTTGTTGGATTGATTAGTGAGTGCTCAGAGCTTCTTGGCGATACTGAAGAGGATGCGTCGGGTCCGGTGAGTGGAGATTGGTGGTGGTTGTAAAATAACGAAGGCGGGTTATAGGGGTCATGGATGCTAGCCTCGAATGGGCTACTCGTAGGGTCTGCGAGTTGGTGATTGGTGTGATCGACGTTACTGAGATCTGACAAATGGACTGGACTCCGTAGGAGATCTGGAAGTGTCCAAGTTAGGAAGTTTCTCCAGACAATCTTCTGCAGGCCGAACATACCTTGAGCAGCCTGAGAGCTTGGGGAGAGAGAACCAGAGAAATCCATATTATTCACCGGATCCCCGATGAGCTCGAACTCATCCCCTGACGGAATTGTTTCTACTCTACTCTCTTGTGACGTGTTCATACATAATTGTAGATCCCAAGCTTCTGGAAAGCCAGTTGGACAGGAGTCCAGACGTAATTCGCCCGCTGAAACGGGATATTGAATACTAATCCCATCGTTAGTTGGTCAAGGAATGAAGCGACTGACATGAAATGCGCAACATGGGACTTTGATCAAAGACCTCGATCTGCAGCACAACAAGAAAGGAAAGTGGAAATTACCTGTCCTCCACGATTAAGATTAGCACCGGTTGTGCCGGTGCATCGGTTATCACCGCAGGCGGAGCCGCTTGGATCGTGTAAGGAGCCAGACGACTGGCCAGGGCCTCGAGTCCCGCGGCATTCGTTGTCTCAAGGAAATTCTTGATTGCTTGAACAAAGTATTTCTTGGTGTCAGGGTGGACCGGCTCATCCATTATGTTGGGTCGGGTTATCTCGGTCGCATCCACGATCATGGTTGCAGCAAAAGGAGTAGGGATAGTGTGCTACCCCAGCTGCGGCTCTGTACGGTGTCCCCGAACTTCTCCAGCTTGTTTGTGTTTATGTATTCTGTCTCCATTTCGCCGCAATTGCCTAGTGAGATGGATATATGCACGTCGCGCACACCACATGCCCAAAGGGGAATAAAGCCTGCAGGCCAAGCGGCAGTGCCGGGTCATTGGGGGTTAGCTGTTTTAGTCTTGGACTGGTAAGCTGCAGTCGCAAGTTGCAGCCCCTGGTCCGATTGAGCAATCTCAACAGTCGCGTTGACTTGCACTTTTTGCGGCTCAGCTGAGCTTAACCAGCCCAACCTGATCTGTTGCATTCACCATCAACCCAGCAATTTGTTTGCTAACATTCGACATTCAGCCTCGAAAATTCTCCGTCCTGCAAGGCATGATTACTTAAGTGAGGTATCATCCAACAATTCCGATTCACCTATTGCAAGCCTTTCGTCAAACAATAGGCATAGCTGAAACGGCGCCCAGCAACCGGTGACAATCCTCAGCTCGCCAAAGTGGCACAGAATCTCCTCAATACGAAGCCGGAATCCTTCCAGAAATGCATCATCCTGCCCAGACGCCGTTGCACCAATGAGAAGGCGCCTTGCCTGCTTTGTCAGCCCCTATTTTCGTTGGCGGAAATCAACAAAATGGCGTTATCTTGGGATGACAGCCACGTCTTCGCCTCGTCGGCTATGTCTGAAGCATGTCTGATTGATAAATCTCACTATTTTGCCTCGAGATATAGTCTCCCGGTCGGAAACGGACTTTACTCGAAATCCCGTCCCGGGGAAACGGCGATATATATTATGCCGCCGACGATTTACTGACTGCGCCACGTGATGGTATCGGACCCTAAGTCTGCATGCATCTTTGTAGCAGTCAATGTCATTGTCTTCACAGACGCTAAATTGCACACCAATCCAATGACCAATGGAAACGTACTTGACTAGTCTGCCTGAAGAGACCGGGCAGGGGTCCGTAGCCAAGTCACCGACGGAACGGTCACATAGCTCAGCCACACGGAATGATGACTCGTGTTCCGGAACAAGCCTAAGAGATGGCTGCAGATCCAACGTTCTATTCGAGCATCGGGCCTCCGATCTTATTGCCGATCTGTAAGCTGACTATTTTGACTAATAGGACCTAACAGGCATCATAATAAGGACGCAGTTTTGCATCTGACAGCACTACGCTAATTTAGGGAGGCGCATGGAAGGAACGGCTGAGGCTACCCACGAGGTGAGCTGACACCAAGAGACACGTGGGAGGGGAGCTTTAGGAGCTGAGACGGTTGTAACTTGGAATGTAAGACATCATTTGTGAGATGTTGATGGATTGCTAATATCCTAACTAACTCGCTTGCTAGATGTAGGCATTTCGTTGATGTGGATTGCCAGTGCGACTCATCACTTAGGCTGCTATTGTTCAAATGATGGAATATACTTGGATGTATACAGGCTTAGACAGCCCTCAAAGTTAGGTTGGTACACCCTTATAGTCCCGTTAAGCCCATCTTTGACTGCACTTCGTTCACAGTCCGAGAAAACCTTCGGTATTGTTGTATCCTTCTGTCTTGGCATTTATTTATCGACCTTCTGGTATTGTGTTACTCATCGATCTTATATTATTTATTTTATATCACTATTCGTCTTCTTGCATCAAAAAGTCATACTTTGTATCCCTCCTTCCCTGGATATTTCTATTCCTACAAGCCTCAAAGACACAATGGCCCCAGCCGAGCCAGTCGCCATTATCGGCAGTGGTTGCCGATTCCCTGGCTCAGCATCGTCTCCTTCAAGATTATGGAACCTTCTGCGAGAACCACGCAACGTTGCTTCAAAACCACCAACAGATCGATACAATGGAGATACCTTCCACTACTCCGGTAAAAAGAGTCTGCCACCTGGAATGATCAGCTCTCCAGAGTCCTACTTCCTCGAAGAAGATGTCCGAGCGTTTGATGCACCGTTTTTCAACATCTCGCCAGCGGAAGCGGCCTCGATGGATCCTCAGCAACGCCTACTACTAGAAGTCGTATACGAATCGCTCGACCGAGCTGGCCTGCAACTGAAAGGTCTGCAAGGGTCCTCAACCGGCGTGTATTGCGGTGCCATGAACTACGACTACAGCCAACTGCTACTTTCGGATCAAGACAGCGTCCCCCCATTTATGATTTCAGGCGGTGCACCATCTATGCTAGCCACTCGCATCTCGTATTACTTCGACTGGAAAGGTCCTTCCCTCGTGCTGGATACGGCCTGCTCGTCCAGTTTGATTGCGCTGCATTTGGCCGTACAGGCCCTGCAGAAGGGAGATTGTTCGATGGCTGTCGCAGCGGGCAGTAGCTTGATTCTGTCCGTCGATGGCTATGTTTCGTCATCCCAGGCGAACATGATGTCGCCCTCGGGACGCAGTCATATGTGGGACGAGGCGGCGGACGGATATGCTCGCGGTGAAGGTGTGGCTGCGGTGATACTCAAGCGCCTTGATGACGCAGTGCGAGACGGCGACCAGATCGACGCCGTGATTCGTGCGACTGGAGTCAACTGCGATGGTCGTACAAAGTCCCTAACCATGCCTAACGGGCTCGCTCAGGGAGAACTCATCAGCTCCACATACGCCGCTGCTGGACTCGATCCCCTCAACCCGGCCGACCGCTGCCAATTCTTCGAAGCCCACGGAACAGGCACCCCTGCGGGTGATCCACAGGAGGCGGAGGGAATTGCAAATGCCTTCTTCAATAAGGATTCCCTAAAGGACGAGACGATGTATGTTGGCTCGATCAAGACAGTAATCGGCCACACAGAAGCTGCGGCTGGGATTGCTGGTATCATGAAAGCCGCGCTGGCCGTTCAACATGGTGTCATTCCTCCCAATATGCTGTTCAACCGATTGAGCGCTAAGGTCGCGCCATTTGCCGACCATCTTCGTGTTCCAACGAAGGCGCTTCCTTGGCCTGATCTTCCGGTTGGAGCTCCGCGGCGAGTCTCAGTGAACTCTTTCGGCTTTGGGGGTGCTAATGCACACGCCATTATCGAAAGCTTTTCCCCATATAATGCTATTTCGTCGGACAATGAAGCGACTGCTACCCCTACATTCTTACCGTTTGTGTTTTCCGCGGCGTCCGAAAAGTCGCTGAAGGCAGTTCTGCAGCAGTATGTGGACTGGCTGCAGGAGAATCCGACCGTGAATCTGTTGGATTTGGCCGGGTCTCTTCTTACCAAGAGATCCATTCTGAGCACTCGAGTGATTTTCACCGCAGGAACAGTGGATGGCTTGATTAAAAAGCTTCAAGACGAACTCAAAGACTCGTCGACAACAATCACCCGACGACTCAGCCCCGGACCGAAAAGGATCTTGGGAGTCTTCACTGGCCAAGGCGCACAATGGCCACAGATGGGGATAGACGTGATTGAAGATTGCCCCATGGCTGCTTCATGGCTGCAGGAACTACAGAAATCCCTTGACAGCTTACCTCTTGAATACCGACCTAAGTATACTCTGCGCGATGAGTTGGCTGCTCCCGAGTCCTCGTCTCGCCTCAATTCTGCAGAGATCTCACAACCTGTGCGAACGGCTCTGCAAATTATCCAGGTTAATATTCTCCGGTCGCTTGGTATTGAATTCGCCGCAGTCGTCGGACACTCGTCGGGCGAGATTGCCGCCGCGTATGCAGCGAGATGGCTCTCGGCAGCAGACGCTATTCGCGTTGCCTATCTACGAGGTCTGGCTACGATGAATGCAGGGTCGAAAGGACAGCCTGGAGGCATGCTTGCTGTCAATATCTCCTGGGACCAGGCGCAGGCTATCTGCGGTGAAGCACCGTACCATGGTCACGTCGTCGTCGCGGCTTCCAATTCTCCGTCCAATGTGACGCTCTCAGGAGATGACGAGCTAATCTCCGAGTTGGAATGGCTCTTTGAAAGTCTGGACCAAACTCCTCGACGGCTGCGTGTCGACACAGCGTATCACTCGCACCACATGATTCCCTGTGCGGAGCCCTACTTGCAGGCCATGAAGGCGTGTCAGGTTCCGACTCGCCAAGGCTCGTCGACAACAAAATGGTTCTCGAGTGTTCATGATGCAGCGGAGATGACAGCACTCGAGCCTCGCTACTGGTGTGAGAATATGCTTCAGTCGGTGCAATTCTCGCAAGCCTTAACAGCCGCCCTGAAAGACCAGCCAGACCTTGACGCGATCGTGGAAGTCGGACCTCATCCTGCTCTCCGGGGGCCCGCACTGCAGACCGTGTCGACAGTCAAGCCTAGCGACGCAGATGTACCGTACGTTGGGCTAGGCAAGCGTGGAATCGCTGGTGTTGAAGCTCTGGCACTCGCATTGGGATCGTTCTGGGCGTATCTCGGACCAGAAAACATCGACACCAAGTCGTTTGTCCACCTATTTTCACCTTCGCGAGAACCAAAATTCCTCCCCCCTCTCCCGACCTATCCCTTTGATCATAGCCAGACGTACTGGGCTGTATCGCAGCATGCCAGTGCGCGCACTCATCGTCGCTTACCTCGGCACCCTATCCTGGGCACCATGACCCCTGAAACCGGCGAGGGTGAATGGCGCTGGCGCAACTACCTGCGTCAACAGGATCTAGAATGGGTGGAGGGCCACAAAGTCGAGTCTCAGATGCTCTTCCCTGCGACAGGGTATCTGGTCATGGCATACGAGGCAGCCCACCTGATTGCTGAAGACCGAGTCTTACAGTCGGTGGATATCTACGATCTTGCTATCGATCGCGCGATCGCCGTTCCGGACACCAGCATGGGTGTAGAAACGTTGTTCACTCTCTACAAAACAGACGGCGAGGAAGGTCAGAGCCTGACTGCTTCGTTTAAGTGTCAAGCCCGATTCAACGACACGTTCCGCTGCTGTGCCACTGGCCGTCTTGAGATCCGATTCGGAGAGCAAGACGAGACTTTGTTGCCAGCTTTGGGCCCACTTGTTGGGGGGCTACAGAAGATCGACTCAGAGCACTTCTATGGCGAGCTGGACAAACTGGGTTATGGATACTCTGGTTTGTTCCGCGGCCTTGGGTCGATTCAGCGCCGAAAGGACATCGCATACGGTACTATTCCTGTCCCAAATACCGATGACGATGACTCGGATTTGCTAGTTCATCCCGCGAATTTGGATACTAGTCTGCAGGCTCTCATGGCCGCGTTCGCCTATCCTGGTGACGGCCAGCTGTCTGGGCTGTTTCTTCCCACTCGCTTGGCGCGCACTTCGATTAATCCGGGCCTTTCTCGTGGTGGTAGCTTGTATGTTCCTCAGAAGCAGCTCACCGTTGAGGCCAAGCTATCCGATGTTGGCAAGACCGGGTTGACCGGTGATATCCATCTTTTCGATTCCGGCGGTCGAGGTTTCGTGCAGATTGAAGGTATGCATATTTCGCCGCTCACGCAGCTCAACCCTCAAGACTGGCCGATGTTCGTGGAGGAAGTCTGGGGTCCTTTGCTCCCTAATAGCTCTCTTGCAAGCTCCAAAACACCTCTCATGCCCCGGAGCCATGCATCCCTTGATCTGTGTGACCGTCTAGCGCTGTTGTATCTTCGCAACGCACAGAGCCAGCTCACGAGAGAAGACTGTCAGAAACTTGAAGGCCATCGGGGTCGGTATGTCGCCTGGATGGATCAAGTCCTGGACTCTGTTCGTAAGGGCACGCATTCGCTCTACCCCGCTAGCTCTCTCCAGGGCGACATAGCCTCGCTTATCCCAGTCGACGTCCAGCGCGCGAAGCCTGTGGAAATTCTCGCGCTGGAAACAGTCAACATCAATCTTCTTCCCTGGTTGCGAGGTGAAGTAGATATTATGGAGGAGCTGCACAGCCAGGGTGATCTACTTGGTCGATTTCAGGAAGACTCTAGCTCTTTGGCCATTATGAAGGAAAAGGTTGCCACACTTGTCGGGCAGCTATCTTTCCGGTACCCTCGCATGAAGATCCTCGAGGTTGGAGCGGGCACCGGCGGAGCAACTCGCTTGGTGCTGGAACAGATTGCTCGCGACTACCATTCCTACACCTACACCGACATGACGTCTGCTTCGTTTGAAGAAGCCCAGCAGACATTTGCCGCCCACAGCGATCGCTTCATTTATGAGACATTAGATCTGGAGAAAGATGTGTCGGAACAAGGATTCTCGGAGAACGGATACGATCTCGTCATTGCCAGCAATGTCCTGCACGCAACCAGCTCCTTCAAAGAAAGCATTTCCCGGATCCGACGACTACTGAAACCAGGTGGTCGTCTTGCTGTTCTCGATATGACACAACCCGAGCAGATTGCCTCGCCCTTTATCTTTGGCGGACTACCGGCTTGGTGGCGCGGTGATCTCGATGCTCTACCATCAGGCCCACTGATTTCCCGCGAAACCTGGAACCAGATCCTCCGGTCCAGTGGTTTTGGAGAATTCGAGACTGCTTCGTCAACCGAAGAGTCGAAACAGTTTGGTATGCTCGTGTTTACTGCTCAAGCTGTCGATGACCACATACATCGACTGCAACGGCCTCTCTCGGTCGCTGCTAAGCGACAATACCGTGATCTTATCATAATCGGCGGTGCCAGCGAGACTACTGCAGAATTGCTTCCAGTCGTCGAGCAACTGGTGGGCCCTTACTTTGGCCGGATCACCACGACCAACACCATTGAGAGCTTTGTTTCTCCGGAGAATGCTTCCCTGGCTGCTGTTCTGGCTGTTTCCGACATCGATAGCCCTTGCCTGCAGGATCTGACCGAGGAGAGATTCACTGCGCTGCAACAAATTGTATCAGTGACAGGAAAGCTCTTGTGGGTGGCCACCGGTAACCCTACCGAGGAGCCGTACCTACGCATGAGCAAGGGCTTCCTGCGGTCCCTAGGTCTGGAGAATCCCCATGCTCAGTTCCAACACCTGGCGGTTAAGAATCCAGGTGCTCTGTCTCCAGAGCTCGTCGCGACGACTTTGATGCGGCTAATTCACTGTGACGCAGGAAGCGATTACAGTCTTCCAAACTGCACCGAGAACGCTGAATGGGAGCTTCTGCTGGAGGATGACGTGCTAAAGATTCCTCGTATGCGGACTGGTCGCGACATGAACCAGCGATGGCTGACGAGCCGTGGTGTTCCGAATACTCGCCGGGTTGAGCCCAGTGAGACGTGCGTGGAGGTGCGTCCGGCTGACGACGCCGTCGAGGAGTCCCCGTTGTCATTGGTGTCGTCTTTCGGAGCAACGCGGTACGAGCCTGAGGTTGAATATCAAGGGTTGAAGGACGCGTGTGTTCGTATCAGAGTTCACTATGCTACTCTTCCGGCCGTTCGGGTTGAAAATGGCTTCCTGCACCTGGTTATTGGAGAGGACGAGCATAACAGGTCTCGTGTCGTGGCTCTCTCTGAGACTCACGCTTCGGTTGTCTCGACTCCTGCATCCTGGTGCAGGCCCGTTCCCAGCTGGCTACCGGAGAAGCTCGAAGCTGGATTTTTGAATGATCTCAGCGCTGCCTTGGTCGCCCGGCATCTAGTCCGTCATGCGCAGGGCGAATCAACGATCTTGATCCACGAAGCTCCTCAGTCTCTCCAAGATGCCGTGTCCGCGATGGCCTACTGCAATGGTATCCGGGTTCGCTACAGCGCTGGCAGTCGACAGACCAGCCAAGGACCTGGTGTGTTGGTCATCTCCCCGCGAAGCTCCATTCGCGATATCAGTCGTCTGCTTCCCTCTGGAGTATCGGTGCTCACAACCTTTAAACCCGATACTGACGGTTCGCTGGCTCGTTTGCAATCATCGCTGTCACCGGAGGCGACATACTGGGGTTTGAAGGACCTGTATGGAGCATCATTTCCTCCTGCACACAAACAGCATTCCAAGGTGTCGGATTCTCTCTCCGCAAGCTGTCTCTTCGCGGAACAGCGTAGTCGCTTCCAGACGGCAATTGATACACTGACACCGGAGGATATCCCGGCCTATCCTGTTGACAGTCACAAGCTCGAGATCATTGATTGGCTTCATTCTGGCCCGGTCTTGACCAACAGTGTTCCGTCTAGCTCGTTGGTCAGCCTCAGCGGTAACAAAACTTTCCTTCTGGTTGGTATGACCGGTGATCTGGGTCGCTCGGTCACCCAGTGGATGATCACTCGCGGAGCTCGCACGATAGTTCTCACCAGTCGATCTCCAAAGATTGATTATGAATGGGTTGAGGAGATGGCAGCTCTAGGTGCCCGCGTTGAGTTCATGGCTATGTGAGTGCTGCCAAACTATCCCTTCGTTCCCACAACAATCGCTAACCCCATTAACAGGGACGTATCCAACCGCGACTCAGTCCTCAAAGTCCATAACCACATCGAAGCGAAGCTACCACCCGTCGGCGGAGTGATCAACGGCGCAGTCGTCATGCGCGACGCTGCATTCACCGACCTCTCACACGCGAACGTCCTCCGTGTCTTCGGCCCCAAAGTCGAAGGCAGCCGTATCCTCGACGAGCTGTACCAAGACTCCGACCTAGATTTCTTCATCCTCATGGGCTCATTCTCCGGTCCTAACGGTAACTTTCACCAAACCGCCTACGCCGCCGCCAATGAATTCATGGCTGCACTGATCAACCAGCGCCGTCGCCGCGGCCAAGTCGGAAGTATCATCCACCCTGCCCAGATCCAAGGTCTAGGTCTGATCCTCGCTATGGACGCACACATGAAGAACGTGCTGGCCCAGCAGCTCGGGCCCATGGCTCTCTCGGAACGGGATATTCTTGAACATTTTGCGGAAGCTATTCTGGCCGGACGCCCCGATTCAGGGCGTGTTCCTGAAATTGGCGGCGGGTATCGCATGACGGATCCGGTTGAGTTTCCGGACGTGGTCTGGTATCGCAACCCTAAGCTGTGGTCGTTTATTCGCCATTTCAGAGAGTCTGGTGCTGCTGAGACGAGTCGCGAAGATGTGCCGATCAAACAACAGCTTTTAGCAGCGGATAGTATCTCTGCTGCGGCGGATATCATTGCGGATGGCTTCCGTGCGACTCTGCGTCGGAAATTGCATCTGCCTGGTGATTCGGCGCTACCGGGAATTACGCTCCTGACTGAGCTAGGGGTGGACTCATTGGTTGCGGTCGATCTGCGGATTTGGTTTGTTAAGGAGTTGGGAGTAGATGTACCGGTTTTGCAGTTGCTTGGGGGTTCCTCGATTGATGCTTTGACAGAGAGTGCTGCTGGGAAACTGGATAATGATCTGGTTCCGCTGATCAAGACGGAGGTGTCGAATGGCGTCACTAACGGGACTGAGACGAATGGTGTGCATGTTAATGGGCATGCTCGATAGATCTCGGATGTAGTGTTGCTTCATAGATTGAAATTATGCAATTTTAAAATTATGATAAATCGAAGAAGCTTTACAAAAAAGTGACTAATGACCAGTTTCTTGATAATTAGAGAATCCAATTCAATATTCACACGACGTATTTATCCAACGCAGATGGTATATAGTCCGAATCTCTCATATCTCGCATAGGTAGCATAAAATAGATTGCTGTTGTTGGCAGGCGCATGGATTCCCTCTTACTGATCGTGCATAATGGCTGATGTGTCCATATCCTGTCCTAGTCTGAGTAAGATCGCGTATATATATGAGCGTTTCCCCCGACTTCTCTGATTCCCATAATTTCCCATCTTCTCTCCTCCCAGACTATTTCATCATGATTTCCCCAATCGCTCCGATCTCCCACGATGTGGTCACCTTCGCCCTAGATGCTCGAGCAGATTACGATGCCTCTGAGCCTCTCTTCATCGATGCCCAAGACCCAAGTCGATCCCTCAATGGAGTGCAATTTCCGTTTCTTGTCCGCACACTGATAGCTGGTCTCAAGGCTCATGGTGTAGGGAAAGGGGATTGTGTCGTTGTCCACACAGGAAATAATGTAATCCACTCTCATCTACCTGCTACATAAGAACCAACCTAACAGTGACTTCCATAGGTTCTATATACGGCCCTCTTCCTTGCCATCATCGGAACTGGAGGAATCTACATGGGCTCCAATCCTCACAGCTCTGTAGACGAGTTCAACCGTGTCGTTCATCTGACCAAACCTCGACTCATTCTTACCGAGGAAGAAGCATTATCTACTGTGCTCGCCGTCTCGGACAAGAACAACATCTCATCCAACAACATCTTCCTCATTAATGATGCAAGTATCGACGCAACTATCGCCTTTACCCACGGACAAGAGCAACCCTCCATCCCAACTAAAACCACCCAGTCCTCTCTCCCAACAATCCTCTCTTTTCTCTCCGATAAAACCGCTGATCCGGCGCTCATCGTGGACCCTGAAACTGCCAAAGCCACACCCGCAGCTCTCTACCTGACCAGCGGCACCACCGGCCTCCCCAAAGCCGCCGTGCTCACCCACGCAGCACTCATCGCCCGCCACCAGGCAATCCTCTATACTCCCCCCTACAAGGTCAGCCGACTCATCTGCCTACCCATTTTCCACGTCTTCAGCTCCCTCTGGACGCACCTCTTCCCCATTCGCTACGGTCACCCTCTCTATATTCTACGCGGGTTCCAAATGCCCGTCTTCCTGGACACCGTGAGACGGTATCAGATTAGCGAGACATATCTCGTTCCAGTGGTCGTGCACGCATTGAACCAGGCCCCTGCGTCACTGGACGTTGTCGCCTCGCTTTCATCGCTCAGATACATCGGGCTCTCTGGGGCCCCGATCGATCGCGACTCGATGACTGCGTTCCAAGACATCCTGCACCCCGATGCATGCGCCGGGCAGGTCTGGGGCATGACGGAGTGCGGCGTCGTTATTCAGAATCGGTATCCTGAGTCCGGAAGATCGGGACAGGGTGATCTTGGTAGTATTGGGCGTGTCTTGCCCGGGTATGAGGCTAAGTTGGTTTCTACCGCTGCTGTGGGTGATTCCGAGGAGAGGCCGACAAGAGAAGTTGTCGAGGGTCAGAATGTTTCTGGGCAATTGCATGTTCGGGGTCCAGGACTTTTCAATGAGTACTTGGGGCAGGAGGAGGCCGTGGTCGATGATCAGGGATGGTTTAGTACGGGCGATGTGGCGTATGTGAATGCCGAAGGGGATTATGTGATTGTGGGCAGGACGAAGGAGCTGATTAAAGTGAGAGGGTCAGTTATTTTCAATCACCAAGTCTGGATCTGTACGAAATTTATGCTAACATGAAACAGCTACCAAGTCTCGCCTGCCGAGATCGAAGCCGTGCTGCTCAAACATCCGCTGATCACGGACATCGCCGTCATGGGAATCACTCTTGCTGATGGTAGTACTGAGGCTCCTCGGGCTTATGTGGTGCGCACAGGAGGTACGAAAGGCAAATTGACGGCAGAGGAGGTCTTTGACTTTGTACAGCAGCGGCTGGCGAGCTACAAGGTGCTGGATGGGGGCGTTTACTTTGTGGAGCGAATTCCGCGAACCGTGAATGGAAAGCTGCAGAGGGGGAAATTGGCAAAGTTGAATGAGCAGAGAGAGATGTTGGCTGGACTGTTAGGGAAGTTGAAAGCGGCTAATTAGGTAGTATGCAGACTTTGGATTTATTGTCGGTTGTTTAGTGTTCGCTAATTGAATAGATGAAGGAATATATTTGACATACTATTTCTTTCAACATTGCTTTACGCGACTTGCTCTTAGCTATCTTTATGCTTTGTGCTTTTCTTGCTCGTCGAATATCTTTTCTGGTTTTCTCTGTCTTCCTGCTGCTTGCCTTTTTTTCTTTTTTTTGGGCCTTTTTCCCCTCCCATTTTGTACTTTGAATATTCGCGCCCCCCTTGGGCAAAGAGTAGTTTGAACTATTTGAACTATTCAAGACGGAATAACCAGATAGATCGTTAAAAAAAAAAAGAGGGGGGGGGGGGGGGGGGGGGGGGGGGTGGGATAATAAAAAGCCCCGTTATCCAGCCATCTCACGAATCTTCAATTCCATAATATTCATCGTCACAAGAACCCCATCTAAATACATGACCACAAAAATCCTAATCAAGTCAACTTGGGCTTCCTCGCCCGGAACACCAACACCGCCCCAACAACCCAAGCATCAACATCCTCAAACTCATTTCTCAGCTCCTTTTTAAACACCTCTGGATCGTCACCATAGTTCCCAAATATGCCTTTATGGTTGTACAGCCCCATCGTCAATTTCCCGAACCAATTATGCTGCACCTGGCCCAGAATCGTCGCCCCGAACAGCGTCCCCTCGGGCTTCAGGTGCTCCTTCAGATGCGCGAACACAGTCGCCTTCCTCGCACACGGCGGGGGCAAGCAATGGAGCAGATACATGAGCGAAATGGAGTCGTATTTCCGCGACGCGGTAGTGCCGGGTCCTGTGCCGTTGTCCGCTGGAATTTTGATGGGCTCGAACACGTCTGCTTGGAGAGTGGAGGTTTTCTCGGGACATCCGACGCGCGCGGCGGATCGCTCCAGACAGAGTATGTTCATGTCCACGAGAGTGAGCTGCTGGGGCCATGACTCGCCCTTCTCGAGCATGCGTTGGCGGTGATTGGCGGGGAAGTAGCCCGTTCCGACGCCGATGTCAAGATGTTGGGCGCCAACGTTGGCGGAGAAGAATTCATTAAGGAAGTCCGAGGGACAACGCCAGACGTAGTTGTCGTTCCACCAGTGCACAAGAAGGTCGTAGATGCGGAGGCCGATGCCGTCGTAGACGGTGTAGCCGCGTTCCATGATGGTTGTGGGGAGTGTGGAATTGGGTTGAAATTTGGTGAAATTGATCTTGAGAGATAGGGTCGTTTACGTGGGAAGGATATGCGAAAAATGTCATGATGAAATTAATCTTAAAGGCGGGAGAAGGGAGATATTTATGTTTTCATTGAAGGGTGTAAGCACTAGCACAGCCCCTGTCGATGACGCCCATTACAGGGATCAAGTATACTCTACTTCTAGGCCCAGCTAGGGCTCTTCAGGAAGATTAGTGATACGGTATAGTTTTTGTTGTCGTCAGATTGGATAAAGACCGGCTTCTAGTATAGCTGTGTTCCACAAGTCTAGGGCTATCAGGGAAATGCAGCCTGATTACTGATCTAGGTTTCGTTGATGATTATGTATCTTAGTCCTCTCACTAAAATAAAAAAAAAATATAAAAAAGGCATAAGTCCCTACGGTTAACTTCCTCCCATACGAAATAAAATATTTTCTCTCACTTATTTAGACATCTTTTTGTGTTGCGTTGGAATCCGGGGGAATTCGGTTGCTGGGAACAAAGCCTCGACGTGGGTGGGAAATAAAGAGTGGTCGGAGTCTGTCACTATGGTGCTCATTGGATCACATTGAGAAAGAGCTTTGATCATGATATTTGACATAGATCGTAGTTACATATAGGCTGGTTGCCCCTTAGGCTAACGCGCCAGCGCCGACATTTTCCGGCTTTTCATTAGACTGGTTAATTTGGGAAAAAGGCAAGAATTTCACATGATATATCGTATGCACCACGTGGATTAGATTATGTAACTGCAGAGCTGTTCTGGATAGAGCTAAGAAGCCGAAGGTCATATCTGCTCTATCGATCCCACTATTTCCCTCACAGCAGTCCTGCCACTACATGAATCCTCTCAATATGGCTCGGTTGTGTTAGTTTCAGTCCCATTACCTGCCCCTATACTTGGAATGAGGGTTCGGTGTTTGTTCTTTAAACTACACTGCCTCTTCCGGTTTTTGTTCGTGGTTCATGGTTTAATCACCTGTTAAACAAGGCATGCATACCAGTTGGCCCGTACCGTCCGGATCATCTACTTGGCTTGTTTGTTTTGTTTGCCCTGTTTGCCTCAGGCGATGGCCATACCAACACCGCACTTCATCCCTTGGCCATGACTGAGATCCTCCAACAATATCAGTAGTAATTCATCCATCACGGCAAAATCCAGTATAACAATGCCAAATCTTTCTCCCAGTCTTCTCGTCTTTATAGCAATAAATGATAGGCTTTTCTCGGTGCAAATCTATCTCATTTCTTAATTTCTTGTTCCGAATCCTAAGGGATCTCTCGTTCACCAAAAGCATTCTATCGCCTCTAACTTCGAACTAACACTATACCTATTCAGAATACTAATATGACCGCATTACAAGTGATATGTCGCTCTCAATTACGGTTCACCTCGCCCCTCCGCGTGCAACCCGTCCGAGTCATTCCTCCCGTGCCTGCTGTTCACCCAGATGAGATGGTCGATGAAGAGGCCTGCCCACATGATTCCCAACTTTCCTTTCCAGCAAAGCCAGGCATGACTCTTGCAAACTCCTACCAGTTACTGGCTAAGATTGGCTGGGGAGCACAGTCGACGGTCTGGCTTGCACAAGACATCACGAGGTAGCTTTTGAATCTTTGAATGCTGAGAAACCCACTAAGAATTTCTAGATATAGATGGCAGCCGCAGCAGCTGTTGGCAGTGAAGATTATCCATGCAAGTCCCACCCATGATATCTGCCACGAGCGTGAAATAGAGAGTGTTATTGCTACACAAAACAGATCCCATAAGGGTTATGGTCTGATCCGAACCTGTTCCAGGAGATTCAAAGTTTCTGGGCCAAAAGACCATGACCATGTATGCATGATATATGAACCGATGCGAGAACCTCTCTGGATTCTTCAGAAGCGATCTAAAGATCAAAACCTCCCTCTTTCCCTTGCAAAGGCCTATATTTTACTCCTTCTGGCCGCCCTGGACTATTTGCATACTGAGTGTAGGATTGTACATCGGAGACAGGTCAGGTCTGAGCGGAAGGCTCTACGGCATGCCGGTGACATTCGCATCTGGCATTGCGAATTCTTCAGTGAAAGGGACTTTCGATTGGCTAGAGGAGAACCACATAGTAAACCTCAGGAAGTTTGTCTACATCGGTCTCCATGATGTAGACGAGTCTAAGAAGGAGATAATTGCGAAAAGTAATATCAAGGGCTTCACGACTTCCATCGTGAAGCGGTAAGTCCTGAGGCTTTGTACGATATCATTTTTCATACCCACATGCTTGTAGGATCGGTACAGAGAAGGCCATGGACTTGGCGCTGGATCATGTTGGAAGGGAGCTCCGATCCACGCGTCTTATGATATCGATTCCCTAGACCCCAAGTGCGTGCCATCCACTGGATTCCCGGTATCATCGAGCGTTTCACTTGATGAAGGTGTTCATATTGCAAAGCATCTCCATGAATGTGGGAGTTTGGTTGCCTTGGACCTGGTTGAAATCAATCCAGAAATTGAAACCTCGCGGTTCGATGTCACTGGTAATGCAGGCTGTAGATTGACCAAGAGCACACTTGGAGCGACTGACTGACGATCAAGGAAAATGTGGAACAGGTGTCAGAGATCTATGAGCTTATAGTAAAGACTTTTTCATGATGATCACACCTGTCCCTGGACGGATCCATAGTATCGGGTACTCCACAATTGCCTACAAACACCGCGGGGACAAAAATAGTCTTTTCTGCAAGGTCTCCTGTATTTCTTAATCATCAGTCTTTGGTGAATTTACTTACCAGCGAAGTTCGTGAAGATTCACATTAAAAGGAGTGGCCTGTCGGCTCTTCGCAACCCGCAGAACGCGAGACGCCGACAACCAACTGCGATCCACTTCGCGGATTCTATCCGGGTGAAAATTTAGCCAAGAAAGAAAGTTTCTCGGGTTGATTGTTCTTGTTATCAGTTAACTTATATTTGTTTTTGTTCAAAAAAGCAGATGTACTCCGGAGTAAGAACTCAGCTTTTTGGCAAAGAATGGTTATGGTCTTGGAAGAGGCTTGTCAATTTGTCGGTTATTACTAGTAAAGCTGTTATAACGATACAGCAAGCCTACTAGCGCCCCACGGAGCGGCCTTAGTTGATAAATCAATCGAGAGTTCAAGCTGTGGAGTGTGGGTACTGTACATCCAGAGACCACTAAGGGCCAATTTAGGGGGTAGACATCGTATTCCTTTCGTATAGCTTGACTTATGCCAAGGCGGTCCAGAAGGACGACGGAAAACGGAGCCCTCGGGACGCGAACGACACTCAAGGTGGAGGGCTCCGTAGCGTCGCTCATCTGATATTTTAAATGCGGATACGTGGCGGAGTACGGCCCTTGCACTCGGTAGTGGTATTTGTGGTGTTCTCGATGCCAATCTAGGCTTATACAGAAGATCGATGTCTCAGAGTGTGTCTCCCACCAAGCATACGCGATGATCAGTGGTTTCTTAAGCCAAGAAGATAAGTGATCATTTCGCAGACTCGCAGCGCCATCCTGCTAGTCCTTGTCCATATCAGCTGTTCAGGACGCTACAATTCCAAGGGACCTAGGTTCGGGCTGATGTCAGCGCACATAAGCCGAAAGTCCCGATCTCAACATGTTCTGGATGTGTGCCCTAATAAATACATATTGTCTTCTGACCTTCGGGTTTTGGCTGTCAGGTACCGCCGGTGACTCCAGCAGAATTGACACTTGATTGACTGGCGGAAGAGGCATGGTCTTCTTTTGAAAATCTCAAAGAGAAAAGTCAGGAATCCTCTACCCAAATAAGCCACTATGAGTCACTAGGCCTCGATAGAATCGTATGCTGGACTCTCTAAGATACGTTTCACTTGCTCAGATACAGTTTGTGTATTACTTGTGGAGCTAGATAAATTCGATGACTCTATAGCTATCGGGTATGGTGGGTAGTGCTTGAATGGACAGGTTGAAACGAATAGTTACCGTTAAAATCAGGGGGGGAAAAAGGACACTACTTGCGCTCATTATAATGCCTCTTACGGGTTCAACAGAGCTTTGCCAACATGGGAAATAAATACCTTATTTAGTTCGCTCCGTGCGTAAATCATCGTCCGCCCAGCTGCAGCCGAGCCTTCGATGAATCAAATGTGTGTACCAACCATTATTCGGTGTCCGCGGGAGTTTGGGTCGTTCAGGAACGACTCACACTTTTATAGTTGTTCAGAGCCGAACATTAGGCAGTGACCTTTTGGATCTGCGGCTTTGAGCAAAGTGGGTTCAAGACCGTAGGCAGCACTATTTTACTGTAAAATCAACGTTCGAGGGATGGTGAGTGAGATAATTAAGGCTCAAATTGGATTTTTCGCCTGTTACTGAATCCACATGTTAATTTTAGCTTACTTCTCAAGCTTCCCCGTAATAAGCATAGTATGAACGCAGATATTCAGTCATTAGTAGCTCGGTCTGTCTCTGGCCACTCCAGGGTGCATGGCTATACAGAACTCCCATCTATCATCACGATTTGGCATCTTCCAAACTGCCTCCACCATGGCGCCGAAGATTATCTATCTTGAAAATGAAACCCTCTCATTCCTTCTCCCACGGGGGTCTCTGATCCTTTGTTCGTGCACTCTCGCCATAGTTTTATTGTCCAATGTGCTTGAGCGATGGCTGCTCGCAAAGCTGTATCAAATCATCTGGAAGGATCTTTCCCTTGGCCGGAATGAAAGACGTCGCCGCTCATTCACCTATTTCCACATTGGCGTGACTATCATGCTCATTCTTGTCCTTTTCGGGGCGTATCCGGTTTTCGACTTCCTCGTCGGCCACGCTCGGGTGTCGTCGACTCTACATCGAAATGTCACATACGGTGATTATATGTTCGTACTTTCCCACGTCTACAGCGCATACTACATCTTTGAAGTCTGTTTCCGGACGAGGTTTGCCAGTGCAATCAGCATCGCTCATCACATCGGCCTCTTGATCGTCATACAAACTACTTTGACCCTCTTTGGGGATTTGCGCAAGTATCCCGAAGCCATCTTAGAGTTCTACATGTGCATGGTGTGGGGTATGTCTACCTCTGTCGCGTTCCCGTCCTCTTTCAGCCGTGTATTATCGGCCAGTGTACGGCTGATCAAACGGACCACCCATCCTCAGGTACAAGATCCACGAGCTGACTCTAGCGTTTTGCGATAGGCTCTTTTGATGTGGTGGTTGAGCTTCCTCTATACACCTTTATGATCATCTGGCGCGTGAAGGCAAACGACCATCACTTGCTGTCTCGAATGGCCTACGCCTGTTGCGTCTGGGTCCTGCTCGGTGCGACTGTCGAGACTGCAGTTACCATCTGGCTCCTCAAAAGCTCATGGCATCGCTGGGGCACGTCATGTCGCATTCTTTTGCCCCTGGTGTTCTCCCTTTGGATCTGCACACAACTCTATGGGGCATTCAGAATTTTTGGCATGGCCCAGTCAAAAGCACGGCTGGCCAGTACACGCAGTGGAATCACTGAAGATTGTGACCGAGAGATTGCAGAAGCCACTGGCTATCGGAAGTCTCACTCCAGTGAAGCACACGACCAAGTCACACAGTTTCAAGAAAGCACCAACCCGGAAAGACAGCGGTTTCCCATGTTGTAGCCCTCTGGGTGAGGTGTCGTGTCCGAGTTAGATTACGACCGGAAAAAGATGTCAAAACATTTATTTCTAGCCATTCCATACGCTTTCATCTATTACAATGTAATCCGTGCGACGACTTTAGCAATTAACTCCAGTGATCCGAGAACCATTTGACGCCGTTTGCAGGTCTCGAGCAATAAGTGGCCCTTGCTATCTTCCCCATCACTTAGTCCCCATCCCAACCATGCAGCTACATATCACATCTATAGCTATAAAAAGCGCGAGGTTCAGAATAAAGATAGTCAGCAAGTGTTCTTTACAGGGATGTATTAGTCACGTAGTGAAAGGTTTCACAGAACGAGATGTCGGACTGTCGGACCCCTGAGCTAGTCCATGACAACTAGATTTCAGCTGGGACATGAGCTTGGAGCAACCAATGCGTGCATAATGCTTGAGCCAGTCGCCATTTCGGCAACAGACAAGGGAGCGTGGGCTGGCATGGGTTTGGTGGCTCGCCAGCAAATCTCAATAACGCATACGGCAGATAGTTAATGTGGGCCTCGCAGGCAGCAACGTAATCTTGAACTCATAACATTTCTATCTTGCTGAAACGTGGCAAGTAATCCCTGAAATGTCCGGACTATTGCCAACAGGATGCGGCGTCCGCAGAGCCCGAGACGCGGAGTGGCGAACGGAATCACGGACCGCAGTCACGGCTCCACAGGTGCGGTCATTGATCGCCACCTTATTGATCACCCTCTTTCCAGAGGAATTCAATGAGACAAATGTTCTGAATTTTGACAGAATGTAGCACCATAAAATTACGCCACGTTGGTTACAGGATGCTTCAAATTAATAACCACTAGCAACAATAGAGAAATGCAAACATCACGTACATCTGCAACCCCTTTTCGACGGAACCCGAGAGATCCGGAATTCCGTCCTCAAGTTTTGAGCAGATCTCCCGATTAATTTTAAAAATCTTCTTCCATTCTATTGGGTATAAATCCGGGAGATAAACAAGTACCAAGTGTACCATGTTGGAGAATAAGTAAGCTGCCCTTGCGCTATCTTGTCCAAGCCATTTCCGGCATGCTAATTAATTATCCGAGATAGGTTTATTGGCTTGACCCTAGCTATACTGGCGTCCACTGCAATAGGTAATCTAAGGCCTGTATGCCTGTCTTTCAGCTTGTGGATAAACTGACTGCATGTCTTGGTAGGTTCCAGCTATGTGATTACGAAAATTGTAAGATCCTAAGCTCCTAGTGAAATTTGAGCCTACCCACTGGATCTTACATGTAAAACCAGGGCTTGCGATAAGCGACAGACAAGCATGGCTATAATGGAAACGGGTTGCAATATACTCGGGTTCCCCTGCGGTGGATCGGAGCTACAATGCGTATGGCGACGCCGAATCTTCATTGGCATCTCCGGTCCTGACACCTCCAAGTTGTAGTAGGAGAGCTACTGAACACCACTGCGTATGCTTTTGCACCGGCAGTTCTCGTCACGCCGCTTGGGGCGTTAAGCGTATTCATTAGGTAAAATCTTTCTGCTCTCGGACAGCGTGACATTGTTCGATAGGGAAGTACTAATCAATAATGAAATCAGCGCACTTCTGGGTTCATATTTCTTGAGCGAAAAGGTTGGTCTGCTGGGACGGCTGGCTTGCGTAACGTGCCTTCTCGGTACGGTTTTACTTGCGCTTCATGCTTCCGCGGACAAGGAACTCAACACCATCGAGGAGATACTACATCTTGCTCTTCGACCTAGTACGCAACCCATAGCATGAAAAAGGAACTGACTCTAACGTTCCTTCAAGGCTTCCTCGTATACTGCACCTGTATCGGTGCCCTCTCCCTCTACCTAATATACCGGGTAGCGCCGCTGACAGGCAAGACAAATCCATTGATATACATCACTATCTGCTCAGGAATGGGCTCGCTCTCAGTCATGTGTGTCAAAGCCGTCAGCATCTCCGTGAGGCTGACAGTTGCCGGGCACAATCAATTCACCCATGCCTCGACCTATCTTTTCACCATCGCCCTAGTTGCAACAACCCTGGTGCAGACAAACTACCTAAACAAAGCGATGAACTCATTCGGCGCCTCTGTGTAAGTTAAGAAGGGAAATCTTGATTCCACACACCTTGAACCCCCGAGCTGATAGCTTGCATTCAGCGTCAATGCCATGTTTTATGTAGGGTTCACGATCTGTACCTTCGCGGCGTCGGCGATTTTTTATCAGGGGTTGAACCTTTCTGGGGCTACTGAGACGGGGATCTTGCTTTGTGGTATACTCGTGAATATTACCGGAGTCGGCCTATTGGTTTATCCCAAGGTAGCCAGACCAGAATACTGTCCCGATTCCGAGTATGATGACCCGGGTGTCTCTATTGAGCTGGAGACGATTTGTCGGGGCCAGGATATCCAGGGACGGACTGAGGATTACTGACAACTTGTGCCAGGAAAGGAATCCAACCGTAGAGCAATGAAGTTGGTCTAGTAATGTTATTATGGACGAGCTGGGAGGGAAAGGCCATAAAAGTTCGCCTACCTATGTTAGTAGTTATTGGGAAGTGTCGTGGACAAAATATGATATTTCTGACGGCCTGAGATCAACGAAGACTGAATTTCGTATGATATTATACAGCTCACTATTTCGCGCTCCCGGTATCCTGACCAATATGAAATTACCCATGGTGTGGAAACCAAAAGGTTTAACCGTGAAATATAGTAAATGTAATATGTAATAAATCTAGATGGATCCAGCTCAAGGAACGAGAATTTTATGGCCCATTTGGGGTAGGATCCAAGAAGAAAAGAATGGAAAAGCCAACGCGATTTATGCAGCGGAATCAAACCTTTATGTGGCAAGATTCTGCGACTCACACATCTTCTTATAGATGTTGCCCCTTGCCAGCAGCTGTTCGTGCGTTCCCAGTTCCACAATCCGTCCACCGTCGAACACACAGATAATATCAGCATGACGAATAGTCGACAGCCGATGGGCCACTGCAATAGTGATTCGATCACCTTCCGCAGCCGCCTCATTAAGCGCCTTCTGAACAATCCGCTCAGACTGCGTATCCAGCGCACTGGTGGCCTCATCCAGCAACAAGAGGCGCGGGTTCCGGAGCAGCGCCCGCGCAATCGCAATACGCTGTCTTTGACCACCCGATAGTTGTGTTCCATTATGTCCACATGGCGTGCTCAGGCCGCTCGGCAGCGAACTTATAAAATCCCATGCGTTGGCGGCCCGACAGGCAGATTCGATCTCGGCCTCGGAGACGGGCCCCGAGCCCTCGCTTGCCTTTCCCATGGAGATGTTCTCGCGGATCGTTCCGGGATAAAGGGTGGGCTCTTGCTGAACGAGTGAAACATCGTTGCGAAAGAGCCAGGGGTTCATCTCATCGAGTGCTTTGCCATCGACCTTCAGGTGGCCGGTGACTGGGTCGTAGAAACGCTCGAGGATGCCAATCATGGTGCTCTTTCCACAGCCAGAGGCGCCAACGAAGGCAACGAATTGTCCCTTTTCGATCTGCTCTTTTGTTAGCTGTCTGCACTTCTACTGCAAAGCGGAGATATAGGAAGAGAGTGCACCCACGTGCAGGTCGATGCCACGCAGAATGCGGGCATGGGGTCTCAAAGGATACGCAAACTGCAGCCTTTCCAGCGCGAGCGATGAGAAGTCTTTCGGGCCAACGTCGTGATTTTCCGCCGTCTCTCGGATGGTGGGCTGCAGCTCCTCGAGCCAGAATATGTAGTTGGCAGCGCTGGTGGCCTTGGTCATACTGCTAGAAAACCCGAAGAGCACTGAGGCCTGCTGGCCAGAAAAGAAGACTCCGAGGAATGCAACAAAGAAATTGACCATACCCAGATCGCCAAAGGAGACCAAGCGGCACCCATACCTATGACATGGCCATGTTAGCGAAGGTATCAAGTGGGAAAGAAAAGCAGGGCTAGGAACGAACCAAAATCCCAGTGCAAGGACCGAATATTCAACACTCTGAGTAAATGCAAACGGGGCCATGATTATCAGCAACGGTAGGGTGGACGACGCAATCGCTTCGTCTAGCTCATGCGTGTATCTGTCCAGCACTATCTGCTCGATCGCTAAAGAGGAGACTGTTCGAATGGAGTTGACCGCCTCTGACGCAATGGACGCACTGGCTGTGAAATGTTTGGAAATCTGATGGTCTAATGCGCCTTCCATCCTGATCCGAGCAAAGCCCGATGCAAGCATGGGAGGGAGACCCGCGAAACGACAACGACGCCTAGCCTCCAGCCATATACCAGAGATAGAATAGAGCAAGCAAGTACGCTGATCGTGGCAATTACCATGAGAGCAATAGTGAAGCCCATAAGTTCAAAGACTGCTTGCGGGTAAGAGTCTGCGCGACTGGTGAGAGCGCCGGTCGTGTTCTCTGGACGATCGAAAAACTGCAAATCCTGCTTCAACATATCATTGACAATTTGTCGGCGGTACTTATGATTGATCGTCTTCAGATTGGTTAGAAATACGAGCAAAGCGAGGACAGAAGGAAAGAGCCCGTACCTGAGCAACTATATTTGAGGACCATCCGACAACAAAATAAACGACAAAAGAGCCGAGTCCCAAAACAAAAAACATGAGGGCAAAGAAACTTCCTTTCTCCTGCATCTTTGCTCCGGTAAACCTGAATACTTCGATGAACCTGGACATTAAAATGGCTTGTCCAGGGTATGAAGCCGCTGCAATACTGTTAGCTTGTCTTGTATGATGCGTCCTCCGGAAATGTCGCCAGGCTTACCTGCGGCCAAACATCCCAGCATTAAAACAAGATAAGTCCATTTGATCTCTGGTGTAGACCTGATGATTCGAAGTACTGTATGGATCAATCCCAGAGGCTTCCAGTTGTCGAAGTTATCGCGGCCCAACTGTTGATCGAGGCGTTCCTTTGTGGATATAGAATACTGGGTGGCAGACTTTCTCAAGGCCGCAGGAGTTTCCTCGGGAGTTTCCCCCGAGCTATCTGAAACTTCATCGTCCGCATTCTGCTCTGCGGTCGCGGATAGATCCTGTGCTTTCACTAGTCGCGAATAAGCACCGTTGGAGTTCAAGAGGCTGCTATGTGTCCCTTGCTCGAGGATGCGACCTCGCTCCATCACCACAATATTATCAGCGTTGCGAATCGTCGCCAGCTTATGAGCAATTGTAATGGTAGTGCGGCCGTGGGAGGCATTGTCCAAAGCCTCTTGCACAACCTCCTCCGCGTGAGGGTCTAACGCACTCGTCGCCTCATCTAGGAGGAGGATTCGGGGCTCCGAGACAACACTTCGCGCGATGGCAACCCGTTGCTTCTGACCACCAGACAGCAAGCCTCCACGTTCTCCAATTACCGTGTCATAGCCATTCGGGAGGCCGGTGATGAACTCGTGAGCGAACGCAATTTTGGCAGCATCCTGCACCCGGGCCAGCTTATCCTCCCGTGAATCGTGTTCCCAGCGTGTGCCCACAAGGCCATTGACGATATTGTCGTAGACAGTTCCTGCAAACAGTACTGGTTCCTGTTGAACAAGTCGGACCTGCTGCCTGAGCCATTGGAGATTTAAATTGTGGATTGGATTTCCGTCTAACGTCACCGTGCCCGAGACAGGGTTGTACCAGCGCTCGAGCAGGCCGATGATGGTACTTTTCCCCGAGCCACTAGCTCCTACTAGAGCTGTCACCTTGCCAGCAGGAATGTGGAGAGAGAAGTCGTTCAACACGATAACCCCGGGCCGAGTGGGATAGCTGAATGAGACGTTCTTGAAGTCAACATTGCCGGTCACCTGGGACGGTTTGTCCCCCGATTCATCAAACGGGTTAATAAGCGATTCACGGTCGATGAGTCGGAAAAGTTCTGAGGCGGAAGCGGCGGCACGGGTGAAGTCAATGAGATAAGGAGCGATGGCGGTCAAACTGGAGGCGGCGACAATCACCGACATAAGAACACTGTGGTGGGGATATTGTCAGTCTAGTCTAACTAGGAACAGGGGGCAGAAGGGTTCACGAACATGAAGACATCACCAGGCTCGTCCACCTCTTTTCGAGCTAACATCTTGATACCTTGCCAGAAGCAGAGGCCAAATCCTGCATAAACTATACAGTATTCTGAGGAGAACAGAAGCCCAAAGAGCGGACTCTTCTTGTTGCCCAGTCTTCGTGTCTCTTGCAAGAATTTATCAAAATCTTCAACCAGTCGAGTCCGAAGGCCAAAGGCATGGATGGTTCGCGCACTCGACAAGATACTCTCCGCAAAGCTACCAGCCTGAGCTTGAAACTTCAGGACACCGGTCTCTATGGAGGCTTCAATTGTAGATGCGATGCCCATCACGAGCAGCATCGCTGGGGCGATGCAGCAAGATATGAGGGTCAACTTCCATTGAGTGACAAATGCCAGAACAAAAGCCGAGATGAAAGCGGCCAGACCCTGAACTACCAGCCCCAACTTTTCCGAAATCCCTGCCTGAATCAGGCGGCCGTTCGATATCGCCTGCATGGCGATAGATCCGGCTGTCCCTCCATCAAAATGTCCGACCTCTTGACTAAGGCCGGCCCTTAAGTATACGTGACGGATGTTCCGACTGACTCGATACGCGGCGAAGGTGAAGAGTGTGCTGTATGCGTAGGTGAGGAAAAATCGCCCGATACCGATTATGAAGAACGCAAGACTATTCCAGAATGAGCTAGAGTGACACACCAAGTGGGGGCCGTGGAGCTAATGCTCAACATACCCAAGAGTACCGGCGCGACTGCGAAAGGCCTCGGGTGATGAAGCCCCGGTGACATAGTTAACGATGAGGGTGATGAACTGGCCGAAGACCAGGTTCACCATCGCTATACCAACACCAGAGCCTAGTGCACAGGCCATACCAATTAGCTGCAACGCGTGTTCCTTGGTGGACCCATAATGGAAGATCCTCTGCCTTCTGTTAGACGCCCAACATGCATGCCAAAGAGAAAGCACGGACATACCAGATAGGAACGAAACGCATTTGATTCTTCTTTAGGACTCTCTTCAACTGGCCTTTTTTCTGACTCGGCACTCATCGTGTAGTGCTTTTTTGACGACGTTTAGAAGACTGGATGTGAAAGTAGATATATGTACTGCTGGCCTGGACCAAGCAGGGGAAAGGCGGTGGAACTTTGCAGGACGGTGAGCCGACAGTCAGGTATGTGACATTTAACTGTTAGGCCCGAATTTAGATACCTCACACTCATCTTGCCCTGGACACTCCATTCTTTTATTCCTCTCCCTCTCCTTATCGATCGAGGTGGTCAACGGAGGTGCGGAGGCTGCGGAATGCGAAGGTTAGGGCTGATGATGTCTTGGCGGTCTTGGCAGTCTTGGCGGCGGAAGACGGATGCCGCGGAGCCCGCATGGCGGTGGTTACATGTTCTTTTCCCTCTCCTTTCCTCCACGTTCTCTTCGATCCTTCTTATCCAGTTGGAAGTTCGGAAAGGAAATCTCCTGGCCTCCGTGTCTGCCATGTCTGAGAATAATATTGCTCCAGCACCGGCACCGACCCCACTGTCCTCGGCGCGCGCGGTATGGCTCCGCCTCAGCCCCCCCCCTAGTTACACTCTAGGCTTACATTCCTCCAGTGTGATCTCTGTCGCAGGCGCAAGGTACGGGATGGCCTAGATAGAGCGAGTCCTGTCGTGCAAATGCTAATGACGATAGATCCGTTGTGAGAGAGTATTTCCATGCTCGAACTGTCAGCGTATGAACGTCGAATGCAAGTCATCGAGGCGCACTACAAGGCAAAAGCAGAAGCGCACGTTAATATCCGCTGAATAGTAAGCTTAATAAAACTCTTGGTCGTGAGCTTTATACTTATTAGCGTATGTCTGGTTAGCGAGGCCAAGATTGATCACATCGATAAAAGTCTCGCCCAACTTTCTCGTCTCGTGGAGCAGCTACACACAAGCGGCTTAAGTCTCCCTCAATCGTCGGAGCCTGCCAGATCCGCTCAGGCGTCTGTCAGCTCTACAGTCTTCCCTGGCTGGTCCCGCAGAGCTGCGGTACCATTGATCGATGGGAACATCAGGTCGTCAAACGACAGGACTGTCACACGGCCAAAGACTGAAAATGAAGCGTTGGTTGAGGGGAGGTCGTCTTTGACAGCGCATTCTGAATTTGCCATTGGTGTCTTGCAAAATATGGTTGGATGCCATAGAGGTATTGCCGATAATTCTGAGATCACTGGTCTGCTTGACTCGCTGCGCGACATGGTCGACGCCTTCAATCGCCAACGTCTATCTCCAAAGATTCTGTTTCCTCTGGCCAATTCAGTATCCCCCGAAGATGGTGACACTTATCCAATGCCCCCACTAGAGTCTGTCTTTGCAATGATTTACAATGCACAAGGTACGCTTTCCCAGTCCTCGCCTTGCGTTGCTAAAGGAAACAAAAGCGCTTGCTTCTTCTCCTTCATAAAATCACGGATGTCCATGTCTATTGACTGCCCCTTGCCTACCTTTCGATGCGATAGCTTTCTTGATATCAGTGCAGTGCAATAGATTGATACTAACTGCTTCTAATAGCGGAGGATAGCCTTTTTTACGGCTGTCTTTCATATTTTCTCGGCCCGCGCACTCTGTCGGATTTATGCTTGAAAGTATATTTCTCTAAAGTCTACTCCGATGCTGAGTTCATCATCCTCAACGCATCCATGCTCTGTGGGGTTATCCCATTCCAATAGTCATAGATCTCTAGCTAAACCCATTTCCCTAGTTGTGTCTGGCGACATCCACGGCCCATGCAATGATGATGAACAGTTTCAGATGAAGTGTCGGGTAAATCTTGAAACTATGCTTTCCGGCCTCTCCTTGTACATCAAAGCCAGCTATGACATGATCCTCGCGCTCGTTTTAGGGGTATGATACCATTTGCTTCACCTTTGAGCCGACTTCATGCTAAATCATCGGCCCAGGCCATGTACGCGATTGATATCTCGAGTCCATCATTAGCCTGGACATTGGTGGGCGCAGCGTCGCAGGCCTCACATTATCTCGGCTTGCACACTCGCGACGGGTGTATGGAGGTGTCATCACCCACTCCGAGTCAAAGGGTGTTGCTCTTCTGGGCGGTTTACTTTTTGGAAAAGTCCCTTTGTCTCCGGCTCGGTCGTTCGTCTACGATCTCAGATTGTGATATTACGGCCCCTAGGCCTGCTCATCTACCTGAGACTCATTCCCATAGTCTTGTATACTTTAATCAGCAGGTCAGGTTTGCCAGTCTAGCAGGGAGTGTCTATGAGCAGCTCTACTCGGGAGATGCGCTGCAGCTTCCCGCGGAGGCACGAACAAATCGGGCTCGGGAGCTGGCAGAACAGCTTGACAGACATGCTACGGAGGCATGCGAGGCATATGTAATCCCTGCCTTTTCTTATTTATTATCTCTTCTGAGAGCTGAATGACCTGATAAGCTAATATACTAGTTTTTATCGCAGCAACATTGGGATCGATCGACCACGGACAGCCACTCCAAAGAACATCTGCGATTTATTTCTGCGTCCGACGACATCACGCGCCTTACAATGCTCACTCTCGTGCACCGAGCCATGCCTGTGGGGCGGGACAGTGTAACGACTTTTAATAGAGATTGTGTCTCGTCCGCCAGAGCAGCTCTAGAGAGGCATCGCGCGTTCATCACGGAGCTAGGAATCGCGGGCTCACCACATGTATCCACCTATATTAACTGGTAGTTGCTCGCAGCGCCACGGCGCAACCCCGTAAATCCATCTGCATCACCTGCTAACTTTCTGCTCCCAGGACGATCCTTTTTACTCCCTTCATCCCTTTTCTCGTCCTCTTTTGCCACGTCATCGAGACCGGTGACCTGGACGATCTGAATCGAATGCAAATATTTGTTACATCTATGGAAGGGAGCTGCCAAGAATCCGGCGCCATTGCCAAGCATCATCGGCTGTTCCAGGTCTTTTATCGTGTGGCGGAGCGCTACACCGAACTAATGTGCTCGCCCACCCTTATGCAGGAGGACCGGAGAAATCTCAAGAGCCAGGTTGACTTACACCTCAGTGCGCTTGGGCTGCAGCCCAATGGGTCATACATGGTTGGCCAACCCACAGCAGAGGCGGGTCCGATGGCGTCCTCCGCTACTGTTGACATGGGCCCTTCGGATCAAGATTGGCCGCAACAGGGATTTTTACTGGGAAGCTGGTTCTCGTTTAACCAGCAGATGATGGATCTAATGGATCAGAACGACTTTGCGCTTTAGATAGGGTGAGCCCTGCGCTTATTGGGGACAAACTACTCGAATATTCGTGCGACGTAAAGCACGCTATATCTGATTGCTTCGAGGTCGAGAGCGAGTTCCGTGCTCGATTTCTGAAACTCTAGAACGTACCAATGAGCAAATAATATTCTACCATTTTTAATCATGGTCGCAATCTCTATTACACAGTGACGCTAATTCAGTCCACGGTATAGCATCTATCTTCTGGTGGAGATAAACGACGTATTTCTAGCGAATGCACCTGTCTGACGGAAGACGGGGCTGTCGGGGCGCGTCTACTGAGTTATTAACCCGGCGGAGGGCGGAAGTCTTCACCCTCCGCAACGCCGAGAGAGTAACCTACCATAAGTATGTGGGTCATGATCGGCATAGATGGCTTGTATAAACGGGTTAATATGTCTTCAGGCCCAGGACCTCTTGATTTGCCCACAATGCATTATCCACATTCTTTGCCCGTCATTCGTGCCAGAGACATGTTCCATGTTTGCAGGCCTAGTCATAAATATCCCAGGGGCTACTGTCTTCTAGTGGCTTCTCATCCTTGCGTTCTCGCACTGGTAAGAGGGTATATCTCCCCTAAAAGCTAATAATCCTGGAAACTCCTCAGATTAAATGTTGAAAAAAATAACGATGTGAAAAATATGAAAGTGAAGCCTTATCAGCAATGTATTTAAATATTAAATATGAATTACTAAAACAAAAGACCGCAGAAGACTACAGGCTCCATAGAGATATATTAACCATATAATAAATATATAATTGAGCTACATCGCGAAGAATTGAAGACAAGAGGAATTAAGAATGTTGTTATGTATAAAGTCCTGATTAGTGATTTAATCAGGGGGCAGTTGAGTGGAGAAAACATTGTTATCATCTAGTGTTACGGCCTAGAAATATGGCTTTGTTAAACCCTCTATGAAGGTATGTTAACTAGATACATCTGCGGTATTCTGCAGCTCGCTAAACCTGCACCGAAATCAATCTTTCGCTCAGTAGATCGTGGGTTGTTTTCGTCATATATGACAGGCTCATTTCTGTCCAACCATTGTTGCCATACATCAGGATGCTCGACCGGTGGGACCATCCCGTTGACTCTCCAGTTATCTCGAGGATGCTCGTAGATATTGTATTCCCATTTAATATCTTTTGGTTCAAGGATAGGTCGAACAATTTTGTTGACTCCACCGATACCTACAACACCACTATCCTCCACGTCCCTAGCATTAAGCTGGTGGTAGCAGGGGATATTGTGTACGGAGATGTGCATCAGTTCTTTGGAGAAGCCAACACAACCGAGAAGAGACAGGAATGGCTTCGTACGCTGGATAAAATTGAATCCCTTCAGCCGCATACCGTCATCGCAGATCATAAACGGGCGGGTACAGTCGATGGGCTGTTCAACTTGGACAAGACCCGGCAGTATATTTTGGATTTTGAAAAGGCAGTTGAGTCGTCATCGGGATGGGAAGAGCTTTGGACAAAGGTGCAAATGCAGTACCACGCGATTATCAGAGGGGCACTAGCGGCTTTCCCGGAAAGCAAGCCTGCCTAGTCTGAAAGAATGGATGTATATATTGAGATAGTTGATGGCATGATAAAGCCAAAAATTATGAGTAACTCATTCAAGCCATGGAGAGGCTTCATTTGGGGTCTCGATCGGCGTCCAAGTACAAACTCCAATGATTATCCGCGGCCCATTAGGTAAAGAGGCCGATGGTTTGGCTTTCAATATGTCTCAGATGAATGTAAGAAGTATCACATAGGCATAAAGTCAAATTGATAGCTGATTCTTATTGGTCCATCGCGAGTATTTACGCAGTACATCCGTGGCCTTACATAGAAATAGAAGTCCTCTTCATAAATAAGTCTCCAGATTGGAGGCTGGCTATTGTCGACAAAGAAATGTCTTGATATTGAGAGATAGCAACGATAATCTCGCCCGTCTCGATGCCGTATAGGCATACTCGGCCCTATCCAGGTGCAGTTAGATGAACTAGATCTCGGAAATTATCGCAAATATTCTTGAAATGCTAAAGGTTCACTTCATTCCATCTAATCAACCTTGAATGGGAAAGGTTATCATAGATTCTCAACGCCCGAAAGGTCGCTTCTGGGGAACGGTCGTTCCAGCAGGACTTGCAACAAACCGGTCAACGAGACTTTCCAGCGCGGGGGAAAGATCCAGCGGAACTTTAAGGTTCGGATGATCCATAATGGCATTGTACTGATCTCTCAGAATGTCTTTGAGGGGAGCTTTTGTGTCCAGCCGATCCAATGTATAGCGCGCGTCCCTCGCTCGCTTGATCCATCCGACGTAGTCCCAAATAAGTTTAGCCTGAGTTTTTTCGACACGCAAAATACAGGGTGAGCAACCTCTGATAGTACTTGTTGCGAAAAATGTCTTGTCAAGTTGCCTATCAATGTGTTTCCTATCCGCCTCTTTCAGAGGGAATTCCTTAGTTGTGGCATGCGGGTCCAGAATGAAGCGGCGAACTGAATCACAGTGAAAACACTTGCAACTTATGGTGGTTCGGATCTGCCAGCCAACTGGTGGGGGAGGTGCATTTCTGACATGGTTGTCCACGTATGATCCTAGTAGAATGCTGATGAAGCGCTGTTCCCCCGCAGTGAAAAGGCGTTTGCTGGTTGCAACATGATTGGAAAGTCCCAGAGCAACAGGAATCAGAAATCTTTGGAAGCTATTATCCATTCTGTTTTCACAAGCCTTTGCAACATGGTCCACAAGGAAATCCATTACTGCCGTGGTATCGGTCTTCGTCGTATCAGCTAACCTGACCAACTTTAATACCGTGTCCGGAGGTAGAGAAGGCGCCCTCATGTGGGGTCCATAAGTAAATGGATACATTGATCCCATAGGGTGTGAGAATGCCGTGTCATCCTCAACCTTCAAAGACCGAATGACAACTAGGAATGCCTGGTGGAGAGCTGCATCAGCCTCGGTCTTGTCCAAGGCTCCTGTGTGTGAGTAATCATACACTGAACCAATGAATGACAGTACAAATTCGGGGTCTTTCGTCTTGATTTTCAAGAAGGCGACGGCTCTGAAACAGTTAGATATATGTTCTTAGCCCCAAGGAAGGGTAGCACTCACCTTGAAAGAAAACCACGTACAGGTTAATCATTCAACGCTTTTGCTAAATCAGACCCCTTGCATCCCGACACGCTGGTTTCCGTGAGTAGGATCCTATCAAACGTCCTGTCCTGCCACTCTATTACTTCGGGTGATGGATTCTGACCACGTGCTGCGCAAAGCAAACGGTACTGTTCGATGAATCTGTAAAGTAGATTCATTCGTTTAAATAGCGCTCTTATCCCAATACTAGGATGGTCTTTTAGAGAAAATGCCATATCCATGCTGCCAGAAGAAGTCAGTCAACAGCAACGACAGCATAGTGAGAATTAGGTTAACTTACGACAACTGAACGGACCGGATACCGTGTCGGATAACAATGTCGGCAAGTTGGGTAATTTGATAATCCGCCAATATGCCTTGGTTGACCATGCTCTGTCCATATAGTGCCGGGTCATCAATTTCAAGGGCAATTTGCATTATGTTGGTCGCATGTGACGTTGGTCTCAAATCAAGAAGCACTCTACAGGTTTGCAAAAGCCTTTCCCTCGCTCGCTGATCATTTGGTTGTTCTTTGAAGCCACAATGGGTGTCTTGGAGAATCTGAGCAGCGTCACCCTGTCCAGCTTTCAGCCGCTCCAGGGTATACTGAAAAACAAATCCCTTTGGTATAATCAATGCACCCTATAATCTTTGTGAGATATGTGATAGAGGAGGAAAACCAAGGGTTTTTAGAGTCCTTATGGAGAATCTAGGAACTTACAGTTTGTTTGTAAAAGTGCGTTGCTGGAGCGCCCTCATTGCCTGTATAGCCTTCATAATCCTCTTCATCAGGATCACGTTCAAAGATATTATCTTGGACGATCATTTCATCAAGGAATGGCAATCTTTCACCGACAACATCGCCTCTGGCGTTCACCACATACGAGAGTTCAAGAGTAGTTTCAATTACATCCTGAATTTCGTGAAAGCCATCACTTCGAGGGCTTTCGTAGCCATAACAATCAGTCTCGCCCATATCCGATTTCTCAATGTTGGCCAAGTAGAGAACACAATCAGCCTTCTGACATGCACCATGTAGCTCTGAAAGGCGAACTTGGTCGGCACCTTTCAGTCGAGCAAAGCTGAGCTCTGCCTCGGTATACTGATGCTCAAGTCCATAAACAAGCGCCGGTGGGCAGGAATGATTGAAGTCCGCACTTTGCCAACCATTTGAACATTCACCTGGCTTTTCGGCATCACAGGCCCACGACGCCAGTAAGCGAGTCAGTTCTCCCGCTCCGTTGCGAGCCGCCAAGAGCGCAGCTGACGGGCGATGAATCAAGTTGTAAACCAGGACAATGCGGTATCCAGAAGTAACAGGTTTTACCTCATGTGTGACATCAGCATACCACGCAGCCCACGAGAATCCAAACTTGGAGTTGGGCGCCGATTCAAATGATAGACGCTCCTTCCTATGAGAGGCAATTACCTCTCCTCCTTCGTGTTCCGAGGGAAGAGACAAAATGAGCGTACCGAACATACCATCAGCCTTCTCTGAGTCCTGATGTGGCAAGAAAAATGCCCCTTCCTCGTATATAAGAACTTTATACAGCTCTGCCTTGACCTCCTGGGGGTTTGCATTGAGACCAAGACCGGCAAGAGCCCTGTCGACAGCAGCTCTGACCTCGTACTTCCATGCAGGATTTTGAAAGGAAACCTCCTTTGCGTCAAGTTCCCAACTTTTTCGCACTGATTCATTCACCAGAGTTTCATTTCCTTTTCCATAAGGACTCATATGACAAGATTGAATCATAGCCCTTGCGTCCTCGGCAGATATAGGAAGCCGGATGGTGCCAACATTCGAGATGTGAAGGCCGGGAATGACTCCTGCATCGTGCTTGCCACTAGTCATAAAATTCCCCGACGTCTGAACATCTTCCAGTACGCGCAGTAATCTCTCTCTGACGGATACCTCCTCATCCCTGGGAAGATAGGCTGCTTGAGCCACTGCAGTTGAATACTGTAGAATTGTTTCTTTTTTAAAACGACGCGGGAGCCTGTTCCATTCTTCCACAATGTCCTCCAGGCAGTGAGGGACGACCACCGGGTCAGGACGGCCTTTTCCGTGAAAAGTACAACTTGCCTGGCTATCGGCATTGCCATCAGTCGCGACCAACCAAAAAATGCCCTGAATTTGAGATTCTCGCGGGTTTATGCAGATGCGCCCCTTCGTGCGAGTCTCATCAAACAGAGGCTCATCCGAAATCGAGTTGCGGGTACTCTGCCAGACAAATTGTACTATCTGAGTTTCTGCGAACTCAAAATCCAATACGTCCACACCTGATACAGTCACAAACAAACCCTTGCAATTCCCCAGGTCAAAGATGCCCCAGATACGATTGAAGTCCCACAGAAGCTTAACCTGATACGTATATCCTTGATCGGGGTAGTCGTCTAGCTGAACGTCATAAATATTCTGGACACGACGTACACAATCAAGCAGGTTTCGAGGGAGATCGACGCTATTGAGATAGTCATTTTCGTCGCGATTCTTGATCGATCGATCGATCAAGTCTCGAGGTAGATCCTCCATTGAGTCGCTGTGGCCTGTAAGTGTCAACTATTTCCTTGTCTCCGAGAGTACTTTGCTCATTCTGTACCTGTCCGCTGGAATTCACCTTTTCGCGGTCCCTAGGATTATCCTGGTGTTTCTTGTTTCCCACACCTTTCTGCTCACTGGTGCAGAAAAGAGGCAGAAAACCCAGCTATTTCACACGCTAACTTATAATTGCTACGCGTTAAAAATGTGATACATCTACTAATTACAGGTCAGTCAACCAATTTTCTAGCTCAGTATGACAGCGACATACTCCGTACTAAAGATATCACAGCCAGTACTGGACGAGAAAAAAATATCAGTTTCGGAGAACTTGTAGTGGGTGCAGAATAGTCATGGTGTGATTGTTTAGGAGTGGGCTGTTTGATGCAACTCCCAGAAAAAAAAGGAGAAGCATCCCAAGGCGGTCAGTGATTCTGCTGTCTCCCTTTCACCGCCTTTTACAAGCACGCGTCGCGTGATCTGGTCGCCTGATAGTCAAGGCAGAAAGGGGACCCTCGTGCCATTCAGAGCTGTGTTGGTCTTGCTAGCAATCAATGGTGTTAGAATGATTTTCAGGCGATCCGACACTCCATTGGACGGGAATAGCTTCGTAACTCTCGATCCCAGGCCGAGGTTTCATGAATAGAAACGCACTGGCAAGAGATTTTGTTTTCTTCAAGTTATTTGAAATGTGCTAACGAACAGATGGACATATATATCTAGGCCGCGACATTCTTTTTTGATACATTTCTCAATTGGTGCTTGGTTTTGCGCTGCTTAATATCAATGAATGAGAGACTATTGTGATGTATCAATAGATTGGCAATTGGGCTCAATCAAAATATCCGCTCAGTCATTCCACACATTTCTTGTAGCTTTTGACCGTTTAATTGAACAAATTGGATCATGCCAATGATTTCTCGCCCGTAGGAAAGAATTTCTTAAGTAGTATGTCTACCATAACCTCTTCCTATCAGGTACATACGACCACAGGGTGAGGAGAACAGGGCTTCCCGTCCGCTCAGCCGTACTTAAGCCTCACGCCGGCCGGTTAGTAGTTGGGTGGGTGACCACCAGCGAATCCCGGCTGTTGTATGTTTTTGCTTTTCTTTTTTCAAAAAATTTACTTGCTAGATTACTCCTTGTCTTCCTGGATTCATTATTTACCTACTACTCTGTGATGCCTAGGGTGGGCTGATCTCCTGCCTAAGAAGTACATTCTCTATTCTGCACTCATGTTTTCTCCTCGGTCTGATCTCATTTCGGCATTGATGTTCATTTCCCCTGGCACGAGACTCTGCTATTAGTCCCCGGCATCTGGGCTGCATTTGGGGTCGGGAAGAGTTACGGAGTGAAAATACTGGAAGGTGGAACGGCCGGAGCAACATATTCATGACGGACGTCTTGGTTATATTATCGATACGCTTGAAGCCGGACCATGATAGGTTCTCATCGTCCTCTTTTGCATCGTCATCAATTCATTCTGATATTGTGTGGAAATCTATGTCTAACACCCGAGACAATCCTCTGCATGTGTTATTGGAACCATACAACTCAGAAGCCTATTACATCGCACGCAGCTGGCTATGAGCTTGCCTTCCTAGGACAAACCAAATTACCCAGATTTGGCATAATTCCTGGAGTCGACGTGCATTTTCCACAACTTGGCATGGAACTTTTTAGCCTGGACTCCAGTCACTCCAGCGGTTTGGCGACAGCGAGCAATGAACTTTTCGGTCGGGAGTTGCAGCAGCTGAGTTCCGGTCTCATGAGGCGCAAGGGCGGAAGGTGACATGGGAGGATCCCCAGACTAAGAGATAGGTAAGCACTCGCACTTCAAGTCTCCCGCATGCAATCTCAACCCCGAACTTACCTTCAGTTCTATAAATTCCCGAAGCTGCTGATTACTCCATGTGCTTGGCACAGTAGGGTCATAGGCGGCGGGCTTTCGAACGGGTCGGGCCTGTAGGAGCATCTCGGCATAGCGAAGGGTGTTCTTGGTTGCTCCGGCATCGAGAAAACTGGGGTTGACGCAAGCTAGAATGGCAGTTTTGCATTCCCGGCTGCTAGCAGGATCAAACAGATGCTTGAGAACTTTGGTCAACATGCTCTGTCGGAACGGGATGTAGGGTTTCTTGGGTTTCTTGGGTTTCTTCCCAACTGCGACCGCAGAGTCGATGCTGGAAATGCCCCGAATGCATTCTTTGAGGATCGAGAGACTGATGTTGATCTCGCGGGTCTCTTTCATGCGGTCTGCTCCGTGGTGGAAGATATCTCTTGCAGCTTCGGAGCCGGCAAGATCGACGAGATACAAGATTCCGTCTTCCACAGCTTCGGGGGCCGGGTTTTCGATCCTGATACGACAGATAGCGTGGGAGCGCGAGGAGCCGTCATTCTTTTCGGTTGAAGCGGTTTGTCGAAACGAGTTTGCATATTCGATCAGGTCAACAAGCTCGGATTTGCTTGTGATCGTTTTCTCCTCGACGCCGACGAGCTGGGTGTTGCCGAACGCATCTTCCAAGATCGGAAAGGGGGCTTGGGATTTCAGGAGATCTAAAGGCACACAGATTCTCGTTAGCCTCTGATCGGTTATGCATTGGTAAGCACTCACCAAAGGCTGAGTTGCCCGCAAGCTCGAACACGCTAAGATGTATGTTTCGCTCCCCAGCCAAGGTCCCATCGAAAAGTGATTTGGCAATCGACCGCGCCAGCCCACTGGTGGTGTATGTCTTGCCTGACCCCGTTTGGCCATAGGCGAACAAGGTGCCAATGTTACCATCCCAGGCATAAGGCAGGAGAGGATGGACCAAGTCTTCGTAGACGGTTTCGGTCGAAGTGTTGACACCAAACACCTTACCAGTTTGGAACGAGAATGACTAAAATTATGATGGTTAGCAGATATGTATACCACCTCGTTCAATAGGTGGATGAGAACAGTGATCAACTTCGGAGAGCAATGCTTACAGTCAAAGGAGGTGGACCCCTGACGACCCGTCGCAGCTGATGCAAATCCACCACTCCACGACGACCTTCCCGGGGAAAAGCAGCAGCTACTTGTCCCGATGACAACTCTTCTTCCAACATGGGTCGGATCCGGGTCGCCACCACGATGCTGGAGTTGGTTCCTGCATTGTCAACGGTCGGGGCCGAATACGGGGGCTTGAACTTGGCAACCAAATCTTGATGGCGCGCAGCATTCTGGAGAAGGAACTTGTCCATGACGGAAACAGGAGATTTGGGCTTCGGAACTACTCCTGGATTGAGAGAGATGGGAGAAAATTGTTGAATGTTGATGGATTGCCAATTCCAACTCTCCGTGTATATCAGCGTTGGTTCGTCGCGTTTGCAGCAAACCTAAAAGTTGCTATTCCGGGAGTGCTGCCTAAGGCTGCCTGATCCCGGACGGATGTCTGAGATCAGGAGTCGATGGCCGGGCTAGACTCTAGAAACACGAGGCATAGAATTGAAGCAAAGAAATGGGGTTTGTTGTCAAAATATGGGATCCTGGATCGGTATCTGTCGGCTTCGTTTCCATTTCGTGCTACCGGATATGTACATCCGCATAGTCTTATCCAACAGGGTAAAAACCAACACACTGATCCTTGGTTGACGAAGCTAAGGTATTCGCGACGGCCTTTGTTAACGATTCTCGGTCGATGATGTTTTTTGGTTAGAAGCATTGATCTTGGCTAAACCACCCCATCTTCCAGGTACTGTCGGCGAAGCTCCTCCATAGGCGTATCGTAGGAACACGGCGTCAGAGACTTGACATTGTTGATTTCCCCACCGTAGGCTCGGAGGATCAAAGTTTCATTGACCTTTTCAGACGCATGCGTGGTAGTGGTCATCTTGATGGTATTTCGTCGGTTGCGTTCAAATACATACAGGTCGCGAAGGTATCCTGTAACTGTTCAACACAAGAGAAAGAGGATTGATTGGGATTTCTCCAAGTGTTGCTCTCCTCTGTTATAAATGCCTCCATCCCAGTCTGATTCCGGGGAACACCTATATGGGTATCAAATAATTTCTTCCCCGGCGATCACGTTATATGATAACCACCATGACGCAAATCAAAAACTTGTGTGGGGTGTTCATGGACATATTTTCTTGTTTTTTCAATATCCATCCATAGACTTTGTGGTCATGTGTATTTGCCCTGTCTTAATTTGCTGAAACCTGGATGGCATTTGGTGGTCTGATAGTAGTACTTGGAGCAGGCCTTGCTTTCCATCACGGCCGTTCATGATTGTAGAGTCATGTGGTGATATGATTGATTAGTAAATAACAAAGCCAAGGCAATCATACTCCAAGAAAATAGATACGGAGAGTTCCAGTTAAATCCGCTCCTATAATATCGTTTTGTTAGCTACAGAGGTACTTCGTTCGCGAATAGACCGTAACGGTATCGCCCGAGAAGCCCCCTTCAGAAAATAGGGTGCAAGCGGAATTTATCAATTATGTTTACATGAACCATAGGTTTCTAACAGATGCACCGAATACATCCACTTGAAAACTAGCTGCATAAATAGCCCTGTGAGAATACTTGAGAATGTGCAATATCATTTCTTCTCTCTCAATCCCAACCATCGGTAGGCTTCAGACGTAGCATTAGATAACCAAGTGATTTGCCGGGGATTCTCGCGGGCGGCCCGCAATCTCTATTTGGACCAATGTAGCCTCTTCCTTCATTATTTTTTCTTTTTTTTTTTTTTTTTTTTTTTTTTTTTTTCCTTTCAAGACTTCGGTGAAGCTACATATTATAAATTCTCCTGACCTCAATATCAATAGCTAAAATATATGTTGTTCAGCAAGTGATTTGCCAATTTACAACCTGACTGGATGCGACTGTTGATTCCGAGCTGCGAAAGTCTACTGTCGTGCGGATTGAAAAGTCCACCACTACTGAAATCTTCATGGAATTTTCCTTAGCTCTGTAGATCTTATCGGAATATGCAATAATGCAATTGAGATCTTCATTCAATTATGTTTCTGTGTTTATACCGGAACCTTCCATTCCGTGACAAAGCCTGCCATGCTTGGGGCAACATATAAAGTGCCGTGAAGATTCATCTCAGAAACCTTTTTTCTTTGTTACTCTTTTTATTCTTTTTGTTTATTAAGGCCTTCCGACCTGAGTCTTGTCTGGAATAACAAGAGTACACTTTGACTCCCATTGGATTGTGTGCTTGTCTACAAGAATAGCTTATCGAAATTCCTTCACGATGTCTCGCCGTGGTTCTGCGTCTCGTGGCTGTCCTGGGACCTATGAGGTCCGTTCTGGATCTTACTACGAGGTCCGATACACTTCTGATGGCAATTGTGCATCCGGACATCAATCCCAACATCAGTCCCAGCACCAGTCCCAGCATCAATCCAGCAACTATTACGATTCTTCGAACCATTATCAACAATCTCCCATGAACATGGGCCAGTCAGATTATCCTGGGGCAAGTATGGCTCTTGAGAACTGTTGTGAATATGGTAGTTCCTCACGGAGTCATGCCACGTCGGGTCGGACTAGCCGCTAGTCTTCGGTGGCACCTTGCCCTCCATCATGCCCTGAATCAGGGTACCTTGATGCCAGGTATGCCGATACTTACTCTTCGCATTCAAGCCGCCCTCCTTCTAACAGGGACCACAGGGTTCAGCAAGACATCGCCAGTGCTTCAAACCTCCGTTCAAGCTCTCGTCGTTACGCTGGCGCGCCGTCACCACCTCAATCCGAGTGTTCCCGTACTACATCCTCCACCCGTCGTGGTTCTGTTCCTGTAGAGCAGCCCTATTACGGCTCGGGAGCGCAAGCTTACTATGCATCATTTGGACAGGGGGATCAGTATACCTCTCCTGAATCGCGACCTGGTCGGCCTCGTTCCGTGCAGTCCCACCGTACTGTCACCTCCAACTCGCAGTACAGTCGTGCCTCGTCTAGATCTGCTTCCCAAAGCCGTCGCCCTTTGTCTAGTATGGCTGATAATATGTCTGCATATGGGTCAAGCATCCGTCGCCCTTCATCTTCCGTGGGTGACAACATGTCTTCATATGTGGGGAGCAGTCGTCCCGGTTCGTCTAGTATGGGTGATAATGCGTCTGCGTATGGGTCGAGCAGCCGTCGTAGCTCAGTCTCGCGCGCTGACGTCTCCACTTCCTCTCGTCGACGGACTGATCGTCGGTACCCTCCCACTTCCCAGCATGCTGCGTTCAACATCCCAGACGACAGGTACGTTTATTACTCGAGCACAACTACGAGCGGAGGTCATCATACTCCGGCGTCGCGTCGTTAGGGAGCAGCCTTAGACAGTGAAGTGGCTCTAGAAATCCTTCAGAAAGTGAACAGTATTTCAGATATGAGCAATTGTTTTGACTGAAATACTCAAGATTGATCTTTTCTTTACTGGTCGGGTTCAATTTGCTGCCTGAAGTGCATTTACTCGCCAGGTGATAGTTTCGTGTTGATTTAAAGAAAACCATATTGAAATCAGCAAAGCCCACATTTTCCTTCCCCATTTTCTATAAGCTCAATAAAACTTTAGATGACCACTAAAAGATTCCCTAGCTAAGTTACGGTTTATTCTTGCTGTCCTTAACAGATGATAATTATTCCGTGTCAAATATCAATAGCCCGGATGTGATTCGCGCTCGGGAAATACCCAAGCATTGTGCGAGGTCCCTGTCATCCCGGTCGGGCCTATCTTTTGTCTTTCTTCCCTTTTTTTTTTTTCTCTTTTCTTTTTTTCTTTTCTTTTCTTTTCTTTTTTTTTTTTTTTTTTTTTTTTTTTTTTGCCAACACATCATCATCCATCATCATAAGTAATAGATAAAACTTATTAATCTGAAAGGAAGTGTGAATAGACAAAGAATTGGGAACATGGAAAAGCTTTCACTACATTTATTTTTCATAACAACTGACTGCAATCCAACTTGAAAGGAGCTTACCAGCTCTTTGTGCTATATCTTATTCTTTAAAATGCAGCTGAGAAAAAGTTGTTTTCAAATTTTATTGGATCATTGTCCAAGTCACCTTTAAATATAGTGAGTATATTGATGCTAGCACGATAGACTTGTTCTCCATCCCACTACCGCACTAAAAGTTCTCTTTTTCAGAGGCTCATTGGAAAATATGATTGCATGAAAGGTGTTGTAGTCTGTGGTACAAAGAACCAGCTGGGGCCTGAGTTGAAAGGCTTTGATATCCTGGAAGACAAATTTCGGTACAGCCCAACACTGAAAGAAATGCCAATTTACTCATGCTCTAACGACCGCAGACCGGGAATCTCCAGCCTTTCTTTTGGAGATTATCTTTCTTCTATTGTTTGAACCGGAAAGGTTACTTATTTGTGCGATGGTTTTTATGAACAATGGCCCTGTATGCAACGCATACCACAACTCTCCAGCACAGAATAGTATAAATACCCCCCATCAACCATGAAGAAGGCAAATAATTCATCTAAAATCCAACTCTTTCCTACTTACACTGGCTGTTAACACACAAGAAAGTTTTGATCTGAAATAGTTAACCGCAAAATCTCAATAACCATGACCTCTCACCACTCGGACATGAACCCATCAGACCGTGGCTCCCATTCGGGGGACCACAGCGACACAGTTGCTACCAAAGAATGCGCTCCTCAACACACCTCAGTCGGTCATGCGGGGGTTGATTGTTCATGCCCTAATGCACCCTGTTCGAGCAACCAGTGCTGCAACAGCTCGAATGCTTATCAGGGATGTCCTTGCGCTCGACGTAACGCTCCATCTCGTGATGCCCAAGGCGACCGCGCTCATTCAGGACATAATTCTGCTCCGAGCGGCAACGGCAGCCATAGTCGTGGAAACGCGTCTGGCAGCTCCCATCAGCCGAACGAGCATCATGATGCTGTAAACGGCAAAGAAACTAATCACCAGGTCAATCGAAGCCCGGAATCGACATTTGCCGATACCTTCCATTCTTCCTATGACAGCCGCGATCCGATTCCCCGGTCTGGCCAACGCGAGATCTCGGAGCAAGACAGAGAACAGTGCCCCTGGAACGGCTATGCTACCCCCCGTGGAACTCTTGGTGGTTTCCGTAATTTCTCAAGGTATCATTCTTGAACGAGTTGTTTGTCGTGTTGATCGTGACTCCGGAAGTCCGACTTTATAGAATGAGTCTAAGGTACGGAGAGTTCCTGTGGGGATATTTTCTTCATTCTGAACATGACTTTCTTTTCGGTGCTCTATGTTCTCTTGTTGATAGAATGGGACTGCGATGCGTTTGAGACTGTTTTATTCTGTATTTCAGAGTTCCACAGAATCGTTGTGGGCCACTTCCTGTGCGAAATGGATTTGGCTTCGTCGTTTTATTCTTCTTTGAGTTGCATTATTATCATTCAAAAAAAAAAAAAAAAAAAAAAAAAAAAAAAAAAAAAAAAAAAAAAAAAGAAAGTTCGATTGCTTTCATTTACACTCATTTTTCTCATAGACATTAGAGGTATCAGTGTGCAATATAGGAATTTCGTAGCATTTCCTTACGGGACGAGGCAGGCCGTAGCCCTAGTCTGAACAGCCCCATCCAGGCCGGCATTTAAATCTCTGAGAGCCAACTGCAAGATTATAGCAAAAGCCACGGGTAAATCCTAATCTCATAGACTAATAAGATCAACACCCAATGCCGAGCCCGTGACGAAACAGGAAGCCGTGGCATCTGGTGCAATTTCCCCGGACATGGCCACCAATAAACACTGTTCCTCTCCGTCGCCAAGTTGACCCTAACTAAGCCAAGGACCAACATGATCACAAACTGTGTAACATCCTTCCTTGTCCGGCAGCCCAGAAAGAAGCCTCCTTAGGACCGACTATTAAATGTTTGCGGGGAAGGCGCAAGGCGGTTTGCTCAATCCCGGGGCCATCCTTACCCCTCTCTCTCTTTGTCTTTTTTGTTTTTTTTTCTCCTGAGATGTTTGCCTTTTATATACGGCCACCGCGCCTTCTCTTGACCATCATCACCAAGTATCTTCCTCCGCCGCCATGCAGCAATTCTTTCTTTCGCTGCTAGCCTCTGCGCTGGTTGCGCGTACTTCTGTCGCCGCTCCCTCCAACTGGGACACAGCCTACACACAAGCAAAAGCCGCCCTCGAGAAGCTCAGCCGGTCGGAGAAAGTTGGAATCGTGACCGGTGTGACCTGGGAGGGCGGTCCCTGTGTCGGCAACACCCACGCCCCCAACTCAATCGACTACCCTTCACTGTGTCTCCAAGATGGACCTCTGGGGATTCGGTTCGCTAATCCGGTGACCGCATTCCCCGCGGGCATCAATGCAGGAGCGACGTGGGATCGCAGCCTGATGCACGCGCGTGGGGTTGCAATGGGAGCGGAGTCCAAGGGCTTGGGGATTCACGTGCAGCTGGGCCCGGCCACTGGACCGCTGGGGAAGAACCCCGACGGAGGCAGAAACTGGGAGGGATTCTCGGTCGACCCTTACCTCACCGGTGTGGGGATGAAAGAAACCATCCTGGGCATGCAGGAATCCGGAGTCCAGGCCTGTGCCAAGGTATATGCTTTGTTTGACCCCCGCGCGTTTCTGAGACCTGCCGCTGACATGCACTGTCTGGTGAATAGCATTGGCTGGGTAATGAGCAGGAACATTATCGTGAGACTATTAGCTCGAATATGCCCGACCGGGCCACGCATGAGCTGTATGCGTGGCCGTTCATGGATGCGATCAAGGCTAATGTGGCCTCCGTAATGTGCTCTTACAACAAGGTGAATGGAAGCTGGGGCTGCGAGAGTGATGCTATTCTGAATAAGCTCTTGAAGGAGGAGTTAGGATTTCCTGGGCATGTTCTGAGCGATTGGAATGCCCAGCACACTACTATTAATAGTGCTGTTTCTGGGCTCGACATGACCATGCCGGGAAGTGACTTCAACACGCCGCGGGGCAACCTGTTCTGGGGAAAGAATCTCGAGGCTGCAGTTGCCAATGGAAGCGTCCCTGAATCCCGCCTCAATGATATGGTCACTCGGATTCTGGCCGGATGGTATCTTGTCGGCCAGGATCAGGGATACCCGGAGGTAGCCTTCAGTTCGTGGGATGGTGGCAAGGCGAACGTCGACGTGACGGCCGATCATGGCTCGATCGCACGTACTGTCGCTCGTGATTCAATTGTTTTGCTGAAGAATGACGAGCAGGCACTGCCGTTGCAAGCACCTGGTAGCTTGGCCATCATCGGTCAGGATGCGATTGTGAACCCCGATGGTGCTAATGCCTGCAGTGACCGTGGCTGCAACAAGGGCACGTTGGCCATGGGATGGGGAAGTGGAACTTCTGAGTTTCCGGTACGTTTAATTCTTTTGAGTAACATTCAACTTCCGCGACTGACGGAATTCAGTATCTCATCGCTCCTCTGGATGCGATTAAGGAACAAGCAGCTAAGGATGGCACGACGATTGTTCCGAGCACCACCGATGAAGCCGCTGCCGCAGCCTCTGCCGCAGCTCAAGCAGACGCAGCAATTGTGTTCATCAACTCCGACGCAGGCGAGGGATACATCACCGTGGAAGGACATGCAGGCGATCGAAACCACCTCAACCCGTGGCACAATGGCAATGAGCTGGTCAAGGCTGCAGCGGAGGCCAGCGACAACGTGATAGTTGTCGTCCACAGCGTCGGGCCAATTCTCCTCGAGTCGATACTAGCGCATTCATCTGTCAAAGCCATTGTATGGGCTGGTCTGCCCGGCCAGGAAAGCGGAAACGCCCTGGTCGACGTTCTGTACGGAGACACTTCACCAAGCGGAAAACTACCATACACTATCGCCAAGGAATTCAACGACTACGGTGCTCGTTGGGTTGATGGCCTGAACGACGACTTCACCGAGGACATCTTCATTGACTACCGTCATTTCGACCAGAACGGAATCGAGCCACGCTACGAGTTCGGCTTCGGTCTGTCTTACACAACATTCGAATACGCCGATTTGGCCGTGAGCGTCTTCACCACTTCAGGCCCCGCGATAGGACATGTCGTTCCCGGTGGTCCAGCGGATCTGTTTGAATCCGTTGGTACTGCTTCTGTCATTGTGACTAACAACGGCACTACTGACGGCGCCGAGGTGGCTCAGCTATACCTTGGCTTGCCAGAATCGGCACCGACCACCCCGCCTAAGCAGCTTAGAGGATTCGACAAAGTCGATCTTGGCGCGGGTCAATCGGCACAGGCTACCTTTGAGCTCACCAGACGAGACCTCAGCTACTGGGATGTTGCTTCACAGAAGTGGGTCGTCCCGAGTGGAGAGTTCAAGGTGTATGTGGGTAGCTCGAGTCGGGATATTCGAGAGCAGAGTAGTTTTACCGTTGCTTAGTGGTAGGTGGTCTGTTATTTATCCGGAATATGTGGACATGCCAAGATTTAAATTATACGTAACCATCTGTCATGCAAGTGCATATACTACGTATCCGGCGAAGACTGGTGATTCTTCGGGTAGTTTAAAGCAAAGCTTCCCTTTCTATCTTGCATGAAAACAGCTTCTAGTTCTATCGTCTATTTAAGTCCAATAAACATGGCCTACATTGGTAGATCTTTGATAGCAATTTGGGCACTTTACCCAAACTTACAATTCACTCAGCCCAGTTGCCCCGGAGGCAACTTCTCCCCGTCTTGGTTCGCATCTCTCGTTCTTTTAAACAATCTGCCAAACTTGCAGAATCCCTCCGCCATCAACCTATACCCAATAACGAACGGCGGTGCCATCAAATAAACAGCTTTCGCAAACCACTCATCCGGAAGAACGCGCACAGCAACACCCCACGGAAGACTAAACAGCGCGATAAGAATCGAGATCGCCCACTGCGGCCCATCCAGACCATGAGGCTGGATATCAAAGACTCTGTTACCGACAAACACAATAGCAATCTGCAGACCGATCATGATCAGGTTTATGGCGATGAAGAACCAGTTCCGATGGACTCCTGCGAAGACGTTAAATTTATTATCGAGTCGACGGCAGTTCAGTTCGTTGAAGATCTGCATCCAGACAAAGACGTTGAAAATGATGGTGTCGAGTTGTAGCTTTTCGCTGGCGATGCTGACGTCGTAGTTCAGGATTGTTCCGCCGGAGAAGTAGAGAACGAGGGTGACGACGAGTTGGAAGATGGATTGCCCGATTATCATTTTCCACATCTTTGATGGTTAGCGGTTAGCGGTTAGACTTGCTGTGTGTAGGTGGTGGTGGACTTACATTCATGGTGATGAGTGGTGCGGATTTGGGCTGGGGAGGTCGATCGAGGATGGCGTCAGTGGGAGGGTCCGTGGCTAGAGCTAGGGCGGCCATGGTGTCCATGATGAGGTTGATCTGTTGGAATGTCAGTGCACGCAGCAAAGAGCTGGCTTGAATGGATTGTCGACTTACCCAGAGTAGCTGCACAGCCTTGAGGACTGGCTCCATGTTGTCGTCAGACATGGATGTGACAAACGACAGTATCACTGCGGTGATGTTGACTGTGATTTGGAACTATTGAAAGATTAGATATAGATATTTGGGGATAGTCTCTATGACATTGGCTACATACCTGGAGAAATTTCTGTACAGCGTCATTGACGGCGCGTCCCCATTTCAGAGCAGTGACAATCGAGGTAAAGTTATCATCCATGAGGATAATATCCGATGCCTCCTTTGCGACTTCAGTACCCGAAATGCCCATGGAGAAGCCAACATCCGCAGCCTTGAGAGCTGGCGCATCATTAGTGCCGTCTCCGGTGACAGCCACTGTTTCTCCTAGAGCCTTCAGACGTGTGACCAAACTGCGTTTATCCTCAGGAGACGATCGGGCTAGAACTTGCAGCCGAGGAATGATCTTATCAAGCTCCTCTTCAGACAAACGGCGAAACTCGGGCCCTTCTATAATAATCCCGTCAGTAAAAATGCCGCACTCGGCGGCAATCGCCCGGGCAGTGATTATGTTGTCCCCTGTCACCATGCGTGTTGTAACACCAGCCCGCTTAGCGTTCTGCACGGCGGCAGGAACTCCAGGGCGCACCGGATCCTGAATACCAACGATGCCGAGGAGGGTCAAATCGCTCAGGTCCTTCAGGTCAGGGAGCGTCTCAAAATCCTGATACGCGATTCCAAGGGTGCGGAGAGATTTCCGCGCAAATGCAGTGATAGCCTCCTCCATGGCTTCACGGCTTACGGGCTCAACATCGTCACCAGATACATTTTTTTGCGACGAGCAGAATCCAAGGACGATTTCAGAAGCACCCTTGATGAGCAGTCTGTATCCCGATGGGACCTTGATGACGGCGACCATGTACTTCTTGACGGAGTCAAAGGGCTCAATGAGGACGACCTGTTCGTTTGCCCGGGCTTCGGGCAGAGATTGCATACCGAGGTGGTCTTTGGCGAGCTGAAGGAGCGCAGTTTCCGTCTTAGACCCTACGAATGTCATGGCGCCGTCCTGTTCGCCCTCAAACGCGGTTGAGTTGATGGCGACCGATTGGGTTATAAGCTGCTTGGTGTCCCGAGACAGGGTTGAGGCCCACGTAGGAATATCAGAAGTGAAGCTAGAAGCGCCAAAGCGGCCGGCGACAACGGTCATCTTGTTTGTGGTCTAAAAGGTTAGCCATGTTCGTTGATCTCAACTAGGCGACGTACCAAAGTTCCTGTCTTATCCGAACATATGCAAGTAGCATTGCCCATTGTTTCGCACGCCCGCAGTACTCTGACAAGGTTGTTCTCCTTGAGGAGACGCGTTGTGGCAAAGGCGAGTGCAAGTGTCACAGCAAGAGGTAAACCCTCAGGCACAGCAACAGCAATAATAGCAATAGCCACCACCAAGAGGTCGACAAATGTAGACGCCTTCTCCTCCGGGGGTCTATTATCTCCAGGGAGGGAGGCACAGAAACGGAAGAGGAGGATAAAGAACATGAGCAAAGAAGCACCACCACCGAGCTTCGCAATGGCCACGGCTAAGCCTTCCAGCTTCCGTTGTAGGGGTGTCGATTCGGTATCGGTCCGGACTGACATCATGATCTTGCCGAAGCTGCTATTCACACCAACCGCGGTGCAGAGAAAGGTTCCCATGCCTACTAATTAGCAATTTTCTTTAACATACTGCGGAGGTTTCTTACCTTCAACTACCCTTGAACCGGAAATTATGAAAGGGTCAGGCTCCTTCGTACGATTCGACTGTATGTCAAAGACCTCCGCGCCAGGGGTCTTCCTCAGCGCATCCGACTCACCAGTCGCAGATGATTCATCGCACTTGACGTTGTGGCCATTGATGAAGATACCATCAACCGGCACCAGGTCGCCCGGCTCAAGGTAAAGAACATCCCCGACGACTACGTCGTGGACGCTGATCAGCATCGACTTGCCAGACCGGAGCACTTTAACCTCTCTGTCATCTTTCTTCGTGTTTAGCTTGACAAAGGCCTTTTCTTTTTGCCAATCATTATGCGACGCGACCACCACAACAATAAGAACAGCAGCGAGAATAGCGACACCCTCTACCCAATCGACCGACGCAGGGGCGCCAGGCTCCTTGGGGACACCAAACGTCTCATAGAGACCAAGGGCCAGGGAGATAGCCCCAGCCACCGTCAACATGATGAGGACCGCCTCATGTAGTGTGATCCATGCTAGCCGCCAGATTGACTTGGGTTTCTTCGGGGGGAGTTGGTTACGCCCAAACGCGCGAAACCTGGCATCGGCAGGACCCTTCGAGAATTCCTGAGCTCCAACCTCGTCCACGCTGAGACCAGTATTAACATCGACATGGAGGCCGCGAGCGAGCCCCTCAAGACCGCCTAGGGCGTTGAGTGTATCGAGGGATTTGGGGTTGAGCAATTGGTTAAGCTGATCGGGACTGTAATCGAAAGGACTGTCAGCAGCTTTCAAGTCAGCTTCAGCAGAAACAACGGTGTCCACCGCGCTCGGCGACCGCTGACGCGAGTCAAACAGCGCCTTTTGGTCGAGCATGTTGCTAGCTATGCTTGACGGAAACGTGAACGTACGGTTGACATGGGATTCATATAAACGCCGCCAGATCCGGCGACCCATATATCTAAATTTCTCGGCGGTGGGATGGACACATCCTGTAGCAGCTGGGAAAACCCGATTCAAAAACAACTTTAGGGAGTTTTTGTCGATAGTGATATCTTTGGCTTAACAGCCTTGGCCTGCATAGATCCCACGGAGGACAGTGATTCGTTAAGATGGAATCCACAGGGACCGGAAACAGGGGCAAACTGCTTATGTGAGCGGACTCGGAAGCCGATACCTTTATTTTATTTGAAATTTCTTCTTATTTTTTCCCTGGCTCAGCATAAAAAGTAAAGACCAAGAGATTTGTAATCGGAGACGGAAAGGACAAGCAGTGCGATCTCCACATCTCCATCTTGCACAGCCTCCGCCTTGGACCCTTGGCGGCTCTAACACGAACATTGATTGGTTTTTAGAAGTCACCAAGATCTGTGTTAATAATTATCGCGGGATCTGATAAGTAGAATGTCAAACAAGTCCACCGGGAGTGTTGGTTGAAAAAATACACAAAGTATTAAAATCATATTAGTACACTATTCTATTTTAGATAGATGCAAAAGTTCCATTTCTCTCTCATTTATCATACATATTCCCATCACTATCTGTGAAACTAATATCCGGAGCCATCAGACATGTCTAGACGGCAAAGGTCCTTTGAAAGTACCGCATCCTAGCAAAAATGTTCGGTTGATTCTTTCCATGCTCGTACACGCTGAGAAGCGACAGAGAAAACATACCACCAAGATAAATTTACTTCTGCATCATTAGCTGAAGAAACTCATCGTCTGGAACTGACTGTCAGTAAGGATCAGCATTCATTCGCGAGTCTTCTTCTTACAGCCAATGCAACCATCGCCGTCCCGATCAACCTCGCGGATAATCTCGGCAATCTCCCCATCGGTCAGTTTCTCGCCGATCGAGATCATGACTTGACGCAGCTCTTCGGGTGAAATAAACCCATCGTCGTCGCGGTCGAAGACCTTGAATGCCTCTGAAATATCCTCCTCCAAGTCCTGTTCCTTTGTTCGGCGTGCCATCATGGTCAGGAATTCTGAGAAACGCACGTCAGCTTGGGTTGTTCTTCTATGGAACATTATGCCCATAGAATGGCATACCGGGGAAGTCTATCGTGCCGCTTTTATCCACGTCAACTTCGTCGATCATGTCCTGCAGTTCGGACTCGGAGGGATTTAGGCCAAGCGTTCGCATGGCGACGCCGAGCTCGTTGCGGGTTATTTGTCCTGGTGCGGGAGGTTAGTGGCCTTGTGGAAGCTTATTTGATGTAATTGTGGGCTCGTATGCACAGTCTGCAGCACTTCAAGGTTGGAGGTATCTGGCGGAGAAGGGAGATGGAACTATAATGACACGTCTAATCGTATTGTTTCGATCCGGGGGAGCTCACCATCACCATCGTTGTCCTGCTGTCCAATTAGCAAGCCAAGACTCCAAATATTCAGGTTGCGAGAAAATCGGAACTTACAAAAAGCGAGAATGCTCTCTTAAACTCGCAGATCTGTTCCTCATTTATGGCTTCGATCTTCAGCACCAGGTGTCAGTAGACGGCGTTGAATATGCCAGCACGAGGGGCCAAGTGAATTCCCCTCGTGCATGACTAGAGGATAGAATCGCACCATTCTTATGTCTGATATCAATGCTGGTAGTTAGGGGGTTGAGTGTGGATGGTAACATAGAAAGAGAGCTTGGTCAGGATGCTGCAACGCTGAAAACGGAGTCATAGTTGAGTTGGTATGCACTGTGTGTTACTTATACTCCCGATAATGCGAGGCCAGGCAACCATACTTACTGGAGGGAGTTGTATATCTATGTGTTCTCCTGAGCTATATTGATGTATGCACTCCTCAGAAAGCCCCCAGCTCCACATTAAGCCCCACCGTGGCCACTAGCGAGCGATGCTCGGCATAAGATTGAAAAGTTAAGATTAATCTCGGCTTTCCGTCCCTCCGATGGGTCTTCTTTTTCTCCTCCATTCGCTCCAACTCTGATTTCCGTCTTTCCGATTATGTCAAGTTGATTCGACACGATGCCTCCTCGGCGTGCGTGTGACGTTTGCTACAAGCGAAAGGTATTCTTGCTTTTTGATTAAAATTACCAAGGGGTAAGATTAATTGAATAACACATACCCCCTTCAGATCCAATGCCTAATCAGGGCTCCCGGTGATCCTTGTGACTGGTGTAAGAGTCAAGGACAGACTTGCACCTTCGACAGGGTCATTCAGAAGGATCCAAACAAGAGGTAAGTATTTTCGAATTGCTTTGTTTAATGTCAAGTCGGCATAGCTTGGGTGTCTGACACGAGGCCGTAGGACCACGTCCGATGTTGTACAGGAACTGTCCCATCGGGTAGAGAAGCTTGAAGATGCCCTCCGGTCCGCACTGTCTACGAATACGCCCGCTGGCCCCTCGCCTTGGTCTGAGGGGCCATTTCTGGAGGAATCAAGTCGCATCCCTTATTTTTCTACATCCCTCGCCACTGTTACTGGCCAGCGGTCGGCCCTAAGTCTTCCAACTGCTCCCACAACAGCTGGAACACCTCGATCTGAGCCCGCCTATAAGCTATCACGATGTCAGGTCGGTAACAACTGGTATTTCAAGGGAGTTGGGCTCCTGTCGTCGCGTGGCCGGCAGTGGATCTCGGAAGGAACAGGGCAGAGCGTGTTTTTGGAGAATTTTGACCTCTTCGATAATCCGGTCGGAGCGAGACCATGTCTTACCTCTCCTTTTCTGCCGGAACGAGCGAGATCGCTGCCTCCTGAGCCTACCTGTAACGATCTCTTTGATATTTTCCTGAGGTCGAAGACTTTTATTGTCTTTCCTATCCTCGATGGTGGCCTTTTTGAGGATGCCATCGCCAGAGCATACGATACCGCATCTGACGGGCTATCTCGAGCATCAACGGAGGCGTGTCTTTGGGCCATGATTGCTCTTGCCGTACGGACGGAAGAGGCTCAGCAACTTGATTCTCTGCCGGAAGCAGAAGACTGCGTTCAGGAGGTCAGACGTCTTCTGAGCCTGGTCAACGGTGCCGCGAACCTTGACATTCTAGAGGCTACACTTTTATTGGTAAGCGACCTTAAGAAACCGGAAATACTGTGTTCCTAGCTCACGTCGAATCAGTGGGTATATCAAAAATTGAAAGGAAAATGCCGAGATGCTTCGATCACGTTTACAAGCGCCTGTCGCATGGTATGTGATCTTGGGGGTCATATCCTCCTGCCAGATCTTGCCATCCTACCCCAACACATCCCCATATTCGATCAGCAATCAAGACTCCATATTCGGGGACTGTTTTGGCTGTGTTACTGCTTCGACAAGGATGCCTCCCTTCGCACCGGCAGTCCTCTATTACTTACTTCTGATTACTGCGATTTGAGTGGCCCAGGGGAACATAGCAATCAAGCAGCTCGGTACAATCAGTCGCGAGACACAAACCTCGCACAAGTCAAAGAAAATGCAATCCGACTGCTCTGCTCGCCACGAGCATTCAAATAAACCGAGAGCGAGCTCCTAGCACACGTCCGACAAATTGACGACGAGCTTGAGGAATGGAGATTATCCATCGAACCAGGCTATCGCCCCAGACTATCGATCCTATCAGACAGCTCCCTCTCGGTATCTCGAGCTATGAGTCCGGAAGACCGCACACATGCCATCAATTTACAGCTTGACTACCTTTTCACAATGATCAATATCCACACATTGGTCCGGAAGTGCGGCGATCTGGAGCGGAACCTACCGGATGACCTGCACAGCGTGGTGCACTCGAGCGCCGACCTATCCATCGAAGCCAGCCGGTCCATCTTCCGCTTCTTAGAAACCGTCGTCGACTTCTGGCAAGAGGATTCAGTATGGGTTGTGTCCCACTATGCGCCGATGGCTGCTATGCCACTTTTCCTTAACATTATTATTCACCCGCTCGGCAATCCGGCAGATAGCGATCTGCAGATCTTGTCGTCTATCGGCAATATCACTCGCAAGATTCCAACGGAGAGGCTGTCGAGGGAAGAGATAGAGCATATTCAAGAGATCGGCGAGTTCGTGATGCAGCTTATCCAGCTCGGGCATAGCGCAGCATGGAAGGCCAAGAAGGGGGAAAGAGAGCATGACCTTGATATCATTCATAGATAGGAGATGTAGGCAATCTCGTTGCTATTGCTGTAGGGATCGATTCATTTAAAGAGAACAAGAACAAGCAGCTCAGGACTCGCGTTCTTGTTGAGATGATGCTCGTGCTCTCGCGCTTCTCCATTTCCCCGTTTCCGATTCACAAGTACCAAAGTTAATATTCGTCTGTGATTGGCTGTGGTTATTTTTCTTCATCTCAACTTTTGTTTTTCCGACCCCATGCCCCGTCAGGCGTTGGAAAGTTGGAAATAGTTGGAAATAAAATGCCCGAGAATGCGGATGGTGTCTATGACGTCACTCACCGTTTTCATCTTGAATCTCGACAATCGATCCAATTGTACGAGGAGTTGAGTGTCAATCCCCTATTTCGATGAGAAAACGTGCCTGTACAGAACAGGCTCGTCTTCAAAGCAACTTTCGCACTATGTCTTTGAACACCTTATGTTACGGATGACAAGACGCATTTCTCTAACATGGCTGAGGGTGGCAGATGCATTCATCGATTGCCTCGTTCGAAATAACCGGGATATTACCTACCGAGCATTTATTTTGTATCTCATCTCGGCGTCGACTGGAAGGTGAAAATGTACTCAGTTTTTCTCTGTTGTAGAAGGGAACCTGATTCGGCTTATTACTTAGGGGCAAGCCACAGTTTGGTGCACGGTGGCAAAAAACCCGATGTGGGGGTTAGAACGTGGGCGGATATGGCGGCAAGGGGATAGAAGATGCGGAGAGACATTTAGGTGCAGTTTCCCAGCAGTAGGTGATAGGCTGGAGCGACATTGACGAGATTTCGTGAAGACAAGAAGCCTTTGTATACCCCAAGTGGATTGCATACTAGTTATGCGGTGCTATGCATATTACATCATCAAGAATTATGCCACACAATGAGGCACCTGCCGATTAAGGTGCAACCCGAAGCCGATCCACGGTCCGCCAAAAGTAAGCAACATCGGCCTTGGAACCACGAACCTTGAGCCAGCTAAGCTGCATGCACATGTGCTTGGCATCACTCGTCGAAGTAGGAATGTATGTCTAGATCGAGACAAGCCTTGACCCAAGACAGCAAGCGAAAGCAGAGGGAGCAGCCGATGCAGTCCGGATCGACCTGTGGGAGTGGGGCCTGAGGCTTGAATCCAGGCATTGACGTCACCGGCTGCCGATCGTCGACCGTAACAAAACAAGATATTTCACTCGATGATGTTGGCTTCCCCGTTTGTCACGTCAGTCCTGGCCACCGGTGGAATCCCTTTTGAAGGCCTCGATTTCCAACTTCGGTCATGTCTTCTCGGCAACTTGTCACTGCTGGTTCTTAGGGGAAAGCGCTACTTTTTAGTTTCAATTTTGTGTTATTTTTCGTCCTCCTCGAATCTCCCTGTCGCCACATCGCCAAAATGACTGTTATCTGGGGCCTGGACCTCAATGAGATCCAATGGTGGAAATTCAAGAGCTCGTGGATGTTCACGCCCTCGTATCATCTGCGGCGAACCAAGATGATAGTCTATCAACTTGCCATGATCTGTTGCGTGTGTTCCGAGTCCACCGGCACAGCGGCCTTGTCAGGTACGTTCCTGTTGGTGCCTGGATGTTGGCCCCAGGCATCGCATGGGGCAACCTGCTAACCCTATCTTCTCCATCAGACTATGTCGACCAACAAAGTGATATCCAAGGCAAACACCCCGGGATCTATGTCTGGAACAACGATTTCATTGGCGCCGCCTCGTACAATATCTGGTGTGGAGTCGCAGTCGCTTTCATCTTCGGTGGTGCCTTTTTCTTCGATCTGTTCTGGCCCGAGAGGCATGAGAGCAGAGGTGTGCGGTTGGCATGGAAGATCTGTGCGGTCACGGTATCTATCATGATGCTGAGCTCAGCATTGACGATGACTGTAAGTGACATCCCTATCTCTATCCAACATACGATGCTAATCCTCCCTAGATCATCACTGCCACTCGCAGTGCATCTATCCAAGGCACCGATCCTGCCACCGCCAGCGAATACTGGGCAGACGCCATCAAGCAGCCATCTCTGAGTATGCTCATCCATCCTACACGTCTTTTGACATTTCGCTTAACTAACTTCCATAGAATACCGCACCAATCCTAAAGCAATAGCTTCGGTCGTTCTCGCGTGGCCCGGATGGATCTTCACGACTTTGAGGTACGATTCGCCTTCCAGATTCTGAGCGATTCAGTTGCTAACCTTCAAACAGTACATTCATCCTCTTCGCCTCCGAGAAGCACGACGACCGATACGGGCCGAAGTCCAAACTCGGCAAGCAGGAGGAGCAAGAGGATCACACCGAAGCCCCCCATGCCCCTGCCACTGAGGGTGGTGAGATGACCGAAAACAAGCCCGAAAATGCTGTTTAGATTCTGTATAATAGCCGTTACCATTACCCCGTGATACCCCTAGGTTTATGATGTATGTCACTGTCATGTATACGATATGGATAGATAATATTTTGTTCAATGTTGGGGCTTTCTGTTTTCATTTGATGGTCTTTACATCCTGTTATAGATATACGATTTGTTTTCTTTGCATATTTTCTACGTTCAGCCCCCCTTGTATTTTTGTGTGCCTTAGAAATGTTCATGTTAGGAATGGTCGGTGGAACTGTCTTTTTCGAAGGCTTTCTCGGCTAGACAGAATTAAGATCCAACCAAATTCCCAATAGAAGAACCCGGATGGGTGTACTGATTTCGGACCCAATTTCCAGTCTACTTTTCATTCTACGCAGATAACAAGTTTGGGACCCAGGCACAATGTGGATGCCGTATCCACTACCGACCTTAAGCATGTACAAATCCTGATGCGCTTCCTAAGGGCCCACTAAACTACATCGATCAGTCCAATGAGAGCATCGGCTCGTTTATAAATCAGGATTATGGAAACAATAATCTTGAACCACGATCTCTAGTTTGTGTTGAGAAAGCTGGATCTGTACCTGGATCTAAGAATTTAAGAATGTGCTCCATAATCTACTCCACGAAAATACAAGGTTTTCGGTGCATTTAACCTGGTTAAAGTTCATAATATCTTCGTTTCGTATTACTACCACTGGGATATCAAGGCCTAAGCTACTAAATATTCCCGGGATGTAAAGACTCATTCCTGATTTCCATCAGACCCCAATCCACATAGGGCTTGAGGTTCAGAATGAGCTTGTTCAAACATTGCACTCAAGCCCGTCAACCTCCGCGTTCTTACATATCACGGACTTCCCTTCATACTCATCCGGCAAACTGATGTCGACGTCTTGAAAAGTAATATCACCACACTTTGCCTTCTCAGAGCATATGACCGAGACTGCAAAGGTAATGTTTTCTCCTGGATAATCCGTGGGAGTAGCCAGTCCATTTCCCGTTATGTTCTTGAAGTGGATATCGTCGAAGCGATAAGTCGATGTGTCGCAGTATTGAGTGACGTTTTGGTCGTAGAGATAACTCAGACTTCGCTTATTAGACAGGCCGAACATACTATAAAGATATAACTTACCAGGTGTCGAAATATATCGGCATTTGTACATCTTTGAACTGAATGTTTTCCACGGTGACATTCCGGAGATAACCGTGTCCGTCGCCACCTCCATTAGGAGGATTGCCAAAATTGACTCCGATCCTGTTGCGCATCAGATTTTGTCTTCTCAGACGACACTCAATACACATACCAGCTCTTGAAGTAGATCCCCGAGTTGATGGCCCGCTGAAAAGACGGTTGAAGCTATTCCAATTAGCACATACACTCCCCACCACCAGTGGAGAATAACATACCACCAGTGGAGAATAACATACCACCACATCCCTCACCGTGATATTCTCCACAATATCAACCCTATCCGGATACTGTCCCAGAGATCCAAACGCAATCCCGGGGCCACCATAAACCGTCATATTCTGCACCACCACATTTGTCGAATTGCCCTTGAATGCAACCGCATCGTCACCACCCTCATACACCCAGTCCTTAACCGTGACATGATCCGACCGGAACGTATCCACCCCATCCGTATTCTGAATCCAGACCGCATCCTCCTCCGCATAAAAGTCCGAATTCGTCGCATTCACATAGAAATTCTCCAACAAGACATGACTCGACTCATCCACCAACACCGCCCAGAACTGCGGCTGCCGAATCGCAATATTCCGAACCACGACCCGCGTCGAGTTATAGATATGCATTGGAATCGGGCGGCCGAAGACATTGCTCCCGCCCTTGGCCCACGTGTACCAGAGCTGGCCGTTGCCGTCGATGCCGCCCATCGAGGGGCCGCCGTTGACTTCGTAGTCGTGGCCGGTGATTCGCCATGCGGAGGACTGGTTCTGGAAGTCGACGCGGTAGGAATTGTTGACCCAGTAGGTTATGTCGTCGCTGAAGAGCAGGGTTCCGTGGATTGAGAGCGTGGAGTGTTCCAGGTGGGTCGTTAGACGCTGGTTGATTCGGTAGGTGTAGGGTTCTGGGAGGAGGATTCGGCCTCCTGGTATGCGGCCGCATTCTTCCACGGCGGTCAGGATGTTGGGGACGTCGTCGCGGCCGTGACCTAGTGGGATGACGGTGCAGGTGTTGTCTGCTTGGTCGGCTTTGTATAAGTGTGGGAGGGTGAGAACGGTTAGGGCTAATGATAGTAGCAGGTTGAGGGGCGATGAGAAGAGCATTGTGTCTACGCGGTGAGGGATCCTTTCTTTGGACTTCCAGGGTAGCTTGGATTGAACTTTGGAGAATTTCTAATGTCAATGAATGCTGTCTTTTGGGAAGCAAGGGGCTTTTATCCGGGGGATCTTCGCAACCCCGCAAGCTCAATGCAGTGTGATCTCATAGAGCTTGTCATGGATGGACGAGTCCGCTTAGTATAGAGCAACACCCTCGTCATGGGTGTATGTGTTCTCTCTGTTGTGTTTGAGTTTCTTGGGTTCGGTTCGAATTTGACTCTGTTCCTTAAAGTAGAGCTTTTTTTTTTTTTTTTAAGCTGCTCCAACTGGCTCCAACTGTGCCCTAAACTGATCCCTTTCGGAGTGAATTACACCGAGGCTTGGCATTCTTAAGATGCCAGTCACCACGGTGAGTTGTCCTGGATAAAGAACATTTACATGGTCCTGGAGCTATTTAAATCCATGATGTCAGTTATTTTATCTCCTTTATACCAGTACAGGATTGACAGGCCCAATCGTTGGTCTAGAGCACTGCAGTCGCGTGATGCTTGAATTATATATTTCCGCAGCATGAAGGTGAGGGTGGCCAGAACAGCGTTAACTCATAGAAACTTCTTGCTTATAATTAATTCTGTATAACAGGAGGTTTCCTAGTTATAAAAAGCTAATCTATAGGGAATACAGGTATCAATATTAAGAAGGGACTAGCAAAAATGTGTTGAACTGAGGGCAGCGAAAGGTGAATGTCGATTATTAGTAAGGCTTGCTTTATAAAACACTTAGTACGAATGCTCTTCAACAACAGCGCCTGGCTAGCTCAATCGGTAGAGCGTGTGACTCTTAATCACAAGGCTGCGGGTTCGAGCCCCGCGTTGGGCTGTTCTTTTTGCATTTTTTCTCTGCTCCTGCTTCTGACTTTTTTTTTCTGTCCGACCATGTTCCTGAGAAGAAAAATCTGTGGCCAGGAAGACATCGGAACGGCGGGTCGCTCCACTTGGCGCGCCCCGGCCTGGTCACGTGCGCGATGACAAAAATAAGACGGACGTGCGGATGGAGTCCCTGTCGTCTCCAGATTCAGGGCAGATCTAGGCTGTCGGCAACAGAATGCTTCCTCCGATTCCATCGGCGACTCTCGCAGGGTCAATTCGCTGCCATGCCCGAGTACCGCGCGCAGGTATCTCGTACTGCAGAAATCTGTCCGACTTTCGCGTCCGGAGTCATCCCCAACCGCGCTACTCTTTAGCTTCACTGAACCAGCAATCTGCCGTTTGCACTAGTACCACCAAACCTCAACCTCAGTCGCAGTCTCTCTATGTCTCTCGAGGCCCGAAGACGCGTAGCGTGACTACAGCGTCACCCAAGCCGCTCGATCACTACGTGCCACCCAAGACCGGTCTAATTTCTCATCTCCCCAAGACCTGGATCCCCTATGCCGAGCTACTCCGGCTCCAAAACCCCATCGGCACATATTGCCTGTTCTTCCCCTGTGCGTTCTCGACTCTCCTAGCGACCGTGGTGGCTCAACACCCAATCGCCCCATTGCAGGTGGTTGGAACGACGGGGCTCTTTTTCGCCGGCGCCCTGATTATGCGAGGCGCCGGATGCGCCGTCAACGACCTCCTCGACAGACGCTTCGACCCGTTCGTGGAGCGCACGAAATTCCGCCCGATCGCCCGAGGCGCAATCACTCCGCCCCAGGCCGTCATTTTCACCGGCACCCAGCTCCTCGCTGGCCTCGGCATTCTGCTCCAATTCCCAACGCAGTGCCTCTACTACGGTGTGCCCAGCCTGCTGCTCGTCGGCGCCTACCCGCTCGCCAAGCGCGTGACAGATTACCCGCAGGCCGTCCTGGGCCTGACCTTCTCGTGGGGCGCGTGGATGGGATTTCCAGCAATGGGCGTCGATCTGCTCAGTGACCCGTCCGCCCTGGCCGCTGCCACGTCTCTGTATCTGAGCTGCGCGGCGTGGACGGTCTTCTACGATATGGTGTACGCCCACATGGACATCAAGGACGACGTTGCGGCGGGCGTCAAGTCCATTGCTCTCCGGCACGAAGGGAACGCGAAAGCGGTGCTGTCGGGTCTTGCGGCTACGCAGGTGGGATTGCTTGCGGCGGCGGGCGTGGCGGCGGGCGCGGGCCCTCTTTTCTACGCTGGGAGCTGCGGAGGCGCGGCTGTCTCTCTTGCCATCATGACGGCTAGGGTTAAGCTTCGGGATCCGTCTAACTGCTGGTGGTGGTTCCGGTATGGGTCTTATTTCACTGGTGGGGCAATCACGATGGGTTTGTTCTTGGAGTATTTGGCGCGGTATCTGGAGTGGTATGGTGAGGATGTTGATGGCAGTGGTCGTGAAGATGCTCCTAAGGTGCAGGAGGAACTGTAAACTAGTTTGTTGTTAGAGGGCTTTGATACGCTGTATATTATTTCAATCCATCGAATCTCATAATTCTGCATAACCCTTGCACATGACGATAATTGACGAAGGACATCTGTATAATGACGTCTTAGGGCTGTAGGGGCAACTACTAAGTAACCTCTCATAGCAGAGTTCAATTCTCAAAAGCTCTGGGAAAAACTATTCCTGTTAACTGGAAGGGTTGCTTGTTAATCAAATGACCTATTTCATCTTTGTTAGGAGACACCTCAGTGAAGCAGTAAGACTTTTTTGGCCCTGCCGCTGACATCTTACGTTCATCCGGTACACGCGATCGACTATTCTGCCTCCCTTCATTGCAAATGACGCCAGGGTCAACTGCGATTTGCAATTCCAAGTAAGGAGCTCTGTTGTAAGGGACGGGCAACCTCGTGATTTGACATGTGAACGGGATCCGGTTCCCTCAACGTCATAAATCTTGACTCGGCGACGTTATACACTGCTTGGTCAAGGTGTTCAAGTGTCGCGCAGTGGTTTGGGACTCGGTATTATGCAGGGTTTTATGTGGGGAACTAAATAGAAGCATTCATGACCCCTTGAGGATCAAAGAATGTAAATCGAGCTTCCGAAAATCACAACATGCATGGAGACTGACGACGCACAAGGCCAAATCACGTATTACGAGTTTTTGAAGTAGTTCAAATTGGGCCTCATGCGTTTGGGTAAAGCAAGGGCTTACATCACAGGCTAAGCAAGTCTCTCTTGTTAGTAACTGGATTGTGGCGTGACTAAGTTAGATTCAATTTATTGAACAAGCGTATTAAGCCGTCTGATCTCTGATATTTCGAGCTATAAATCCAAGTCCTAGCTCCTGTGAGCGAAATGAATCATCACCTAAGTCTGCAATTTAGGCTACATTGATTCCTCAATCTACGACAACAAATCCTGTACGCACAACAAGATGACCCAATTCATTCCAGCCAATAGCCCTGTTGCCAGTATAATCCGCCAATGCAAAGGACAAGAGATCAAAATTCCAGATTTGCTCAGCCTTTCTCCAGGCTGGAAGCCTCGAATCAACAAAAGTCCCGACGAGAGTGTAGATACCGACCTGCAAGAATGGCAACGCAGGTGAAAGCTCGAGATTAAGTTCACAATAAGGTCAATTGGCCCAAAGGCTTACAACCATTTAGATCAATTACTAGCAAGAAGATATTGGAGATCAACCAAAAAGCAGGCATTGTCTACTTCGCGAAGCTGGGGTATCCAGAAGCAGGCTTGGAAGAACTTTGTGTCGCGGCCAAATACATTGGCTGGGTGAGTTTAAGTTCAACAATTTCTTGTGTTCTTTGTAGATATCAGCTGATGCCCTATACCGCACAGCTTTTCGCCTTTGATGACGGTGCGTTTTATCATGCTGTTATTTATTTCACTCCAGCCGCTAAGACAAATAAACGCAGCTCTCGACTATGACGAGTTCAAACACATGAAGCCTGAACGCAAGCACTACGGAAATGAAGCCATCAAGTGTATAACAGAGTCTTTGTTCTGTAGGGATCGTCAGAATTTCGATCCCGGCAAATTTGACTCTAGTTGTCCCCTCATAAAAGGCTTTTACGAAATTGGTTATGAGATTGGGCAGGAACTCAAAAACAGTACACCTACCTTCTTCATCAAACCAAAAAGTTGTTGCTGACTTTTTATCTGAAAAGAGGACCTTATCAACTACATATATTATTACATCTGTGAATACATCAATGCCGCAGTGAAGTCAGTGGACTATGTTGATGCAGGAGAGATTGTCGATATCGACAGTTACATGGAAATACGGATGCACACTTCAGGTGCTTATCCAGTACTTGCACTATGCGTGTAAGCACCGGAGGCTTTTGGTTAAAACATACAAGTTCCCCCACAAGGCTAATTTGTACACAGCTTCACGGATCATATCGACCTCCCGCGTTGGATTCTAGAACTTGACATTACTCAAGAGCTGATGAAGCATGTCAACATCATGATCTCCATGTAAACACCAACACTGGCCCCTTCGATAACAATTTGATTGCTAATCCGTCATTCTTCCCTGCCCATCCAGTGACAATGACATGTTCTCTTTGAAAAAAGAATTTGTAGGCGATCTCCTATACCCTCAGCGATTTACATTCCAGAGCCAAATTCTTATCATGCGAAAAGGACCTCGGCCACTTGGACAGTCTCGTCCCTTTACTCGTTTATAAGAACTCCTGCTCCGCCCAGAGTGGCATTGACGCGGCGACCGCCTTGATCCGTACAAGCTTTCACGAGATTTGCAGATTAGAAAATGAGCTCTACATCTTGGTCCCGGACGAGCATCTCAGCGAGACGCGGAGGCTTATTCAGGCATGGAAAGACTTTCGAAGCGCATTGGCAAGATGGAAGTAAGTGATGAGCGTCCATTTCTACAGTTAGAATTGAAATCTGATCTGAGTTGTTTCAGCTATTCTGCGCCACGGTATTTCGGAAAGGTGTTTGAAGGAACCCAGGAAGTTACCGCCACACTTTGATGTATCGAGGCATGATCAGTGCAAGCGATGTTGCGAGTTTGAATGTTTTCAGGATTTGTGGTGTTTCTAGGATGAACAGTTCATTATGATAAGCAAAAAAGCTGAGTTACATGTAAAGACTGGTTCTACTATATGAAATATGACAAAGGACTTTCAGGCTATCCAGCTGGAACTGGAGGCCCTGCTTGCCGATATCTGGCCTGTTTCTCTTGGACTTGGTGGGCGCGTGTACCTGCAACAGACCTTCCGGGCATGTTGTGCTGACCTGGAGATTGATCGCGGAGCGCTTGACTCTGATAGTCACTACCAGTGCCATACATCTGTGGATCATCCTCGCGCTCAGACAGGTGGTCGTTCTCATCTGCCCATTCTGACAGATGTTCTGGATGGTCGGGATACATATCATCCTGGTTCTCAATTTGCTTGCTTCGCTGGGGCCCACGACGCTGAACTCTAGAGTACGGGTCATTGGTGCTAAGTCTTCTAGCAGGAGGCTCTCTCTGAAACGTTGCGTGTTCTTCGTAGTGGAGTTCGTCATATGCTTGCGAAGTGACATTGTATGGAGCTTGGCCTCTTGAGCGGTATGTAGCAGGCTGTGCGGTAGTCGAATATCTCCCGCTGGATGGACCAGGCTGTTGTCGTGCCGCTGGGCGAGGAACTGTTCGACCTCTATTGCTGGTCACCATTCCTCCACGTCCAGATGGATACTTGCTCGCAGATTGAGGTTCAGGTCCGTGACCCCCGAATCCTTCATACTCGACTGGTTCCTGATCACCACCATCCTCTCCGTAAAGGTCATAGCGAACGCCTTGCATGTGAGCCATTTTGGTCTGGTCCACTCGTTGCGCCTTGGCCATGTACCCGTCAAACTCGGTCATGGTTTCATGCACAGTCTTGAAATGTTCGCGGGTGAGAACAGCTGGAAGGTTCTTGCGGCCGCCTTTTTGATCATGAAATGCGATGCAGGAGGCGATCTGAACAGCATTCCGGATTTGGCGACCGTTCCAGGGTCCTCGCCGGTGAGTTTGATAGTGCTTGCTATACTCGTCCTTGATGAAGTCAATGATCTCGCCATCCATGACTTGGATATAATCACTTCCGGGAGTTTCGTCCTCAGGCAATGCGTCGGCTCTGGGAAGTCGCCTTAGGTTGTTGCAGAGTATGGCTTCGGTGTCTGTGTAGCTTAGATGAGGATAGTAGAGACTGACGTGAACTCTAGATCGAAATGCTTCATCCAGCGCTCCGACTCGGTTAGTGGTCAGGAAGAGAATCCCGCTGTAGTACTCTAAAACTCTCAAAAACACTGTCGCAAAATTAGCCAACCGACAAATGTTTGTGGCAAGCGAGGAACTGTGTACCTGAAACAAGAGCGTTGCGCTCGATGTTGAACCGATCTCGTTGGGTTAAGAAAACATCGGCCTCGTCCAGGAGAAGGATACAATCCCATAAATGAGCGTATCGGAAAATCCGCTTAAGTGTTTCCTCAACGGCATCCGGCGTAATCCCCAAGTCACCGCACGTTATTGGGAAAAGGGGCTTGTTGAATTCAAGCGCCACTGCTTCTGCCGTTGCAGTTTTGCCCACCCCGGGGGCTCCATGGAGAAGAATGACCAGCCCTCGTCCTTTTCCTCTGATGATATCTGGATTATATGCCCGTGGGACTGTATCCGATCTGTTCCGGGAACTCCGTAGAAAGTGTGAGGAGACGCTAGACCGGACGATCTTTCTATGGCTATCTTTGATCTGGATGTCGTCCAACGTGATTCTGTCGCTTTCTGCTTTAGACTGCAGGTTCTGCACGTTGAGTCGCATAAACTTTCTCTCACGCAGGACATACCCAAACAGCCTTCTGGGTAATAGAGCGAAGTCCTCGTTTCCCCATTCCTTGAAACAGATCGTACCATCTTTTCGGAAGAAGGGGCTATTCTCATGGACCCGTGTTGCTTCTTGATAATAACTTCCATCTTCTCGCATGACCAAGTGGCCTCTCAATACAACGCACCGTCCCAGGCCATTGTCTTGTTGCTCTTCTTCCTGTAATTCCCAGATTCTGAAAAAGATTTCTTCCTTGTCCCAATTTGTCCATTCGGACCCGATCTCAGGAACTTCTCGATTCACCCACTCGGGGACATGGCGTTCTGCTTCTTTGATGTCAATAATCACTTCGCTTTCGACATACTCCGGTTCAGGGAACACTAGATCCTCTTTCTCAAAGATCCCAGTCGCTAGATTCCATCCAGAGTAGTAAAGATGTTGGACATTTTCTTGGGCAATCTCCTTGAACTTCCGCCCTCTCTCTATATGCTCCTCAAGGATACGGTCTCGCTTAGGGTGGAACTTGAGCGGATAGCAGTTCAGGGAAGTAATTTCCCGCTCCCCTTGAAAGTAGTCAAACGATACCGTGTGCCACGCAGTTCGAAAGCCCTCTCCATCGTAGTCATAGCAGTACATAAACCACTTATTTCTCCCTGTGGATGGGTCTTTCCAGCCTCCTTCCGACAGCTGATACCACACGTCCAAAGGAACGCAGAAATACCCTCGGAATAGGGTTTGAATGGCGGATTGATGGTGTGCCCTTGTGGTTTTCTGAGAGGGAGGAACATAAACAAGTTCCCCGGGCCGAAAAAGAAAAGAGATTTCTTCATAGGACACTTTCTTCGGGGTTGACTTGCTAGGCTCATCGAACTGAGTCCATAAGGGGACAACCAGCTCCTCGACCATGGTGACATAATGCTGCATTTCAGATATCGCTTTGGATTCAGCATTTTCATCATCGTCCTTATGTCGCAACTTCATCATCAAAAGCCGAGATTTCATGGCCCTGTGGTAGTAATAAAAGGCATGAAACGGGCGGCAGAACACGAGGTCTTCTTTCGATGCCGATCCAAGATCAGCGCTCCAGTCGGCGAGCTCGGCGAGATGACGAAGGATCTCAGCGGACCGGATCCGCACTCTAAAGAGGTTTCTCTTTTCGCCGATGCCGTCGGCACGGTCTGATATCATTGCCGGCGTGCCTGTTTGCTCTGCAGGTTTCGTTCGATCCCCGTCGCTGCGCCTTTCAGTTCGTTTCATCTCCTCCATCATCTCCTCCCGTGGGTTAGAGCCGATCATCAGACACTCAATGGTGTGATCCCAGCCGTCATTTTGAACCCGGTTGGTAAAGCCGCGATAGTTGAAGTACCGTACTCCTACGGTTGTTTCGCGCACCTCTTGATCGTTGATCTCCTCGATCTCGAGTTCTGATGAGGACGAGGCGTCTCGTTCCTCTTCTTCAACACCCGATGCCGCGTTTGATGTAACTACTGCTTCAGTTGCGTCCATGGTTGTTGACTGATCCAGTCGTCGCCGCTGCGAAAGGAAAATGGTGAACGTAGATTGAAAGTGACCACGGAGAAAAGCAGGACAGCTTGGTAGTGAGCGGGGAGGAAGATGTTGGTCTGAAAAGCTGACAGCTCGATGTAGAGCTCAGATGTCGTCGCGCTTTGACAGGAAGCTAAGGCGGGAACCATCTCAAACCCCCCCCCCCCCCCCCCCTTATCAAGCCATGGGAGAACCTGTAAGCTAGCCAGCCTTCTTCCAAGAATCCCTCAAGAGCTGAAGTGAGCTGAAATGGGCGTCGTAAGCAATCCTCAACCACGCTCTAATCGAAACGGCATCGACACTGAAGATCCGTGAATTTGCCAATGATCACTCCCGCCGTCAACACTAGCCTTCTCAATCTGTCATAGTGCTTACCTTGATGATAAGGTGACTGTGGACTAATAGATGTAGTTGACAAGGTATTTGTGACTGCATACGAGGATGGCGCTTAAAGGCCGAGGCTACTGCGCCTCAGCCACGCAGTCTGGGACTTGCACGAATCGGACTCTGGGGAATTGAGTGAATGCTTGAGCTGATAGGATTACCCATTACTGGAATCTTCAATCCTTTTGCCCTTCCCCCGCATTGCTAACTAGGAATATTGTGAGCAGTCGAAAGACACCATGCATGTCCTGCTGTCTCTTCACATCCAAGTACTTATTTAGGATACAGTAACTTTCGCGACCAGCGATCGCAGAATGAAAGGACTATTCCACCGCAGCTCAGCTCCAAAACCAATAGTGCAGAGCAGTGTCGAGAAAGCAAAGGAATGGATACAGAAACGTGGCGGGGAGCGTCATCCTGCCTTCGCGGTGGACAGTCAATACGATCCGCAGCGAAAGGAGTACATTCCAACAGAGCAAGGGGCGCTCGAGTAATGAATCCCACCTCTTCATGACCATAGCGTATTCTTGCTAACTAGATGTACCAGGCATCTGAAAGACATAGTGGAAAGCCATGATGCGGATTGTAGCCCGGAAGAGCAGACATTCTCGGAATGTTCTTGGGAGACCGTATTCCAGACACTTGACGACGCGAAGAACGAGTACTCAGCCAGAGGACACTATCAGTCTCATGCAATTATGGGGATGGAACTTGCGTTCAAGATGACCGATTTAATACCATCTGAATATGGGTTATCAGTGATAAAGGGCGTGCTGGGCATAGCCTTTGAGGTAATGATCGAATACCCAAAGAATCGGTTCAACATGAAGTTTAACTCCTTCACAGACCGCAAAAAAGCGCCAAGAGAACCGGAACAAGATTCTTGAAGCATTCGAAAGTATCCCCGGAAGCATTTTATCCATTAACCTCGCTTGTGGTCTGTTAAAGCCCACCGAAGCAGATGAGAAGCTTCGACAGGACTTCCACGTCACCCTTCTGAATCGTATGCCGGAACTGGTTGATATACTTCTAGGCAAGCCAGCCTGTATGGACCATTTCTCTGACCCTTTCTTGCTTGAGCCATGACTCACTGCTTTCGCTTCAGGGTATGTTCGAGTCAGAAGCCACATGACCTTCAAAATTCGCGAAACGATGAAAGTTGATGAGATACTTTCTGAGTGGAACAATTACATAGCGACTCTGAAGGAACGTGTTTCGCGTATGAGGGACCGACTTTGGAGCGAAGTCGCTTATCACAGTGCCGAAGCCCATCAACTGGGAACCCAGGCAAACACTAAGCTTGATAAATTTAGCAATCGGTTTGATGAGATCCAATCAATTATTGTTGCTCTGGGTCCCGCTATTGTGGCTGCAATGAAGACGGAGTTTGGCAATGAGTTCCGCAAGATGGAACGTGCTATTCAGGCCAACGAGCTCGGGGCCAAGGCGCAGACTCTTCTCCTTTATGGATTTGAAGAACTAGAGTATGCGAACAACCAGACTGGTAGTTTTGATCCCCAGGGATCCAATAACAGTAGGTTTATTCTGAGTTTGATTGATTGGGCATCCCATGTACTAATTGGTGAAATTACTCAGTGAACGCGAGCTATTACAGCCATGCATCTAGCTCGCAAGGAGACACCCAGCCACCGCAGATTGAGCCATGCACACTCATCACACAATTAGAGCTCCTGGGTCTCCTCCGCGTATCACCATCATCTGCATTGGCGGACTTAGACTTCATCTTGCAGCAGGCTAGCAGATATCCCGAGTGGTCTCTCCGACAGATATGGTGGCTGACCAAAATGGATGAATTTGTGAACTGGTATCACGGTCCCCAATCCTCATTGCTCCTAGCAGATGGATTTCTGGACTGTGCTTCGTCAGATACGATCACACCCATGTCAATCTTGGACGCAAGCTTTATACTTAACCTCCGCCGAAATGCGTCTCGAATCGTCTTATCCTTTTTTGCCGATCTTTACGATAGCCACGATGCGCAAGAAGACCCAAATGTCACCGGCCCCAGCGGGCTAATCCGCAGCTTAATTGCGCAGCTCCTGTCGCATGAAAGCCTCCCCGATCCAGACCTGGGGTTCCTTACACATGAGTGGATTGAAGCTTGTCGGGATGACGATCTGAAGGCGCTATGCGAGTTGTTCAAGCAGTTAGTCCTGCAGGTACCTCCTGGAATGCAAGTATTCTGCGTTCTCGACGGGTTAGTTATATACGAGGACCATCACACGTGGGGTAGACAGATAGACTACGTCGCAGCTCTCTTCGAACATATTGTGCGGAGCACGAGACATCCTGATACTCCTGGATTCAAGGCGTTGTTCACATTTGCCAACAGGAGTCTGCAAATCTCAGATAGAGTGGATAGATCTCTCGATGTTTGGGGACATGCACCTTTGACAGCTCATCATATGGATGGTATGCCGTTGATGATTTGAGGGTTTGAATATGATTTGTTTTCCGTGGAAACTCCATCGGACCTGCCTATTTCTGCCCTTTTCTGCCTGAGGACACAAGGCCGCTAAGATCAGCGCACGGCCCCCGAATCATCCGACAGACTAGACTTTATTAGGATTAGAGGCGGCCGCCACTGCCGACAGACCCGCCACCCAACAATAAAGTGAGCAACTCCTGGTCTCCTGCAACTCACTGACTGCCATTGATTTTCCCCTCAAAAATCCAGCATGTCGGCCGATTACGGTCGTGAAAAAGCAGTGCAGGTCTGTGTTACCTGCAAAGCGCGCAAGAAGAAATGTGATAAGACGATGCCTCGATGCGGGTATTGCGCCAGGTAAATTATTCTCCGCTACGCTACGGTGGAGTTGGGTATACTGCAAGGACCAGAAACTGAAGACAAATGCTCTACTAGGAAGAATTTGCGCTGCTCTTTTTTGTTATCGGGGCGGGACAAATACCATGGGAGTTATCCTTCTTCATTGGACCTGTTTTCATCACGTCCATTCCCCGAACCGGCTGCAGCAGATGCGAACCTGTATCGCCGAGTCCTTCAGATGATTCACGAGACAGGCCAATTCATCGATGATCTCACAGTGCGTTATTTCCAGGGTCCTCACAATTATCTGCCGATTGTCTCGCGCTCGCGTTTCCAAAGCAATCTTATAACGCTGGGAGCCGTTCCATCCGCTGGGTTTTCTACTCTGTTATTGACGATCTGTTTGACTGCGTCGTCATCGAAAGGAGAGTCGACTGCCGATGGCGATACCCCTGCATTTACAAAAGACCGAGCTCTTTATCTTGCAACAAAATCCCTGCTTTCCCGGGTTCAGAGCTCCAACCCACCCTGCATTTCTCTAATCCAATCCCGCCTCTTGCTAGCTCTTTATGATTACACAAATCGTCGGCCAGAGGAGGCATTTGACGCAATTGCAGGGTGTGCCCGCATGGCTTATGCCGCCCGAATGCATCTTAACTGCCGCCCCATGGAGACCCACACTGATCCAGATGCGCAAGCACGGGCAGAAGCAGTCAATACCTGGTGGGGAATTGTGATATGCGAGCGGTAAATCCCTTCATATCGGTGCCTTTTTCGCCGTGCTAGTGGCTATTGCTAATTCAATGCCTCCTACAGCACCTTTTTCTGCGAAGTGGGATTTCAGGAACAACCCCTTATCACCACAATACCGAATGACGCCATTCTCCCTTCAGGCACCGGGGACCAAGGACAGGATGGTTCACCTTTATCTTACTTGACTACAACTGCCATATACCCCGGTGGCAATTCTAGCGGGTTTGATCGTTCCGTCCAGGCTGTTTGGCTCCTAGATAAAGTCATCAGGAGCTTCGAGATCCCGGATCTTGATTCTAAACTCGTTCAGCTCCAAACCTTGGACAATAATATCCAAGGTTTTCTGACCGAGCTCATGCGGCAATGTTATTCTCAAGAAATCACGAGTGAATATTGCCAATCAATTGCCATTACAATCAGGTAAGTCTGGGACCATCGTTTTCTAGACATCTTTCCAAAATCTAACAAACATAGGACACTTTTGAAGCTACATTCTCACGTTATAGAGCAACTGGGCCATGTGCCCGTTTCCCAGGACCCGACGCTGCAAAGCCGATATCAAAAGTCCCAAGCAGCGCTCGATACTATAGCGCAAATGGTCCTCGACATCATCGAGATTCACCACACCCCGCCACCGGATATAATCCCTCCTAGCTTTTCGTACATGACCAGAGCCGCGCTTGCATACGTACGGGAGCAGAAAGATTGGCAAACTGATAGCAAGCTGCACAGCGCGGAAGAGCGAATGCGTGAATCCCTGCATTAACCAGCCATGGTGCTAGTGTTGTTCTCCAGATTTGACTTTTGTTGAGACACTCCAAAGCGATATATGTTTGAGCTCGATGCGAGGCACAACAGATTTGCTGGATTTTATTATGAGCAGAGTCATGTAGTATTTTGTATTTAATGTTGACTAAGGTGTTTCTGCGCTGTCGTCTCCAGGACTTTAAGCCCGATGGCTAGAAATATCCTTTTATTGTGGCTCTGCCTCATGATACCATTAATCAGCTGCTTCTTCAACAACATCCGATGTGGTGTAATGGTTAACATCGCCGTCTCTCACACGGCAGCTCGGGGTTCGATTCCCCGCATCGGAATAACTACTTCTTCATTTCTTTTTTCTACATTTTTTTGTACCCTCTTAAAGCAGCGGACCTTTTTTTCTTTCTTTCTTTATTTTTTCCTCTCCCCCTCACTTTTCAAGTCTTCCTCTTACCCAAACACGCGGCCAAGCTACAACCTCCGTATGAACATCATCAGCTCGAGAATATATAGTTCGGCAACGAACTGCTACGGCAACCAACATCCTGGGGCCACGACATAATGCATAATGCATGAATTTAAAGCCGCCTTGTACATATACATCACAAGTACGTCTCCAACCGACGCAGGAATCCATTTTTGATCTAGTATTTCAGCAAGGGTGTGGCGGGTGCAACTCCCGACGGCCGACAGCAACCAGGAACTAAACCTCGTTTGATATAGTACCAGAGGGACTGGGTGGAGCACTGGAGATCAGTGTTCCGAGGACCGGTACTACTACAGAGTAAGAAGCTCTTTCTTCGGCCTATTAGTATGTCCCTAGTGATGTTCAATTCCCTTGTTTCCTTCCAAGAACTGTTGTGTTGGTTTGTTGTTGGTCGGCCAGGCGATGACATAATCCAGTGAGTTGTCAGGTGCTGCAGCCTGAGGCCGCCGCAGCCTTGTGATGAACCACAAAGGTGACACGACTCCATCTCGCATCTCCATCAATGTTTTGGCCTCCCAACAATGAGCTCAGAACCACGGGCCATGACACCCCATGACTCTCATCATGGTGACTTCCCGCTTCCTGCACCGGCTGTTTCATCGCTCTTCCAACCCTGATCCCGAACCGCACCAGCGACAACAACAACCGCAACCGCCAGCATCACCACGCCCGATTCCAGCTCCGGCGCCCTTCAACACCGTCCCCAATTGGTCACGTGCTATCATCGACTCGATCGGAATCAACGTCTTGACCTGTCGCAATTATGGCGACCGCGCCAATTCCCGTCTACTGCCCGTTCTTCCTCCCGACTATCGATGCCTGGGCGAAGACCCCGACCGAGCAACCCGGAAGATCAATGTCCAGGACCGGAGCGCCTTTTTCTCTCTACCGCTCGAAATTCGCGAATTGATCTACCTCTATCTCTTGGGAAACCGTCGCATTCATGTCGATTTTGATTACCATCCGCGAAAGGGACGCTGGCGGTGGTGGTACCGCGTGTGCGACGACCCCCAACACTGTCCCGATAAATCCGACCCGTTCGTGTGTCCGGAGTATGCGGGGGCGGAGGAGGCGATGTTGGAGCTGGGCTCGAGCGCCTGGGTGAAACCAGGGTTTGAATACAAACTGCATGCGATGGGCTGGTTGACGTCTTGCTGGAGAGCGTGAGTCTCGTTGGTTGCAATTAGTATTGCCAATTGAGATACAGACACTAACAGGACTCATTGCGCTAGGTATCAAGAATCGGTATTGATATTGTATCAGTCTAACTGTTTCGTCCTCACGCACGGCATTGACCAGCTTTTCCGGTTCTGTCGGATCATGCCTCCGTACCACCTCTCCTTGATCACGTCCATGAGCATCGAGATCGATATCTATCGCGCATCCAAAGGGCCGCCGGAGATGGAAAGGCGATTTCAAACTTTCTACGATAGCTTTTTCGACCTGCTTCATCATTCGCTTCCGAATTTGAAGAACCTCCGGCTCTCCATTGCTGGGTTACCGAATCGAGGACAACGGGAAATACAGTGGTCGGAAGATACAGAATGGAAATGGATCGGGCCTTGGGAGAGTCTGGGTCAAAGCCGGCAATGGAGGGTCCTAGAGATTGCTGTCCCGAGGACCTGGATTGGGGACTTTGAAGACTTGGTATGGAGACGGAGCAAGTTATCGGAAAAGGAAAGGTACAAACTCGTCATGGGAGTGGATCTCTATCCGCGAGGGTGGTGATCTCCCTTCCTTATCGGTTCCTCTTGTTGATTGGAGTGTTGGTTCGCTACGAAGCGTGATCGACAGGGCGTTTCCACGGTCAGTGGGTCTGGAATAATTCCACATGGCTGGATGGCTTTTGTTTTCCATTTATTTATGGCACTTCTAGGTCTAGAACCAGCGGATCCCAATCATTTAACAGTCGTTTTGCTCTTCGTCGCAAAATTCCTTACCACGCCCACAATGTCGAATCGGCCTTCAAACGCTCTGCAGCGTCACGTCCAATGTTCATCGAGATATCGACTCCGTCATCGCACCAATGCCTTTCTCCTGCGGAATCTTTCTCCAGCGCAGGCCTTCCTTCCATCAACCAGATCATCCCATCCAAGTCCGGCATTTTGATATCGACAAACCGCGCCTTGCCCCATCTGCCCCCAAAGTCCACCGCATACAGATTCAAGTGAGCCCAACTGGTGAAGATCATATTCCGGGCGCCGAGGAATCCTTCCCAGAATCGCTGCGGCGCAGATTCGAAGCACAGATCATAGATACGTGCCTGCAGCGCCTCCTTCGTGTACAGTGCCAAAGTACCGTTGATCTTTCGTGCCACATCACCCACCGCCAGACCGCCGCTTCCCTCCTTTCCTGTCGTCGTGATCGTCGTACTGAGGATAGGGCTTCCCACGAAGGAACTGGGCAGACCGAGCCGTTTCCTCAGTCCAAAGATAACATGCAGCGAGACGTTCCGATCGTCATCGCTCCATCCGCGCGCCTTGTTCACCGCTCGCCACACGTGGGCGAGGATTGCGTCGTGTCGACTTACGCCTTTCCCGGCCGCTTGCCAAATTCGTTCCGTCTCGGCCGATGTGAAATGCAGTTTAACATGCGAGATAGGCGCGTTGAAGTCCCAATCTTCCATGGGCGGTTTGACGCCTGGGGACGTGATCATGTCGCGAGTCAATCCCGGAGGAAGCAAGCGGTCGGGATCATCACCGTCTGCGGGCCACAGGTTATCGTGTCGCAGAGAGGGTAAGCTGCGCGATCTTTCCAGGACCGACGGGTCCGGCGTCGTTCCGTCGATGTCGCCTGGTGCACATCTGTCCAGCAGCTGGGGTTCGTAGAGAGGTTGAGCAGGAGGGGAGACAACGGTCTCGGACAACGTGGAGCTTGCGTCGCAGAACAGCACGGTATGATCATATGACCAGCGATGGGCCACCATAGCCAGCGTGTGCGCATCAGCCAGGGGATGCGTAATCATCAAACCGATCGCGACCGCACCGCAGGCGAATTTCGTGACTTGAACCAGCGCCGCCGGCGTCGGTCCTTTCGGTGCGTTTCTGAAAAACGGAAGCTTGGACATGTCCGGCAGAAAGAAGGCAGGGTAGGCACTAGACGAACCCCAGGCTCGATTTGCGGGATCCTGTCGCTTCTCGTGGCTGGGGATAAGATCATCTAGCTTTTGGTCGCATTTGGCCGTGTTGAATTGCACGCCGGGGTCGGTCGCAGCGCCGTATGTGATTTCAAGTCGGGCGTATCGCTTCGTGTGATCGCCATTCGGATCATATTCCACCATCTTAAGATGACCAGCGAAGTGAGGGAAGACGGACAGCGTGACTTGTAGCGACTCTTTCAACTGCGCGACCACCTTCTCGATATCATCCTGTCCGTCGCCCTCGAAGAACCAAACCGCCGACGACGGACCATAGTGCATAACCATTGCATCCACCACCGACAACGGCACCGTCACCTCCTCATGCTTGGTCCTTGGATAAACCCGACTGGACTCAAGCACGTCCACCTTCGGCTTGTCCAAATCGGCTGATTCTGACGCCATCTCGAAAGTCTAATCACACGCCGAGATAAGATGACCGACAAGAGGATTGATTTGATTGATTAGATTGATAAAAAAAAGAAAGTTTTCCCTCAGGCCCAAGTCGTCAGAAGTCCATGGAACATTTCTCATATATTAACATTTTTTTTTTTCACTCCTCCAACAACCGCAGTCGCCACTCTTCCTGTATCAATAAGCGATGTCTCACTCAGCGGCAAGATCCGAACGATTCCTGCCCTCTGATTGGGACGGCGGCTCTTGGCGGAGATGGCGTTCTTGTGACTGTGGTCCCCTCGTCATTAGTAATGTCTAACCGTTGGAGTCTTTTTACTCCGTAGGGGATTAATTTCCGATCTGGGAGGGTCTTGTTGGACACAGCGTGGTTCTGATTGCTTCGGAGGCGGGGTTTCTTCGGACTCCGTGCCCCGTGGGTACCTTCGTTTCTTGGAGATGCACACAAGAGGTGTATTGTGGATTGTGGGACTGTTCATGTCCATAGGGCTCACACAGGGACCCTGAGGATCGGTTTCAATTTGATTCTGATTGCGATCAATGGGTTGTGTGTTCAAGCTCGACATCTTGTGTCGGTAATTCTTTATGATGAAAACATTAAATGAGCCTTAACCTATTCCAATATGGGGAAATAGCAAGCTACAACTTCCATGTGAATTTAAAAATTTATAATTAATTTTTGTTTCTACGAAAAAGTGGCAGCTTACTCTATTAATGCCCTTTTTATCGGCAGATAACACTGAAATCATTCGCCTTTTAATGAGCCTCGTGCTCTGTAACCCCACCTCCTTGGACTACACATTAACTTATTTGCTCTATTTCGAACGCGTTTACATCCTTAATTCCCTAAAATCTTCCTAATAACTTTATTATAGCCCTCTAAACCCCACTGAACCACCAAAATAGCCTCATTTACTACCCCGCCAAGCCGACAAGCATGGCTGTCTGTTCAGGAGTTGGGAGTGCCTGAAAATGGAAATATCCTCCCTGATGCGCTGGGTCGTATTCTATCGTAGACGGTCGCATAGTAGATTCAGCCTGCTGTTTAGGATAAGGCGTCATATGACGTTTGAGGGCTCTGGGAGTGGTCAAATGAGACAGGTAAGATAGCGCAAGGCACATTCCTGTAGACCAGAGCCTTGACTCCAGCTGTTGCACATCCCTCTAATACAGCTTGCAGCTAAAACAATCATAGTGTATGTACAGGTCACTGATAACCCCGTATCCCGAGGATTGGATAGCCCGAGACTGCTCAGCCTCTACAGGGTGACACTGCATAAATAACCCACGCACCACAGCGTAGGTCTTCAAATACACTTTATTGGGCTTGAAGAAGTTGAAAATAGTCTGTAGCATGTGACCTTACGATGAAACCTTAATAGCCATGGAGGCGAGCTATATCAGTGGTCAGTTAGTGTTGTTTCACACTACACCAACAGAGGGACGGGAAAGGGTGGTTGTACGGGGCAAAGATCCGCAGCGTCGGAGGCAGTGCAGCTCATAGGACGTGGTGCCTATTGTCTGAAGTTATGAGACCTCCTTCTTTCAGGATTTGATGTTGTAGAACACAGCTCTCACCTTTTAAAATGGACCGAGCGCCCCGCAGCGTTTGGAGGCTTTACGTTGCAGCCGTTGGTCTGGTTGTATCTATTCCAGCGTATACCTGCAGTGTCACCGTCGCTCATAATTGGGCCAAGCGGGCAATGGTTGATAGTGAACACAACCTTGTCAGAGAGCCTCGCAGCTCTCACATGGTTGAATCCCGGTATCTCATTTGGCAAAGGCAGAAAGCTCTGCGGTAGGTCACTCTTTACTATGAGTGGTGCTGGCCTCAGAACCAACAAAACACTGTTGCACAGTATTATTGTGATATGTGAGATCAAGATATGGGATAGATGAATTTAAGATGAATTTATTTAAGGTGAAGGTGTTTATGTTTCGAGTTGCCTTACATATTTTCTTTTTTTGTCTCTGCGCCTGCGGCTTACTGCTAGATAGTGATATTGTGTGTATGATTGTCCTGCAGGTTGGCCCTTGATCCCTGATGCCGAGTCACATCTCCATCTGACTCCAGTGCTTATTTTTTCTGTTGCCAGGCCCGGAGAAGAAAATTAAAGTTCCATGTTTCACGAAGTAGTTTTGATGGTTGCCTCTTTATGAGCTGGGCTTATCATGGCTTCGAGGATAGATTATATAGATCTTAGTGACAATGCTTGTTCAGAACGACTCTTCATACTAACCTTATTCACGATGATCCTTATTCTGCGTTTTTACCCTATGGGCCTCAATCAGATCGGATACACCACAGTAGTGGTGACTATCCTATTCCTAACCCTGTCAGTGATTGCCATCGGACTGCGTGTCAAGGCGCGGCATCTTAAACGTGCTTCTCTCGGCCCAGACGACTGGTTTTCTCTGGCAAGCACGGGCTTCTTCTTCGCCTTTTGCGCAAACATCATGGTGTGTGTCTTTACCCGCGGAAGCGGACAAGTCTATCAAGACCCTGCAGAATCCGAGCGCCAAAAGGTCATGTATTTGAAAGCATTATATGCCATTACCCCCCTCTACGTCGTGGATGTCACTCTCGTCAAACTCTCCATACTCTTCCTTTACCGCCGTATATTCTCCAATTGCGAGTCTCGCCGTACCAATAGCTTCGTCATTGCTATCTGCCTGTTCTGGTTCTCGATCGCAGTGATAAGCGGCCTGCTGTATTGCAGACCCATACGCCAACAATGGGATCCGCACGCGGGAGGAGATTGCTTCGACTTCAGCTTGTACTTTCTCATTATGACCCTTGCCGACTTGGTGATTGACATCGTTATTCTTTCGTTCCCAATCCCACCGATCATACGACTGCGTCTGCCCTTGCGCAAGCGAGTCGCAGTTGCGGGTATTTTCCTGCTAGGTGCCTTGTGAGTGACATCGACTATCAACTGTATTGTCCAAGATTAACCTGACCCAGTGTTCTTGTCACCGGAGCCGTGCGGATTTCCTACGTGTACAGACACGGTGAGAGACACGGTAAGTGGCGTTACAGTCCGGGAAACCCCGACTTCGCCTGACCCAGCCAGTGGCCCACGCAGACGCTATTCTCTGGTCCGTGATCAACCTCGGCATTGCAATTATTTGCGCCTGTTTGCCAACATACCCACCTCTACTATCTTTATTCCGCCGCCAGCGCCAGGGTAGTTCTAAACACGGCGCACAGAGTCCCCGTGGTATCAACAGCTCTAGTGCAAATCGAACCTACAACCATGTTCAAGGGGAAAGGTACTATTGGAGGGTAGAGCAAAGCTCGAGTGACGCCATTTTACTGGACCAATTCGGCGGTTCACGGTGGGAAAGTGACCAAATGTCGGGGATTCATGTGCGGCGTGATGTTGAGGTGATTGAGAACATATTATAGTTTGTGTTCGACCTCGCCAGGATCAGCCCAGATGAGTACCCTCTATAACCCATAAAGCAAAAAAGATTGACATGTTATTGCCCGATTCTAACCTGCCAAGAACCTATGGGGCCCTTGACAGACTTAATGTTGGGGAAAAGAGCACACTGTAACTTCTATATAATGTATTCAGATTGGAAAATTTTATTCACTTCCCCCCTTGATTTCGGGCTTGACTCATTCCTACCATCTAGTTGGGTTCCAGAAGGAAAAGCGAACATCCGATCACCGCCTAAAAGGATCTGCCGGACCACTTGGTCCGTGTGTCACCTCAAGAATATTCGCCACTTGTTGTGCTCTTGTAGAAATATGCTATTCTGCGCATCTCAGGGCACTTATTTTATAACTTGACGGGAAACCGTTGGTATATTTTGTCTAGCAGAGTAAGCTTAGATGGCTTTGTTCTGATGCTCAAGTGAATCATCTGTGTCCTTGTTGTGAAGAGCCTTGATGAGGCAGATATATATCCGATCCTACCTTGGCCCGCTTTCATATTTTAATCCCAGAGAGGTGCCTTAGAACAGGCTCGAATATCACGGTAGATATTAAAAGAATTAAGCAAAAAATGCGTTCTGAACCTTCAAAGTGCCATTTGCTGTGCTTGAGGCAGAATACACAATAGGTTAATAAAATGTTCGCCACACATTCTCTTGGCAGTCGAAGGCAGACTACTAATGAAACCGGGATGTTCAACGTCGATCATTCCGACCAAGATGATCGACATCATAATCACCGAATTGGGAATTATGGAGCGCTAGGCTGCGATGCTGCGATGCTGCGCCATGTGGAAGGTCTCTCTTCGCCCATGAAACATAAACCTTGGCATATGTCAGGAGGCTTGGATACGAGGCCTGATCCTCGAGAAGAAGGTATATATATGGGCGAGTTAGCAAGGTTGAGTTGGACAAGTTTATCTTCACTCACAACCTATCTAACAGCCTATCTATATAAATCTATATTCATCTCTTCGTGAAAGAAACCCGGGATCTATATACCCTGCTCTAGATCTAGCGTGGTAAGCTTGAGCTTTTGTTCACAGGTCGAGAATGCTATACTTACAAGTCTTGACAGTGTACTACACATCGAAAAACCAAACAATAACACACAATGTGCTTCGGATCCAGCAAAGACTCCGACCCCTACTGGTGGGGCTACATCGATGACGGACAAGGCTGGACAGCCCGCCGCAAATCCGAGTATATGAAGACCCCGGAATACAACAAGGAGCTTCGACGGCAGTTGCGTCGGGAGCGTAAGGCAAACAAGGGCCGCGTTCCAGTCCCTCAGGCTGCTTATGGGCAGGGTGGGTATGGGCAGAGGCCTTATTAGGCTGGTGAGATTTCACTGGAGAAGAGGGGTTTGTTTGTCTAAGAGTGTGGGATATGGATGCCATTTTATTACTGCGATGGACATATGTTTGATGATTGCACTTGATTATAGAGGTCCAAGTTTGGAATTACTCGATTCTGTTTCTACGAAATTAGGTCTGGATATCAATATACTAAGAAATAAGTTCATTCATTGTATTGGAATCGCCTGATCCGAGGCCAGTGTCGCCAAGAACACAGAGCAACTTCAAGCCATTGAATACTAGATCAAACACTCCGCTTCTTGCTCTTTGAGAAGGCTCTGTACTCCTGTAATATCTAATCGATATTTTTCCGGTGGCATACCCGTTCATGGCTGGTCTTCCTCATGATCATGCCATTGTGACCATAAACGAAACGCCGCGGGTTGAGGAAAGTTGCATGAGGTAATTTACGTGTACACGATGAGGAATTTGCTTGAAACAAATCGGCAAAATAGCTAATTATCAGATTATATTTGTGCAGTCTGTATAGACACGCTTCCCCGCTAGGTTAACTGCTAAATTAGATGTAAAATAGCCCAAGAATTATGAACAGAAAGTTAGATTGGTCTTCCCCAAACGACAGCAGAATCCCTTGATAGGCGCTGTATTACATCATTCTGAAAGAAACAATGTCGCAGACAGATCCATCACACACGCCACCACTTTTCAAACCAGATTACAACTCATCACACTTCTCCACGTAGTTCTGGAAATGCTTCGGGAAGTCCTCATCCCACAGCGCAGGGCTCTTGGCATACTCCTCAACCTTCTTGCAGGACTTCTCGTTCATGTGCTTGGTCAATTTAGGAAGCTCGTGGGCGGAAGAGGCGTGGACTTCCTTCCTGGCGCATTCCATGAACGGGTTGATTTTCTCGGCGTCGTCGCAAAAGTGGGCTCTGCCGTCGATCTGATCATGGCATTGGGATTCCACGCTCTTGAAAATCGCGTCGATATAGTCGACCATAGCTTCCTTGCCTTCGGGGAGCTCGGTTCGCTTGGATCCGTCCTCGACGATGGGCTCCAAGACGGCTTGTTTGCCGTACTTGCTCCAGTGGCCGAGCTGGGGCTTGCAGCCGGCCGCGCAAGAGTGTTCCTGGACGTGCTTCAGGATCTCAATGGGAAGTTCCTGCAGCGTGTTCATGGCGCTGAGGCAGGAGGTGCCCAGGACGGCGACGGCGCCAGGAGCAAGGCTGAGGCCGGCGGCAAAGGCTAGAGCAAGGGCTTGAGAGGGTCTCATCTTGAAATGGAGGAAGTTGAGATGGAAATTGTGAGACAGGAGGGATGGAAAATGAGCGGAGGGATGTAGATTTCTGTTTGCCTTGAGTGGAATGCAAGTCCTGGTCTTCTGCAATATGGGAGAAATGAGGCAGGTTTATATAGATCTGTACCTCAAAGGATAATCACTGAAGAATGAGGATTTGCAAAGTTGCCCCTGTCTTAGGATCGTCAAAATAATTTGGTATTATTTGGATTGACCCCGTAGGCCTATTGAAAGGGTAATTGTTCCGATGAGATTGAATGGCATTGGCCATGAAAATCACTTTGGGATGCTGATGGTACTTGCTGCATCGAATGATCGGAGACATCATTGGATCGGGGATGCAGGGGTTAGGGGGCATGTTTGCTGGTACCTGAACATCCCTTGCATGAACCCCCCGCGTGTTCTGTTCGAGGTGACATCAGAAAGTGCCGAGAGAGGTGGCTTGATAATACGAGGGGATTATTGATTGTGACGCATAAAATCAAGCAACTTGGTGCAGAACATGTGAATATTTCAAACAGGCCCCTAGCTTCAGCTGAAAAGGAAATAGATCACGCACAATTTCGTAGGATAGGGACAGCCACGTGAGCTGGTCGAACATGGCAGAGCGAATTAAACCCATCCGGCGGCGTTTTAGTATAATTCTTCAATTTAGGATAGGAAACGACTCGCAATGCTTGGTGTTGATCTGGTCGGGAAGACGATTGGGGCATTGGGATCTCTGGGTACCATTCGGGGAGAAGCCCTAGCAAACTGTAAGCTGCCATCCCCACAGTTCCTCTGTGCCCTTGACTATTGGCTGCCCACTCTATATAGCAAGTCACATGTAGGTCAAATGGAAGATATCACAATGTGACTAGTATGTTGGCACTTTCTGTTGGCGTCACGCTGCCCCTGTTATGGTTGTTTGGTATATGACGTATCCTTCGAAGGAAACTCCGACTTCCTGGGACTCATCAGATTTCAGGAACATGATCAATGATTGAACGAAAAGAGAACTCTGATGCTGATCATCTAAGAAACTAGGATTCGAGTACGGAGTAGTTCTCATTCTCATGGCTGAACAGGTATTTTTTTTGTAGATAATACGGAGTATCACAGAGTCTGTTAATTCAAGAAAAGCTTCCCGCATGAAGATACATTGTCATAGAAGCCGAACCAATCGTAAGATAGTATCTGATGGTCGAAACCGAAGTGTTTGAGACGTTGATGTACGGAGTACGAAGGTGAGAGAGAGAGAGAGAGAGAGAGAGAGAGAGAGAGAGAGAGAGAGAGAGTGCAAGAGCGGGAGATACAGGCAGAAAATATGCCACGTGATCAAATCGCGTGTCGGTCGCGTATTCCTTGATCCAGAAACTATCTTTCCTCTACACCAATTCCATCACTCCATCTATCAGTGTCATCCTCGAGACATCCTAAGCCGTGGCACCATCTTCATCCTTCACCCCGTATCTAACGCGCAGAGATTCCGTCACTAATTTCGAGATATTCCCCACGGTTCTGGCCTTGATAATGTCTCCAAGCGAGACCTCCACCTCCACCTTGCGGCGCAGCCAATGCTTGATCTGCAGGCTCATCAGAGAATCCACCTCAAGACCAACATAGTGGGCTAGCCCCGTCTCCTCTGACAGTCCGTTATGTGATGCGATCTGCTCCCCGAGATTTTCGGTGATCCAAGTCTCGCATGTGCCGTCTTTTAGAGGCGTTGGATCTTCTCGGAGTGACGCGAGTTTCCGCTGCAATTGCTCTTCGTCGATTGCCCCGGCGGCCGACGCGTCCGCCCCTGTAGGAAGAGTCGAAAATCGCGCATCCTGTTTCAGCCATGGGTTGCTGGTAATAACGGCCGGCGAAAGTCCTGACACCACCACTGCCGGGCGCGTCGAAGATAAGCCATCTTTTGCCGAGAGTAAAGCTACCTGGAACGCCTTTAGCACATCCCCTTCTCCCATCATGTGGTGGAAGGTTTGCCGCGCTTTAGTCAGGAGCTCCGGCTTGTGTGACATGAGACCCATTTCATCAACGGGGCCCAGGCTGACCAGCGAGGCCGGTAAGCCTAGTCCTCGACGATACTGTACAAACCCGTCCAGGAACGAGTTTGCAGCGGCATAATTGGCCTGTCCTGGGTTTCCGATCATGCTAACTGCAGAGCTAAAGACTATGAAGAAGTCTGGTGATTGGTCCTGGAGAGCATTGTGAAGATTCCAAGTTCCTTGGACCTTGGTTGCCAGACTCGTGGTCCAGTCCTCGTACGACATCTTGTCGAATAGTTGGTCCTGAATATTTTGTTAGCAATTTGGCCCTTCAAAACCATGGATCCCAACTCTGATTACCTTCAGAATAGCTGACATCTGAATAACGCCGGCAATCGGACGTGTATTTTGTCGAATCGCGCGCTCAACGGTCTCTGGATCCGCGACACTTCCAGCCACCATAACCACGCGGCATCCCTGGCTCTCCAATTCTCGAGTGAAAAGTTGATCTTCTTCATGAGATCCTGCAGATCGCGAAAGGAACACGAATTCGCGAGCACCATGCTCCACCATCCACCGAACAATGGCTCGGCCGATCCCTCTCAAGCCACCAACAAGCAAATACGAAGACGTCGGAGACAAAGTAAATCTCGGCTGCGCGGGAAGTAATGGAAGCTGGCTCTCGTCATCAGGCATCTCAATGACGAACTTTCCAATGTGTTGTCCCTTTTGCATCTGTCGCATGGCAGCTTCTAAATGATCTACTTTGAACATCGTATGCTCAGGCCGGCGTGTTGTTTCCCCAAAGAGCTGACACCCCATTTTAAGGGCCCTGTTGAAAGCAAGTTAGCTCCTGCAAGGCGTCAAAGGAAGGGTTGTTGCAGAGCGTACCATTGTCCGGTTTCTACATCGTCATAAGCCACGCTGTATAGATCGAAGCCGCAGAATGACCGACATCCCTGAAATCCATTAAGATCAAGCATGCCATGACCCAATATGTCTCTCTTTCCGATCTCGAGAAGTTTGCCGAATTGGGCGACACATTTCCATGATGCACGGAGAAGCTCCCCGGCCAATGAATTGAGCACCAAATCGACGCCCCTGCCATTGGTCTCCCTCATGATGCCCGGCAGAAACGAAACACTATGTGAATCGAAAATGTGCGAGCGCGGAATTCCGAATGACTCGATTAAATATTCAATCTTCTCTTCGCTGCCGACCGAGACGAAAACCTGTTTTTCTCGTTATTAGGACGCTGAAAACATCAGTGGGGTGGTTGGAAATACCTCGGCACCCATGCTTTGGCAGATATGGACTGCCGCTAGCCCGACTGCACCACACGCAGAATGAATCAAGACAGATTGGCCCTTCTGCAACTTTCCAATACCTACCAGTGTGCATATAGCCGTTGAATAGGCACTTGGGATGGCGGCGGCCTCTGCCAGCGTGAGCTCCTTGGGGACGGGGAAGACTCGATCAGCCGGGAAGACTGCCAGGGTTTTCATGGGTTGCGGATCAAACAACGCTACTTGGTCGCCGACTCGGATGGTTGTCACCTCCGATCCCACGCGAGTAACAATGCCACTTCCTTCAAAGCAAAAGTCCATTGTCTTGGTCCGTTCGACAACACCCAAAGACATCATAAGGTCTTTGAAGTTTAGCGCCATATAACTGGTCTTGACTTCGACGTCGTGTGAACCGACCTCCTGCGCAGGAACGGGTTTCCAACCAAGCGTGCTCAAGTCGCCGATTGTTTGGATGTCCAACTGATGGGCATTTAGTTGGTCTGTGACCTGGAGGTGGTCTACAACCTTGGTGACGTTTGCACGACCAGTGTGGCCCACACCCCTATGGAGAATGAACTCGAAATCGCGAGTAGTCTGTCCCCCAATTGGCGTCCCGAGTTCTTTGTACGCCTGCGTTACCGCAGGAAGCGCGGCCTCGTCAAAAGAGTCGATCTCACAAGTGCCAATGTCGACATTCAACTCACACCGCAATGTGCGAGCGAGGCCAAGAATGAGACTGAACCGAGGGTCCTTGGATTCCATCTGGACTGAATGGGTCACCCAAAGGAGACTTTTGACCGAAGACATCCAACTCTGGATTGAATTGTAAGCCGCCTGGGATATGTCATAAAGGAATGGATTTTCAAAATCAAGTAATGCAATCACATTCTCGAGGGGAAACTCTTCTCCGAAAATGCACCAACGCACGTCATATCCGTGGGAACATAGGTGATCCGCCAGATTTTGTATCCACGCGTGTGATCTTGTCTCTGCTGTGCATACCAGGTTAATTGACGAGGGTCGGGAATCAACCGCGAGATTTGTTGAAAGCATCACTGCTTGCCAGTGGAGTGGCGCCGGTGCATTATATTGGACCCCGTCGAGCCCCGAGAAACCTGCCTGGCATAACTCCTTTCCCCAACGCTCCACGGAGACGTGCGGCTTATCAACCCGATTGTCACCCGCACCTAACCACCAACCCGGCAGTAATCCCATGATGACATCGACATGTGGAATTTCAGAGCAGGGCTCGTACAAAAGCAACCGTCCCCCGGGCGCAAGTAAAGAGCGGATGTGTGCCAGCGACTGACTAAGAATGGGTGTTTCATATAGAACATTGCACACAACCACCAAGTCGTAACTGTTCTTTGTGAAGCCTTGATCTGTTGCACTCTTTGAGATATCCAGCGTTGTGCATTCAAGCTTTGGTACGCCTTCAAAACGCTGTTTCAACTGACTGACAAGCCCAGGTATGGCGTCAGTTACCATGTATTGACTATAAAGTCGTTCGCCGTTCTCGGTGATTAACCCATCCAAGATTCTCGCTGTCGACGAACCTGCCCCGGCTCCGACTTCCAAGATCCGCAGGCCTGGATTCGCGTGAGTTAGAGGGCCGAGGAAATTGCGCCAGTCGTAGAGTTCAAGGCCCCACTCGACAAGGCCCTTGATGGCCTCCAGGAGTGAGGTGTCTTCAAATACAGTCCCCTCTATGAACTGGTTCGGATGCTCACTAGCGTACGCCCAGGCGTCATTATAGAATCGTTCCACTCTCGGATCCGGAAATTGACCTTGCAAAGATTTGAATAGGGCCCTTCGCTCTTCTCTGCTCATACCTTTCAACTCCCTCATTTCGGGAACTTGATCGTACTCACCCAGGAGAATCTTTCTGCTCATGTCCATAACGAGCCGTTTATAACTCGCTAGGTGTGCAGGGAGCTCGGTATGAGGCTCTAAAACCTCAGCCATCTGAAATATAAAGAGGAACCCTGCAATAACCAAGGATCGTGCCTTCTCCTGTTCCAAGACCACGGGCGATGGCACTTGTTGGGTTGCCGGAATAAACCTAATGTCCGGTTTCCATTCAACATGAGTTGCAAGCTTCGATCCTTTGCTTTCCTGACCGGCTTCTGGTATGGGCAATAAACGCAATCCTTTCATTTCTAAAACAGCGTTACCCGTTGACTCAGAAACCACCTTGAAGTATCCACTGAGGCCCTCTTTCGTTGGATCGGTGGTCGTTGCCTCGATTAGCATGGAATTGCTACCTGGGGCCAGATAGATCCGGTCGATGTACAAAGGCATGCCCGCCTTGTCAGGATAGTGCGAGACACCCTTGTCACTGGCAACTAGCATCACTTGAAGGCACTGATCCACGATGGTTGGATGTATTGCGTAGTAACTGTCGTGAAGTTCGCGGTCATCTTCCACGCGTCCACGGGCCGCATTCTTCAGTGGACTAGCGGTGATGTCATGCAGTCCTTCAAACCGGGGGCCATATTCAAGGCCCTTTTTCTCGCACCTGCGGTACCATCTGTGCGACGTAACTTGCCGGGTGAATGGCTCCGAAATTGTGTTCGATGGAAGAGGCTGATCGTTGCCTCCCCGAGCCTTTCCGGAGCAATGCTTCGTCCATCCTTGACCGTTGTAGGAGCAAACACTGAACTCATACCAGTCCGAGTCCATCGTTGCGTTCATTGTGGCTTTTCGCAATGTTGTCATGATTTCAATATCTTCATCATCCCGGACGAGGGCCTCCATTAACAAAAGCTGCTCTAGCGTGCAGTCAGTTGAACCAGTTATCTGGCGTATAGCTTCCGAGATCAGCGCCACGTATCCCACAGCTGGGAATACGACAAGACCCATCATGCGATGCTGACTGATCCATGGAACCTCTTCGCCCTTGAGGATATTTCGCCATGCAGGCTCGAAGTCGTTCGATTCCAAGCATCGCACCCCAAGAAGTTCATGACGCGGAAATTGGCGCAAACGCCAGTGTTTACTGATGCGTGATTCTGCCCAGGGGATGTCTTCCCGCTGCCATGGGTAGGGAGGAAGGTCGGTGAGTATTTCACCGCGATGGCCTTCATTGACGGCGAGGAGGTCGACGGGCAAATGATTGACATAAGCGGTTCCAGCGACTGAAAAAATACGAGAAAGGTTGCTCTCGTTGCTTCTCATCGTTGCTGAGTACGTGAAGCTCGTTCCGATTGCACGGAGAATTTGTTGGATCGGTCCACGAAGTGCTGAATTAGACCCGATCTCTATCACAACCTGATGCTTGTTCTGTGTGGATGTGGCCAAGTCCCGGAAAGCGGTTGAGAACAGGACAGGGGATTCCAAACTGCGGCGCCAATACGCTGCGTCAAGCTCGCCAGGGCTGGTTATTACTGCCCCGGACACTGTTGAGTACATTGGAATCATGGTGTCTTTATCATTGATCAAATGAGGCTGGGTCAGCTCTTCATATTTGGCACCCACTGAAGCCATATGTGCTGATAACCGGTTAGTACGGGTGCACGGCGCAAATTCTGGAAGACTCACTAGAGTGATATGCTCGCTCCACCGGTAAAATCTTCAAAAGGGTGTCAGGTTGCTCGCTTCGGATGCGAGTTTCTACTTGCTCCAGAGCACCGCGATTCCCAGCGAGAGTTACACTGTTTGGACTGTTCTCGCATGCCAAGGCGACCTCGTTGTCCAGATACTGGCTGACGCCGTTTCGACCAAGTCCAACTGCCAACATGCCTCCTCCCTCCGGGGCCATCTTAGCAACCACGCCGCGAGTATAGGCCAGAATAATTGCTGTGTCCATGGATAAAGCGTTGGCTGCGTACGCCGCGGCAAACTCTCCACTGGAATGGCCTATGACCTTGTCGGGAGTGATTCCCCACGCTCTGAAAAGGTTCACTAAACCAATTTGTACTGCGGTGCACAGAGGCTGTGCTATTTCAGGTCGATTTATGCCACTGTCCGCACCTGTTTTGACCAGCTCCTCTGCAATTTTGAACCCCAATGGTCAGCAAAAAAAAAAAAAAAAAAAAAAAAAAGAAAAAAAAAAAAAGAAAAAAAAAAAAAGAAAAAAAAAAAAAGAAAAAAAAAAAAAAAAAAACGGATTGAGAACATGGCAGGACATACCGCGAATTTTCCACGTGGGTGGGTTGGACAGACTTTGCAGTACCTGATCCATGTACTCCATATCCTTGCTGAAGGAGGTAAAGGTTTCCATTAACTCGGTCCCCATTCCTGCCCACTGAGCTCCCTGGCCTGGAAAAGCGAATGTCACGATCTTCGATACAAGTTTTGCGTTGTCGGCTTTGGTGAATTCAATCGACTCAGAAGGAATTGTTCCACCGAGGATTGCGAAAGCTCTGTGACGAAGATGCTCTCGTTTGGCGCTGAGGGTATAGGCTAAATCTGGCACTGCCTCGGAATGTTGCGACAGATATTCCTTGATGCTATTGGCCCGCTGATCAAGGGACTGAGAACCAGCGGCTGATAGAGGCAAGAGTCGCGGGCTGTTGGTGCTAGTTGCCAAGGGTGCTATTGCCCTTGGAGTCATTGTCGATGCGGCTGAATCGACAATGACCTGACTTTGTGAGTTTCAGAGCGCTTTCCAGTGCGTAAGATGACCTACGTGGGCGTTGGTACCGCCGACCCCGAAACAGTTGACACTGACACGTTCTTTCCGATCCGCTGGCCAAGGGAGAACATCAACAGGTACACTCAAACCTGCCTCCTTAAATAGAACTAAACCGAGTTAGCAGGGTCTCAATGGTGCGTTTAAATCCAAAGGAAGCTGTACTGTTGGGGTTTGGTGTTGAAAAGTTGACATTGGGAGGAATTTGTCTGTGCTCCAGGGCAAGTACTGCCTTGATCAGGCCTGCCAGACCTGCTGCGCCCTCAGTGTGACCAATATTCGGTTTGACCTGCGACCGAACATATTAGCAAACGAACTTTCGCAGACCGATCAAAAACATACTCCGCCAATAATCATTGGATGACGGTCGAAAGCGTTGGCTACAGCAGTGGTTTCAACGACATCTCCCACTCGCGTAGCTGTGCCGTGACACTCGACAAATGCGGTTTCTGAAGGATTTGTGAGATGGGCTTTTCGGTAGGCCTTCCGTATCAGAGTCTCTTGCCCAACAGCCGAGGGGACGGTGATGTGATTTGTTCGACCGTCGAAGTTTGTCGCAACCGCTCGAATGACTCCACGGACCGGGTCTTTATCGCGGATGGCATCGTCGAGTTTCTTGATGTACAAGGCGCAGACACCCTCCGCTCGGGCATATCCGTTGGCCTCGGCGTCGAATGTTTTACAGATCCCATCCGGGGACAATGCTCCTGCCTGCGACATGTTGGTTGTCATTGTTGGTGTAAAAATTAGACTGGAACCTCCAACGATCGCCGAAGGACAGTCGCCCATAGCAATTGCTTGACAAGCCCCATGAAGAGCCACAAGAGAGGATGAGCAAGCAGTCCGACATGTCATGCTCGGACCCTTGAGGTCATATTCGAATGATAACCTATTGGATGCCGCATAATCACCGGTTCCAACGACGTGGAGAGGGTTGAGATTTTGGGTGTCCTTAGCTGTGAGATCCAGCCAGTCTTCTCCGAAGGTGCCTACAAAGCATCCGATATCCCTGCCTCGCCAATCGACTTGTCCGCCGCTCTCCATGCACTCCCAAACAACTTCCGACAACAGCATCTGCTGAGGGTCTTGGAATCCATGTTCGTACCTATTGTTCTGGAAGAAGGAGGTATCAACTTTTCCTAAGTAGTCGCCGTCAAGGAAATACCCCTTCTGGGCGATCACTGATTGTGTGTTCACGCCTGGAGTTCCGTGAAAAGCCTCGACGTTGTAGCGCCCAGCAGGGACCGGACCAGATGCGCATTTTTTGTCAATCATTAATTTCCAGAAATCTTCCGGGGAGGAAACACCGCCGGGCAGTCGAACGCCCATGCCGACGATGGCGATCAGAGGAGGAGCGTCGTGAGGCCATTGGCCCTCCGAACCCCTTGGGAATTCATCGGGATCGACGGTTGTCCATCCGGGGGAACTGCTGGCTGTATCGCTGGATGGCATCTTTCAAAAGGAACAAGGAATTTCGATAATAAGGAGGATTGGAGACTTAGGCAGTGATTTTGGTAAGTATCAGAATTAATTAACAAAACTCTGGCCCATCACGGGATACTAATCCATGATATAAATCCCGAGTGGTCAATACGCCCTTGCAGCGCTTTCAGACACGAAAATATACCGTTGATCTGTCATGCCTGTCAGGTCACCGCTCATTCTACTGAACGCCTCTTCCCTGCGTTAGGTCGGATGTCTCATTTATTATTTCGAAAAACAGATAAGATTGACTCTTGTGACAGTACGTATCTCGCATTTTGAGATGCACAGACGCAAATAGTTCAAACGTATTGCATACGGAAAGTTTCCTCGTATTCCTGTTGTCTATTTGATCTTGCCAAGAGAAAAAAAGAAAAGAAAAATACAATAGTCTTTCGGGCTGGATGGCAGGGGCCCTGGAAGCAAACATAACGGCTGATTTGCTGTGTCTCCTGCATGAGAATGATCGCTGGTTAACCCACCAGCTTCAATGTGCCTTCTGATATGTCACAGGTTGATCATCATGCAGTGCAGTGCAAGTGAGTATGTGGCGCGTGGTGCTGTTTCTTTGAAGTGGCGTCAATAATCACATGGACTGACAGATTTATTTGGTGTCACCACACGATTGATTGCAAACATTTCCCCAAGCAGTCTGAGCCATGAGACTCGTGGCCGGAGAGAGGAAATTGATCCGCAGCGGACATCTGCTCTAGCTCACAAAATACCGAATCCACGGGGTCCACAATCTGGAATGGATTTATGCATCCCGGCCGACATTAGTTCGGCTCCCTTGCAGAATGATGTCTCAAAATTATGGGCGTTAAGTCATGACCCCTCATTCTCGGTGCATCACACCGCTATTCCTATGGAATGAGCAGCATTCCAGAACAAGTGACTTATCCTTTTGATGTTGGGCGTTTCCGCCCGAACCTTCAACCCGTTGAACGGTACGACTCTAAGAGAGAACCGCCGATATGATGGATATAGCACTATGGTTCCCCTCGCTGAAGGGAGCCGACACGGAGAACATAGACCCTAGGATATGGGTGTATCTATGCGCATCGGCACTCCTTGCCGTCTCCTCCCTTATCGGACTCGTTATTTATCGTCTCTACCTCAGCCCCCTGGCTAAATTCCCTGGTCCTCGATTGGCTGCCCTGACTGGGTTTTATGAGACATACTATGACATGGTTCAAGATGGTCAGTTTACCTGGCAGATTGAGCGTCTACATCAGAAATACGGCCCCATAGTGCGGATCAAACCGTGGGAACTTCACGTGCAAGACCCCGACTACTACAACACGCTGTACGCGGGACCGACGCGCAAACGGAACAAAGACTCCTGGTTCTCCTTCCTCGGATGGCCGCAGTCGATCTTCTCGACGGAGGGACACGCGTTGCATCGCGTCCGACGAAGCGTCCTGGGACAGTTTTTCACACGGAGAGCGATTTTGGATCTCGAGCCGGTTATTCAGGCCAATGCTCAGCGTTTGACCCGTCATTTTCGCAATGCAGCAAATGGCTACGATATCTTGGAGCTTCACGCCGCGTTTATGTGCTTCGCGAGTGATACTCTGTCGCAATATGCCTTTGGGGAACATATTGGTTTTCACTCTCTCGACCAAGGAGGGCTGGATGCGGTCTGGAAGACAAAGATTAACTCATGTTTTGAGCTTGTGCAACTAGCAAGACATTACCCTTGGATTTGCAAGATCGCGCACATCTTCCCCTGGCCAGCAGGGATTGTGTGTTCGTACTTTGACGAGGTCATTAAGATGGAAACGGTGAGTTCGCTTGGCGTCTGCATTCACCACCCCTAGGCTGATGAGAGTTCAGGATGTTAAAAAAATGGTTCGCAAAGCAATCCAGGAGCGCGGTATGATAAGCAACGAAAAGCCCAAGGCAATCTATCCTACTATCTTGGAAAACGAGAAGGTCCCCGAGAGCGAGAAAAAGTTCGCTCGGCTGGCTGACGATGCGATCTTCCTGATGATTGCCGGTACCGATGCACCATCGCAAGCGTTGGCTATCACCATGTTCTACGTTCTGCGCCACCCCGAGGTCCATGAAAGGGTTCGCGCTGAGCTGTGTGCCGCTTGGGGAGATGCGTCGATGGCGCCAGGGCTGACGGCGTTGGAACAGTTGACTTATTTTGTAGGATCCCCTTTTCCTGATTGGTCTCAATGCATGGCTAACACAGGGATAGACTGCCGTATTGAAGGAGGGGCTTCGATTGTCTTCGATCGTCACGACACGTCTTCCACGCATCGCACCAGAGGAGACTTTGCAGTTTCATGGATGGGACATCCCGCGTGGAGTATGTTTATCTTCCCCCCACCTAGCACTTGAAATAACACTAATCAATGCACCAGACGCCCGTGAGCATGTCGACCTATTTCATCCTCCGCGATCCCAAGATCTTCCCCGAGCCTTCCCGATTCCTCCCCGAGCGCTGGCTCCTGGAGCCCGAAGAGTTGCGAAAGTTGGAGCGATACCTTGTTCCATTCTCAAAAGGGACTCTGGGCTGTCTGGGCCCGAAGTAAGTTTTCACACGAAGGTCTAGCAGTGTAGACGGAGGCTAATAGATGATAGTATGACTTGGGCATGGCTGTATTTGGTGCTTGGGACACTCCTCCGCAAGTTCGACATGAGTCTCCATGACACGACAGAGCGGAACGTGGAGATGGTCCGAGACAAGTTCATCGGACAGACGGAGCGTGGGATGAATCGGGTTCAGGTCAAGGTGTTGGGCGAATATCAGTGAGAACAGTGGACAGGGAGATCTTTGAACCTGAGGAACCAAAGTTGCTGGGTACTTTGTTGTTGTTGTTGCTGCTGATTTTGTTTTAATATGCCACTGCTGGATACAAAGGATGGTGTCAGGCTAGCCCTGGGAGATATTGGCTGCATTCTATGTCGTGACCGCTCAAAACACAAAGCTAACGAAAGGCTAGAATTGAAGAAGGACCGCGGATGCACTGCCTATAGCTATCTGCTGTGGCCCACATGCTGAACTAAGCCATATGAGGCATGTGCATAATTCTGTGAACTCATCTATAGAAGTATATCATTTCCCTTCTGATATCTTCGCGACCACTTAAACGGCGACTCCCCTCCTATTGCCAATTTGCCCACCGTCTCGTAAGACCTCTGGTCCCCGACCCAGCCAGGAAGCCTATCCAAGGCTTTGTCATCCCCTTCCCGGATTACTTGAGCATACATTGGATCCATCGCTAACGTGGCACCAATCCTGAGCATCGCGTAGGCGTCCAAAGAATCTGTCCAACCAATTCGAACACTTGCCCAACCGGACAGTACCAGCAGGCAAATAAGATAGATGCCCAGGAGAGTAGAAAAAATAGCCATGGATGATTTTGAGATCGCTGGCTTCGTAAGTCGCCCCAGTTGTTGGCTGTAGACCGCCAAGTCTTTATGCCCACCGTCATCAGTGAGCATGATTTGGTGTACATATATAATCGCCTTGTCCCACATGTCTTCCTGCTCTACTATCATTGACAAAAACTCACTCAGGGCCAAGCGGGGGTCAGAATACTTTTCACACGGCTTTGGAGTCTCAGATGTAAGAAGTATTAATGGTCCATACCCAGCGCAGATTGCCGAGGTAGTTTTGTTATCGAATCGTTCCTCAGTGAAGGAACCATCACCAAACAGTGTAATAGCCAGATTTGCTAGGGGACCTTTGCCAGGAACCCTATCCAAGTGAAAGTTCCCCCATACATCATAACCGGTCGCGGCTTTGAAGGTCTCCCATGCGGCTTGGCTTTTGAAGATAAGATTATAAGTGTGAGCTTTGTAGGTGGAAATACGAGGATAGACATATGAGCACTAACCCTTGAATTTGCGGCTCGCAAGGCGGATTCGGACATGATTTAATAGGATCCTTCGGCTGTAAAGGCCCTGGTTTGTTACCATTTAATGAATTTGGCAGCTCGAAGTAGCCGACTGTAGTTGAGAGAATTAATTTGCGGGTAATCCAATCTCCATTATAGGCGTCTGTTTTCACTTTGAGATAGAGTACTTCGTCAAAATCATATTTGTCCCGTGTTCTGCGGAACGGTGAAATACTTAGATCCCCGGGCATGCATACCGAAATATGCTGATACGTGTAAAGGCTGCCAGCTGGTAGTGTATAGTTTCTGAAAAAAGAATTGCCTGAGCAGTCTGACGGAAAGTCATCTTTTTGTAGTGTTTCTTGCCGCATGGAGGAATTCAACCGGGGAGCAAATTGACGGATGCCCTTAGTGTCTATATTAGATGGTGCCATAGAGACAAATGGCGACGCGGCTGAATTGCTATCCTGGTCCTGCCAGAGGTTCAGGTCCAGATCGGTTGGCCGGGCGCTGTTTAAAATAGCCCTAAGCAAGGCAACTTCCTCCCGTGGAAAGTTCTGAATTACCAAGCGTGGAGGTTCGAGAAGCCCCATCTTTTGCACAGGGTAATTGATCAATGTATGGATCTCTTCCTGATCCAACACTAGCTGCTGTAGAGGGCTGAGTATGCCACCTATATTCTCATTATTATAATTTCTAGCTAGTAGCGCAGGAGGGCAGATAGTACATACCCAGTACATGAAGGGCGATTGCGTAATATAGATAGAAACTGCCAATACTTTTAAATTTGAAAGGCAGAGTAAAAAGTACCAGAGGACTTGTCCAGCCTTTATTCGCTAGAGTTACCGTTTGATTCAATGTAAGCGAAGACTTGCCCCCCCAGGTCCTTGGTTGCGTGAAGTTTACCGCAGCAAAGGCGCAAACGGACGAAGTTAAGGGAAGAGTTAAAACACCGACGACTCCAGACACTACTCTGGAAGCCTGAGACCATTTGGATACTTGGTGCTTAATGCTTTCCAACTCCGTCTCAACAAGGGGCCCAAACTCATAGTTCGATTTCCCGAGAGGTCTCCAACTAAGGGTACAAAGTATACACCATGATGTAAGGGAAAGTGCGCCATAGACGAGGACGAGAATAACAATGTAGGCCCGGGGGCGAAAAGCAAATGTATTCCGGTCGGGGGGTGAGCGTGGCTGTAGTGGTTCTCGTTGTTGCTGTGATTGACGTCCTTTGCGCGGAAAGTGAGTCATAGTTAATGGCCAGCTTGATGGGCGATGAAGGATAATTCCAGGTCTTCAAATCGCTCGAGAGCATTGGATCTCTATAAGAATAGCACTTTTTTACCCCGCTCGGTGCCAAGACGACAAACAAAGGCTGGGTTTGCCAGTCTCTTGCGCTGTTCTCACTTTCAGCCTTGTCTAGTGCCGGTTCGGGAGCACTGATGGCCGATCCAGGAACATGGCTCTGCTCCAGTTGCTTGATAGGGATACACTAGCTCTACTGGGAGGCTGGGTATTACATGAAGCAAACTCTCGGGTTGGCTAGGGATGTGCCTTGCTATGTAACCATGCAGGGATCTTTCTGCGACATGGAGAAGGCGCATCTTCCCAATACCGACTGGTTTTGAATGCTATAAATAGATTTCCCTCTTTTGTTTGCCCCTGGTTTCTGTATTCTCTACTCAGTCTTGGGGATATCATGACTACCTATACAACTTCCTCCGCTCTGACCTCTTCATACATTGTAGAGCCCACCCTGTCAAAGTTAGATATTATCTTATGACCAGTCTCGTGCTACTAACAGTCGAGGGAGATAACCAAGCAAGCTTTTACTAATGGGAGAAAGATCTTGAGTGTCGTGCCAACAGTATTTGTCTATAGGTGGGTAAAATGGATAATTCATGAGGTTCAGCTGTAAGCAAAGGACACAGTAGGGGTCGTCAGGATTCTGTGAGAACAGAAAAAAGAAACTACTCGCTATATAATAATTCTAGGACATGAGATGCCGCTCCATATATAATTTATATTTTATTATAAAGTCTTTAAACACAGAAAATAATTATGATATTCAAATTTAAATATATAAAGTTTATAGATATAATAGTTTATATAGAATAAAAAAGATTCTATGACTTTCTTGTACATACCAAAAAACATCAAGACCTCTGTGGGGGTGGTTGTGTGTGAACTAATAATTGGCTGATAGTAGAAGAAGCGAAGCTTTGAATGTAGTGATACTTATAAAAGAAAAAGACGAAAAAGATAAACAGAGGTCACCAGGTTGCGTGTAAAGAAATTGGTATTTCCGAAAATCTGGTTGTAGTTGTAAAATCAGCATGCTCTTTGTCTTTTTATAGTACAATATGGCACTAAATGCGGGCACAAGGCTAATTTAAAGTCCTCTGTAGAAGGTTTAAATTTGAGAAACTCGATCCGACAATAGACCATATTCCCGGGGGAGTGTAGTTCTGTTCGCAACACGCTCGCACAATAGAATAGCACCCAACCCACTACCAGATGGTTGCTCGATATGCTATTTCACAGATGGCTGAGAGGTTTCTCCATGCAAAGCGCACGCTCTATAGTAGAAACAGCCTGAAACAAAACCGCTTCATGCATGCGCTTGGCTACAACTTGCAGACCAACAGGCATACCCTGTGCAGCCGCAGGGGAATAGTCTCGCAGCATTTGTTCCTCTCTTTCTGACCTTGGTGAATAGACCTCATGCGATAAATCAACCTGATCCCGATTTTCAACCAAGCTCGCTGCTGGTAAAGCGATGACTGGATACTGAAGTAGATTCCATATTGCGGTGTACCCCCAATATGGAATTGCGCCGAGAGGTGGTGCAGTGCTAGGCGTGACAGGGGCAAGAAGAACATCCATTCCCGCTTGGTTCCAGTGCGTGTTGTATCTCTGTCTAAAAGCATCGCGGGCAGCTTTGCGTCCCTGCATTGTTGGCGCGACGATGGACATGTTCTCCTGGCACTGGTTGATGATCCACTCCGTTAGAGGAAGCAAAGGCTCATTGCCAGCTTTGCAGAATGCTTTGATATCTGCACCGGCGTCCTCGAAATAATTTGCGGAGATAATTTGCCATGCCGCATCGTGATCGAGCGGTTCGAATGGCACCAGTTCGACGAAAGGGCTATTCTTAAGGCGATCCTTAACTTGGTCGATAATATAGCGGACCGGTGGAAAGGGCGACACAACACCATCGTCAGCTAATATTCCAACACGAAGGGGCCTTCCGGGAGCTAAAGGCTGTCCCAAGGCAGGCGAGAGGATTTCTCCCGGAATCAGAGAAGCGTCGTCTATCCAAGGTTTCGCCGAGCAGTACACGTTGCAGAAAAGCTCGATGTCTCTCAAAGATCTTGCAAAAGGCCCCAGTGTCCCGGAAATAGAGTCACAACCTGGAGTTGGGACCAATACCCCTTCGCCACTGATTCGACCAACGGTAGGATAAAACCCGTAGACCTAGGCGCGCCTGTCAGCTTAAACCGGACTCAGGATCAAAGCAACCTACTCCATTCAAAGCGGCAGGAACACGTATCGAGCCTCCGATATCACCACCAATGCCCAGTACAGTTCCATGCATCGCCATTAACGCGCCCTCGCCTCCAGTGCTACCCCCAGCCGTCATACCCCGGTTTCTCGGGTTCACCGTAGCACCGTATATATTATTCGATGTCTCCAGATGCATTAAAGATTGAGGCTGATTAGTGCGCGCAAAGACGACAGCACCGAGCTTTTTGAGAGACTTGATTATGTAGGCATCCTCGGTGCTGACATTATTGACTAGCGAGACAAACCCCATATTAGTGCGGCGCCCAGCAATCGAGATCTGCTCCTTGACCGAGACCGGCAAGCCATGAAGCGGTCCGATAGTTTTTCCCGTGCGTGCGAGGAATTGATCACACTTCCTGGCATCGTCAAGCGCTTGCGGAACAAGTTCTGTTAGACAGTTTGTCTATCCTGCGTCAATCTCTGGTAGACTGGAATCGCGAGAGGAAAGGAGAACCAACACACTGGTGTGCGATAGTAGCTCGCTTTCGAAAAGCCATAAGAAGCGTTTCCGAGCTCACGGATCCGTCTGCTAACATTTTGACCAGGCTTGTAGCATCATACTGCTCGGTCAATTCGAGCTCCAGGTCCGACAGAAGTCCGCATGAGCGTGGAACTCCAATCGTGTTTTGCGGTAGTGATTCGAGCGTCGCCTCATCTAGGATTGCAGTCGGCTCAAGAGTCTGCCTCAAGACTTCGAGCGCCAGCTTTGTGCGTTCACCCAAGGTGGACATGATAGAATGGAGAATGCTCTTCGTGTTGGGATATTGGGGTGGACAATTCCAGCATTCGGCATGGACAGACTCCGCTTAAATATTTCGTCGAGCCCGTCCACGTGGCAGTTTGACATTTTCCCCAAGCTTGAATGAGATGGTTTTTACTTGTTGAAGCTGCAGGATGCTGGACGAGAAAGAGACAATCCCGAGGAATCCGAGAGAAAACATTGCGGGGTTTCAGCCCCTCTTTGGGACTAGCGCAGTCGATCGATCGATCTGGAATCCGATTGGCCACTTTTCCACCACGGACTATAAGAAAATAAATGGACTTCCAAGGCACCTTATCTGATGCGTATTTCTCAGACCTTGACATGGTCGGTGAAGCTTGTTGATGGCAGATATTTATATCTTTTGGGCGCCGGTTTCAAATCTGTTTACCCCAAGTACCCGGGTCATTCTGCGAGGTATTACGCCCAATCTATTCACAACAGAAACTCTCAAAATATGGTGCCGGTGATAATAAGTCTTTGATCCGACCTTGGGTAATGGCCGTGAATGCAGTGAATATCAAGTCAGAAGCTTGCGGCCCACCGAATTTGCGGTCATAACCTTTCCTGGAAGATCCCAGGAGATTCCCTGCAGTAATCGCTGTCAAATTTTCACTTTCCTCTTTTCTTCTTCTTCTTTTCCCTCCATCCTTCTTATGTGACTCATATTCCTCTCTCCTTCAATCCACCATTTACCCTGAAGCGCCTAGCCAAGACTGTCTACGATACAATGGCCTTCTCTCTCAATCATTCAGTGGCGGAATTGGGCAGCTCCCAAGTTAATCCCCTGCCTATGTCTTTCACCGAGGAAAGCAGCATCTTAAGTGCAGATCTTCCGATTGAACCTACCATGGATTCTCTGGCCACTTCTCGGATTGTCCTCAAAATTCCTTTTGCACCCAAGCCTACCACTGCGTCACCTGAGCCTGTCCAGTCTTCCTCGTCGACCGCTCATTCTTCTAGCTTCCTTGGTCCTAAATCCCCGACCTTCAAATGCACACCCCTCGTGATCAAAGACGAATGGATCAAGGACGAAGCATCCTCCTCCTCCTCCGACAAGGAGATGAGACCTCCTGCAGGCAAAAGACCCCGCAGATGGCACCGTACCCTCGCCTCGCCATCGGTAGACGGTAGCAACAGAAGCCGCCACCGGTCCATTGCTCCTTCACCTCCATTCCGGCTTCGATCCAGGTCCCCAAGATCCAGGGCCATTTACGAAAGATACAGACCAAATCTCCGCGTTGCGTCTGTTCTTGACACTGACCTTACTGCCGACGGTGCATACGAAACTCACGTTCAGGCTACTCGCAACGTCCATATTGCTAGAATCGAGCGCCTTCGGGCCAGAGAGGACATACAGGAGGCGATTCTGGAATTAGACCGCTTTGAGCTGGAGTTGGCGAAGCAGAAGTTGGAGGAGTGTCGTAAGGATATCTGTGAGGATTAGGATTTGGGGGATTTCTCTCGCGTTTTTGATTTCCTTATGGACAGAATACGTCTGCTTGGGGTCTGGTATTCGGAGTTACTGGCTGGGTGTCAGGGACAGATGATCATGATCCAAGTTGAGATGTTTGCAGAGGATGAAGTGGATACAGCAGATAGCTGAAGTATTTTCACTGCACTACGTGGCTTCTATTTACTCAAATCCACCTGCAAAATTGCTATGTTTTCTTCTTGTTTTCTTTGTTAGTAAACTACCATATAATTTAGTCCTCTCTTCTTACTGATCATCTACCGAAAAGCAAAGACAGGGATTATTTCAAACAACCAACCTTTCAGTTCAAATCTTTGCTTCTTGTTGCTTCTCCTGTCAGCTCCCCGTGGAGGCGCGAAACCCAAATACTATTTGGAATTGCTGGTCGCAAAAAGTAGCTTATGACTGTATGTCTGAGACTACCTTTGACTCTGAATCCACTCAAACCCGAACTCATCTTATTTTGATTTACTCTCCTCGATGTTATTGGCCCCGGAATCACAGCATTTCCTTCCGGTCCGACTTGAACGCCACAAGCGGAAACCTGCAGACACCCACCAGAAGATGACGGATTTGTCTACAGAGCCTAGATCGCAAGCTGACGTTCATGCAAACAAAGAAATGAGACAATAACATGTCATGACTCGGCCTGCGAGCTGCTTAAGTATCGCTTCTCCCACACGGGTTTGTCTTCCTCGCCATCCTCTTCCTCCCTCTTGTCCACTTCCCCGTCTTGCCCGATATCCACTGACCCAAAATGCCCCCCCCCCCCCCCCCCCCCCAGCAGGAAGCTACCGCACGTACAGCCTCAGCTCTCGCTCCGACCTCCTCCTCGCCCTCGAGCACCATCAACAACAAACACCCACACAGTCCTGGCCCCCTTTCTTCCGCGGCAGCCCGACCCTCAACACCTACCTCCCCCGCCTAATCGACTACACGGGACTCCTACGCTACCAATACGTGATGGTCTGGCAGGATCATACCGGCCAGGAGACGCTTGTCGCGAATGCCTACTCAATGCCTTTTTTCTGGCCCGAGCTGGCCGAGTTCCAGCACCGGAAGTCTCATGATTCGGACACCGCCGGCACGGACAAAACATCCCTCCCAGGGGAAGACGGCATACGAGTCCTCGACACCCTGCCCGACGGGGGCTACGAAACGATCCTCGCACGCGCAGTGGAACAGTTCTTCGTGCGCCAGAATCTCCCTGCGATGTCTCCGCCCTTGACGCATGACCAGGCGCGGGATATGCCTGTGCGACGACGGCGTGAAGCACCTAATGCACTTGTCGTTTTGTCAGTAGGTGTATATCAGGAATGGAGAGGCCAGGGACTTGTCGGCCGGATGGTGGAGTTTCTGAAGGATGTAGCGCGGAGAGATGAGTTGGGAGTGGTCATCACGCCGTTGCGACCGGCTGCGAAGGTGGGCTTTCCGACTGCTGATACTGTGGAGTATTTGGGCTGGAGGAAGGAGACGGGACCTCAGGGGGTGGTGCTGCTGCTGGTGTAGGGGCCCCTTTTGATCCGTTGCTCAGGAAACACGTCGCTCTGGGCGGCCGGGTCGTCAGGATAGCAAGGAGCAGCGTCTCGGTGATGGGGGACGTTGCCGCGTGGGAGAGCTGGACCGGAATGGATATTCGAGACTTGGTGGCGTCAGAGACGGAAGATACAAAGATGGAGAAGGTCGATGCCCGAGGCTTTGTGCATATTTGTATTCCTGGGGCGTTGGTCCCTGTGAGATACTATTTGCGAAGTGAGCAGCTTGTTTATGCTGAGCCCAGTGTGTGGGTGTATCACGATGTTACCGATTCAAGGTAGGTTTTATAAACGGTGACTAGGAGCGAGGTAGCTTTCGAATAAAAGGGATAGGATTCATTACTACATCTACACTTCCTCCACACCTCATTCCAATTTCAGTAGCCCCCGACCGATAAAGTGATTCTGCAAAGTCGTAGAGAATCTTTTTTGGCCAAACTACGAAATCACCAATTCTTGAATATCAGGACCTGAAGCAGCCATGTTAGCCCGTTCATAACCGACTGACGATGTCCACTTACAATATTTCCCATCCAATCCTTCGAATCGAATCTCATTCTCATCTCCATCAGCAAATTCCGCATGCACAATGCTGGTGCCCACAGAAGTACCAGTCGAACTGAAAGCCACCTTGTACGACTTGTCATTCACAACCACAGCACAGTATCTCTGGGACCCATCGCCATTGCGATAGGTAATCTGCACAGTATGCTTTCCACTCCCAGATGCAGAGACCGAGCTGAATGTCAGAGTTCCATTGTCAGGACCACCGAGATATCCTACCCTCTCATCGGTCACAGTACGGGCAGAGCCGCCAAGTGTGGTGTCATCTGAAACTGCAGGGAGCGTGGTGACCGGCTCTGCAGTCTCCCAGCTTCCATCTGTGAATTTCCAGGCTGATGCGTCATTCTACCAATATTGTTAGAGCACCACTTATGAGGCTGATCAATCGGCTTACCAATGTTGCTTTAGTTCCTGAGATGGTTAACGGGAGCCAAACATATGTTGATGAAGCTAGGTTGCCAGGCACCCAGCGATCGCCCATATAGCTGAATGGTCAGCGCTTGAAAGGATACCGGAGACAAGGAACAAACATTACAACGCCATCCTTCTCTAGGATATATGTTGACTGCGAGGTGAACGTTTTTGACCCTTCGGGTGCGAAGTTCGTCCACTCGGACCAGGGCTGTAGATGTTAGTTTTCAGCCGCTATTTTGGGACATTAGGAATCTTACTCCTGAAAGGTTCGTTGCCGTGGTGTATCGATTGTCATTTGCATCTAGGAGCTAATCAGCATTTTGTTATCCGACTTAGAACCTTGGGCAATATTACCCCATCCTAGAGATTGGTTAGTAAGTTGCTATTGTAAGCGTCTGTTGATTAATCATGGATGTCTTACCAGTCAGCTGCGATCCGAACATGAAATATGTATCACCGCTCTTGTAGATCGCCGGGGATTCATAAGTCTCGAAAAGATGGACCGGCGATTCAACGGTCAGGTAATCCGCAGAAAGAAGGTCGATCCGGAGCCCATTGTCTCTCTGTCGAAGTTAGAACTGCATTTACTCGGAGCTCTCACTTACATCTTCCGTCAACAGATACGCAGTCCCATCGGTATCTACGCGCCGTTAGCCTAGTATCAGCAATCAGGTGAACGAGGCCTGCCTTTGAACAGCCCTAGGTCCCGAGAAACATATCCGAGAGGGCGCGTCGAGTTGCTGCAGCGCGTTAGGCCATTCACTTTCACCAACAGAAGGAAACATACATGTATGTATAGTCTCCACAAACACTCGAACCAGTTGCGACACCAGCTTTTGCATCGCCATAATCGCTGGAGTCGATGTGCATCCACATGACATATTGCTCGGTGTCATCATTGTAGATAACCTTGGGTCTCTCGACAATCCGCTGTGGTCCTAAGTCTCCTGACTCCTGAACAGATAGGAGCTCATTGACGAACTCCCATTCAATCAGGTCCTAGAGCTATCAGCGCGAGCACGATCAATTCCCAACGAGACATACCTTGCTTGAGTAGCAATTAACCGATTGAAAGTACGTGCCATCCAGCTTGTTCTCTCCAATCAAATAGTAGGTTCCGTCAACCTCGATTATTCCTGTTATTGTCAACTTTCCGACAGCTGAGTCAGGACTGCGTTACGTACCGGCACCATGGGCTTGAATATGCTGGTCCGTTCCAGCTGCCGTCCATGTGGCTCCGGAAACCTGAACAGCTGTCAGTCGAGAACGAACATGCGAATCTAGCTCCATACTATATCCAGTGAAGCTTCGATGGACGATGCCAGGAGAATTGCTGCAAACGAGCCAATACGCAGGATCTGCATTCTGATCAGGGTGCTCTGAAAATATGCCGATCGACAGGTCACTCTGTTCCTCGCGAAGGTATTTGTACTTTTCTGCAAGCTGCCTATGCGGGCAAATGGCTAGTGAGACATCCTGTAGGGTTCCCCGCCTGTTAACAGTTAGAAAGCCTGTTCAGGAAGCAATTCGCCGATCGCATTGACTTGGTTGGTGGACAATTTACCGGTTCATGGATTTTATGCAGCTGTTGCATGGTTGTGCTTGGTGTTTGTCCGGACCGTACAGAATTTCTGCGTCCATTTAACCGAGATGTCTGTCAGTTTCTCAGTCCTGCAAAAGTAGTCGAACATAGCGCAGCGAAGTTCATGAACCTGCCGACTGCAAACCGGATTATAGAGGCTACGCCCCTCTTAGCGCCCGCCAAGATCAATCACCCCACACTCTGGTTGAAGAATGACGTTGGCAAGATCGTGAATGGAATGCGGGGGAAATACCGTATGACGGTCCTAGTTCTGACTTCCAGTCAATATGGACACTTTGTTTATCAAAATAGCCGACTATTGAGGCGAAAGCATCCAGCTTTGTCAGTTTAATACCGGACTCCTAGAAAACTTTGACTTCAAACACAATCTGGATCCTCAAATTAGGAGCCATGACTTCTTTAACTGGAAAATATGACCCGTGGGTTCTGCGCAAAGTTAAGGATAGCGGCAGGGATAAACCTAGATATCCTCGCATGCCTCGGAGGAACAAGTGAAAAGCACTGGCACTATCAGGGCAAAAGAATTCTAAACAGCAAAGATAAAAAAAAAAAAGAAAAACTATAAAAAAAAAGAAAAACTATAAAAAAAAAGAGAGATTGAAAAGAGAGCCTGTTCTGGCTTTTCCTCAGAAGCCGCGCCAGCTTTACGCACTGCATATTCCCTTGCCCTAGTGTCCAACTTAGCAGAACTCCAAGCATAAAAGATATGCGACAGGACCTCAAGCGTTTATGAAGATCAGTGATGCAGAAACGGATGCTCTAGTGCCACCTTATTATTTATCCTAATAATTCGTCTGATGATCAAGTTCCTGATCGCTATCAACTTCCGCCCGTGCTGCCCGTGTTACCACTACTGAGGGCGAGGGAGTCGGTAATTGGAAAAGGGGTTGACTCGGCATGGAGACAGCGTCAACAAAGAAATCTACACCCGACGCACTAATGCGTTTTACATTGACCAAATTCTGCATAGTATTTATAGGTACTGTCGAAGTAATCCACATATTTCCTTTGGTTATTTTACAATAAATTCCTACACAACCGAGGTGTATCTCTGGCAGTAGGTATTTATACCTACCGAGTGAGCATACAAGACAACTGTCTGTAAGTCTGACCCAGTCTATATTGGTTATCCTGTTGCTGTGCCTTCTGAATGAACTTGAACTGAACACAAAGAACAGAACTAAAGAATCGATGCTGCCTAGTGATCTATTCTAGATTAGTCCACTCGAGCGCTAAGCCTTCAGGGTCCACCTGTCGACCCGATTCTAGATGCGCCATCCTCCATAAAGCCAACTAATCAAACGAACTAATCCTCGTGATTGGACAAATACTGCAACTAGGTAACGCGAAGCTTTTCCCTTCAAGACAGGATCCATTCATTGAGCCCCAAACCCACACCACGAAGGGTGGCTGCCTTACTAGGGGCAATTTCTAGGCTGCCGAATTCGATGGAGATTTCCCGTTGTTTGTTGATTCAGGCAGGAAAGACTGATGCCCGCGGGCCCCGAATAGAATGGCTGTCGTAGGTATTCACTACCAACAGATCATGCGTGCAAAGATCAGCGAGAGGTTCCGTTCATCGACCCCCGTGACTATTAATACCTTGTGCTGGGTGTGCGTCCCTTCCCTCTCTGGTCGTGGCTTTCCACCTGAATATCCCCAATTGACCTTCTCCGCATCATCGTGTCTTTATCAATTGTCCGAGTTTCTGAGAAATTGAGTGTCTCTCAAACCTCTGCTTCATGGATCGACAATGGGGCTCCTTAACCTCCATCATTATGGTGTGCCAGGCGTGAACTCTCCCCGTTACGCCGTCTCAAAGTTGGCTTCGTTCTCAGCTTTGATCATATCAATCATCCTTGTCGTCCTGTTCCTCGTCCGTTACTACTTGCTGGAGGCCTTTCTCATCCGTCGCCTCTATGGATCGGTCTACACGAATCTCAGCCTGGAGAACCAGCGTGGCTTCATCAACCACCACATTGCCGGCACCATGAAGTTCCTCATTCTCATTATCGCAGCATATCCCTTCATCAAAGTCATCGTCGGCAATTCCACGTTCCACACCCCATTTGTTCGTGGCTCCCCTGTGATGATGGGGGATATTTTGATTGTGGTCGCACAAATGCTCATTGGCATGTACGTGTTTGAACTTCTTTATCGGACGAGATTGTCACCAATCGCCGTCTTGCACCACGTGGGAACAATCATGATCGGTCAGTCCGCCATTGCGATCGGGCTAGATCGAATGCAAGAGCCGGACGCTGGAATTGAATTCATGCTTTGTACAATATGGGGTACGTGTTTTCTTTTACTTCAGGAGGCGCCAGGCTCACCAAAGCGGTCGTAGGTGTCTTCGATATCATCTCCGAGTTCTTTCCACATGTCGCCATCATCCTCTATCGCATCTACCCTCAGCGACATCGCTTTCTCAGTCGAGTCTTTCTGTCGTCTTGCATAACCACCGCATTCGGTACCTTTTGCGAAACCGTCGTGATAATGTTTCTGTTCGGATGCCTTTGGGATCGCTGGCAGGTTGCCTTCAAAGTCACAACGCCAATTCTTCACATCGCTTTCTCGGCCGCCCAGGTCCATGGGAGCGTTGTTTTCTGGCGCATGTACAAACGGCAGCAGAGATTTCTTAACGAAGAGGCTGGCCAGGACCTCGTGGGGAGTGAGAACACCGAGGGGGATGAGTCGGAAAGCAAGGACAAGCCGTTGGTTATGCGTGGATATGTAAGGCCTGAAGTATGATTTTGTGTCAGACCATGTTCGATTGCCTTGCTCTTTCTTCTGTGCTGACTTTGTTTCGTGTCCTGTAATTGTCTTTTTTTTTTTTTTTTTTTTCTTTCTTTTTTTTTCACCTCCCTCCCCCCACCCCTTCCTTTCGCCTTCTCCCTTGGCTTTCGCTTAATTTCGATATAATCTAGGCCTCATGTACATGGATTTTGTTAGATATCGACGGGGAGAAACGATTCTCAGAGCAACAGAGTGAGGAAATCAGAAAGCTTTTCCAAAAGCCCTTCCGCCCCGATCATCCTTTCGGAGCACTCCACTCCCCGCCGGTGGAGTCCATCGAGCCGTCTCGGAATCATCCCGAACCCGACTTACGGGTTATCAACAAACACCAGTAGCCGTAGAAGTGCTTGAACATCATGGCAGGATAACCTACCTCCTCCCTGCGGCATTTGTATTGAGTTTAATTCAAGCCTTTGGACTTGTAGTTCAAGGTGGGATGCCGTGTCTTTCATTATACAATTAGACAAATGCCTTAAGATCGATAGTTGCACCAGACGTTGGAAAAGGTAGATAATGAAAGGGTTGTAGAGCACAGCTACAAAGCAAATGAACCAAACGCATGGATAAAGAAAGCATGGACAGAATGATTTTACCGGGATTGGTCCGTTGATATGGTGGAATTTCCTTTTATTTTTCCCTCCAATACTATTCGAAACACAACTGGAGAGTTTATGGCCTAGCCATGTCACCTGATTATCACTATATATTAAAGGCGTCGCTTCTTTGTACCATCAGTCGATTCTAGATTCACACACAGCCATCTCTAGAGAGGTCTTGGTAGTTTTTCAAGAAGACAAAAACCAGAACCATCATGGCAAACAGTCCTTTGGGTGGCGGCATCTCGTCTCTTCCGTTAGAGCTGTATGATAAGATCGTAGCGTGCACTGTGGAATCTATCAACCATAGGAATGACCTATGGGGTCGTAAATCGATATATGAAGACGTTCCCGCAACCCTGAAACGCCTTCGACTGGTGAACAGATCATTCTACTACGCCTCGACTCGCCTGCTCTTTCGTCGGATCGACGCCTCATTAAGGGGCTCGTCCGACTCACTTGCCAATGTGGACAAGATTGCCCGCAGCGACTTCGCATCGGTCGTCTCTAAGCTTATAATAGGCTGGGGAGGACCTTGCTCGTTGGATGAGGCAGTAGAATTCTATCAGACTCTCCCAGAAATTTTCTCATTATCCCTAACTCGATTTGAAAATCTACGATGGCTTGCGATTGGCAACAAAGCTTCCTTCGTAGTGGAGCAACCAGCTCTAACCGAACGCCTGCTCAAGGCACTGGCAGATCATCCACCCTCACGACTGGAGGGCCTCCAATTCGATATTGGTAACGTTCCATGCACAAACAGGCGATTAGCATTGCTCGCGCCCGTCATGTCAAACCTGCGCTATCTCTACCTTCTTTATTCTGACAACTACATATACGCGGGAGATTCAGGTCTCTTCTCCGCTCTACAACATGGGCGTAACCTGCAGCATCTCTGCATTCGAGGTCTTTTTCATGATGCGAACGCTTCATTGGATTGTATCCCTGCTGAGGCCCCTCTCCGCTGTGTCCAGATTGCGTATATGAATATTTCTTTCGAGGGGATTCGCGCGATCCTCAAATTTGCAAGGACTCTAGTCTATCTAGACATAGCGCGCGTCAACCTCACAGGTGGTACCTGGGCAGAATTGGTAGAGGAACTGTCGAATTTGCCACTTCTTAGCAGGGCTTTTTTCTACCGTTGCTCTTATGCGCAAGAGAGAAATAAAGACCAGGATGCAAAGGATTCATGGTCGATGAGAGCCCTTGAGCAGAAATTCAAATCCCGTCCCAGCGACATAATTTCGTGCTCTCACCGTGACGTCGTTAAAGACTTTCTTCCCGAGCATTGATTTTTCCCCGTGCAATCTTACTTCGATCTGGAGGATGCCACGCTAGTGAGATCCATGTCTCCCCATTCAAACATTCCGATTACTGTCTCAATTTAACAACAATGTAACGAAATATAAATGATACCTAGAGCGGGACCTCACGTCCTGAAATCTTGTAATCGAGCAATGTCTTTTCTCTTTCCTCACAAACCCAATGGCCCCTGACTAGGGAACTAGACCAACTATCAGGAAGCTGGTTGTGAGCTATCTAGTTTATGTGAAGTCCAGCAGGCTCTATGATTTACAGGAGCTATACTCTGCGGAGTACCTGGATAATTAATTCAATTCCAACTTTATTTTCACAACAAACTCCAGTCACTTCTACTCCGATTGGACCAAACAGGACCAATGCCCCAGTAACACCTGTGTTTAACCAGCCACAATTCAAACACCCCATAAGCTCCGGTTACATCACCACCCAGCCGCAAAGCGGCAAAACCCACACCATCTTCACCGGGCGAGCCCTAACGCTCCCGCCCCACCGATCCATATATAAGATCAGGACCACCCGGACGACGATACCACTTCTGCCCCTCATCCCAGAGAACCCCTCAATCCCTCAAAATGGTCTACACAATCGTCGTTCGTACGTATCCCCTTCCCTTCATCTTCACCGTCACTATCCAGATCTCTGACCACTAACCGTCACAGACATGCGGGCCAAGCCCGACGAGGAGTCCATCTCCAAGCTGCACGCCAAGCTCATCGAGGCCTCGGGCGTCTACTCCAAGGACAAGGAGACTCTGTCTTGGTTCGTGATGCAGTCGGTCCACGATAAGCAGGACTTCTGCATCGTCGAGCGCTACCTCAACGAGGGCTCGCAGAAGTACCACCTCGAGAACCCCTACTGGAAGACCTTCGATCCCTACGTCATTCCCCTCCTCGAGAAGGAGATGGATCTGCGACGCTTCGAGGAGATGTGCTAGAGGGCTTTGGTTACTCGATATATTGAGTTGAAGGAGGATGGATGTATATATTTTTATGCTGCCGAGAATACCAATTGCGATTGCCGTGTCAGGTGTCGAACATTGAAGCAGTGTTTGGTGTTGTATTCGGGTCTTTTCATGAGGCTCCTGATTCATATCGCAGATTATGAAAAGCTCGTATGAATTCAATCCCATCCCGACCGACGACCGGCAACCCGAGACAAGCGCGGGGCATTTCGGGATGATCGGTGCCTGCAACGGAAGGCGGTCGGGGCGGGGAGATGACATAATATCTTCTCCTTCAGTATCCTATTCCGGTTAGGCCGTGTCAATCTCCCGGGAAATCCCCGAGGATCCTCCTTTATGCCTCAGGCATCAGTCATACTCTATATTCATTCTCCTATCACTTTATATCATTCTTTTTGTTCTTATATGTTTTCCCAAGATAGGTATTGAAAGTGATAGTATGGTAGAAGGGGAAAGAAGTAAACAGAACCTAGGACTATGCTGCAATTTTGAAGTTCTCCCTCCAGAAGTAGGCACCAAGAAAGCAGAAATGCTATCTCTAGCAGTCAATGTGTCCGCGTCACGCCTCAGATTTTCACCGTGCGTCCGACCGAGGTACCCTCAGCCGGGGATCTAACATTCCGGGACGTAAAAGAGAGCGTATTCTGTCCTTCCGTTCGTACCGAAAAGTGGCCGTGGTTTCCATACAAATCATATATGGTGAACCAAGCATTCGCGTCCCAGTTATTCCACCAACTTGTGTACCCGCTAAAGAAAAGCAGACGGGTAAGACACAAGGCATTCACTCGCTGATTGACCTTGATTTGCGCGTATCTGTAATATGTGGTGGAACCACTCCAGGTGTAAAGACCGCGTCTCACGGTCATTTCCTTTCCCACGTCGAACATGTAGAATATAGAAATGTCATTTTTGCCCGCTTTGAGGTAAGCAAAAGAGTCCTGCATATCACTCGATCTCACAACGCCGTTGTCATTCCCGGTGGTGTCAACCTGGTGACGATCCACTTTCAAGAAGGGATAATCATGGGAGGAAACATAGTAGTTATCCTGATCCCAACGATATGTACTGCTGTTGGACCCGGTCTGGATTCGCCATGTCCCCTCGGCCGTGTCCTCTCGGGTGAAGGAGACGTTGTCTGTCGTATAGGTAACCGGCTGAATAGCCTCGAGTGTGACCATGGAATCGAAAATACCACCGGTAGTGGTGACGGTGGTTGGCTTGTCCTTGCCCGGCTGGCTGATTTGGGCGGCGATATTTTCGTTTGTGATCTGGGTAGAGGAAACCCAGAAGCCGATAGTTTGTGTGCCATCGGCGATGGGATCGACTGGGGCTCCAGCGCGAGGCAGTACGTGGGCAAACCCATTCTCGGTAGTAGAGTAGGTCCACCTTCCCGTCAACTCATTCCTCGAATAATAATTGATCAACTTGATGCCCTCGAGCTCAGCCTTGGTCAACTGGTAATCTGAGTTTCCGTTTTCGTCTGGGTCTAGCAAGAAAGCTTTGATAGACACAATCACCTTCACCTGCATCTGGCCATTTGCAAAAAGGCTGTCCGACGTGCTGTCTCTGGCACTCGTCCTCACATTGAATTGAGTTACCTCCCACAACTTGGCCATTCTTGATGATGCTTGTGATAATTGAACAATCGAATAGAGAGAATCAAAGATGATCGGAAGGATTCGGGTGCAGTAGAGCAATAGAAAGCAGAGAATGTTAGGTTACTCTTTCATACGGATGTGGAGAGGGTATTATATATCTACAATAATCCGTAGCTTATCACCTTAGAGCTTTTCCTGATTTCTTTTGGCAATCTTGGCGTGAGTCGTGGAATTTTGCAAACCCCGACTTCGTGCGGGGCAATTCAGCTGCAATATCCATACTTCATTTAGTCTGCAGGACGGCACGCCAGTAGGTAACGATTGACCGCACAAGGTTTCACTCCAGGCGACCGAACAAAAGTACGCGATCTAAGTCATGGAGGGGGCAAATCGTAGTTATTAGGGCTGTTTTACACGTCAGAGGTCCAGAGCTGCGTAGTGGCGTAGCGGTCCAGTCTCTAGCCTGCTGCGACGAATTCATTAAAATTTGTTCTAGATCGGGTGGATTCTAATAGCTTCAAAATCACTACTTTCTAGTAATACAGCGTGGTGTATATTCTCTTCCATCTCTTTCTTCTCTATACGACCATAGTGTGACGCAGGCTAGTCTCATCATTCGGTTGTCAAGGGTGCGCAGTACTCTGCCTCACACTACATGGATAGATTGAATAGGCCTCCGTGTTCGGGTCAGAAGGAGTCGTATCTATTGGCCCAATTGGTTTGCCTTGGGATGGGGTTTGTGTATCCAATGTAGGACAGTATCAAAGCAACACGAATAACACGAGCCAAAGCAATTCGTGGCTACAACATGCCAAGGTTGCTGTAATATTAGCCGATCATACTCGGAGTGTCTTCTTTGAAATAAATACTTAAGATGTCTTTACCTGGATAGTGTATGCATTTGTCTACATATATGCGAACACGTTTATTGAACCTGATAGGTGGTTCTCTCCAACAATCCCCTTCAGGCACTTGTGATCTTATGGGTAGCTGTTTTAGGAAGATCCCTCTCGATATATTAAGCCTTGACTACTATGTATCTCCACATTAGATCTTAGCGCTACGGGACAAGGGAAATTGATCCGGTCTCAGATGAGCAGCATGGAGCTTGCCAATGGCTCACTTGCATGGAGTCTGTCAGCCAGCCACCGACAGGATCAACGCTGCAGACCCCCTCCGTACGCCGGGGTGAATGGAGAGTTAATTTAGTTTCCGTCAAGGCACTAATCTCGTAGCGCCGGTGGCAAATATTTGCCTCCTCCCCCTCCCCATCCATTTTGATTCCTCATTGGACTTCATCATCAGCTCCTCATTTCCAACTCCCTGTCGACTTATCCTGGCCGGGTAACCTGCACTATGATTCATGCGACTCGGGAGGATGGATCTCTCCCCTGTACGAAGGGGAGAAGGACGGAACGAGCTGAGGAAAGACAGATAGAAGGACAAGCACAAGCAGGAGGAGGATCAGGAGAAAGAGGAGACATAGAAAATCTCCTGTGAATCCGGACCCCGATGGCTGATCAGCACCAGCTCTCTTTCTGATGCAACCCTGATTTTACCATCATGATCTACTCCCAGGCCTTTAACTTCAACTCGTACGTCGAGAAAGGCGTCGACCCCCGCACTGGTCAACACAACTGCACCATCTCTCTCTACGAGATGCCGAATGAGGCTCGCAACAGCCCACCCCTTAAGCTGTCACTTCACTATAATCCCTTGAACAGCGACGATGTTGGCTTGGGCCAGGGCTGGTCCTTCGGCAACATCTCCTCCTACGATCAGGGATCCAAGACCCTGGTTATGTCCACCGGGGAGAACTATAAGGTCACAGAAACCACCAGCTCAGTACGCATGACGGACCAGAAGCTCAAAAACTTCGTGTTCCAGAAGGCGAGCACCACAAGCTACCGCGTCACCCTCAAGTCGGGCCAGGTCGAAGTGCTCTCCAACTTCAACAACCGGACCAGTGTCAGTGTACCTACGGACATTTATGGCGCCAATGGCCGCTCACTCAAGCTCTCCTGGGTATTTTCCGGCTCCCAGCCGCGACTGAGCAAGGTGCAGGCCGACTCGCAGGACCTGATTGAGGTCGCGTACGGCACGAACACCACCATCACCCGGGCCCCTGGGACCGCCGAAGCCGCGACATTCACGCTGGTGAAGCGCAATAACCAGCTGACGGAGCTTCGCCTGCCGCCGGACGGCTCACCAGCCTGGAAGTTCACGTATGCGACCGCGGGCCTGACTAACGTCACCAGCCCGACGGGGGCCACAGAGGACATCTCCTACAAGACGGCGGGCTTCCTGCTGCCGAGTGGCGCGCCAGTTAGTTCCATCCCCTATGTCGTCTCCCACACCGTACGGCCCTTCCATGGCCAGCCCGCCGTCCAAACAACCTACAGCTACTCAGACCGTAACTTCCTCGGTTATGGCGGAGGCCGGAACTGGACCAACGACGGGGACAACCTCTACCTGACGCCGGCCGCCTATGAATACTCCAGCACCGTTCAGGTGGTGGGTGGCACCACCACCACGCGTACGTACAATAAATTCCACCTGTTGGTCAGCAGTCAAGAGCAGAAGGGCACCAAGCAGCTCACGGAGGCCACCACCTACTATGCTCTGACCAACACCGCTTTCGATAGCCAGCCCGCGCAATATCAACTGCCTAGGACCCAGACCACCACTTACCGGGACACCTCCACCGGGGCCTCGCGCACTGAGGCAACCCAGTTCACCTTTGACGACTGGGGCAACAAGACCAGTGAAACTCCCCCGAGCGGCATCACGACCACCAGCGAGTACTATGTCCCCGCCGGCGAGGTGGCGTCGGGCACGGTGGTCTGCCCGGCCGATCCCCATGGATTCCAGCGCTATCTCAAACTGGAGACCGTCACGCCGGCGGCCAGCGCCTATTCGACGCCCACTCGAGCCCATCTTTATACTTATCTCCAGATTCCCACAGCCGTCGATGCCCTGGCAGATTACTGGGTCGCTGCCCAACAGCGGCAGACGACCGAGGACGGCCGGACGCTCTCCACTACGGAATACACCTATGTGAACCAACCCCAGTCCAGGGATCATGGCCGACTGCAGCAGCAAGTCACGCGCTTGCTTAATCAGGATGCCACGACGCACAACTGGGCCTACACCCATGTGAGTCCGGTCGAGTTGAAGGAGGTCACGACCATGAGGAGCTTCGATGGCCAGACCACTCAGGAAGTGACCACGTCTTCATTGATGTCCGGGCTAAGCCTTGCCACAAAAGACCGGGCCGGGACCGAGACAACCTTGCAGCATGACTCGATGGGCCGATTGCTCCAGACCACCACCGCTCCCGGGGCGGCTTTCGAGGCCACGAAAAAACATGACTATGCGGTTCTGGAAAACGCCGTCGGGTGGCGCGTCACGGTGACAGACACCAAGGGCGTGCAAACGCGGTACTTCACAGATGGATTGGACCGCGTGGTCCGGGTGGAGTCCCAAGACGACGATGGTGGGTGGGATCAATATAACGCCTACAACGGCACGTTCCGCGTCATCCGGGAGCGTGAATATAATTCCCTGGATCAGTGCACCAAAGAGGTCGACATCGACTGGCTGCGCTCCAGCGGGACACCCACGGAGCTGCGGACAACCCGCTCGCTCGAGTACGATAACTGGGCCCAGGTCTACAAGGTTACCAGGAGCAGCGGAGCTGTGCAGCTGTCCGAGACCGACCCCATTGCCTTGACCTCAACGGTGAGCAGTGAGGGTGAAGGCCAGACGCGCATCCAATACAATCTGTTCAAAACCCCGACAAGCGAGTCGCTCATCCGACGCAACGGAACGGTCGAAAGTACGACTGAGTATGCTTACGATGGTCTGGGACGCCGCCGGCAGATGAAGGATGGCTTGGGCCGTGCCACGCAGTATAGCTACGATAGCTTTGACCGCGTGGTGCAGACCACCAGGCCAGATGGCAACGCCATCACCACCCAGTACGCGGCCCAGAGCGCCGAGGCCCTACCTGTGGCCATCAATCTCCAGGGCACCACTGGCTTCAGTGAGCAATCTTTTGACGGCTTGGAGCGGCCGCTGCGCACGACCGTCGGCGGGCGCACCATTGCAAATACCTACAACGGCGTTGCCCCCCTGCCTGCCCAAGTCACCGACGCCAAGGGACGGCGCTCCCAACGCACGTACGAGCCGACGTTAGACTACGCGTTGACGGGGCGGGTCACCAGCGACGGCACCGACGCATATCAATATGATAAGCAAACCGGGGATGTCTTAAAGCTGGACAGTTCGCTCGCCGCAGCCAACCTCGGCTATTATCCCTCCAGCTTAGTGTCCCAGGAGACGATTCAAGTCGGCAGTGGGGCCCGCACCCTGCAGTACGTGTACTCGCAAGCTGGGAAGCTTCAAGAATACACCGACCTCAACGGACAGCAGCATGCGATCCAGTATGATGAGTATGGCCGGCAGCGGGGGATCAGTGTAGGCACGCTCAAGACCACGCTGAGCTATGATCAGTCGGACCGCATCACCACGACCGTGGTCCAGGATAGTAGCAAGGGCGTCGTCCTGACGACCAACATCGAATACGATGAGTTCGGTCGGGAGGTCCAGCGGACGGTCTTGAAGGGGACAAAGAAGCTGTCCCAGACTACGCAGTCGTACGGGGCCACAGGGCTAATCACTACACGGAATCGCAGCGATGGTAATGGCACTGCGACGCGACAAGAATCGTTCGGGTATGACAGTCTGAGTCGCTTGGTCGACTACCAGTGCCAGGGCACGCAGCCCCCGGTGGACGAGCAGAACCGGGCGATTCGGGCTCAGCGATTCACGCTCAATGCATACGATGGCTTGACCCAGACCCAGACCACGTTCGCGGATGGCAGCCAGAACACGCAGACTTACACGTACAGCGCCCACGACCCGACGCAACTCGTCCGGATCACCAACACCCACTCCGACGAGCCGGCAACGATCGATCTCCAGTACGATGCGAACGGCTGTCTGACTCGCGACGAGCGCGGCCGGACGCTGGTCTACAACGCGTCGCGTCTCCTGGCCGCGGTCTATGACAGCAAGAGCCAGCTCCTCAGCGAGTACGGGTACGATGCCACGGACCGGCTCGTCCGTCAGAAGGTCCCCAATGAGCCGGACACCCACTTCTCCTACCGCGGGGATACCCTGATCGCCGTCACAAAGGGGGAGCAACAGATCAGCTTTGTTTCGGACGGCGGGGTGTACTGGGGCGAAGTCCAGAAACAAGGGACCACAGTCAACACGCACCTCTGGGCGTCCGACGCCAACCACTCGGTATCCACCAGTGTGGATACGCAGGATGCGGAGCAGATCCACGACCAGGCGTACACGCCTCATGGCTCCAGCCCCGGTGGCTCGGCCATTGGCTTCAACGGACAATGGCGAGATCCAGTCACCGGGTGGTACCATCTGGGGTCAGGCTACCGGGTGTACAGCCCGAGTCTGAAGACCTTCCTCCAGCCGGACTCTTGGAGCCCCTTCACCTCGGGCGAAATCAACCCGTACGCCTACTGCCTAGGCGATCCCATCAACCGCAGCGATCCGAGCGGGCACTGGAGCTGGCGCAACTTTGCCCAGTGGGCAGCGGGCCTGGCAATTGGGATCTTGACCGCAGGCGCCGGGTTCGCAGCGGGGGTAGCCATCGCGGTGGCCGTCAACGTGGGCGTGGGCGTCATCTACGACCTGGCCACTGGGACGACGCCCACGCTCAAAAGCATTGGCATGGATGCCGTGACGGGGGCCATCGGGGGCTATGTCGGCGGCGTCATCGGCAGCAATGTCCCGGCGTCGTGGGCGAACGCGCTGGGCACCGTCGGCACGGAGATCGCGTTGAACCTCGTATTGGGTGTTATCGTCCCCGACCCCTTCGCTACTCTCGGGTCTTCGCAGGAACGCTCCCTCTCCACCACGAGTCGCACTGCCGAACTGACCGCAAAGGATGCGTCTGCGACTACCACCACCGCCACCGCCGTCCCCGGCCGCATTCCGGACTGGTCCCTGGAGAAGCTTCGACAGCGAGGAAGCGCAGCCAAGGATCAAGCCCGGACGGGGACGGGGGAAGACACGGGCGCGTGGGCCGCGAGAAGTACCTCGCGCGAGACGGTCACGGCCGAGGACATCAGCTTGAATACCTTCGGCGTTAGCTTCAATGCGTCGCAACTCGCGCGCCAGCTGAGTCCGAACCACCGGGTGGTATTCAAATAACTGCCTGTGCGTCCACGACCGCGAGGACAGCTAAGGGTATAGTCCGTCAAATGAATAAATATTCAAATTTTTACAGAAATCCTAGCTGCTTTATAAACACCTATCGAGTTGTTATATTTGATAAAGACATATTATAATAAGGGATTTATTTTCTTTTAATGGCCTTGCAAAACAGAGCGTTAATGGTTATAGGTGTTTATTTTAGCATCAATACTTCAAGATACTTACATACTATGTGGTGATAAGATGTCTTAGTGGTAAAATATATAGCACTGATTGGGTCGATTCCATCTGCTTTGGATTTTCACACCTACATCTGCTTATGTTATTGATTTTGTTTCTTTCAACATTTTCTAATTATATTTCAACCTCTCTATCGGGGTCTTAAGTAGATTTAGTATGGGCCAACGGGTATACTTCCTTTGTCTGCTGTCAGCATCACGAATCATGACATCAGGAGTGACTTTCACCCTCCGCGCAATGCCTGATGATTGGTCATTTTCTTCGCCTTTACTGCATCCGCTAGAAGCACATTGATCGAATAAAGTCTCCACGCGTGCATTCTCACTTGTCCCCTCAATGTGGCTTTGGCCAGAACGCGCGAGACCTCGGAAACGTCAGCCCATGCCGCAACGAGGCGTCTTACCTGAATCCGAGCCCTCAAACAAAAACATATATAGTCTCCTCCTCCCTCTTCTCCTCCCTTCCCTCCACCTCTTCTAACCTCACCCTCACCCTCACCCTCACCACACCACCCTAACCCCAACAACCAACCCAAAAGCAAAATGCCCGAAACCGTCCTCATCACCGGAATATCCGGCTACGTCGGCGCGCACATCGCCCACACCTTCCTCTCCGCGGGCTACAACGTCCGCGGGACCCTCCGTTCCATGACCACCGCCCCCGCCATCCTCTCCCGCTACCGGGGCTTCGAAAACAACCTCACCTTCGTCAGCGTGCCCGACATCGCCGCCCCGCACGCCTTCGACGACGCCGTGAAAGACGTCGTCGGCGTAATCCACACCGCCAGCCCGTTCGTGCTCGACGTCACGAACAACGAAAAAGACCTGCTCCTGCCCGCCATCCGCGGGACCACGAACGTGCTCGACGCCGTGGGGCGGACCGGCCCCGCCGTGCGCCGTGTTGTCGTCACGTCCTCGTTTGCGGCGGTTTTGGATCTCGCAAAGGGTAATCGTCCGGGGTACAGGTATACGGAGATGGATTGGAACCCGGTTAGTTATGCGGACGCGAAGGGCGCGGAGAGTGCCAGTGTGGCGTATTGTGCGAGTAAGGCGTTTGCGGAGCGGGCGGTGTGGGAGTGGGTGAGGGACCATGAGCCCAGATTCTCGGTGGTGTCGGTGAATCCGCCGTGGGTGTTTGGGCCCGGGGTGGATGGGGGGAGGCTGAATGAGTCGTTGGAGGCGATTCAGAAGTTGGTGGATGGGAGTAGGAGTGAGGTGCCGGGGGTGGATTTTGCCGGGTTTGCGGACGTGAGGGACCTTGCGACGGCGCATTTAAGGGCCTTCGAGGTGGAGGAGGCAGCGGGGAAGAGGTTTCTGGTCGCGAATGGTAAGTTCGATTATCAGGCGGCGGTGGATATTGTGCGCAGGAGGTTTCCGGAGTTGAAAGGCGTGCCGGTGGGGAGGCCGGGGGTGGTGACGGAGACGTATGAGGTGGATGGAGGCAGGGCGAGGGAGGTTTTGGGGTTGGAGTATCGGAGTTTGGAGAGTACGTTGGTGGATACGGTGCGGTGGTTGGTGGAGAATGGACATGTTTGAGTGGCTCTATATAATCACTTGATATCAGACATTTGGTGAAGTTGTTCCAATTCATGGTCAATCTATATGCAGATCATACAATCTTCCACCTGAAGCACCTCCTCCATATCCCTCCCTGACCACTACAATACTCATCAGTACCAACCATCCCCCTCAAAACCAACAGACACCCCGCCGCTGCCACATACATAAACCCCGTAAACAGCTGCGTCCCCAAATAACTCCCCGTCCCCTGAAAGATCTCCAACGCCACCGGCTCACTAAACGTACACGGCACCACAATCGCCAACCACAACAGATTCAGGCCCTGCGATGTCTGCTTCAGCCCAACCACCTCGGCCACCAGGGGCGCAATCGTGGCCCAAAATGACCCCGCCACTAGTCCTTCACTGAGGGCAAAGAACATCAGCACGCCGTAGCTCTGCGCACTCGTCCACACCGCGAGCGGCAGGATCCCTGCCACAAAGGTAATGACAGTGGCCATGTTGACTCGCCCGGTCGTGTCGCTGAAGTACCCAGCGAGGGGCCGTCCGACGGCCTGGCCGAGGTTGAAGACGGCGCTGGCGAGCGAGGCCTGGGTGGAGTTCAATCCGATCTGGGTGGCGTAGTCGGCCAGGGAGAAGATGAGCACGAAGTAGCCGAGCATGGTGAAGGCACTGAAGCCGAGGAGGAGGAGGTATTCTGGTTTGCGGAACAAAGACGTATTGAAGGCTGCTTGGTTGGCGCCTATTTCCTGGCTACGGTCCTTGACGAGCAGCGTGCAGCTCGTGTTGACCACGAATGCAAGGATGGCGAGGATCCGGAAGGCCGTTTCCAGACCCAGGGAGCGGATCATAGCCGCGGCGGAGAGCGAGTAGATGAGGCCGCCGGCGCCGGCGCCGGAGAGGGCGACGCCGCTGGCGAGGGAGCGTTTGGTGGTGAACCACTGCGGCACGATGGCGGCGGTGGGGATGAAGAGGAGGCCGAGGCCGGTGCCGAAGAGGATGCCCTGCGTGAGGAAGAGGTGCCAGATGCGCGAGGCGAAGCTGGCGGCCACGAGGCTGGCGGATTCGAGCGCGACGCCGCAGAACATCGTGGGGCGGAGGCCGACCTTGCGGACGGCGATGGTGGCGATGGGCGAGGTCAGGAAGAGGCAGGTGAGGCTGAGGGAGCCGACGAAGGCGTATTGGAGGGGGGTTGCGCCGGGGAAGACCTCGTTGTCGAGATAATAGGCCAGGAAGACGGCGTAGGCCGAGTTGAAGCCCCAAGAGTGCGCGTTGATTATGGCCGCCGCGACGGTGCAGACCCAGCCGTAGCCGCCGTCGGGGGGTTCGTTGGATTGTTCATTGTTGGGGATGGGATTGTCTGTGGTGGTTGTATAGGCAGGATGAGTATGCTCTTTGCTCGCCATTTTAGAGTTGATGGTGTGCTGCCCCGCAAGTAAGGGACCAGCATTCTTGTTTATATAGGCTATGCCTTAGCTCTATAAAATCTAGACTTTTCTCGCTGCATTGGCCGAACCATAAATCTCTACGTCGTGTCAACAGAAGTGGATCTTCGGCGTTTGATAGACCCGTGGAAGAGACATATAGAGCAAACCGCACCAATGAGCATATGTTCTGATTATCTCGGCGTTTGATCTTCGGTCACTGTCACTGAATCTGTCCTGTCAAGGTGCATTCGAAGACTTGCCTGACTGGAACACTTATTAGTCGCCATACAATGCCGAAAGAAAGGTCAACCCAAGGCATCATGCTCATCTTTCTTTCTTCTTCCTTTAACAATATGCAGGGAATCTGAAATCCAAAAGCCCAGAAATTCTCAAAGCCAGACAAAAGTACTTATCGATCATGTCTTCTCGTCGCTGCAACTTCTGGAAGCCTTGGCATTCGGCCTTTGATGTTTCGCCGAGCCCGATTGCGTGACCGACAGTCGCCGAAACACCGATCGCTTGCAGCCTTTCAAATAAGACTGTTTTCACCAAGGTATTTTGCTAGATATTGTTCGTTCATGTGTCTAGACTGTCAATTCACCTATCCCTCGGAGTAGAGGTCCACTATTTCGATATTCGCGACACTGTACTTGATCCTTCTGCCAATGTAGGAATTGCATGCGGCCTGTCTGTCTGGGATAGACCAACCAACTCTTACCCTGTAGCAGGTTGATAAGCTCTTAGCCGGCAGGTCGATCCTGTGTGGGTGGGGAGCGGAATAAAAAATTAAAAATAAAAAAGGTGGCATGGAAAAAACCCTGTATGGTAATTGTTAACCTTGTATCTCCAATTCAAGCACAAATTTTCATTGTTCGTTTGTTGTATAGGCTCTGGGATTATCATAACCGAATGCCACGGGTCTCTTCCCCTTCATACAAATCAGTAACTTAACAGTTAGCATCAGTATGTCAATTAATTGGTTATGAAGCCAGCCTTGGTAACGAGACATTTCATGTACACAATGAGATAAAGTAGCGAACGTATAACTTGCTTGCCTCGACGTAGTCAAATATCCCGATCAACCAGACCCCGGACGTCAACGCAAGCGCAATCTACGGCTTCGACAGCTCAACAACGTGAAAGTTAAAGTTGCACTTCCCACCATCAGTGACATCGTCACCGCTCGTCGCACTAAACATCACCGACTCATCCTTGCCCAGGACCTCAATCTTCTGCTGCCCGCCAACCATACCCTCGACAGCGGCGTAGTTCAGACCCGGCGAGGCAGGCGACGTGGTCAGCACATTTCCGCCGCTGGAGACACGGATCGTGATGCCCTCCCAGAGCGGAGGGAGGACGACGGCGTAGTTGACGGTGTCGCGCGCCGCGTCGGCGTTGGAAGGCTGGTCCGAGCAGCTCTTCGTCATGCCGCGGTACCACATGGCGCCGATGGGCGACTCCGAGCCGGTCTCCATGCCGTCGGCGCTCTTGCCGTCCTTGAATGCGCGGATGAACGACCCGATCAGAGGCTGCCAGGCGAAATGCGGGAATTTGTCCGTGTTGGCGTATTCGACGATCTCCGGGACGGTCGTGTAGCTCTCGGACCAGAGGTTGCCGATGTAGTGGCTTTCGCCGCCGTCGTTCTGTTCGATGGGATGGTTAGTGGAGAGGGTAGGAGGGAACAGGGAAGGGGGGAGAGGGATTACCCAGGTGATGAACTCGGTGAAGTCCGGCTTCAGGTCCAGGATCTGGGTCATGCGCTGAGGCAGGTTGACTTCGCCGATGCGGTACCAGTGTCCGTCGCCGGTGTTCTTGTACTGGATGGGCGAGAGGGCTGTTTTGTCAGCACCATTTATTGCATATCAGATAAGGATGTCTTACGCATCATGTAGCCCTTGTTCGAGCCGTGAGCATACTCCATCACCTTCTGGTCTCCCTCGGAGCTGACGTTGACCGGGCTGCCGGTCGAGCCAGGCCAGGCAGACTCCCAGCTGAAGTAGCCATCCACAAAGTCGTTGAACTGCGACAGCTTCTCCTCGGGGTTCTCAAAGTACTTGGAAGAATCGCTGTCATCCAGATTCGGGATGAGGTAGATATCCGAGTTCTGCTTGAAAGAGCTCCAGGCATCCGCCTCGCCCGATCCGCCGAAGGACGACACAACGGGGTTGTTATCGGATCCAGCCCGCATGTAGTTCGGATGATCGGAGTACTTGTTGAACAGGTCGATGTGGCCCTGCAGGTCCGGGTGCTGGTACATATCGAAGCTGAAGAACAGGTTGAAGTCGGTGCCCTCGGCGCCGTCGAACAGCGCCTTGACGCAGTTCTGGGCCCATTCGGCGGTCGGATCTCCGACGTTCATGGCGAAGGCATCAAAGCCGACGGATTTGGCGTCTTCGACATCCTGCTTCGCGTGGTCGGGATTGGTCTCGCCGATCTATATCGCGGCTCATTAGCTGAGGCCGCAGAGAAGGTTCGGTATAGTCACCATGTAATGGGCAAAGACGCTCTGGGCCTGAGCGACCGAGATTATACCGGAGCCCGCAAGGGCGGCAATAGCAAGGAGGAATTGCATCGTGGGGGCGAGTTAAAGAAAGACAACGATACACTTGTGACTGAGGAGGTAAATGGAGCGAGCGGATAGCTCTTATAATCGATCGCCGTCGCCTTCCGTCATGCTTCTAGAAGGACAGCTACTATTCCAGGTAATCTTGTCGGGGACCCCGAAACCCCGAAGTGTCGTCGAGTTGACCCTTTCAGTTGTGGCCCCCAGAGTTTGAGGAATTCCTGGTAGACTTTTGGCCCCAGTCCCGTTGGCCCCAAGACGATCCGTCCCTGTTTCAGGTCTGGCCACGATCGTCCTGCATCATCACCTCACCACGAAGAAATGCATTCTGGATGTGTGAGGCCTAGTGGCCGTGAATAAAAAAGGATTGAATCGAGAACATCACACTTCATTTGTTTATATTGTCTGATCGAGTAGGTATCGTGCCTAGCCGCAGCAGGTTAAAAATGGGGCCAAGTGCGTCGGCCAAGCCTTGACCGTCTCAGATTCGAGTACGGAGCAGATGTGGGTACTTCACAATGATGGTTCTTACCAGACCAGGGGTCCATTGTACCATGAGCTTGGTACCATCACACGCCAAAGCCGTCGGGCCATGAAAAAGTTCCGCCGTATGACTCGTGCAGAACTGCGTACGGAGTGAGCGGAGTCCGATCCGACAGCCCCGATAGATAAAACAGGGCCAGCTACGGTCCCTAGCGTATTCACATCGTATAGATTGACGTCGCTGATCCGGGCTTTAAGGAATGCTGAATGTAACGTCCCCGAGTGCCCAAACTAGAATAGAATGCTCCTGACCTAGTCTCGGGAAACCTCCGAAGGATGAATGTTCTCGGCCTCATTTTTCGCCCTGATTTTCAGGGTTTCCAGAGGATGTATCGGATTAAGTGGATGTGCTGGTCGAGTCTTTTGATTGAGGTATTTGATATGAGGAATGTGAAATTGCACTACCTTTGGAATGGAAAGATTCAAGAAACGATGCGCTCTTCCGAGAGTCCGAGTATCACAGTTCCCACTTCGCCGCCTTCAAATCCGTATCATTATAGTCGTCTTCGTACCACTTGGCTGACTTGGGCGGATTCGCGAGGTACCAAACACCAAAGATGCGATTTCTCCACGGCTTTTCTGGCCCGAAACTGCAGTACTCGAAGTTGATAAAGTATCTAGATGGGGTTAGTATCGGACAGGATCGATGACGGCGCGAAAAGGAGTTCTTGTATAAGAACAATGAAATTGAAACTTACACTTGGCCCGTTTCCTCGTCCCAGACGAGATGATCGAGGGTGCCTCGACTGAAGTTAACCCCTGCGCGGGTCAGAGATCTAAATTGAGCAGTAATACCCAGAGTTAGTACGAGACCCATCAAAATACGATGGATTGCCATACATAAATCCTTGCCGAAAGGATTGCCGGATAGCCTCGCGAGTCCTTTCAGGTAAGGTCCAGAATAAAGACATGTTTTCAACGGCAGGACCGAGGCGGGCCCCGGGTGCCCGGGTGTAAACTAGGTGGAGAATAAAGCCGCCAGGGACCATGCCCTCTTCGTTCTGGGTGCCTTGCTTGACACCGAGCAACTTGGGGGTAGCAGGGAGACTCATTCTATGCACCCGAAGAAAGGTCTCCAGTTCGGCTCTGCCGTGCCGGCAAAGGGGGGGCCGCCTCTTTACCTCTAGCATTGCGGGAATCGTACTCGGAGCCAACGCTGGGGATTTGCATCCATATTTTCATGATAGCATGTTGGGAGGGATCCTCGGTGTTCTGGCAGACGAACGAGGCGAAAGCATACGAGGGGTAGGACAGGCGGTCTTCGGGGTGCTCTTGAATGTACTTCTCGTTCATCTTCTCGACGACCACCCAGGTGCCCACAAACGGGTCGGTGAAGGTGACTTGAGTACCAATGTACCTGCTACCCAAAAAGTTTCGCTCGCAGATATTCGAGTCCATATTGTACTGGGAACGAGGACAATCATATGCGTGGTGATGTGGACGTTTACGCCAACGGGGATGGGGATGAAGACGAGAATGGGCGAGGAAGGAGAAAAAACAGGAAGAGATCAAGCAGAACCTTTCAGCCCAAGGGTGACAGTACCATTATTCAAACGCGTCGATATACATTCACTGTTTCTAGGCAGCTCAGAGAGAACCCGAACCCCAGCTCTGAAATCAACGTCACCGTTGCTCGCAATTCAAAGCTACATTCACCGTCTACCAATATTCCCTTAGCCATATAGATCTCAGGACATAGCTAGGCCAGGTAATGTTCCAGAGGTGGAGCCCTGGGACCAATATGCCTTTTCACTGCAGTAGGTTCAAATTTCCGGCTTGCCCGAAGCTTACGCACAGCACATGTAACTTTCCGATCAGGTCTCCGTAGCATCCTGTGCTGTGAGAAAACATAAAACTCATTTCGATGCTTGCAATTGGCTCATGGGCTGGTTCCTGGTGCTACGTCATGGGCGAGTCACTCTTAGGTAGGTTTGGACAAAACACCCGCTTCACAAGTCATTCATTCTTCTGCCCCTATTAATAGCTTCCTCACTATGCCTCTCGCTCCCCCTCCCCACTATCTTTCTCGCCACGTTCTCTCACTAATAATGGATTCAAGGGCTGGAACCAGAAATTTCTTCGGAGCTCCTTACATTCATAAGGAGATAACCTTCGCAGATCAAAGTCCTAGCACATGGATAATCACCCAGAAGTTGAAGGAGAAATCCATTCAACAGAGCACTGATGAACCTGAACATCTACCTTCATTTGCCGTTGCCTCGTTTATATGCCGGAATAGGAACAACCCCGCCCAGGAGGCTATGATGAAGATTTGGCTGCAGCTGCCACGAATAGGGACTGAGTACAGCAGCCCCGAAGAACGCGCAAGACAAGCAACAAACCTTCTCTGCAGGGAGGCTGAGTCGGAATGGAATGCCTTTTGCTGTCTCCAGTCATCTTCCCTTGATCTGACTCCAGAACTGTTGGCAGCAAAGCGAGACGCCCAAGCCGAAGTAGATCTTCTCCCCGGCGGCTACGCATTATACCTGGTTTTTACCCTCATTCAGGGAATTCGCTTGGGCCCCCCGCTCCGCGAGCTGTCTGTCTTCTGGACTCTAGATATGGCAACCCGCGAGGAGATTCGCCAGGCTTTCAAGGAGGGATACATGTAGGACCCGTATGCATACCTGCACGGGCTTTAGGCTAATACGAACGCTAGGTCTCTGGGCCGGATCGGGATTAGCTTGTGGCGACCAACCCTCAACAATCTGATATGAAATCAGGCGGAACGACGCATGTGGGTTATAATCCAGTTCCTGTTAAAGCTTTCTCTATCTATCATGATCTTACTATGATACTAATCAATCTATTCCGAATCCTGCGTTTAGTTATTTTATCAACTTCGAGAGGTGCTGCCTGTACAGTCAACCTACACCATGGCGAGAGAGAATTTTCGGAACATGGCATCTGGCTACGGTCCCCAGCCATGTTGACTGGTGGAACGATGATTATGATGACAGCAATCTGGAGGTAGCTGGCTGGACCTTGTGAATTTGCCAATTGACCCAACCGGCTCAAGACGTTTCTCCTGAATGGTGTCAACCAGGCCGTAGGAAAGACGGCCCCCAGGAATTTGACACGAGGATGCGGGATTGTACGAACAGACGTTATCCCCTTTGCTACCATCAGCACGGGCTTATAACATAGACAAATGCCGTCCGAAAGCTTATCTCGAGAGTAGTCTCCAAGACTTTACCGCCCGTATCAATCCTGAACGATAGCTGTGGTATGGTGTCGTTGCCAGAGGTCGTGGTCACAAACATGCCAACGGAAACCCTACCATCGGGCTGGACAGTCGCATTGATATTCAACATCTTGCCCGGTGCGCGGTCAGAATTTCTAAACAGGACAACAGCCTTGATAGACTCCAGGGTTCGGTGATGCAGCTTTTCGAAGGCCTTCAGTACCAAGGTAGCACCATGAAAATAGTCAAACAGGGCGTACTTTTAACCCGGGCGGTCGTCAGAGCCTTGGGTGATCAGGTCAATGGCGAACGCCTCTCCGCTGGTTGTGTTCTGGGTATGACGGCTGGATATTCGACGGGAAGGCTGACTCCGCCGCATACGTTGGCAAGAATGTTTTGGATCATGGGGTAGAGTATGGTGGGAACGCCTTGTGGTTCATTCGTGCTGCGGGCGTCGATTAGCTCTATCATCTCATGTGTCTGAGGACCAAAGACGCTTCATATATGAAACTCTTTTCCTCCCCTCAATCATCTAGGTCTAATGCAATTTACTGGAAGGCGAAATCCGGCGCTTTGAGATCGAACTTAGGATATACCTCGTACACTAATCTCGTACAGCATTGGGGAATAGTAAGGTGATAGGCATAGGGCTCCGCTCGGTGGGTCATTTTGCACGTCCTGCTTGGCGCCAGGCAGGTTCGGAGTATAGCCATGTTGGCAGCAGTAAATTGCCGGAAGCATTGCCGTTCATTTTGGCTGCAATATGCAGTGATAGTTTGGCTTTCTCGGTCATTCTGCTGCTTTGCTCAACTCTAATGCCTCGGCAGGTGGTTTGCATGTAGACTTTAACGCTTGTGGGTGGGCGGTCCTGCTGCATACTATGCAAGTCTAGACATTACAAAGGGTACCGTTTATAGTGTAGGGTGAAATGCCTCCGAGTTTGAAGCATAAGACGGCTTACGCGGCCACAGACTGTCCAAGGAGACCGCAGGAAGTGTAGGAGCGTTTACTCCAGATCTGGGAATAGAGAAAAATTCCATATGGTTAAAATTTTCCAAACTGAAAAAAGCGGTGGGAATGGAAGTGGCATGCCTGTGAATATGGAAGTCTCCCTGAGATGTAGTCACTGCAGATGCATTCCCTTGAGCTTGGGCTTAATCACAGATGGCCATAGTTGGTGAATGATCGGTGAATACTCTGGATGGTGAAGGCGTTGGTGGCCAAGCTAAAGATTTCCTTCTTCCCAATCCATCTCAACTCTTTACAACATCTTCATACAATCAAGACCAAACACCAAACTGGGATTCGAAGCAGTTGAAGCTCTCTGCTGTGGTCCAGCAGCCCAGACAACATCAGTTCCTTTACAATACATCGAAACTGATCGAAAGACCCCCTAGACAGACAATTCCAAGCCTGACAGGTGGGAGTGTGAGCAATTGAACTTGACCTCTGCTATTCTACAGCGCCGCTAACATCATATCAAGCAGGTAGTCAAAAGTCTCACAGTGGGATAAGCCCAGATCACCAGAGCTGCAAACCATGGCATTGCGTCCATGTGCCTCACTCGGCGTCTCACGGGGCCAATCCAGGCCCATTATTGGGTCCTTCATCATGAACCACCGCTCGCAGAGCCCAATCCCAGCCAGATCAGCCGAAATAAAGCTAATCCTGGATTTGAGGCACGAGTACAATGAAAAGTTCAACCAAAGCGAATATGCTTTCGAAAAGAATTGAATCCACAGCGCACTGGTTGAGATTAACATCACGGACATTGATCGGCCAGGATGCTGAAAACCCCATAGAGGAAGCGAACTTCTATGCTCCATCATAGAGTGTCCTCTGCTTAGACAGAAAGCAGAATTCTTCGACTCCAGGCCACAGTCACGTTTGATGCCCAGGCCTTCCGGTGCAAAAGAAAAGACCTTGTGCCAGGAGGTTATAGTCTGTTTCATACAGCTACTTGCACCATAGAGGTCAGAAGAGATCTGCCCTTACCGCCGACTTCTAGATCTTGCAGGCGTTGACCTCGTGTTTGGAGACTTCAAAGGTACAAAGTCTCCATAAACCCAAGTCCTGGGCATAGTCCAGATGGGCGCAACTGGACAACACACCAAGAAACTTCTTTGGAACCCCATATATCGGAACCGAGATATTGTCCATGGATCCAGTCCCTAGGACCTTTTTAATTGTCGAGAGGACAAATGGAAATGATAACCCACGATTTCATTACGACACTGAGCATCTGCCTTCGTTCGCCGTTGCAGCTTTTGCACGAACAAGCAAAGTTATATCGAGGAAACAGTGATAAGTCTTTATCAGCTGCCAGCCCAACTAAGGGCAAAATACGATGGTCTGCGGCAAACAGGCCTAGCAAACCCTCTGACGGGAGTCCAACGCTGAGCTAGACACCTTATGTTGCCTCTTGTCGTCATTAGGCGCAGTCCGCGAATACCCAGGACATTTCAACGGCTTTTGCGCCGTATTACTTTGTCTCCTCAAAGCGAAGTTATCTATTTTAGCGCGCCCCGCTCTCAACACTCCCATACATTCGACTATGGCTGCAAGAAACCTCTTGGGAAGCAGCTGTCTAAGGTTTTACCTACCCCCTCGTGTGCATGTGGGAGGTCGTCGAAAAGACGAACGAGAAGTACAGTCAAGACCGTCTGACTCACCCATCATACGCCTTCGCCACGTTTATCTACCAGGACACAGGAAATACCTCCCAACATGCGATGATGAAAGTCTGGATGCAGATTCCCAGTGTTGGCACGGAGTATCAATCTCGACAGGAACAAGCGAATCAGGCAGGTTCCCTTTGCTGGCACGCCAAGGCCGATACATTTCTTTGCCTTGACGGGTTAGAGTTAAGTCCGACTCCCCAGCTGCTTGGTGCCAAGCAAAGTACCCAAGACGAAAAAGGCTTTGTCCTGGGCGGATTTCTTCTTTATCTCGTCTAAATATTTCATCAACATCGAGTACTGAAGTTTTGTTCAACCAAAGAATGGAGAAACCGCATATTCGGCATTTGGTGTCTCGCAATCCCACCAGAGACGGCTAACTGGGACGACGATGAGTATAACAATACTGATTTGAAAGCTCGACGTGGCTCTTCCATACACTGAGCTACGTTTTTAATTTCGAAGGCTGCGAAATTTAAAAGCCCGATTGTTGGCAAACCCCCGTTTAGGGATGTGGGGATTCAAACAGCTACATACTGCTGTACCCATAGGCAGATGCTACTTTCAATGACCCGGTCACACTTCAAAATCAAGCAGACCAGTCGCGGTTGACAGAAAAAGAAAAGTTTCGTCCGATATAAGAGACGTTCAACATGTGCAAACATTGAACACTTTACCTTATGCTCAGATTAAAGTAGCACGATGATTTATCATTGAGTGCCTGGGCTAATTCAACATGAGTTTAGATCTTTGATATGGAAAAGGTCATTGAAAACAATGAGAAAGATTCTACAGCCAGAAACTTCCTATCTGGTTGGATTGGAGGGGGGGGGGGGGGGGGGGGGTTGTTCATTTCCCCAAGGCCACGCCCAATACATGGATTCCAACCAAGAAGGTTACAGAAAAGTCTATCCAAAAAGGCCAGAAAGACCACCCGCATTTGCCGTCTTTTGCGGTAGCCTCGTTTCTCTGTGTCACCGGGAACAACCCTACCCAGCGGGCTGTAATGAAGATATGGATGTAACTGCCACGCATAGGGACTGAATTTGACAAGCCTGAAGAGCACACCACGCAGGCAGAGAGAAGACTTTACTGAGAAGCCTAGTCCGAACTGGATACCTTTCCTCTGATAAAGTCTACAGCCCTGCATGGTCTCACCCCCAAGCTGCTCGCGATAAAGGAAGAACCCCAGACAAACGAAGACCTTGTGCCAGGAGGCTATTCGTTGGTTGTTGTCTTTTCCAGGATTAATGGACAGCGCCTTGGCACCCCCCAACGTGACCTGTCGGTCTTTTGGGCCTTACCTGAGAGCACATAGGAGGCGATCCACAGGGCCTTCAAGGAAGGCTTCATGGATGCCACTCGAATGTATTTTCATAGCTTCGAGGCTAATCTTACGCCTTTTTTAGCCGGCTTAGCTCTATCGGCGTGCATATCGGAAGGCCGACACTGAACAATATGATATGGGATCCATTGGCAGGGCGTGCATAGGCTACACAAAGCGATATCTCTTTCTATCATAGTCTCATTGTGATACTGATCAAAGGGTTATTTTGTGAATTTTGAGTGCTGCAGCGTGGACAATCAACCGAAGGCATGGAGAAACAGGATCTTCGGCATCTAGTATCTGACAAACACGACAGAGACGGCTAACTGGCATGAGGAGAACTATCACAATGGTAATTCAAGAATAGCGGACTGGATGCTATCATACGGAGCGATATACGTTTCGACTTGAATAAAGATGGGTTCATACCTTGACGTGGTTCTTCCATATATTCAGCTACATTTTCAATTTCGAAGAGTGCGAGGTTGCAAAGGCGGATGGTTCGTGTCTCGAAATTCGTCACCACTGCGAGGTCGTTAGCTTCCGCTGTCAAGGATTCTATCTCTCTCTCTCTCTCTATCTTCTATCTGGCAATGGTCTCGAATACCGTCACCAGGGACTTTTTTGACACCCCTTACATTCGCAAAGAAGTCGCTTTTACGGAGCCAGATGCCAGTACCTGGATCATCATGAAGAAAAGAAAAGAGAAATCTATCCAGCAACATCCAATCATGCCAACTCATTTCCCCTCATTTGCCGGGGCCTCTTTTGTATGCTGCAATAAGAGCGACCCTAATCACCGCGCCATGATGAAGATCTGGTTACAGCTGCCACGCAGGCATCCCGGGACCTCTGCGACGAGGCCGAGTCAGAGTTGAAAGTCTTTGAGCTCCTCCGATATCAATCAGTATAATTCTTTTCTGACGTCTAGCCATTTCATCAACTTCGAGAATTGCAATGTGAGGGATGAACCCAGACAATGGAAAGGGAAGATCCCCCCAGGCGAGTTCGCTGGTGGCGACCACGACGAGAGCGATCTTCGGAAAGCAGGGTGGACTTTGTGAGCTTGTCTTTGTGGCGGCGTGTTTTGAATTTTAACATGTTCTTAAATTGAATCAAGGGCACGGATAAGTGCCATTGGTTTCTCTTTGAGGATCTAACTGCATCCCAAACCCCAACCCGCCGCGACCAATAAGGACCGTGGGTGAGAGAAAGAAAGGGCTTTTTTCTTAGAAACTACCAGGAGCCATGACCAATTTGGAAAGATTATATTAGTATTAAGCACTCGCTTTGGCTCCGTTAGTCTCCATGTTCCCCATCTGTAGTAGGCAACCGCTACGGCTAGGGAGCTACTACCAGGATAGGTATACCTTCCATATATACCACGCAGCCATTCCGTATCAACCATAATATAGACATATGATGGTTCCTGCCGAGCACAGCACACCCCCAGTTGCTCAGGAAAGCCTAACTACCTACCCATGCGAGCACAGCCGTTGCCCTGTCCCTGTGTTCAAGACCGCGCTCGACAACAACAACATCACCAATCACCATAGCGCCTGTAAAGGCTGGAACATCTCGATTTGGTTTTGGGTGACTTCAAAAGCACCATTGACGGGTACCGCAAGGTCCCGGACAATGCGGGAAACCTTCGTTTTGTGGGGAGACTTCATCCAAGACGAGAACTGGCGACGCATGATAGAAGCCACGGCACGGGATTATCAGATTTCCCGCCGCCGCCGTTCTGACTCATCGGTCTTCCTCTCTCTCTCTCTCTCCATCACACTTCATCCTGACCCCACCCCCTCCTCCCGAATGCGCCCTCTTGCGAACCTGAGGGTTTTTTCTCGGTCGCTGCAATCATCTCCACCTCGCTTTCGCTCTCCCATTCCGCGACCCTTTTCCTTTTCCCGTTCCTTTTCCTTTTCGCATTCGACCATGGCCTCGGTCCTGGTCCATAACTCCCTGAAGCCCGGCGGGCCGGTGCCTTTTGTGCCTCGCGAGGAGGGGAAGGTCTCCTGGTACGCCTGTGGCCCGACCGTGTACGATATCGGTCACTTGGGACACGCGCGCAATTATGTCTCCACCGATATCATTCGTCGCATCATGATGCACTACTTCGGATACAACGTCAACTTCGTCATGAACATCACCGACATTGACGACAAGGTGAGGTTGAATCGGATCAATAATTGAGTGATGTGGGGTCGCTAATTCTTTTCGGAGTACAGATCATCATCAAAGCGCGCAGAAAGCGACTGTTCGAGCTCGAGAAGAAGAAATCCTACTCCCCCCAAGAAAGCCACAACCTCGGTCTGCAAGCCCTGCGCGCCTACGCGACATCCAACCTCCCTCTGTTGCAACCCTCGAACGACCCCGTCGACGAGTCGAACTACGAATCTCGAAGAGATGCGGCATACAGCCAAGTCCTTAATGGCGGCACGTTAACCGGAGAGGGCAAGCCGGGGGATGCGGAGGCCAAACTGAAAATGCACATCAACAACATGGATGCGGCCGCGCGAGGACTCCGGGAGGGCAAGGGTTTTGAAGGCGCGGAGGAGATTCTCCTACCATACCTGGACTCTCTCTACAAAGAAACCATCGACATTAACGACCAAACCATCTTCACCGACCTCACGCAATCGATGGAAAAGGAATTCACGGCGGACATGGATGCGTTGAACGTGCTTCGACCCGATGCCTTGACCCGAGTCACCGAATATCTTCCTCAGATCGTCACTTTCGTCCAGCGCCTCGTACAAAAAGGCTACGCTTATGAGACGGATGGGTCCGTTTACTTCGACATTACGGCATTCGAGAAAGGCGGGAACACCTATGCCCGGTTGCGCCCGGAAAGCAAGAACGACAAAGCCCTGCAAGAGGAGGGAGAGGGCTCTTTGTCCAAGGCCTTGGGTGGAAAGCGCGGCGCCGGTGATTTTGCGCTGTGGAAGAAGTCGAAACCCGGTGAGCCCTACTGGCAGAGTCCGTGGAGCGACGGTCGACCGGGTTGGCATATCGAGTGCTCCGTCATGGCGTCGGATAAGCTTGGCGAGCAGATGGACATCCACTCGGGTGGTATTGATCTGGCCTTCCCTCACCACGATAACGAGCTGGCTCAAAGTGAGGCGTTCCACCGCTGCGGCACCTGCGAGCACACATGGGTCAAGTACTTCTTGCACATTGGACATTTGAGTGTGTCCGGTGCCAAGATGAGCAAGTCGCTCAAGAACTTCCAGTCGATTCGCGCCGCCCTGGAGACGACATATTCCCCTCGGAACATGCGTATCGTTTTCTTGCTGGGTCGCTGGAACGACGGTGTCGAGATCTCGCCTGATATGCGGAAGCACGCAGACGGCTGGGAGGCTACCCTCGATGTAAGTTCCCTCACATGATTCATTCTAGATTAGATGCTGATCGATTAGAACTTCTTCACGAACATCAAGGCCCGGTCCGCCGACGGAATCGAAGCTCTGTCCTTGTCGGAGAACACCGATAATGAACTGACGGCGAAACTGGACCAAGCCAAGAAGGATTTGGACGCAGCTTTCCGCAACTCTTTCGACACTCCCGCTGCCATGCAAATCATCTCGAGGATTGTCCGCGACGCCAACATTTATATAGGTGAGACCAATGATTTGCGCACGGTGCAGACGGTCGGTCGGTGGGTGACGAAGATTGTCGGCATTCTCGGTCTCGACGCCGGCGCCCAGCCGCCATACGAGGGTCTCGGCTGGTCAGCGGCTACCGCATCCAACGTGGATCCCCAGACAGCCGTCAAGCCTTTCGCCGCTGTATTCACCAACATCGTCGAAGAAGTCAAGGCGTTTGGCGTGTCTGAGCCCTCCGTCCAAGATCTCTTGAACCAATCCCCGGCAACCGAATTCGCCGAGTTGGAGAAGAACGGTGAACGGAACGCGGAAACCCTTGCCATGCCCTACGTTCGTGCAGTGTCTCGTCTCCGTGATGAACTGCGTCGTCTCATCACTGCCGGAACTCTTGAGCCGAAAACGAAGTCGGCCGTCATCGCTCTTGCCGACCGTATCCGCGACTTCGATCTTACCGACATTGGCGTACAACTGGATGACCAGAGCGACCGGCCCAGTTTGATCAAATTTGTTCCCGCTTCGAAGCTCATTGCGGCCCGTAACGAAAGAGCTGCCCTGCTCGCTGAGAAGGCCAACCAGAAGGAGAAGGGTATGTATTCCTCTCGTATGTTTTTGACGTCCACCTGCTAACCACTACCTCAGCCCGTATTGCCCGAGAGAAAGCCGAAGCGGAGAAATGGGAGAAGGCCAAACTTCCCGCGCAGGAATTGTTTAAAAACGACCCCAAGTACAAAGAGTGGGACGCCGATGGGCTCCCGACCAAACTGGCGGACGACAGCGAAGTCCCCAAGAGCCAGTCCAAGAAATTGAAGAAAGAATGGGACCGACAGAAGAAGCTAAACGACGAATACACTGCCAAGTTCGGGGCTACCGCTTAGGAATGCTCAACTCCCTGATGAGCTGTTACCTTAGTCTTTCATGACATGCGCTCGGTCCCGGTCGTATCCAGTCCCACCCAGCAGCCAGACGCAGTGGCTCGGAGTGATTCGATCTCACCAGCACACCCCTTTAGATCTCCGTCATCGCTGGCCTTCATGTTTGAATTCCTGATTCCCAAGATGACACCTCAGATCTTTCAAAAGCGCTGTCGAATTTATTGAGCGGTTTACCACATGGCATTCGGCTATGATCAGCATTGTTTAGAATTTTATCCGAACTTACGACTTTCCTCTGTCTGGGCGTTATGACTGGCTAGTCGAGCATAGTTTAGTGGTTCTTGTTGTTTGAGACTACGCCGATGTCGATAGATAGCTTTAGCGTCGTTCTATTAAGAGTATTAAGCATTATATTCCGATCACATTACGTCCTTTTGTATGGCCATTATCAATCATCCTTAATCTCTCACTATCGGATCCAATGATACATTATTATTACCTACTTGATTAAATATCCCAACACGCTTGTGTCTGACTGTCCACATGCGAATTATCTGCCTGATATAACCCGCTCCGATATTCTCATACTTCAGTCGGAAATAAACACTGGCCCATTCACCGATCTCTCAACTCATACAACCCTACCTCGAAGCCTTCAACCCCTCAAGTGCCTCCTCAAGGGTAATCACCTTGACCGGAATCTTCGGGAAGATGTCGTACAGAATCGAGTTTTGGATCTTATCCCCAGAAGGATCAGGCTCGATGGTATTATTTGAAATCACATACCTACTCATCCATCAGGCACATGCTCTCCAATGCCAAAGAGGGAGAAGGGTAACTCACACATTATAATCCAAATCAAACAACCGCAACGCCGTCGCCAGTATGACTCCCGAGGTCCGAATCCCAGACTATATCATGCTTGTCAGCACATCCCTCACTCAAAAGCTGAAAGGATATATCAATTACCAAAACAACCGTATCAACCCCCTGGCTGTTCAATATCTCCTCAATCGAGTTCCCCGCTCCAGCATAGTACCTCGTCTTCGGCACGACCACGTCCTCATCCTCTGTCTTGAAGGCCTTGTAAATTTGGCTCTTGGCGCTGGACTCGGTCAAATTCCCTAGTCCTTTCGCGACAGACGCGAATGGCGTGTCGGGACCGACTTCTGGGAGCTGCGATGTCGAGAAGTAGATGCGCGTGAAGATGTTCAGGGGTGGGGGGTTTTGATCGTGGACGCTGTGCCTCGCAATGGGTTAGCACATTATAAATAATGCATGTTTAAAGTAAGCTGAAAGAAGGGTAAGGGGGGTGATCGAAGGGTAAACCCACGCGTCGATCCACGTTGCTGTGTTTTCTATCCACTTCTTCCCCTCATCGGTGGTGTTCACGTTCGCGACGATCGCATCGATGAGGTCGAGATTTAGCACGGCGTAGTTGGACCCGAAGTTAGGAACTGACTTTGGTGCGATGGGGACTTGGTTGGAGAGATAGATTGGTTTGGTCCCTTGGTGGGTGCATTGGGCTAGAGGGAGGAGCGAGACGGCCCCAAGCATGAGAGGGGCGAACAGCATGTTGAGATGGAGAACGCTTCGTGAGAGAAGCAGGAGGCTGTTTCAGTTCAGCTCGGAGGAGAAAGGATAAAGTTGGCTCTTGAGTGGCCGCGAGCTGAGTATTTTGCAGCGCGCTTTATCCCTTGCGTCGAAATGCAGGCGGGGTTGGTATCTGACCAGTCGAGCTGAGTTTCCCTGTAAGGTTAATTCACTTCAACAGAAGCTGTTATAACACTTTGCGCAGAATTGGCCAGAGAGAGCACTATGAGGCATGACAATTGAAGGACGAAAGAAAAGACGAAGGGAAAGAGAGGTCACATCTCTGTAGTTACATGGAGACTACATGAATGACGTCATCATGAGCGAGGCGCGGAGGCCGAGGAGACTAACCGCTAGAGACTAGACGACTCCAGACTTTCGGATAATAATAAATCTGCTAAACGCTTGACAGTCATTATAAAGAATGTGGTTGTGTTCGGTTGGAGTGTTGAACGAGAAGAACCTCAGGCGACCTTCGACATTTTGACCCAATGCGGTTAGCGCCAGATGGCATCTATCAATATGGCAGCATATTTTCTTCCATCTGATAACAGCCTGGCATCACTGGCGTTAAACATTCGATGTATATAAGCTAACTCTATACTGTGGTCCATTGCCTTCATGGAATGGCTGGCATCCTAAGTTCCAACACTCTCGGCGCCGATCTGGAGAGGCATTCCTCAAAGACTAGAATGCGACAATAATGCCAAACATTCAGTGCCTGTCAGATGGGATATACAGTGTCGACCTCCTCGGATATCCCCTTCAACTGAGTATCATCTATAAGTTTCAGCATTCCACGGCAGACCTCATCTTCCGAATTATACGCCCCAGCATAAAACTTCCACCAATCGCGCGAAAACCAGCCACATATCACACCACACACCCCCTACTCGTAACCACACTCCTCACCCTCTTACTCTTATTAATCATCGCCAGATGCGTCGCCTCCGTATCGATCTCATTCACCGACCTCCCCAGCTCCACATACCCCTCATCATCCAGCGCATACAGCGCCTCCTTCAACCAAACCCGACACGTGACGTTCTCCTTAAACCGTCCCGAATACTGAATCGGGACGTCGCCTAATCGACCCGCCACAGCATCGTGCACGACTGGGTCCAACGTCCCCAGCTTCAAGGCTAGCAGGACGCGGCTGAAATATGACCCGTCGGATATCCCCTGGATCTCGTACTTCCAGGTCGTCGGGTCCGTCGTGTCCGGGTTGATGAGGTGGTACATGATCCCCGAAGAGGCGGACTTGGCGAGGTAGAGGGCCCAGTGGAAAAGGTAGCTGTCGCCGCGGTCGAGGAGGAGGATGTATAGGGCGTTGGGGTCGAGGGGGAAGGGGGTATTCATGTTGGACGGACAGACTAGGCTGGGTTCCATTGGGGTGGGGTCTCAACTCTGGAGATGTTGAGGCTATGGATGACTCTCCAGGAAAGAGTCTGGCCCTGTTGCGTTTAGATATATTGTGCTTGGGGCTGAATGAGGAACTTTATGAAGTTCCTGCTCCTTGAGCGCATGCAATCATGGGGATCTTGCGGAGATACGGTTCCTGGGATGTTGGTTAGCTGCATGTATTGCGTTGGTTGTTGGGATGGAGCACACCACGTTGATCACAGAAAGTCCATTCTGACGGCTAATAGTGACGCAAATATGACTGAGAAATATAGATGGGCTGAAGGATGTGTATACAGAGGTGACTCTTTGTCGAGAATTTATGCATGACTCGCGCTGAACGCGACAGTCATTGGCCATCCGAAAGCAGTTAGTCCCTGCAAGGCTTTGTGTCGCACGTGCCGCGATTTGTCAGAACTAAAGATAGAATGCAGTCAGCGCCCCTGCAAAATGCGATCAGTAGTGTCATTCTGATTGATTTCTCCTTAATGATGTCTCTTGGATCACTTGAACGAAACATGATTGATTGGAATTTGTTTTAAAAGAATGTCGTGTGAAATATGGGTTTCTCTTGACATGGCACAATGCACTTAACAATTCTGGAGAAGACCATCATAAACGACCTGTTGATGTGAAATTGCAGTCAATATCAGACCACTCTGAGGGGATATATTGTTTTTATTGTCTCTTGAAAATAAACGTCGACTCATTGCGTGCAAAGAGAAACACTGATCTGATTGCCGGGTAATCCTCACTGGTATGACATAATCCTGTAAAATTGGAGACAGTTGGAGACTCCAATTTCCTTATCGTGCCCTAGGTCTGCCTACGTGCCAAGCATCAATGGCAGTATGTCATAGAAACTAACAGCAAAGAGCAAAAGGAAAAGCCTTCAAAATCTTTGACATCGGTCACAGTTATAAATAGGTCCAATGTATCAACTCAAAGTCCCATCCCTTCAGCATCTCCATCCTCAAACGAAAGATGTCCGACATCCAGCCATCCACCGTTCGTGTCGCTGCCGTCCAGGCAGAAGGCTGCTACTTCGACCTTGAAGGCGCAGTCGAAAAGACCTGTCGTCTCATCACCGAAGCCGCCGAAAAGGGATGCGACATGATTGCTTTCCCAGAGGTCTGGATACCCATGTATCCAGGCTGGATCTGGTTTGTAGTCACATCACTTCCACGCCCTCATAAGATCACCAATGTGGCTAACAAGCAAATAGGCAACGCCCAATCGACTTCGAAATGGTCAGCGAATACATGAAACACAGTCTGAAGCGCGACTCGCCTGAAATGCGGACAATCCAGAACTGCGCCCTAACCAACAACATCGCCGTCAGTCTGGGATACTCGGAGAACCACAATAACTCGCTCTACCTCTCGCAGTCCTTCATTGGAAAAGACGGCGTGATCAAAATGCACAGACGAAAGATCAAGCCCACGCACGCGGAACGCACTATCTATGGCGACGGAAGCGGCTCATCCCTGCTGAATGTCGTTGACGAGCCGGGGCTCGGCAAAGTTGGCGCCTTGTCGTGCTGGGAACATTCTCAGCCGCTGCTGCGCTATCATACTTATTCGCAGGGTGAGCAGATCCACGTCGCTGCGTGGCCACCGATGAATTATTACTCGTCATTCCCGGAGGGGACGGCGTTGTGGTCGCAGTGTAGGGAGGGTGAGTTCTTCTTTTCTTTATTATTTTGTGAGAACGATGTCATGTCTGACGTTTTATACTTCCGATAGGTGCCCATAACCTATCCACCACTCACGCCATTGAAGGAAACTGCTTCGTTGTGCTCGCTTCCTCATTCTACACCCAGAAAGGCGTGGATAGAATGAAGCTTGGGGATGGGAAGCTCTACCACATTGGCGGTGGTGGCTGTGCTTGCATTATCGGGCCCGACGGACGCAAGATGACCCAGGATCTGGGCGAAGAGGAGGAAGGTCTGGTGATCGCCGACTTGGACTTCAGCGAGATCTTGAAGGTGAAGGCCATGTTGGATGTTCATGGACACTACAGCAGACCCGATCTGCTCTGGTTGGGTGTTGATTATCGTGAGAAAAAGCAGGTTCGCCCGGAGGTCAACTGAGGCTGACTTGGGGTAATGTTTAGGAGTCTGAGCTGAGGCTCTTGTTAGAAGGTTGAAAGGATTGCTTTTGTTCTGTAGAACCTCAGCTTTATGAATAAAAGCCAGGTGTGAGACGAATGTAATTTCCGAGACACAGTCATTACCACCGATGTGATATATTAAGATTCCCCGGTTTATTTTAAACTATTACAAAATATCGAGAGTCTTCTATCTCATTATAAGATTACCCACCTGTAAAATGTATCCGGCGCTGCACCGGCTCCCACTCCAGCCAAGGTCGTTCTATTCGATGGGCCTACATATCATTCTTCTGTTGGCTCGAGGTGTTCATCTCCGGATCAAGCTTTTTGACAATATCGTTCTGCCCTATCACCAACTTCACCACCAGGCGTACATCCTTTTTCTCTGCAAGCTTCATGACACAATCAACCTGACGCAGCAGCTTGGCCAGAAAGCCTGACCACAAATCTCCTTTTTTCAGCGGGGCATCAGGGGCAAAAGGATCCTTGGGAAGTCCAGCGAGCTTAGGAAGAGACCACTTGCTGAGTGTCGTACCGTCACCGTCCACAATCGGGATCTCTGATCCAGCCAGCAGGCAAGCCGTAGGTGCAGATCCATTATCCAAAACGTCTTTATCGTCGCCCACTCTCTGCTTGGGAATACCATCGAAGGAGATTTGGAAGAGCATATGGCGATCCCTTTGGTGGTTGGCTGCTTTGTGGAACTCAACCCTATTAGAAACCGAGACCTGCGCTTTAGATTGCACGCCGGAGGATGTATGCGCTCGAAGGACTTGTATAACACCCTCCAGAAAAGGCCTAGCATACCAGCAGACCGTTTCGTGGTCGAACCTGTCCTCGGGATATTGGCGGACAATCAATCGAGTGAAATAGTCGGTAATCTGATCGCCGAGTCCCTCGGTCAAGACATCACCGGATGTCTTTATCATTGCTTTCTTGTCTCCAGACCATGCCTTCCCTAACATATATCGAAACACACGGATGGAGGGAACTGCAATAGATCCGACAAATACCCCCATAATGAATACCAAAGGGAGAATGGTCAAGTTCGTACTTGTACGCACTAGATCCTGATCCATTTCAAAAAAGCAGATATGGTAACATGGAGCTCGGGTCATGATGGGTGGAATGGCCGATGAGCTTGTATATACCTGGGAAGGGGACCAGGCTAGGGGTTGAGGGGGGAAAGAGTGAAACTGTGTATTTAATATTTTGTTCGAGTCTTGTTTAAATCCTAGCTTGCATTATACTTTGTCAGCCGTCATGGGCAGCGTTGACGTTCTGTTTACGTTCTACTACGTTACCTGTTTCTTTCCTATAACCCCATTGGCAGAGGACCAGATCGCAAGCTTATCCAGATGGTGTTTGCGGCCAGTAATCTGGCAGAATCTAAAGTCGAAGTCTAGAAGAGTCTGTAAGAGAGAGCGCCACTTGAATTGCGTTTGTATGCCGTAGTAACTAGGTTTTTATCTTGTCATAATATGTGCTTTCTTGGTTGCCTTTATTGCACCCTTGGCTGTGGAAACAAGTCGGATAATATTTCCGTGGCCCCAAAATACGGCTTGGCATCCCGACACGGCACATACTTTGCTACGTCCATGCTTCCGTTTAAACCCTTTAGAAACACGGTTCGTGGACAGCTTGTAGGCTTAAGGGGGGGGAGGGAGGTTTATCACGGACAAATAGGAAACAAAAAAGGAGAGAAGGTTGGAAACACTGATTTCTTATCACTTTCCCTAGCTCCTAGACCGCCGCGAGTTTATACATTGAATACACGAGCTATAATAGTCGAAACTTCAGAAAGGAATATAATCCCTCGAGCATTTGACTCCATAGTGCATCATCTTTGAAAGGCACCCCGGGGTGGCATAAATGCTTAATTGTGATCTGCTTAGTCTTGTTCGTTCCTCGGGGTTGGTCCTAAAACCATTGACATACAGTATGGCCCTCGCATTTGCGCTTCCACTCCTGACATCATATGCAGATTTTTCCACTTGCATTTTCTACCCAAGGAAACCGTATGTTTGGTTTACTGATAACTGCGGCCGAGATATCCGACGACAAAGGGTCGATCATGGCAAATATTCAACAAGTTGGAGACCCCAACTTTCCCGATCAAGCCCGCCACGCAACCTCCAAATTTCACCCTGGAAGGGTAGATTGATCAGCATCCCTGATAGAAATCGACGAAAAAGTCTATTCGATAAATTCTGTGTTCCCCATGTCTGATAAAATTGATTCACATGAAAAATGGCGGGTTATAAATCCGCCTTCGGAGTTTTGTGCGCCAAAATATAAAGGCATAATCCCCATATCTAAAATGACGAAACAGTCCTCCAAATTGTTTCCAAACATCATCTACAATGTTCGAAACCACCGAAGCAATTATAGATCCAACAGCCAGCCACAGCCGACAGCCAGAAAAGCCGTTCGAAAATGCTCACGATCAGCCAATTTCATACCGAAATCTCACTTTCGAAACAGAGGCCCCTTTCCCGTCAGAAACAGGAGACGTGGAGTCCTCTAATTCAACCCGGCTCATATCTCCCTACGACTGGTCCCCGGGGTACAAGATGTTCATCACTGGGGTATCATGCATCTCGACATTATTCGCGTCCTATGCAGCAAGCTGCTACAGCCCCGGTGTCCAACAAATGACGAGGGAGTGGCATGTCAGCGAAGTGCCTGTTCTCGTTGGCATCACTACCTTCACCAGCGGCTTCGCCGTGGGACCGATGTTCCTGGCGCCTTTTTCGGAAATATACGGTAGAAAGCCGGTCTTTGTGGCGACGGCAATACTGTTTGCAATCTGCCAGCTATGTTGTTCGGTTACCAGGTCGTTCCCAGGGTACGTCGCTGACAGCTCCCCTTAGTTTGTTTCTGGATGTGGCTAAGTTGTTCAGAATGTTAGTGGCGAGGTTTTTCGCAGGGGTAGGCGGATCGACATTCTCGACTATGGTGGGTGGAATTGTCGCGGACATTTATCACGCGCAGGATCGAAACACGCCCATGGCACTTTTCTCATGGGCGGCGCTCTTCGGAACCGGACTAGGCCCACTGGTCAGTGGCTTCATCGGACAGTATACAACGTGGCGCTGGATATTTTACGTGCAGATCATCATCGCCGGTTTGATTTGTGGCGCGGTTATATTCTTCTTCCGAGAGACACGCGGCTCTGTCGTGTTGCGCAAGAAAGCCAACTTGTTAAACAAACGATACGAGGAACTCGAATCTAGGGGACAGTACGGGATATTGGTACCCGAGAATGAGGCCAGCCCTTGTGAGAAGCCACCGATCGTACTGCGCGTGAGGTGGAAAATAGCCGCGGACGAAGAACGAGCCGGTCTTCTGACAATGCTTCAGACATCGCTTTTCCGTCCATTCAAAATGCTGCTGACAGAACCAGTGGTCTTTTTCTTCTCCCTATGGGCCGCCTTCAGCTGGTCAGTCCTATACATCAATCTCTCCGTTATACCGCTGGTATTCCAATCAACATACGATTTCTCGTTGTCTGAGGCAGACGCAATATTCACGGCCTCGTGTGTGGGTACCATCCTCGCTCTCTTCCTATCCATCGGCCAAGAACACCTAGCGTGTCGCTGGAAGGGATGGAATTCCGTTCCGGAGCATAGGCTCTACTTCAGCTGCATCGAAAGCCTGCTGCTTCCCATTGGACTCTTTCTATTTGGATGGACAGCACATTACAGTGTCCACTGGATTGTACCTGCTATAGGAGTTGGAGTCTCCACGATGGGGATTTTCGCCATCTACCTAGCGGTATTCAATTACCTGGCAGATACCTACCATCGCTATGCGAGCTCGGCTCTGGCGGCACAAAGCTTCTGCAGAAACATGATGGGTGGCGTATTTCCGTTGGTTTCGAAACAACTGTTCAATAACTTAAGTTTCGGACCAGCAGCGAGTCTGTTGGGTGGAATAGGTGCGGCGTTGACTTTAGTACCGTGGGTCTTGGTATGGTATGGGCCACAGATCCGACGCAAAAGCAAACTAGCGAGGGAGGCCTTTTCCTGATGACTTTCAGGTGATTGGATAAAAATCTCTAAATCATCGTCAAGTAAACCAGGCTTTTGTCGTCCAATTGGGGGCATGCAGTCATGTCATCTGGTGCAGTGTAAGAATATGCAGATACCAATTTGATTTCAAATCTCACAAATTTGTACTAATGCGTGTCTCCGTAATGCCGGTTACCAATCAACTACCCTGTCAGATGGGCAGTATGAATAAGCTCGGCATACCGATCGAGACTCTGCCCGATGAACCCAACAACAGGCCATGGGCTATTGCAGGATTTGAACATCTGCGCCCACACTTTGACTACAGCGTAGCTGAGGAGCCGAGCTGTTTGTGATAAATAGGAGAGATTGGGATCATTGATCTCATGTCCTAGATGAATCATTTCATCTTGAGAAAGAAGTGCTTCACGCACAACCCTCATAACCCATCTAATGACACGGTTCTCCAATGCTGCAGAATTGTCAGCCTTTAACTCGAACATTAAACGGATAAGATTGCATACGGGAAAGAGGCTGCGTTTGCTGCGACTCGGCAATTACTCCCAGCCATTTGCTTAGGAATGCAGCACATTCCAGATCGCAGAGAGCATGATGAATGCTCCAAGAAAAAGACCTGCAGCGGGACAGATACGAGATTCCCAGCTGGACGGGTATATTCAAGGAGTGTACTGAGTGAAGAAGCGCATATATGAGATGATCACCTCTCTGGGGAACTGGGGCCTCTTGGAGGGTCGCGGCCACAGTATTTGTGTCACAACTCGGAAGGTCCCGCCACTGACCCAGGTTACAGTGAAGGCGAATGTGAGCTGCTCCCAAGAGAGCCGTAGAGGTGAAAGGCAGAGATGCATAAGAGTTTTGCAGGTCCAGCATTGACTCCGGGGAAGTGCGCCACGTATGGCGCCAGCGGTTCAGCGCGTGTTCTAGCTGCTCCACGTCTCGGGCCGGAAGACTTTGTCTGTGGCTGTCGTGGGAAAGCTGCTGGGACAGGTATATCCGCTGGAGTAAAGCGTGAACTAGAATGTAGTTCCCCATCGGAGACACTCCTGGAACAGGGGGCAGGTTACTGGCATTTGCAAGATGTGAGCTATGAGCTTCTTTGAACATGACCGGGGAAGGAAAGCGTGATCTGGATGCTAGCCACTTGGCCTGGTTTGGAGCTACCCATTCTTCACATGACGAAGGTAGATAGAGATTCAGTTCATGGCTCAGCAAGGGGGGAGGCGTGTTGAATGCCAGACTCTGTAGATTCAAAAGACACCAGCCAAAGAGCTTGGTCCGGCGGTCCATTTCGCAGCGAGCCCACTGAGCCCAGTCATCACCATGATGCCCCTGGTCCTCCGATAGTCCGATCTGTCGAAGCGACCGTGCAATGAGACTCTGGTACTCGAAGCATTCTTGTGTTAGCCCTAGATCAGCTTGCCAGGAGCAATGTGTGGCCAGAAGAAGCAAAGCCCGAGTGCGATCCATATAGTCTGCATTGGTCGACCGGGTGTTGGATTCGTTTTGAACGGAATAATTCGCCTTAGCTGGTGGGAAGAGATCGCCCCTGCGCAGCCGTTCCAAGACGATCGACCGGCCCGCTTGGTATAATGCTCTCGCAGTTTTGGTCTCGTAACGATACTGAGCACCAATCGCCATTATGGCCAGAATTAACTCTGGAGATCGAGGATAGGACAGAATCCTCAGAGTTGGGATGTGAATAAATGGGTGGTGATTGCTAAACCCGTCGACATAGCCACTCATATATCGCGCTATGGATAGCCTGGTTGGTAGTAAAAACTGCGGAATTACATGTTGGAAAGGGGAAATTGACTCGTTTAATTGAGAAAGTTGGGGTTCACGCATGAGCCAAGGGCAGCTGAAGGGTTTCAGCTCCTGGAAATCATCTGCCCGAGTGGTTAATAATAGCCATGCGCTTTTGGTTACACAACCTACCATCTCCGGACTGGTCATCTGGCACCCTTGATGAGAAGTCTGCGCTGTCTGGAGTGACTTGTTGAGCGATGATGCTTTCAGTGTGCGCGGTATGAAGGTCGGATAAAGGGTCTGTTAGCATGGCATCCCAGTCCACAGTGTCCGCAGAATTCATAAACTTCGTGAATTCGAATATGGGATCATCATATCCACCTAGAAGGCTATCTAGATATGTGAGCCCGAAGGGGTCCGTAAGCTCGGGCTCCCCAACAGCGCCCAAGGAATCAGGTACAGTTTGTTGGAGAATGCCAACATCTTCAGCCTCCTGCAGAATACCCGAGGCTGGGAGTACATCAGCTGTCATGCCAAGAATATCTCCACCTGGTGTAGGAGATGTACTAGGACCTGACAAAAAGCGGCTTAGGGTCTGATGGCTTGATCTTTGCAATGGAAGATTAATGACTTACCTGATTCCTCATTTCTCTTGGTAGATGACCCATGGGTTAATCGTTCATGCCGAGTCAACAGATCCTTCCGAGTAAAAGAGCGACCGCAATGACAGACGTACGGCTTTTCCTTTGTGTCTGCGCAGGTTCAGCTTTGAGACTTTCGAGTTTCAAGGATTCACCGGCAACCCACGTGTACGAGCGTGTCGCTGCAGATGCTCGTGGCGATGAAACACTCGAGAGCACACCTTGCAGGTCAACGCATCCTGGCGTTCATCATATGTACTAAGGAGACTTGAATCTGATCTCCTGGCCATCTTAATGATGCATGGAGAACTGGACGATGCATGTGCAGGGGGTAGAGCAACCCATTACCACATCGCGGGTCCAGAAATGGCAGGGACCCTGGTGGACGCGTCGACCGTGTTTGACAGGCGGGACACCAAGTTCAGAAAGCAACAGAATGGACCAGGACTTCGTATTCCGATCGACTGGACGAGCGAGAACGCGATGAGGATCGATCGGGCGGAAGATCGAAAGTTGCGGAAGACTCGCCGCTGCATAATTCCATAGATGACTAATGCGCGTATTTATGTCACCTATTTATCCACGCTAGCCTGTTCTGGAAGGGTACCCCATCGTCCGATCTGCTACGGCCTTTGTGTATACTTCCCTGAGAACATATCGTCTTCTTGTTTCCTATAGGTGAATATGGTGGTTCAAGTTTGTGTTTGATCCTATTCGTGTCTTTCCAGTTTCTGCCAGCCAGGTATTTTGACTCATCAACTGTTCTCTCCAAGTTGTAACAATTATATATCTTACCACGATTACGTCATGTCACATCATAGTAGTGATCAAGGTTACACCAACAACTGAACTAAAATCTACTTTTGAACTAAGATTAAACATCAACTTCCACATTATCTAGCCTCTAGACCAAAACGCCGGAATGAAATAATGGAATCCGAAAATGGTGACCTCATTGACCATTCATTTCCGAATTCCGAGGGCCGGAGAATTGGAGACTCCAACTTTCATGGTTATAAAACATCATCGACCTCCTGAATAGTGAACACTAACCAGCGAAAACCCAGTAAACACCCAAACCAATCAAAAATGGCCACTTCACTACCAACAACAACCCCCGGATGGGAGCTCCACGGCTCCGGCTCCGGCTCCGGCGCAAACGCACTGATCTGGAACGAGAACCAGCAACTCCCACCTCTCGGACCGAACGACGTGCTCGTCAAACTGCACGCATGGGCAATCAACTACCCCGATCTCGCAGGTAGATAGAACATATCCATCCCATACCCGCCCTGCTCTACGCACACGCTAACAAACCTCAGTGGCCAACGGGACATTCCCATGGCGAGAGTCCGCCGACTCGGTGGTAATCCCCGGATCCGACGGCGCAGGCGAGATCATCGCCCGAGGCACGAACGCCTCGAAATTCAACGTCTCCGACAAAGTCATCGTGCTGTTCTACCCTCATTTCCCCGAGGGTAACGCACCCACGCTGCACCAGATGCGCGATGTACCCGGCACAAACACCCACGGCACGTTCCGGCAGTACGCAGTCTTCAACGAGACCGGGCTGATCGCCATGCCGTCGACCCTGAGTTATGTCGAGGCAGCCACTCTTCCGTGCTCGGCCCTAACGGCATGGAACGCGCTGCATGGTCTGACGCCGCTGAAGCGCGACGACTTTGTCCTGACGCAGGGAACGGGCGGCGTGTCGCTGTTTGCGGTTCTGTTTGCGCTGGCGGCGGGGGCGACGGTGATCGCGACGACTTCGTCGAGTGAGAAAGCGGAAAAATTGAAGAGCATGGGCGTGCAGCATGTGTTGAACTACCGCGAGGATCCGAACTGGGGCGAGACGGCGAGGAAGCTGACTCGCGGTGAGCTGGGATGCCACCGGGTCATTGAAGTTGGTGGGCCCCAGACCATCAAGCAGTCGTTTGAATGCGTGGCACGAGGTGGTGAGATTGATGTGATTGGGTTCTTGACGGGTCAGGGACATGCGGAGGATGGCCCTACGTACTTGGAGCCTCTTATGCAGGCGTGTATGGTGCGAGGGATTGAGGTGGGCAATCATATCCAGTTCCGAGAGATGAATCGGGCAATAGAAGATGGGAACATCAAGCCGGTGGTGGATCATCGGATATTCGGTCTGAAGGAACTGAAGGAGGCGTATGAATATGTTTGGGGACAGCGCCAGTTTGGCAAGGTTGCAATCTCTGATGGTATCTAGAGGACAGCTGATGTTTTTAGACTTAGCTAGCATAGTCTAGATTTCTAGTCACAGAGCTCTTTCGAAATGCATTTCTCAGCTCCTGAACGATCAACATGATAATGAATGAAATGGGTCATCTAATATTCTATTTTTGTCTTGGGGGGAGAGTTTCTATTGAAATTAAAGGTGTTGAAGGGGTAAGTAAATATATGATGATGGCTACGTTGCAACTCAAACACCTTAAAAGCTTACAATATTTGAACCTGATTGATGAGATTGCCTTATCTTAGTTCTGTTTTCGGTCAATTCCCTCTTTTTTTTGTTTTTTTCAAGTCGTTTTACCGGCGTCGTGAACACATTGGAGACCCAGACATTGATTTGTAATCCTTACTTTTGGAAAGTTGGAGTCTCCAATCTCCATTTCAGGAACCTCTCCGAACCGACGGGATCCTGATGAGACTTCTACAGCTAAAACGGCTAAATCTAGATTCTGAACAGTAAAGAACAGTAAAATTTCTCTCTCTCTTTCTCTCTCTCTATTTCTTTCTTTCATTTTTCCTTCGGCTTTTGCAGAGGATAAATGCGAAATAGACGGTTGACGAACTCGATAAGCTATAAATACTAGTTTTCTTCGCCAAACCATACAATATCCCCGGACCTCATCCAAATCAAGTCAACGAACGCCACGCTGAAGTCGAAACCCCGGAAAACTTCCTGAGAGTTCGCCTAAAATGCCAGTACAAGACCTTTTCAAACCACTCAGATTCAAACGAGGCCCAGAACTCAAAAACCGCATTCTCCTCGCACCGCTCACAAACTGGCAAAGCAACCCCGACGGAACGAGCACTGAGCACGAGGAGAAATGGCTCAGGCGATGCGCAGCCGGAGGGTTCTCCATGGTCATGACATGCGCCACACACATTCACCCATTCGGACAAGCGTTTCCAGGACAGATGGGCATTTTCAGCGATAAGCATTTGGACGGGCTGCGGAGGATCGCGGACACAATCCGGGACAACGGGGGCGTCTCATCAGTGCAACTACATCATGGCGGTGCGCGCGTCAGCCCGGAATATGGAGGGCAAGTTGTGGGCCCGAGTCCCATCCCCGGGACTGGTGTGCGCGGTCTTTCACTGAGGGAGGTCGAAGAGCTTCGGGATGATTTCATTCTAGCTGCGAAACGTGCCGAGCGGGCCGGCTTCGATGGAGTCGAGGTCCATGCCGCGTTTGGTTGGATACCGATGCAGTTTCTGTCTCCTGTATTCAACCGTCGCACAGATCGGTATGGTGGTTCTTTGGATAATCGGGCACGATTCCTCTTCGAGGTGATAGACGGTATCCGCGAGGCTTGCCGGCCAGACTTTCAAATCGGGCTGCGTATCTCCATGGAGCGATATGGCGTAGCTCTAAGTGAAATGCAGCTCGTAGCTGCGAGAGCCATTCAGGAAGAGACAATTGACTACCTGGATTTGGCTCTCTGGGACTACAGAAAGTTGGCCCAAGAAAGTCCGTTCACGGGACGTACTTTTCTTAGCGTTTTCACAGAACTGCCACGAAATTCGGTCCGGATAGGGGCGTCAGGCCACATCATGACTGTCACCCAGGCCGCCGAAGCACTGGAAGCCGGCTGCGACTTTGTTATGCTTGGAAAAGCGGCTATTGTGGACCCGGACTTTCCGCGACGTGTCGAAAAAGATGCCAACTACCGCCTGCCAAATTTGCCTGTGACCGAGTCCTATCTTCGGCAATCCGGACTTAGTGATAAATTCATCGACTATATGAGGACATGGCCAGGTTTCGTGGCCAGTCTTTGACGGGAGAGAAATCCGTCAAGGGGATTACATCCCCTTGGAGGGATCGGGGTGGTATCCACGTGTGCATTAAACGGTGAAGAGCCGACGCAACGTTAACATATCCACTAGAAACAACCAGTATCGAATAGACTCAGTGAAGCGATAGAGAACAATACAGCCTGTATTTCGACCAGTTTCCGTGCCACTGAGAGGCGCATTATTCATCCCGCATTACTCAGCGTGGCGCCAAAGAAAAAAGAAACACGAAAAAGCCGAGGTGGACAGATTGATAAGCGGGAATCCTGAGATTTGCCGTCATAGCTGTCAGTGACGCGCCCACTGGAGTTAAGAGACGGATGTCAGCGATCGGAGGTGTCCATATAAACAAGATCTGGCCATTCGGACCTTCTGCAGAGAGTGTTGAGTAGCAGACTGGCAGTCGTCAACCATGTTCATCCCCTACACTGGCCCCTCCTCGAATAAAGATGCTAGCACGCGTCGGGCCGTCAATGCGTTCATTGCCGCAGATGCCGGGGCAAAGCGACGACTGCGCAAGGGAGAGTCCACGGTAAAGAAGGCGACGGGGACTCTGCAGTGGGTTCAAGTGCCTGGTTCTCGCGACCCACTGGAATCGTCGGACGAGACCCGTAAGGATCGTCGTCGATCGCGCACTGACAGCTCACGCCGACCGCTGTCCGTCAGGAAGCCGCTAGGGGGCGGGAGATTCTACCCCATCGAAGGCATAGGCTCCAAGGGCCCTCTCACATTGCATGCTCTCAGTCACTGTAGGTATCACCTCTCATACTGAACTTCAAGCTTCAAGCTGAATGGCATGTGCTGTCTAGATTTCGATATCCTCCTTCCTCACGACGCGAACGCTCTCGGGCTGGGTGAGGCTGCAAGGGGCTCCTACACTTCTGGACTCCTCTCCTGGGCATCTCAACATGACGTGATCCTCCACGGTCTGTCGGCCTTCACACTGTGTAGTGTAGAGAGTCAGGATAGCACAGGGGCAACCAGTCGTGCAATTCTGTATCATCGCAACAGATTGCTTGGAGACCTGCATGAGAGGCTCTCGCGTCGGCAAGTGGATGATGTTTTAATCCAGGCAATATGTCTTCTCATTCCCGTGGACGACTATCTGGGATATGTTGAATACGGGCCGGTGCACTTGAAAGGCCTCCGGGATGTTGTTCAGATTCGTGGTGGGTTCGATGAGGTAGGGAGCTCGGACGCAAATGCCTTTGGAAAGAATCTGCGAATGAGCATGCTCGTGGTCACAAGTATGGTGGAGTTTCACTTGCAAACAAACATCTCGGACGAATCTCTGGAAACTCTGATGCAGTCGGAAATCACTCTTCAACATCCACGCGAAATGCTGGCAAGGATTTCGAATCTGCCCAGTGGCTTTCGGAAATTGTTCCTCTCCGGATATGTATCCGATGAGATTTTTGGCATTGTTGAGAGTTATGCTCTTTGGCGCTCAAAGGTCCAGGACATGGACACCACATCAAGAGAAACCTGGCGATACTCAAGTTCTTGCTCTCTAAACAACCTTGAGAAGTGTATTGTGGTGGCATTGGCATGTTTGGCAGATGATATCAGCGCCATGGGTACCCATCCCGCGGCACTTATCTTTCGAAAGCCAAAGCAGCGTGCGCAGGTTCTAGCAACGGTCTCTGAGTTATGGAAGCAACCGGCATTAATTGACTGTATGATTTGGATGTGTACTGTCATTTCGACGCCACGGAACAAACTGCTGTTCTGTCAGGATGCGCAAAGGCAGCTTTTGAAGAAGTCGATACAGTATCGGTCCCCATCGCACAACTGGGGTCAGGTCCAGGCTGTATTGGAGCTCTTCATGTATGACAGTGCGCGTGAATCAAACTGGAAAGAAGCCTGGAGCTGGGCACTTAACGACCTCGGCAGTGTTGGAAAAGAGACGCTTGTTTGTATACCACGTCTAGCCAAGCAACCATCTAACAGGTTCGAAGCTTGTCCAGCCTCAGCTTAAGCCAACCAACTGCATTAAAATGTCATGAAAAATACTGTGTTCATAGTGAAACTTTCGTTTCTGGATTGTGGCGTTCTTTCTTTCATGGGGCACCACTAGCTAGCGTGATTGAATCAATCATCAAGCCCATGTTAAGTTTGAGCCGTGGAGCGAAATATCAGTTTGTAAACCAGGTTGGAGATTAGGGTTTATGCCCAGGTCATTGCCACCCATGAAGCTGTTGAGATAAATCTGGTCATGACCATTCGACCAAAAGACAGAATTGGTGTACTCATCACTGGGAACGGGAGAAGCCATATTTCGTAGTTCATTTTGACTGAACAGTGCGTCATCCCAGCTAAGATCTAGCAAATTGTCCCCGTCCATCATCTGCGCGGAGTCCATATTTGGCATATTATTTGCCTGTGGAGCGGGCTCGCTGAGAGATAGCAGCTGAAGTAGGTCGTTTTGCAGAGGCTGCAACAATGACGGACAGGCTGGCAGAATCCCCGTGTCAAAAGCGGTGCTTAGGTTGAGACACAGCCTGCGAATATCCGACATTTTCGTCTCCAGCTCTGCGACTCGCGTTTCAAGAAATAACATCTTTTCCTCCTTGCGAGACCGATGGGCTCTCTGTGCCAAACGAATCTGCCGCTTTCGTTTCTATCGCCGCACACGTTAGATAAATCCGCATTTGACCTCTGCTCTGGGACGTACGTCATTAGCCATCTCCTCACTCTCATGTATCCGAGGGCGACCTCGTCTGCGACCTTTTGGTTCAGACTTTGGAGTATCCGCCCCGGTCGGTGTGTCTAAGCCAACTGGGCTGTCTGCGGATGGCGTATTCATCAAGCGGTAGTGATCTCTTGCCACCTCCGGTGGAAGGACTCCATGAAACATCATTGAGTCCGTCACATGGGCTTGGTCATACTCTTCATCTCTCGTAACTGCCATGTTGCTGGGGATAGGATATTAGGCGTGAAGTTCAATCGTGGGTATAATAGATGATAGATTCAATCTGTGATGATTAATTTTCTTGTGTATCATAAGAGTCGAAAAGACTTGCTTCGTCCACTCCCCGGCAAGCTGGCTTTATAGGTCTCGGCCAGGATGAATTACTCGGAGACTCCGATCGAATTCCCTTCCACAGCTGGAGAATCAGCCGCAAAACCGCCTCCTTTCCCCTTCAAACCACACCGCCATAAGCAACATATTGAGCGAGCCATACGGAAGTCGGACAACACCTACTCCTTTCAGCTTAACTCATCTCTCGGAGGCGGATTCTCGGGGTGCCGGGTGTTGTCCAATATATTTTGCCAGAAGGTCACGGATGGAGCCGGTTCTAGAGCCCGGCTGGTGGGCTGTTTGGGATAGAACCAGACCTCGTATTCCGTCAGTTGCGCAAAGAAAGAACGGAGTGAAGACGAAATGGACCGTCGCCGCTGCATGGTTAGATGCCTCATCCGCCAGGCACCCGGCCCCTTCCCGATTGGGAACTGCGACTGCCCAATACGGCTTAGTCTGTCTCCGCCCACACCGGAGGACGCTAGACCTCTTTGGGCCGGTGTTTGTTTGGTTTGCCTCGCCCGTCTTTTCGAAGATCGCGGACTCGGACTTTCGTCTCTGGCATCATCACTGTCCGGTGTCTGCTTTCTTTGATATTCAACGAGAGCTGCACCTTATCCAGGATGCCGATCAAAAACATGATTCATGACCCGCTAATCATCCACAAAACACCAAGACCGTCATGCATCATATCAACGCGGCTATCTCCGCCGGACCTCAAACCGCACTAAGCACTACGCAGTAGAACAACCGACAGGCGGATTGTGGCGCCAGGCTTAGTCGATTCTGGTGCCTTCTGCAAAATAAGATCGGGGGCATAATCACGGCCCAAAATATGATTACTGATCGTCCCGACATTTTGAGATTAGGTTGCAGGCTTATTTCCAATCACGCTTACTGTTTCCCCTACTGCCGAGTTATCAAGAGATCGCACCATCAGGCATATTTGCAATGCGGCGCTATTGGCGAGTCTTCGACACTGAGCCGGACAATACGTCGGGATTTGAATCAGACGCCGCTTGAGATGGCACGTTGAGATTCCCCGGGGAAGGGTATAAAGTGTCGCTGGAGGAGCTGGTCATGGACTGTTTTGGACATCAATCTAATTCTTCACAAGTTCATTGCAACTGCTTTCATTCACAAAAAGCTCCAACCAATTGATAAAACATGTCTTCAGACGGATACAAGAACATCATCCTCATCGGAGTACGTCCCAACCCCTCTCCCCTGGTCTTCCTTCATCCAACCCCAAATCTAACCCACAACAGGGCAGTGGCTCTCTCGGCAGCGTCCTTTTGAAGTCCCTCCTCTCTGAGCCCAAGTTCAACGTAACCGTGCTCACGCGCGCCTCATCCAAAGCGCGCTCCACCATCCCCTCCACCGCCAAGATCATCACCGTCCCTGATACTTACCCACAAGAGGACCTTGTCCAAGCCTTCGCCGGCCAAGACGCCGTCGTGAACGCGATCACCAGCTTCTCCGTCGCCGAGCAGCTCCGCTTCATCGACGCCGCCATCACGGCGGGCGTCAAACGCTACGTCCCCTCCGAGTACGGACTGGACAACAACACCCCCAAAGCGCAGGACCTGGCCCCCGTGTTCAAAGAAAAGGGCCTGGTGCAGGAGTATCTGCGCGGGAAAGAGGCAAGCGGGTTAACTTGGACGGCGATTGCGTGCGGGATGTGGATTGGATGGTACGTCTTTTCTTTTCATTCTCGACCCAACTCCCAAGCTGCAAATCTAACTGTAATTTCAGGTCCCTTCGCAATAACTTCCTCGGCTTCGACTACCCCAACCGCACCGTGACATTCACCAATGACGGAACCGGCTATTTCTCAACCACTACATTGAACAACACTGCGTTGGCCCTGAATCGCATTCTACTGAACCCCGGCCCCACGGCCAACCAGATTGTCTTCACCAGCGACTTCGCGACCAGCCAGATAGAGCTCGTGGAGACGATCGAGCGTCTCACGGGCGAGAAGTGGCAGCGAAAGTCCATCGATACGACCGAGGTCATTCCGGCGCTGAAGTCGGCCTGGGAAAATGGTGACGCCTACGCGGGCTATGGATTAATTAATGTCGGGTTCACTGAGGGGTCGTATAGTGGTTATTTTGAGCCTACGCGCCAGATCCGGAACAGGGAGCTTGGTCTTCCGGAGAAGAGCCTTGCGGAGGTGGTGAAGGAGGCTTTGGGAGAGGTGGGACATTCGGGATTCTAGACTCGCGGGTTTAAATGCTGGAATGAGAATGCTATTATTTCATTTTATATAAAAACTCATATCGACGATAAAAGGAACTAATGGTCCGGACCAATATCATCACTCTCTATTTTCAACCATTCCAAATCCGTCCAATCTTTGGAATAGTCCGCTGTCGCGACGGACGCGGAGACTCCCTTCGGCGACGTTTCAGACACAACCAGATCCTCAGTCTTCGAAGATGCCTTGCCACTGGATCTAGAGTCTTCACTCGTATTGTCGTCCTCGGTATCTTCGTCCGCAACGACAGGTTCGCGGTAAATATAAGGCGCGTCGAAGTCGGGGATCGAATCGACATTCCATGGCAGGACGAACTTTTCCTCCGCCTCGGATTCTTCGTCTTCGTCTTCGTCGCTGTCGTCATCATCTTCATCATCTTCATCGTCATCGTCATCACTCGTTTCTTCTTCATCGCTGTCCTCCTCGTCTTCCCAGCCTTCGTCATCATCGTCCACCTCCTCCCCATCTGAGTCTTCATCATCCGAGTCAGTCAACTCCGGCCATCCATTCTCCTGCCTTTCTAAGGCCTCCTGGAGCATCTCATCGGCAAAGTCCAGCGTCTCTTCATTTAAATGAGAAGCCTTCCGATCTACCAAGCTCCAATCCGCCCCGTTCCTCATCAACAGCTCACAACCCTCCGCCCAGCCAGCAATAGCAGCAGCATGCAAAGCACAGCGGTGAGCTCCGCCCACGGCATTAACTTCCGCGCCTCGCTCGATCAGAAGCCCTGTGATATCATAGTAGCATTTCACACACGACGCCTGGAGCGCGGTATGAAACTTGCCGCCTCGGGCATTGACGTCGGCGCCATAGTGCAGGAGGAGGAGAACGGCTTCGAGATCCCCGGCTGCGCAGGCTGCCTGCAGTGGGTTACCGTAAATGCCGCCTTTGGCGTTCGCGTTGGCACCTTTTTTCAGCAAAAGTTCGACGGAGTCGGGGGTGGCGTTCATCAAGCAGGCGGATAATGGACATCCGAATTTGCCGCCAGGCGCGTTGACGTCGGCGCCGTGCTTGACGAGATACTTGATGACTTCATGCTTTCCGTTTATGGCTGCAGCTTGGAGAGGAGTGCTGTACCTGCTAGGGCTGGTGATGTTGACGTCGAGACCTTGGCGGATGAGATAGCGCACGATGGGCAAAGAGCCCTTGTATGACGCGTATTCGAGAGTAGAGCCGTGGATGCCGTTGCAGATGTCAAGACGCGCCCCGTGCTCAACGAGACGCTTGAGTGTTGAGAGGTCACGAACTCCGATTGCAGCGTGTGCGGCGGAGGGATAGTATTTATTTCCTTCAAGGTTGACGTCCGCGCCGGCCTCCAAAAGGATTGTGATCGAAGCTTCGTCCTCCTTTGCTACAGCGGCTATCAGAGCGTTCCCATACAATCCTCCACGTGCGTTGACGTCGGCGTTTTCCTCAATCAGATAGTTGATTGAATCGTCATCGCGCTCCCTGGCGATGCAAGCTTGAAGTGGGGAGCCCCATTTCCGAACCTGAAGATTGGGGTCTGCATTGTAGTCTCGAACAAGCCGTGCAACCATTGTCTGACAGGCACCTTGGATGGCAGCCCCCAGAGCAGTTCCATGCATCCCGCCGTAGAGAGTATGAGATGCACCGTGATCGAAAAGGGACCACGTGACATTGAAGTATCCTCCTGCGTATGAAGCTTGTAATGCAGTGCCATATATACCGCCCACAATGTTGGGGTCCGCATTATGCTCTAACAACATTTGACATGTATCGGGAAGGTTCTCGGAGGCCGCCGCTTGAAGGGCCGTGTCATATTTACCTCCCTTGGCATTCACTTCAGCTCCAGCGTCGAGGAGAATCTGCACTATGTCGTCGTATTCATGCCAGGCCGCTAGTTGGAGTGGGTACACGTAATCATAGTCCTTTGTCAGGCCTAAGTTAACATCGGCTCCCCTCTCAATCAACAGCTTCACGACGTCTTCTTTTGACTCGCTGACAGCCGCGAATAATGCGCTGCCTTTTTGGCCAACATTGACGATGTTTATTTCGGCGCCGGCGTCTAGGAGCAGACGAGTCGCTTCGATTTCACCCTCCACTGCGGCGGCTTGCAGGGCTGTGCCGTAAGTCCCACCGACGATATTGACATCGCTTCCAAGCTCGATCAAGGTTTGAATAACATCTGTGTCACCCCGAAAGCTCGCAGCTTGCAGAGCAGATTTAAAGTGACATTCCTCCGATTCGATCGATAAGTGTGCGCCTTTTTCAACTAACTTTCGGATTGTGTTTGGGGTTCCCGCCCATGCTGCGGCCTGAAGGGCCGTGACAGCCATGTCCCCATTATTCTCCCCAGAAGCTTCAATTTGGAGATTCACGTCGGCACCGTTCTCCAAAAGGACGTCTATGAAGCGCTCATCATCCGCCCAGGCGGCGAGTTGCAAACAAGAATAGTAGTTCTCACGAGATAAATTGAGGTCAGGGCTCTTCTCCATGAGATATGTGAAAATGTCGTAGTCTTTCACATGGATTGCCGCGGCAAGAGCACATACGCAATTCTCGTCGGGGATTGCTATAGTATTAACGTTAGCACCGGCATCAACCAGCATTCTGACAATGTCTAGGTTTCTCCGCTCGCTGAGGATGGCCGCCATCAATGGCGTGCTGTAGTGACCTTCATTGAAATCATTCACATCTGCTCCCCGGTCCAACAATAACTGTACCATAGCGGCATTCGACTTCTCTGCCGCTGCCTCTAATGGAATGCAACGCGGATAGGTTGCCAGAGTGCTGACCTCGTCCATCACAGCGCCTGCTTCGATGAGGGCTTCAACAACTGCAATGTGCCCTCTCCTAGCAGCCACCATGATCGCATTGTTTATGTCGGATGTATTGCCTGTCGGGACACCGAGTTCAAAAAGAAGAGAAACGACCTCTAAATGACCATTTTGGGCAGCAGCAATAAGGGCTGTACCTCGGTCACCACCAGGAGCATTCACATCCACTCCTGCCTCTGCCAAGACACGCACAATTTCCTCATGTCCAGCGAAAGCAGCCACTTGGACCGAATTACCATAATGCTCATCGAAGAAGTCCACGTCCGCGCCGGCTTCTAAGAGATACTTCACAATCTCAAGATGGCCTTCTGCACTAGCAGCATTGAGTGCATTCCGGTGCTTGCCCCCCTTTGCATTAATATCGGCTCCCAGCTCCAGAAGAAGCTTGACAGCACCGATATTCCCAGCCATGCAGGCCGCATACAGAGCATCTGACCCTTTGTCATTCTCGTCATTCACCCGGGCGCCGCGATCAACCAGTAGGCGTATCAGATCAAGCATGCCCATATATGCAGCGGCCATTAAGGGACAACCATGGCGGCCACCGAGAGCGTTGACATCAGCGCCGTTGCTAAGGAGCATCTCCACGATTTGCGGATTCTTTCCAACAACGGCGGATATCAGAGGGTACGCGTACCAACCTCCACGGCCGTTAACATTAGCCCCATGATCCAGCAATTTCTGGAACGTGCGTAGGTGGCCCTTTTCTGCGGCAGCGGACACGGGAACTCCATAACGTTTGCAAGCAATGTTCATCTCAGCCTCGTGGTCGATTAGTACCGATACAACCTCGTAACGGCCTTCTAGAGCCGCTGCCTGCAGCGCCGTCCCATTCTTACCACCTCGAGCATTCACATCCACACCGACATCAAGTAACTGCTCAACAGTCTTCTCATGTCCTCGAGATGCGGCAACATAAAGACACTCTGCGAGGATTGTCTGGTCTACCGGTTTGCATTTGTCAAGAAAGACCCGGATCACATCCCCATAGCCAGAATTAGCTGCAGCCTTCATCGGCTCTTTGATATCAACCTCCTTGTTAGCCTCGATTAAAGCCGACACAACGCCAGGCAAGCCAAACAACGACGCAAAGTATAGAGGGGTACAGTTCGAATTTTTCAAGACGCGACCGGCTGTCTTTTCAAGATATTGATAGATCCGAGACCATAGTTTGTAGTTTCCCCTCCCCGCGTCAACGGATTCTAAGAGTCTCATTGTCGAATCAAAGACGTCTTCATTGAAATCGCTTAGGCGCGCGTGAGATCCCCAGGCGTGGGCCGCGTATGGCAAGAACTTATATTCTTCGAACTTCTGCAGGAGTGCGTCTCCGTGGCCAGTATGGTCCCCCGAGAAATCATCGTAGCATAGATATGCCAGGCACACGCTAGCTAGCTCGGTGTGGACTTCACTATTCCCCACCCAAAAATGAGGCATCGTTTCTTTCAGGCTTTCAGACACAAGGAACTCCTTGACGGTATAATGCGCCAGACCAACAGAGCCATTAGCGGACTGGCTGACAAGACTCCCACAAAGTTCGACGACATCCTCTGGGTCGGTAAAGACGGCATCAAAATCGAACGAGTCTTCTGACTCTGCAGGGATTATGCTGACGCATTCGGCTAATTCGCTCAGAGTAAGATTTCGAACGCCTCGAACAAGCCATCTGAGTAGACGATGCACCACCTCCACCTCGTCACTGTTCTCCTTTTCCAGCTTCTGGAGGATCCGGAAATAGGTATCGTGTAGCGTCTTTGGTAGATCATCCAACGCATTTCGAACCGCCTTGTCATTACGCAAGCGACAGAGCTGGTCAATTTGACACTTGACCCATTGGAACATGCCATGAGCTCCTTGGATTAATTTATCCGATATAACTTGACTCAGGTTCGGGTCTCGCAATTTCAGCTTCCTCGCTTTGATCTTCGCCGCGATCTCCGTTTCGACGTACATCCGGATATCCCCGGCAACGTCTTCCGGTTCAATTGTTGTGCTTGGTAGATCCTCGTATGTGCGGGCAATATCAACCTCGTTGCGACTTGTGACAAAGATTCTCGCCGAGCTGCAATTGTCGGAAATGGCTTTGGTGGCGTATGCAACACACTCGCGGTCTTCGCTCTCGTCAAGAGCGTCGATGATGATGAATATCTCCTCAAAAGAGTCGGCAACAAAATGGCTGAAATTGTTCAGAAGCTCGTCGAATTCTGGAACATAAGCCGGATTTTCTTTGAGCTGCTCCTCAAAAAATGATTGGATCCTCAGAAATACTTCGTCATTTTGAGAGGCTATCATCGACAGAAGGGTGCTGATAATGCTTGTTGGTGATTGCTTCTGGGTATCTTTGTAATCGCAATAAAAGTACGCCAACGCCACGTCCCGATTTTGCTTATGTTCGCGAAGGTAGTTGATAACCGTTGATGCTAGAATCGTCTTTCCGGCGCCGGCTAAATCATGATCAGAATGTCACACAGTTTTAATTAGTGTCAGATTACTTACGGATTGCGTGCAACCAGAGAAACGAATTATCAGTCGACAGCCAGTTTTGAAAAGGGGTACTTTCGAGAAACCAAACACATGTCCCGTCATGTCGCAATTTAGTGGCCGAGTTGTGGTTCGAGGCGGCATTTACCGGCGAGAGCCATTTGTTCACCTGAGCAATCCTCTGCTGGTCGATATATTGAGTGACGGATTTCTGACTGGACTCGAGCTTATCCCAGCGATCTATCTGGCGCTGACGCTCTCGCTCTGCTTTGCTTCTCTCCTCACTGGCAAGCTCTTTTTCGGCGATCTCAACCTCGTGCTGAATGCGCCCCATTGCCGACTTGATGTCCCCTACAATACCTCCAAATTGAGAGTTAAACGGCTTCCAAATGAGTTTCCATGCCGTATGAAGACCCACGGGGGTGAAGGCTCGCACACCCGTTTGGTGCTTTTTGCCCTGGTGAAAGACATTCCGGGCCTTAGCACAGAAATGGATAATCGCCCGAAAGATATCAACCATAGCGTCTTGCAAAATCTTGTTGTCGGGGTAAAGCCGGGGATATCGACGGATGGTAGACAGATTCTGACCAATCTCTTCCATCATAGTCGACAGCTTATCGAAATACTCCCCAAACTCTTTCGCGACCTAGGCAGCGTAAGTTAATCTACCTGCCATGCCAAGCATCACAGCCGTCCAAGTGAACACAGGGAGGGCAAAACGAACCGAAAGCAGAACCCGCACCGACGCCCAAATCGGGGACATCAAGGAAACCGAACCGGCCAGGACATCCATCGCCGTGCCATATTGTTCAATTCCCGCGACAAACTTGGTGATATTCGGGGCAATTTTCCTCGAAATCGAACCCTTCTGACAACTGTCCACGTGACGAAGGTCATCGATCAACTGCTGGGATTTTTCCGTGGCCTCAAACAGCTCGCTCTCGTCGGCGGAGAGGTTCTGGATGAAATCCAGCACGGCCTCGTGGCATTCATCTTCGATACTAGAAGCGTGGGACCACACCAATCAGCCCCTGAATTCCATCCACGTCGCTGCAAGGGACAGACATACCTTGTAGATTGCACTTGTCGCATCTTGCTCAAGGGTCCCGGCTAGATGACCATGGTACGGTCACTGGGAGTGCACACAGAATAAGATAGAGAAAGAAAGCACAAACACCTAGATTAGAAAGTTGGCTAAATCCATGGATCGGTTGCAGGGGCTAGCATCTGGCACTGCGGCTGAGCAGACCCCGCACTAGTCTCTCACTGACGGACCCACATGCTTGGCTTCAGGTTAATTACGAGGGACATGCCTGACGATGCTGACGGTCACCGGATGGACTGCCAAAGATGCAGAGAAGGTAAAAAGTCGGGTTTGTCATCTCCCTTGATGGGATTGGATGGAAGATGGAAGAGGGCGTTGCAACGTGGCTATTTGCAGATGATGACAGGCGACAGCATACAAGGCTGTTGACAATACGAAGAAAAGGGGGCCAAAAGTCCCGGTCACCTTGGCGGAGCCCTGGAAAACCCGCCCTGATTCCCGCTCTGGGAAGGGCCAGACCTGCCCCGTTATCGATAAGCCCGTCCCTCGGGGGCTAAGCGTGGCCACGTCATCCAAATGGCTTCATGGTCGCAGGCCTATTCGACAGATGGTACTAGGTACTGCATGAAACTGCTAGGGCTCTTACTATCTTAAATGTATTCTGAGAGTTCAAGATTTGTAGCACATGACCATGCTGAGCGACCATCGCATTCAGATTCCCGGGAAATATATATCCATGTGGAGTACCCGCAGATAAAGTGTCACAAGACCACTGACCTGCCTGGAAAAAATACATATGGATATGACAATAACAGAATAAAGCCCACAATATCTTGAAACTCTTCACATTACCATTCACTGTTGCTAAAAAATACCTGTGTATAGCATGAAACGATAAACAGATGAACAAATACCATCAGCAAGTTGAGCCAGAAACAGTCTCCAGATCAATACTGTCATTGCGGTCATCCTCCGAAAAGATATCCTCCAGATACGGCACATTGAAGACGTGACCTCGGTAGACTTCGCGAATAGTCCCCAAACTGACAACTACCCAGAGCAAAATAACCATCGTACTGAATATCTAGCCCGGCGGTTAGTGTCTCAACCGACCTCAAAGCTTGATGCAAGAGTTGTAACATACCGTGCCCATGACTTTAAAGAACATCGACGATAGCTCGACGCCGAGTTGAATCGTGTTGACGCAAAACACCCCGAAGGGAAAAGTGGTTGCCCACCAACCCATGTTGAACGGGATAGGCCATGAACGAATCGCGGTGGCGAAGGAGAATATCAGCCATAGTAGACTGAAACCCCATAGAGCTAGGGCAACCATGATTCCTAATATATAGGCGACGTCGCCGACCATCGGGTGGATAGTGTTGTTCTTGTGGAAGGCAGTCAGTGAAACCTTCCCGAGGTACATGATACTAGGCGACGGATTATAATTTAGCAGAATGATATACTTCGGGGATAATGGCAGACCTACCCGAATCCGCCAAACCCCACGGGCCCTAGAGTTAGGAAGGAGCTCATAGCCAGCTGCTTTGGAGGCAGTTTATGTAGAATCAGACGTTGATAGTATATGACGAGAATCATCATGGCCATAGACATGCTGAGACTCCAAAGCAGGTAGGATGCGATTATGGTACCCCTCATATGTTTCAAATTGGGTAGAACGGCAGACACTTCTGCGCCTACACCGGCAGCAACAATCGTTGCCGCAATCGGGACGAGTTGCACAGCTGTGATCTTGTCTAACGAGGTTGTGTGATTTTGGCAAAGTCTAAGAAATGCGTCAGAAGAACAGAAACAACGCAATTGGAACAGAGACTTACAGAAGAAAGGCGATTGATACCGTAATAACAACCGAAAAGGCCGTGTCGATCATCCATGCCACCCAGGCTAGAACTGTCGCCCAGCGCCCCCATATCGGAACACAAATAAAGATCCACATCTCTATGAGAGTAGCGAAGCCGATGGGACAAGTCGCCAGAAATAATGGGTCGACCGGGTCACGCAGCATGACTGGCCATACTCGTGGGTATAGCATGTATCGCAGCACTGTCAATATCGTCCCCAAGGCGAACAGAAATGTATTGAGAATAAAAAAGATAATCGAAAGGTAGTATAGCCAGGAGTCGTGAAACGGGATGAGAAAGAGCAGGATGGCGACGATACCCGTCCCCATAGTTACAGCGAACCATCTGCGAAGCTCGTTAGTTGAATGAATTACGAAAAGCTGGAAAATGTGTGGTGTTTCCATACGGTGGTCCGAATCCCAAGACTATTCGCCGCCATCCCATAACGTAGAATCCGGCTCTCATAAGACCCGCTATTTTATTCTGACTGTGATGTTGTATTCTGGCACAGACTCAGCACGTTGACAGGTTGTTCGGAGGCCGGCCACCTACAGCATGACTCGCAAAACATGGTCGAGGCTCTCGCGAATGGTCGGTATGGCTCGGCATGACGTACAAGTTCGGTAGCTGGACTCGACCCAGGGGAACCAACCCGAACAACATCATCTGCTTGCAATTAGTACAGTCAGCTCGTGAATCTCGTTGCCTGAGGTGTCTTCTTTTTCTCGGGGCTTTCTTGTTACTGTCAACACCACTGACCTTGGAGGTTCACCACTCGGTCCGAGACTATTCTGGTCTGTAAAGATCTTCTGGCAGCAGTATCAAGATGATACAAATATAGGTGGAGCCGTGTGCGGATGGAATTGATGGATAATGAAGCTCGGCGACATAATTGATTGTTGAGGAGTAGGAGAAAGAGAGGTCCCGCTGCTCTGGAGGAAGCTCTCTGCAATGAGGTGGGCCACGTGCGGTCACATGTCTGACCCCCCGGGGACTTTCGCTGGTATTCAATTCGATGTGCAACGCAGAGGAAGAATTGCTGGAGTTTACGGAGAATGTTGTCAAGCAGCTTCTTGTACATACAGCCCAGGGGATTCTTGTGAAGCGGAAACCTGAACCATTGTCTCTATTGACACCAATTTTTTCCTCTGATATAAATCCAATGTGGAGTTTATAGAATTACGGTAAGAATATCATGAAGCAATCCAACCGCTGACACAGCCAGAATCGTTAATGTAGTACACTATCGTAATCGACCAATGACCGGGGCCGTCAGGCTTGACGGATGATGTCTAACACGAATCTAACACGAACTGAATGCGTCATCAATTCTTTCATTCTATGCCCGTTAGTCTATTAGAAATCGCAAAAAAGAAATATCGTGCTAGTTACTCATCACAACTCCAAACTTGCTCTCTGTTCCACCAAGATAGCTTTTTATTTGCCTTTCGCAGCAGCAGCGATCTTCTCCCGCTCCCGTACGCACTGAGCCATCTGGTCGCCAGTCTCAGTGCCCAGATTATCAAATCCCTGAGCAACACCCGCTCGATCGCCCTCACCCATTTCCTGACTCATCTTGAACTTCCCTTCCAGCCGAGTGATATCAATCTTGATGCCGATGATCGCCTTCTGCAAGAGCGAGATGTACCGATCCGGCGCATCGGCAACTTTCCAAGGACCCGGACGCTCGCCAGCCCCCGTGTAACCCATAACCGAGGTCTCCGCATGGTTCGAGAGGGCATTGATCTGCGACGAGAGAAACTCCGTCGACTCATCGCCGCTGTCGAAGTAAACCGTCGCTTTTCCGTACGCCTGCACGGCCGAGTAGTTCCACGTGGGCACGACCTTCCCTGTGGCAGGCTTAGTCTCGGTGTAGAACTTAGGCGTCACGTAGTGATGGACAGGGCCGTTGAACAGGACTAAAACTTCATCTTTGAGCTGCACGCCGCCGGATGCTGCGGGATTTGCGGCTGTCGCGGATTCAATTATGGCTTTGGCCTGGGGGTTTTGTCGGGCGATGTGGCCGCGCAAGACTCCGAGTTCGGTTTCGCTGTCATTATCGGAGACGTCGAGAACCCAGGGGACGTGGCTGGACTGGATGAAGGAGTAGATGGAGGATGAGATGGCGGTGGTTAAGATGCCGAGGGGGTTGTCCTTGACGAACTGGCGAAGGGTTGGGAGGTGGGACTCTGCGTGGATTGCTCGAAGATACATGATCAGGAATGGAAAACAGTAGCTACCCCCAGTGTGTTTGTCAAACGGTCAGGATTCGTGAGTATGCAGGATTGCGTGTGCCTGTACCTTCCACTGACCTTATATACTTGAGGTGGAGAGAGCCCTGTCGGCGCTGGGAGCCTATCAGGGCGGGCTGATTGGGGTTGACTCACGCCGCGGAAAAGCAATTGGTTTTGGCGCTGGTCCATCTCCACTGGCGCGGGGCATGTCCTTTTTTTTTTTTTTTTTTCCAGTCGTGATTCTTATTTTCTCTTGACGGACCAGACAACCCCACCAACCGTTGACATTTGGGCCAATAATGGGGTGAGTAACATCAGCAAGCTAGCGGGGTATGCAGGAGATTGGCTGCTTTTCCAAATTAAGGTGCAGTCATTTCTAAGCACGCGGTTCTGGAACGCTGCTGGAAAGGGCGTAGGGAAGTCTTCCATCATTCGATTTCTATTGCGTCGGGAATGCAGCTTCGGGAATAGCCCTGCAGCATTCCCGAGAATTCTGTATCCGGAAGGTGCATGCGAGAGCCCGTTCTGCAAATCTCGTGACCGGTGGTGGCATGTTGCAAAATTCAGTTGGATCTCCAGGCATACCGACTCCGTAGTTCTCCCGGCAGCCCCGGCTGAGCCTAAGGCTCTAAATGTCTGTTGGTGGGAGCGAATCAAACCATAAGACCTCGCCAAGAGTGCCCCACCCCCATTAACTTCCTATTCGGGCAGGTACGGGTTCGGCGGGGATGGAGATCTCGCCTGTCGCCAGGCCCGACGAAGAGATTTCATCTATCCAGACTTGCTCGTCGGAGGCAACGAGACCTTTTCTCCGCTGACATGGCTTGCCACCGTCAAACATCCAGCCCAGCTTTCAAACCATCGACAACTTGATGTGACAGGTTGTGAGGATGTACTTCTCAGAGGGCAATTGAAGTATTCCATAGCAGCTTCTAACGCGTGATACATGCTAAATGAATTGCTGCTACAGCTGAAATCTGGTATATCGAGAATGCTATTGCGAGCACTCGTTGAGATACTCATTCGAAGCTTTACGATGGGGCCAAGGCTTTAACAACGTCCGCAATTGCTTCGCTATATACGACCAAACTCATAATATCACAACGCTATGGTGAATACCTCAATATGGCACACTTGCGTACTGCCCCATCTTTCGCGGCGGCACATGGCTATAAAACATCTGATCAATTTCCGGAAACGTCCGGCCCTTGAGCTCCGGCACGTACACCCAACTCCCGATGGTAGCCACGAGCGCACAACCCCCGAACACAAAGCCCACTTTGCCCTTCATATTGGCCTCGTCCGGATTCACCATGTATGGCATGATGACATTCATGATAATGCCGAAGACCGCCTGTACCGCAGTTGCTAGGGCGGTAGTTTTGGCACGAAGCAGGGGCGTCGATACCTCGCCCAAAAGCACGAAAGAGATCGCACCGACCGTGAGAAAGTACACGAAGGCGTATATGACCGTACACGATGCCTGGACCCAGTTTGCTCCGTTGGATGGGATTACGTCCATGATTCCGATCAGCACAAGTAGGGTAGTCATCGTCGCCATACCGATTATGAACGTTCTGCGACGACCGAACGAGTTGAGAATGAACCAGCTGAGAAAGTTCCCAAGAACACCACAGGCAGTAACCCCGACTCCGAGATTAAAAGAGTGAGATTGTTCGAGTCCGGCAAGCTCGAAGAAATAAGTTGAGTATCCGAGCACGAAGACAATGCCGACGAGGTGCTGGCAGACGAAACCTCCGAGGGAAATCCCAGTCCGAAGAAGATTGGTGCCACGAAAGCAGTCGAGATATTTAGTCTCTGTATGCTGAAGCGCCTCTTCAACTGCTAGTTGAATTGTGCTCAATTTCGCCGCGACGTTGAAGTCTGGACCCCATAATTTTCGGAGGGCCTTCTTCGCCTCTTCTGGCTTGTCTCGTTTCACCAGATACCACGGCGATTCTGGGGAAAATGATACCCCGAGCAGTAGGACGATTGTAAACAGCAGCTGGATAGAGAATGGACCTGCGTATGCCCAGCGGTCCTCTCGCTCACCAAACCCTTTGATCGCAGCATTGGACAAAAGCTGGCCAAGAGAAATGCCGAGATTAACACCTGCGGTAGACAATCCACGCAGCACCACCGGGGTGATTTCACTGCACATCAATGGCCCGAGGGTTAGGTAGAAGCCCAGGCCCACACCAAGCACGAGTTTGGATCCCAGGAATGCTCCGCGAGTGTCCGAGAAGATTTCACCCATGATTCCGCCCGTGCATACAACAATTCCGCAGAAAAGAGATCTTTTTCGTCCAATGCGGTCGGCCAACCAGCTGCAGAGAAAGCCTCCGAAGAACTGACCGACCGAGCTGCAGGTGTTGAATGCAGACTGCCAGCTGGCGGGCAAGATTGCCACGCCGTCGAGTACATACCCATAGTCGCGTCGGAAGGCTGGAACGGAGATTACGGCGCCGTTGACTTGCACGTCAAAACCCCTGGCAGGGTCAGTGAATTCGATTGATCATTGGGTGGGTCTGGAGAGAAGGAGTATCGCACCAGCCAACAGCACAAAAGGCCCAGAAAACCGACCACCCGATAACAGGTCTATGGTTTTTCAGCACGTAGGAAAAGGTCATACCAGCCTCGCTCTCTCTAGCGGGCTCGGTGCCTTCCGAATGGCTGACAGTCGGCTTCTGATCGGCAAAGGAACTTGACTTGTCCATGATGCAGGTGATTAGAATTTAGTGTTGCGTTGGTGAAATGACACGCACCGGTCATCCTGGAAGGTTGGCGATGCTGCATTATATCACCTGCAGAATGATTGCTCTCATGCCGAGGATATTGAAGAACACTGCACGCTCTCTGCGTCTCCGGATAGAGCTTTGGCAGTTGGTCGGCTGAAGTCGTACAACGCCGAGAGAAACCAGCCACAACGGCGACATTCCGCGAAAGAACGCACTAGCGGATTGCGGGGGAGCTGTTTAGGCCCATGTTTAGCCGGGACTAGACTATAAAGACGGCGCTAGTCCCCCCCAAATAGATGTTGAGCGACATTCCGCGACGCCTCGCCTCCCCCGCAATTTAGGAAAGAATCTTGACTCGCAGCACTCACCACGCCACCATGGCGCTAATCCCGCCTCGAGAGGATGCTTTGTCTGGAGGGTTCTCAACCAGTCTCTCAGATTCTCGCGGAGAAAAAAGGCCTCTGCCAAGAGGGACAGCTGCGTATCCCCGCAAAAGAGCCGTCACGGCCTGCCAAGTGTGTCGGGCCAGACGTACAAAGTGCGACAATCGGAAGCCGTCCTGCTCGTTTTGCCTGAAAGTGGGCGCAGAGTGTATACAATCTCCAGTCGATTTATCCAGTTTTGACCCAGCGAGCATCCAGATCATAGAGCGGTTGAACCAACTGCAGTCGGCTGTGGGGCGATGCGAGACTGGGATCCAGCACCTGGCCGGGGGTAGGAAGGCCCTGTCAGCAGAAAACTTTCACGGATCTGAAATTAGCTCGCCACAGTCGACATCCGCTCCCATTGACTGGGACCGACTACTACCTCCGTCCATTGAGATCATCTGTCGGTGGCCCACCCTGGGTTTAGCCGGGACAGAGTACCTTCTCAGCACCTCCACCACATCTCCAGGACATTCGGAACGAGAGTCCACTGTCAGTATGGATGATCTGCAGCCACGGCTAATGAGGGCGTTGGTTGACAGATTCTTCCAATACGTGCACGTGAAGAACCCCATACTCAATGAGCGCTCCACGCGAAGGCTATTCTCGACTTTCTGCGAAGAAGGATTAGACTGGTCTCCGGAATCATGCCTTGCTTTACTTGTCCTTGCTTTGGGAGCAACAGCAACCCCTTTCGAGGATGAGAGCCTTGGAAGGAAGGATCCTGAAACTCTCAGCCACGCTCGATGTTTCTACAAAGCAGCCCAGAAGCGACTTGGAACACTAATTGGCACACCCAACCGCGTGCTCGAGGCCCAGTGCTTTTTTCTCTCTGGTGTTTGTGCAATGACGTTCTTCCAAAGAGACATCGCTTGGCGATTTTTCTTACAGGCATTGGCCTGTTGTCAGCAGTTCCGATTCCGTCTGCTGGAAGGTTCAGACGAGCAGCTCAGAGCCAGTGCATCCCCGATCGGCGAATCGAGCCTCAGCGTACAAGAAAGATCACTCACGACGGAGCAAGCAATCTACTGGTCTGCCTGGAAATCCGAACGAGAATTACGCCGAGACCTTCAAGCGCCCGACTTTACACTGTCACAGGCTGAATTCGCCATTTATCCCCCGTTCTTTCCGACGCCACCGGCAATCGAAGAAGAACGACACCACGGAACAGTCGATAAGGTGCACCAACTATCATGGTACTTCTATTTGTCGGAAATATCCCTTCGTCGGTTAGCGTCATGCATAGTAAAAGGGATCACGCAATTTCAATCGTCAGGGGAGCCATTTCTAGAAGCACTAGCAAGGGCAACGACCCTGCATGAATCGCAAGCGCAGGAATGGGCCTCGAACCTTCCCCAACTGGTTTCTATTGCAGGGCTCCCTCAAGATGATAATATCTGCCAATTTGTCCTGCGAGGCCATCTCATGGACCTCTATGTATGCATCTTTTGGCCGTTCGTTGACGCTCTCCTTCGGGGCTTCCGCAGCCAAAGTGTTCTCGAAATGAGTCTCAAAGGTCTACGGACACACGTAGACACAATCTTGGTAAACTACGTGGGATACAAGCATCGGCATCACGGCACGTCACTTTTGCTTCGTTCGTGTGCTCGGAGTGCACTGGTCCTTGTAGCTGCAGCCTTGACGGCTAAACAGCAAGGAGTGGACGCGGGTAGAAGTTTTAGCATGGTAGCTGGCTGGCGTGAGGCTGTTTTGCTGGCTCTGGAAATGAACCGGTATTGGGAGGCGGAATCTATGGATAATGGCTTTCTCGTTCGCGTAGTGCAGCAAGCGTGGGAGCTGGTGGAGGAATTGGATGTTTGACGTTGTGTAGCTTCAAATTGTGGTCGATCTTAAGTTCTTTGTCATGGTTTAGCCTGAATGTATGTACTGTCTCATGATTCCGAGGTCAAGGCTGACTGCTCTATGCTAGGGGTTGAGGCAACTCGTGTCGCGGAGTGTCGCAGATCGGCGCCTTGGAATGCTTGGCTTCGGGGGCATACAACCTGCACAACTACAGGTGAGTCGATGTTGTCGCGGAAAATCGGACATGACACGATTTCAAGGGATTTGCTGACTTTCACAGAAGCCTATCGGGTATTTATTCCTCTAAATGACCCTATTCCATCCAGACATTTCAAATACTACATCCATAGCAATCGTCGTTGACTTCATAGACAAGATGAGCCCTCACGCAGACTCCCCGGTCGTTCCTCTACAAGCCCCTTCCACACAAGCGCCTTCTTTCCTGCGTGTCTCTGGCACTGACATCGTCGACGAACATGGCATCCGTGTTGTCTTGAAAGGCGCCGCTCTTGCCGGCTTCCTCAACATGGAGAACTTCATCACTGGCTATTCTGGCCATGAGCACCAATATCGCGCTGCCATGACTGACGTCTTGGGCAAAGAGAAAGCCGAATACTTCAGTGATCGCCTCATCCACTACTTCTTTAATGAAGATGACGCCCAGTACTACGCATCCACGGGATTGAACTGCGTTCGCCTGCCCTTCAACTACCGACACTTCATCGACGACCAGAACCCTCATGTCATCAAACAATCCGGCTTCGAGCGTCTCAACAGAATCGTCGAAATATGTCGCAAATTCAACCTCTACGTCATTCTAGACCTGCACGCCGCGCCTGGCGGCCAGAACCAAGACTGGCATTCAGACAACGGTCTCCCACACGCCAGCTTCTGGGACTTCCGACTCCTCCAGGACCAAATCATCGACCTTTGGGTCGCCATCGCAAAGCACTATGCCTCCGACCCCATAATTGCCGGCTATAACCCTCTCAACGAGCCCTCGGACCCCGAACACATCCGGCTCATCCAGTGGTACGACCGAGCCCACGAGGCCATCCGCGCCGTCGACCCAAATCACATTCTCTTCCTCGACGCCAACACCTACTCCATGGACTTCTCGCACTTCGACCACGTCCTTCCCAATACCGTCTACTCCTGCCACGACTATTCGAACATGGGATTCCCGGTTCCCGGCCAACCTCCATATACCGGCACAGAGCAGCAAAAAACGAAGCTCCGCGCCCAGCTCGACCGCAAGACCGCCTTCATGCGCGATTGGAACGTCCCCATCTGGAACGGCGAGTTCGGACCCGTTTACCCAGACCCTGCAAAAGACTCCGACGCAAACGCCACCATGACATCCCGCATCGCTCTCCTCCGCGAACAGCTCACCATCTACGCCGGTCAGAACATCAGCTGGAACATCTGGCTCTACAAAGACATCGGATACCAGGGCATGGTATACCTCGACCCGGATACGCCGTACATGAAGCTCATCGCACCCTTCGTGGAGAAGAAGCAGCGTCTAGGTCTCGATTTTTGGGGCTGTACGGATAAAGAGGGTGTGAAGGATATATATGAGCCGTTTATTGAAGGGTTGAAGAAGATGATTCCCGCACATTTGCTAAAGAAGAAGTATCCGCCTGTCTGGACGTTTGATCGTCAGGTCGAGAGGGCTGTGAGGGAGTGTTTGATGAGTGAGTATATGGTTTGGGAGTTTGCGGAGCTCTTCGAGGGGAAGAGTATGGATGAGCTGGAGGAATTGGCTGCTTCGTTTGCGTTTAAGAATTGCGTTAAGAGGAATGCGTTGACGAAGACGTTGATGGAGGATGCGAACAGGGGTTCGATTTGAAGTCCACCAAGACTTGTATGGTCAGGAAGCCGAGACTCGTTTGAGGACGGCGACTATCACTAGCTATGCATAATTCCAGATAGAAAAGAAGTCTGATACTTTTAACTTCAACCCATATATCTATCCCAGCAGTTATTTCCGCGTCAAAGACAAAAGTTCCGCCACCTTTTCCCTGGATACCTCGCGCCTCAAAAGCCACCCAACATGCCAAATAGTATCCTCCTGCGACCTAATCGACTGCTTCAACCCGGGCCACAGATTGAAATGCCCATGCGGCATGCCCGGATACGCATCAAACCTGACCTCAACACCACTATCCTCCAACGCCTTCGCATACACAACCCCATCATCGCGCAGAATATCCAGCCCCGCAACCTGCACATACGCCCTCGGAAGCGCAGAAAACCCCACCGTCGAATTAAACGGCGAAAAGTCCTCCGAGCTAAAATCCTGCGCATACATGGCCTCGTACCCATCGATAGACTTCGAATCCAAACCCGGATTCCCCGGCGCATTTGCATTCTGCTCTCGAGAAACCCACAGATGCTTGTATTTCTGCGGCACCATCTCATCGCTCACGCAGACGGGAATACTAGCCAGAACACCCGTGATAGGCGGAGAAAGCCTCTCTTTGATTGAGCGATGAGCCGTGACGATGGAAAGGTTCCCGCCTGCGGATCCGCCACCTATCACGAATCCTTTGGTCAAATCTACATCGAGGGTCGACGCATTCGCCGTGATCCACCGCACAGCATCCCAGATATCATTCGGCGCAGTCGGGAACTTATGTTCCGGCGCGAGACGATACGAGGGCTGAACGACCGTAGCGCCGTATAGGGATGCGATGGCGCGAGCCCACAGGATCGACTGGATGTTTGAGCCCATGATGAAGCCTCCTCCGAAGATGAGCACGACCAGGGGGTTCGATGAGGAGCTGGAGGGCTTGGCGATGTGCAGATTGCTTTGGTGGCCGTCGCGCATGGGGATGTCGAGTGTTGTTTCCTGGGTGTTGAATTTGGGGCAGGTGTCGTATGAGGTCTTCTCCATTGCTGAAACGATGGAGCGTAGGGTTTGGACGGGGTGCGAGAAGTTCATTGCTGGAGCTGGGTTGTGTTTCAGGACCTGTATTGGTGAGAGAATGTTCGGGGAATACTAGGGGGTGTGCGTGAAGTACCTCTTCGAGCTCTGGGTCGATGATGCCGAGTTTTAGGACATCTTCTGTGGTGGTGTATAGATCCATGGATGCGGATAAATGAGGTTGGCTGGAGGTGTTGATGGAGTAGTTCATTCAGTTGAGATCAGCTTGGAGATGAGCAATTCCTTTCTTCAGCGCAAATATAGAGTCTTTTATATAGCAATTCGTCTATCCTGTAGAACATTTCACATAAATTACACATGCTGTATCACGATGACTCATTTACGCTCATGGTGATTTGCCGGAGTCATCGACAAAAGAAGAAAACAATGTGTTGGTATTGGCTGAGACGATTAAGTAGACTACACCTAGTATCAATGTTCTCCAGATGGGCTGTCTGCATATATCTCCTGGCGTTCTGGTGTTTGATCGAAGATTCAGGTGGGTCATGGAGGTTGATGATGCCGCCAAATTCAGCCGCCCGAGTGAAGTGTGGGGTAAATTACGGGTATCTACTCATATTTATTACGCCTCTCCAGGCTCACAGAGCTTACCATAATATGCCAATTAATATTATCAAAGGAGGAACGTAATAAAGAATGGAAAAGAAATTTCCAAATATTTTCTCACATGGAGTTATGAATTTGTATCATGTTGAATTGGACATAAAGTCTGAATCATGATATATTTGGACATCTCTAAGCACAATGACTGAATAGCTCGCTTAAAACATTTGCATCACACCGGGAGAAGATGGGATACCAATAGGAGTGAAATACAAATAAAAAATCATTACTAATTTTATTTTCCTAGCATATCACGGCAGCGCTCGTACTTTAGTTTTATAGGATTTATTATCTAGGCGTGGGCTCCAGGAAAAGATATCCTTCCTTTCACGGGACATTGCAGGAAGAGGGATAATGCCCAGCTTGTGGTTGGGGTTCTTCATTACGCTTTCAGTTAATATTGAGGCCAGCGGCTAGTAACAGTGAATATAATGTGTATTATGTCGGGTTCTACTGGTTTGGCTCTTGGAAGGAAAGGTGGACGTTTGGGCACCAACGATGAGGACTACATATCGTATCTGAGTGAGAGTCTACCTCTTCTTCGCTCTCTTTGCTATTTGTATTCTGCATTAGGACTAGGGAGAAAACCGCATGGGACTTAAAGGTTGCCAGCAGAGCAATAAGGTCCAAAGGATGAGGCGTAGACCGGAATTAGCAATTCGGCGACACCGAGCCGTACATGTTGGCTTAAACTTCAGAATAAGTAATAATTTTGGTTCAAAATAGCCTGATGAATGGTGTTCAGCCCTGTGACACTCCTTCCACTTTCTCCTGCTGGGTCGTCCAACTCCGATGCCACCAGAGACAGCGGTCAGCAAGGGGCACGTCGATTGCCTGATCGACGCCAGGCCAACCACCACAACACACATATCATTGGACATGTCTTCCATGGTTGTCGTCGGAAGGGCTGTGTAAGGCTGATGCTTAAATATTTCCTCATCCGTCTAGTGGTGGCTCTCAATACGAGGGCTGACCCGGCGGCTTGCATTACCCGCAATTGGACAAACTGCCGGTTGATCATTGGGATTCCGGGGTTTAGCTTTCAGGCGTTCCAGTCTCCGCCAGGTGCACTGCATTGCCACGCTTCCGCCGGAAGACTCGTCCACGGATCTATACTTGGCGGATATCATGGCTCTGCGTCGATTGGATGTGTTCGCCATGTTTCCTCGTACAGGTCACGTAGCACAGGATGGACGGTCGAGCTGGTGTTCGTCATCTGCCTTGGATGCTGCATCGGCAAGGCCGTCGAACAGGTGTATATTTAGAAACATAGGTCTTGGGTTGGATGATGAGGGTATAAATATCCCTTCGGTTGTAGGTTGAGATGATCTTTTTAACCACTACTATAGCTTTCAATCTCAATACAAACCACTCAGTTTCTTTATAATTGAACAAATTTCTTCTACACAATGGAGTTCTTCGCTATCGCTGCCCTCGCGTCCCTGGCCGCTGCCGTCGACGTCGGAATCACCTTCCACGGCGCCAGAGGAGAATCCTACACGGAGGTATTCCCTACCGATCGTACAACCGTCACAATTGGTGTGTGAGCTTCTCAAATGAAAGACGCATGTGTGATTGACATATCACCAGACAACCCGATGATTGTTTACTCTGTCTCCTCCACTAAGGGTGGATTCTGCGACGTCACTGGCGCCGAAGGAGAAACTATCACGCTGTACTCGGATATGGAGAAGATCTTGAAGAAGCCTCAGGCCATGAAGCGTGGTTCTTGCGGGACTATCTAGATTTCGATTCCCCTTTATTCCTTTATCTTGCTTTTGATTGCACATTTGTTTCCTGCTTCGATGGCTTGGAATTTGAGTGTTTAGAGGTATCAGAGAACTGTCTACTCATGAGATCTCGTGCGAGTGACAGTTAAACGTTTATATTCAATTCTCAAAGATTATATGGTGATTTCAAAATCGAGAAAAAGGAGGTTCAACAACATTGAATACTCTCACTCTTAGAGTCTAGTACTCCCAAAACTCCGATAAACACCTTGTAAAGCGCCAGGATTAAAATAACCCAAACACGCAGACCCAACATCTAAAGACGAGACTTCGGTCCAGGAAACCTCCTCATCGGCATCGGACCCCAAGCCGGCGCCATTCTTGCCTGAGAGGCCCCAGGGCCCACAGGAACAGGCTCAAACCGAGAGTACTGCAAGAGGAGCTGGGTGAGAGGCCCAAGTCTGATAGGTTTAGGGAGGACGTCGTTCATTCCGACCGCGATCAATGGATACCTCGAAACCGCCATGCCCATGTGAGCGGCAAGACCGATGATAGGAATTGACCTGAACTTGTGGTCATGGGTGATTGGAAGCTCGTTTCGGATGATAGCTGTGGCTTCGATGCCGCTTATGACAGGCATGGAGACCTGGATGAATAGTCAGCTGGTTATTTCATTTTTTTTTCTCAGTTTTGTGCCAGCCAAGCGGATTGCTCGAGTGCGGAAATAGCAAGTAAACTAACATCCATTAGGATAAGATCTGGGGGCTGGCACATTTCAGGCGGACTTGTGAGGTATTCCAGGGCCTCACGGCCATTATTCACGATTGCGTACGAGCAACCAATTCTGTGGAACCATTTCTTGCACAGGCGTTGGTTAACATCGCTATTGAGACAAGTTAGACGAACTATCTGCAGTAAATCATTGATTAGCAGACTTACTTGTCTTCAGCTAGTAAGACGTGCATTGTGGTAGCGATAGCACGTTTGTTGATGGGTGCTTGTTTAGGATGTGGTTGCGGGGAGGAAATAGGAAAAGAGAGTGGGGGGTGAACATCACTAGAGACGTTGGGTGATCGACGTTGCTGCCTTTCACTTTCCTGCTAGTCTCTGTGCGCTGATTCGCTAAGTGATAAATCCCCAAGGCTATGTTTCTGACTCATTAGTAGTTTGTCGGAGCCTTCTACCCCGCTGACAGATTTATTATTCTGATGGTCTGTTCCACGATGTGTCTTTCATCAATACCTGATCTAAGAAATAACCATACTAAATATGGAAGATCTATGGAAGCTCTCAGCTACCGAAATTGGGTCTCGATTAAAGAATCAAAACCTCACAGTTGAGCTATATGCTACGTCGCTGATTGATCGTATCTCACAGCGCGACTGCCATGTGAAAGCGTGGGCATATTGTGACAGTGAGGCTATTATCGCTGAGGCAAAAAGACTAGACAGGATTCCTTACAACCAAAGAGGTCCTCTGCATGGAATTCCAGTGGGGATAAAGGATGTTATACTAACTAAAGGTACTACACTCTTGACCCTCGACCCGGAAGAAATACTCATAGCACACAGATCAGCCCACCAGGTACGGCTCTCGCATATACGAGAATAACCCTGCGACCGGTGTGGATGCCACAGTCGTATCAATCCTACGCAATGCGGGTGCCCTCATTTTCGGCAAGACAGCCACTACAGAATTCGCCGCTACGTCTCGCGGGGGGCTCTGTGCGAATCCGCATAATCCAGACCATACCCCGGGAGGCTCTTCATCGGGTTCAGCAGTCGCCGTGGCGGACTTTCATGTCCCTGTTGCTCTCGGAACTCAGACTGGGGGAAGTATTGTTCGGCCGGGTTCGTTCTGTGGGGTATATGCCTTCAAGGTGTGTTCTCTACCTACCCTCTAGCTATCCTAGGATACAAGAAAATTAACCAAGAGTTTGGGCAGCCTACCTGGAATATGATATCAACAGAAGGCATGTCACGGTTCTCGATATCCTGCGATACCATGGGCTTTTTTACACGCACCATTGACGATCTCGAACTTGTGCTTCGGCCTTTTTCTATTCCTCTGCTGGACTCTAATACTCTGCCACCACAAACATCTTTACAGGGAGCAAAGGTGGCGCTTTTGCGAACTCACGCATGGCCCAAAGCCGGCCCTGGAACACAGGCAGCATGGGATATAGCCCGTGGAATACTCCAGAATTCAGGTGCCACCGTGGAGGATGCTGAGCTGTATACGTACTTCTCCAGATTCCCGGAATTGACCAAAGCCATTGTATCAAAAGAGGCGCAATCATCCTTCGCGTCTTGTGAGTGTCTGCTTTGTCTGCTTGCACAGGATCAATGTAACTGATCCTTCGATAGACATGTCATCCGCGAAAGATCTATTAGATCCCTCGATCATACAAACAGTGGAAAATGGACAGAGAACCGATACAACCGAATTCCTCAAGAGTTACGAAGAAGTTGCTCGTTTGCGACCGATATGGGACTCCTGGGCCAGCCAATATGACGTCATCCTCACTCCCAGCGTGCCCGATGAGGCTCCGCGGGGACTGGAGTGGACAGGTGACGCGGTGAGCCCTGAAGAGATTCGTTCTTTGCATCCTTGCCTACTGACGACATTCTTCTAGTCTTTCTGCTCGATGTGGACGCTGCTTCATGTCCCGGTCCTTAACATTCCGATCGCCAAGGGCGAAAACGGTCTCCCAGTTGGGCTGTCGATGGTTGGGCCTCGATACGGAGATATGAACGTCTTGAGAGCCGCAAGGTTACTCAACGATGCTCTTCGTTGATAAGCGACTAATAAACGGAGTATAGCGTTCTACCCCTATTTCAATTTAAACTATATTCAAAAGCGTTAGCTCGGTTCGATACGAGGTCTAATTTCGGGGTTTTCCGTTGAATCCGCTATCGGGCGTCCAGTGGCCATGCGCTTACTGTCCGAGCACTGTGGCCATTGTTTGCTAGTTACAGGGCCAAGAGTGTCACAATACTTGCTTGTCAATCGAATCGAAGTATTATATCTCACCAGCTTGTGCAACCGTTGATCGACGACTGCAAAATGTTGCTGATTCGATCTCGCTGTCAAAAAGAAGGATATGACAGACCAATCTACAGGTCTTCATTTTTCAGCCTCGTCCGGATAAGATCCAAACCGTGGGTCATACCACTCAAAAACTTGAAAACTATCGAATGACCACAGGCTTAGCGGCAGCACAATTTCCACCCAAAGGACCCTCGCGAGACGGTCTCGACCTAAGGAATGGAACGTGGGGGCAAGCGAGCCTAGTCCAGCCCCGACCAGGGTTAGCCCGAACGTCTTAGCGCTCAGGTACAATTACTCGCTCAGGAAAAAATTGGTCGGATCGGACTCGAAGCACCGTACTAGGACGAGCTAATTCCGGTCCTAGCGGACTAGGCCCGTTCCCATTTCAAATTATCTAGCCCTAGAGCAGGCTGCGATCCAGCATCCAAGGCTCCAGGCTGTTAGCGGCATCGGAGAGTTCGAACCAACTCATGCGGCGGCGAATATAAGCTGCAGTTTTTCTCACTTTTCACTGCGTCTTTTCTTTCTGTTGACCGGGTATCCATTCGCTGTTTTTTCTGTCGCTCCCTCTTTTCTGTCTTCTCCCGGACACGGTGACATTCGTTTGCCTCCATTCCAACTCCAAGTCAATCATTCAACCACACCACCGTCACAATGAAGAGCTTTACTCTCCCCGTCCTCCTCTCTGCCGGTCTCGTCGGCCTGGCCTCTGCCCGCACTGATCTCGGCGGCTGCGTCTCCTCCGCCACCGTCAACCAGTGGAACGAAGCCAGCATGATCTGGTACGTCCCTGACAGCGGCGAGATCTGCGACATCCCCGACTGCGGTGGCGGTCGCGCTCCTCCCAAGTACAACCAGCCTGGCTGCGCTGCCTACACTGGCACCGAGACCCTGACGCCCAGCTACCTGCCTGGCTGGGGCCCCAACGGCAAGTCCGCCGCCACCACGGCTCCCACTGCCTCCGCGACCACCGTCGCCGAGACCTCCGTTGCCACCACCTCGGCTGCCTCGTCCACCGAAGACGCTACCTCCTCCTCGTCCAAGACCAAGCACGGTAGCACCTTGATCACCGCCGGTCCTACCCTCTCCACGGCCGCTTCTTCCACCCCCGCCGGCTCCTCTACGCCCGTCAAGTCCTCCTCCGTCTCTGGTGGCGCCTCGGCTTCCGGCTCCAAGGGCTCTGGCTCTGGCTCCGGCTCCGGCTCTGGCTCTGATTCCACCAAGACTGCCTCTGCATCTGGCGGTCTTGCTACCGGCGCTGCCTCCAGCGTGTCTGGCTCCAGCCTTGCCGGTGTGGCTGCGTTTGCCGCTCTGGTCGGTGTTGTTGGTCTGTAGGAACTTTCATGCCAAGGGATCTGAGGACGTTCGGTAGATGTTTAATAAGTGTAATGAGCTATCATGGGATACTTTAATGATACGGATAATAATATACACTACGGATAATTTTCTCTAATAACGCTTCACCCGACTTTTGCACGGATTTATGTAGATGTTAGAGGAACGGCTCTTAGATCTCGGCTCCTTGGCCTTGTCTTGCAATGCCGATCAGCCGCCGATCGTCGCGATCGTCCTAAATACCGCGTTCCACATCAGCAAATCCAGCAGTACCAGCTGCCCTGCCTGCCCCGTCTACGCCTACCGCACTTTGACATGACTGCCTGATTTTCTACGCATTAAGCTTTTTTTTTTTTTTTTTTTTTATCTAGGTGGGATTGCTTTCTAGGTATAAAGAAGATGTTATATTCCAATCCGTAACATATGTACATTTATAATTTTTATCTACTGTCGGATTCGGGAGGCTTCCTATAGGTGGTGAGACAATGACCAAAAGCCAAACACAGCGAGGATTGAAGCAAGGTGTATCAAGTACGTAGGTAAGGATGATAATCTCCCGGGCTAGGTAGGGGCCGAAGACGTGGCCTGAGTTGGATAGATTCCGATTCGTCGTAGATGGAAAGGAAATGCCTGGGAGGCATCGGGGGAACCTACAGCCCCAGGGGAATGAATGTTGCATGAACAATAATCGCGATTCTTCCGCTCGCCGACCTCTCCCTCCCGACCCTCTGGTCAGAGATGTAGCTTTAGAAATCATCCATGCATCTCCCTGTGCCCTCCCTTGAGTGGTTTCCCACCACACAGCTGTCGATTGTCGTCCATAGCGAAAGTCACACATAAAGAACAGACCCCTGATCAACAATCTCGGAAGGTGAGATATATTACATTGTTCCGCATGCCACCTGTAGAAAGACTTGGCTAATGGTAGATCTAGTCTCTATCGCACAACAAATGCCGACACTATACTTCCCCACGCAAAGGATCTGGAACAAAAACTGATTCGTTCCAATTTGGAGCTTGGCGATCCTTTGCCCACTTTTGTATAGCCCCAAAATTCCGGCAGGTGTGTGTAGAGTTATCATGAGGTCTTACTACCTTGGCCTCCGTATGCCAAGTCCATGGGACAACGGAAATATCAGCAGAGCACATCAGACTTTGACGAATAACATCGATGCAATGTCCTGTATGCTCCATTGACATGTCCGTGTGATTGAAATGGTCGATACTATCGATCGAGTCAGGATAGCGGAGAGCAGTATCCCTGCCCCATAGACCCATCCTGATCCGATTCTGCACGCATGGCCATGAGTACTTGTAAGCGAATCCCTTTCGGACTATAGGATGGGAGGCATACCAGGCAGTGAAGCTGATGGAATACATCCAACTGAACGGTATAATAACCTGGTACTTTTTCATGTGGCCGACTTGGATCCACAAGCTTTGCTGCTTGTTCTTTAGGAATTATGCTCATTCCAGCTAATAGGATGTTAACCTCAAAGTCCAGTGGGATTCATGAGTAACATCAATGGAAACGCTGCTCATATACCTTGATACAGATCTTCCCATGCCTTATTATTCTTGTCACTTGGATAGCCTTGGAACTCAGTCAGGTCCGGCGCAATGCTGCGGTTAAATACCACGGTTTCATAGCGGACAACGTCTTGAGCAGGAGCTAGAAGAGGACGCTTTAGCATGTATTTCTTTGGAGATAGATTTATCTTGTCGATCATAATTACTTACAGTAAATTTCATCCTTAATCCAATAGAACCCATTTTCTGGCGTCTTTGTGGAAAGAAACACAATGAGGCCTAGAAGGATTATAATAAGAGCCCACTGACCAGCAACACACTGTCTTAGTCTGTAAATCTGGCGCTCGTGGCTTTTCAGTAACGTAGAATAACTGGCATCATTAATGTCCTGGGCTTTCAGATCAGATGATGAGCGTATAGGGGAATAAACGGTTGTTCGAAAAAACGACATAACGCCTCGAGAAAAGAGGGAATAGAAGAAATGGATTGGAGTATTATTGAAGCTAGTAATCAGAGGGAAGGCGTGGTAAGGAGATCTAGGTAAATGCTTTGCCTATATGAACCGGTGTGATGTAACCCTCCCCCTAATTCCAACAGTTTGTGTGGAATTAAAGGTAAGGGATATACAAGGTAAGGGATAGGAAATGGGTATACCAGGTAAGGGAGTATATATCCTTACATGTAGTAAACTAGGATCTAACACAAATCATGATCTTCTTGCAGAATTGGTCTTTTTCCCTCAGCTGGGTGATTCACTAATGACGCATAAAATGCTGGTTTCTGAGCATTTCTGCCCGTCCGGAATCCAAATCAAGTCACTGGCAAGGGGCACCCAAGGCTACTAGTGCTACGCTGCACTACAATGGTTGCATTCTGTGTATTATAATGCTTATTGTCAGTTTACCAAGCTAGTGCGTAGTATGACATCAAATTGCGTAAGGTAGTATTGAATCTCTCTACCTTGCCATATAAATACTGTATAAAGACCTGGGTTTTCCAAGGAATTAAGAATTCGCAGCCACCCATTAAGCTCATTTGTTCACCTCTTCCCAACTGTTCCCAACTATTCCCAACTCTCTTCAAATTCCCAAGTTTTTGGTTGAAATCATGAAGAACTTCAACCTTATTACTGCTATCTTTGCTGCGGCCGCGGCAAGCGCCCCTCTGGTAAACACTGAGGTTTGTGTCTGCCCATTGATCACCAGCCTAGTTTGATTTCGCTTATACTTAGATTTGCTAAACCCCTTATCTGTATAGGCCGGTCTCAATCAGATGGCCACCACTGATGGACGCAACTCATGGGTCGAGTCCGGCCAGGGTTGGAAGCGAGACCAAACCACTACCAACGACATGGCCACCACTGATGGACGCAACTCATGGGTCGAGTCCGGCGATGGCTGGTGAAAGCGAAACCAGCACTGATGCCATGGTTACTCTAGAGCAAGCCAGTTAATGCCAGGATTCATACCAGGCGACCAAAAGGACAGGTCCTATGTGATGAAAGCTTCGCAAATCGATGGTGTTAGAAAGATATCTAGGCATGCAACTCAGTTAAAAAAATTATAAACTCTCCCAGAATAAATTTCCCTTGACTTATCAAGGAATCGTTCCAACCGCGTATATATCTGGAGTTTGTTTCGTGTGGCGGGACTGGGCTATGGGCCTGGGGGTAATTTGGCTGATGATGTGGCTTGAACAGTTTTGGAGGGCGCCATCATTTCCGCCGCTCCAATCCCGCAGAGTGCCTGGGGTATGCGGTGAGTTTGTCTGACGGGGAATGCACGGAATTGGATGGTTATTTGCCTGGGAGTGTGAGGAGATTCTCGAGGCTGCGAATCGGAAACAGGCGCTTTGAATAATGTGATGTGTCGATTAACGCCAATGTGTCCAGTAATGACACTGAGAATTGCATAAACTCTTTTATGCTGTCTTCGAGGATGTTTCCCTGGCGGTGTGTTTTAGTTCACTTGGCAGGGCTGCAATTCTCTTTGTTATTTTATTTTTGACTTCTCTCAATGAAATACAAGAGGGCCACAGGATATTAAAGGACTCGGCTACATCAAACATGACACATGGCGTGGGTGACAACGGCCCCATAACACTGCCACACCTTGACACGCTAACCCATTCGCCCGATGAATGTCTCATATTAGAAATCGAGAAGCCACCCCTATTCTTCATGAAAGCCACAGTTACACTGTCTTATTATGCAGGGGCCGATGGACCCTCATCTCCAGAAACACCCCCTTGATTGGTCTCGGAACGCCGGCACCAGCCACAGATGCTGGCCCCTTGTGCAATGTGGACCAGGTGTTCCCGGTTACATCAATGAATAAATTGTTCCGAGTAGCGATGATTGGGCGATCGTACAATATGGCCCGTAAGATCCCCCTTGGCGATGGAGTACTCCACATGATGGTCCTTTTGCGGAGGCTGAAACTTAAGGCTGCTATTTTTGATGTCGGTTGGTCTCCACGCGCTGTCAGCAGGGGAACAGGTAAACAGGTAAACATTGAAAAGGCTGTTCGTTCCCTGGAGATTGACGATCATTGAATCAACTTGCCAAGTCAGAATCACATCAACTTCTTTCGTCTTCTTTCTACCTCATCTTTTCATCACAACCACCACAATGAAGTACATCAGCTTGATGCTCTCCATGGCTGGCATGAGCCTTGCCGGTAAGACATTCCTTGCTGTACACATCTTCACCATTCAACAAGCCCAACTCACAGCACCCAGCTTGCAGCAGCCTCACCCTCACCAGCCAACTTGACGTCGACACCCAAATCTCCTGCTCCGTCGTCAACGGCGACGTCAAGATCTCCTCCGAGTACATCGGCGCCCTGAGCCTGACCGGCGTGAAGAAGATCACAGGATCCCTCAACGGAACCGACCTATACCATGCCTCCTCGCTGAGCTTCCCCGACCTCGAGGAAGTGGGCGGTGCGCTGCGTCTGACTGGTGGATTCAACGAGTGAGTTGTTGTATCTAGAGTAGATCTATGTAAACATTGTTGCTGATCGGAATGACTAGAATCTCGATGCCGAATCTGGATGAAGTCAAGGGCGGGTTCAGACTCTCCAGCACACAGAAGGTTGCCTGTGAGCCCTGGGAGGCACTGGAGAAGAACGGTCGCATTAAGGGGCGGTATTCGTGCCAGTCGTACACCACTCCGGGTATCGTTGCTTAGGTGGTTTGTTTGGGAATCTGCCTTGGTAAAGGGGGTTGAAAAGTGAAAAGTGCCATAATCAACCTCGGGTTGTCGCTCGTCAGAAACGGAGACCCGGCGGGAAATTTAAATAGATCATTACCATGTAAACATATACAAGGCATCTGAGATGGGTTCATTTTAACTTCTGTCTCTGTACATACATCTCATGATCAATCGCCTTTAATGCACAAGCCTCGAGGTGGAAGCTCCATCAGAGTCAACCTGAACTGTTATATCAGTTTTCACTCTTACGCCACCGTCACTGCTCCCTTGAAGCTGTCGAAGCTCTCCACCTTGTGAGGGCAGCTCTTCAATATTATGATGCCTCGGAAGATCAGACGAGGTCTCGCAACCGGCAAAAACGGACATGACCACTGCGCCTTTGCTGTGGGTGTGATGGTGTTTGTCCAGTTCGAATCCCTCCTGGAATTGATGCGATCGGCTATGAGACCAATAGCTTCCAGTGTTGTTGTGGTTATCCGATAACATGCGGATGAGGAGCCGAACCACGGGGGCGCAAGTTGCGAGGAGAATGCTGTAGTTTTCGATCCTACCAAATGCATTATCAGAACGAGTTTCAATTGATTTCTATAGCATCGGTAGACTTACTTGACCCATAATACAAATGGCACAGTATTGTCTATTGAAGCGCATTAGCCAGATTGAACCTGACCAGGACAGACGCGTCTGGACTTACGTGTGATATCGTTTTCGTCCCCAATAGATTTTAAAAGCTTCATAAGCATTCTTAGCATACGCTCCATTGCAATGGGTGGTCCGGGCGAACCGTCTGACTTACATATGTTTTCACAATCGAAGCAATCCCCGATAGCAACAATGGTCCGCTCAGAGTAATGGTCTGCCACATGCGGCGAGCACGAGTCTGCTTCGGCATATTGTGGAACTTGGCAAGAAACGAATTGCTGCCGGAGGGTCCGCTATCTGTGGCTCGAATCGTGAATCGCCATAACTGAATGGCAGAAATTATGGTCAGGAAAAAGTCAACCGTTGTGTTGAGGCCTTTTATAGAGTCAGCATTCCAGTACACTCATATTTAGCATCGCAGCAAAAACAATGTCTCGGTGTGTGATATAATACCTCCTTGGACAAATCCAATGGTTGTTTGAACTTCGGGCGACTGGCAAGCAACTGATCCATCAGAGGGAAGGGGATCCCACATATAGTGGAAGTAGGCGACACGGTTGGGCTGACGACCATTTGTTAGATGACACCTTTTTCTACGACGGACGTCAAGGCGACCGGGTTTCTCCTTGATTTTGTACTTACTGCGATAAACGACGTCGGACCACATTGGACAATAATCTGTATCGCTGTGACTGAGTTCGCGATGACCTGTATGATAATACAGACCACGATGCTAAGTCGGATGTGCTTGTCGGCGCTACCGAAACAGGTGTAAAGAAAGCACATCATGCCTGATCGAGAGAACATCGATGCGAGTACCGCTGGTGATGGGTAAGTCACTGTTGTTGGAGCTCTTTTGGGATGCTAGGAACAGAACGTACCAAGAGGTTGAGATATAAATTCATTTCGTAAGGCCTTCGCTCGTTCGTCGTCGGCTAAAAACCACATGTGTCTTCCAAGACCCCAATTAAGACTGACCCGATTGTTAGCAATCTGCAACAAACCCATTCGAAGAATGCCTTGAACCTTTTCTGGATAAACGCCATATGCGCGATATCCAAGCCGTAACCAACGAGGAAAAGAAGATCCTCCAAACCCCATATTCGCTCTGGAGAGCTGACCCGAGGGAGTAGCCAGCGAACCCATGTTTTAACTCCGAGTCGAAATATCAATGCCACCGTTACTATCCCGGTCAGAGCCTAGAAGAAGCCACGAGACTGACGTTAGATTCATTCGCATAAATCGTTCGGAACACGGGAATTTCTACCCAGCAAGCTATTATATAGGAGTGACCTGTTGACATCGAACCGGATTAGCGATCAAGGGGCATTAAAAGGGGGTGGTCGATCAAGATAATCCATACCAATATCTGTGTCATCGTGCTCTTTCGAAGATGGCATAATTGAGTTGGCTGACTGGTGTTAGCAAACTTTGATCTCTCTCAAAGCAACGGTCTGCATGTAGTACTTTTTGCCTACGCGCTGCACAGTTAGACGTTGTGGTTTTATTTGTACGCAGGGACGGTAACGAGAAGCATTGCGTATTCAAGCGCGTCAATATCAGATCAAGATAATAAGTATTGACTCAAATCGAGAAATCCAGCAGAGTAACGCCCCAAGGTTAGGGGCATTTGGAGGGATGCCAGCATTAATCAAGACATCCTCTTTGTGTACACAATAAAGGCAACAGGGACTCCGAGCAAAACCTTTACACGCCGCTTCAGACCAAATCCCATCCCAAAGTGTCGGGACCCGACCTTGGCCCGAGGGTGTGTCTAGGCTCAAATTCCCTAAATTAACAGCAGGGATCTTCCATGTTACCAACGCTACCGAGTCCATGACTCAGTTCAGCTCATGGCATGAATTTGAAGCTGCGCCGCTTGAAACAGTAATAACAAATTCTCCGTTCAATATCCGACCAAGACAGATTTTGATTACGCAAACTCGATGCATGGCTCATCATGCTCAGCAAGGAATATAGCTGCTTTATATGAGATGGAGTCGCACGTAGGGAAGTTCTTGTTCACGTATTTACTGCTGATAAAAACCACACATCCCAAGGCTGGTGAGATATCATGCCAGTTGGAATATTTGAGTGCTCCTAAGCGGTGCATAGGCAAACAGGTGTCTATATTGGGTTCACTCGGAACACCCGACCGCTAATGCTTTTGTCTTAAGAAATACATCCTTCGAGGAACTCGGCGGAAAAGATGTTTTGCGGAATAGAGCTCGTCGTATTTTGTTTAATATGATCCTTCCGCAATGTCCTTGATTGCCCTGGTTGCTAGACAGTATATGGTTCCTCTCCGGCGCTATCACTATGTGGATGCTAAACTCAGTTATATTAAAACAAATAGGCTTTTTCTGGTTATATGCCCGGCCGAACAAAGCCTATCGGCTGCCGCGTGTCCAACAATTAACTCCTTAAATTAGCGCATGCAAGAACCCTGCAATGTAGCATCGCGCTGTTCTCCGAATGAATCGGCGCATGCAAGGCAATATATCCCAACCTGAAGTGGCGTGTTAAGAACTACGCCGCACGCCTTAATAGGAAATAGCATCTCGCGAACAAAGAAAATCCCGTCCCCACATACAAACTAGTGAACGATAGCCTCGATGCTTGAACAGACCGTCTGCCGCGGCCATTTTCGATACTCAATCGGATCATTTATCGCGCCCCCGCAAGGAATTAGTGCTCCACTTTTTGAAGTGTTGGTGGTCTAGTTCCACTGGAGAGATAAAGTTCGGTCTGTGGTTATCGTATGACCCTTTAATGATAGGCATAATGATCCTTTTCTTTGTGGCCGCCGCCGAGAAGAGCTCGGCGCCTTAATTAATAATTTAACCAGTCAAATACCCAGGTGAGACACTTGGATCATCTTGGAGCATCGACATTCAAGGGAGTCCAGTTCAATCTCTTATACGCAGTACGGCAATGCAAACAGTTGAGCGAAACAATTTGTTCTACACAGTCGAACTATTTTTGTGATTCCGTAAATCTTCGGATTCCCCGTCTCGGAGTGGAGGTGCCCTGCAGGGATCAGCCCGTGGTTGTATTTGTGGCCATCACGTCTCCTTGGCGAGGGTTAAATTAAATGTCCACCCAGTAACCTTTTGACCATTGGATCCAATAGGCGCCAAAGCGAAGGTCCAAATTTCTTTAATTACGTACTACTTTCTCGGGTTCAATAATATTCTCCTCCTTACGCATAAGCCAGCATCAAGGCATGGATAAATCCGGTATTGATTGTTGGATCTAGGGAAACAATAAATTGAGTGGAAATTTGAGGAAAGACTTTGGTCTAGAAAGGAGTAAACCGTGGTAGTATTCAATACGATGGTTGTAATTATTCCAAGACAGCTGCACCGCAATTCGTCTACTCAATGACCTTTAGGCCTTGCGCATCTCAATCAGCCCTTCACCAAACGGAGGATAGACCTCGAATGTCACCTTCAGTCCCGCCAATGCCGCCATCTGGTGCCATTCGGATGAGCTTCTTTCGCGTCCTCCAAAAAGCACAATCATAGTTGCATGCATTTTGCCATGGTTGGCATTCTTGCCAAATTCGTGCAACAAAAGCCTAGAATGAGGCGCCATGGCCTCGGATATTTTCTGTAACAACCGCACAGCCTCTAGATCCGGCAAATTATGAAGGATGTGCGCTAGATGGTAAACCAAGGCTCCCTTGATAGGCTGTGGGCTATTCTCCGCCTTAAAATCCCAGGTGACCTGGGTGACTCCTTCGACATTGCCGATATCATCGTTGAACTCCTGTACCACAAGGTCGGATGTTTGGAGCTGTGGAAACGCTTCTTTGATTTCGAGAAGAAGTTCGCCACGGCCTCCGCCAATGTCGACCAGTGTGCGGGAGGTATCTGCTGTTGCTTCGTTCAGCACGAATTGAAAATCATATCCGAGTACCTTCATTCTTTCCGGGACGCTGTTGGCCTTCATGAACTTTCCTGCCATGAAGATGTTGAAACTGTCCATGCGGCCTTGCTCTGCCATTATGGAATATGTGTGCTGCTTGGCGAATTGCTCGTTACCCATTTGTCTGTACCCATATTGGATAGGTGTGTCTAGTTCCTCGAATGGATAGGCAAGGTTCTCTGCCTTGAGCTTCGGCATAAGGAATGTTGCGCCGAGGAGGGCCTCTGTTGCACTGGTTTCGGTTAGTTTGGACCGCCTAAAGATAGTAATCCTGGCAGCTCATGCCAAAGAGAAAAACATACAAATGGAGTGCTCCATGCTGTGCTGACTGGAAGGCGGCCAAGTGTCTCGTGATTTCGTTGGGGCTGTAAAGCTCGTCGCTCGTGATATCGACAAACCCTAAGCCGGCCATCGCAAACAGTGTGTCCGCTAGATGGTGTCAGTATTATCGACGTAGTCCACGATTTCCATCTTGAATTTGGCTAGACAAGCATTATTACCGATCAGAAGTACGCCTGTTTCAGATATATCAGCACCGAGAAACCTGACTTCAAACAGCCAATAACCTACCTGGGTTGGGTGTTTTGGCGTCATGGCCTTTGATTTCATCTTTGTAGGCTGCCAAGACTCTCTCGGCATTAACTGGCTCTTTAAGTTCTACCAGTAGATCAAAAAGCCGAAATTCAATAGCCACAGGTATGAATCCAATTGCAGCGGGCTTTCATGTCATTTTGTTAGTGTCGAGCAGAAGTGAAACAAACTCTAAAACTAACCGAAGTCACTGCCTTCAGCACCGCAATACCAGCAGTTATCGAAGCCATTTTGTATGCAACAAGCAAGATTGTTTGGACGGTCAAGTGTGGGCTCCTGACAATAAGTGCATTGACCAAATACGATGGTTATCACCCGGTTGGGCCAACGATGATTTTTTATATTAGTTGCATGAGCATTGATTTAGTTCCACGGTCGGTGCATTTTGGTAGGGGCATTTATTCTCCTGCCGTGTAAACCTTGCTAGTGGGCTTCGTTGGCGATAACTTGGCATGTGTTGATTGTGCGCTAGGCTGAGGTGGCGCCCGCTTGTAGCCTACTCGGACTCGGATTATTTTAGGCTCTCTGAGATGGTGTGAAGCTTTCAGTGATTGCGCCGAGCCTGCTTGTTTGCTTACCCCTTCAAAAGCTACTTTTAATCTACTGAAAACCGAAACCAACTTGTGTTGTGTGTCTCTAATGAGTCATGTGAGTTGAACTGGAATGCAGCGTGTGAAATATTCTCTGGCGATGAAGTGAACAAAGGACATAGTTTAGAGGTCTCTCCTCATGCTAAGTTAAGATTACCAAATATTATCACACTAATGATGAAAACCCACGTCCTTTATCCCCTCCATCAAATTAATTTGCACCAAAAAACCCCTGCGAGAGCATCGACGGTCTCTCAACCGGATGCATGTTTAATGACCCACCGGCTCAATATCCCCACCAGTCATTTCACCCATTGTATATTGTCCCCTTCTTCGAACGGCGACCCGCGGCAGAAAGAGCTATCTTGCGTGTCTGATCCTTGCAAGGCCGAGAACAGTCGAATATAATTCGCCGTTTATTGAGCCCATTTCCTGTTCGTGGTGCATGCATGTCGCCCACGTAGCTTTCATTTATCGCCGTTCCCCTTGAAACCTTTTCTTCCTTCCGCTACTGTCCGTCTTTTTTGTTGCTTTGGTTTTTCTCCCCTCCATATTGTCCCCTTTCTCGGTCTGTTTTCAGAAACCTTGATTGAAAAGTTAAAATTAAATACGAGGACTAAAAGGTCATTGCCAGTCTTATCTGGCCCAAGATGGCCGAATCACCAGAGCAAGAGTTACCATCTCGGACCTCGAAGGCCGAAACTCTAGTCCAAGAGAAAGGATACGATGTGGCTGACAGCAGTATCGCCGAAGATGAGGCACGTAATCCTCGGAACTGGAGTCCATGGAAAAAGCGCCTGGTATTTTTGTCATTAATGTCGAGCTCTATCCTGGCTGATGGGTACGTTGACTCTCGATTTAAGATAACTTTGGGTCTCAACTGAAATGCCATCACAGTGGAATGACATGGGGCGCCACTTTGATCGTTCCTCAGGCTATGGAATGGGGCGTAAGCGTCAACTACTCGGCCACCAGTATGAACTACGGAATGTTGCTACAGGGAGTTGGAGGATTAATGGCGATTCCCTTGATCGAAGCTTTCGGTCGGTAGGTTATGGTTTGGGGTGATATGTTGATTGCGGAGAGGCTTGCTAATGTCAATAGCCTTCCCGTTTGGCTATGGCCGCAATTCATCACCACGTTCATGGTGCTTGGTGCTACGCTCTCGAATAACTACGATACCTTTACCGCATTTCGCTCTCTGCAGGGGCTATTTGGTACCGTTCCTCAAGTTGTTGGGCTTCCGATCATTCACGATATGTATGATCCTGAAGGTTAGTTATCTGTGGGTGCATGATGAGGTGGTTATGTGCTGATCAAATGCCATAGAGTGGCCTCACATGATCAATATCTGGTACGAATACTTCGTTTTCACTTCCGATGCGTGATAAACTTTCTGCTGTTCCCAATATACTAATCACCCCATACAGGGGAACTACATTTTTAATCGGACCTTTCCTCGGTCCTGCGATCGCAGGATATATCGGTGCCGGAAGCGACTGGAAGACATCTTTCGGAATCCTGACTCTCTTCTACGGCCTTTCCACTATTTTGATTTTCCTATTCGGATACGAAACTTACTTCGTCAGAGGCCAAGAATGTCAACGTAACTCTCGCATTCTTTCGATGCTCGGCATTAAAAACCACAACTTGCCAGTATTTTCGACGATCGCGTACTGGAGCAAAACGCTTGTTGTTTATATTTTCAAGTTTCCGCTTCTTATGACTGGAATTTCGACAATGGTTAACTTTTGCTGGCCTATTGGTAAACACCTCTCATGCAATAAGGCCAACAGGCGGACTTTCTAAACACTTCCAGGAATCACCGTCACCGTGTCCACATTCGTTGCTCAACCTCCCTATCTTTTCGACACCGTCGAATCTGCCTCTTTACGATGGGCTCCAATTATCGGCGGTCTTCTCGGTAAACTGAATACCTTATCACCTCTCCCTCCCCATGCTCTAACATATGCCCTTTAACCCTGCAGGCTACGCCTTCGGCTACTGGTTCAACGAGTGGATCCACAAGTCCCGCAATCCCCAGCGCAGCTGGTATCCCGAGGTCCGGCTCCACGGTCTCTGGGTGGCGATCGGCGTCATGGCCTGCGGCCTTCTCACCTACGGCTTGACATTGCATTTCCATAAGCACTGGATCGGCTTGGCGTTCGGTTGGTTGATGGTTGTTTTCGGGATGATTTCAAGTATTGTGTCAGTTTACCTCTTGCCCTAAGTAATTTAAGACATGCTAATATGAAACAATAGGTCAATCACAGCATACGCTCTCGAAAAATACCCCGACCAAGCCACGGTCGTCTCGGCTATTATCAACGCCTGGCGCACGGCGAGTGGTTTCGCAGTGGGATATTTCCAGCCGGCGTGGATTGCGCGGAACGGAATCGCCGCGGTATTTGGGACGCAGATTGCGGTCGTCGTCGCGGTTTTGGTTCTTACTATTACACCGGTGATTGTGGTTGAGGGGAGGAAATCAAGGGCGAAGTAAGATTGTTTTGACATGCTTATATTGTATATTTGCTCATTTAGATGTTTCTTGGATATTGGAAACCGATAATACGTATTTGACCTGTGTGCCCTTTGATGAGCGACAATCGCAATATGCTGTATATTTCGATGGAAAGACTATCGTTAAAAGTACCATACGTGGAAAGCAGAAGAGAAAATAGAGTCATGAAATCGTAGTAGAAAAGCCTTCACTGGGATGCATATTAATTTACGACCAGCCGAATGAAGGGAACGTGTCATCGAAACCAAAGGCCACATTATCCGTGTTCATATATTCCGGCCAATCTACCAGATCCTCGATTCCTTCCGTAAGACCTGTATTGAATGGAGTCTCCGTGAATAGATTTTCTATGTCGTGAATCATTCTCTCGTGGTCCTTTGATGCTGCATTGCCGACTCGAGCCATTTCCCCCAGTAAGCTCCTGACAGGGCCGTACGGGATATTTTCCCGTACAGTAGCAAAAGCACTGGGTCTCTTCGCAATCAGACATCTGGAGATTATATGCACGGTGAGGCTGGAAAATATGTGAAGGGACTCCCAGAATCCGAATTTCGCTGTGCAAATGTTAGAGTTATGGAATGATTTGAAGGTTGATGAAAATGATGGCTTCTAGGGCTATAAAGCAACCTACCTATTTTATGACATTTCGAGAGAGCAAATTGGATCAGAGTACTATTTGTTGCGGCCTGCAAGCACTGTGTATTTGTGCTTGCAAAATCATCGCGAGGCATTGACGCGCCATTCTCATGGACGAGGTCATGAAGCTGTTTCAACAACAAAGGGCGGAGAAGAAGTATGTAACACTGATTCATCAGCAGCCATCCTTTTAACCTGTAAGCGGGTATCTTACCTGGTTATGGCGAAGCAGCAAAGATGCGGTTGTGCGCATGGGCGGGAACGCAAGAGTCTCGTCAGAAAACCCTCCTTCTTCGGTGAACTCCAAAGTTGGCAAGAATTCCAGTCTCCAGTTGTCCAAAGCCTGTAAACAGGGATCAATGAGCGCCTGTGCCTCGCCAGGACTTCCGAAACGGAGCTCCGAAACCGTCTTGACAATATGGTATTTGATACGGCAAAGTTTGATCTGCGCGGTGAGATACTGAGAATCTGAGAATTCCTCCCCATCTTCAGTAGATAATCGAGAGCTATCTGGAAATTCGATGCGGTCGTCGTTTAATGCATGGGCTGGTGTCAGGGATAACTCTATGCAAGTCATTGCGTCCATGCAAATCGTCGTCCACCAGACGCGTTTGCGATGCTCCTGCTCCGATGGGCTCATGTGTGTCTGTGGTTCTGAAAGCGCGAGGAGGTTGGCCAACCGTAGAGCCATCCCGGCGTACGCATAAGCTGTTCTTCGTCGATTGAGCGAGTAGCAGTAGAATGTCTATATGAAATTAGATTGAAAGCAGTGCAACTCGTCGGCGACACACTTACAATGAGATTGAGGGCCTCGACCTGCTCTATTGTCGGCTCTTCGTAGGATGGTCGTAGGAGGAGCAATCCTTGTTTGAAGAGTTCAATTCCCGGATGGGTAACTTGATCGAAGGTCGCTGTGGCAGTGTCATTTGTGGAGATACCTGTTCGGTTGTCGACCAGGAATGATGGCGAAACAGTGTCATTATATGACTCTCCAAGGGCCAGAACTACAGAAAAGCAGCAAAGCCATGTTCTGTCTATTTTCTGTGATTGTGACGGGTCATATAGGCTATCTATTCGAGCCCGAAAGCGTTTCTTTCGATACCAATGATAATCAGAACCCATGAAAGATTCAAACTGGCCCAGAAGATAGAGAGAGTATGAGTGCGGTGGAAATTTGACGAATACCTTGGGTCCTACGATAGTAAGATGGAGGTCAAAAAGGAGGCCATGACTTGACATACGGCTGTTATCATCTTCAAGAGGAATGTAGGTGTATTTAGATGCCGTGGACTGAATCTCATTGTCATGAAACTCGTTTACATCAGGGGTCGGTGTCGTGGGAAAGGGGGAAGTCCCTGAGTTCTCTTGGGTAGAATTAGAGTACACGCCTTTGAGCCTGTGTACAAAATGTTCAGTTGTTGAGTTCTCGATCAATCGCTCTTGCAATGTCTGCTCTGGGGTTCCATTGCTCGATGGCGTCGTGAGTTGGCAGCTCGCTTGAGTCACGACTCTCTGGCTGTCGCGACTGGGCTGCCGTAGCTGCGCGATTTCGCTCTCCAACCTTCGCACATAGCTTTCAGGGACAGTCATTACCCTATCCCGAGATGGAAATATGCAGGCTTTCCTGCTTGAAATACATCTTGCACATGGCTGTTCTGTGGCTCAATCTGTCAGAGCGGATCACAAATCGCGAAAACCAGCATGCTCACCACCGCTACATTTAACTTTCTGGCTCCGACAGTAATAACAGGCGCTGACGGATCTTCCTTTGAAGCGAGGCATGTCCCATAGTTTGAGCAGGCAGGGCTCGGGTTGCTGGCCTCTTCAAGACTCGGTGGGGTTGGCAGAGTGAGACTTGCGACTCCATTTTTGTCTCTAACCGAAGCCGGATAAGATTAAGAGGATTCAAGGCTCGGAAGAGAATTTCACCGATCAACACCCTTATCCTAAACGGCCCCAAAAGCTGTGTATACTTATCAATGCGATTTTCTTTAAATCTCCATGATTTTGACAGCTTCTACAGAAAACGCGTGAATATGTTTAGCCCCCCGCATTTTCGGAGACTACGGCCCATCCTTCGATCGCATCTTTCCCATCGGGTCCACAACTTGTTCAGCTTCGGCCACTACGGGATTAAAAGCCAAAGGTCTATTGGATGCCGCGTCCAAAGTGGGGCATTTCTCTTTATCGGCATCGTCACAAAAGAACGCAGCCGTAGAGGCCGACAGCTACAACCAGCTATCATTCCAAGCCTCAAGCACTCCATGCGGGGAAACGCTATCTCGAATGCATTGACGTAAAACTGGGGTAAATCTTAGAGCCGAATCAGCCGTAAGATAGGAGACGTTGGAGGTGGGAGAGGGTAAGATAACAGCGTTCTTGGAGGACTAGATAAAGACTATAAATATGGCGCGCATTTCTCGACAATAATTGGACTGTCAATCAAAGCATTCTTGACTGAATACTCTTCATTATGACAGCAGTCAAGTCGGAACATGCCAAAACTCCCGAGACAGTCCCAGAGGACAAGATAAAATGGTGTCCAGGGGGTTCGACTCTGCCGATGCCTCCGACGCTTCACGGCACTACAGAGCAAGAGAGAAGCGCAATGGAAAAGGCCTTGATTAGAAAGCTTGACCTTCGGCTTATGCCTATGCTGGTCTTGATTTATATCATGAATTATTTAGACAGGTGCTTTGCTTCAGATGTTTTGGGTGTTATTGCGCTAATGATATTTCCAGAAATGCGATCGCAGCAGCCAAGTTAAGCGGTATCACGCAGGAACTCAATCTGACGTCTGTTCAGTTTCAGGTATATTAATCCTTTCGGCTTTTGCAGAAAATCTTTTGACTTATTCTTCCAGACCTGTATTAGTATTCTATTTGTGGGGTATGTTTTCGAACTTTTGCCAAGTGAGCCGCACTGATTCTTTCAGTTATATTCTCATGCAAGTACCTTCAAATCTATTCTTGAACAAAATTGGAAAGCCTGCATTTTATCTTCCAACATGCATGATAATATGGGTAAGTACGAAACACACAAAATCTATATGAATCAACTTCCCTAATAATTGCATTCAGGGGATTTTATGCGGAGTGAGTGGTGCAGTTCAAAACTACGGTGGCCTGGTGGCATGTCGGTAAGGTGTTCTTCGAACAGTCATTATCTTACTTGTCTAACAGTACTGGTCCAGATTCATCCTTGGTTTTGTTGAAGCAGCATACTTTGTCAGTATATGGACTCAGATCATATTTCTCCGATTTCTTGCTGATATTGCAGCAGCCAGGCTGCATGGTAACATTGAGTGCGTGGTATACTCGGGAAGAACTTTCCTTGCGCACCGCCATTCTCTACTGCGGCTCTCTTCTCGCCGGTGCATTCTCTGGGCTTATTGCTGCCGGTATTAATGATGGCATGGATGGGTGAGTCACGATCCTTCCTCGATACTATGACTACGGACTAAAGAAAGATAGAGTGAAAGGGCTTCTCGCATGGAGATGGATCTTCATAATCAAAGTATGTGGCTCTGCCAAAGTCATGCTGCTATCTCTGGTCAACAGCTCATCTTCTATCACATAGGGATCAATCACGGTGGTTATTGACTTTACTGCTTACTTTGTTTTACCCAATTTCCCCCACAATACAAGGGGCATATCCGCGCAACAAAAAGAGCTCGCAATTTGGCGGCTGGCAAAAGAGACCGGACAGGAAGAATGGGACTCTGCAGAGGATACAAGCTTAATCAACGGCTTGAAAGACTGTGTAGTCGATTGGAAGACCTGGCTGCTTGTGATTCTCAACTTTGGTGCCGTTTCTAGCGGCACAATCAACAACTTCTTTCCCACTGTGGTTGGGAGCCTTGGAAAGGATCGGATCCATACGCTCCTCCTCACGGTACCGCCGTATATACTCTCCTGCATCGTCGCTATGGCTGTTTCCCGAAATGCGGACCGAACTGGAGAGCGATATCTTCATTTCACCCTGCCCTTGTGGATCTCTATCGCGGGCTTCATCATCTCAGCAGCTACTACGAGCATCGGGGCGAGGTATTTTGCGATGATGATCATGCTGCCAGGGGTGTATACAGCGTTCATCATTGGTATCGCCTGGGTCTCCAATACTATCCCGAAGCCATCGGCAAAAAAAGCTGCTGCTATTGCCTTGGTAAATGCGATTGCTAATTGCTCGTCTATATACACCCCCTATCTCTATCCAGACAGCGATGCTCCTCGTTTTATTCTGGCTATGAGTGTAAACGCAGGTACTTCGTTGCTCTCGATATTTACCGCGACTGCTTTTCGACTCCTTCTGCAGAGACTTAACAAGCAGCTCGAGAGAAGAGATGTTGAAGAGGGAACTGTTGGCGGCTTCCGCTATCTCTTATAGTGTTTTTCGGAGCATGGTGGAATCTAGATCAATTGTTGGGCGATCGTCTCAATACCCCAGTCCCAGAATCAATATGTTTTGAGCCCTTCATATGAGATTGCCCTCCCATCTTACGGTGCTTTCCTTTGACATAAGCCGATGTCTTTTAAGTTTACGGTGTTTTTAAAAATTTTCTACTGCTCTGATTCCTTCAGCGAGGTGGTTTTTCTGTCCAGATATTTTCCGGTCTTTGGATAATGATCGTGATTAAACAATACACTTTTCTGTCTCTCCGCATGATGGACTCCGAGTTATCGCTATCTTGCATATTTGACTTTTGTTACGAAATCTCCCATAAGAAAGTTACTAGAATCAATCAGCTCTCTAAATCAATGGAACGTTCGTCAATCAACTACTGTATTATTCACACTGCTAATTCGTTAATTCACGCCTTGAACTGTTGTCGACCCTAGCATGGATCTAGGATAGTCAGAAGGCCATTTATATAATGTCTCTGCAGCTCAAGTCCCCTAGCAGTACCCATGGCGCCCTATTTCAATCACAGAGCCCTTGGCACGCCGTTTCCTCTTCTATTCAAACACTGTCACCATGAGCCGACCGTTGAACAATTCCCATGATCTCATCCTTCGTGAGCAACCCCTGCTCCACCACAACATCCAGGAAAGGCCTTTCCTCCGCCAAAGCTTCCCGAACAATGCTCGAAACCTGCGCATAGCCCAACGCCGGCACCAGCGCCGTAGCCAACGCGCTAGACGCGAGCAAATGCTCGCGCGAGACATCTTCATTCGCAAGTATCCCGTCGATGCATCGACGAGCAAAAATATCCGCAGCGCCGCCCAGTAGCCGAATACTATCAAGAAGACGGTCGCACACAAGCAGTTCAAAGTGATTGATCTCGAGCAAGCCTTGCTGGCATCCCATCGCAATTGCCGTGTCGTTACCCGTAATCGCCAAGGCGACTTGACAGACCGCGATGGGAATCACTGGGTTCACTTTCCCGGGCATAATTGACGATCCGGCCTGGACGGAGGGCAGCGTGATCTCGTTGATTCCACCGTTGGGTCCGGACGATAGTATAATCAGGTCGTTGGCGATCTTCCAGAGAGTGTTGGCGGTGTTGCGTAACTCTCCTGAAAGACGGGCGCAGGTGTCCATGTTTTGCATGCCGTCAAATGCGTTACTAGTAGGGTGGACCTTGGTGTTGAATAGAGAGGATAGATGCCGGAATACAGCGGCTTTATACCCTGGTTGGGATCCAAAACCGGTTCCAATAGCTGTGGCTCCTAAGGGGACGGTCAAGAGCTGCTGGCGAATTGCATCGAGGTGGTCTGCGTGTCGCTGGACGACTGCTTCGTAGCCTCCAAATGCCTGGCCGAGGGTCATGGGCTGCGCGTCTTGAAGGCAAGTTCTCCCTAGGCGAAAGATCGATTTGTATTCTTCGCACTTGGTCGAGAGTGCGACCGCCAGCTTGCGAAGGTTGTGGAGAGGCTCTGCCATTGCACGATAAGCAGCCAGTTTCATAGCGGTTGGAACTACATCGTTTGTCGACTGTCCCAGGTTGACGTGATCGTTTGGATGAACAAAGCTGTAATCGGAGAGCGCCCGACCAGCGGATTTGGCGGCGATGTTCGCAATCACCTCGTTCATGTTCATGTTGGTCGACGTGCCACCCGAGCCTTCGAGCATATCAACGACAAGATGTGCGTCGTGTTTGCCGATCTTGATTTCTTCACAGGCCGCCGAAATAGCATCTGCCTGCTCCGCTGTAAGACAACCGATTTCAAGATTTGCAAGCGCTGTCGCCTGTTTCACTGTGGCAAATGCATAGATGAAGTCCGGCCATGTTGTGATTGAACGACCGGAGAGGGGGAAGTTCGCAAGCGATCGGTGGGTGTTGATGCCGTATAGCACATCAGCTGATAGTTCCAATTGACCGAGACTGTCTTTCTCAACTCTCGAGTTTGCCACGGGCATGGTCTGTCTGTCACCGTTTATGTGCATTGTCACGCCGATCACAAGCTCCCAATACAACGGGGTTTCTTGACACTTCTCTAATGTAGCAACCGAGCTCGCTGCAAGGGCTATTATTGAAATCAGAGGGATAGTTTACGAAAATCACAATGAATGATAAATCGGGAGGTCAAATTTATTTCTCCCATAACCACGTCTAGATGGATACAGACAAGACCCACATCCAGTCTCGGCCGCTACGGCGTGAGTGGGGATATCATTGGCGACTTCACACATCCAGCCTGACCGTAGCGGCCGAACCAACCGGTTCCTCTGAAAATTAAAAGATAACATCAATTTGGGGGTTTCCGTCATCAGAAGACTGCAGTTTTATGCATTTCATGACTCTCTTTGTAGGAAGTAAATGCCTCAAAGCCGAGGAATCGTGATAATAAAATAGTCGCTCGTAAAACACTCGCAAACCGCCTCGCTTATGTAGGAGTAGAAGAGGAGATTTATGATATCTTACATGCACTATCTGTATATAGTGACTTGGGTGTTGCTTTTAAAAGCCTCGATGTCTTCATTGTTGTATTTTCTCTACCGTGCACGAGATGTTTTGTTAAGAATAACAAAATACATATCAGCATAGCTTTCTTTGCTTAAGTGTAGCTAAATATGGGTGTTTTTTACACTCACTGGCTTTCACCTGATATAAATTAATCAAGTTGTAGTTAAGATGGTATGTTGTTCTTGTTCCTATAGTATATGATGTTCCTAACTTCATTGAATATATATTTTCATAGAAGGAGAGTAGGTGTAAGTCATGGATAGATAGAATTCTTCCTGTATGTACAGCTAGCACTTTCTGCCCTGATTCCCTGAACTCTCACGCTAAAAGCAAACCCCACTTCCCGTCTCGTCCTCCTAGAAACAAAGAAAGCCAAAACGAAAGAGAAAAAACAAAAAAGAAGGATGGGATGAACCGGGATTGAACCGGTGACCTCACGATTGCCAGATTCCTGACTTTGAAATGACCGAGTAACTTCAGTCGTGCGCTCTCCCAACTGAGCTATCACCCCATTGGATGCTGACTGATACGCATAACCGTCTTATACCCTCCCTCCAATACTAACAAGAAAAAGAAAACAGTCCGAGATATGCCCGGATCAGCCCGACGAACGGACCGTGTGGCGCGGCGTCGATCGTTTCCGACGACGAGCGGGTGTCAGACGATCAGTTCCCGGAAGACGATCCGTGGGTGAGCCGGTGCCATGGCGTTTGTTTTTTATTTTTGGCGCATGGCAGTGTGGGTGGGCGGAAGTGCTGATTTGCGGGAGGTATATATTCTGACTGCGGTGGGGAGGTGTAGAGTTTGGCATTCGGAGTGAGGCGGGTTCAAAAGAGCCAGGATAGAACCCCGGATTGATTATAGTTATTTAGCAACTAAAGGTAGCGATCAAGAGAAAGAAAGAGTATGTGCAGCACGCTCGTCGTAAGTAATAGCAAACCCAGCAATTTCCTCCCAAACGCCAACCCGACCGATATAAGTAGATCGCTTCCGTAGCTTTTCGTAACGAGGGCATAGCTGCGTGTCAAGGAACGCCGTTCCCAAATATTTACAAGTGTAGAATTATTAATAGAGAAGGAAAGAAGATAGTCCGGCACGAATCAAGCAAAATCGACCATATCTTCGATGCTGGCATCCGAGAACAACGTGCAGGTCGTGCTCAGCAAACTCTGTTCGGAGTCTCGACGAGCGGTCTCAAGCTCTTGCTTCGCCTCGTCCGACATGTCCAGCGACCCGTCGAGGTCAAAATCAAATCCCGCCGACTTCTGCGTAGCGATCGAAGTATTGGGCGACGAGGACAGCGGGTCCGAGGGCGGGCTCAACTCTGGCGTCCGCAGGATCGGCTCCTCCTGGTGCGTCACATGGCTGACCATCTGCTGAAGGTAATTCTTGATGGCCTGGTCATCGCACTGCGAGTGTCGCAGGAGTTCATCCTTCAGGCATAAGACCTCCCCGTGGAGCTGGGCCACTTCGGCCTCGAGCCGTGCCTTCTTCTCCGCGGCCACTTGGAATTGGCTCTGCAGGCGCTCGGTGTTTTGTCGCTTCTTCTGTCGGCATTTGCTGGCGGCCATGCGGTTTCGTTCGAGGAATTTCTCCCGCTTTTCCCGTTCTTCTTTGTTGGCGTTGCTCTTGAGTCTGGAAGAGCCGCTGCGTCGGCCTGATCGCTTCGGGGCCGGTGGTTGGATGGATGTCGGCTCGTCGAAGGGCGGTTGCTGACGGGTGGGTTTGGCAGGCCACGAGGCAGATGGCCATAAGGACTCGAAGCTCTGGTCAGCACCTTCAACAGAAGCAGGTATTTCGAGCCATTGTGGTGCGAAAGGGTTGTTGAAGAAGATGGGGGAGGAATCGGTGGTAGGATCAGCGGCAGAGAGGATGTCGGGGCCGGGGCCAGTGGCGTAGAGGAGGTCGGCGGACATATTTTAGATTTTATCGTGTAATACGGCTGTCGAAAAAGCCGTTGTCAAATATCGTTTGTCCACGGAGAACAGGGACGAGAGCAGTGTGGAGGAAGCGAAGTAGTAGTATGGATTCGCCAGCAGTGTAGCAGCAAGACCCAAAGTCTAGACAACGCAAGCGTCAGCTAGCGACGGTCGCCCCCGTATAAATAACATTCATCGGGCTGGAACAATGAGGAAGTCCAAACAGCAGTGGGCTGCCAGTCACCGCCAGCTGGAAGTTGTATCCGTCATAGACTTGCGGCATGGACACATCGCGATGGCCAGTGATTGGGCGGAGAATGACGCCGGAAAGCTTGCGCGGGTGGATCTCCCCACGTCATTGTATCCCGCAGTCTGTCGTCCTGGCAAACGTCGTTGCAAACGCCGAGGGCCGACGTGACGTTGGCTGCTCCAGCTTCAACTCAATCCCATCGCCTGGTCCCGCCTCGGGATTGCCCACCTCCGTTGTGGTGGTTGTGGTGGTTGATGCCACTGGCAACGCTAAAGTTTCCGGGGAGGGACTCCCCCCGACACTTTTCACTCTATTCTACCGGCTGCTTTGGCTCTCCAACTGGGAGGAGTCTCCTACAGACCCAGTCAGTGAGACATCCTTCATCCTCCTCCTGTGAGCGTCCCTCCTCGGTCGGCACTTCTCCCCAGGCAATGCGATAACCAGACCAACGGTCGCAGCAGACAGGTCCAGAACATGGCGGCAGGGGTTCGGACAGGAAAACGAGGCGGATCCGTCGATCAGCGATTAGATAATAATGGCCAGGATCCTGATCGAACGTTCCTCAGCCGTTGAGGGGCCGTGATTGGTTTGGAAGCAGGCCGATCATGCCGGAACCGTCCTCCATCTCATCATCGCTGGCCCGTGTTGGGAACCCGCCGCAACTGGTTTTGAGACGTTGACTACTGTTTGGGGTTGGGGACAGAAGTACGTCTTAATATCATGGTACTCCCGGTGGCGAACTTGTGGGACGAGCGTTGTCCAGGAATGCCAGGTTTTGGCCCTTCTCCCTATCCGGGTTCGAATATGTGGCGTCTGGCTGCTTGACGGTCGGAGGTTTTATGCAGGATTTGGGGTTGCATAGTGTCGATTTCTTGACGATTCACTCCGGAGATTTCACGTGGACAAACAACGGGATAAATTGTCATGTGGATTTCATCTTGCTTGAATCAGGTCGACGAGATCCCGGAATCGGAAAGAAAGCAGAGCTTTGAGGTCCTGCAGGGAACAGGGAGACTGACAGACTGGTGCCTGAGGCAGAAAGTGGACAGTCGCCACCGTCCCAAAACGGTCAGAATAGCGCTAGCCGCATCCGGAAGGTCCGAGAGTCTAGGCCTCGCTGCCTCGCTGCCCTGCTGCCTGAATTATATGTTGCCACTCGCGACAGCATCCGCGTAGATACGCTCTCCCTTTTATTGCTTTGAAAATATGTCAAGCTAGAACAATTATCCTTTTGACCATCCCCTAGATGCTGACACAAGATGATTCAAGTTTCAACTTGCTGTTTGGCCCCAAGTCCAGGTGGCCCAACAATTTGCCCCCTAAACAGCGCCCTCAATGCTGTAGCCGCATCAAGGCTCGAGGAGATCCGCGGGATTACCCGTCCATCAGCCTCAACGACAGCTGCTCTACAGATTCTCACGTGGACATTGGGAGCCTTGTTGTTGCAGTTCGGGTAGTGGAGCGCTTGATTAGTCAATCATCGCCTCGCTTATTTAAATGTCCGAAATCACGCAATTTGCCGCGTAATGAAATGAGGTCATAAAACAAGGATCTTTTCATCGATTTAACCCCTGAGAAAGTGATATAAATAGCCCTGAAAATTGCTTTAATAGAGATAAGAAGAGGGAGAGTTATTAATTGTTTTAACACGCGAAATTGTTATTCCTTTATAGCCAATGAAATTGTTTGTTTTGAATTGAAGTATTTTATTGAATTAGTTATTTCTGTAGTGGAATAAAATCCTACTGAATTTCTGCCACAGTTATGAGCCCGGTTATACTCAGGAATTGAGCGATTTTATTATTATTTTTGTTAAACCTATCCGAATTCCACCTCAGAGTGATTTATAGCGGTTTAGTAGAATTGTAAAGCGAATTATTAAGATATTGAATGAAGGACTATATTGAGTGGCCATATGAATACCGAAAGTATTGAAAAGAAAGCAGGATTAACTTATATTGAGCGAAAATGTCCTCTGAGAATGATATGGATAGTGTTATGAAGGTGAAAAAGATCCTTACCGGGATAGATGATTGGTAAGATTGGTATGAAGCTATAGAATATATGGTGAAGCTGTTGGATGTGTGGGAATATTTTAATCTAGATCTTGAAGAGTATTCCAATGATCTTATGAGGCTATTGAGGCTCACGCAGATTATTGATATAATAATATGAATCTTTTAATAGGATATTGATGATTGGAAGCAGAAAATGAATAGTATTGTGAAAGTAGAGCGGATGATCCGGGAGATAATTATAATAAGATCTCTGTTTTTTTTTTTAAGGTAAGAAGAAAGGTGAGATGATTAAGGCCCTGCGTATTTAGTATAAAGCGTCAGACAGATATCTCGAAGAAAAGGATTAAGCCAGATATATCTTGATTAAAGATTAATCTTTAAAGAAAGGAAAAGTGGAGGTATAGCTTGATGATTTTAACCACGCCTATATTGCTTTGAAAAGATAGAACTTATTAGAGAGCAGAGATAAATATATCCGGAGGGATTTCCTGTATATTATTAAAGTAGTATCTTTATTATTCGCGAACTTTTAGATGGAATTCGAGTTAAATAATACGAAATAAGAGGATTAGCTATTTTAAGACTTTATCGCAAAATATAGGAAACACCTGCTGAGAGAGGGAGTCAGGAAAAGAACGCCCGAATATTTTGTTATAGTCTTATTTAATAGTCAGAGTGATTAACCGCAGGAAGGATAAAAGACCTGTATCTGTAGAAAGAATTATTTTTTTAAGAAATATTAGTATTTTAATGCATTAATTTGTCCGGATTATTTTAAGCTAAAAAAAGGGATAGAGGACAAGATTAAGAAGGTGATTAAAAAGAATAATATGTATAGGAGAAAGATCGAAATAATTATTAATTAAAATACGAGAGGATCTAATAGTAGATTTTAAGATTAGTACTTTATAATGCTTGCTTTCAGCGTAGAACAGGAACCAACCTTAAAGAACTGTTTTATTCTTGATTCCGGAGTATTAGACTTCCGCACAACCCAACATAACCCGGACCCAACCCGGACCCAACCCGGGCTGGGTTGGGTTTTGGGTCGAAGACTCTGACCCAGCGTTGGGTCCGGGTTAAAGTTAGGTAACCCAGCCTGGGTCCGGGGCCCCAACTTAGGTTATAAATATAATATATATGCTAAGGCCCGTGACTACATAAATTATGCATTTTTTACTTGTAATATTAAGTATTTCCTTTATAACTAAATCGGGAGGAAGCAAGAACGAGAAAGACTGAAAGACTAAAATATATTAAAGAATTAAAAAACAAAGTATAATATACTTTTATCTGCGGCCGATATCTAACTAATAATACTTAAAGATATTATTATCGCGGCTCTTACGCTTCCGTCCTAACACCTATATCTGGGTGTTGTTCCTAAACAGCAGTATTTAGGCTTTACCCATCTTATATACCTCATCTACCTTATCTAGCCTTATTTTATTATTAATTATAGTATCCTGCTCTTTAGTATTATTAATTAGATCTATTTTAATTTTATCAGAATATTCATCCTTCTTTTCTTTTATAGATTCTATTTCCTTATAAAAGAAGAATTTCTTAAGAAGCTTCGCCTCCTGCTCTTCCATATTAAATCTTGATATACAAAAAAATAGTATTAACTTTTTAATTATCTGTGATTTTATTCTCCTTTAATAATAATAACAGATATCCTGAGTAGTATTAAAGAGCTGTTTAACTCCTGCGCTAGTTGCAGGGAAGGAGAGTATATCCCGCGCAAGGGTAGTAATTGCTGGAAAGCGAGTTTGGTGCTCTCTCTAGAATATAAGAGGTGTAATAAGAATAATATCTATTAACTAGTTAGTATATTTTAGCGAAGACTTAGTTTAAACGCACTGTTATTAAGGTATTAGGTTATTTCGTCAGTTACTGTATTTGGCTGTGCCTCACTTTTATCTAGCATTTTATTAAGCTTTGAGCTTAGCCGGGCTGTTAAGTAAGACCTGTCTAAAGACTGGTTATAAGTTGAAAGCTACTTTTAATATGGAATAAGAGCCCGTTAGAAGGACTTATAATAGATATCGCGCTATTTCTGATCTTAATCCTTTGTAAGGAAGAATTTGAACTTATTTACTAGTACTAATATTGTACTGATTACGTAAATATGCCCTTGGATATAATTAGTTTGAAAGTAATACTTATTAAGCTTTATCCGACCAGCCTCTAGTACATGAAGTATTTATTATTTCCACGGAGTATATTTTTATTATAGCTGCTTTATTAACTGCTTAAGGTGCTTAAAAAGTTTATTATAAATCTTAAACATATAATGCGCTATAATGTCTTAAGTCTTTAATAGTTAAGTTATATAGTTAAAGAATGGCTTAGTAATATAAAGAAGATAGTTAATCTGGCGCTACTCCTCTTCCTGAAGTAATATCTTTTCGCAGTTATACTCCGCATAAAACAGTACAAAAATACTGTATAGACGTTTTGCCTGACAAAGTATTAGAAATATTAAATTTTATTAAGTTCTTATATCTTAGATAGGCACTAGTTTCACACTTAATATCTAGAGATTATAAAATGTCTCCCGGCACTGAGGACTTGCATTTATATAGATTATAAGATAGCGGACCTTATTTAAGGTATAAGATATCTCTTGTCTTTAGTGCTGCGCGTTTGCTTAGGCTAATCTTAATTACTTTTTTATCTATTTTATTATAGCAGAATTATTTAGTAGAACTGCCTTAATACGATTAAGAAGCTGGTTAAGGCTAAGCTAAATAACATGAGCAAGGCATGGAATCCGGGTAATAATAATACTGTTTAATAGAGTTTGTTAAAGAGAATCTACTAAGGTCTTATTATTAGATATATTATCTGTTGTTAATCCAAACACTCGTGATTTAAGGTTATGCTCCATAAAAGTTTAAAGAAT